AGCGGAATAGAGGAAGAAAGCAAAGGGCCACTTTTGGGATCTTCATGGCTAGCTGCCATGAGTAGCGGCAAGAAGAATGAAAAGGAGATAAAGGACTAAAGTTAACACTGAGGCCTTCATCCCTAAGAATTAAGAAGCATAAAAATCAAGTGGAAAGGGTCCAGCAATGCCTTCCAAACCCAACGGGAAGTGCAAGCCGTTCAAGTTCCCGCCCAGCATACAGTCGTAGTCATTATTGCCATCGAAAACATTATCGTGTAGAAAACATCTGATAAGGAAAGCAAATTTAACTTCCGAATGAAGTCACTTTCCCCGCAAACCGGGCTCCGGCACTCCCGCGTTTATGCAGCCTTTCCCGTTCCTTGTTATTCATCTCGGCCGGGGAAGGCATAAGACCGTTACCTCCACTCCCAAAATCGCGGATTGTCGGTAATGCGCTCAGCGTATCGCCTCCAGGACTCGCCGTCGGGTTACCGCTTCCCAAAGCTCTTCCTGTCCGCTGGTTGACATATAGTTGCGCAGCTGGTGATAGTGGGATCGCCGGCATCTCAGCAGGGATATCTGCTCCATTTTGAACCAGGAGCTCTGCGATTGGGAAAGGAATCGCTTTAATGCCTGTTGGGGGTTGGGGCGCGGATTTTGTCCAGGTGGAGATTGAGGTCATTGACTGCGACGGAGACGCGGGATCGGCGGCTGCCAGGGCCAAGAACACCGCATGGGTGTTTCGCGACCGATCAGTTGCATTGGGACTTGCCCTCAGGGCAATGCCATAAAGGACGCCTTGAATATCATTTTGTTTGATAGAAGCGAGAAGTGTCTCATCTGCTGTTCCATAGCGCGAAAGCGTAGATGATAACGGGCGCACAAATGCTCTTTCGCTGTACTTTGCCGTAATGAACTTCAACCGCTGGTCGCGAGACGATTGTGCTGTTGGTTTGTGGGTTGGATTCAAGGTGGCTTCCCATATCATATTGCTGACCCTATTCCCAATCTGCAACAATATCTCGACAATGTCATTAGAAAACGAGTGAATATCTAGCGTAAGGGAACGGATCTTGGAAATATGAGTCCCAAGAGATCTGTGAATACCACTGCATTCGATGCAAAGCACGATTCCAAGATTAATGGAAACCCATTCGACCTTCGATGCTGAATTGCAGTCAGCGCACCAGTTATTTCCCTGATCCGCTTCCCGAATGACCTGGAGTAACTTGGATGGATTATCCTCATAGCTGCTGTCATTCCGAACGTAACTTGGGCGGGCACCAACAGTCGTTCTTCGGCTCACGTTGCTTGTGTTGGATGATGAAGTGGTTTTGCCCATTAAGGCAGACCCAATATCCTTACGGGACCCCCCATCTGAAGTGGGTGGTGGGGGAACACCTCGTCCGGACTCGACAGCGCTTTGCAAAGCATTGTTAATCGCCATAATCCAATTTCCCATATCCTCTTCAGATGTAGCTTGGTAAATTCTCTTAAACTGAGGCGTGATGACTTCAAAACAAAATCGCCGCTCCGCGTTCCTCGCTTCTCGAACAGATGCCATCCGTAAGTCTATAGGATCCATGTGTAGATCTAGTTTCTGTTTCCAATTGCTGTATTCCGAAAGCTTCCCCTGATCCAAGACAATCCAAAACCTAGACAATCAATATTAGCCTATTTGTCTCAGGACACCCATGAAACCTCATCTAAAAGTGTGATTCTTCCATGTTCTCCACGCACCAGCCTGAGTAGAGGGGGGGGGGCTTACTTATGCCAAGCTTGTTTGTTTATCCCCTTCGGGTCAATGTGTGAACCGGGACGAGACAACGCCCACAATAACCCCTCTTTCTTCTGCTGCATATTCGCTTTATCCATGCTGGTGTTTGAGTGGTCACGTTCTTCCAAATCACGAATTCCTTTGAACCGATTCTGGCCAGAGGGTGTCATCGCAGCAGCTGTGGTGTTGGAAGACGAAGAGAAGGAGCCTCTGTTGCTAACTGGTCCTCTGGCCTGAGAGCCGGTGCTATCTGCGCGACCCAATTCGGAATCAGAGGTACAGGGAGCAGTGTTGGGGGTGGTGGGTGGCGCGCTGCTATTTTGAACGCCCTCAGGTTCGATATATTTCTTAGTGCTTTGCTCTAGAGCTCTCCGCTTCTCCTCACGCTCTGTTCGCTGAAACTGGAACTCTTTATCAACTTCAGAAACCTCGTGTATCAACGCCTGAAGCTGTGGAAGCATTTCCTCGACTTTCTTTGCCGTAGAAAGGTAACTTCGGGCTTGGATGTCGGCATACTTAGTGAGATGAGACAGCACCTCTTGCTCTTTCCGGCCCCCGTGAAGGTCTTGCATGAAAGAAGAGTAGTCGAATCGCTTTAGCTCGAAGTTTCTCCGCTTTGTTTGGTATTTTGAATCGCTTTCTGCTCTTTTCTTCTCCTTAAGCGAGTCCTGACGCTGTCCCAAATAGCGTCCAACATAGGCATAATAATCTCTACTCTCATCCTCAAAATCTTTTTTCTTCGACTCAGCCTGCTTTATATCGTTGTTGTACAGTCTAGTGAGCGGGTCAATGATCAGCTTCTGAAGATTCGTCGAATTCTGTTGTTCCCAAATCAAGATTTCCTTTGCGATCTTGTCGAAATAATGTTCCAGAGCTGGCTGAATTGCATTGGCGTTGGAAGTCGATGCTTCGTTGAGGGCAATAATGAATGCGCTGACAGATTCATTGTAAGCAACCTGTCTTTGATGCACCGCTTCGGCTTTTTTCAGAAGTTTCTTCATCTTAGTTCGCATGTTTCCTGTTTTTTGTTCAAGGGCTTTCATCGTCGCGCGGAAAAGCGGACCGTCTTCTACTGCGCTCATATCCTCTCCAGGACGTTGACAGATGTCTAACTTCACTGGCACTGCGGGCGCAGCACCGCCTAGTAGGCTTTCAGTCTCGATTGGCGATTGGGGTACATCACCCAGCGCCTCCAGCTCACTCCCCTTCGACATTACTGATTGTGAAGAAACGGTGCGGTTACGTGGTGGAACAGCCAACTCAAGCCGCGGCGACAGCACTACGGGACTTGACAACGGTCGAGTCGCGTTTTGAACCCAAAAGGTAAACGTCGCAAGCGTGTTCAACCTATTCGTTCGTTCATCGTAGTCAAGAAAACTACAGCAGTTTCTCCAGCCACCACCTCTATCTTCTGCCCGTTTGGGTGGCTTCCATTTCCAAGACCAGTCAAACTGTATCGAAGGGCTGCCCTCAGTTGAAAATGTACCAACATGCTGGACGTTTGAGTTGTTTTGAAGATTTGGATTGGCGTGGAATTCTCGCGTGATGAGGTTGTCCAATTCTTTTGAGTTTGAAGCATGCGCAAATGTGACTCCCTTCAGTGTTGTATCAATAGCTTCAGGCAATGTGCTCGCGACTCCATTTATGGTTGAGGTAGTAACTGGAGGGATCTGGGTTTGTCGGATAATGAATGAAAATTTGAACATCAATTCATCTTCATTTGATAGGCGTAAGAGGAAAGAGGGTTGGCTGGTTGTCGTGGAGTCTGGATCCTGCACGCAGAACACGAGTTAGCACTGGAAGGAAATCTCCTGGAAAGATGACTATGGATAGAATTTTCTCATTCAAACATACAAGGACAAATTCAATTGGTGTGTCATCCCCTGTGTCTCTCTTTGCCGTGACGCGAGTTGCGGGGAAGCCATTGGGACCAATATGTAGAATAGCATGCCCGCGATAATTTGTGATTGTGAGTGAGGCTATTGTCACTGCATACAGAAGAAGAGAAATCAGTCAGCTTATGAAGATGTAACGCAATGAAGGGTTGCAAGAGCTGGAGCCTCACATTTTGTTTGATCCTTGAGATACAGGGCAGCGGGGTCATCAGGTCTGCTGCTAATATTCCCCATAACGACGTCCAAGAACTAACAAGCCCTTTATGGACCTGCAGATAGAATAAGCATGCCAGGAGTGAACAAACCAGATACAAAATTGTGCCGGTCAAGCAAATGTGGTGGTGTATCTGGAGTGGCTGGCCAGGTCGGCGTCAACAGGAACAACCACAAGCTTTATAAGAAACGCGTTCTAGACAATGAAGAACTGAACTACCTTTGTTGATGAAAGGGGAGCCGGATGGCAAGAGAAGTATTTAACTATCTGACCATGAAAAGAAAAAGATTCTGAAGGTCACATGCAGCTATCTGGACAGCCGTTTGAAAATGTTCTGCAAGAAATAGAGCACCAAGGCTAAGGGTTGTTGCTTGATGTGGTGGACCTGACCCTTGTCAAGTTTCGCATCACGAGGTTGAATCCTCCAGGCGACAGAGTAAATATGAATTAACAGAGTCCTCCGTTGCTTAACAGACTATCATTTCAGGCAAGCTAATTAAGCATTTTCATTCAGCAGAGGTGGTACTTTTCAGAACCCCATGCGAGGGCACAGCCAGTCTTGGGACGACGGAATGCTGGTCTGAAAATTGAAGCAGCCAACCAACAGATTGCTACTCGAGTTACATGAACAGCAGCTGAACTTCATTCCCGCCGCAGCATACAGTTGATCGCCTTGTGAAATACAGACTACACAATAAAACGGTATTATTAACTATGCTTATTTCTCCTTACATCAGGAATTAACTTGTGTTCCTTTCGCGGTAAACATTACACATTGAGATGATACTTTGTACTCTGTACGGTACAGTGAGATTGGGAACTGTGCTACTAGGGGGCGGGAAAAAAAAAAAAGAAAAAAAGAAAAAAAAGAGGAGAAAAGAAAAGAAAAGAAAAAAATTAGATTACGTACAAGTAGTTATCACTATCCTTCGGTCATTCTTGTTTTGGAATTTCTGTGAGTTTCTCGAGGCCAAAAATACTATCCGTGTCGCTTTTTCGCATCGGCATCCTAACTAACCAAACCCAAACTCCTCGCCATGAGTTGTCGAAATCCACACACAACTCATCTTCCAGAGATACTTCAAATATGGAAGCACATAGCCACCACGATTCAAACTCTCGGTCTTTATTATCAATTATTTGCGGGCTGGGGCGGCTGTGCGGGCCGGGACGCTTCTCCAGTTTCGGGGTGATGTTGTGTATCCATCGGCCAGGATTGAAAATGTTCATCTGCCACAGGGGATCGGCCTACATGGCCCGTAACCACCCACTCTTTATATCTCGCTTTGGGGTCCATCATCCAGTGAAGCTTTTGGGCAAGTGGGTTCTTATGTTTTGGCGCTTGGCCCATTCGTTGCTCGAGCTCTTCCTCATCAGAGCTCGAGATTGACGATGATGACGAGCTTACTCGTCGTTGGAGATACGCAATGTGCCTGCCGGTAGCTTTCTTCCGCTCTCTTTGCTCTTCTTTCAATTTATTCATTTCCTCTGCATCTTTTTGGCAATCCAGGGTGGTTATCTTAAGTCCTGGCAAATTTTTCTCCAAGAACTCCTTCAGTAATGGCAGCAGAGATGCATTTGGTCGGTATGTTCCGCTATCATTGTCTATTACAAGCTCATAATCTGCAGGGTCAATTGAAACAATCACAGAATCTTGTGATCTGTTAGGAGCTGCATCGGTTTGTTTGTTTCCACCATCAGGCACAATTGAATCAATGGCTTTCTCTTTATGACTGTGACGGCGATTGTGATGGTGGTGGTGGTGGTGATGATGTACTCGACGGACGAAGAACTCGCCAGAATAAGCGATATATATAGATACATCACTATGCATAGTGTGTTTGCTCAGTAAGTCGATTCCGAATTCTTTTCCTGTTTCGGTAAACCGCCACTGCCCATCCAATGTGAGGACATAAGTGAAAATTCTACCGCCTTGATCGTAGTGCACAAACTCCAGGAACTGCTGCGCGAGTTCGATACATGGCGAGGGGAACATGCCATGCATGGTGGATCGATCGAAATTGTATATTCTAGCGTGTTGATGGTGCAGGGCGTGGTTCAGGAGGCGTCCACGTATACTCTGGCCGTTAAACATCCCGGCAACAAACGGTTTAAATTCGACATATCGATGATACAGTCTCCAAGGTACGGGTCCCGTCAACTGAATTTGAATTGCTTGAAAGCTGCCGATAGAAACAGTCAATACCTCCTCAGAAAGAAATGCTCACTAGGATGTTGAGCACTTACTTATATTTGGTGATAGGTTTTTTGCCTGTCCCCGGTTGGACGGAATCCTTTGTTCCCACCAACCTCCCAATCATGGGAGAAAAATGACGGGTCCAATAGTTGGGGCCGATGGTATACATATGTCCGCCTTGATCGCCTGGGGTCTTACCCAGACATTCGACGCTGACGATAAGCTCTCCTTTAACGCTGAAGTTCTTGGAGCAGGTTGCTGCTATGGACCGTAGCAAATACGCCCTATTACTGCCAGTCTTTTTCCTAACCTTAAAATGCTGTTCTTTGAAGCCGCTCCAATTCTCATCGATGCCATCGACGTCGATGTATGCGGTACCCAGTCTATCGTCGTGGTCGGCAAAATCCTCATCATATACCCGGCACTTCAGGTGGAACCCAGACGCCGGTACGTTGGCGACGATCCACTCGCAGTTCCAAACCGGATTGATATCCTTCCTGATGGTAGGGGTGCGAAAAGTTATATCAGGATCCTGGGGGTGGCGGCGGGCCAGATCCGTGTTGAGAATCAAAAGTACATAAGGGTCTGAGGACATGGAGCCAAAGTCGCCCAAAGGGAGATTCTGGGCTCGATGAATGGTGAATTTGAGGGTGAACCCAGGCGGAGCATCGGGAATGGGCGTGTCATCAAAACCCCCAGCAGGAGAGTCGTGATCCATTGTTTCCTCCACGGCCGAAGCTGAGCTATGAGACGCTTGCCTGGAGCGAACAGCATTATGATGGGCTGAAGCCATACGATTTGCTTCAACTAGAGTAAACCTGATGTAGGAGGCCTCAAAAACAACCAGTGAACCTGGAAGAACGAGAGAGGGCCGGGAAAGACCGGCATGGGATCGGGGAGACAGGAAGAAAGCTGTACGGGAGACAAAGGGGGGAGAGGGGCAGGCAATGTCCTGGGCACCTCGTTTTTTTTTTTAAGCAGAGCACATCGCAATGACAGACACGGTGAACCCACATTATTTTCGACAAAAAGGCATACCAAGGTATCCCAGCTGGCAGCCACGGGGATAAGCGGGGCCTCAGCCACACCAGCCATTGGTCAAGCCTCAGCTCATCCGTCACGGGAAAAGCTTAGCCTGGGTGGGGACCTGCTGGGCGGCCAATCAGCGGGTGTTGCGTACGTAACCGGAGCGGCATCTGGTGAAACGTCGGCTGGGCGGGTTGGCTTCAATTCTACCAGTCGGAAGGCGTGCAGGTGGTATGGGGTGTTGTCAAACTAGATGCGATCTACTCCGTAGTAGGGAGACGAAATATTCATTCTTGTCTGACTCGTCTATCTAAGAATGATCTATCCGTCCAAATAAAAAGCAACCCTCTGGTCACATGACTAACAATTTTGTGTGGGAAAAGCATACAAGCTCAGATAACCGAGTTGCTGACTAATAGCTCAAGTAAGAGATATAACTAGCGGGTAACCACAGCCAAAGAACGGGGCTTGGCAGAATCAGCGGGGAAAGAAGACCCTGTTGAGCTTGACTCTCCCGGCAAGACCGTGACTTACTCGCAGCGATAATTGTCCGTCGACAGCTCAATGAAATCTGTAGAATCTGATGGTCGGTGGGGCACTGCCACTCCTGCTTCCTCTGTGAGTCCCACAAGCTCAAAGTTACGGAGCCTCTGCTGCGTCGTTGCTCAAAGAGATTGCAACTCAAATGAGAGTGTGGAAGGATGCTAGTGTTGTACTAAGTGTACATTGTTGGTATCTGTCCCGATAGCTGGTTTTATATACCTTCCAGATACACCTAATATGCCTTGGCCCTGCCTTGTAAATATTGTAAGGTACCTATCGCAAGATTCTTAAGCCACTGGGGTATGACGACCTTCTGCCATCCTTAGGGGAGATGCAGATTGGAGGATGACTTGTACGTCAGCCACTCCAGGTCTCACTATCTTAGACGGCGGCTACAACTCCAGTATAGAGTTAGGCCATTTGGGCGATGTATAGATATAAAGCTCTTCAACCCTCCCCTGTTGAATGAGTCCTAGAGAATAGTTACTCCCAAGTATCCCTTGAACAGATCCAAGTCAGCTAGCGCCAGATCTACCTACCACTTTTCAACATCACCCGCCCATTGCCATCTAACAAAGATCGTTTGTATATTGCTCTCTATGCACGTGGAGGCAACCCTACCATGCCAGGCAAGGAAGACACGTAAGTTAATTATGTGTGATTTCGGTGTATAATAATCAAGAAGCTGACATCCTATCTGACCTAGATATCACTGGGCCTTGATTATTGGACCGAAAGAAGCAGAGGGTGGTATGGGCGTCCGTTACCACGCAAAGGAGAGGCCGAAATTGGGAGGGGGCTCTGAATGGTTCTTCAAAGAGCGCGAATGTTCACTTGCCCCTACCAGCATGTTATTTGTTCGTATTATTCTCGGAAAGGTAGCAGACGCAAGTCGCTTAGTCGAGATTCTGCGCAATCGCCTATCCGACAAGGCCACCCAGGATGGGATTGTGTCTCCTGGGTGAAGGAGGCTCTGGAAAGGCTCGGCAGATACGAAACCCTTAGGGACGAGCGTCATTGAATGGAGCAAAGTGCGCAACGCGGCGATGGAGTATTGTCAACAGAAGAAAGACCAGCACCGATTTGATGGACAGGGCAACTTTGACATGAGAAAGGTTCCAACTTACGACTTGATGGAGCAGAAGGAAACAGTTGTATGAGTTACTAGGATAGGCTTGCTCAAATATCCCCAAAATACTTTTGACGGATCCGTTCCATCGCCAGCTCTTCAGGCATTGATTGTAGGAAATTATCAATCTCATTCACCCAAAAAGAATTTTGAGGATTGACTTGGTGGGCAGAAGTGTATTCCCAATATGACGGATACCAACCAGCTGTTTCCCAATCAATAATGCCAACAATATCATCTCCGCGAACAAGAATGTTCAGGCTGCTGAGATCGCCATGAGTAAATACCAAAGGCCAAGATTTGCTTTGTTGTTGGATAAGATTCTGAATTTGAGGATCAAGCCTGGAATCAAACTCCATACCCCTTCGTAGATGCTGATGGAAGTCCTGGACGGTCCTAAATGGACCAAAGCGTAAGGAACTGCCTGGTACGCGGCAGTCAAATAGCGATCCTCCATCAACAGAAGCAACCCCCATGCCTTGTGGAGGTTGAAGCTCCCGCATCTCGCGGATCATGTTTCACAATTGTGAAAGGAGGTTTGCCCTTGACTCCTCGCTTCGGTTTACCCAGCCACTGCCAATCATATCCCCCTGTATCCTTTCCATCACGATGTACGTCCACCCAGAATGAGTAAATGCACATAAAGCTTTTGGTACCGGTATAGATGTATGTCGCGATAAGAAAAGCATTGCTGGAGCTTCCGATAAATGTACACGGCGCCCGTACTTCACGCATAGCCCGCCTGTCAACATGAGAACGGTTCCGTGTCGTGGCCGAATATGCTTAAGTATTTTGACCGCTAGAAGTGTCGAGTACCGATACCAGACCTTGTTATTAATGGGATTGGGTAACTATGTGCAGCGAAGTGGTGGATGGCACGGCTAAGGACCGAGAACCGTGATGACCTGACATTGCGACTATATGACGGAAAATAAGTGACCTGATTTTATCGCTCGAAAGTGCCATTATTACCGTACGAAGATGTGTCTAGGAATAATCGTGATGGGAAAGGACATGGGAGTATGTATACAAGTTAATGCGTCGTGGTTGATTGATTGACTGATTGATTATGTCATCCACCACCCAGCTGCTTTGTCAGCAGGACACCCAGACCTGCTTTGGAGCCTTTGCGGTCGAACAGAGCGAGGAAGGGCGAATGGGTGCCTAATTTTATCGAGACTAACAGGGTAGTTTCAGAGCCAAGCCTTCTTCTCCTGTATATCTTTGTTGAGGAAACATACATGCTAGAGTATGTTGGCTCCAATCAGGATGCTGATACTATGACAGCTGTCATAGATGTGCCCTTACTATTCCCGGCGGCCTTGGCATGGTGGCTGCAAGCTGTCAGACGACCAGTTAACTCCTGGTTGAGAGCAGGGTCCCCGGTCCTTTTATTGATCCTAGTCCAAGCAATGTTTGTGATTATAAATAGGGAAACTAGTTGCGCGAAACATTTCCTGGTTCATCGTAGAGTCTCCAAAGAAGGCGTTCTGCCATGAGCTCGTCCGCATATGAAGGAAGCTTAAATTTGATGCTCTCGGGCCAGTCCGGTATCTTGAATGAAGTGTAATATGCCTTTGTTAGATCCCAATACTCTGGGTATCAGCCTGCAAGTGCCCAGTCAACAACTCCCACAATTCTGCCATTGCGAATGATAATATTCCGCGGGGCCAAATCTGAATGCGAGAAGAATGTCTGATAATTGTTGCTATGACAAGATGCAATATCTTCCCCAAAAACCTTAGCCGTGGTTTCCAGTGGAACGCCACCCCGTAAAAAGGAGTGGAAACTGGAATGTGACTGAAATGGGCCGACTAGTTGACTCCCAATACGGTTATCGAGAATGGCACCACCTTGCGCGGATGCAACCACTCCTTCTTGGGGGGGATGAAGTGTTCGAAGCTGAGTCAAGATAGCTGCAATCTCATTGATAATGGTTTCCTTTTCCTTGGGTTTCAGGCCGCGCATCCACAGAGTTTCAAGATCAGTGCCTTGAATGTGATCCATCATTATGTATATGCCCACTGGTCCATTGTATGTGCACCGAACTCGAGGAACGGGAATCGTGGTGTGTTCTGAGATGTAGAGAAGTGCTTCAAGTTCTGGGAGCTGGCACGGCCCTTTAATAACATGTTTCCGGCCGACCTTAACAACAGTTGGACCTAGCGATCCAAAGATTGACCGGGCTATTCTAAATTGAGTGTGAAGAATGATGGTTTTCAAATCTAACACCCATTCAAGAACAAAGTTGGCGTCAGCATTGGTCTCGTCAGGTAATAGGGTTTTGATTGAGCAAACCTTGTAATACCATCATTTAAAGTTCTGAGGGTCAATAAAATGGAATTAACAGGTGATATACATATGAAAAACAGGTTCAATAAACCAGTGTTCTCTAGGATTCTGTGGAAGAGATTAAAGGGGATTGATGAAGAGAAGGTTTGCGTGGAGCAGATGATGAATTAGTTAACGTATTCCACAACTGAGCGGGACAACCAAGCGAGCAGGACACCAAAATACACATACAAATCTCAACTTTTTGCTCTCTTATATCTTAACAAGTCTATGTCTGATCATTATAAAATGAAGAAGATACTATACAGATATAATAAACTTTGTAAATTATAAGAATTATCTAAATATAATAATTATTTCTTAAGTTATAGTATTTTATTATCTTTTTACTAGCATGTATCAAAGTATCTTCACAAATAATACGGAGTAGAGTATGTGCCGGTTAGCGGGGCGCCGAGCCCGTCGCGCGCGCCTGCCATTGGCCCGCCCGCAACGCTAGTCCCGTTGCGGTATCACCCTTGCCGCTTCGGGGATGGCACTGGCTGTGCTGCTTTTGTGACATCTCCCACTGCTTCAATGTGTTGCTTGATCTATAAAGACCTGACCACACTCCCTCACAAATGACCACACACTCTCTCCTTCTCTTTTTCTTTCTTTCTTTCTCCGTTCTGTCTCTTGTACTTGTGTGCCTCCCTCCCCTCCCTGCTTCTCCTGCAGAGATGGTGCTGTCTTATCCGGCCCCCGCCCGTGTCATCCTGCGCCCGCGGAGTCGCCAAACCGCTGTCCGATACCTCATTGGTTTCTGAGCCATCCACATCGCCCCTCGCGATGCTACTTCGCTTGGCTCTGGGATCGAGGCTACTTGCCGGGGCGTCTGCGGCCATGTTTTCCATTTTTTTTCGCCGTGCCGCATGATCAGTGGTTCTGAACAGCAGAAATTTTATTTATTGATTTGATTTACTTTACTTTATTTTACTTTATTTTATTTTATTTTATTTTTGGAAGGGGAGGGTTCTGCTCCTCTCTTTTTTTCTTGCAGCTTTCCCCAGTTGATCTGTCCCAACACTTTGCTGTCTTGAAGCCCCTTTTGTTGGTGTGGTTGCTTGCGGAGATGGAGCAGGCAGCAAGTCGATTGAGGTTATAGAGATGGCTGGTGGGCTAGCATTCTAGGCCTGGAGTGCTTGCTGGGCCTGAGTGATGGGGGTTGCATCACCTTTTGATCCACTGAGGCTGATTGCCATTGTCACATTTCTTTCCACAGACTAATAGCAAAATTGCCACATTTCATTTGTGCTGGTGTGTGCCTGCACACCAGACCAAGGCTAGCAGTGTCAGGATTGCATGCTTGATGTGTGAAGATTGCAAGTGGTGACAGCTGAACACAATTGGTGCACAGCACAGGTTATCAGGCTGCAGGTGGCTTTTTGCTTAGGATGGACACATCAGCAGTCTCAGTGGAGACTCAGGGATTGAAGGAATTCACCCCATCACTTCCTTCAAGCAGGGATGGTGAAGCAGTGGAGCCTCTGCACTGACAGCAGCTATAAGAGGTGGCTGAGCCTTCTACAGAATTGCTGGAACTTCACAATCTGTTTCTCTCACCCGCACACACTCTCCTCTCAGGCCCAATTTCCACTTCCCTTTCTGCTTCTCTCCAACCATCTGACTCAAAATTTCCCCTCTCAAATCTACAATCTTCTATCTAGATGGCCCTCACATTTCATGTGAACAACTTCAAGCCATGGACACTACAGTATTCCAAGCCATTCTTACTGTGCAAATGCCTTAATTCTTACATTCTAGCAGCCAGAGACTTCTCTCTTCCAGTCCCACATCATAATTTCTCTTCTAACACTCTGCCATCCTCCAAACATGGCCTCTCTTCAAAGCCACTGGCTGTAGTTTGTGTGCCTATTAGTGGCAATACTCAGCTATGTTTGCCATTGAGCTCTGTCTTTCAATTATAAGAGATATCTGTATGACCACCTCATTCAGAAAATCCCCAGCATGGCCCTTCATCTCTTCATGATCCAGTACATCACCTCCTGAATTTGCATTCCACTTCAGTCTGTTATGTCTAAAATGGTATTTCCAATACACCAAACATGCCTCCCCTTGAGAAAGCTGCCACAGGGACTGGTTCACTGTCATCCAGTATAACCAGCTCAGATGGCAGCTTAGAAGATCTCTTCAAGCTCCCAGATCTTCAGAACAACATTCTTATTGATCCAGCAATTCTTGCTGACAATGCATCTTGAGATATCATTGATCTTCACCAGTCCATCCAGCAATGCAATGATCTTGCAAATCTGAAGATAATTTGTTCATATTCTGAACCTCCTCTTTCTATGTTCTGTGACACCTCCAATTATCATCAGGGCTCCAGGGATGGGCCTGGCAGCTGGAATGGAAATTCTCAAACAGATGATGACTCTTGCACCCTAGATCATCAACAGATCCACCTCTTCCATTGCAGCACTGAGGTTGGTATGCCTTGCTCCTGCAACTTCCCTGGTGGTAGACAGTCCAGGCATCACAAGCAAGAAGCACAGCAACCAGAAGAACTGGCTGCAAAGCAGCTTTATGTTGTCTCTGCATCATCTACAGAAGGCTCCTTCACTGCCCTTCACTCTCATTTTCTGTCACTACAGCTCAACAAGCATCTGCAGTTTCTTTCTTGGCTGTTTGAAGGTGCTTTAGTGAGTTGCATGTCCAACTCAGCATCAGTAATATGGAGAGAAGAGTGTGTGTGGTCAGCCAGTTACTCAGCTTCTCATAAGGTTGAACAAACTCAGTACAAGCATAGCAAGAGAAGAAAGAGTCACAGAGACAGGCTGTGCTGATAGCTTCCTGAGGACAATGCATGGCTCCTGGTCATGATGAAGAAGCACTGACCCTGGTCAGAGATAGAGAGATGTTTCCCAGATAGAACAGAATCAGTGCTGCACTAGCAGAAGTCTATGCTTCAGAAAAAAGGGAGGGGGATGTGTACAGCTGAACCCACTGCTGTCACAATGGCATTCGCAACCCCAGAGGGTATGATGTAACACTAATCCATGTACATGAAAGGGATATCATGATCAACCATCAGGTGGCCTCTCCTCTTGACCAGTGCCCGGATCTTTCTCCTCAGGGTCAATCCGCAGTTTGCCACAGGTATATAACCAGTGAGACCGGGCCACCAGCCCATCGTGCTGCCATGCTTCTCTTCTGCTGTACGCAACCACAACCAAGCGATACCTACCCTTCTTGTCCCCTCACCGTGATTCGCCTGCGATAGCTGTGGAGAGGATGCTAGTGCTGCATGAGTTTCCATTTTTTGGACTTCGTCTTCGGATTTGGTTGGCTGCTGCGCCGTGCTTCAATGCCTGGAGAGCATAACCCGAGCGCCCCAGCACACACACACAGAGCGGTTAGCTCAGTGATCACACGAATGCGTACATGAACGATTCTCCTACATGCTTACCTTAATAAGACTGACAATGATAAATGTACGTCACATCCCTCTTGGGATGCTAAAACTGGATGGGTGGATGGCACAAAATGTGAGCTGGCAGAATGGGCGGTACATATGCTATCCACTGTACTTCAAGTACATGGTCTCTCTCTTGGGAGGCAAGGCATCTGGAACAGCCCAACCAATGCGCAGAATAGGCCGATGTGGAGTGGTAGACCAAGCCCTGCTCCAAGTTGTCAGTCGGAAAATGAAACAAGGTTGAAGCTGAGGGCGCATAACAGACAAAGCAGTGAAAACCTACTTGGGCTTAGACCTGCAACAGTCATTGCTGCCGATGGTGTTTTCCTCAGTAAGATACATTCGCCCAAACCGACCAGCTCTGGACGAACTCTTTTTTTCTGGAAGATGACAGTGATGCACAAGGAAACATTGCCCGGCCAATTCCCTGCAAAACATGGCCAGATCAGAATACGAGGAAAACACTTGTGATTGAGGGTCTATTTTGGGCTAGCATCCATTATTGGACAACCCCCACCTTCTTTGCCAGAGGTATATATCGGAAAATGAAACGAGGCTGGGGCCTTGGCAGAAATTGGGCCAAATGACACTGCATGCTGTATCCTTTCGAGGTGCCCCGAATCCTGACTGAACCAGGCAATTTATCACACTGCAGCAATGGATAGGCGAACGGGTCGACCCGGAACGCCACCGCATTGCTAAAGGCTTATGTCCTTGTGGGCGCTGGATCAGAGGTTCACCCAAGATGTTGTAGAATGCTAGGCGTGGAAGTCAGTAGAAAATATTTTTGTTAGAGCCGTGATCTTTCCTCTTCTCTCGCTATGGACCCAATGCCTGGCACACTCTTCAGTTTCTACCTTCAGTCCAGTTGCTCATTCAACCAAGGATCGTCAAGAAGTTCTTTGGCAGTCTTTCGCTCTTCAGGGAGCCACTTGAGCATAGACCGAATGAAGTTGAGAAATAATGTCTTCTCCGTTCCCTCTAGACGAGTCTCGAGATCCTCTAACGAAAGATGGGGTATCTTCTCATGTACACTTGCCCTCCAATCGCCTTTTTCATCACAGCGTGAGCTCAAACCACCATTCATAAACAAAGCAAAGCAAGCAATGGGGGTAACTGACCATCAATATCAAAGCACTGCCGGGTCGTCTCACTGCGCGAGATAAGCTCCTTTGGGGGAGGGCCCAGTAATGCAAATATTTGAGCCATGTGTTTGAAAGGATCATAATTCCCTTGTTCGTCCAGGAGGTTATTGAACAGATGCCTTCCCTCGAAGAGATCCCAGATCTGCCATAAGTGAGCAACGCAAAGCCACTACTTTAGACATATGGAAGATATCATATACTTACAAGCGTAGCAACATTCCATATATCCACAGGTGAGCCCCATTGCATCTCAAAGGTCACCTCCGGTGCCCTGTAAATATGTGGTTGGATGAAAGGACCTGTTTGTTGAACATGTCCTATCCTTGCCTCGCCGAGATCACATAAGACTAGATCCCCCCACTCGCCATTCTTCGGCTTGCGGAAGCCGCGAGAGCTGTAAATTGCATGCTTGTCATCTATGAATTTCCTCGGACTCGGACGTTCCAGCTCTGTTTTTTCAAAGTCCTCGAGCATTGACTGGTCAGCAATGCGAAGCATCAAATTATCTGCTTTCAAGTCTAGAGTTCTGTCAGTATGCATTGATTCTCTGTCAGTCTTGATTGTGTGGAAAAGTGCTACAGATACATACCAGTATGAATAATGTTAGCTTCTGTGTGGAGGAAATCAAGGCCAGTCAGGATGCCTTTTAATATCTCTCTGAGAAGGGATAAATTGAGAGGGTCGGGATTTAACCTCATCATATCAAGTATACTGAGATGCATCGGTTGCTGAATGAGGCATTGATGGCAACCGTAGGGACTCGAAATCTCAAACGTATCATAGAGCTCGCGAATATATCCTTGGCCTGGATGGGATGATTTGACCTTGCTGAGATGCTCATATACAGCAAGCTCCGAGCGTCGTTTTTCCGGAAATCTTTGTAATTGTGTCGAAATTTTCAACGCTGCATGAGTAAGTCCACTTCAAAGTGTCAGAAGTGAGAAACCGATAGATACTGATGCGTCTTTGGTATTCTTCATTTGGTATTCTTCACTTACATCAAGTCACGGCATAACCATACCGTTGAGTAAGCTCCATATCCTAATTTCCCAACCACTTGGTATCTCGAGCCGAAGACTTCACCAATATGGACTGGATAATATTGCTCATGCTCGTAGAATGGCAATGTCTCTTCCTCGAGGCGTTGGTCGGCATTGATAATGGGATAGAATTGACTTGAGAAATTTCTCTGCTGGTACGGCATCTGTGTCTTCTTCGTCTTCCACTGAAAAAACCTTACGCCGAGACGGCGAAAGCACCGCATGGTTCTGTTGTGCCTGTGTCTCTTGCCTGCCCAAACCAAGCTTGGCTGAGGGAAGTGAGTGAGGGTGATACTTTATTTTATTATTATTTTCATTATAGTCTTATGCAGTCAGTGACTATGAAGACTACCTAGCAGCTTATCTGTTAGGATTTACTTAGTATACATTGTAGAAACTGAAAAAAGGGAAAAATCAAAGTATTTCAAGGCAATATGAGATGTTCTTTCTCCAAAGTCAAATAACAGATAGTAAGTAACTTAATAACTAACGTATTCCACAACCAAGCAGGACTGGTCAGATGATGACCAGTCTCAATAACCAAGGTTCGGGGTGACCCTTACTAAAGATCTGGCTAGGAAGACGCTACTCTACTTCCTGAAGTGCAAAACACAGGGATGAAGAGTGTTGACTTTGCATCTTGTAAAATGGGACTGGAATGGAAATTGATTTGTCTACAGAGTACTTTTGTCAGAGGTTTAAAAATAATGAAATAACTAATACTGATGGTTTCTTCTTGCTAATTCTAAGTTAATTTTATTAAGGGAATGTCCAGAAATAAACACTATTAAATATTCTAATTAGACTTTATTTATTCTTATAGAGTATCCTCGTAGCTTGCGCTCTGGCGACGCCTTCCGCTTGTATCACATCTCTCGGAGACTGGAACGCTCACGGTCTGGCGTCCGATGTGGTTTGAAATTTATAGTAAAGTATTCGGTGACCTGTTTTGGCCGTCCGGCTGTGCCATGTGGCAGGGAATACTCTGCACCCAGCAAATCCACTTGGCTGTAGCATTCAATGCAGTAATGATATAATATCTTCTTCAATGTCAGCTTTTGTTGCTGTCGCATCTGCTGAACACTGTGGCGACTAGAACCCAGGGCACCCTGCACTGGTGAACGCATGATGAAGGATCAACATGAAGAATGGAAACACCTTTGATCCACCCACGATGGGAGCAATCAACTCTTCTATTAAATACCGGAGACAGGCCACATTTTTCATGGCCTTCTGAAAATTGTGGCCTAGCATGGAAGTCTCGGCAGGGTGATTGGTGGGGATTTTGCACAATCACAACTCTTCATTCTCTTGACATCCTCTCCTCCAGTTCTACATTCCTCTGGTTTTGACAATTTTTCGCTTGCAGCAAAAATGGGTACAACCAAAGCAGCAGTTCCTTTGGTTTCCATGGTGGTTGCGCACCAAAATGATGCCGCTGGATGATCTCACCCACATGTCAAGGAATGATCTTCAAGGGGGAACAAAAGTAGCGCCGGCCTCCAAAATTGGTCGCTGTGCCAAGTTGGGTGCGTGCCATTTTTTTGGGCGTTCTGCCAACCAGAACCCGCGTCAAGATCAGGCACGCAAGATTCTATTTTCTCCTGATCGCAATGGAGCCTTTTTGTGGGCCTAGAAGAGGCACCAGGGTTAAGATATGTGGCCAGAGTGACTGAAGGTGGGAAACACCAATGTGAAAGCCCTGAGTGATTGGAATGCAAAACTGCAGAACAGCAGAAATGTGCTATTAATGATTTGGCATTTCTCTACTCTACCTCCGGTCATGCCACTTGAACACTGGCAAAATACACGTTCTGAATAATCATGGCAGAACTGGGACTGCTGAAACAAGCAAGCATAGTCTTTCAAGACGTTGGAAAGGGGCCAATTTAATCTCACTGCAATTTTAATCAACAAGATGCCTCAAAATGCCTCGTGTATCCAGTCCTCTCTCAGGTAGGTAAACCCGCGAATCTGTGAATGAGTCCCATTTCCTGTTTGCTGGGAGAGTGGGAAATTTTGCGAAGCTTGCAGGTGGTGGAGCAACCCCACTAACCCGCTTGACGGGTAGAAAAAGTGCTGCGGACCGGCTATGGCTTCGCGTGGTGGCAAGGAGGCAAAAGTGTCCAATCGATGAAAAAGGAGAGGAGGGACAGAAAGGGCTTCTGTATCCCAAGGCAATTGACAAAGTTGGAGGTTGATAGAAGACAGTGAAGAGAGGCTCAAGTCACACAGCATCAAATATTGGCCGACGGAGGGCGGTTCCCCTGATATTTGGAATCTGCATGGACTTCGCTCGTCCCCTGTGTTGCATGCAGAGGTAGACGAGCACTTGGTTGCTCTTTGATGGATCAAAATTGGTGATAGTCGCCTTTTGCCCCGGATTCCAGGCCTAGTTAAATAGGACGATGACTAATCCTACTGTTCATTGGTGCAACACCTTTCCCCCAGTGCGCCCAGTCCCATGAGGGGGAAGGTGATGAAAACAGTCAGCCTTACTAGAAGCAAATGTAGAATTGGAATTCAATGTTCTTGCGAACAATCGGTTGGGTTTGCTAGTGATCAAGCCATAAAAAGTGATTACATCTTCGTACTTTTCTCCCAACCCCAATAGCGATGAGTAAAAGGAATACTTCTGCTGGAACCTTTCTTCATCATGCATTTTACGTGACTTGGGTCACCGCAAAGCCCGACTATGTATTTCAAACGGAAGCAGAGCAAAGGAATCAGACTAATTCAACACCTGACATTCGCTTTCTAGATCTTATACCCATATCAAAACACCAACAACATCGGCCATCTCACAGAGAGTGTGATGCTGGGAAAGATCAGCAGGAAGGCACCGAAGACAGTAGTGATAGCCTGATTCAATCCCTTCCAATGACACAGGTCTGGACTTGGATGTTACTGCTTCCTCTGCCGCTTCAGGGTCTGCTGAGTAAATGATGTATTGGGTGTAACTTCCATAGAGTGCGCGAAACTCGCCTGGCTATTCGCATCAACAAAGGATGGGGCATTAGTCAGGGAGTCTCCAGGGTCCGATATGTCAAAATTTACCCCCGGAGGTATCTCGTCAAGAGCCGAGAGAATAGTGTTCAGGTGGTTTGGGGCCCATTTCTCATATATGTTCCTCGTAAACCTGTACGCTGTCCACTTTTCTTTGCCATCTAAGGCAGTAAAATCGAAAGTATGTATCGGATGGCGATAGTATTCAGTCTTCTCTTCCTTGACGATCGCGTAATGGCCGTATATTCTCACTGTTCTGTGGTCATGCGAGATTGAAAACGCTAGGATCTCCCGATTAACCTCTTCTTCACGCTTTACAAGCCTGAACAGTTCAACAATGCCCTGCACGGCGAGGGTCATGCTGTGTGCATTCTGTCGATCGGCGACATCAAGCGCAGCGGTACCCTTCACCTCGCAGGTCAGGAAGGGGAAGTACATGTAGAAGGTAGCCAGGAAGAAGGAGCTGTAGGAGTCTGGGTTGTAGCCGAGGAACGGCTCAAATTTCTTCAGCTGGTCATCCGTGAATGCAGATCGGCCGAACCCGACCGCATAATCAGGCTGCGGGCGTGGTCCACAGAAGGGAATAGAGGAGCCCCACGTCTCATTGACACTTTCAACTAGATGCCTCAGATCTTTGGCCCCGTCAACCGCAAGAGATTCTGCCGAAGGGACAATCAATCGAGCTATATCCTGTATAACCCTTGGCTCATTTTTTCCCTGTAGCCTTTGGCAAAATTCCTCAAAGGTATCATCTCGAAATAATGTGTTCTCAGGAGTAGGTTGTTCATTCTCCAGCAAATTTTTGCAAATATTCTTACTTTTATCTGTTATCCCTAGCTCTGACTTGCGCATATAGCTGCCTAGAGTGGCGAGGACGGTTTCATAGGTCGCTCTTCTGTACTTGGCACTCTTTCCTTCCCTTGATTCTTGGCCGGGTGTATTCGTGCTCGTAGCGAGGCTTGAATTTGAGTCCTTGCGGTGAAGAGATGTCGATGACTTTTTTCTTGCAAGGAGTCGGCTCGTAGTTTCAGGCTATCCAGGCTGTGCTTTGAAATAGTTCTTCGGCCAGTGCCCGCTGACGCACCAATACCCAATCAGGTCGGCCTTGCTCAAGTTGCTTATATTAACTCGCTCTTCCGCGGAAGGGGTTTCAACAGGTTTCGACGTGAGTAATTGGGGCCGCTTATCAGATAGGTATGTTTGATTTTCGCAGTATCGTTTACGGTTGGGTCTGGTTTTCTGTTCTCGAGCGTAGTGGGAGTCGGTAGGACAGTTCTGAAATACATTAGTCAAATCAAAACAAAGCCACATAATCGAAAAGGCATACCTACAGCTGCAAGGGGCTTTTTATGGCTTAATCGCAGGCTCTTGCGACAAGATTTTGGCTTTTGCTCCTCCTTTTCCTGTTCCTCCCTTCTTGTCCGCTTGGTTTGTCTCCCTAGAATAGGTCAGCCGGGAAGTACAGCAGAGATCTTGAATCCTACCAATGTTTTCTGGTGGCGGGTGCTTTCTAGCTATCGGTGCTTCACACTTAGATCTGTGAATGCTAGGTACCATTTGATGGCGAACCATTGTAGCGCTTGAAAAACAGGGGGGGCTGCTTTCTTTATACTCCAATGTGAAGGAGAACAAGTGGATGAAGTGCCTCAATGTCCAAATGCAAAGCCACCAAGATCTCTTGGTATGTCACGTGGTAGGTTGATTCTAGGTTGAGATGCAATGCAACACATATCCCACCCTTACTGATGCATTGATGCCTAATAATGATGCCAAAGGATTCATCAAGTGAATTCAAGCATGACTGCGGCATCAGTGGATGGTGGTCAATCAGCAGGTTAATTGCCTTGGAAGAAGGAGCAGAGTCATTCAATACTGGGCTGCAGAAATGGATTGGCTAACAGGATGGGCTGTGATCACAGTGTGTCTGTCTGTACTGTGACAATCATTGTCAAAGACAGTCAGAAATGCTGTTTCCGCGTTGTTTGATGGAAGACCAAGGCAGTCAGCAGATGGCCTGTCGGGCACTGGTGACAGAATTTTCATTCAGCCCCAAGAATGGCGAGCCAATCTCACTAATGCCCAAGCAAAATGCTTCCTCAGCTCGGAATTATTTGCGCTAGAGGCAGGATCAGCGTTGCTTGTTGTTCAACCTTCTTGAGACTTTTTGACATTAGGAGAATGGTTTGAAGAGAAATACACGGAATGCCCCCAGGCTTAGTTCAAGTTGATCACAACTAGGCAAAATTAGCGTAGAAATTAGCGTGTACAGTAGTGTATTTAATACTGGAATTCTATTGGAAGCTGATGTATTTGGTGGTAATCTGTAATTTATTCCCTCTAAGCCTATGTTGGTTATATTAAAATTCTATATCTGTACGGAGTACTCCGTACGTACTTATGTGTGTCTGTAATTCCAAGCCACCAGCTGCACCGACACGCCATCCTCCCTAGAGAGGTATTTAGGTACGCAGGACAGAGTCCACGACTTAATGCAGCGTGTCCCGTAGCTGATGTTGTCCAGAGACGTTGTAGGCAAAATATGGAAACAGCATCTGTGCTCGTGATAGAACTGTCTACGGAGTAGGTCACGCGCATTCCGTATGTTGGATGCAAGCCTTTGATTCTCAAACTCCGGGCTAGCTGTTACCTGAAACTCGCTTTTCATGAAGTGAACAGTCGCAGGGCATCTTACTACACTTATATTTGTATGTATCGGGTACTCAAGAGGACATCTGATCAAACCCCATGGAGTAGACCCCACGGGGAAAAAGAGTAGCGCAATAAAACCAATATCCCTTCCTAGCAATTTCTGGTATCGAACCAGGTAATACCTGGAACCTCCCATCCATACGGAGTCATACCCGCATATTTCACGTTACAGCGTTGACGGCCTCGCCTAGGGTAACTCACCGTCCGTGACCTTTTCTCCCCGAATCCTGGACCTTTGGTATCGGTTAGTTTCCACGGAACAAGAACTGCATATCTTCCGGTGTCAATTTCTCAAGGGCTTCGCTCTGATCCTTGTTGATCGTGCCATTTATCATGTTCGCCTTCTTCTCTTGAAGCAAAACCATCCGAGACTCGACGGAATCCTCGATGCACAGTTTTGTGATCACACAGGGTCTCCGCTGCCCAATACGATGGCAACGATCTGCGCTTTGCCATTCAGCCGCTGGATTCCACCACCTATGAACAGTTTATAGACTTAGCATGTCACCCACAAAACAGAAAAATAAGTTTACACCAGAATTTAGGGTACCATACGGGTCAACAATAAACACACGCGACGCTTCTGTCAGGTTTAGGGCAACACCTCCGGCCTTGAGAGATACAAGGAATACCTCGACTTCCACGTTGTTCATAAAATAATCAATCGACTTCTGTCGCTGAACCGGCGTCATGCTCCCGTCGAGCATCACGGTGCTAATTCCTGCCCGGTGGAGCCGCCATTCCACAAGCTGCAGCATCGAGGTGAACTGCGAGAAGACAATGGATTTATGGGTTTGCTTCTTGCTTCTCAGTTTGTACAGATCATACACGAGCATTTCGATCTTTGTTGATGAGGTCCAATCCTCCATCTTTATACGGTTGATGATTGAATTCTTCTTGACCTCACTTTCTTCCTGTTCAATATCCGGCTGCTCAAAATCAATGGAGAGGGGGATGTGGCACCGAGGACAGTCTGGCTCTCCGCGGGATTCAAACGACTGAACGTACTCCTTAGCGCATTGACGGCAGAATTCATGCTTGCAACGAGAGCGGATGGCCTCCTCTGCCGCTTCATCACAGATGCTGCATACAAGAACGTTCTGGCCCCCTTCCGCATGCTTTTTCAGAATTAGATCGGGATGATTTGCAACTTGACGCATTTGCATAATAAGACCAAAAATGTTTGCATAGTTATTCAGCATGACACCACGGCTGACATAGGTGTCAAATTGTCTAGTACTGTTGGTCATAATGCTGGTCGAGAAATCTCGTTCGATTTCACCGAAGAACTCGTTGTGAATCTCAATCCTGTGGCCAGGTAAGTCAAATAGAGTCCTTTTTCTTTTTTGCCATCCTTGCAATTTTGAGCACCTACCTCTTGGGTGGTAGTTCCATTGACGCCGTATGATCCTTCTTGACTCGCCTAAGCATAATTCTGTCAGTAATCAGGCGTAGCTTAGCAAGTGCGTCTTGTCGTTTTTCGGGGGCCCCGGGAGTGGTGACTAGGATCGCGCAGTCAGTTGTAGCCTCAATGTATACGGGTAAAGTAGACTCACTAGGATTAAGAATTTCTTGATTGAATATGGAGACGTGATCGAAACCACTATCCAGTGTCAACGCGGCTGCTTAAAACTATTCAAGCTGAACAGAAAGACTTACGTATGTTTGCAGTGAGTGCAACGTTTGAGTTCATCCTGAGACCAGTGGAGCTCTTCACATGAACACTTCTTGCAAAAATAGCAAGCAAACGGCTTGACATCAAGGAAACGCAACAGGGAGAAGAATTCGCCAATGCGATTTTGGACAGGAGTCCCCGAGAGACACCATTTGTAATTAGCCTTCAGTGCGAAACATGCTTTAGCCACACTAGTTGTCCGTTGCTAGGTGATGGTTAGCAGGTGGAAAGGAGGTAGAGAGCAGTTGTACCAGATTCCTACCTTTATATTGTGCGCCTCATCTAAAATCAGACGATGAAAATGAATAGAATGGATAATACCTGAATCTTGTTAGAAATGAGGATTGGGACTGTTTTAAGAACGAATGACATACTGTCCTCTTTCACAAGTCCCTTACCACGGGACCAGCCTTTCACTTCTTTACGATGCATCGACTCAAGGCCGGAATCTAAAGAATGTCAATTCTCCTGGACTCGTACAACCAGGGGGATAGCAAGACAAACGGACAGGATATCATTATGACATCGTAAGACTTGAGTTCTTTAACTGTTACATTTTTCACTTTGGAATTGGAGCCATGATAGACAAAAACTTTCAATTTACCGTCGGTATAGGACTGGATGGACACATAAGCCTTGGGCCTGAAAGGGGGGCTGAAATCTGGGTTACAAACCTTAATTTCTGACTGCCACTGCATGAGTGCGACTGGGGGGACAACGACAAGAGACGGAATGCCAACGGGATAATCAGACATGAGAAGCGAAACAGCCTGGATGGTTTTGCCCATTCCCATCTCGTCCCCGAGGAGGCCTCCCTTCCATTGTGACTGCTCCTGCTGTCCCATCCAACTCAACCCTTCAAGCTGGAAAGGCTTGAGTCTTCGAGATATGCCCGTAGGCTGCGGTGCCGGCGTAGGCGTAATCACTGGAATGCCTTTTAGGTCTTCCCACATTGTAGCGACATTTGGGTGCTGTTCTTCGAGCTTCTTTCGCTCCTTTTCAGCCTGCAAAAATCAGCTGCTTGCTCGCCATTTTCAAGGACACAGAAAAGCCTTACTCGTGTAAGTCGCTGCCTCTGTCGCCGTGTTGACCGAGTTGAACTTGGGCGGGAGATCGTTGCATTGGGAGTATCGGTGTCTGACTCTTCTTCTGGATGTGAAGTCTCGGAAAAGTCGGCAGGACCTTCCCACCCATCATCAGAAAGGTCGCTCGAATCATCTAGAAAATCCAAGCGAAGTTCACGGAGAAGGGGTTCCGTATCATGGACCGCCGGCAAGGGATCCCCGCTCGATCTACTCCTTGTATCAAGTGGGAGCCTCCTTGCCCCTGGGCGTTTTCGGGACCGATTGGCGGTCATTGTATGCGCAGATGTAGAAAAAGAGGAATCATCCAATTCATCATCATCTTCATCGTCTTCATCAGTAGAGTTCTTTATCTCGTTTCTTCCGTTGGAAGTTGATGCAGAAACTTTTCTCCGCTTAACATCAATGTTCTTCCCGTACTCCTCTGCCTGGAGTGCCAGAGCTAGACGGGCATCGGCACACTCTTCAAGTGGCTGCTCCCCAGTCAACTCCGTAACATTTCTTTTACGGCGATATCCAAGCGTGAAAGAGCTATTTCGGAGTTCCAAGGCGCGAGCAGAGGCACTTATTCTTTTTGGGCGGCCTAATGACATACTGTCCGAGGGGACAGGAGTAGGGTGCGTAGTTGTAGCCGGAGTACTGCACCCATTTGCACTGATCTGGGCGCTTTCACTCCCTGAACTCGACGACGGTGAACCAGTAGAAGAAATGGTTGCTCTTGGAGGAGGTATCTCAACTGCGAAGGATTGAAGCCTTGAGGACCTTCGGGTCTGCAACGATCCCCTCTTCAAATTGAAACCTGCCATTGTATCTTGTTCGCTAAAGAATTGCGAAAAAGGTTCACTTCGGAATCTCCTGAATGCTTTCCTAGGACCCGTTCTGGTCGTCAAGTTCAGCGACTAGGCCAGAAGTTTGACAATCAATGTCATAAATACCTTTGGTGGTGACCCCTCCTTTGAATTCCAACTAATAGTTAGCTACTGCAACTTCTTTTACCAAAGAAACTCCCTTCAGTGGATGGGATCTTCCAGGGAGACGACGTAAGTGAGACCGAATAAGGGTATTTCCTGGTCTGTGAAAGAAGGGCGCTGGCAAGGGGGGGAGGAAAAAAATCAAAGGCAAATTAATAAATAAGACCGGCCATTCACCAATGCTCCGTCATTGCCACGGACATGAGTCTATAGGGAAAAGAGTTGGCATTTCAGAGCATCCCTGGGCAAATTCAGATACTGGCGTTGCTTGACCTGAGTTCTCAAGGGGCTCGATGGTCATGAACCAATGACTGCAGGTTTTCTACAGCGAGCAACAGAGCCCGAAGGTTCGAAAAAGGGCGCTGGCACTTGGCCGCACGTCGCTCAGACCCAATCAGGCGGCTCGATCGCTCGAGATTTGCCCAGTTGCTGCCTGGCTGGCGTTCTCAAACCAACGCGTGAACTGAAATTTCGGAACACGCGGCGCGAGGTCACGTGGCCAAAAATCCAATTAAGGGAGGGAGTTTCGTGTGAAAGCAGAGACCGTCCGGTCTGCAGAACTCTTCGAAATCTCGATTTTCTCTTACTTTGGGTGTATAGCAACCGGGGGGTGGGCGAGATTATGCCAGTTTGAAATGTGAGTGGAGCCTGGTCCTGGTGGATGATATGGCTATAGCTCCATCATCTATCCTGCCATACTTAACTAGTTGATGTGTCTTTCCTCGGCGCTCCGCCTGCTTACCATTGAAAAGGGCGAACAATAATACCCGTCCGAGGAGGAATATACAGGGCCCGTATGTATATCATATCAGTTACCGGTTTAAATACCGTCAAAAGCTCACGAGACTGCTGGTAGACATTCGGCTCTAACGGATTTCCTCGCCGTGAGTTTTACACCGAAAATTGGACCCCGCTCACGATTGGGATCGCTGCCGCTTGATGGAGATGGGCTGACTGCAGATTATTAACGCTAGTCGCATAATATATCTGCTGCTGCGATTCGTGATAGCTATCAGCGACGCGTTGCAGACGCGGCTCAACAAAATGATGTCGAAAGCACGGTTGATACGCCTGAGGATGAAGAGGAGGACTCTGTCTACGAGGAGGTCGAGGCTACGAGAAAGCGGGCTCGTAGGAATCTCGCTACCGCAAAAGCCAATGCAAAGAAGAAGCATAAGGCTAAGCGATCTGGAGATCATGAAGACAGCGACGACGACGACGACGAGCTTCTGGAGACAATGATGTATCAGAAAAGAAAAGCGGTCCCAGGGCAGCTAGCCAACTGTGAAATTTGCAGCAAGCGATTCACTGTCACGCCCTACAGTAAAAGTGGACCTGAAGGCGGACTCTTATGTACCCAATGCTCTAAAAAGCAGACAGCAGAGGAGAAGAAAGCAAAGGCAAAAGTTCGCAAACCTTCGAAAAGAGGGCGCCGCCAAAACTATAGCAACTTACTTGACGGCATTGCGCAAAGTGGTGCTTTTAGCCTGTTAGAAACGTGTATTAAGGTAAGGAAGCTTAGACTGAATAGGTTGCACTTTGAACCTTGACTTATCCGTTAACGGCCTTGTAGAAAGTGGCGGATAGCATACATGATATCGACGAGTTTGGCGATTTGCCGGAGGGTCTCCTGCATCGTTTAAGCCAAATTTTATCAAAGAGGCGCGTCATGACTCCTAGGACATTAGAACTTTTCCTTCGGCGCGATGTTAGCAGCATTGACATCTATGACTGTGCCAGTGCGTTCCGAAGCCCAGTTTACCCACTTGAAAAAACAATCAGTTTGCTAACGTGGACGCAGAACTCGAGACAGAGGACTTCCAGAAAATCTTCGCCTTCATGCCGTATCTCGAAAGGGTCAATCTTCGTTGTGCTGGTCAATTTAAAGATTCCACTTTGGAGTACATCACGGGTAGAGAGTCCCATATTAGGGAGTTGCAACTCGACTCCTCTAATCTTGTGTCGGATGAATGCTGGCAAAAGTTCTTTAAAACTTGTGGCCATAAGCTGGAGAGCCTGAAGCTGTCAAACCTGGACTGCTCCATGGGAGACGAAACCATTGAACAGATGGTGAAGAACTGCCAGAACCTACGTCGTTTGAAGATAAAGGAATGTTGGAGACCCGGAAACGAGTCGTTGAAGTCGATTTCCACCTTAACGAGACTCGAGCATCTGTCTTTGGACTTTATGCAGGAGACAGATTTAGAGACCCTCGGTCAACTCATTCACAACGTTGGGCCTAACCTTCGAACGCTCTCGCTGCGAGGCTTTAAAAATGCAGACGACCGTATACTGGAAGCAGTTCATCAGCGATGTAAGCGGCTCAACAAGTTACGATTTGCAGACAACGCTACTTGTACCGACAAGGGCTATGCACATCTCTTTACCAATTGGCAAGCTCCCCCGTTGGCTTTTATCGATCTTTCCGGTGCTCGCCATATCGATAACGCGGTGCCGGATGGGCCTGAGGAGCCGGTTGGTCTTGCGTCGGAAGGTTTCAAGGCACTGATGGAGCATTCCGGCGATAAAATCGAAACGCTCAACATCAGCTCTTGTCGTCATGTGTCATTTGATGCCTTTGCCTCAACCTTTGATGAAAGTCGAACTTATCCCAAGCTAAAGGAGCTAGACATCTCCTTTCACACCAAGGTAGACGATTTTCTTGTCAATAGCATTTTCAAGTGCTGCCCGGCATTGAGAAGGCTCATCGCCTTTGCCTGCTTCAATATCACGGGCGCCAAGGTCCCTTCTGGGGTTGCCCTGATCGGTGGAGTCAATGCCTGTAGCTCAATTGCTATCGAAGATGGCGTGGCATGATACATTGGCTGGCGATGGGTTCACTCGAACTGTGTCGAAATAGAGTGGTTGGCTCCATGGCCGGTTTTTCAAACGCTTGGTGCATTGGTGGAAGTTAAGCGATAGTAAGAGTAAACTACAGACTCCGAACACTCGGTGCCTGGGAGACAAGCCAAGGATGCATGTACTCCGTATCAGTACATTTATCTGTGACGTACCCCGTAACCCCGTAGAGGTATTGTTGTTCAGCATATGAAAGCGATAAATTGGTATTCAAGAGCAAACGGCTATCCTGAATGCCAGGACCGATTGTCACTATCCGCTAAATTATATAACTATTTCCGGGTCTCCGGGAAAACACGGTGTTCGGGGATCTCCTCTCTCTCCGGACACGAAGAAGGGAGAACCATCCTAAGAATAACGGAACCGGGGGGGGTGGGGGGTGCGTGTGTGTCTGTGTAACCGCTTTGCCAGAGTCGATGATGCCTGGTCTGTGGGCCAGCTCGGCAGGAACTTCCGCACGTGAGAGTGTCTCTGCCATCATTGGTGGCGAACTGGGCCTTTCGGGCTGAAGATGGGAGGCCCATCGGACTATTGGACGGCCACGAAAATAACGAGGACAGGATGGCAGGGCAATTCTAGAAAAGCACTGTGCATGCAGACGGGCTGTGGAACTGTTGTTTAGCAGCAGTTATTTGGTGTAACAAGCAGCATGTCGGAGAGTGAATGAGCCAGAAACAGGCGCTAACTAACAATGAAGCAGCCAAAAGGCGCTCGAGACAAGGGAGGGTTCCTCAGCATTTCGCTGGCCCCATTGGTGCTGTGTCAGGGACTCCCGAGCTTGCCACCCTCGCCTGCCATAGCCTGGCTCATCCTGACAACACCATTTGTCCAAACCGCCACTTGAGGGAAAAAAAAAAAGAGACTGCGCGCGCGCAAAGAGGACTCGGCTCGCTTTGTTTTGTCCGCCAGGATGGTTGGCATCATTGTTCTTCTAAGAATCACTGACGATTGTTCATATCCTTGCATTTATTTTAATTTTTACTCGTTGTTATTCTGTATTTATTTCTGATTTGATTTTTTTTTTTTTTTTTTTTTTACGACTTCCTTTGTAATAAAACATATTGACTGTTTTTCTAGCTTGATTTCATTCTTGTTATTTTTTTTATCTTCACCTCAACAACACAAGAGGTCCAGATCCTTGTGCAGCTTTCTTTTACATTCTCCTCTTCTTTCAGTTGACTTGTTAGCTCCTTAGCATCGTCGCATTGTTGGCCTTGCCCTTTTTCTTCTTTTTTTTTTTTTTTTTTTACGACTTCCTTTGTAATAAAACATATTGACTGTTTTTCTAGCTTGATTTCATTCTTGTTATTTTTTTTATCTTCACCTCAACAACACAAGAGGTCCAGATCCTTGTGCAGCTTTCTTTTACATTCTCCTCTTCTTTCAGTTGACTTGTTAGCTCCTTAGCATCGTCGCATTGTTGGCCTTGCCCTTTTTCTTCTTTTTTTTTTTTTTTTTTTTTGGGTGCCAGTCAGGTTAGTTAGTTAGCCCGGCCAGTCCCTGGACAGCCCATCTTAGTCCCTTTCGTCCCAAAACACATGCATGGCTGACTGGCTGTCTTCACAGAACAGCCGTCAATAATCATAATCCTCCTCACATCATCGCACACACTCCCTTTCGCCGCTTCCAGTATTACATAGTTCCCGATCTAGGTTAAGATTCCGGGTTTTGAATCGCCTCTTTCCAAGTCTTCTTGAATTAAGTTCGGATCTGCTGCTTTTCTCGCTTCCAACCCTTCTCCTTGACTTTCGAGAGTGATCCACCTCCACCTTCGGGGTTGTTTGGGGGGGAATCGGGTTGACCTCCACGCTTTTGCAAGGTATGTACCGCTTGACATCTTCGTCTCTTTGCTCTCAAGGGCTCCGCTCCCCTGCTGAGGCATAGGCACTTTTTGTTTTCGGGCATTCAGACGAGTGATCTCGAGACCTCTCTCCTTTGAACCCTACAACCCTGTCCTTTCCACTTCCCGCTTCCCAACTTTCGACCTCTGCACTCCCACAAAATCCCATCGCATCTCCTGCGCACAGCTCACTGATACAGTTGTAGCCTGTTCAGTCGAATTCTCTATAGATTCATTTTCTTCTTCGCGCCTCCTCTCCTCCCCATGTCCTCGTAATTTCTGGTTGGACAACATTCGACGCTTCACCCCCTTGACTGGGTGAGACAATTGGCCGGGTCGTATTATTTTGCCGGACTTCTTCGTTCGATCGTTGCATCTTTCAAGCCCACTGCTCCTCCCCGAACGTCGATACCTTCTAATCCTTCTCCATGCCGATTAAACTGCCCAAAAGTTTTGCCCGTCGAAAGTCTTCAGGAAATGCGCTGGAAGATGTGAAGCCCCCCGTTGAACCCTCTTTTCGGGTATTCGAGCGACCACACGGAAGTAGCAAGTCGTTTGATGGAACTAGTGCATTGCAGCGCCTAGCTGGAAACCAAGGAGAAACGCCTGTCGACGACCCCTATCCGGACAACATATTTGCGGGCATAGAGAGACCGTCTACAGCCCATCAATATGCTCCTGATACGCAGCCGGCAAGGGCCCGTGCCGGAAAGTTAACGGGCTCGACCGGAAGTGGGGGAACCCACAATTCCTCGTCTACTAGCAGATTATACGATAGCTCTTCTTCGGCCAAATTCAGTTCCTCGTCCACCTTACCTTCAGACAATTCTGCCCATGATCTCCCTGTTCCCCCGATACCTGAATCGTCATTCGCATCTGCATTGCGCTCCGCTGGAAGAACCTTTTCATTCGGCACAAAGGCACCGAGGTTACCCCCTACCCAGCATGGTACTCCGCGACACAGTGAGTCCACTGCCAGAGAACGCGCAATGACAACAAGCACCACCAGTACGGCCACTCCCCCAAGACTCTTGGAGTCTGACTTGAACCTCGAGTCGTCGGAGGATTTTTCAAATATTTTTGACAATATCGGTAAAAGGAAGAGCCAACTTCTAGACTCGAATTCTCTTAATCCATCAAACGTATGCCCCCTTCTTCTTCAGATCCATATTCCTTTTCGTGATTACCGGCTAATCATTTTGCCTACAGCAACTTTCCTCTAGCGACGGTGCCCCCGTACCTCCGAAAGGCAGCCGCCCGAATGGCTCATCGTTGCTATCTCCCATTCATACTAACCGCCATTCGAATTCGATACCCGCACCGTCCCCGAGCGATAGTCAATCCTCGAGTGATGGTTTGATCAGACCCAGTTCTCCAATTGAGACAAATTCTGTAACATCGAACCGTCTAGCCCAACAATTGGGCAAAGTTCGGTTTTCTGATGAGGACAGTCGAAACCCAAATCAGCCCAGTTACTCAAGTGGCAGAAGCCTAACAGCGAACGCCAATGCTGGTTACACCGACGCTTCTTTCAGCTCCAGCAATGCAACATTGATTCCCAATGGACCTTCGCCACCAGCCCTCGCGGCTGACAATCACGGACTCGCTGACCCCGAAGTGTCGTCCATGTATGCTAGCGACAATGATTTTACCACTATCCCGCTCAATCACCGAAATAAGCAGCCTACATCGGCGTTATCCAACGTGAACCCCGTCATTCCTAGGCAGAATGAACATTCTCTGTCGGCAGAGGCCAGCCTTGCAGCGCGATACGAGGAAGTTTCTTTGAAGAACGACGAAAAGCCGACAAAAGTGATGACACCAGCCCAATTTGAACGGTATCGGCAGCAGAAGGAGATGACCAGGCGACAGAGTAACGCATCTACGTCCGATTCCTCGGGCGACGACAGTGAAGAAGAGGAAGAAGAGGACGAGGCGGAGAAAAAGCGCCAAGCAGCCAACCAGAGGAAAAAACAGGAGGCCCATCTGTCGGTCTATAGACAACAGATGATGAAGATTACTGGAGAACAGGCGAAATTGACCAACCTTGAATCGAAACGCGATAGTTTGGAATCCACGGGTCCATCTGCGAATCCGAACCACCAACCAATGCTTCCAGCAGACAAAGCGCCTGCTGGAAAGAGCGGTGATGGTGACGATGATGACGACGTTCCTCTTGCTATTCTAGCTGCGCATGGATTCCCAAACAAAAATCGACCTCCCTCACAGTTGTTATCTTCAAATTCTAATCCAAACCTTCGATCTTCCTATATGCTTACACCTCCTTCGGTTGCGGGCGACACACCTCCGCCGAAACGCAAGGCTCTCCCTGTTTTCGCTCGTAATCTTCCCCAAGACCCATATTTCGGTGCAAGCCTTGTCAATCCACCCAACAGAGAATCTTTCGCTTTGGGTGGTGGTTCCCCCTCCGTTTACGGAGGGCCAACGCCAACGGTGCCACCTGGAGGTCTGGTAGGGATGATCGCGAACGAGGAACGTGCGAGAGCAATGAGGAGGGGTAGTCCAAACGCTCAAGTCAGTTTTGATATGCCAAACACCTCGCAAGGCATGAATCACTTGAACCCTGGAGGTATTGGGCCTACGTTATTGTCACAAATTGGAGGACAGTCGAATGGCATAGGTCCCGGCGACCAAAGTCAAATTCAAGTGTCACAGCAGATGACTCAAATGATGCAAATGCAAATCCAGTGGATGCAACAGATGATGCAGATGCAAAGCATGCAACTTGGGCAGCCGATGCAGATGAACAACCCAAATCTTTTACAGCCTCCGGGCCCAATGCAACGCCCTGTGTCCATGGTATCGAACATGAATGCACTTCAACCTGGTCCTCCTCAAGTCGACCAGAGAACACTGAGCATGCTTGATCCGTCCTCCGCCCAGTGGAACAGACACTCCTCGTTCTTCCCGGCAACCCAGGACACGGGAAGCACGGGCACTAATCTCGGAATGATGGGGAACCCCGGCTACGCGCCTTCAGTCGCACCTTCGGAGCGGAGCAACGTAGGAACAGCATCGCGATATCGACCTGTGTCCACAGTTCAGCCCCCGCAACCTAACCGCTCATCCACCTTTACGGCGTCCACACCTCGCCCATGGCTAGATGAGGCACGGAATTCCACATTTACATCGTCCAGCCCGCAGCCAAGATTAAATCATTCGGGCGCTACTATCAGACCAGTCAGTGGACTGGTTACATCCGCTCAAAACGCCAATGATGATGATGACGATGACGAAGGTTGGGCAGAGATGGCCAAGGCCAGGGAAAAGAAGAAGAGCGGATGGCGATTCAAGAAAGGCTCGTCGCCGCTCGGTGATCTGTTCCATTCTAATCAGATTTAAGAGAAGATATTGGAGTTAACGGTTTCGAAAGGAATTTTTGTTCTCAGCTGATGTTGCGCAATCTATGACCAAAAGACGGGAAGAAAAAGGAAAGACCTTGCAAAAAATCTTGATGTTATCATATAGCCGTATGCTGGACTTGGAATGCTGCCCCTTCCGTATCTCCATCACCCGTGCCTCTCCTTCTCGTCCTTCTTTTGGGTTGCGCTTTGACCTTGTGGGCTTTTGCTAATGGCCTAGTATTGCTTTAATCCGGACCGTCCCGTTCTCCTTCCTGCATAGAAATATTGGGCTCCTCCCCTAGTACTCTGTGTACCTAATGTATGTACAGTTTATTAATATATACATACGCACCACGATCAACTTAGAGCATGGCGTGGGTTGTCATATTCTCAAGAGTCTTCGCATCTAGGTTCGGCAAGCTGGGGCGGTACAACCACAGAAATGTGTGCCGGTAGACCTCTCCGAGTAGTTTGTTCCGATCAACTATAGTCCCACTTCATGGAACTGAACACTCATCTGGTCCAAGCACGGAGAAAAAGAAGCAAAATCACACTGTATGAAGAGCTTCTCAGCGCCTATCCCGACAAAACCATCGCTGATTGATCTAGAACGCCGTCTATAATCTCTTTTGCCGAGGCGACTTGCTTTACCAACCCGACCCCCGTCCCAGCGTACGTCGTCATCCGACCATTAGGGCCCCATCCTTCATCACCCTTTTTCATTTCGAGTGCGTACAGCCTTTGGTTCTCCTCGTCCGACATGCCCTTTTCCGCGTCATAGAAGCTCTGATTGAGAATACCACGGCCATCGTACTCCTCGGGCCACTCGTTGTAACCTCTCACGCGGTCGTAGACCGTTGTTCTTCCCGTAACAAGCCCACCGTCTCGGACACGGAGCACTTCATTTCTATAGCCCAGGGCAATATTCGCTTCTTCACAGGCGAGGAATCTCGTGCCCATGGTTACGCCATCTGCACCCAAGCACAGAGCTGCAGCCATGCCACGCCCATCGACTATCCCCCCTGCAGCGATGAGCGGAATGTCCCCGAGCCCGTCGGCGACAAGGGCATCTTTAACTTCTGGCAGAAGGGAGATGATACTCGCGCACTGTTTTAGCCCATGACCGCCGGCATCGGAACCTTGGATAACAAGAACATCGGGCTTGACAGTGTGTGCGGTGTCTAGGGCGTCTGTGACGTTGCCGACCTGGACCCATATCTTGGTCCTGCCGCCCGTGACTGAGCGGACTTGTTGCGCCCATTGCCCGTATATTTCTCCGGAGGGACGGGCGGCCCCAAACAGCCATACCGCCGCGGGAAGGTATTTTCCGATCAGAGGGATCGCATGGTTGATGTCAGCACCCCAGTTCAGAAATCCAACGCCGACGGGCAAGATATCTTTGTCAGCGCCAGTAAAATTGGGGTTGTCTGCTTGGTGCTCGCGGACCAGCTTCGCTGTGTTTTCGAAGCTGGTTTCCAGGTCTGCTGTATCGAATCCGGCTGCCAGAAAGCCAAATCCACCGGCACGAGACACCGCAACGGCGAGGGGGGGGTGGGCGATACGCAGCATCGGTGCGCTTGTGATGAGAGGGGTCTTGGTCCATGGGTAGGCTGCCGTGAGCGCGGCCTTTGTGGTTCTTACGGCCATGGCTCACAAATCACTATTTCACAATTTTATATCAAGTATGGGCTCCTTGAACTTTTTTGAGACTTTTCTTTCGTTCCAATTAGGTTTTTCCTTATCTGCTTTGGTAACCGGGGAAGGTATTTCTATTTAAACAATGAAGGTGGGTTGTCTCCGCTATGGGTCGGCCAGCTTGTGATAGGAGCTTAAGAGTCCGTAAACTATGGAGTAATGATTCATGGACAAAATTTCTCCGTCTGGAGGGTCCCCCGGGCGCCCTCCGCAGTTTCACCCACGGCTCCCACGCAGGTGCTCGGTCAAACTCCTGCAGGAGCAGTGTAATTTCTTGTCACTGGAGAGTTATTTGTCAGCCAGCAGCTGGAGTCGCGGAGCCTTCTCGTGTAATTTTTATTATTATAGCAATGTTTGGCCTTTTGGTCTCTTAACGCTTAAGAGATGGGCATAAAAAGGGGTGCTCTCGCACGTATCTCTGGCAGACGGAGGTCGCCCGCCGGACCGCCGAGCGCATCGCCGATTCGCCGGCCCGAACCACAACTTGAGCCTCAGCCACGAACCGCTCCGCGATCCAGCCACAGCTAGCCAATTCTGTACTAACTAACGTAATTCACCACCGAGCGGCTCACACCACCGAGCGGCTCACCAAAATACACATACAAATCTCAACTTTTTGCTCTTTTATATCTTAACAAGTGTATGTCTGATCATTATAAAATGAAGAAGATACTATAGAGATGTAATAAACTTTGTAAATTATAAGAATTATTTAAATATAATAATTATTTCTTAAGTTATAGTATTTTATTATCTTTTTACTAACATGTATCAAAGTATCTTCACAAATAATAGAGTTAAATCAATCAAATTGATAATACTGTTTACTAAGTGTCTATATACCCTACATCTAAATTCTAAAGTCTATATTCAACAATGTTGTTGAGATATAAAAGAGCAAAAGGTTGAGATTTGTATGTGTATCTGGTGAGCCGCTTGGTGGTGTGAGCCGCTCGGGGGTGAATTACATTAACGTAATTCCCAAGCGAGCCGATCACCCAAGCGAACCGATCACCAAAACCACCATATCCCAACTAGTTAGTTTTGAATTCAAATTATCTCAACACAACAACACTCAATTAAATTCAATTAAATTACACTTGATTGAGAACATCTTAATCTTGTATGCTCAAGAGTGCCACAATTACTACAGTATTGTAGAGCTTGTTGATGTAGAGCAGGCTCAGATAGTGAGAGATTACAGAATTAAATAACTGCTGGTTCAACAGATACTGCAGGCTCTGCAGATATTATAGATAAATCTAGAAAACTTTCAACCTCTTTTCTAGTTAAATTTCCTACTTCTTGTTGAATTTGGCATCTAGATCTCTTGTGTTTTTGCTTTTCTATCTTATTTATGTTGAATATATTCTGGTATTACTTCTTCATAATTATGGCACTGATCATTCTGTATTTACAGATCTTGATAATTTGATCAAAATCTTCTATAAAGTCTTGAAACTGATTCTTTACTAAGCTCTTGATCTTATTTGTCTGCTGGTATAATTATCAAGAATTACTAGATATTTAAAGCATTCAGAATATGATTGAATTACTAGAGCTGCTGTATGAGAGAGTAGAGATCTGTAGTTGAATATCCAGCTGCTGAAGAATATAGTTAGATTGAAAAAGCATTATTTCAGCTGTCTTAAAGCTATTTTGAATAATCTAAGATTTGAAGACTGCAGTGTGTACTGTAGAGTAAGTATCTAGAAAATCTGTCTTCTGAATAGCATTAAATTCAAGCTGCATTTACTGCTGAACTAGATCTTCATATACTTGCTTTAAAACTGAGAAAATACTCATATCTAGTGGCTGCAGAAGATGGAAGAAATAAAATAGCATGTAAAGATATATTATAGTATTATTCTTGCAAATTTGATTAAATTCTAGAGTAAGATAACTGCTGTGCTTATCCAGAATAAGAAGAATAAAACTATTAACTCTATATAGATTTGTCACAGAAATAAAGACCTGTTAAAGCTATTTAAGATTTATTTTATCAGTAGTTCAGCTATTTAAACTAGTATCTAGTCTTCAGTCTTCTGAAAGATCTTCAAACCACTCTTTCAACAAGTTCTGATCTTTAAAAATAATGTAAAAAGATAGAGTTTATTCTGAAGCATTTACTGCTTTAATTATAGTCACTTACTTATAATTACCAGACTGTAGAAGCTTTGCTCTGCTATAGCACTCACTACTAGTAATAATCTTAGTAGTGATGCAGAGTCTTATAGCAAAGCCAGTCTTATTAAAGTTGTATATATTCTCTAGCAGAATTCTATACTTAGTAATTGTATTCTTCAAGATCTTAAATTAATTCTTCATAATCTGCTGATCTTTGCACTTAGCATGGTTATGATTATAATATCTGGAATAGCAGCTTTGGAGCTCTGAACAGCATGCCACTAGATTTAACATCCAGTTCTTGCCAATATGTAAAGGGGGATTGATAGAGGTGGTAAAATTCTGTATAGTAAGAAGATAATTAGCTGTATCTTCAACTAATACAGATCAGAGAGAAATTTCTTATTTAGCTTGATCTAGCACTCATTTAACTAGTCTATCTTCTTCAGCAGAAGATAATTTGTGTGAATTTGTGTGTAAATTCACCTGTGGAGCTTGTTATTTTAGCTGGTTATAGAGTGTAGTGTAGAGAATATTATAGATTCTAGCAGCTTCACAAATAGAGATAATTTCTTGATTTTTAATAGATTTTATTGTGAGTTCAAGTCTTCCCTCTCTCTTAATTAAATTCAAAGAATTTTTATTGTGAATTGGTGGCATAATTGCATGTTGAAGTGGAAGAGTTCTTTAATTGAGTGGAATTTTGAAATGGTGATCAGTTCACTTGGGTGATCGGCTCGCTTGGGAATTATGTTAGTTAGTATAGTTTACATAAGCAATATTACATAATTAGCGCCTCGCCGCCTTTTTGTGCTTTTGTCTCTGCGTCGTGCGGCAAAAAGAAAACCGCCTCTGAGGTGCGGAAAAGGGAGGATTGAAGTTTTGATATCACGCTTGAAGAGCCTTTCCTCCCCGGAGTTGTATCCAAGCATATCAAGCAGTGCTGCGCGCTGCACCCATCGTCCCCTATATCCTATCTCTGTCGGATCTGATATCTTTCCTCTGATACCCCATCCCTAAAGTCTGAGAGTATTGCGTCTTGGAATACGAAAATACGTATATCATCGTGAACTCATCATACTTTTCCTGCTCTTCGTAGAGTGTCCAGGGCTCCAGGCTCTGCACACCGCATTGCTTTCCCCTTTCATGTCCTCCGGGAATTTTCGGTGAATAGACGACTTCTACGCTGCCGGATCTCGTCTGCTTCCCTTTTTGTATCAACACACTCAACCCAGCTTGTTCACCTTTCGAGGACAAGTACCTCTTCTTGTTTTGATTTTGGTTATTGGCTTCCATTTATATTTCTCAAAATGAATGCCCCTGATAGGTAAGATGGAACTTTATTTTCTTTCTATTTCTTTTGCTCTCCTTTACTCTGGCCCTGGGAGTTGGAAATGGATGTGCGGGCATTTAGAACAGAGAGAAGGGCAGGTTCCTTAAAGCCCCATGCGCATGCCGAGCTTTTCTAAACATCCAGACTTGCCCGCCTGGCTTGTTCCCCGCTGCCATGTGGTTGCACGCAACTCACTGTTTATTATCTCTGGCATCTTTCTGCCTTGTTGCTCTGCAAAATTATCATCACAGCCACCCTGCTTTTGTGCATGATATTCATCACCTTGAACTCTCCTCCACCCCTTCTCCTTCTTTTTTTTAAAAAAAATATATCATCCTAAGTCAATATGCCTCGCCTTTCTCGCGGCTCTCAGTCAGGTCAGCGCTCCACAGGGCCGGCCGACGATGACCGCCCCTTTGTCCGCCAGTTTTTCGACCATTCAGGCGCAAGTTACCGTCACAACCCATGCAAGACCAAAGTTCGCCCTGCAAAAGACATGGTCAATCCGTTAGGCTCTTCCTTTTTCTTCTGTTATGTTCTGCTCTCACTGCTATACCACTCTACAAACCCATGCCGAAGTGATCACATTCCTTGAAAAAACAGTTTTGTTTTGAAGTTACTTTATCCATTTGAAAGTTTTATTTGATTGAAACGCGCTTGGATATCCAAACGCTAAAAGAAAACCTCTGTCTTGATATCTAGATTTGAGTCTTTCGTCCTCGGGCCGGGAGAGAAGAAAGTCGAGATGGAGACTGACACCCGTAAGTCCGTTACACTTCTTATTGAAAACGCACAACCAGGACTGATTTTCTATCTAGGCGTCCCATCCACCGCGATCTTCACGTTCAATAAGGAAGACCATACTCTTGGAAACTTGATTCGGTCTCAGCTTCTCAAAAGTCAGCATGTCCAGTTTGCTGGATACAAGGTATGACGCGTTTGCCTCCCCCCCTTCTCCCCCTCTCGCGTGTGAAGTCTCATGTGTTAATCAGGATGATCTTGCAGGTTCCCCATCCCCTCGTCCACAAGTTCATCCTCCGTGTTCAGACCGACGGTGCCATTACTCCAAAGGATGCCGTCCTCACGGCCTGCCATGAGCTTGTCAAGGACCTTGGAACCCTCAGCCGTGAATTTACCAAAGAGTTCGAGTTGAGAAAGATGGTCAGCACCGAATCACAACAGCAGAATGCCCAGAATGGAGCTTAAAGTTCTTGTTACGAGGGTTACCTATGCGTGTGAGATGATTTAGGCGAAGTCAAGCACAGATGGGACGGCGTTCTGATGGGTTTTTTCTTCTGCGGCCGTGGGATGGCGTTGAGATGGTTGAGCTCCGGGCTTAGGTTGCCAACAGTACACCAGTTCGCTGCCAGTCTACTTAAAAAAAAAAAACATCATGTAAACATAATCCAGACCGAAATACGAAAAACGAAGGATGGTTGTTTTTCATATATCTAGTACTGCTAGTTTACGCTGCAACAACTCTTTGGAGCTCCACATGTGGAAAGGGTGTGTTGAGACGCCCGTTTGAAGAATACATCAGACCCAACTAGACTAGTCAAATGGATTCTGGCACTGGTGTCCTCGTCCTGGGTCGCGACCGATGATGCTCCGTATGTAGTTGGCTTCCGCTCCCGATTCCGCCGCAGACAAAAGTTACATTACGTTACCACTGTACGATACGTTAGTTGATACGCCACGTTACATTACGCGCCATTGACGACGCCGCGCTTTGCCTAGCTGGGATTAGCCCCTCTATCCCCCCCTTATCGATGCTCGAAGCCCAACTTCGGCTGCTTTCAAGGTCCAGCAGCCGCCGCGTCGTCGTCGCCTTCGTCTGCAAGGCACATCCACGCCCTCGTACATCCTGCTCTTTGTTTCTTTTTCCTTTTTTTTTTTTTTTCTTTTCTTTTTTGTTGAATTTCCTTTTGCCTTTTCGATGTTTCATTAATCGCCATGTATTCCTCATCGAATTCTTTTCTTAACCCCAATGCCGCCCGCCCTGGCCAACAGCAATATGGCCAGCCGCAACAGCAGTATACCGGCTTTCAACAACAGCAGCAGCAAACCGGCTTTATGCCCCAACCGACGGGATTCGCTGGCGGGCAGATGCAGCCGATGCAGCCCCAGCCCACTGGATTTCCTAGAGGGCCATTTCAGCAGTCGTCCTTCCAGGCCCAGCCTCCGCAGATGACAGGCTATCCTCCGCAGAATCAACCTTTCCAACCACAGCAACAACAGTCACAAACAACGCAACAGCAGTCCACACCGGCGCCTCCATTGCCTGCCCGTCTTCCCGGCCAGACATCTTCACAGATCGCAAACTCCTTCCAGACCATATCCAGCCCAACAACGGGCGTCAACCCTCACCATGCGCCTTCAAAGATCCCGACTCAGCGACTTTCTTTCATTACAGCTCAGGATCAAGCTAAGTTTGAGCAGCTTTTTAAGTCGGCAGTTGGGGATTCTCAATCAATGGACGGAGAAACAGCCAGGGACCTCCTCTTGCGCTCCAAGTTGCCTGGAAGCGAGCTATCAAAGATCTGGGTTCTATCCGACACCACAAAATCGGGCCATCTTCTTTTCCCAGAATTTGCATTGGCTATGTACCTGTGCAATTTGCGGTTGACTGGCCGTGAACTTCCCCCTTCCCTTCCGGACCGAGTTAAGAATGAGGTTTCTAGCATGGTCGATATCATTTCCTTCGCTGTCCCGGACGACAATCCGCCCGTCGCCCCGAAAACAAATGTTCCTAATTTTGATCAACCCTTGATGCAAAATACGTCCGCACCACCAGCCCCCCAACAGCCGCAGCCGCAGCAGCCTTCGAATTCACAGCTTCTGTCCCAGCTAACAGCTCAACCCACGGGCTTCTATAACCAGGCAACCGGGTTTCAGCCGCCCTCAATTGTGGCCCCGCAACCCACGGGGTTTCCTGGACAAAATGCTTCTCTTAGACCACAGGCAACTGGGCTCCAGCCTAATCCTCAGGCGACTGGGTACACCGGTCCACGGCCCCCCATGCCACCAATGCCCGCAGGATTTGGATCCAGTTTGTCGCCCTCGCAGACCGGCGCTCCTCCCTTAGCCGCGCAACCGACAGGGATACCGGGTCAATGGGGCTTTGTCAATGCACCAGCCACCGGTTTACCAAATATTGAAGCATTGAAGCAGAGGTTGATGCCTCAACCTGGCAGGGAAGGAGGATATACTACTGCGGGCCTTGCCGGTAACGCCACTATTCCGTGGGCTGTCACAAAAGATGAAAAGAAGATTTATGACCAGTTATTCCGGGCGTGGGATGGGCTTAGTAAGGGCTTCATTGGCGGAGATGTGGCCATCGAAATCATGGGACAGAGTGGCCTAGACCGTCAAGACCTTGAGCGTATATGGACACTCTCCGATCCCCATAATAGAGGTCGTCTGAATATGGACGAGTTTGCCGTCGCTATGCATTTGATTTACAGAAAGCTAAATGGATACCCCATTCCCAATCGCCTACCTCCTGAGTTAATTCCTCCGTCGACACGCAACCTTGACGATTCAATTGGCGCTGTAAAGTCTATGCTGTCTCAGGATGCGGAGCAGCGCAAGGTTTCAGGTGCATTCCTTCAACCACAGAAAACCGGCGTCAGTTACCTTAAGACCCACTCTTTTCGCACCGGGTCCGCGTCCCCAGGATTTGGGAGAAAGGATGCAACTGTTTTTAAGAATAATGACGATGATGTAGTAGCATACAAGTCAAGTGCACGTCGCCGAGCTGGGGGTACTCCATCTCCTTCGCCCTCGTCTACTCCCGCGGAAAAGGTTGACAATGATCTGTCTGTCGAGCAACTAAAGAAGAAGATCCGTGAGACACAGATCATGCTAGATGCAACGGATTTTAGAGACGAAAACCGCGCGGAAGAGGACGAGGTGCTCAATAGACGTGATAGAAAGGAAGCAGAATCCCTCATGGAACGCATTAGACGTGTTCAGGATGACATCGACACGGATCCGAAGGCTGCCTTCCGGAATGCTGACTCAGGTGCAGAACGACGTGCTTTGAGGCGCCAACTCCAAGCATTCCAGGATCAATTACCAGAATTGGCGTCCAATGTTCGGAAACTGGAGCGCTCAATCGCCGACAGCAAGTTAGAGCTTTTCCGGTTGAAAGATGCAAAATTGCACCCAGGTGCAGCCATGGAGATCATTGGCACAGGTCCCGGTGGCGCGGTTACAGAAGCAGATCGCATTAAAGCTCGCGCACGCGCAAGAATGCAGGCTAGAGCCGCCGAGCTCGCGGGTCGACCAGCCCCACAGGCCGACGACGGATCTGCCGCGCGACGACTCGAAGAAGAAAAGGCGACCGTTGCAGCTGAACGGGAGCGGCACGATGCTATGACTCGAGACGTCGAAGAAAGCGTGAAGGAGTTCTCCCAGAGCCTTGAGGATAGCCTAAGAGATCAGGATGAGAACTCCACGCGCGATCATGAAAGGCGACGCTGGGAAGAAGCGCTTGGCGTTGAAGATCAGATTAGAGACTTCATCTTTGACCTTCAGCGGAATCGTAGAACAGCCAAGGTTCGCAAAGAAGAGTACGTAACCTTTTTGCTAACACTTTGTGTCTTTTCGAGGTAAAATTTTCCTTTTTTGCCTGACTATTTATAGGGAACGCGCAATGAGGGCCGATAATTCTTCTTATTTGCAGCCTCAAGCTCGTAATCGAAGTCCGGTGAATGACGATGGCCGGAGAGGAACATCTCCCCTTCGATCCGCGTCGGCATCACCTTCATTCGCAGGCTTGTCTCATGAAGAGCGGGTTGCATCTGCACGAGAGCGTGCACAGAAGCGCATTGCCGAACGGATGGCTGCTGCGGGTTTGAGACCTAGTTCTGATGCTAGTGAATCATTCCCGGAGCGCCAGGAACGAGAAAAGCGGGAAAAGGAAGAGCGACGCCGACGTGCCGAAGAAGAAGATGCGAAACGTGAAGCGGAGAGACAGAAGCGACTGGCTCAGGAAAAGTCCCCGGTGACATCACCTCCGCCCAAGCCCTCATCTAAGAAACCGCCACCACCTCCGTCGCGAAAGGTCAGAACTGATGTCACTGAAAGCGTCGAAGCTAAGAAAGCGGAGGATTCTGTTGTTGCCAGCAGGGCGAGAGCAGAGCAAGAGGAGAAAGAAAGAGTTCTTAAACAGGAACAGGAAGCCCAGGAGGCAGAGCGTAAACAACTCGAGTAAGTTAAATTAATTACACAGCCAAAAATATCTCATATCCATGCTAACTCGGCTTGATAGGGACGAAGCTAAGCGGCAGGAAGAAGAGCTTGCACGTGAGAAAGAGGCCGCTCAAGCTCGACTTCGAGCTCTGGAGGAACAAGTCCGACAGGGCAAGATCAAAAAGCAAGAGGAGAAACGCCGTAAGCAGCAGGCCGAGAAGGAAGCTAAAGAAAAAGAGGCTCGGCTTGCGGCGCAACGTGCAGAACTTGAAGCCGCCCAGGCTAGAGAACGAGAACTCCAACGCCAGCTCGAGAACATGGGCGAAGAAGAATCTTCGTCAGATGACGAGGGCCCAATTGAAATTACCCCTCAGACCAGCACCCCTACTCAGAGCCAGGTTTTGCCAGCGCCATTCCCCCAGCCATCGCCCCCGGCCGCTGCCCTCCCAGTTCCGGCGATACAGGAACCTGACCAAGATGTGGCACGAGAACCGTCGCCTACACTTCCCAGCCCCGTGGAGACCCCCGAACCGGTGAAGCAAACGTTACCACCAGAGACCGAGTCTAGGAATCCCTATTTCCGTCAACTTAGTCAACAGAGTGCACCTTCTGCAGCCCAACCCACTCATGAAATGCAATCGACTAACCCCTTCCATCGCCTAGCGCAGCAGGAAAGCACCTCCAAGTCTGCTTTCACAACAGATGCAACAGTGCCCGGACCACTTGAACGTAAATCCCGCGTCCGCCCCGAAGAAGATGACTGGTCTGCTGCAGAATCAGAAAATGAATCAGATGAAGATGACGATCGCGTTGCGGGTGGTAGTGCTAAGCAACTGGCAAGCATCCTCTTTGGAACGATGGCTCCTCCGCGACCGTTAAGCGCTATGGACGAGAAGACGGAGTCCAAAGCACAATCACCGGTGCAAAACGCCGTAGTAACACCTCCACCTCCGCCGCCGGCACCAGAAGCCGACCATTCTCCTGAAATTGAAGCTGAACGCGAAATCGCTGATATGTCTCCCGCGGCTCCTGATGACGCAGGATTCTATACACCTCCATCTATTCCGCCGCCACCCCCACCGCCAATGCCAGGCATGGAAGCATCCACGGGCGCACCTCCGCCTCCGCCTCCGCCACCGCCACCCCCTGGCGATGCTCCGCCCCCTCCAGGCGGAGCCCCGCCTCCGCCACCGGGCCCACCACCTCCCGCCCCACCAGGTCCTGCGCCAGGTCCTCCGGGACGAGAAGCCGGGCGTGGTGCTTTGCTTGCGGATATTAAAGCTGGAAAAGGTCTAAGAAAGGTTGTAACAAAGGATAGGAGCGGCGTAGCTACGGCAGGGAGGGTATTGTAGCTATATACATAAGAAGCTTAAATAAGTGGAACTTTGCTCGAGTTTGAGGTTGAATTGTGTATTATGTTTAGTCAGAAGGCATAGTATCTTTGTTTCTTTTTCCATATTTGGCTATCTTGCGCCTCTACATATCATTGTATTTTCGGGATGTTGGAACTTCTGGTTTACGGATTATGACGCTTTCATGGTCTTATTCCGGATCGGTCTCAATTTCTGAATACATGTATATACCAAAGAATTAAACCAAGAGCGCGAGTCATGAAAATATCTCAACAATTACATTAGAGAGTGTACTGACACACCACAGCATCACCAAGCCTAGTCCGATTTTCCGGTCCATCCTCCAGCCATTAAGCGGTACAACGATGAGCAGGCCCAGGAGCGTAGCCAACAGCATCGCGCCACTGACGAGTAAACTCTTCGAAACAGAGATACGATATGGCTCCCGAGAGGCTGATATAGTTCGTGCTATGAGTGCATTCAAGCCGGAAGGAGTAGGTGAGAAAGTGCTTGACGGTTGATTCGGGCTGAGGGTCATATATAACCCACCAACACCGATGCCAATAAGGATATTGAGCATAGGTCCTCCGAAGCATGCGCTGAGGGCCATCACAGGGTATCCCAATCTAGCGACAGTGACATCGGCGACAAGGTCGCCAAGGGAGTTCCCGACAGCAAAGACAGTAAGTCCGAGCAAAGAGTCGCTGATGCTGAGAATAACACCAATGGATTTCAACACATTCACGACCTCCGTCGCGAGAGTGGAAATCCAAGCGATGGATACCAAGAAGCCGAGAAAGGCTACAAATGGGCGAGCACGAGTAGGAAGTTGCTTCGTTGTGGGTGTAGTTGTGAATATTAGGAAGGTGAGGAGGAGGGCGGATACGAGCAGGGAGACAAGCCCAGGTATAAGCAGGTTTCGTCCGTTCATATCTGAGTCAAGGTTAACCCAGGCAGTCAACGTGATGAAGAAAGGTGAGGTGATGAGTTGGAGAGTAAGAAGCCAGCGATTCCATGGCTTGGGAACTGAAGGGCCCTGTTCCAGTTGAGCAGGCAAAACGGGGGCTTCGGAGTCTTGTCGATGACATGAATGTACTTGCAGAAGAAGCTTTGGTCGTCGGTCTTCGGAGTCGTTATCATCGCTTTGCGGGCCATTTAACATAGGCGGATCGAGGCGAGTTTCAGTATCACCCTCGATGGAATCGATAGGATACAAGTCTGGGCTCTCTATCCTAGGATTCTCGCTCGGTAATAATAACGGCGAGGCGAGCACAGGTATGTATTCGTCTTCCGATTCCGCTTCTGGAAGTTCAACAACTGGCAATGTAATTGTCAAAAAAAATACGCTCGGAGCAGCAGTGATTCCCAGGAACTGTTCCCAGATTGACTTTTCTCTCCAACCAACCAGAGTTGGGAACAGCGTAGACATTAGGAGATAAGGTGGAGGCATATAACGATATGGCCACCATGCCAACGGTCTTTCTTCATGATGGCTGTGAATATACTGTTCTGACGTACACACCGATCCAGCAGACCGCCTTTCTAGAGACAACCTCACGCTAGGGATTCGAGAACGATCCGAAGCAGCATCGTCGTCTTGATATGGCGGAAATGAAACGGTAGGGCTGTGAGAGCCTGTAGACCAGGCGCCACTTGTTGAAGTCATATTTGGTGGGTTTGCATGCGGAGAGAGTGGGGACGCTGGAATAGGACTCTCCCTGCCGTGTGCGTCTCCCCTTTCACTGTGATAATTCGGAGGCCGAAAGAGCCCTTCCGGGGGGGCCAGGAAATTGGGTGTCTCACTTCGCTCTCCCGGTAGTGGGCTTTGAGATCTTGAGGGGTATCCTGATGAGGTAGGTGATGCGAAAAGCAGATGATCTCGGCCTGCAGATGTGGGGGAGTGATAACCTAGTCGGCGCGATGCGATAGGTGAAGCTCTTTCCGACGCGGTTCCGCCTTGCTGGGTACCATGTAAATGAACCCGGACGGGAGGGTTCGCCGAGACAGCTCGTGCTCGACCGTGGACATATGGCGTTGGAGGATTTAAGGTGTCAGGGAGAGTCTGCGGATAACCAGGATCGTCAGAGTACCTTTGTAAGCGAATCCGACCGGACTGAAAACTCTGCGACCGTCGAAGAGAGGAGAGAACGGATCTAAATTCCAATGCGCCGACTAAGCTTGGACGGATCGGGCCCATTGCGGCTCCTCTCTGTCCAGCAGGAGCCCTGCTAACGCGCATGTTTCCCTGCAATTCCGCAAGGCATCGATCTCGCGTCTCGTCATCATCCTCATCTTCGACCTTCCAGCGTGGAACTTCGGATCTCTCCAATGCATTGAAATCTTCTTCAGATGGCCCAAGAAGTGAGCGTTGCGCTGCCGCCATAGGGGCGTCTTCGTCTTCCGGCACTTCTTGAATATCCAATTCCTGATTCTGAGGTATATGGAAGTGCGCCCTGGCCATTAAGTCTCTTTCACGTTTCTGTCTTTGACGACCCAGATACCAATGCCACGTCACAACGGTCACCACATAGAAGATGTAAAAACCGATCATCAGGACACATTCCCATATATAGAGCTTGCCATCCGCTATGAATACCAAACTGACCGTGGCCGCACATGTGAAGAATGCGATGTCACGGACGAAACTCCGTCGCGCCACTCTAAAGGGTCTTACCAAAGCCATCGAGCCCGCCACAACGGCTGAAATGAAGCCAGCGGCTCCGATCAATTCACCGATAGCCAAGCTGCCGCTGTTCGAGCTCATAGCCGCGAAGGTGGAAAAAACGTCAGGACTGCCATTCCCAAAGGCCAGAAAAGTCACGCCAGTCAAGCTCTCGCTCATTCCGAGGATACTTGCTATGGTACTGAGGTTCACGCAAAGGAAATCACTGGCGGCAATCCCAATGGTACTAAAAAGAAGGGACAGCCATAGAGCTATGATAACGAATGCCAAGGGTTTCGTCTGCGGGAGTCTGCAGTAATATAGCTGGAGATAGGACAGGAGCCCGACTTCGTGGTCGTCACAGTTCGCGAGGACGAACGCACATTTGTCCTGGGCCTTGTGAACGAGGCGACACCTCTATCGAAATTTAGGTTAGCCTGGCTCTTGAATAGTATCCACAACTCGATTCATGCCATACATCATGTTCATCGTTCAGCAATGCTGCAGGCTCTAGTTCCCATCTTCTCTGTATTTTTGATAGTTTTGCAGAACCACCTGCATTGATCGAGGAAGGTATGAAGAGGGTTGCAGTGGCGAGGACTAGGATCACCGTCAACACAAGGTAGAAAGGGCGGGCAGAATGTCGGCGTCGGGTTCTCGGGGGTGCAATGGACGCGGAATTCCAAGGGCCCTCCATTCTGGCTGCATCCTGGTGTGGGGGGAAAGAAAAACGCTCTGCGCGAGAAACAGAATTTAAGAGACGGGTTCAAAAGGCCAAGTCCAAGTTCATCCCATGGCTGCAACGGAAGAGATCAAGTGGGTTTTGATGCAAAAACAATTCAGATCAACGGCCACTTGCACCCCTTCATGCTGGTCTGTCTGACGTTTGCTGGAGGCGACGTTGCATCTGTTTGCCCTGTTTGAGATCATCAACAACAGCGCAACGGTGCTTAGCTCAGCCAATCACTGGGCTGCATTGAGTTCTGCCTGAATGATCTTGGCGGCTAAGCCACTCCCGACCTCGGACGGGTGGGGCGGTGCAGTTCTTTCCAAGATATGAGAGGTTCTGTGGCTCGCATTACACATGACTGTCCGGGGTAATACTGTAATATGTAATTAGCTAGGTGGAAACAGGGGCGTTCCGGAGTTACATTACGCCGTACCCCGTATGGAGAGTCTTGAACGAAACGCGCAGACGGTGAGTTTCGCCGGCCGTATGTTTTGCTGATACTCAGTCTGGAACGCCGCGACGACCAACAACAACAAAACGCATCCACCGACGACGACAGGACTTGGGCGGTTTGCATGCTTTACTCGGCATGTTGTAGCGGTCTATGGACAGGGCTGTTAATTTATCCTACTTGAATTCATATCATTCTGACAGTTAACTGCTCGAGATCCGCCGAACTCCGTGCATCCCATCCCACCATGCCTCGAGTCGTCAACCCACCCACAAAGAGCCAGCATGGCCGTCGTGGCAGCTCCAGGCACGATACCACACCTCATAAATCTACCACCATGAAGTATGTAAAGTAAGTTTCCTAGGTGGCCGTGTGTCCTTCGTAAGGGAAGGAAAGCGCAACCTTGAGCCTGGGAAAGAAGGCAAAATATCTGCCGCAGATATCGGATATGACACATTCGCTAACCCGAGCCATCTTATCCAGAATCCCCCTAAACGATGATGCGGGTGAAAAGGTTGCCCGCCTCCAGTCCCGCCAGGCACTGCATGATATGCAGATGAACCAAATCAAAGCTGCCGTCAAAACCCCCATGCCTCCACGAAGGATGAATTACGAAGGAGCCTCTGCCAGTCCCCGTACGCCTCGCGCTTCGATGCGCGGACGAGAAAGCGATGTTGATGCCCTTGGGAGAGCGGTGACACCCATGAAACGTGTCCCAATCCTCGCCAATTTTGAAGAATGGATGAAGATGGCCACAGATAACAAGATCAACGCTACGAATTCGTGGAATTTTGCCTTGATCGATTACTTCCATGATATGTCTCTTTTGAAAGAAGGAGATGGTGTGAATTTTCAGAAAGCTAGTTGCACCCTTGATGGCTGCGTTAAAATTTATACTAGTCGAGTCGATAGTGTTGCGACCGAAACCGGCAAATTGTTGAGCGGTTTAGCGGAATCGAATAACACCAACAAAAGAAGACATCAAAATGAAGAGGCCATTGATGAAGACGGAGAGGAGGAAGAGGAAGAGACAGGTGAAGACGGTGTTAGAAGGAAAACGCGAAAGAAGGTAAAAACAGCATACGTCCGAGCCCCAGCACCGAAGCGATCTCTAACGTGTTTCCTAGGTTGCCCGATCGCATGAGGCCACCTTGGCTCCATCCTTTGCTTCTATACAGTTAAAGAAGTTTGAACTAGAATTTGCAGTGGATCCTCTGTTTAAAAAGGCCTCTGCGGACTTCGATGAAGGGGGTGCCAAAGGATTGCTTTTGAATCACCTTTCAATTGATAGCCGTGGGAGGATTGTGTTTGATAGTAGCGACGATGTTGATGATGCTGCCGCTGCCGGAGAAGACCGAGAACAGACCACAGAACCAGAAGGATCAAAATCCCCGACACCGAGGCCTCAAACGGCCAATTCCATGGACGAAATTGTCGAGATTGATTTGGGTCCATTGGCAAATAAATTCTTCCCAGACCTGGATATCCTCGCCGAGCAGGATATCTGCCCGTCACTGAAAAACCTCGATTTCGGAGATGAAAGCGCAACACTGGACATCCCATTCCTGCGCGCTCCAGAGGATTGGCGCCAAGACAACCCCCAGCCAGAACAAGGCCTAAGAGAAGCATCCGGTATAATGCTGGATGATGACATTGCCATTGGGTTTGACGATGACGATGGGACCGTTTCGGGCTTTGATATTGGTGAAGACGCTGGATTTGGCGAGGGTGGTGAAGCTTGGGCAAGGGAAGCTGCACTCGAACCGATGCTACAGGTTCACCGTGTGGATGCCGGTGATGGGGATAATAATGATACGTTAGGTGGCGTTCTGGATTCTACAGAAGACGATCCCTATAAAATTTCGCTATCGCATCAGCCTGCGAATCGAGATCATGAAAATATTCTAAGCTATTTTGACAACGCTTTGCGAAAGGATTGGGCCGGTCCGGAACACTGGAAGATTCGAAGAATAAAGGAGACAGCGGCGTCAAATTCAAATTCGGCTCCACGGCAACGGAAAGAAAAGGAGCCGTTTGAAATCAATTTTTCGTTGCCTCTCGATCCTGCTGTTGCAGAAATGATCTACACTCAAACAAGTTCCAATTCTGTCATCTCCTTACCAAAGTCGCAGTGGAAAACCAAAGGACGGAATCTTTTACCGGACGACAAGCATTTCAACTCTCGAAATTTGCTACGATTGTTCTTGAAGCCAAAGGCAAGAATGGGTTTCCATGCGAGAAATAGGTCCCGGCAAAATAATAACCGCCCCCAAAATGGCTTCTCCTCGCCAAACAACGGTGAAATTGACGAGGCATTCTGGGCAACGCAAAAGCCGGGAATGGATCAAGCCAACACGGACGACTGTGCCGGCCCTACCGGCACATACGATGCTGATTTCTTTGCCGATGATGACGGACTAGCCTTCCCTCACGGATTACCTATGGGAGGGGAAGACGACGATGACAATCTACCGTTTGCGGATGCCAGGGAAGCGTTCTCACCTCCTATGGATCCAAACGCTCCCCAAGGGGCCTCTGTAGGTGGGACCGGAGGACTTTCGGGCATAAGTGCCCTGCTCAACAGCGTGACTACTCCTGGTACCGTCTTAGGTGGAGGATTTGGCTCCCAGCTAGTGACACAAGGCGGTCGGCGTGTCCGTCCGGACTATGTTGCTTATGCTCGCGTGGCGAAGAAAGTCGATGTACGGCGGTTGAAAGAAGTGATGTGGAAAGGGATGGGGAATCGGTTGATTGCATCCTCGTCATTTAGTTCAGCTTCTCCTTCAGCTGCGGTCACAGCAGCTCCTTCGAAACCCATACCGGAGCCAAGTACTCCAGCTGCTAATCTCAATCCTAGATCCCCGGATCAATCTAGTTCCCAAGCAACAAGTGAGCTAAACGAAAACCTACGTTTTACAGATATTATGAATGGCTTAAAAGGATCTTATCCTGAGCAAGCTATGCGTGATATCAGTACGTCATATTGCTTCATCTGCTTGCTCCATTTGGCGAATGAAAAAGGATTGGTTCTTGAAAATAAAGGTGGATTTGAAGGAAATTGGGACGGGAGGTTGGAAGAGATTTTTGTCAGCAAAGACGCAGGTGCGGTGATTGAGGGCGAGGTATAACACCGCCCGGAAGATAGCATGGGTGCGTTTACCCTGTTATGGAGAGGCGCGCCCACTTTTCTTTTTTTATGTTCATCGGTTCGGTGGAGGTGTAGGGTGGGTTGGGATGGCTCACGGCCGTTTCTTCTTGTAAACTTTGGTTGTTCGGAGTGTCCATTGAGGATGGTGTTGCATATGTCACTCTGCCAGGTAATAATATACTGGTTTTTGGTTCAAGGTATATAACTTGTCAATCAATGGATACTTCTATCTCCTAAGCTGTTGGGCTGTGGTGTGGTCTGTAACTCCTTTAAAAGGCAATGGTGCATATCCGTAACATGTAAGAGCGTAAACAAAAATCAGATTCAATTGTGAAAGGCTAGCCAAACCTACTGCATTGCCATTACAATATTACAAGCTTTACTGGTTTTAAGACTTTGTCTTCTGGCATTTCGCATATCATTAACATACATCAACAACTATGAGCCACAAAATATGAAAGAAATTGTAAGAAATTAAGTACAATAGATAGAATTGGTATATAACTGGGGGGGAGAAGCCTAGCCAAAAGTAAAATTAGGGAAAAGTAGGTCAGTGTCACAGATGTGCCGAAAAGCTTCCAATCGTCCAATCGGAAACGAATGTTTGTCTTTGCTCGACGCAATCAAGGAATCAATGGGGATATCATGCAAGCGGGGTTCTGGTATCTTAATCAATGAACATAACTATTGGCTTCGAGACTGTACAGCGTGTTCTGCCGTCATGGCAGTCCCTGGTTTGTGTTCGTCATTTTCTTGGCCTCTTTGGATCTGCTGCGTTGAGGACTGGGGCATGAAAGTTGGACTGTTAATGGGGCTCGAATATGATTCCGGAATTGGTACAGAACCATATTGTTTTTCTCCCGGTGCGGGGCCCACATGCTCATTCACGATCTGGACGAGTCCGGGGGACGTCGGGGGTTCGCCATCAGTTGGGGAACTCTCACGCGTAGGCGCCTGCACACGGATTGGAGGAGGTTGGAGCTGGAACGGTTGATTTGAAGTAGGCGTGAATTGGGTTGCGAACTGAGGTTTACATTGCTCTCCGTTTTCCGCCGCAGAGTAAGCGTCGATTGTGGCTTTGGGGAAGTGCATTGAGCCAGGACTGAGAGGATAGCCCGGTGTGTTTGGAGCTGTCTGAGAGCGAAGATTTGCAAGGTAGAGGTCAGACCGAGCCTTGTCTCGCGCATACATAGACTTTCGTAGCTTATGTTTGGTCCAGAAACGATAGAAGACAACCGCATAAATCGCAACGGTAATCGTGTCAACGACAACTTCAATGACAATGCATACCAGTACCCAATCCTAGTTTGGTGTCAGTTTTGAAAGTAGCCAAATCTCGATTAAACGAATGTGCAACATACCTGTAGGCGACACACAAGTGCATAGTCAACGATATCCGAATAAAGTTCACTTCGAAGATTCTCTTTACAGGCCCAACCCCACAAATCCTTGTCATTGCCGCTTTGCTTGCTATTCTGCAGGATGGCTGCGGCCACAACCCACATAACGATGGTAAAGGCGAAAAAGCAGGCTCCAAATACAGTATAATATACGCCTATCTTTTCAGCTCGACGATGGCCACCGCGACAGTAGGCTATAAAAACTCCTACACATAAGAAGAGAGAAATAGACGCGATAACGAGGATGACAATCTGAGGCCAAGGGTTCGTATTCGGGGCCCAGGGCGTAAAGCTGTTCCTGGACGCAAGATTCCTTGTGGAGTTGAAGATGACGAAGCTGTGGGCTAGCAATGCTAGAATAATCAAGCTGCACGAAAAGTTGACACCACGAAGCAGGAATTTTGCTATTCTGACCCGGGTTTTTACTTTCTGGTCGGTTAATTAGCAACCGGGTTCCAAGAAGGGTGTATAGTTATGCGTCCAGGGGTCAGAAGGGTGACAACGTACAATATCTTTGGCATTCTCCTCTTCCGTTTCCTTTTCATGGTACTCTAAAATCTGTTCCTCCTTGAAAGTGGGACTAAGCGGATTTACGAGACGACCCGGTGTTCCCGGGGTCTTTAGAGCGCTTTTTAGAGGAGAATTTGGAGGATTGGACCTGAGGCCTGCACCAGGGCCGGAAGCATGGTTGGAAGGCCTGTTGTCAGCGACGTAACCAAACCCCAGGTCAGAGACGTTGGGCTCGGAGCTTGATTCCCCCCCAGTTGGTGGGTCCGCAAATGGTGATCGAGATGATGACCCGACGGGAGAATCCACAGAAGTAGCTTCAGTAAACCTAGGTGTGCGCGGAGAGTTTAAACTTGGCGGGCTTGGGGTTCCCCGAGACGAATGCGTGTCTTGGATGTCTATAGTCTTTGCGGGACCGAAACCGACGGACTTCCGCTTTGGCTGGACGATATCAATTGGTGACACCGGTTCAAACGAATCCTCGGAAACGTCGCCGCCGAGATGTGAGTTCGACATGGCAAGAAGGGTATATCTTTGCAGAGGAGTTGTTGGCTTTGCTGGCTGGTAGGTAGTTCTAGCGCCGCTTGCTTTCTAAGAGAACCAGCTCCCAGAATCATAAAAGAGCAACAATGAACTAAAGAAGTCAGAGGTTAGGCTCATTCGAATCAAAAGGAGATTCATACTGGGAAAGACGCAGGGAATCCTCTGGTAGGAATTTCCATGACACCCTCTAGCAGGAAAGTAGGGAAGCGCCACTCACTCACTGTATTTGCAAGTCAGGAATACAACTTTTGTTAACCGCTGAGAAGGAGACAGGCTTTCTTGGGGTGAGAAGTTTGGCTAGGCGCTCGATCCGCGATGATCAGGTCAATATGCCTGAGGGAGACTCCAGAAAGTAAGAAAGCAGGTGAAGACCGCCTGATAACTGCGAGGCCGGCTCACGTAACTATGAAATGAGAAGACAGAAGAAGCTGGGGAAATGCTCGGGTAAAAAGGTCCGAACAGAACAAAGATATCCTGCACGCGCCGGGAAGAGGGGGGAGAGGGTGAACCAAGTTCACAAGAAGACAATAAGAGGTCGGCGGCAACGGATTGACAAATTGGAGAGAGATGTGCTTGACGTCCGAACCGCAGGCTGTCATGAAAAAAGGACAGGGCCCATCTGATTGGAGGAAGGGAGGATCTCAGGCTAGGTGCGCCGGTTCATGATCGCATTGTCCCACTCCCGCATTAAGAAGCACAGCGAGCGGCCTTGTCGAGGCCAGCCCGGGCTTGAGGGCAAACAGTGTGAAGAGTGCGACGCCCACTAAGGGGCCCCTTGGGAAAGGAGGCAGTGATGAGCGGGGACGGCCATGGACAGAGGCCCTCGTTTTGCATTCATCCGGGCGGTTAGAACTGAACCCCCTGTCCAGCGAATCACAGCGCCAGACCGCCATCCCGAACAAGCACCAGGCCAGTGTGATTGGACATCGCACTCTGGCATCAGCGAGGTTGCTGAAGAACCAGTCTGCAGCGGGCATGGGTGGTCGCGAGCGCAATGCAGGTGAATGGCCGGGGTTGCTGCATGGCGATCACACGCTAGAACTTTGTTTCGCCCAATCAGCACGGCGCGCACGGTGTTTCCTCGAGCCAGCGGTCAAGACCGCCAGCTGATTAGCTGTGGGCTCGCGAAGTCAGTGATTTGGTTCCCGGCGCTAGTTGTTGATAAATGGGTGGAATTGTGATGCGTTGAGGATTTGCGCCGTGCAGCAACCGCCATGATCGTGAGCTGGCTTTAGGGCACCAGCTTTGAATCAGCTCTTTCATCCGTTGCAGTGTCAGGCTGGTATCAAGATGATTTTGGCAAGACTTGACACGCAACATCAATTTCTCTTTTATCATCAAATAATTAGCTTAATATCAGTTTACCTGAGATTGTTACTTTCTGACCATCTCTGATGTATCATATTAACTAATAATAATAATAATTTCGGCTTACAATACTCTGTACTCCATACAATTATGACATCAATGCGAAAGAAGGAATCACAATTTGTTTGATGCACCTAAAACTTCAACTGACGAAAAATCGTTCGTGAAATCTCTCCATAGCTTGGTATGAGGCCCATCTACCATTAAGTTAGTACTGTAATCTGTGCGAGAAGCAAATTTCTGACTGGCGATCGGACAGCCCACATTATCAACAAGTTAAAGGCAACTGGAGCGCCTGTTCTTGTTTCTTCCGGCTTCACTGGTGATGTGATTAAAGCTCTTTGCATGAGTCCTGAGAACAACCCAGAACCAAAGAGCGGGCATTGTCTCATGGTAGACTTGACTCCCTTTCCTCTAGATTCCCCTATCCTATGCTCTGACTTATTTGTTAGCGAACATTGCCATACTATTCGATGATTCACGGTGTTGGGAATTGATTATAGCGCCCTTTGTTTGATACTGTACGCAAGGTGCAGTCACCCTGATGCCCGACACACCAAGCCAGGTTTCTTCGGCGGATGTCGGCGAGTCGGAGCAGATCACCCTTCAAGTGGGTGATCGCCAATTCTACACTACAATCGAATCGCTCGTAGAGCGAAGCAGGTACTTCGCAACCTTGTTTTCTGGGAAGTGGCCGGTGAGCAAAGAGGAGGACGGCTCCATCTTCGTTGATGCGGATGGCAGTGTATTTGAATACGTTCTTCAGTACCTTCGTCGAGGCGTTTTCCCGCTTGCATTCTGTCAGCGGAAAGGTCATAACTACAGTTTATACATGAGGTTGCTTGAGGAGGCCAGGTACTTCCAATGCCCTCTGCTGATTTCATGGCTAGAGGACAAATGTTACTACAAGTGCGTCCGTTGGCGTGTTTTAACACGGATACAAGACACGGTAGAGCCCAACATACAGGGACAAACCAGCGTGGGGGATTGGCAGATTGTTCCACAGTTAAAGAGGAAAGAAAAGGTTTATATCTGTCCGCGGTGGATTGATGTACATCGTGGCAACCCGCAAAAGTGTGACCGCCAGTACCGGAACGCTAAGGGAGAGGGCGGTCCCGAGTATGATACCGAGAATGTGACATCGGAATGGTTAGTGGCGAGAGCCAGGTTCCATCCTGGGTGGATGACGGACTCTGGGTGAGTTTGGCATTTTAGGCGTCACTGTATCTGCGACCATGGCTGCTGACGGCATTCCTTCAGGGCACCTTTTCTTGCACACTGGCAAACTAGACGCTCCAGAAAATCGCTATAGAATCTAGTGTGGTAAAATAGACAAGTGTAGTCTTTGGCCGGCCGAGCCGTTCCATGCTACATCAGTGGGCGCCCCATGCGCCAACTATCCGGGCTCGACGGCGTGTTAGTAACAGCCGCCCATTATCCGGATTAGATTATCTTGTCGCGTACAACATGTATTATATCACAACCGCCGAAGCCGGTGTCCCCGCGGTAGACTTGGCTGAAAGTGCCTCGTTCTTGTTCCTTTGAAGTGGTGACTGCTGCTACTGCAGCGCCAAGTCTGTCCTCTCTGGGAAACAGCTCTCAATCTCTGACCAGGGCCAGCACTTCTCCATCATGCTCAGAAGATGAGCATCTTCTTCAGCAGATCATCACCACAGCTTGTCTCTATGGTTCTTACTTCTGTCTCAGTGCCCATATCAAGTTTGCTCAATCTTATCACAGAAATCTGAGCAAACCACTGACTGTGCAATCTCATTAGAGTTAGACATGCAGCTTGCCAAGGCATCTTCAAGCAGTCAAGAAAGACACTGCAGATATTTATCAAGCAGCAGAGATTAAAAGATGACGAGAAGCTTTTGCTTGTCGAGGGCGCGCTTGCCGACAGCGGGGTCGCGTGAAGAGTGATAAAAAGTTTATTCTTTGATAGACAGCATAGAGACAACACAGAACTATCCTATAGTCTGTTCTTTCTCTAATCACTTCATCTCTTATTTAAGACTCTTGGACTGGTCATCACTGAAGACTTCATCCATATCACTAGAGCAAGAGTATTGGTCTCAGTACTGCAGCAGAAGAGGTATAATTATTAAGAACTCTGAATATAAAAGTGGGTCTCTGTTTGAGCACTACTATTTCAGCTGCTAGATCTCTCAAGAAGCAGATAGTTGGGTGTGTTATAGAATATAGACAGAGAAGATTCAGAATATAAACGGCTTGTCTTCAAGAATATTGCATTATATCTTGCTGAATAGACTGGTGTAGATTGCAGGCATTTAAGGCCTGTCATTGGCAAGAATTACTGGATCAATGGAAATGTTGTGCTAGAGAACTGAGAGTCAGAGAAATTCTTCTAAGCTTTTATTCAAGTTGCTTATACTGGGTAAAGCTGGATTGGTCTCTGCAGCGTTCTTAAGAAAAGACATCTGAACCAGAATATCAGCAATTTCCTGGAAATTGTGGATCAAGACTGGATGTAAATTTGAGGTTCCCAATGCCAGACTGTGAGGAGACAATGAATTATTCTTGGAGCTTTCCAAGATTGATGCATTGAATGACGGTCTCTTGTAGTTAAGATTGGGATGCTGATGGCATACATAACTAGATGTTGTTGGTGCTGAATAGCATGCAAACTTCAGTTAGCAATCTTGCAAAAAGATGATGTGCGGAGATTGGCCGAGCACTGCAGGGAGAATCATAATAGATTTTTATTTCATTTATTTATTTATTTATTTTTTTTTTTTGGGGGAGGGGGGGGGGGGGGGGGGGGGGGAGAACAGCTGGCCACTGAAGACTGTAAATGGAGAGATTTGTGCAAGAGAAATAATTTGAGGCAAGAAGGGACCCATGGCAAAAAATTCACATGAAAAGAGGGATTTATCTGGGCAGAAAATGGGATATTTCATGAAAATGGATTCTGGAAGTGGAGATAATTGAGAAACCAGGACGGAAGCAGGGATTGAGGCCAAGGGATAGAGATTGGAGGGTGTGTGAATGAGAAAGTTTGGCTGTGAGGTGCTAGCAATTCTGGGGCAGATCTGTTGGCTCTTTTATAGTGAGTCTCAGTGCATTGATGCACTTGTCATGTTGCTCCTCACCAGCAATGGTGATGGGGAGAATTCCTCTGTTCCTCAAATTTGCTAGAGGATGCTGACATGTCCATCCCCTCAAAAACATGTTCTGGGGATTGATATCTGGTGCCTTGTGCCAATCATGTTTGATCATCACAATTTCCAAGGCTCACATGTCCTGCCTGTGTTTCACGACACTGCTCTCTGGCTGGACTTGCAGGTGCATACTGGAACCACAATGGATGCGGTAATTGGTCAAGGAATGAGAGCGGGAGCCTGGGAAAGAGCCTTGGTGGAGGAAGGTGGCACTAGATGGAAGGATATGAGCCTCACACCAGGACATACCGTCCCAGCTGCCACTCTAGCACTGTAGCTTTGGGATGATTGCCAGCTGCTCTGTGGGCGAGGGGTGCACCAGGAGCCAGAAAGAGAGAACAGAGAAATCATGAAAAAGAGAAAGGCAAGAGAGAAGAAAGGTGGAAGCAGTCAATTGGGAAAATCAGGCTGCTACTCGGAGCTGTTTATTGGACAATGATGGGACAAAAACCATTGTGGCAGACAGGGTGGCACTTGAAGCCTTCCGCACCATTATCTGAAACTGAGTATAAATGCTGTCCCGTTTGCCGTGGCCTCTTTGCCGATATTCGCAGATACGCCCGGATTCTCAAACGACAATGGATTGATGAAGCGACGAAAAAGTTCATCGCGTGGGCGCATGAAAGTTTCCTTCCATTGGTAGATGAAATGGTTAATGTTCAACTAAAACTCCGGAATAGCGAAAAGAACGAGCAAGTTCCTGCAGGGACCGACACAATAACACTCCAGCTAAAAGGTCCAGGTCGTGAACAGATAAGCAAAATCGCCAAAATTGTGTTGCCAGACGAAAGACACCACAAGGTTCTGAGGCTTTGTCGAAGAATATGGCAATTTCTCGCGAAGGTTGATGAATCCGAGCAACCATTCCAGCGCATACACGCGCTCGTGGAATAGCCACTGAATTAAAGGGAGGCCCCACCCTCCTTCAAGTGCGTCACCGTCCTTTAGCTACTGCACTCTTGCTTCGATGCGACTATTCTATTATTTGCCAGTTTTTGAATATAACCGTACGAGAGGCGGGAACAGGCAAAATCAGTGGCGATTTCAGCATCAGTAGAAGATGCTGTGAAAAGCTAATCGAAGAATCTCAGCGGAGAACGTGGCCGGCCATTGTTGTTGAAGGACGCATTTTCTGGGCCCAATGCACTGCACTGGAACGTGGAAAAAATAAAGGTTCCAAGGAGCTTGTAGCCGAAGCCAGGGTGCATCTGCAGCAGGCCAGGAGTATGTGCCACCGATTTCCAGGACAGACGGTTGGGCTACTGGCCGAGATATCAGACATGGACGAGATGTTGCGCAAATCGACATTTTATATTCCTGTCACTAATAAGGGACGGGCTTCAGCGTACGCAGCGATGGCGGCCGAGTTTCGGGACACCGGCCATTGGTATTACTGCGAAAATGGTCATCCGTTCACGATTGGAGAGTGCGAAACGCCAATAGAGGAGGCCGTGTGTCCACAATGCGGATCACCCGTAAGGGGTCGTCAGCATGAAATGGCCACTGGGGTTACACGCGCCATCGAACTGGATGACCAGTTAGGACGGCTTACCGTTTGACGGCGAGGATGCTCCAGTGTATCATGTGTCATCCACAGAAATCCAGCAGCGAAGCTGATCGGCTGGGAAATCATGCGAAAATTCACGATGCATTTAAAAATATGGACAAGACATTAGGGGGAATTCTTAGATGGATATGGAAATTGGAACTGTAACTAGCCCATGCTAGCTTTGACACTGCAAAATTAGCCATTATTCAAATCTAATAGAAGCAACTTTTCTCGTTCTGCATTCTCTCTTCTCTGGCCTCTCATTTATGGGGAGTAACGTTGAAATCGGGATGTGCTCCGAACGGACGGCTCCCGTTGTTAGTTAACTAACCCGTTTGGGACAGCTGCCTCCCTCTCCCAGAAAAAAAAAAAAAAAAAAAAAAAAGAAAAGGTCCCATTCGCGACGTCACTTGGTTCACAGAGATTCCGAGCTGATAAAAGGGTCTAGGAATGCCACTCTCTCTGCCTCGAGTCTTCGCCAGTACAGCCCGGCTAGTCCAGGCCTCACGTCGCACTTCTTCTCCTCGTTCCGTCCTACAGACGCCACGGAAAACACCGCTGTTGTCATCCATCCGCCCCTATTCCGCCCCTGCCCCTCACCCCAAGCCCAACGCGCAACACCAGCAAAAGTCCGAATTCAAGATCTTCCCTATAGTCGTCCTTCTATTACTCAGCTCGGGGTCATACGTGCTCCTAGTGAGATCGCGCAGACCTAAGGATGTCGAGCCAAACTGAAAACTCTACGGCCTCCGAGCCCGTAGTCACTCTTGCTCCCGCTCCCGCTCCGTTGACCGTCGCGCCCGAACTAACCCCTCCATTAACTTCGAACAACACCACTCCTAGATTCTCAGAAAAAGACGTGTCGGTGATATTCGTCCTCGGCGGTCCGGGCAGTGGAAAAGGAACCCAGTCCGCCAACCTCGTCCGGGAATATGGGTTCTCCCACCTGTCGGCGGGCGATCTCCTGCGCGCAGAGCAAAACCGTGAAGAGAGCCAATACGGCGAACTGATCCGGAACTATATTCGTGAGGGTCTCATCGTGCCCATGGAAATCACCGTCGCTCTACTTTCCAACGCAATGGCCGACATTCTCGCGGAGAAAAAGGCGCAGAACCAGCTTATCCCCGGCATACCATCACGGTTCCTGATCGATGGCTTCCCGCGCAAAATGGACCAGGCGATCTTTTTCGAAGAGACTGTAGTCCCATCAATGGCTACTTTGTTTCTCTCGTGCCCGGAAGAAATCATGCTCAACCGCCTGCTGAAGCGCGGGGAGACAAGTGGTCGTTCAGACGATAACATCGACTCGATCCGTAAGCGCTTCCGGGTCTTTGTGGACCAGAGCATGCCTGTGGTCGATCATTATACGAAAGAGGGCAAGGTCATGAGTGTTTCCTCTGTTGGATCTGTAGATGAGGTGTACAGCGGGATCAAGAGGGAGATTGAGGCGCGGGGGATCCGGCCTGTGCAAGAGAATTAGGACTCGGCTGTGGCTATACTTCACTCTTCACTCGCATTTGGCTTCTCTTGGTAGATATAGATATTTCCTGGCAGCTGCATTCCAGGCCTAATATTGTGATTGCTATTTGACAGGGCACCTATAAACTTCATTGTTGTTGGCGTTAATTTTACTCCCTGGTTACAGCAAATTTTGCGCGTACTCTTATTACTCTCCAATTCAACTGCATGCCTTTGGGCGCGGTCTTTTTCCCAACCCCCAGGCCGAGAAGAACCCCAGACATGATTATACAGTAATGAAGGTAGAATTTTCTCACGGGTGCACAAATGTTGCTCAAATTGACCATCTTTATTTCTTTAAACCCATAAAGTATGTATCATACGCAACATGAAAAAGGTCATGCAGAACACCATGCTCAAAAGGGTGACGTAAAAAAGTTTGATGTCGACATGGTGGAGGGAATAAAGGAAGTTGTTGTCTTGTCCACCCCTCAATATCTTGCCGCCTTGCAATACGTTCTCCTTTTTTCCTTTTTCTTGGTAGCCAGCGATGGACATATCCAAATCCTGCCATTTTCTCGCCATCAACAATATCCACCGCATCTCGCATTTGGGATAAGGAGTTCGAGCGGATCATATCACAGGGATAGGGCGAAAGACGGCTTTCAAACGATACGGAAGAATTGAGGGGTGCTGGCGCGGCGCGGGGGGTGAGGGCGTTTATCGGTACTATCAGGGGAATTCGGTCAACATCTTCAACCATTTCCAACAGGGTAATTAAAACGGCGTTGAGAGCCAAGGAGGTGTAATCCTATATACCTTCACGAAACCGATATCTTGCGACTTCTCTCTGAAGCACTACAACTCAAAATGTCAGTATCTCTTTCCTCGTATAAATGTAAAAACAGAGGGTATTCGCTTCATACCTGACGGCAGACAAGCAGACCGTACTTGCGGATCAAACCAGCCTTGTGGGCGCAAACACGGCTACATTAAACACCCCCATTAGCCTTCTGTAACCATTTCTTCATCCAACCTTCAATTCCGCTTGCTCCTCCGAAAACCGACGGTTTACACAAATTTGCAAACAGCAGCTTCACTCCTCATCTTCCAAACAATTCGTTCCCAAAATCAACACAGAGAAAGGTGGGTAGGTATATTGCATACCACTGACGGCTGCCCTTGCCGTAGTTTCTTGGCCGGCTGTAAAACACGGACTCGTGAGTCATCTTGAAGAGATTCGGATTGTCTTTTTCCTTCCTCAGGGAAAAAAGGCTAAGGCGGTCGCAAGAAACGGGGGGGTTTGGTTGTCGCGTCTGAGGTCGTTCGCTGGCGATACGGAGAGCGAGGAGAATTGTCGCTGTGAGCTTCGGCTTGGTTTCGCTGCGCTTGTGTGGTGGTGTATTAGGTAAGCAAATGGATTCGTTAGCGAGAGCCTTACCGCTTTGGAACTAGCGCTGAAGTCTGGGGTGTAAGAGACACAGCGCTTTACCAATATGGGTTGTGGTAGGGTTGAGCCCTAGATCAGATAAGATAATCGTATCAGCGAATATCTTCCGCATGTATCCTTGAGGCTGCAGTCAAGAGGTTGCACGGCGCTCATGCTGCCATGGCCATTGCATAATGTATTCGTGTTCACGTCCTTATCTATCTCGTCGCATCCGGGAAAGAAATTACTAAAATGGGGAAGACATAAAGCATAGCAGAGACGTAACCAGCGAGAAAATAAAATAAAAACGAAAGTCGGAACACAAGAACGCCAGTGATATCGCCATCCCTTTTTAGTCGCCGCCAACTAAATCAACCTCCCGAGGTCCCTGGTGACCACCACCTCCCCGTCTTCTTTCCCCTGCACCTCCCCGAGCACCGCCTTCCCGGCCAGACTCGGCGGCGGCGTTGGCTGCCGCAATACCCTCCCGAACAAACTTCTCCTTTTCTGAATGAATGACACCAAGCACATTCTCCAAACTTCTTCGCCAGACCATCAATCGTCCCTGAACCTCAGCCCACTGCCTTTCACCGAAGACACGGTATGTCGCTCTGTGAACGAGGAATTCGCCTTTCAGCTGACTCAACTTGCCCTCCACAAGGCCGGCACGGATCGTGTCAATGACCCATTTCTCAACGTCCTCACGTGGAATTCGGAGAGCGTTAGAAATCGAGTCATACGGTAATGAGCGAGAAGGAGTCGATGCAGCCAGACTAGCAAGCGTAAGAACTCGCATCTTGTTCTGCAAAATCTCAGCAGACTCCGCAAGGTTGTGCATGGACGAGAGAGGTGTAGATTTGATAAACTCTTCGTAAGCGTCGAGCGTATCAGAAGCGAATATCTCGAGGAGTTCGAACAAAGAAGGCTCCGCCGATCGTAGGTTCTGAATAGCATCGCTTGAAGTCAAAGGAGTAAAGTCGAACACAAACGGATAAGTGAGAGCCGAGATCAAGGCCCGCACAGCCAACTCACGGGCTTCGTTCGACGACGCCTCCGAAGGTGGGATGGCCTGTAATGCTAGGATAACATGGTTGTACGACATCTCCTCATCACCGGCCTTCTTTGCCGCATCTGCAACAGCCAAATGCAACTTTTCCACATCTTCTTCATCAAGATTCCACGTCGCAATCCAACTGGAGAGCTGGTTCCTAAGTTGAGTCTTAAGAGCCTCGAACGCCATGACAGAGGAGGTGGTGCGGATAACGGCCAAAATGGCAAGGAAGACATGATATCTGCTGTTATCGGAGGGTGCAAGGGTATTAAAGATGGTGCTGAGGATGGAGAGGGCAATAGACGGTCCATGCTGAGGGGACGAGGGGAATGGTTTGGCGAGAAAAGCGCAAATTCGAGGCAAGAACATGCCCGGGTTGGAGGACTGGCGGACAAGGTGAATGACGAGGTTATATGCGGCGGTGATTTCTGTGCAAAAAAGCCAGAGAGCAGCTAAGTCAGCCATGGACTACAACGGGGACGAAACAACGGGGAACATTTGTATATATATATATATCAAGCGGACAACCGCAATGAACCCTTAAATTTGGAGTTCATGAACCCACCTTTCTCAGGCGCCGCATTCAGCGCTGCAGATGCGACAACCAACTTCTTCAACACCTCATCTCTTTCCTTTAAGATCTGCTGTTGCTGGGCTGGCTTGGGCTCCTCCTCCGACTGCTCCTGTTCGCGTAACTTGTCGAGTGCGGGGGCGATTTCCGCGTGGATAGAGCCCTCGGTTTGAGTTTTGCGGATGGTGTCGACATAGTGAGCCAACTCCTCCGCAAGCTCAGAGAAGGTACCCTCAATGAGGAGGGTATTTGTGGGGGCCGCCATATCTCTCTCTGTAGTTAGACCGGGAGGGAGAGAGGAGCGAAGAAATGGATCAAGAGAGGGAGGTCGTGCTGAAGATTGCCTTGGCTCTCGTGAATGCAAGTCCCAATTGTCTGAATGGGTGAAATTTCTTGTGTGGATGGAAGTCTTGGCAAAGTCAGTCCGGCCCTCAAAACATTTGGATTCTCTCAACCAACACAATAGCACTCCGGCGACCTACACTTTGCTACATTATCCTAAGGAAGGACTTTGACTGGTTCGGTGCCGGATCTCCCACTCAGACATTCGATCTTATTTATTTATTAATTTTTTTTCCCCCAAAGCGGGACCCGAAAATCGGATTATTTCTTCCATGGACGTGCGAGACACTATTATTCGTAACCGATACATCATAATTCCATGCAAACGCTTAAAAAACATGAAAATAGCATGGGAAGAACACAAATGAAGTACTGTGTGGGGAATTAAGCTGATCGTCGGAACAGAGCTGCAGCCTATATTACATGCAGAACCTCAGCAGAGTATGTTGCAGCACCCTATTGCAGGACCAGCAACAAAGGAGCGTCCGAATAGCTGGACATGGAGTGCACAAAGCGAGAACATCTTTAAACAAGGAAGCCGAAAGCTCCAGCGAAAAGGCAGGTCAACATTCCGAGTGAATAATCCTGAGCCACGTGAAGAGCAGGAGCAGCATTGGAGGTCGCTGCGGGGCCACCGGCTGAAGTAGCAGCCTCAGCGTCAGACTGAGTTGCGGTTGCGGTTGCGCTGGAGAGAGTGGTCGATGTGGAACCCGAACCACTAGCTTCGAGCGAGCCGCACAATTTCCGCTGCCGCTGGCACTCCCTTTGGCCTTCGAGGTCATTTGGATGGTTGTCGATGCATTGACCAAAGTTTGCTAGGCAAACAAAGTACGGAAGAGTGTTTTTATAGTCCTCGACCTTGGGAACCGTTCCGTCGCCGCAAACACATTCAAAGGTCAATTTACTCTATTCAGCGAATGGCAAAGGACACTATCAGCAACATGTTTTGAGGATTGTGTTTTTGCGCTGCTACACGCCCCGGGGTCAACAGTTGGGATCATGGACTCACCGCGTCGCATCTGTTGACTTTGGCAAAACCATCGCAAAGCTTTGGGCAGGTGCTCGATTGGGCATCGCACCAACTAGCTGCACGATTTGTATTAGCATGCATGTTGCAACGGGTAGAAACTCGCGAAAATGAGCTTTTTCACCCACCTTTCACGCTGGCTTCAACAGCTGAAGGATCGAAGCCGGCAGGGGGTGTATAGGACGACTGAGCGGAAACCGCAGCAGCGAGGAAAGAGACAGCAACCCAGAGAGTAGAGGGCAGCATCTTCTTGGACAGTGATTAAAGGAGTTGGAGTTGCAAATTTCTAGAAGTAGTGCGGGATAGCAAAGAAAATATAGCTTTGAGTTTTAAAAATGAAACTCGCTCAGTTCAGAAAAGAAAGTGTGACAAGCTCAACTAGCAGCAAGCTATTTTAGCTATGTGACACAATTGCAATTTCACCTCACAGTGAAGGGAGAAAGAATGGTGGAAGCAAGAGGGCGAGAGGATGAGGAGTGGGGAGGGAAGTCAGATTAATGTTGTGTTTCCCAGCAACGAGAACGCAACCAGAGAAGGGACCGGGAGATCTGGGTCTGGTGAGCTCGGTAGTTCGCTCGAACCCACTCCAAGCAGCGACCTCTTGGCTAGTTAAACAAGCAGTTCCCCGGCGGCGAGCGACGGTGGACAGCAGCAGCCACCAGCACCACCGTCTGGCAGGCCCAGCCTTTTCCTAAATTACAGTGCCGGGAAAAGGGAATTCGGAAAATGGCACAGGTGAGAAGCCACTGTTCCAATTGCATGCTAGTCCGAGGGAACGCATTTCCCTTCCAATTCCCTGCTGTTGCACATGACTTTATTGACTTGCCCAGTCCTTAGCTGGTCGCCCGCCACCGCAACTGTAAATTAGGTTGACTTCGCTCGAGATAAACTCCCACCAACCATCGCAGCCTGGATGAGGCACAGAGGTGGATTCCAGAGGTGCCCTGGAGATACTCAGTGTATATTCCGTACATGTGTAACTATGGAGTATAGAGTACAGGGTTCATAAAAATATACAGATTAAAAAAAAAAAGAAAAGGAAAAATACTGATTTGGACTTCAACATCTGGATCCATGGAAAGGAAGGCCTGCTTTGACAGGGTTCTTCTGCTTCACAACATTTTATGAGGACCCCACAGGCAGTGTTTTGAGTTCGTTAACTGGCAGAGGTGCAGAGATTTGCGCAAGTTTTGTCTCGAGATAAGAAAAGAAAAGAACAGACTTCTGCACAGACACGTGGGATCTCCAACCTTCTCCTTCAAACAGTGTCATTCTCAGGCCCTGTTATGTTTTACCAGGATGCAACTCAGCTGGGCGAGTGACCAAAAAACATAGATCAGCTATTTATATGCACTTTAATGCTCCTCAACCTATCTCTGCACAGAAAGCCAACACAAGAAATAAGCAAGTCCCGCAGGATAGCTCCAATATCATCACATTCACAGCCTGAGCTCATTTATGGGACATGATATGTAGTAATGAACTGCAAACTACAGAGTAGCCCACAGGTAGCTTATGCTTCCGGTCGCATCGAGGATTCTATGGCGGCTAAACTGCCGGGGTAGGCGATGAATTACCACACTGCCTAAAGCCCGTTATTTGCGCCTTTTTCCACAAGAATGTTATGGTGTCTCAGGCTTCTAATGTCCTTTACGAGTGAGGACAATGCGATCGGAGAGAGTGGCTACATCTTCTGACACCGAGGCTAGCCATCATTATATTCCGGCGCTGAGAAAACCCTCTCGCGCTCAGGATCTCATACTCCGTACATCGCCTGCCAACTCATCGCCAGGAACACGTGGAATGAGAAGGGACACTGAGAGCATGCCGTGTCCTTAGGCGCTCACCGTAGTATGCCGCTTTTAGGACTGGTAAACCGGCCATGCAGGCGACTTTCATGCCTTGGAGACAACTCGCGGGTAATAATATCTGTATTCCGTCTGAGAGGATTCCGTACGGAGTACTCCGTACAGAGTCCAGGGATCAAAAATATGACGTGATTGGTCAATCAAAAACTCGATAGTGAGAGGCCTGGCCGCTGGTGTCAATGAAGCTTGATTTGCCGATCGTCGATCGACAAGTCAACAATCCGGACAGGGGGATGATCAATGCTGCGCAGATAAGGACGATTGGTCGTGCATAAAAATTTCGATCGCTTTAGTTTTCTTTTTATTTTATTCTCTGTCATCTTTCAGAACGATCTGCTCTTGCCGGGAGAACCACCCAATCATTAAATTTATAGATACGGAGTACAATTTGGTGAAATTACTCCATACTTCTGTTCGCTTACTGTCTCTTGGCCACAGACTATTGGGGAGGGCCGGGGTTTCTCCTTAACCCCACGCCATCAGCTCGCTGAGAAATCACCCCAGACTGAAAACACCTCAGTGAATCTCTTATCACGAATAGATGGCGGCAATGTGTGCCGGACGAGCGCTCTGTCGCAAACTCCCCGCATAGTGAAGGCCCCTTGTCCAAGGAGATCAGAACGCCAAAGGGCATGTCTGGATTGATGCGCCCTAGGTACTTCGATTTCGTTGATGAGTGAATTGTTTCATCTTCTAACGGCCGAGGTCGCCTTCACTAGGCGTCTGGGCTTGTATTCTGCAACATCGTTGCATCCCGGAGATTGACCAACCGATGAAGTCGAAATTGGCTTCAGGGGTCTCAGGAGTATCCAGACTTCCTGTAACTTTCTGCGACGCTGTCTGTCACAGGCTCGAGAGAGATCATAGCACATTTACGCTGTATTTACAGCACATACTCCAGACAGTACAGACCAAATCGAAAAAGGGCATTTTTACCAATATTCCCAAGGCTCTCTTTAAGAGGGAGTGACTTTTTCATCATTCAGTCCTCCAGGAGACGGAATATTACAGTACAGACTGATCGAATCACCAGAGTAGTTCCGGTCATTTTACTGTGTTATCAAGACGCATCAGGGCCCCGGCTCTGCTCCAGACAGCGATGCCTCGTGGAGTCTTTAATTTTTTATGCTCTATTCCTCCTCAGTCACGTACCCGCTCGAGCGCCGCTCCGGCTCTTCCTTCATCGATTCTTTCTTCTCAGACCATTCATGCTTCCATTCCTGAGTGACGTCGACTCCATTAATCTTCACCACAACTGTCTCCTCCGTCATCGCATCAACTAAGAGGACAGGTTCCCTCGTCCGGATCCAATCATGGAACTCCACAAATTCGTAAAATTTCCTCTTCGGGCAGAGGCGCATCTCCCTTCGCAAAACCGCCATTTTGAGGTCTCGGTGCCAGTCGGGGCGACCTTCATACGCGGGGCCGATGAGCCACGCCGTGGTCTTTGGTGAATTAAAGTATGACATATGCCTGTCGTACAGGTATCGAATCTCGTCTATCACGTCGTGTAGACGACGGGCGTGTGGGTTCTCTGGGATATTTGCGAGAATCACAGCGTTTTCCGCAAGGACCAATATGACCGTGCTTTTGTCGAGATGGTCCACGCCGATTAAAGGTGTCTTTGAAAAGGGCGAGAACTTGAGTGCATAGTCGGCCGACACCGAAACCATCCGGTGGTCATGCCAGGCATGGGACCGTTCATGGTTTCTAATTTTACAGGGAGTCTGGGTTGATTTGTCAAAAGCGGCGGTATCTTTGCTTTGAGGGGATGGCTCAGTTTGGGTAGATTTGTCTGCGAACTCTTGTCCAGTCATTTTATCTGCAAGGCGCGGGGCCATTTCCTTCTTGCTACATATAGCTGTCCTAATAGCATTCCAAGTTAAAATTTCGTCCCAGAATAGAACAGCAAAAGGAACGGGGCACCCATCGAAGACCCCGTAGCGGCCACAGAAACAAAGCGGCGTCCAGCATCAAAACAAGATCATGAATTGGTGACAGAAAAAACCTAAGAGACAGCGAGTTGGTCAAGGACTCAAATACAGACGGCTTTTGCCCGGTTCTGTTTCCACGTTCAATGCAAGTCAAGAGCCACGCCTGCCAACGTCGGAGCATGAGCATGTCTTACACTCAAAGCAATGACCACCAGAAATACGAGGAAGGCGGCCTCGCGCTTTGCTAGACAGCAGAAACGGCATCCATCATGAGGCTTCTTTTCCCTTAGCTTGCACAGTTATTCGTCCCCGTCCTGGGCAACCAAGAAGCCCGAACAATGACCTTCCGTTAGGCTAGCATGAAGGTAACCCAGAAGACTGAGTGGCTGCGCAGAAGGGCGTGGAGGCAAGCTTGGTGCGATTTAAGCCATCTTTCAGTTACTTCACCCTAACCAGGACAGTTTGCATAGTGACCACCGTCTCCCATCCGTAACGGCGGCTACTGGAAGTCTGTCTCCCGCAGGTTTGTCTGGCACTTTCTGTTCTAATTCCAGCCACTCGCCTGTTATCAATCTTATCGCGATGAGTCAGCAGCCTTGGCGCGCTTGTGCCGAGGTAACCGACCGCAGCCCAACTTGTTTAGATCCGGCGGGAATTTCTTCTCCTATCAATAACATTTGACAACAGCCAGGGATTGGAAGGGTCCTTTTGCTCAAAAGTTGTTGCTTTGCACACCCGGGATTTACTGGGCCTTTTATACTCTGACCTTGCCATCCCCTGAGGTTGTGGATCACTGAAACTTTCCCCACACGTCGAGCTCTCCGCAGAAGCATTTCCTTTGAACAATGGCGCAAGACACCAATTCCTCCACAGACAAAGAAATAACATTCACAATCCCTCCCGCCACCTTAGCTGTCTTTCAATCGAACCCATGGACGGCCTCCCTGATCTCCAAATCCGACTACAGACCCATCGAGACCTCTGCGCGGGTTAAGAAGCCTCTCGGTGAAGATGCCTTCTTCGCAGAAACAATAGCCACGCCGACTACGATTCCACATTGTCTCAGTCTCCAGCGACGTAACCCCTCTCCACCACCGTCAGAGGCCCCTTTCCTGCCTCCTCCGCCAGCGAAATGGCCCAAGATAACCACTCCGCCCGATTTGATCACCCTCTGGGATTTCGGCAATCCAGGGATCAGTGGACACCCTAATACGGCGCACGGGGGTGTCCTTTCGACATTAATTGATGAAATGATGTCCGTCGTTATTGCAATGCACATTCCGGGGTATACCTTCAATGAAGCTACTGAACGCGGAAGGATATACACACTACAATTGGACGTGCGATTCAGAAATCCCGTTTACGTCCCTGGACTGGCGGTTCTGAAGGTGTGGTGTATTGCAAAGGTTGGAAGGAAATTCTGGTTGAGGGCGCAGGTCCTTCAGGAGGAGGGACTAGGCGAACAGAACGGTGGTGCCCAACCGCTGGAGTGGGCTAAAAAGAAAGTGGTTTGCGTAGAATCGATGGGATTCTTCGTGCAGACGACGAACGAGAAGTTATAGCCGCACCTGTCTCATTCATATTATAGCTCGATATCGGGGTATCCTTTTAAAGATAGATGAACTCTTAGATATACGAGAGAGATACTATAGAGATATAAAAGAAATAGATATCTTTAATTCTGGCGGAGTCTATGTACGGGACTAGAAGCCTTAACTCTATCGATTATATACCAAGCTGAAGCAAAAAAGGGCTCACATAGCCCATGCAATCAACGAGATTCGGCTGCCTTATAGCTTATTCGGCTTCGCGCTTCCATTCCCATTACTTCCTCTTTCGCTGGTATTTCTCTCCGCACCAACAACCAACGCAACGTGATTGCTCAGCGCAACAATATCACCCGCCTGGTCCAGAACCACAATATCCAAATCCATCCTCCCATTCTCCAACATCTTCGTGTGCACTCTGGAGTACAACCACTCCACCCCTTCTTTTGGCAATCTCTTCTTGAACTCCACGTTCAACAACACAGTCGGATACCAGTACTTCCGCAGCTCATCCTTCTCCTCGCGCTGTCCCGCCCCCTTCCACGGCTTCGTATCAAACGTCTCCAACATCATCGGAAACATATCCACCAGGAACCCCAGCGTCTCATCCGTCCACCTCGACACCTGACCATACGGCTTGAACCGCACCCACTGCTCGACAAACCCACGCCGCACCTTCTCCATCTCCCTAGGCGTGTATATCTCGATCTGTCTCGATGCCGTTCTCAGCGACGTAAACGGCACTTCGAAGCGCGACCAGGTCCCATCCTTCCCGTCCCTGACCAATCGAGCCAGATCCACCGGCGTGGAACCATCACCTCCGGGCGCAGGCGCGGGGGTCAGGTTGAATCCGGTGACCATGCTGGGTCCGTCCTCGGTGTCGAAGTTGGACACCGTGATGTAGCCCGCTACCTCCTCGCGGACGCCGCCGTTGCGGTCGTTCTGCGAGAGGGTGATGTGTAGAGTCGACGTGCGCGCGCCTAGTTTTGTGTCTGTGACGCTGAATGTTGCGGGTCCGGTTTCCGTGCGTCGGAGGAAGGTGAGGTGCATGGTGATCGGGTCGGCGCGGCCGTTGTGCATGGTCGGATGGGTCTGGCGCATGTGTGTGCGGGCGACGTTGAAGAAAGCAGATGCTACGTAACCTCCATTGGGAACTATCGCGTATTGGATCAGCTCAGAGCTTCCCTAAGACGAACGATTAAAAGAAAAGGAGAAAAGTGGGCTACATCGACATACCGGTTCCAATGCACCACTCCTTCCGAAGATTGGCGGCGTAGGTGTGCGACGAGAGCGGCTGGACGGCAATCGCCTCGCCAAAGCTGCGCGCCGGCCCAAGGGCCATCTTCTGTGCCATTTGTCTTTTTTCCGCCTTCTTTACTTTCCCTTTCTCGAAAGCAATCTTGACAATCCCACACAGACTGCGTACGCTTTTCGGTCCAGATTCAGAACAAGCAGCAGGAGCAATTCGACCTCGATCTACGGGGAAACCTAAGTATAGAAGATCCCAGACAAAAAAAGGTTGCAAGGATTGACAATCCAAACAATATGAGAGAAAGAAGTAAACGACAAAGAATAGCTCACTAGCCCGGCATCAATCCGCATGTAATCGCGGCCCGCCAGCTTTCTCGGCACGGGGAGATGTCCCTGGCGCAAGGTGAGTTTCCGCTGCCCTTGGAAGTCAAAACTACCTCGGCTGAAGCCAACGCCCCTGGTTAACAGCGGCGATTTGTTGACTAAGCCGATCCCTGCAAACAGCACAAGCGTTTGAGGAGGCACCAAAACGCCGAAAAGAAAGGATGTTATTATTTAGCCGTTCCATTCTAGTAGTTATGTACAAGTCCAAAAGCTACCTGATACATCCCGTCCAACCTTCCCTACGCTCTGCTCTGTGCAGACACAAAAGTCCGACCCCCACGCCGGGGGAGAGAATAAAAAGGAGAAGAAAAAAGGTAAAACGATGCAAGATGGGAGTGGTCATGCCAGTCAAGAATCCAGAAGTCGCTCGCCAAGATGGCATTTCTTACAGTACACTTTTTCTTAAAAAAAAAAAAAGGAATGCGCCGAAAAAAAAAAAAAAAAAATGAAAAATACATATGTATAAATAGAAAAAACTTCCTTTTATCCGAGATAGGGATATTGTGTCGTCATGCATGGCGGGTTAGATTTTATAAGGGATCTCCCGTTCAGCCAGGTATTCGTTTGGTTCAACATCATGCGAAATCGCAGCGAGCTTTCCAAGGCAGGACAGGACTCCTACACGAACGTTAGCTTTTATCTGGAAGATCATGCACTTTCTAGCTTAAGACGACTTACCCGTGACCCCTTGCGCCAAAGTAGCCTTTGCCTCCGTATTTGCCGAACCAAGGGTGACAGTCTCGATGTTCTCAATCAACTTCTTCTCTTCTAGTTTATTGGCCCAGCGGAAGACTACCTCATCTTCGCGGCCGTCGCCCGCCACGAACAGGAAATCCGGCTTGGCGGCACTGTCCTTGTCCTTCTCGGCCCGGGCCAGGATGTGCCTCAGCACAAGATCCGCCGCCGTGGCTTTGTTGGGACTGATCGGCTCGGTTATCACCGCGCCATCGACGGCGACAGCGCGAATTCGGTGCTGCTGGCACGTGTCGTTGATGTGGTTCGCGCAATCCGACGCATGCCGTCCCGCCGTCTGAGGATCCTCGGCGTTATCGTAGTGGAAAACGAGAGAAGAGTGACGCTCTTCGACCCAGCTACCCTCAGTGCGTACGTGGAAGTAGTTGATCATATCGGCCAAGCTGTCCTTCCATTCCCGGGTCTCTTCATCGTCGATGAGTTTGATCCACTCCTCTCGGTGTGCTTCTCGAACGAAGCATCCGTTTTCGGCTATTAGGCCCAGGCCGGGGACCTGGCGGAACAGCCGCTCCATCTCTTCCGGCATCCTGGAGCTCATCACATAGACTGTATTCTTGGGATCCTCCAGCAGGTCATTAAGCGTGTCGATGGCTCGTTTCGGGGTTGTCAGAACGATGCTGGTAGGCGAACCCCACGAAGCGAGAGTTCCTTCGTAGTCGACGATGAACAGCCGACGGGACGATGCTCTGTATAACTTCATTAGGTTATTGACGGACAGTCGTGGGATCGACACGTTATCACGACAGGCCTGTTCGCTAAACGCTCTATCCAGGGCTTCGATGTAGTTTTTGACCCATTTGTCCGTGGTATGGGCATTGACCTGGTCGTTAAGCCTAGTCCACTGCTGCTCTCGTTCTTCAGGGGGCATCTCCAGAGCAGTGTTGAGCGCATCGGCGCATTGCTGGTAGTTCCACGGATTCACGAGTAAAGGATGCCCTTCAAAGACAGAGGCGCTCCCCGTGAATTCGCTGAGAATCAAGGGGCCATGCTTGTTGTTGGTATACTTCCCATCCTGGCAGTGGATGTACTCGTGGCTTGTCAGATTCATGCCCTCGCGCAGGCTTGTCACCATGAAGACGTCCGCCACCGAGATCAAGGCGAGGTACTGAGGGAAAAGGAGATCTTGGTTCAGGAAAACCAGGGGCTGGTGGGCCAGACTCGAGTGAAGCGAGTTGACCCGGGTTGCTATGTCTGAAATCGTCGCATCGAGTTCTGAATGCTCCGCACTTGAGGATGCAACCTGGATTAAAACCACCTTATTGTCGTGTCTTGTCAGCACATACGATTCTCTACCTTCTCGGTTTCACAAGTGTGCTTTGGATGTCATAAACTTACACTGTCTCTCCATTTGGGGTACTTGTTCAGGAAGAGTTCATAGGCAAGAAGCTTCTGTCTGACGCCACGGATATTGTCCAGCTTGTCTCGCGCGACCACGAGACGCTTCCCCTGGTATCGGTCTCTTATGGTACGCATCCAATTCTCGACGTCGCTGCCCTTGCGTCTCAGGTCCAGCGAAGGGGGATCGATTCCAATGGGGAACGTGCCAACATTGACAAAACGATCCTCCAGCTGGACGCCCTCGTTGGTGGCTTCGACCGTCAGGATCCTGCTACAGGTCTGAAGGAAATGATGACAGTACTCCTGGGTCTGGAAGCCAACCAGGTTAGCACCGAGGATGCCGTACAGCAGCTCCTTGCGGACAGAAAGACACCTGAACACCTCGGAGGAAGGAAAAGCGGTATGGAGGAAGAAGCCGATCTTGGCATCGGGCAATTGCTTGCGGATCATGGACGGGACGAGGAGTAGGTGGTAGTCATGGACCCAGATGATGTCACCACGCTTCCAGTTGCGCACGATCCTGTCGGCAAAGGCCTGGTTGACGGCCTTGTAGTAGACCCAAGAATGGTCCTCGTAGGCTTTGCTCTTTGGGTTGTCGGGGATCTGGTAGTGGAACACGGGCCAGAGGATCGTCTTGCAGAAGTGAAGATAGTGGCCATCGAAATCGGAGTCGTTCGCGAAGACGGTCAGGCAGGCGTAGTCAACGTCCAGTTTCTCGGCGATGGTGTCCTTGACGTGGTCTTCGAGGGCGTCGGTGGGCATGCCCAGGGTGCCAACCCACAATTTGTCCTGCGGGGCCTCGAGGTTGGCGGAGCGGATGGCGTTGAAGAGGCCGCCGTTGCCTTGCTCGGAGGGTTCTATGGTCCATGCGGCGTCCGAGAATGCTTTTTCCGGCGGAGAAGATTCGGGACGTTCCTCGACCTTGACCGGGGTGGAAGCCCGTTTGACGAGTTTCGGTGCCGGGCCGGCGATGCTGTTGTGCTGGAGAATGGAGGAGGAGGGGGACTGGCTGGGGCGGGGTCTGGGCTGGTTGAAGACGCCGGTCGCGCCCCAGAGGGGAGCATGGGGGTCGCTGGGGGTGAGCGGCTGCTGCCTACCGTCCTCGGTCCTCCGCAGCAGGTCCAGCGGGGTGAACTTGTCTGGTGTTGGGGCGAAAAGGCGCGCATGGTCCTTGAGGAGGTGTTTTGGCGCCGTGGTGGAGGTGGGAGAGGACGAGGAGGACGAGGAAGTAGGCCTCTTGGGGAAGAGGGTGTTGTGGGCTCTCCGGTTGAAGTCGGAGCTCTCACGGCGGTGGTGTCTCCTCCGAGGGCTGGACGGGCGTCTCTGGGAGGTTCCTTCGGGGAGGATGAAGTTCACGGTGTGTGGAAGGAAGCTACATCGCGACAGAAAAAGAAACGAACAACGCGTGAGAAAGAGCTGGCATAAGATGATAAAACTCAATGCTTGGGGGGGGCGCGGGGGGACGGCAGAGGGAAGGGGGGAGAAGAAGGCGGGACAATTGGACTTCGGTCCAATTGGAAGGGAGTGAACTTACAGAGAGACGATGAAGATAGTCATTGTGGAAGACGCTTTTTTTTTCGGCGGATGTAACGATCGATCAAGAGCGGGCCATGACGGCGACTGAGGATGGGGGTGTGTGGGATGCGGAAAAAGAAGAGGTAACGGGGGAGAGGAATGCGGAATCTGGTGGGTAGTGGAAAGCTAGAAGAAAGCTTGGAAAAGGCTTGTTACAAGCACATGGCGGGCGCGCTGGGCCGGGGACGTGGTGGGAGAGGCGCGAGGATGAAACCGGGAACGACTCTTCTATGTTAGGTGACTTAAATAAGGTGGGCAGACGGCGAGGGAAAATTCGAGACGAGCGGATAAACAAGTAAAATTCAATTCAAGATGCAAATCAACGTGACGATGACGACGACGAAGATGATGATGTAGTTAAGGCGGATTGATTGCGGATGAATTTGCATTGATCCAACTAGTTAAACTACACGGTTATCCAAAATGTAACTAAACAAGCCAACAACCGGGGGGGTTTGCTGGCTTGGCTTGCAGTGCATCTCGAGCTGAGCTTGTCCATGACAATGGCTAACAGGGTGGATGCTTTTGTTATTTTTTTTATATTTTTTATTTCTCCCCTTTCCTTGCGACGGCCTCTGCTCAACCAAGCAGATATAAAAACACACAACAGGCGCATCAGAGAGTCCAACGAGCAAAGGCGTGCGATGGCTGCAAGCTGGTTACGTCATGCATGGGCAGGCCGGGGATGAGCACCAACGGCGGCGGGCAGACCGGGCAGCAGCGGGGGCACGATGGCCTCTTTTCCACGGTCGTGGGTGGTCCCTGTAGGTCACGGCGATGGAGAATATGCCAGAAACAGGCTGCCTGGTTGAATCTGCCCGCCTCTCTAAACAGGGCTGGTGGCTTTGCAAGATTGCGCGCGATGGCGAGGAGACAAATGACATGCCGATGCAGCTCTTGGCGGAGTCTAGACTGCAGGAAGTCATGATCTTCTTGTCTTCTTGTTTTCCTCCGTCTTCTCTTGTCTTCTTCATAGGTTGTATTGCGGAAACTAATAGAGTTCCCTGTTGGGTTTTTCTTCTTCTTCACTCAGCTCCACTAGCTAATCAAAGCAGTGACAAGACAGAGGTACAAAAGAAAGAGAAAAAGAGAGACAAAAAAGAGATATCAAAAGTGAAAAGTGAAAGAGTGTGACTTAATGTAATTGTGTGTAATGGACCATGTACGTATTGTCATGTACGGAGTATTGTGTATTGCGTATTGCGCCGGTAACTGGATGACGTAATTTCAAAATCCAGCCAATCACAGGAGGAGATTGCCGCGGTTTACCTAATCCCGACAGCCACCGTGATGACTAATAGGAGAGCGGGAAAAGCGACCGAGAGATGGAGAGAGAGAGAGAGCGAAAGAGAAAAGAGATATGAGATAAAAGAGAGAGACGGGAGTGACCGGAAAGAAGGGAACGGGAATGCGACGAAGCAACAAGATGTGATACCATGCCTCTCCAGTTCACCGCAGCCCCCTCCTCCCGCATCAGAAAGCCCCCGTCCCGCTCCCGATCCACCGCGTCCTCCCCCTTCGCCCGTCTCCGCCGCGCCAAGCCGAATCGTCGCCTGCAGCGGGACAGCGAGAAGGAGGATGAAAGGGAGGATCAGGATGGCAGCGGCACTGCCTATTCGCCCGATCGGCTACCGGACTTGGGCCCCTCCAACCACCTCGCCGAGACCTCTCTCGTCACCACCGTCGTCCAGGCCATCCAGCATGTCCAGAACACCATCTTCACCGACATGCCCGCCTCGCGCCCCGGCATGAACAGCACCCGCATCGCCCACGTCTTGAACTTCCGCCGATCCTTGCCGCCAGTCGTCTCCGTCGCCCACGTCCATGTCCTGCTCCACCCTCCCACCGCCGTCGAGAGGGAGATCGCCCACCTCGTCCACACCGCGCGTCTGCGCCGCCTCTTCATCCCCGGCCGTGGCACCGCCCTGGCCGGCCTGGGCGACTGCCTGGTGCTCGTCGAGGACTGGGAGTTCCTCGTCCGCTCCAGCCCCTCCCTCGACGACTCGCTCAAGGGTGAGCACCTACCACATCACCTCTTTTCCGCCTACCATCACTAACTCCCGCATGTTTTAATCTCTTAGATAAGTTCATACAGCTCCTCCGCTCAAACGCACAAACCTCCGCCGTCTCCGCCGCCCACTTCACCCCAGACGAAACCTCCGCCCTGGTCAGGGCCGGCTTTCTCGTCTCCCCGTCCTCCCTCGCCAAGGTCACTTCGTCCTCGATCAACCCCGCTGTGGCCCTCGCGTCCCCCACGGACGATGCAGCTGTCCAGCTGGCTCCGCAGGCCGACAACCAGTCGTCGTGGAGCAGTCGCTCCTTTCGCGACTCAACGATGGTCCTGTCCCTGCCCAACCTTGGCCCTTACCTGCGCCTCGTCAGCGCGGCACGCTCCCAGATGCTCTCCTTACTCGAGAAGTCCAAGTACAAAGAGGCGCCGCTGTCCCTCCTCAGGGATCGCTGGGACGGTGCCGTCGAGTCCCAGGCCCAATTCGCCGTCGCGAAGCGTGCCAGAGGAGAGTCAAGCGGCGTCCTGCCGGGGCGCACGAAGAAGTGGAAAGAGCTCTACGGCATGAATTTTAGATGGGCCCTGGAGGAAGCCATTGGCGCTGGCTTGATCGAGATATTCGATACCGGCTGCGTTGGACCTGGTGTTCGACGGCTGTAGAACACTTCTACAAGTCCTACGACCTGAAACTCTATGATATAAAAAGGGGGACTAATTAAATACCCGACGTCGGCAGTCGTCTAGCCAACACTGTTCACACTCCTGCAGGAGGGCTTTTTTTTTTTTTTTTTTTTTTTTTTTTTTTTTTTTTTTTTTAGTTGTCCTTTCCCATGAATGGTGTAAATAGCTAGATGTAAATTAGCTACAATTATAGAGGAACAATACTCTGTTACGGAGTACAACAAACTTGAATGGTGATTGATGCTAGATAATTAGACAGCTTATTCATGTATTCTGTAGATATCCACCTAATTTGCGCTTGCTACGCGCCCTGGCAGGGTTTAAGTTCTTCATCCAAGCTGCAGCCAGTAAATGTTTCAGCCAGCTACATAAACATAAACCGTTCGCATGGATCTGACATGGTTAGCTCACACCACATCATCTATTCAATGATACCCACAGAAGATACTGTTTATTTCCTAGCCATTCCCACCAGCAGATGCACACTGGTCAATCCTACTCCTCAATGCTCTCCCATGTTGTTACACATGGGTAACTCCTAGCAAGCCCGCCGCAATCTCTAACTACTCCTTGTTACATTGATTTTAGGGAAACCCCCTATCAAAGCTTCCCAATAGTTGCATGCTCTAATTCCAATATAACATGATCACATATAATACTCTGTATCCCATCCATTCTTCACTTCCAAAGCTCTCACAGCCATGAACATCGCAGAGATTGTCGCCATGCATGGCACAAATTCGGACCACCAGGCTCCGCACTCTGCCCAAGGTCCAATCCCCAGAGATACCTTTCCCATCTTCCACCCTTATCCCCTTTCACTCATTGACATCCCCTGGCACCCCCATCACAGCGCCGGCGGGGGCAGCAGCTCCTCCTCCGCCGCCGCCGCCGCCGCCTCCAACCAGCACCAGCACCCTGATCTCGCTCTCTTCCTCAGATACGTCCTCGACCAGGGCCGGGAATGGATGACCGCCCGCATGCCCTGGGCCCGCTCCGGCGACAAGAGTGCTCCTGCGCGCCCGTCCAAGGCCAGGGTGCAGGTCTGCAGCTACGTCTCGCGGTATCTACCGTACAAGGAGAGCGCCGAGAACCGGGGGCCGAGCGTGGACCACTGGTTCGGCCGGCGGAGCGTGCATGAGGATGTTGCGCGGAGGGGGAGCGCGACTCTTGCGGAGCTACGCGGATTGTTGAAGGATGATCATGCTGAGAATGAGGTGCGATATAACCCTGGGGTGATAGGGGTGGAGCGGGTGACAGCGTATGATCTGTCGAAAGTGGACGTTGGAGGTGGATGGACGGATGTCACAGCGTGCGGTGAGTCCTGCAATGTCTCTGTGGATTTATTCATATGAAATCTCGAGGGAGTTGGCGTGTCTTTTGCATCTTTTTCAGCACAGAATCACTAATAATTAAAAAAAAAAAAAATCACTTTGCTTTGGTTCCCAATTGACATATTTTTTTTTCCTAGTCAACACAATCACCCACAAGTACCCAATGTGCACAACACGCTGTTACGCAGTGCTTGAAATAACCGCCACACTCCCAACACCGTCGTCTCCAACCCCATCCCCGCCGGTCCCTGACGAAACTCACCGAATCTCAGAACCCCCCGCCAGCAGCACCAAAGACCCAGGCTTCATAACCATCCAGATACCCCTCGACCCTTCCGAACTCCCCGAATCCGAGCGCCCACCCCGCAAAAACTGCATCTTCGCCAACTACATCTCCATCGAGATGGTGCAGCCGCTTCTCGCCCGTTTATCAGAAGACGCAGTTAAATCAGCTGCGGGGCTTGCTGATGGCGGTGGAGGTGGCAGTGGAGCATCGAACCCTCTCCAACAGATAGAATGGACGATGGCCACCTCGGCGCATGCGGGCGGTTGGATCCCAGAGGCCGTGCAGCGGAGCTGGTCGCTGGGCGGCGTGCCGAAGCAGATTGTCAAAGATGTAGGATTCGTAATGGGTTATCTTGCAAAGCGACGGGAAGAGGGAGAGAGAGGGGGGTGAGGGGAAACAAAATAAGCAGATCTAGGGATGGTTAATGATATAAAGCGGTAACAAGTCACGAAGGAAGAAAGGAGAAGTAAGCTAAAGAAAGCTTTTCACACTGCTGCCATAATTTTTTTTTTTTTTTTTCTTCTTTGGCGGGATACCTAAGTACATACATACATACCTACAAGAGCAAGCATAATAAGTAACCAGCCCTCCTCCGGTTCCGTTCAACTCGGCGCCAGTTTTGACCAACCGCCCACCCGCCTTGGAAAAAGAAATTGAATAACAACTTCAGGCGAAACCAAACATGGACCGTTAAAAGAAAGTAGTAAAGAGGGGGGAAAAAATAAATAAATAAATAATGGGAGACGGTGACGATAAGCTCAAATGCAAAGGTGAAAGTGGAGAGAAGCTGCAAGCTGGGATATTGTAGAATGACACACGCGATCCGCCGCCTCCAACGGGAACAACGTAGGAGGGGAAAAACAGATGATAAAGATACAGACGTCAGCACATGCAAAAGGACAAAAGAAACGAAAATCATGTTGGAAAGAGAAAGCCGGTATTGCAGATATATCATATACATGAATAAGGCCCCTAAAAGACAGCGGGAAAAGGTAGCGGGAAATGACGCAGAAAAGAACTTTAGGTTGTCAAAGCGGGCGAGAAAATATAAAGAAATGACCAGCTGTAAGCAAAAAAAGATCCCGTCCAGCCTACCGATTTTTGTTTTAAAAAAAAAAAAAAAAAAAAGGGGGATGCCAGGTCCGCCCTGTGTGAGTGTAGACACCTGGAGAGAGACGGAGAGACATGGAGCAAACCGGGCGTACGACGCGTCAAGGACATATTAAGCATTGAAGAGGAAAAAGGAAAAAGAAAATGGGTATGTGGTCGAATTGCATAAAGAAGATAGCTAGGAAACAATGTAGACCGATAAAATAGATTTGGATTAGAACGCAATTGATTTCCGTGCAATTGCATTTTTTTTCTTTTTTTCAAAGATGCCCCCCGATGCCCTCCTCTCTCTCTCTCACACAATACAAGGTATTTTTGAGCACGACTTTGGATCGAATTGTCTCAATTGCCATACTCGCAGATACGTGATAACGGTAGATCACACCCATGCAGCAGCGACCCGAGCTAAGCTTCAGGAGGGAGCCAGGGACCGAATCGCCCCGGCGGTAACTGCGGCATAGTTAGGACCGATAAACTCTGCGCCTTATGATGTTCGCAATCCGTAGAGACTGCCGATGTTCGCGCCACGACTCTCGACAGCAGTGTCATAGGATCAGCAATATCCTTAGGCGGAAATGGGATAAAACAAGAGCTCGATGCGACTGATGGAAAAACTCTCGCATTCGAGTGTGGTGCAGTTATGCCCCGTTGGCGCCGGAAGCTGAAGTGTTCCCGCCGGTGCTGGCAAGCTGTTCCCGTAGGCGACCGACTTCCGCCTCTAAACCATTCATGCGTGTCTCCAGAGACCGCACGTAATCCCAAATCCGATCATTAACCGAAAGATTACTCACACCTGGAAGAGAAGACTGTCGCTGTTGTGAGAAGATATTAGTATTAATATTATTGCTGTCGGGATTATTCATGTCTGTCGTCGAAGTGGTATGGGGAGAACGGGCTTGCTGCATATGCGGGTCCGTGCGATTGTTAACGGAGTGTATGGAAGACACTGATCCCTGGGACTGGCTATGGAGGGTAAACCTCGAGTCGGGAGGATTTAGGCCGGGAGGAGGCGGAAGATGGGGCGTGCCGGGCTGTGGCGAAGGGAGGCTCAGCGGACCCGGCGCGGTCATCGAAGGCACCCCAAGAGAAGCTCCCGAACCCTGACGGCTTCGGTTATATGGCGACTGACCTTGCTGGAATTGTGGCTTTAGATTGGGAGAGTGGCCTGGAGTGAGCTGCTGCTGTGGTTGCGATGGCGGAGGCAGTGTATTCGTTTCATGACCATGGCTGAGCTGATGCGGTGAAAGGGCGCTGGGAGATAATGGTTTTGGGCTTTCCGTCATGGTGGTCTGCACAAATATTGATGGAGAAGAGCCTTGATGGGCAGGGTTGAAGGAGGAAGATCCGCTGCTGCCGGGCGGGTAGGACGGTGATATCGGGGAAGGCGATGCGGAGCCTGCATGGCTGGCAACGGGCGGGAAAAGACCACCGGGCGAGCGATTGCCGCCTAATGGGGGATACGTGCTCGATTGATGAGACGTAAAAGAGACGTGGCGGCTCGCGGAGGTCTGTGAGTGTGGCTCGGGCGTAACGTTGTCCTTCCTGATGCTGGGTATACTCAAACGTCTCTCTTCTTCTTCATCCATGCGCTCTGGCTCTGTATACATCAATCCTTCCATTGCGTCATCTGCCTGCACCACCCCTGAGGTACCACCCTGTTCAGGATATTCTTCCTCGACACCAAAACCACCCATGCTCGACCTCCTTCCCGCGCAGCCTCCCGAACCTTTGTTGTGTCTTGCTAGAGCATCTCCTCGAGCAAACCGTCTGCCACATTTAGGACATATGTGAGGACGTTCGCCGGTATGGAGCTTCGTGTGTCGTTTGAGGTCATGTAGGCGCCTGAAACGCGATTGACAGGTCTGGCAGACATAAGGTTTCTCCTGGCTGTGCGTGAGTAGATGGCTCTTTAGGTTATGGTGACGTGTAAATTCCGTAGAACAATAAGGGCAGCGATGCTTTTTGGCAGATGGAGAGCGTGGGCCTGCTTTGCTCAAGCCAGAATGCGGAAGACTCATTCCCCGGCGTGGGTCGTTGAGATTTGGACTTGGCATGGGTACAGGATAAGAAAAGGCTTTGCTGTTGCTATCTTCGAGCACAGATTCTTCCTCCCTACGGTGCGATCCTTCCTCCAGTGGATTATCCTCTTCAATTGGGCCTGGGCTCGCCACTGTCGCGCTATTCATCAGGGTACCCGGGTTATCTCCATTACCATAGGCGTCGGGCAGTGCAGTGGGGCTGGCGCGGTGTTGCTGTTGCTGTTTCTGCCGTTGTTCTGTACGCTCATCTTCTGTTGATCGATGAAGCGACTTGGACTCCGTGGGGTGAGACGCAGCTCCAGTCGAAGGGGCGTCGACGTTCTCCGATTCATCACGATTTGCCTCCATCACGGCGCCGAGAGCCTCGCGCGCGGTTTGTAGGGTACTGTGATGAGTGCTGTTCTTGGGCTGCTCCCCTTCTCCGCGCTGATCGGGATTACTCGCTGCAGACGTCAGATGCGGCGACAGATGCCTTGACCTTTCCATGAAGGACGAGGGAGACGCACGCAGACTGGCGTTGGCGACTGATGGTAGATTCGGATCTGTTATGACGTCGTCTGGTTTTGAGAAGATGGAGACGGGATGCGAGCGGGCCGATGAAGGCGGCACGGAGTCTGGAACTTTGCGAAAAGTGGGAGATTCGGGACCCTGAGGAAAAGGGCCTTCCATAAAGATACCTTGTGAGCCGCCAGTTTCGTGGGATGAAAGGAAGCAGGGTCGTGGCCGAAGGATATCAACGGGCGAACTTCTAAAGATGTGGGACGAAGTCATGATTAGACCGATTCGCTACTCAAAAAGGGGGTGGAAAGCAAGAGGAGGGAGGATGGAAGGCCAAAAAAAACAAGGGAAATAGAAAACAGGAAATGGAAAAGGCAGATAAAAAGAAACAAAAAAAAACAAAATAATATTACAGGTAGAGGTTGAGGAGACAAACAAGGTAAGTTTGACAGGAATTAATTCTTCGCGGAGGGTTTCTGGAAATAGAACAGGAGATCGGGAGGATTCGTCTTTTGAGGCTCATGAATGGGGGAGATGGGCAGATCTAACCGGCACGACAAGGCAGACTGGAGACGGGGGAACAAGGGGCAGAGGAGGCTGGTTGGCTGGTTGCGCAAGCCAGTGGATGGAATGGGCCGAGATGGGAAACGCACGCGAGAGGACGGCAGTGTCTGGCGGAGATGGGAGGAGACGGAAGAAGAGAGGTCATTCGCAGGCGGAGCAGAGGGGGAGGAGACGGAGGGAGGGAGGGAGAAGGGGGGGAGAGAGAGAGAGAGAGAGAGACGTGATACTCACAAGGACCAGGCGTTGTTGTTGGGTGGCCGAGTGCGCCTGAAGCTGGGAGGTCAGGTGTGGCGCAAGCTGACAGGCTTCCCGGTCGTGTTTTGGATTGGCCGCCGATGGGTCCGATCGTCGCGTCCGATGCGGTAATAATGCTCATCCAAGGTGTTCGAGAAGAAGAATAAGAAGAGCAAGAAGGCGAAAAAAAAAAAGAGAAAAGAAAAGAAAACAGAGGAAGAAAGAAGCGAGATATTCAAACCGGGACTCCGCTCGAGTGAAAGGGCAGACGCGGGAGTGCTGGACACGCTGGCGAACGATGGCTGTCGCGAAAGCTCGGCGGTCGTTTTATCGAGGGAGGAAAAAGGGACAAAGTTGTGGTTCAACTGCCGAAGTCCTTGGTACGGGTAGCAGAGCGTAATTGGTGAATCGCGACGAAGGTTTTGTGCAAGCCACAAACGGTCCGAAAGGTGGTGGAACCTTCTGACGGACTGGATGGGCGTGTCGTTTTCAATGCGCGGGGAGAGAGAGGAGGAATAAGAAGATGACGATGAGGCAGACAAACCGACAAACAGAAAGGGGGGGAGAGAAGGTGGAAGAGAGAGAGAGAGATGCGGCGCGAGGAGCTGGGACCAGACAGGGACGGCGGAAGGAGGACGTGTCTTGCGTGGTCGAGCAGCGGAAATTAGACGCTGAATTGAAGGGTGCAGAAAGGCCCGGGGGTGCGACTCCTGGGCGGCGAAAATCCCCGTGCAGGCAGGCCTTATTAATTCTACCGGGCGGCAATGGCAGCGAGTCGGAGAGAAGTCTGAAGGGGGAGGCAATTGCTGGCTGGTCGAGGAAAGATTTGCGGGTTGTCTGAGATGGATTCCAGGAACAGGGCGGGTGGAGTAACTTGGGCCAGGAAGCAAAGAGGCCGTGTGGAATTTCAACTAATGGCTCTAGTAGTTTGGCTGGCGGCGGTGGTTACGGGACTGGGCCAAAGCACACGCTTCTACTTGGGAGTATCCGCCGTGGGCAGGGAGGGCTGGATGACTATATCGAAACCCCGGACAAGAGCCAAAGAGCAAGAGTACAGTCAGAAACGTGTCTGGGCGTAGCACTGAGAGCAAATGACAGAGAAGAGAGAACCAAAAGTAAAAGAAAAAAAAGAGCAAGAGACGAGAGAGATGGAGAGAGGGAGAAGAAGGTGAAGCGACGAAACGCCCGTCACCAGCCATTTCCTGACTGCCAGAGAGACCCTGCTGTACCGTACCTTACCATACTGATACCTTCCCCGGTGTGTCAGATGATGAGGCTCGGGCCGGCTCCTGTGCGCTGCGCGGCCAAGAAGAGTATAGCATCAATACCGGCCTGGTAACTTTGTGCGTACGGTATGGCGGCTTACGGAAATATTCATCCCTCCCCACCCACCCACCCACACGGACGGCTTGCTTTTGCTTCTTTTCTTCCCCATCGAAGCCGCGCAGCACCAAGCAAAGTATACAGAGAGAGTACAGAGCGTCTCTCTCTCCATCCTGGGGCCATCTGCTGTGGTTGATCATCATCGTCCAGCACCCCTTTTACGCTACATACATATGTACGTTTCGGAATACAACAGCAATCGGGCTCTTGCAGCTCCGCGATCCTGCAAATCACAGCGCCGAGTCTGGGCGATGCGCCTCACCACCCGGCGGATTGACGATGCGCCCTCGTTTTGAACGGTACGTGTCTGCTGATTCGCTTCCGGCTGCACAAATGCAATCTCGCGGGAAGAGAGGCCGCGAGGCAAACCGCGCCCAAAGCGTCCCGTCCTTTCGTGTTGCAGCAGCAGCAGCTCCTCTCCTCCTCCTCTCCTCTCCTCTCCTCTAGTCTCCCTCTTGGGGATTGTCACAGGCCCCGTGGCTGAGCCCGCGCGGTGTACAGCAACCGCGGGTGGTAACAGATCATAACCCGGTTACTCGAGCAACAACATCGTGAAGGTGCCTGCTTCTTGTTCAACGGCGGGCGACTAACAGCAATGATCCCGGCACGGACTCCGACATCCCGATTGCCTCTAAAAAAAAAAAAAAAAAAAAAAAAAGGACTATCTTTCAAGCTTTCACCCCGGCCTAACTAATGTACATATGTATGAACCTTTCTCCCACATGAGCAAAAAGTCTCCCAAAAAAAAAAAAAAGGTCTCCCGCCACGCGTATCAGCTGCTTGCTCCTACGTCCCAGCTCTTCGCTCACACAGTCCCCACCCCGACTCGCCATCCTCTCGCCCTTCTCGCCGTCGCAGAACCCGCAGCCAAAACACCGCAAACGCGCGCTGATCGATTGGGGCTGTGCTGGAGCCCGGCCACACTGTGGAGGCGATGGCTGGGGTGGCGGGTTTCACGCATCGTCATTGGCTGGAGTGTCATGTGGCTTTGCGTCAGAGCCTCAACTTTAATATCCTCCCGGGCCAATCAGCAGCCGGTTCGCATTTCTTTGCTTTCTCGTTCCGGCGAGCTTCGCTGCGATCTGCCCCAGACTGCCCCGGCTGCTCGAGGCTGCTCTTGCGCTCGATGGCAGGCGTGATTGGCCATTGGACCTTGCTCATACTGGCGTGCAGAGTTTGTCGACGGTTGTGGGGTCACACACGTCTATGTATGGATGCCTCGATGGACTCTCCTGGGTCCGGAGTATCTGTACATCCAGACTAGATAGCTTTTTTGGGGAGTTCTACGGAGTAGAGTTACATACTGTTGCTGAAGAAGTACCGACTGCCAAACCTTGCGAGAAACTGCCAATGCGCCATTTTGACCACAGCCACAACCGTTGCAACACGGCCTCTCGTGTCTTTTGCGTCGCATCGAGTCTAGCCGGTTGTTCACTGTGCTTCTTTTTGGCTCTTTTGAAAATTGCGGCCTTGTTTGGGCACCCCTCAGAGATACAGGGATCTAGCCCGGTGATATGTTATATACATACACAGTAAGCACACTTTGTGGCAGGCCAGGCTGCTAGCCACAAGTTTAATGATATTCAAAGCCAGCCCTTCCTGGCTTGTCTTTTGGTGGTGGTGGTTATTATGATGATGATGTCATATTGTTTAACCACCCAGAGAAGCCACAAGGTTGTCTTTGATGTTAAAAACAGAGACCAGTCCCTGCTTGTCCCTTTGCAATCTTCATTGCATATCCTATGAGCATAACCTTGGGGAAATAGAGCGAAAAAGGAAAAAGAAGAGAAAGAAGGGAAAGCAATGAAGAAAGAAAGAAGAAAAATCCATGCATTCGAGGTGGAAATGCGCCCGTGAAGGGGTGCCCTTTTGGAACATCACGAAAAAGAAGTATCCAATGTTTACTCGAGGCAAATGTTACACCACATCCTACCAGCCAAGATGGTCGGGGCCTTGCATCTTCCATATTCCTGCAATCACCGAGCCCGCCAGTACCGCCGTGGCGGGGCCCAAGAAAAGAATACTCACCTTGTTGGCCCCAACCCGAGCTTTTCTGTGTGGACAGGTTAAATGGGGTTCGTCTATACATAGTTTTACACAGAATCCGACATCGCAATCTAAAACGATTTAGGATAATAGAGCTTATTTGCGTTTGGACCTAATCAAGTAGGGATCGAAGCTAGCGCTACACAGATCAATCAGAGCAAGCAAATGGCTAAAGCTGGAACTGCAGTACATGTATATGCATCCAGCCACCGGGGATGTTCTGAAGGCAGAGAAACTGGAAATTTCACTCATTGAGAGAATGCCCATCTTTGAGCTAAACAGCTATGGTATTGCGACAAGAGATGTAGTAGGAGTGCCCATAAACACAGCAAAAGGATCTGACCAAAGAAAAATAGGGGTATCCAAAACATATGAAGTGCAAAGGGAGATCAGGAATGAAGATCAAAAGGTAAAAAAGAATTGTGGGGTGGAACCAAGTGTACACATATTAAAAGGAATAGCAGGGGTTGCCGTTAGATAACGGTTAGATTAGGGAGCCTGCCTTGCTGCATTCCTCCTTTTCGCATCTTCAAGCGCCTTCCGCAGCCGATCCTGCTGTTGCTCCTCCTCGGTTGGGGCCGAAGCAACCAGCGGGCTTGAGGATGAAACAATAGCCGCCGTCGGGATCGCTTCCGTTACCGGGGCACCGTCGGCTCCATTACCCCCCTGGCTGTTGCTAGACGATAGCTCGCCTTTCTGCATGTGCTGCAGCACATCATCTATGCTCTTCAATATCTCCTGGTGTCCGCTCCGAACGTCGGCCATTCTTGCATTCAGGTCATCTTCGATTTTGAGATCCTCTTTCTTCTTTTCTTCTTCGAGACGTCGGAAGATATCCGGACTGGCGTTGGCTACCTTCGCTTCTGCCACCGATAGCTCATAGTCAGCGTTATTCAGGAGGCGGTCTGCCATTCCGAAGCTGGAGAGAATAGACTCCGAGTCACCACCAAGGAATCGGACAAATCCAGAAGTCAGCGTGAGAATATTTTCAGCCTGCTGTGGCAAGCTATTCATATCGCTAACTAGACTTGGATCGAGTTTCTCAATCTTTGCGAAAATGTCGTCGAGGAGACTCTGGTTTTCGCCAATTCCACGCATGCTAGCCTCATCGAATACGTCCATGAGCTGATTTGCGCGGTCATCTCGGGCCTTCGCTGCTTCGAGAAGGATCTTCTTATCAGCGACATCGAAATCTTTATCCATCTGCTTCAAGGCCGACGAATCGCCCAGGAAGACGAAAAAGCGGCGCTCCGCCTTCTTCCTTCTTCTCTCGCGCTCAAGAGCAGCTTCTACTAGCCTTTCGTGACGCATTTCTATTTTCTGAAATATATCAACCGCATTTTTCATCGCACATGATAGGTGGAATTTTTCAAGCTTAGGTGTGGACCCAGAATCTGCTTCGGAGTTAAGGAGGTCGAGCGCCTCTTTATAATAGCCTTCAAGAGTTGCGATCTCAGCTCTAAGCCGCTCATCCACGCGGGTGAACACGATCTCCACAAATTTATCATATTCTCTCCTCTCCTCGTTGAGCTGTTTTTGAGCCTCCGTCTGCTTGAACTCGGTTTCTAGAACATTAATATCGGAGTATCCGATCTCCTTGTTATTAAAAAGGTTGTCAATATGGTGTTCTGACGCTTCTTGTCGTGCCCGGCGTTGGCCATCTAGTTGGCCTTGTCTTGAGCTTGCCCCACGATCCCATGCTTCCAAGCTCTTCTCCATGAAATTGAAGTCGTCAGGGAATTTTTCCAATTCGTCTCGAGCAGCTGCAATCCGTGCATCAGCGGCTGGATTCGGTATTATTGCCGGCACCAAAGTTCGGATATCGTCCAAGATCGCCGTAGCTATGCCTTTTTTGAATGGATCTGCAGTCGGCGCCCTGATCCTCAAACTCGACTCTGGTCGCTTGCCTCGATAAGCAACACTCTTTTCCCGAACGAGCCCCAAGAATGTTTCATCATGTTCAGCTCTTAGTGGTCGAGGCATGCCTGGCGCATCTGAATCACGACGTAGCTGCGAATTTGGTTGCGTCATCACCCTTCCGCTCTCTGCCGATGCTTGTCTTAAGGCAGAATACGCCTGGTACGCTGGACGCTCAAAGCTCAAAGGTTCTGAACCTCTCTGAGGACCTTCTTGGTACCGAAATGGGGTATATGGCGTGGATGCCTGGGGAATGATCGTGGCTGCACCAGCTGGGGGCACCGAGGTGGCTCTTGGTAACTCTCCTAGTGGGTTTCTAGATGTTACAGGGGAAACAACGTAGCTCGTATCATTCAAGCTCTCAGCCCTATTTCGAATCTGCGCCGGGGGAGTAGGGTTTGACGCGGATCGCTGAAGACCGGTGCTGTTCTTGAGTTCTGCCTGTTTTCGCCTCAGCGACGAAGCGAGCACGGGGCGACCACCTGGGCTGTAGGTAATAACGTCATCCTCTTGTTCCATGGGTATGGGTAACTCGGTATCAAGCTGTTTCAGCTCCGGTTTCGTCGGCGCCTTGAGCTGGTCGGCGTGTTTCGGTACTTCATCATTTGTTGGCTTTGTTTTAATGGCATCCGGCACAATCTCCACGCTGTAAAGTATTTCTCGTAGCTTGGACTCCTTGGTCATAAATGCTGTAAAAATTTTGAACTTCTCCTCATCTGATTCCGTCGCCATTTCTTTTCGAAGCATAGTAACGTATCTCGTTAACGACGACTTGTACCATGGGTCAAGGTCAGCGTACGGATCAGCAATAGTTGTGATCGACTGCACAATAGGTTGATCAACTCTGGACGTTATAGGAGGGCTGTTTTTGGGTGACAACTGCAAAACGGAAGGCCGAAGTTGTGACACGGGAGTCGCCGCGCGACTGGTTCCTTTCTCAGAAGTGGCGGACGTCTGAAGATCTGGCTCCACACCTTTTTCTGATGGGACTGGATGTTTATCTTCGATAGGCACAGGCCGGGACCACTCCTGAATGACGTTGTCAATCTGGCCCGTGCTGTCTTCAGCTGATACCGCACTCGAGAAAGAGTCTACACTATTCATACGATCAGCCTGTTGAATCTGTCTACGGTCTGAGGGTTGGGTTCCGGCGTCAACGGACGAAACGGGAGAGACCCGGCCCTGTTGGATTTGATCGTGTTCTGGAGGAGGGGATAAAATCGGAGGTTGCGATTCCGATTCCGACCTTTCTGGTCGGTTAGACATAGGTACGTCAGAAGCCAGTTCAAAAGTCTTTGTTGCCTGAAGTGGATTTTGAGTCTTGAATGTGTACGCTTCTGTGTCATCTACTTCCTCATGGGTGGATGAAAAATGCTCCCAGTCAGACGGCCCTCCTGAGCCCAGGGCGGAAGCGCCTGGTGTAGAATTTGTAGGTTTGGTGGTTTCTGGCAACACAGGAGCGGGAGTGGGTGGAGGTACGTGGGCCGGAGAAGAAGTGAAGCTCGGGTCCTCTATTGATTGATTGGGTGGCGGCAGAGAAGGCTCATTTGGTGGAAGACTAGGAGGTCGATCAGGTACGTTGCCCAGGGCATGTGTATCGTTTAGAGTGTTTGAACCATTGAGGCCCGTCGGTCCCATCTGAGTGATAGTAGGGATGAGCGGCTGCGGCTGTGAAGTCGGAGCTGGAGCTGGAGGCGGGGGATGCTGTGACTGCTGTGGTGGTTCATAGTTGTGCGTTGGCGGATGAGAGGAATAAACTGGGGCGTTTGGCCAGTTTTGCTGGGCCTGCTGGGCCTGCTGGACCTCCGCTTGGTACGCGGGTGGTATCGGCGGTGGCTTGGGTGGCACCGCCTGACTGACGCCGGAGTTGGAATCCGAATATGGGTGCGGCTGCCAAAATTGCGGCGCAGGCTGCGGCGGCTGTTGCTGTTCGGAGAAATGTGTAGGGGGATTGGGCGGATAGTAAGGGTGTTGATTTTGCGCAGTATTCCACGGCTGTGGTCCTAAATGGGCCTGTGTTTGAGGTTGATCTAGGCTGCTTGTTGGGCGTGGCTTCAAAATATCAGTGCTGAGAATTAAATAATATAGATAATAAAACTACATACCGGTAGAGGAGGTGGAATTTGACTGCCCTGCGCAGCACTCGATTGATGATGATGGTGGCCATAGTGCTGATTGTACCGTACGCCCCAAGTAGACGTATCTATATTCGGTGAAGGGATGCTGGGTGCCGGCTGAGAATGCGAGACATGATCAAGCGCTGGAGACGGTGTGGATCCGGGCATAGGCCCGTACATATTTGGGTTATAGAAGGATGTGGCCGGCTGGGACGTCGTGGGAACTTGAGTAGGCGGTGGGGATGAGACCTGTGATGCATTCCACGACTGTCCATGCTCTGCCGGCTTGCTCTGCTGCCATTCGGGATATGAAGGCGGGGGGCCCGTAGGATAGTATGACTGCGGAGGAGGAGGAGGCTGCGAGCCGTACATCTGGGATCCTGAGTGCGACATTTGAATCCGTTCGGTCGACAGTGTAGCTGTTGAAAACTCAGCTACCGGCTGAGCCATCAGTCAGCTATGCTCTGTGGGGAAAAACAGGCCGGGTACTCCGTACAACACCTCCTAAGTAAGATTCAAGACCACAAGGGAAATCCAAGGTGTCCCGCGGATATGCAGATTGTGATTTGCTGTCGCGGATGGATAGCTGCGAAGACTCGTTCACCTCATAATCAAGGCTGTCATGGGGCCCAGTGCAACAGTTAGGTATCTCTGTCAGGAGTGCAGCGTGATATTGTTTATTATTGCTCTTGTGATCATCGGACGGGAATCACTCAGGTTTTCATTGTCCTCGCAGGACCCTTCCGTGGGCCGGACTCCGTACTCCCAGGGGAAGTTGATCAACGAGATGCGAAGGGGGAGATGTTGGAACTAGGATGAGAGAAATGAACTTTCGATGCGGGTGGAGTTATGGTGGAGCTGCTGAGCTCGTATTCTTAACGCCCAACCTCGAGCATCGACAGTAAAGACGGCGTGGTCGACGCAGCCAAGGACCGCCACGAGCACGCTGCAGTGCACCAGATGGGCCGTTTTATCGTGTTTGCATCCGACTAACCTTGTGGTTGAGGCTATGTCCATACGCAGGACGTGCAGACATACATCTACTGTGATCCAGCGTCTTCGTGTCTTCGGATGCGCTGATGGCCTTTGATCGAAGCTACGGTAAAACTGAAGCGAGGCCCGTTCTTGTCGTCTTGCCTTCGAGTGGCGCCTGCAAACAACCTTCCGCCCTCGTTTTTCAACCCCCTGACGAGCCTTCTGCCTCTCTTGCCAGCCAGTGGGCGACGCTTCGTACCCAATTGACTCTGCTCTTTCGTGATTTCCGCCCTCTAAGCCACAAGGGCCGATGCCCTCTGTCGATCGGAATCCAGGCATAAAAAACTCCGTACTCCGTACTCCGAGCGGAATACATTCTCTATCAGACTCGTGGCCCCGAAAGAAAGGGGCTGATACCTAAATAGACCGCCTAGGCAAAAGGCAAATCACCTAAGGGGTGAATTCAATTATCCCTAACAATACCTTCGAGCAAGGGGATAGTGTTACTCTGAACATAAGTGGTGATTCAGGTATTCTCCAGATGGAGGATTTCAATTACTTTTACCCACTATGGAGTACCTATTATTCAAATCGTATTTTCCTCTTTGCTCTACTCCGTACAATTTTACCCGGCCTTGATCTTCCAAGCCAGGTGCTTCAGCTCCGCCTAAACAATGGCTACTAGCGAGATCTTTGTCGTCAAGTGGACGGCGGAAATCTCCTCTTCGTGACTTGGTCGCGGATACCTTTCAGCGCCCATAGAAAAATCAGGGCTCTATTGCAGGCATCGGAAGAGGAGGCGGCAAGAAAAATTCACTCTTCTTCTTTGTTCTGCTATCCTTTAACCGTGAATATCCCTTTACTCCTTCATTCCTTTGCAAAAAGTTTTCATATATGGTGAAAAGGTCAGGTTGAAATAAATCGACCATTGACATTTGGTATCATTGTCATGCAATGAATTACTTTCTTCTTTCTTAGTCTTTTATATCCCAATCAGAGAACAATAATACCATTCTAATGCCATTGTCCAACTCATAAAAATGCTCCTTATGGTTCTCATTATGATGTGAATATGCTTTCAAGAATCACCAGCATTGAAAATTCATCAATTCAGTGCAGCCATGGCTTATTCTGCCATGCCTGTCCTTATACTGGTTGCCCCTATATCTACCTCATGGGTAATGTCATTTACAGCTCTTTCCACGCGTTTTTGGCGCAGGCATCATAGAAGAACTCATTTTTCTGTAACCTGAACTTGGAGCTTCATTTTTTCCCTACCTCTCGTCACCTCTTCTCCACCTCACTTAATCTATAGATCTTTGTTCTTCTAACGCTTTCACTCTACTATCATAGCCTGACATTTTCTTGAAGTGACTCTCGAATCCGATATTTTCAATCACTTTATCCTAGTTATCAGATACTACATTTAAAGAAAAGGCCACACAAACCCCGAGTCTGAACCCGGCCTTTTCTCGAGGTCAAAAATAACAGTGTCATGGATGGTCAGGACCTTCCAAAACCACCTACTTTCCCGGTGCGGCCAGATCTATTTAACGAAGTGGAATGGGGTCCGTTCCCTAGCGACAAGGATATCGCGCTGGCATATAAGCTCTGGATTCACCAAGATGGGCTTCTTGGGAAGGAAGTACGCTACGAACCCGGGTCAGAACGAGAGGATGAACCAGAGGACGATGGGCCCGATACCTGCCTCGTCCGAAATGTGTACGAAGCCTTGATGCAGCTTAATCCGTTGCCTTTTGCTAAATCGCAGCAAGTTGAGACTGCCCAGTTTAGACATGAGTACATCGCTTCTGACGAGAGCGATGCAAGCCTAGGGACCGTGAGAGCTAAGGGGTGGTCATATAAGGAGCTATTTGGGATGGAGTACCAAAATCATGCAGATGAGCCGGAGGTGAAAATAGAGATCAATGGCCTTGACTTACATAGCTCCCGCTGGAGGAAGGCCGGCTTGCAAAAAGAACTCCGGGCGAGGCATCTCAACACTAATGGAACGGTCGCGGAATTAAAAGAACGCCTTCGCAACTCTGAGCTCGACAACTACAGATTAGGGGCAAAGGATATCGACAAGGGAAGCCGACTGCCTCGTCAAACTCTTCTGCAATGGGGATGCACCCGGACAGATGATTATATGTTGAAAATATCGACAGAGACCATATTCAGTCCCGTGGATATGTATACTTGGGCTATTTTACTCAGTCCATACAATCCTGCATATTGGACCAGCCGAGCCTTTGTTTATTATCAGATGGGTCACCTCGATCTCGCTCTCGGAGACGCCCATCGTGCGCAGCTATTGTGTGATGTTATAACCAACCCGTTGGTCCGCAACTCTCAGCCGGGATTATATACCCGCATATGGGACGCTATAGAACGCCATATCTTACAAATAAAATACGAAGGGGTAAAAATCGCTCCAGAAATCAAGAAGCTTAGAGATGTGTCCGGCGTGAGCGCCTTTATACCGCATGTTCGGAAATCGCTACATCACATGATATGTCTCAGTTTGCTTACACTACAATGCTGGGAGGATTATCAAACGATTGAAGGTGACCAGATCAAAAGAATTACAATGCGGGATCGGGACAGCCGGGCAATCCAAGAACGTCAACAATTGTTTGCGGAATTTGTCAAGGGCGTTTTGAAAGAGAAACGAGAAGACCCTAGAGAGTTTTTCTACGAAAGCCATTATGGCCATATCCCTGGGAAGCCTTATCCCTACTACCAGCCTATTGCGCGCACATCCAACGAGGTGATAAACAATATCAACAAGGAGATCATTGGCAATTCCCAGTCGATCCAGCTTGGCCCGTGCAAAATTGAAGTTAGAGGAAAGTCAGACCGCCAGCTAGGTGTATTTGCCAGAGAGTACATCAAAGCCGGAGAAGTCGTATATGCTGACGAGCCATCCATTCGGGGCCACCTCCACGATTTCCACCGTCGAAAAGAATATCGGTGCGAAAATTGCAAGCGGAGAATTACGGCAGTTCCTAACAATAGGGATGCACTATATTATATTAAAAATAGCCTCGCCGAAGCGCGAGCTTTAGGAATAGCATGTGAGTGCGCCTTGTCGGAGTCAGAGCCTCTGTTTTGGTGTAATCCTCCGCGGTCACTTGAGGCAGATGCAAGAAAACCCGAGGAGCGCCCTCATCAAGCCGTGAGCAACGCCGTGCCGCGTTCTCGTAAGAGGGGTGCCGACGGGGAGGATGATAGTGGCGGAGAACGCGAGCCAAAGAGGCAAAGGACTGGCCCCCTTTCATGTTTCCATGTGGCACTTACACATTATCATTACCGTACATGCGGGAGAGACTGGCAATGGCTGCAAGATGCAATGAGACCTGTTAAATGGGCTCTCGCAGAGAGGACACCGCGTCTGCACTATACAAACGAAAGACACGGAACCGTTTTAAGCCTTATGCTTAGAGAGGTCTTCGACATAACCCTTGAAAGACGAGAGACAGATGGGAAGCCAAATCTCCTAGCTTATGAGATTGATGAATTATTTCCGCTGATGGGGGCTGACAAGGAAATCGAAGGGCACAACTTCCCCTTCTCATTCGCGGCAAATATCAAAGTTCCGTTTGATATCCTGCAGTGTCTTGGTGTTAATATATTCCGAGACATGACGTTCGACACATGGGTCATTCAACTTGTTCTCAGGAAATTGCTGATCAACGCAATTCCCTGGGACCTCAATCGACGTGTAGCGGATGTCGTGGATACCCCTGAGAGCAAGGAACTCCGTCGCAACGGACTACCGAGTTTGCCAGAGATCAGGTTTTCTGAAGCCGATCCGACCATTAAGGATCTCTATATCTTCCCAGGAGTGTCGATGTTCAACAGCGCTTGCCCAGACCAACACAACGTCAACTGGGATTGGGATCTAGCAGTTCCAAATCGTATGGTTCTGTGGGCAACAAGGGACATCGAAGAGGGTGAAGAGCTGCTTATCCCATATGTTCCGATGAAGATTGGAGGGGATTTTGCGCAGCGTATGTTCGGAGTTGGCTGTCGATGCAGCAGGTGCAAGGACCACCCAATCGTAGAAAACGTCTATCGTACCCTTGGGCCTTATGGGGACTCTAGCAGCAAAGACAGTGAAGAGAACACGGCGGACAATAGCGAGGACGACAACGATGGCGGTCAAGGCGCCGACGACAATAACAACAAAGGTTCCCCGATCACGGGAGAAGAGGAGTCATCGTCAGAACCGTTCGCTACGCAACGCGCGATGACGCCAAACCCAGAGGACGAAGGGGAGTATGATGAGGCTGATTTCCGTGAGGAGTCAGTTCAGGCAAAGGATCATTCCGGTGAGCCGTTCACTGAGGCCGTAGTCAGCTGGCACGCGGATAAATTGAGGACTGCGCTCAAAAAGGCGGCTAAGAGGCTTCCGAGACATAGAAGAGGAGCAACAGACGAGCAAAGCTGATACTGACAAGCGAATATTATATGGAATGAATAGCGTGAACTGCTCAAGGGTATGTGGGCGCGGAGCGTGCTCTACGATTATGACCCTGATATCATGAATACGACGTCTAAATCAAAAAATAAAGCTTTCTACGGGTTGAATTTTAAAGAAGTGAAAGCAAATATAAAAAAAAAATTCCCTAAGATTCAGCGGATAGCTATGAAGTACATGGGTCTTGTTGAAAAAAAACATGTGTTCCTCAAGAGTCATAAGCATTTTCCTCGAAGTGAGGCGAATAGACAAATGGCATCTCAGTTGACAAGTAAAATTCTGTTGATTGGCTCAGGAAGAATATTACAAAGGTTCTTCTAGTTATATAGATTAGTGCCTACAAGCTAGATAATTAGCAAAAGTTAGCATACAATGGACAAGGAAATTTCAGGAAGCTCAGGGACGTAGGGATGACCTGAGTGAATAGAATATGGCATATATCTAAAATTCGGGAACGAAATATTGTAGAATTAAACACCGCAGTTCCAAATTCCAACCGAAAATCTGGCTGAAAGAAAGATTTAGAAACCCCAATAGTTAAATGGTAGCTCGTCGCTTTATGATCTCAGTTGCATAGGGATAACCCCTTTATGGAAAACCGACGAGTCAGGCCTTCTGCTCTTTGGTCATAATCAAGTCGACTGCTAATTAGGTGAAGGAGAGTGGCGAGGATAGGAGCCGATTTCCAAAAGCAGCCCTTGGTCTTGAACAGCTCTACATATCTAGTGTCGCGCCATCTAGCATAATCGCACGATTATCTGTGGGGACGGCTCGGAAAGAGCAAAGGGAGAGTCAACACCCACTTTAGGTGATTCTGACTCTAGGCAGTAGCTAGGCGACAAACAGCACCTCGCAGGACACATAATCTGGGAAAATTAGGGATTGGTCTGGGGTTCAATTCGGTGTAGACTCCTTGAGTGATTGGGCACTAGCTGGGGACCCGGAAGAGTAGCAAGGGAAATAAAAGGCAATCATTTTAACAACAGGCAGATCATTCCATTTACCTGCTCTGGAGTCAACAGGTCAGCTGAGAGAATTCCAGGAGTGGAGATACTTTGCTTGCCAACTTTGTATCCCTAGCTGATTCTAAGCGGATACTAGTACGGTCAGCTTCCAACATGATGGTGCAGACGGCGAGTCCGGGAGATTTTCATGCTACATCTGAGTCAGTATAGTAAGTCCCTGGCCAGCGAGAGAAATGAGCAGCACGAGCAGGCAGGAATGCGCCTCTGGAACTAGATGAGCCAGGGCGCACATTCACACCGCATTAACCCAGTATATGCACATATCTCCATCCTGGGTCATTTAGCTGGCGTCTTTAGAATAGTCTGCCGTCCATAGTTTATCCTCAAGGCCTTGGCCACACCGCGAAAAATAGTTATCTCATAGTGCATATCAGCATTGGCGAGCTGTATCCCGTTATCGTAAGTGCTCTCTATACGTGGCGGTTGTGCATGAAGGGAGAGCGATGTCTGGTCATTTTCACCAATAGCAGATCACAACCAAGTAGTTTTAGCAGTAATGGAGGATGAGATCCCCGTTGAAACGCGGCCAACCGCTCATGACCGTCGAATTCCCTGAGAAGGGGGGAAAAAAAGAGAAGGAGAGAGAGAGAGAGATAGAGAGGGTAACGAGTTCTGGTCGGTGAAACAGCCGCGGAGCTATTTTGAGGACGGCGAGGGCCCACACCAACCAAGCGCGGCAGCATACAGGAGAGAAGCTGGGTCGCCGGGTTGGGATCCATGGCATTAGCCGTTGAGAAATCGCGGATACTCCGAGCTGCACCCCACCGGCTGAGCCTATCATGTCGTCAGAGCAGCATTTCTCGCCGCTGCACAGGGAGACGATCAACTGGTATCCTTTCAATCAGGTGATTTCGACCGGACGTGGCCGTTCCCGCAGACCAGCCAGGGAGGCATCGCAGCGGTGCAGGGAGGAGAACGCCCAAGAAAAGAAAATCTCACACGCAAAAATCGGTGCTGGTTGCGGCTCCAGAGACGTTTCTGCGGCACAGTCATCGGACATTGCCTGACTTTGCGAGCTGATTGCACAGACCTCCTCCGTTATCTTCCCCAATCGGATCGCTACAAGCACCCTTTCGCAAAGTTCTTGAACCTGGAAACACCGTTTCAACGATGCCATCGGGACCAAAAAAGGCCTTTTTTTCGAATTCAAGGTCAAGGCCTGGCCGATAGTTCACACGCATTCGCCGTTCTCGCAGCCATCATCTACCCTTCGTTACGTGGTCAGCCTACATGGAGTCTCCATTTAACTGACTGTGCCGCACGTAAAACGGCCCAAGGGGAAAGCTAGTCCTCTGGTGTGCAGATTGCGACCACGTACTCCGTACACGCGACCCCATCCCAGAGCAAGGGATGCTCGAGGTGCCCGCCCGTTTGTGGGAGTTAAACGAACTTCGTCCGAACCGACCTCAAGGGTGTCTGCAGGCACAGTCTTGCCCCAGGAACCGGATTTGCACGCTTTTCTCATGCAGCAACCTAATTCTGACTGAGAGAACAAGTGACGTGATTTTTTTTTTTTTTTTTTTTCTTTTTTTCCTTTTCTTTGGGGGGGAGAATTCCAAATGACGGGTGCTAGAGGAGGCTCGAACATGTACCTCTGACGGCCCCTAATGGTAGTCGGTCCGGTGCCTTCACATCTGGTTCGAGATGCATCCTATGGTCATCCAGATCTGCCCATGATCTCAGATAACCGCAGATGCTAGTTCATTGTGGAGTCACTGCTTTCTTTTTGCTCATCCTTCGCTATTCACGCCAGTGATGCTTCCCCGGATGAGGTTCACGCACGCCAAACTTGCTTCGAATTTTGCTTAGATCTGAATTTTTTTTTTTTTTTTTTTTTTCATAGCCCTGGTTGTTTCCTGCATCTTCGGCCGTGCCACAGCCGCTACCTATGTGCCGTTTCGAGATGTCCCCTGGCATGTGAAAAGCTTTTCTCTTGCTTTCCGGCGCCTTGATTTGATTGTCATCCCTGACACCGTTGAGAGCTCCTCCTCGCATCCCGCAGGTCACTACGCATCGGGAGGCCTCCATGCGGCCCCCTCAGTTCGAGATATGACGTTGCGCACACGTCTTAGATTTCCCTTTTTATTAATCCGACACTGGCCTGCGGCCGTTTCTCTGTATTAAGCGCCGCAAGGAGCGATCTTTTCTATCCACTGAGGTGCGGCCGTTCGACTATTTGCATCCCGGTGCAGCTATCCCCTTCCTTGTAAAGCGGCTGCTTTGCGACCGCATTCGTCGAACTTTGCGTCACTCTGCGCCTCCCGTAGATTCTGCAATATCGGAATTCGGCGAACCTTTACGGGGTGGGCTCGTTTCTCAGAAGGTACATAAGGGAGCGCGTAGGTTCTTCCTGCGTCCAAGTCAAGCACTTTCCTCACTGTATTCCAGTTCGCACTCGAGTTTACGTGAAACTAAAACGCAGGGAACGGCTATCGACTTTAATACCTTCTACCCTAGCTCCAATTCTCTAAAGTTCCCATGTCTGCCCCAACTAGGCAGCTCGGAAAGCTATCAATTGGAGGCATGCCGACCACTCGAGCACAGACCCAACGAGGAGCCAGCGTTCCTTATGAAACTGAGCCTCGTTCTGATAGTGAATCTGAGGAAGAAACCTCGAGCAGCGATGAAGAAGTTCCTTCTCAACCCATTGCGAGAGTGGTTCGCGGATCCACGAACATCCCTTACGATTTGGGAGGGCTCTCTCCAGCGGCGAGAGGGCGAGTTATGCATGGCTTAAAGGGTGAATTCGTTGTCGATAGATGCTGTGCTACACGGAGAGGCTTTGATTTCGATGTGGCAGACCATGGTCGCGTTGGACTCAATGACGGCTCCCTGGTATGCTCATGTCGTGACTTCGGGCAAACGAACCTTGCATGTCGCCATATTTATGTGAGTTTCAGTTCCTCCTTTGGCCTTTGTGGTGTGAACGACAATACTGATATTCAATAGTGGCTTGTAGATCAACTGCACCGAGGATTTTATCCTGGGCTTCCTCCGCAAGCCGTGCGAATGTCGGAGACAGGAGAAACGCAGTTCTTCTCGCGTATAGCCGAGATGCTGGGGGATAAGATAGAAGAAATTGCCAAGAAGCGTAGCTGGCTATACTTCCCTGGAGTGACCTCTCCTGCGGATTCGAGCACCGGTGGGCCAGAATCGATGAGTCGCCCTCAGAAAGCCCGCGACATCCTCTCTGCGTTCAGCAAGTCAGCCATGCCTGACGAGTTTCGGCCGGATCTCGTTGAGACTATTAATCAACCTCGGACCCCAGAACAGTGTGTGGTGCAAGGGGATTTTGAAGCTACTATGTTTCGTCTCGCTGTTCATGACGAGAATGTTTATTCTGGCCTTCGCAAGGTCATGCCCTCAGGAGCGCGAGCAGATATTTTCTTCGACAAAATCCAAACTAGAATTCGAATTTTGTTTGCTGAATTTGACCGATATCGGGAGACTGGCGCCGTGCGCCCGGATGGTACTGCATTGGAGATCCCAGTGGTCGTTGAGGAGCTGAAAAGGAGACTTGATCAGATTCAACGCAATATCCTCGCTCGCTCTCCACACGGTTCAATTGGTGCCGCTGAAGCGCTGATCCACTTGCTGCGAGAAGTTTCCACTCGAAACTACGATGCTTTTGAAGACGCCGACTGGGACCGCCCAGTTCCTGCTGGAGAACAGGAGGAAGAGCGGAATCTATACCTACAACTTATCGACCAGTCCGGCCACACGGACTCATTCTTCGTCCTCGACTGCCTTGAAATTCTGCCCGATTTTGTTGTACGCCAATGGACCCCACAGCTGGCAGCTATTTTCAACGCAATTCATGCGAACGGTGCCTCGCTTTCATACTTGCGCAAATTGCAGGCATTGAAAGCTGGGGTATCTGGTCACAAGAGGCCTGCTGCGGGCTTGCCTGGAACCGACAGGAAGAGAACAAAATAAATTCAGTCCATTTGGATACGTTCTAAGGGAATAAACAATTTCATGTTGACCGAAAGAGGCGCGAAAGAATATAGATGAAAAATAGAAGTATACTACGGACGTGTCGCTGCTCGATGGAAACGACTATTTTGCCTATCCTACCTTCGCCAACGTCCACGATATTCGGTTGATCAATGCAAACAAAAAAGAACAAGATAAAAGATATGACAAGCGAGGATGAGATGAACTTCGAGGAAGTAGAGAATCAAGCCTTTAAGCTGGCTTTAAGGTCTGTATGATGATGTGTTTCCAGGTATTTTCATCATAATCAACCGCGCGGCAGGAGTTTGATTTGTTTTCTACACGTTTTTCTTTCGGTTTCATGTGTCTTAATTCTGATGCAACCAAGCTGGCCTTGTGGTTTATGGAGTAAGCTACGCTTACTGTTTTCTATATTTGGATAATCGTTAATATAATATGGAATCATATCCAGGATTATAGTTTCATTTCTCATTATCTCATGCAATTCATTGTCAGAAAGAGTAGCAAAAGATAGTAAGGGGGGATGCAACATTAAGAGAGATCCAGCACAACTCTTCCCTGCAACTGCCCCTTCTCCATCTGCTCAAATACTTCCGTCAACTTATCCATCTTCTCTACTCCAAAGTGGGTACTGATAATTCCTCTGGCCGCAAAATCTAGGACCTCGATGGCCTCTTGCCTGGTTCCGACTGCCGAGCCAATTATCGAAAGCTGCTTTAAAATAAGGGTTGCAGGAAACGCAGCGCCGATGGGAACAGGGTCATTCTCTGGAACGCCGACACAAACAAGGGCACCGTTCATGCGCAGGAAGCTGACGGCCTGCGCATACGCCGCGTTGGATGCGGTGCAGACAATGACAGCATGGGCACCCATGCCATCGGTCAATGAAATAACTTTCTCGGCGAGGGCCTTGCCATTGTCGTTGGAGGGGAACTCGGTGATATCAAGGAAGTGTTCGGCTCCAGATTTCAAGACAAGGTCCTTTTTGCTACCGTGGTCTATCCCAATGACGCGATGGCCTAGGCCACGGCTAGAAAGCTGAGTTGCGAGATGGCCAAGACCACCTCCGGCACCGGAGATTACAACCCAGTTGCCAGGACGGGCACGGCTTCGCTTGAGGGCAGCGTAAACGGTGATACCGGCGCAGAGCATTGGTGCCGCAGCGTCTGAGGGAAGTGAGTCGGGGATAGGCGTCACGTAATGGGCTGGTCCAAGGACATATTGCTGGAATGTGCCGGGTGTGTAGTAGCCGGAAACTTTGCCTTTGACGCAGCATACGTCGGTGCCTTCAAAGCAGGGTACTATTTTCACGGAGATATCCTTTTTAGCGGGACGCAGGGCTCGGCGAGTACAAAGGGCCTGAATGAGACACTAACGGCAGGTTCCACAAGCAGACGCAACCCACTTAATACCGACGCGGTCACCAATCTTGATGCCTGTCATATCTGCACCCGGCCCGAGTTTAACGACTTTTCCTACACCTTCGTGACCACCTACCTGGCCTGGCTGAGTTGGATATGGAAGGGCTTTCCACTGCAATAGCGCGTAAGCTTGTTACACCATGACGACGCGTGAGGCAAGACATAGGATACTGACAGCGTTAGTCATAACGCCAAAGTCTGAATGGCAGACGCCTGAATGAGTCCTGAACCAGGTGTCAGTTTCCAACAGGTCATGATTTCGTTCGGGTTCATACAACCTCCACCGAAACGTGCGAGGATGAACTTGCCAAAGACATACAAATTGATCAACACTTCCCCTGGGCCTGGCTCCGGAACATCGACCATTACGACCTTGGTGGAAACCGTCCCAGGGTTGTCATAGACAACGGCCTTGGCCTGCTTTGGGATCTCGATCGCTGCCATGACGCAGACGGGTTACTAGATGGGTGGAGGCTAAAGCGTCAAGGTTGAATGTAGATTCGAGTTTAATACCAGAACTACTGGCAAACAGAGCAAGTGTGAGGACCTTGTTTGTTGCGAATGCCCTGGCTTTTAACAAAACTAACCGGGAAGAAGAGAGATCCCTCGCAGCACCAAACTATGCCGTGGGAACGGCGAGGATCCGGCGGAATTTTAAATCTGCTGTGGTCCTCGACGCCCAGGCTACAAAAAAACTCCCGCATTTGGAGGTGGCCAGAACGGCGACTATCCTTTCAGCTCCAGCTTCATGCCGAGGCTGTCAAACCAAGTAAACTAGTTGGGGTTCGTCCCACCCTCTATGCCCCTAGCCGTCTCGTTTTGGCTTTTGAGAGATCTCGCAGTTAGGACTCGATGTTGAAGATGTCATCTTATCTTGATATACGATGTTCTAGGCGCCTGAGAAGAAGGAATCGCAGGGAGCTCAGGCACAGTCATCGAATCCTTACGCGCGACGGTTTGCACGCGAAGGATCTATGCACAATCTCGACCGGTTTCACAAACGAGGAGCGGATTTATTTCGAAAGCTGGCCTGGGCACGCCGTAGTCGCTGAAACTATGGAGACCCCTGGTACAGTACTCTCTTTCCCCGCATTCCAAGTCGTCACGTCATACGGAACAGCCTACACAACGTGCGAGACAAGTGAGGTGGAAACAGCGAATACAAACCCACATAGAAATGCGGGGTCTGGGGTAACCGTTAGCAGACCATTACGCGGCGTTTGATAGTGAAGGCTAGTACGGAGGAAGACCAAAGTCAAAAGCCTCGCTCCTCGGGGTCGTGCTTTTAGCACATGGTTGAGGGGCTAGGAGGAGCCACGATGCTCGTGGGCGCCGAGGTATCATGTAGGAATGTTTCCAGGCATATCATCTTCCGCTTCGGATCGACGGGCGGTCGTTAGAAGGCACGTCGAGTGTTCCGCTGCGCCGAGACCCGCCCTGCGGTGGCGTCGAACCTTCGCGGATGAGTTAACTAGAGTAAACCGGTTGTTCGCACGTTAACTTGAGAGTCAACAGTTCGTCGTTGGCTGACTCATCAAGGGCCATTGATTAGTCACCACGCGACCCGCGTCCCTCGAGATAGTATTTCAATATCCGACGACGAGAAATGACATTAGCTCGATCGGTCGTCGGCCCCGTCCATCGCATCCCTATTAACTACGGGCTGGAGTGTGTTTCTTCAAACCCAATGAAATGAACCAATGTGCTAGTCGAAGTTTATCTACCCCTTTGGGTCAACCTCCTATGATCCCCCTAAAGGCAGCTGGCGACGATGTTTCGTTTCAATCTTCAGGCGTGACCCCGAATCGTAACTATATTCATTTCCTCAGCAGTCAGGGTCTTCCGTTGCTTGGCCTATTCCCTTCGGCGGCTTTCGCACGTCAAAGCGATGTTGGAACCCGCCTGGGTGCATCCAGCCAAAACATGTATCATTTCGCGTCGTGGTGGTCATGAATTCGCTAAATGTTGAAGGTGGGTCACCGACAAGGAGGGGCCCAGGAGTAGAACGTTCTGCTCGTTCTCGAGTGGTGCAAGAATTTGCTCCTCAATGTTTCTCGCGAATTCCATGTCCTCCAAATTCGATGCGGGATCCACATAGCATTTTAGACAATGCGATATTGCTGAATAAAAAGCGAAGGATATATCCCCTTTGTTTTTCTGTGTCATGAGCCAACGCCGCACGGTGTTGAGATCGGAAAGCTCATTCGGTTTGTTGTCGGGGCCTAGGTCGTCTGCTTGACGGAGTTTCTCAATCGGCTGGCCGCAACTGATCTCAAGAAGCAATACCCCGAGAGAAAGAATCTTGGAACAATCGTCCCCAGGGGACGCAATGTTTTGACCATCCGGTGGAGGGTTATGGTGGTGCTCGCATGTTAGATATGGGTATCTGATGTCGACTGCAGCTGCAGAACTTTCCTTTGCTCTGAAGAACATGATATCTGTTTTGTTCCATGACCGCTGAAGCCACGGAGTCTGGTTCAATTGAAGGAGGGAGGAGGCAAGTGTGATAGATAGGCTGTAAATTTCCTGCTTACTCAATGGACCTGGTCTATTTGCCAGTATCTCACCAAGAGAGACACCCTCGTCCACGTCGGTGGTGCTGTGCGCCTTAGCTGGGTATGCACCTCTGACGCAGCCATCCTCATCTATATAGAAGCCTATGCACGGATGACAGGGCTGCTGAATTACTGTACACAAATTTCTGACTACTGGGAGCTGGGATGGATCTCGGTATGGAAGAGCCGTGGCTGGAGTATGAGTGGTGGTTGTGGCAGACGAGATGACAATTTTTACAGTAGACCTGCCGGTGCGTGCATAAATTAATTCTCGTACAAACATTATAATTAATCAAAGGGAAGCTCTTAAAATACTGACCTGCTCAGCTTGGTTGTGGCAATATCAGGCTCTACAATGTGGAACTCAGCCTCGAGCCATTTTCGAGGGGACGGCGTCTGCAACAGCGAGATCCCAAAGCGGTGAGAGTCATATTTCTCCAAATCCCCTTTTTGCTGCCAGTCCGACGTGCCTCTCTTCTTTTGTGTCGCCAAGCGCTGTTCAAGCAGGATCCCGGCGGAATGCTTGGAGTGGTTAGAGCACCAGGTTCGAGTCAACACATCAAACAGCCTGCCTGCATTCTGCTGCATCACGCGGAGCGGAAGGGCGAACTTTGATTTGCTCCTCGCATTGTAAGGCTCCTCGAGTTTCTCGGCCTTTTCCAAATATGTGTCTAACTGGGTGATCGCTTTCGTCAAGTCATCGAGACATCTCCTGATGCTCTGCCGCTTCATTGTGAACTTGATTCGCTCGCGAAACTCGAATCTAGGCAGTCTCCCCACTTCTATTTGGGGTGGATTGGCTGCAACAATTGCCTCAAGGCCATCATGGGTGATCCTGTCTGCGCCTTCAATGTTGAGATTTCCCGCAATCGCCTTCATCGTGCTCTCGATGTCTCGGATTGTTCTCATGCATGCGGGGTATGACCTCCCCAACTTCTTTCGAAGCGCGGCTTCTATCTCTTTGTCTCTCCATAGCTCGCTATTTGCGTTTTCCATCATATCGAGGAGCTCTTGCGGATCAGTGATAGGACTAAGGAGTATCTGCATCGACTGTTCGTATGACGTGTACTGGTTGACGAGCTCCCGCGTAGCTCGAGAGAGCTGGCCACGATATTTAAGGAATGCCTTGGTTGGGTCGAGGAGGTTCTCGTAGTTTTCAAGGGCGGATATGACAAGCGGGATTGACCCGAGCACGAGGCCAGCAATCTCCACTCCAGTCGCCATTGCCAGTGTCCAGCTTCGTCAGTGCAAGCGAAGGAGACTCAGGGACCAGTGGTTTTGCTGAGGCATGCGCCCTTACGGTCCCTCTGTGCTGCGGGCCCTACGGGACCTGAACGACCTGTCCGCACCTTCGTTCTCAGTGTGAGCGGAGCCAGAGCACTCCCAAGTAGCCACTGGGCCAAGCGAGAACGTTGGCCGGTGACTTGGGTCACTGGAGCTGCTTAGGGTATCCACTGCATCCGACACAGAAGCGTTTTTACAACAACAATGTAGAGGCTCACCCAACGAGGTCCAACTGAAGGGAGAGCGAAGCAGCGTGGAAAAGAATTCGCCAACCGTCGTGATTCAGCTCTTGCAAGGCCCAGCGGCCAGGCGAAGAAGGCAACCCGCGCGCCCAGCCCAGCCCCTCATCTGCAATCCTATCATCATCGCGCCTCACGAAGACCCACACTCTTCACACCACTGATGACTCCCTTGCGCCTTGCTCGTCCTCTTGTTCTCATGGTGCACTCAAGCACAGGGAATGGATTCGATATACCGCGCGACGGCCGCCAGCTGGAAAAGCTTCCAACAGCTGGCGGCTGCGCTGAAGGACCCAGAACATTGCCTCCTGATGCCCCCCGGTAAAGTTGAAAACCAGTATGACCGGTTGAAGCTGTGGTCAGGGAATCTGGGCGCTTTGCAGACTGGAAGGGCCTCCCTGGATTTTCGGCTGCGGGAGTCGACCGTGGTGCGCATGAATGTGCTCAAGCTGCTAAATAAATTGCAGCAGGCGTTGACTTTGAGTATGTTAACTTCGGTTGGAGGAGCTTGCTCCACAACTCCAACCCGCCCTTTCAGGCTGTATTTCTGGTTTGAGTCTCACGTTGATGGATAACGACAGACGTATTGCTCATTTGCTGACGACTGGGAAAGGCGTCGAAGTTGCAGCCGGAACACGGCTACCCTTGGAGAAACTTTCGCTACCCAATGACTCCAGCGATGATGAGTCGTCCGCGGAAGACTCCGATGAAGAGCCTCTGACAGAACTCGGTCTCCATATGAGCACAATTACGGAGATCCTTGCCGACTTGTACAGACTTGCTTTCAGGATAAGGAGTACTGCTACGAGATTGAGATCACTAAAACCGTTGCTCTACAGGGAGGTCGACGAACAGACTGGCATTGACGTGTTTGCCGGCTTTGGTTATTTCGACATACGGCATGTAGAAGACTCGTTTATCCAACTCCGGAGGGAAGCTGCCCAAAAAATGTCTATGGGCCTCTCAGAAGCTGTTAAGATAACAGCAGAGGATAGGGCTCTAATCGATCGTCTGGGAACGACAATTACACAACGTCGAAAATTTATTCGCTACTGGCAAAGGCATGCACAAAAGCTTGCGACTGTAGACAGTGAAGTCGTTCCACTTCGGCCTACTCCCACAGCGCTCAAAAATTTAGGACGGAAGCTAGAGATGCACGGTTCGACAGAAGGGCCCAAGCAATTTGACGCTGCACCGACTCACAACACCGCCAAAACAACTCTTTTATCCGAGACTGTTGCCACCAAGTACGATCGGAAACTCGACGACATGCTTGAGACACAATCTTTCATATCGTATGCGTCCACGACATTCGATATGCACGGAGAACCAGTTGATGTCCCACCTCCTCCTTCTGCCGCCAACAAGAGCCCGGAGTTTCTCTGTCCGTATTGTGGGATAATGTGCCCATCCAGTCATGCAAGGGGGCGTGCCTGGAAGGCACATATTTTTCGAGACCTTCAACCGTATGTTTGCACTTACCCAGCCTGCCCTGATGGACTGCAAATGTACACTACCCGACATGCTTGGCTCGAGCACGAACGACTGGCGCACCGTCGTGTGTGGCAATGTTTTGAGCATCAAGCGCTCCTTTTTAATTCGAAATCCGATTTGCGTGATCATCTCGAATCACAGCACAACAATATCACTGGGGCCCAAATTGAGAATTTCCTTGAGATTTCAGAATCTAGTCTTAAAGACCCGCGAGAAAAATGTCCCATCTGCCTACTAGAGCGGCAGTTCTACCAACGGCTAGATAAGCACCTGTCCTTCCACCTAGAGCGGTTCTCGACTTTTTCAACTTCTGGAATTATCCCAAAGGACGACGGAAAGGACGAATCCGATATTGATAACCAATCCGCAAGACCTCGTGCCCGAGAGTCCATTCATTCAGCTAGTTTCGGTACCCTAAGTTTTGAAACCACCCCACGATCCGTGACACCCCCATTGGAGGAATTCACGCTTCCGGCCGATATACAACCCGTTCTTCAATCCGATTACCTGCCACCAACATCTCAGGGTAGCATTGAAGTTGGAAAGAAGGAAATCGAAGATATGAAAGATGAAAAGATAGAAGATGACGATCCTGAACGTACCTGGGCCTATTTGGTGCCTATAACTCGCAATGGTGGTAGCATTATGTCACTCAAACATGAGGCTGCCCCCCATGCTGTTTCAATCAGTGATGAGAGCAAACCTCTTGCTCGAAGACCGTTTTCAGCAAAATCATATTTAATTGGCCGACATCCCGAGTGCGGTAGGTTTCGACTATTGATGGCCACCTAGCTATTACTATCATCATCATCATCATCATTATTATGCATTTTACTCGGTAGTTGCTCCACACGCTGACCCGAATGATAGATTTGATTCTCAAGTCTGCAACAGTATCAAATCGCCACTGCATAATATATTGCGAAGAGAAGAGTGGAGCTACTGTTGCATTCCTACAAAACCTCTCCTCCAACGGGACCTTTGTTAACGAAACGTTCGTAAGGCGCAACAATAGGCGGCAACTTGCGGATGGAGATGAGATAGCTATCACCCTCGAGTATCGGTTTATTATCAAGTACTCACGAAAGTCCCACACGAAGAGTTTCAGCGAGAAATACACCATCATTAAACCAGTTGCAAGGGGTAATTTTGCGACAATATACTCCTGCGTTGAACAGTCCACGGGCATTATGTATGCGGTAAAGAAGCTGGAGAAGCCTAATGACGCACTTAGGCTGGGTATGCAAAGAGAAATTGCTGCGCTTATGACGATCAGACATCCCGCCCTACTTCCTCTGGAAGAGCCATTCGATGAGATTGATGCATTGTATTTGGTCATGGAGCTTGCCCCTGAGGGTGACCTTTTCGATCAGATCGTGTCGCGCAAGAAATTGACCGAGTCCGAAACCCGCATCGTCTGCTTTCAACTATTTCAAGGGGTCAAATATCTGGTTCGTGCCGTCTTCTCGTCTATTAGAATTTAAACTAAGAACTGGTTCCAAAGCATGAACGGAATATTATACATCGAGACATTAAACCAGAAAAAATCCTGGTCTTTGACAAGGATTTACGTATCAAGCTCCATGTCGAATTAACAATGACGGTTGCAAACAGCGCAACGGACATGTGAGCCCGCCTGACAGCCCCTATATGAACTATCAGCTAACTATTGAAATAGGTTCGGGTCCGTCGGTTGTATGTTTACCACATAAGCTGATATAGTCTTGTTACTAACTATCCCACAGATGCTGCGCCTGAAATCCTCACGAGACCCTCTGGTACGGGGCCATATACACATGCCGTAGATATCTGGTCTCTCGGGGTGGTGTTGTACATCTGCCTTTGCGGATTCCCTCCATTTTCAGATGAACTTTACACCCCAGAATTCCCTTATAACATTACACAACAAATTTTAAAAGGTCTATTCAGTTACCCATCCCCGTACTGGGATTCTGTTGGCGATCCAGTGCTGGATCTTATCGACAAAATGCTCTTGGTGAATCCGAAGGATCGCTTGACCATAGAGGGCTGCCTCGAACATCCATGGCTTATATCCGGAGACTCCTCTCTTCCAGTTATCACAAAAAGCCCAATTGAGACAATGGAAGAATGGAGGCCGACCAAACTAGAAGCTGAACAAGCAGGAGAATTGTCGAGTGCTTCTCATCAGGCAAAATCTTGAGTCTCCTCAAGGCAGGTTACCCGCCGATAGTTCCAACGAAGTTCTCTTTTCCCGACACTGTGATAAAGAATGTCCTGAAAAAGCATAGTTACCTCAAGCAAGCCGGCTATTAGAAGTTACGAGACAAAGGTGCAGGCAACATGCGCTTTAATTGCTTCCATCAGGCTGTAAGAGCCGATTTTTATTTATTTATTTTATCTTATTTTCTAATAATTTTTGGGTGTATATAATAACTGAGGTCAGACGTTTATTCGCTGCCGTTTGAAGCATCGTCGTTTGCGTCCCCTGTTGCCGGCCTTGGGCAGCTGTGCCGAACCCGGTTTGATACGTTAGTCTCAAAGATCATCTTACCGCCCTTGAGGGACTAACTTTCAGAAGCTTCCCGAGTGGATGAACTGCGAACTAGCGAAGAAATTGCCGGTTTACAGCTCCTACCTTGGTAAGTGGCATGACGCCGCTAGTACAGTCCATGAAAATAACTAGGCGAAATCCAGGTATCAGACCAGATAGGGCACTATTGCAAGGACTGCTTCTTGACGGAATAGTATAGACGAGCAACAGGGGTTGGACTATCACGCAGACACTTTCATTGCATATACATTCTTATGACTTACGAGGGTGGATCCTTGCTTTTTGACATTTATTTGGTCTAGTCCTGTGTTCGTCCATTATGTCAAATTATGAGACGTTGATTTTATTCTTTGATGAAATCATGAAATGCCCGTCTGATTGCTTGTCGTCTACCCGGCCACTCTACAGACAATGAGCTGTTGTCCAGATCAACCGTTTCCCCAGTTGAAAGCACCATAATAGCTAAAATGCCAATCAAAACAAACCAAAAAAAAAAAAAAAAAAAAAAAAAAAGGAGGAGAGAAAGAGAGAATAAACAAATGAAGCCATCAATCAATGCATAAAACAGAAGAAGCCCCATGTCATACATCATAATTTATGCAATCCAAAAAAAAGAGATAAAAAGGGGGAACAGCTGCATTCCTATCATCTCTTCGTGACTCATTCATCGTTATTTCTTGGGAGGACTCCCCTCTCCATCCTCTGGTTCAACTCTGACAAGTACTTCCTCTAAAAAGCCCTCCAAGAACGAGTTGATCTCTCCGCCCATAGGGACGGGCGCCTCATCATCCCACTTCTCAATCTCCTTAAACACACCAGCCGCCTTGATGACCAACCTCTTCAACTTCTCATGCGCATATTGCCGCTTTTGTGCTAACTCGGCCGCAGCAGGGGTAATTTGCTTCCCACCGGAGTTGCGTGTCAGTGCATGAAGTTTACAGGTGCGGCGACGAAGCGCTGCCTCAAGTGCAGGGAGAATAACGCCATTTAGAGCAGTGATTTCATTATCTGGCGGTGCTGGGTGGGCAGAAAACGCAAGAGTGGACTGGGATGTCGTGGAATCGGCAGACTTGCGCGGTGGAGCTTCTGTGGACTGGAGGGAGGAGAGTGAGGTTTGTCGGTGAGATACTAAGGGTGGTAATGGCTTTTGATTAGGTCCTGCTGCGTATCTTTCATGTTGAAGAGGAGGAAGGGGTAACTGTCCGGGAAGAGCTTGCGGACGCGCTGATGGTTGGGGTTGGCTGGGCAGGTCCCGAGAGGGCGTCCTTTTCGCCTGGCCCCTGAATGGCGGTATTTCTGGAATCTGCGCCGAGACCGGTTTTCTATACGCTTGCTCATTTGCCGGGGGCGTTGGAAGGGATTTGGGTGGTGAAGCGGGAGCGGCATGGGAGGAGTTGCCTCCCAGCTGGAGGTATCCTAGATCCTGGGCCAGCGTTTGTTGCAAAGCCCTATCGTAGTCCATACTATTGGGACTTTCTTTTTCAATTTGGAATGATGTTTTTGAATGATGTATTGGAGTACTGTACTGCTCTTGATAGTTAGTCTTCTGCGGAGATGGCGGAAGCGGAATCTTGGACGGTGGTGGCAATTGAGATGTAGATAATAAACTGGGGGGGAAGTTATGTCTCTGAGGAGTCTTTTGAGGTGACGGTGGAGCTTTCAACGTGGGATTAGATGGCTTGCGCTGTAAATTTTCAGAACTAGCGAAATCCTGGCTGATGGCATGGCGGCGATGATCTTCGATACCTTGAGCCCTCGCATTCGCGGCGGCATCATTCATGGCGCGTAATCCGGCAGCCCTTCCCAAGCCAGCTGGGCGTACGGTGCCAAAATCCCAAAGATCTTCTTCTTCTGGAGTGGGCTTATGAGGAGAAGTAGGCACTTCATCTTCGTCGTCGGATAGCTCATTTCCATGTGTAGTGACCCATCTCTCGTATCTCTCAATCAATTCTGTAAGATAAGTCGTTTTCTTCGCACGTTTTATAAACGGATGTCTCAGCAGTTCTTTGGCGGTTGGGCGTTCTCTAGGGTCCCGCCTGAGACATAGTTCCACAAAGTCTTTGAAGGGCCTGCTAAAGTTTCCCTGTAATGTGGGAGGATGGTTTTTAGGGATAAGAAACAAAACTTTCATCGGATGTATATCAGAGTACGGCGGCTGTCCCTCAGCTAGTTCTATAGCCGTAATCCCCAAAGACCAAATATCTGCTTTGTGGTCGTGGCCGGATTGCTTGATTACTTCCGGTGCCATCCAGAACGGAGTGCCGACGAACGTATTCTTCTTCGTCATGGTCGCAGAAAGCTGACCAGACACACCAAAGTCTGCAAGTTTGACTTGCCCACTTGCTGTAAGAAGGACGTTTGCAGCTGTGGTGAACGCAGTCAGCAACCTTGGTTTCCGGTAGAGCAGACATTCGCTCTGGGATGCGCCCCACCTTTGACGTCTCTGTGTAGCTTATTGTCGGTGTGAAGATAATCCAGTCCCATTAGCAACTCCCGCAGGATAATCATAATATAATCCTCTTCGATTTTGCCTGCGCGCATCAAGTCCGAGCAGCTCCCACCGGAGCAGAACTCCATTATAATCCATAGGTCGGAACCTTTGAGGTACGACCCATGGTACTTCGTCACATAGGGAGAATTGAGCTCTGATAAGATGGAGATTTCCTGGATTATATCTTCGACTTCGTCGTCGGCATTTTCAACGTCAATTATCTTAATGGCAACCGCTTGGCCCGTGCGTTTGTCGACTCTATTGAAGGTCCGACAGCCCGTGTCAGCTATTCCCAAACCATATCAAGGTGGGAGAAGGAAGAGATCGTACCCTTTGTACACTTTACCAAAACTTCCACCACCTGTAAGAACACAAGGAATCAGCCAGGAAACAGGGCTAACGGGTTCCTTTCATCTCTCATCGCATACCGATGCAGTTTTGTTTTGTATACAGCGTCTCCGGGTCTACAGCACGACCCTCCATTTTGAGACACTTGTATTATTTAAATCCTTTCTCCCTTCGAGTCCACCAAAGGACGACCTATCAGCTTCACAAACCAGTAGCAAACAGTTTGTTTGTTTGAGAAAGCGTAGGGGCGGGTGCGAAAGTGTGGACGAATTATGAGGGGCAGGCAATAAGGGGAGTCCAGGAGAGTGGCGATGCGCACGGATGGAGGAGCCGTCAGATAAGAAGATGGGAGCGGGTCCGCTTGGTGATGCCTGTTGCAGTGCTCTCTGGAGTACATATGTATCTGTGTCGTCAGCAGGAAGCAGGATGCAACAGCCCACCACGCGCTGATATGACGGCACACCGCTGTGTTCGCCAACAATTGCTCTTCTCCCATTCAGCTTTGTCAAAACAAACAAACAGCCGCGGGAGCTTCGCTCATGAAACGAAACCGCTAGTAAGGGGCATTACACGGGCTGCTCCCGAGTCCCGACGAAACACGCAGCCTGACTGGTGGGAAATTACGGGAACGGGAAAGCCTCTGGGAATTTGGTTAATCCGGTTCCCGTATCATGCGTACGGTACTCCCGTACTCCGCACAATACATCGATAACACACGTGCATGGGACAAGCCATCTTATCTTATCTTATCAATCTCATCTCCTACGCCAAGCTTTTCAGGCACGGAAAAAAAAAAATTAAAAAAAAAAAAAAAAAAAAAAAAAGCGTAATTTTCACTGTATTGTTTCGGATTTGTCAGCTGGCTTGGTATTATTTAGTTAACTAGTTAACTAGTTACTTTGAAGGGAATATTACATCCTTGGAAGGTTATCACGCCGCAACCAGGCGCGAAGTCCACATGGAAAAAGTAGTTAGCAAACCTGAACAAATCAGCGAGTGGCATCTACTCCTGATATTATTATGACAATACTTTATTTTGCGCCTATTCGGATTGTCATGCAAAAAAACCTTGCCATTCCGAACACACACTAACTTGTTCAGGGGCTGCCATGTCAAATATCCCCATCTGTCGATTTGCTCTGTGTACTCTGTACATCGTGAATATTACCATAAGGGCGACATCCCAAACTAAACATGCAAGCCACAATGTTGGCGCGGTTCTAATCTTCCTCCATATACCCAACCATTACGGTTCCGTTCTTCAGGCCCGCATCCTGAATACTCGTATCAAGTATGTGGATGAGATTCTGCCCCATGGAGACCAATTCAAACTCAACCCCCGCCTTGCCTTCTATCGGAGACGCCTTTAACCATTCATAGAGTCTTCTGACAGGGTCTGACAGGGAGAATCTCCGAATTATTCTGCCCGAGGAATGTCGGAACTGGATCCTGGTCGTGGTAGCCGGGTCCGCCTCTGGCTCTTTATGTAGCTTATCGGATGGGATGGAGCGGAACAGCTTGGAAGACTGATCTTCTTCTTCCTCCCCGTTTTTAGCCAGGGACTCAATGTCTATTAGATCGTTATTGGACGCAGTAGCTTTGCCTTTGCCCTTGAGGTCACTGATGCTTCGCGTGAGCTCATCTGGATCCTCATGTTTTGGTGCCCCTTGACCCTCTAAGCTGTTCCGGAGGGCCATCTCTAGCATTTCTTCCTCCGTCATTGTGTCTAGCTTGGATTGAGGTTTGACCTCCGGTTTCCTCTTCGCAACGGGGTTGCGCACAGCATTGTCAAGGCTGTATCGATCGAGAAACTCGTGAAGCTGCATCAGAAAATCGGAGGCCTTGACCACTGGTGGGCCAGACCATATTTTCACTTGTTCTCCGGTTCGCGGATCGACAATGGCGATGTGCGGGTAATTGTCTTGCACGTCGTGTGCAGGGAAGTAATACTGGAGGTATTGAGCCCCGCGTTCGTCGTCTTTGGTAAACTGTAAGAAGATGAAATTCTCTTTCACCGTATCCACAATCGAGGGGTTTTTCCAAATGTCCCTGTTTAACAACTGGCAGTCAAAAATGGATGGCTCCTGGACGTTAACCAGCAGCCATTTCTTTGTTTCCCGACCTTCACTGCGTGCAGCTTCCCAGGGTAGCCTTGACATAATCTCGAATGGTGGTCTATACATCTCGGCCAGCATACTAGACTTAGACGATGATTCGGACGCTCCACCTGTAGCCCGAGAGAGCGTTGCTCTGTGTGACTCTGGGTCTTCGTCATTCCAGATCGACGAGGTAACATCTCTCTGATTAAAAATGCCAGGGCGTCCTATCAAAGCAAGTCGTTAATTCTCCCGTTTGATAGCTCAACGGCGGGGTCGAACTCGATACATACCTGCCCGGGCCCGCTGTCTAGCTCGAACCTCCTGCAGTAATCCTGAGTGTGGATCATCGAAATCGGCGTCTGGTCCTACGAGGGTTTCCGTTCTTCTAGAAATGGGGGCCCGAACAGTCTCCGTGGATTCTCCACCAGCGTATAGTTCTTCTTGCAAACGACGCGCCAGCGCCAGATCGTCTTCGAAAGTTGGGCCACTACGTGTGGACGCTTGCTGGTTCGAGGTACCAACAGGTATACTAGCACCTTCATCGTCGGAGTCGATATGAACGACGCCGTGCTCGTCTTCGTATCCAGCCGAGGCTCGCGGGCGACTGGGGGATCGTTGAGCGGATTCAGTTTGCGGTTCAGGCTGAAAATCAACGGCTCCATTTTCAAAGTAGAGCTGCATAGCCGTCTGCAGGTTGTAGTCTGTCAACTGCAGATAATGCAGCGCGGTTTCCGGGCGAGAACCCGTAACCTCCGTGAACTGGGCTAGAGCGGCGTCCTCCATGGCTGCTAACGTATTACACGAAGGGGAGGTTCGCGGCTAGGGGAGATAGATAGGTGAGCTGAAGCACTGCCGGGAAGATACAGCTAACCCGGCAGTTATTTGGAGTAAGCTCCGAAGGAGAAAGTCACATAAAAGAAAAGGGTGAGATCAGCATTTAGTTTACCGACAACTCTCGAAATGCAGAGATCATGGTCGGGAAACTGTCTGAAATTAAAGAGATTCGAATGGAGGATGGATTTAGGCAGATGGCGCGAGGCAAACAATGAGAGTCAGGCAGTCAGTGTGATAGTCGCTGATAAGCAAGGCGGACAAGAATGACACAATACGTCAAAGCACGTGCAGAGCTCTCGGTAAATATGTTATTCCGTCCAGATCACTTGGAACCTTGGGCCGCTGCCCAGTCAGGAGAATGCACCGGGGAGTGAGCGCTAGTTCTGTAACAGAAGGCAATCCCAGGGTTTAGGGCTTGTACGGTACGGGATATAAACCACAAGTGCAGTTTGATGCACAAATTTTATGCAACTATCCTGCACTATTTACCTTTTTCGTTCTCCGTAATAGAAGTTACCCCCATTACTCCGTACAAGAGAAGGCTTCACACATCACTGCAAACTCGCATTTTTGAAGGATGAATATCCAGCGGCTAGTCTCTTTCATCCGAGAGAAGGTAAGGAGTAGTTGGCTCCGTACTCTGGTACACTACAGGAATAAGCTCTAAACCTCACCCGAAAATTGGATTAAGACCTGGAATACCTGGAATACCTGGAATTCCTGGAATACCATGGCCGGTAGCGCCATGTGTTGGAGCGGAGTGGTGGCCCCTGCCAAGACTATTGTCCGGCTCACCTTCCCAAATCACGGCCATTCACGAAAGTCGCGTTCTTGCTGTTTTAATGAGTTTCGCGACGCGCTAAAGGGCGACGCGACGGAAGGTACTTTCGACCCTCAAAAAGGTACCTGCCCAGGTACTTCCTCCGCCTCACCCGCTGCTCTCGCTGTTTTGGCAATCCAGAAAGCATCACCTTCGACCACGCACTCGCCCTCCATACATTCACAACAATGGCCCCATCAGTCCTCGGCAAGCGTCAGCGCAGTGCTGCTGATCCTCATGGTAATTACACTCCTCCCGTCTCCTTTCTGTCATTCTTCCTTCAAATTTCAACCCTCGTCGTCGCGTCGGTGCCTGCCAGACCACTTTACTGATGATTAATCCTCCAAGGCACGACACTCCGCTCTCCCAGGAAGCGACGGTTTGCTCAGCACGAGCCCGAGATACACCATGACTGCGAGAGTGATGATCCCTTTAGCCTGCCAACACGCCAGCGCAGGTCAAAACGCCTGCAAACATGCAGTCCGCAAGACGAACCACAGGCCAAGCGCCCAAAAAATTCTGAACAACCAAACTGTACAGCTTCTAGCAAGCCCCTTCCCAAGTCAGGTCAGGCCAAAAAGACCAAGGAACTGGTAACAGGTCAGTAGAGATTGTTCCGAGTTGACAATTCCCCAATATCAAGGAGCTGACTTGGGACAGATGAAAACGCGGACCCGAGCCAATTCGCAACTCCTCAGTCCAGGAGATTCAGAGATGCATTATCTACGGTTACCCCCGTCACGCCTAAACACCGTGTACAGGTTGCCATAAAGCCAGTGACTCCTCGGACACCCAGACCCATTCCGTCAGTCTCAGCTAGAACTGTCTACACCGACGCCAGACAGCTCTTTGTGCGGAGTGCAAACCCCGGTCGCTTAGTCGGTCGTCAAGCTGAAAGAGATGAATTGACGCGATTCATCCAGAATGCAGTCTCTTCGAAGCGCGGCGGGTGCATGTACGTCAGTGGACCACCAGGCACCGGCAAAAGCGCTTTGGTCGAAGAAGTTTGTCGCGAATTACAACCCAGAATCACAGCTAAAGCCGCGTACGTAAATTGTGCCAGTATGACGAGCGCCCGCGACATCTACCGGAAATTAGTTGAAGACCTTTGTGATGAATCTCAAGTATTTAAAAAGAGTGAAGCTGAACGGCTCCGGGGCATGTTCTTCCCGAAGAAGAAATCTTGCAGTGACATTTTCCTCGTTGCTTTGGACGAAATCGACCACCTATTGACAGGTGATCAAGAGATTCTCTACAACTTTTTCGAATGGTCTCTGCAGACGAATTCTCGCCTCGTTTTAATCGGAATAGCCAACGCTCTTGACCTCACGGATCGATTTTTGCCTAGGCTAAAAGCGAAAAACTTGAAGCCACAATTGCTTCCGTTCCTACCATACACCCCAGCACAGATAACGAACGTAATTACGACTCGTCTTCAGTCCCTTTTATTAGACGATGCAGCCGTTGCCAAAGGATTTGTCCCTTTCCTCCACCCTGCGGCCATCCAGCTCTGCGCGCGAAAGGTCGCATCACAGTCAGGCGACCTTCGCAAGGCCTTTGATCTAGTTCGACGCACAATCGAATTGATTGAGCGGGAGCCTAAGCAAAAGTTTGATGGTGTACCAGCCACTTCCTCCAAACCTCCATTGCTGGAGAATATGAATCTCGCATCACCCTTGTCGCCACCAGACACTCCAGAGCCTGTGTCTCGCTATACAGCTGCCACCGCTCCTCGGGCCACTGTGGCCCATGTTGCTCGTGTCACATCTGCCGCCTTTGGGCATGGGACTACAGAACGTCTACAGGGGCTGAATCTACACCAGAAAGCAACACTTTGCGCCCTAATCTCGGCTGGGCGAAAACGACGAGCAACGTTCAATGGTTCCAATACCCCAACCAAGTCGCCTCGCTCCACTGCCCCAACCGTAAAGGAGCTATTTGATACTTACTCCTCCCTCTGTCGAAGAGACAATGTCCTCCAGCCCCTATCAATCACCGAGTTCAAGGACATTATCGGTAGCTTAGAGACCATGGGCTTAGTTGGCGAAGCTCAAACACGTGGTGGCCGAGGGGGTGCCGCCATGGCTAGCGGATCGGTGATGTTGCGCACCCCTACAAGGACCGGACGAGGTATCACTGGTTCTCCATCCAAAATGGGGGTTGATGCAAGTGGCCTGGTTTGCTATGTTGGTGAAGCAGAGATTGAAGCCCAGATTACAGGACCTGGTGAGGGCATTTTGAGAGCCCTATTGCGAGAGTAGAGTTTGTGCTTGCTGTGTCTTTATTGCTAATGTTGTTCGTTTGTTTGTTTAATGTCATTGCATTGTTAGCAAGGCATGGGTATATTTGTATGTTGGAGCAGGTATTGGGGAATGGTTTGTGCATTTCTAGGGCATTCAGGTGCTTCTATAAACTGTGTCCTACATCGTTACACCGGGTATGGAGTAGAGGCTACCGATAAAAAGATTATCAAAGGAAGCAATATGCATTGGAAGTTCCTTATCCAATACACTACAAGATATTTCAGACGAATACATGAGCAAATGAGTGATTCCTACCACAGCCTGAGAGGTGTGGGTTGCTAGTTACAAGCTGGAGGAGTTACAGCTAAAAGATACATCTAATTTCACCCTGGCTCGATTCTTCACCAGTTTTTCAGCTAAAGGGGCTAACAGGGTTTATTATATTTAGAGATTGTGTGTATGCAAGGCTTTGTTACATATTCCGAGCGCAGCAGTCAAACAACCGAGAATTCATGGACTCCAAGACACATAAAACATGAGGTTTACATAGGCATATGTATTTACATAGGGAAGACAGGGCATGCATGGAACCATAGGAAAAAGCAGCAAACCAGATAAGAAACAAGACAAGATCAGAGCATATGAAAAGGAAAAAAAAAAAATATTCAGGAATAGCCGCTCAATACTCTGTACTTATATAAAACAGAATTATAAATTTGTTTTCGCATAATGGATATCACCCCTTGAACAAAGTATCACATCTCTAGAAGCTCTTCTAAAATCAGTCATCCATTGGTTTGTCCTCCAGTGTCACTCCTACTGGTCTGGGCGGAGCTTGCTCCGCTCCCTCTCCCTGAGCGTCACCTCCAGCGCTCTCTGGAACAACATTACCAACGCTATCCCTATTCAATCCAGTAATACGAGAATATCTGCCGCCGGAGCGGGAAAGAGAATTACTCTTGCCCACAACAGCGACTGGCGTCGACGGGGTAGCGTCATCTTGAGCAGCCGAAGAATCACCGTTACCGTTTGTCGCTGCATTGTTTCCCGAAGGTTCCGCTTTACGTTGATAGTCGACTGTGGTAGGGGAGCCTACGGATCCGGGGACCTCTAGACTCTGTCCACCAACCCGTCTCTCTGCCGTTGTTGGGCTACCGACATTAATCGGGAAGCGAGTGGATTCCGATCCGCCAATCGATCGATCGCGTCGATGACGGTACCCAGGAGCGGGACTATTTGCTCGGCTTCTATCAGCAATCGCCTTGTTCCTCGCCTCCATATTTGCACGTCGATTGCTCTCGTCCGTGCTTATAGCGCGCGGTCGAGAAGACCCCGACGACAAACTACCAAGGGAACTAGCCTGTCGTTTCAGCTCTCCAAATATCTCCTCCTTATGATCAAAGAGGTCCCGGAGAAGGCGGTAATTATGCCGTTCATCCATTGTAAGGTTACTTTCGACACGTGGTCTGAGGATGCATGGGGCGAGGTTTTGTGCTAGAGCGGTCACGTATGCATCGTCTGCCGACGTTAGGTCGATTAGCCGCGTAAAATGAGTGATCACGGCATCCAGGGTTGCGATGTTGTTAAGACGGAGCTGGCCCAGGGTGTTTTGTAATACTTTCACGCGACCTTCCTCGGATGCGTCGCTCGTGGTGGTGTAAATGGTTCTCACGATCTCATATACCTGGGAAGACACAAGGGAATCTACTGATTTTAGTCTCAAAAAATATGAAGAAAGGGGGATTTACAACCGAAAAATAGTCAAGCACATACCTGGTAGTTCAAGCAGATATAACTTCAGCACACTCGCAACAACAGGAATCTCGTATCGATCTAAGGTTTCTGGCATAACTGGCTGACCGTTGTTTAAAACATTGCGGAGATGATGTGTCGTTGCGAGCGGTACTTCATGAAGCCATATTGCACGGCGAGCTTCGTCGCCTTCGAGATCGGGATACCCTACGCATCATGTTAGGTTGCACATACCTAGAAAGGGTCAACATGCGATGAAACTTACGATTATCAAGGTACGTTAAAATGCTGGTGACGATGATAGGAACTCTTTTGCGGTCCGCCCTAGCCCTAGCTTCCAGATCGACGCCAAAGGTTTGATCTATCATCCAGCTGTCAGTATGGCAGCCGCAAACAATATAATGAGTACCAATGGGATTAACAGACCGTCAACAGAGCCATAGTAATTCTCATACGGCTGAACACGAGGTACAAAGGCTCCGGTCCGATAATTCTCCAATAGGTACCTGAGATCCCCGAGCGGTTGGATGGTCTCTTGGTAAAGCATCATTTGGTCGACCGTGCTGCGTAAAGATGGAATCACATTGCTTATGGCGCCTGAGAAGTCGAGGATGACAGCTTTAATCGCTTTTAGACGATCCAATTCGCATCGCTCCATGAATTTTAGGTAGTCGATAATCTCTTCTTCCATGGCACATCGCATGCGGTCTAGTTTCTTCACGGCAGCTTTATAGCGTTCATCAGTCTCGCGGGCCTCGCGTCGAAGTTTCTCCGCAGGTGTCTCGTTTGGATAAGGGTTATTGAGTGGATTCCATCCAGATAAAATCTCTGCAACAGTGGGTGAGTCCGCATTGTCGTCGCTACCGGACGCTAGTGACGAAACTCGCAATAGCGGTTTCTTTTTCTCAGGAATGCCGGTTATTTGGAAAGCTTTAGAGCGCCATTGATAGTTCATTCTAGAGCTATTAGCGAAGGTGCTGCCGACGTTTCCAACCAGTCTCAAGAAGCCATTGTCCACCATATCCTGGCCAATCCGCTCGGCATAGCTGATGCTTGACGCGTTTAAATGTTTTTGGATATATTCCACGATATCTGCGCCAGTAGAAGTGTTTAAATAGGTGCCCAAAATTGGCACCTTAGCCTCTCCAATTTTGACTGTCTCAAGCATGTGAGTTAAGAGTTTCTTTAGCTGGTCGGGTAGGTAAACTTGGTCACCCAGCTCAATCGGCTCGGGTTCCTCGTCACCATCGGGCAAAACAATCGTCGGAGGTGCCTGTTTCGGACTGCCCGTTTCTCTGTCCGGGCTCTGAAAGGCAAGCTTGTTCTCTTCCTCCAAATCTTCCACCAATCGACATTTGTTGAAATACTGGCTCCGTAACTTCTTCGTTAGTTCCGCTTGTTTTGAATGCTCTTTGACTCTCGTCTGGAGCTCCTCCTGGCTATTCAAAATCCGCGCTTCGTGCTGTGCTGCCCAACGACCGAAGGGGGTTACAACGAGATCGCGAATATTGGAGGCAATCTTCTGATGGTTCTTTGTGGCTTCTATCATCTCACTTCGAACTCCTTCGTACGCCTAGACCACAGAAAAGTCAGCAAAGTCAGAAAGGATCGGAGATAAATCCCCAATGCACCCGTGGTTTCTTTGACAGTTGGGCTAGCCCACTTACTTTTCGTACGCTGGCACCATCGTCCCGTGCAAAACCGTTTGACATCCGATCGATTGATGGCGCGATATCCCCCAGTCTTGCACTGTATAATTGTTCTGCATCTGCGCGCATACGAGCAATAGCAAGGATTTGCTGGTTCTCTACTATGCCCTGCTGCAGTTTGGTGAAGAGTACGCCAAGCCCGCTGGCATAATCAGGGGACCAAAAACAATCCGCGAAACCTGGCATTGTGAAGGAGGGTGAAGGTCGTGTAAGGGTTCAAACTCGGAAAAAGAAAAGGGAAGGCGACAAGGCTTCGATACGATAGCGGAGACGGAACTGGAAGCGTAGATCGTTGGGTGTCTTCGAGACAAGGAGATTTAATGGGCACGTTATGGAGGCTCGGAGGACGAGGAAAAGGCGCAAAGTGCTGTCTCTGAAAGAGAGCTTGGACTGGGCGGCTCAGGAACGAAAGTTAAGTTTGATTCTGACACAAGCAGCCTCTCAGAGGATGATTGGGTGGAGAACGAGAAGAACGCAGTTAACGCAGAGGTGAAGGGGGAGAGAAGAAGACGGAATGCAGATGTCAAGATAAAACCCTGAGAGAAGGAAGAAGCAGACGACCAGGGGAAGTGATGGATCCCTGACCTCGCTTTCGTTGGACGTTGAACGGTGTTGGACTGAATTGCGCATCCGCAGCTGCGCCCGTCAGCAGCCAAGTCACGTGGCGAGGTGGCTTGTACCGGATCGAACGCAGGTGAAGGTATCAGGTACCTGACTTAACAGGGAATTCCAGTTTCTCTTGAGGTATCTGGTACGGAGCATAGAGGACAACAGAGCTGGAATAAGGCTGGGGCTGAAATGAGCAGCCAGGTAATTGTAATATTACATAATAATCTACCCGCCCGTTGGTTGGGTTTCAGCCGCAGCCGCCGCCCGGATCAACCAGCTTTCCGCCTCCACACGCCTGCCACGAGGGGGAGACCACGCCAACGGACGAGAGATGCTTTTAAACAGACAAACAATATCACCAGGGGTATATACATAGATACATCATTATCATTATTGTCTGCGCCGGAAAAAAGAAAAAGAAAAAAGCAAAAAAAGGAAACATAGTGCTTCCTGCTAAGCCTTCACGAATTTCTGCTCCAGGCGCCATGTCGTCCAGTACTCCGTATACACAACTCAGCAGAAGAATCGATACACCTTCTTCCACAGCGGCCATTCCGCCCTCTCCGCCCTTTCCTCAGCAATTAAGTGCGCCAGATGTAGATCCCGCCTACCAGTCTTGAGGTCCATGTCCTTCGCGCGGACGATCTTTGTTTTAAACCGAATTTTATACGGAACGTAGAACAGGATAACGATCGGAGCCGCAAGGTAGACGGAGAACCAATTCTTAACACCAGCCACAGTAGGGTCTCCGTCCATTTCTTGAATTATAGGTGCAACCCCAACCCAGAACTGACCCATGAGCACAAGTATGTTGAATATAAATCCGATCCAGGAACCGACGACCCCAGGTTGGGATGTGAAAGCTAGTTCGTCAAGACTGTGACCTTGCAAGGCCCAGCCGCGTCGGAATCGAATATGCGCAAGGCAAATGGAAGCCCAGTTGAGGATGGATGATAACCCTGAGATAGCCATCATCCAGATGAATACTTCTTCTTGCTTCGAGGACGCAGCGAGGAAACTGAGGAGACCGATCGCGGATGCGACAATAATCGCGAATAGAGGGCGCCCTCTACGGTCGATGTAGGCGAGGAAGCGAGGTGCTTGATGCTGTTCGGCCAAAGCTGCTAGAGTCCGCGAGGAGCCATATATCGCAGAGTTCCCCACCGAAAGGACAGCAAGCATGATAACCACGTTCATCACCGAATCTAATCCTTGAATTCCTGCATCCCTGATGGCAATCACAAATGGTGAAGCTTTGGTATCCGCCTGCGAAACGGGGTTGAGTAAACGCGCTTCGGTGTATGGGACCAAAAGCCCAACAATTATCAACGCCACGATGTAGAATAAAGTGATTCTCCAAAATACCTGTCTGACTGCACTTGGGAGCGCTTTGACCGGGTTGGATGCTTCAGCGGCAGCTAGACCAACAAGCTCGGTCCCGGTAAACGCAAATGCTGCGTTCACGAAGCAACTGCAGAGGCCTTTGAATCCGTGATTAAACGCCCCGGGGTCCCGCCAGTATCGAAATCCGATATATGACCCATTGTCACCACCACCAATATTAATGACGATTCCTAGTATACTAGAAGGCGTCAGAAATATTTTCAACGGACATACCAGAGAAAGACACGGTGACATACATAAATCCAACGATAGCAACGACTTTTATTATAGAAAATATGAATTCCGCTTCACCATAGCCTTGGACTCCAAACAAGTTGATTGTAATGACCATAGTGTAAAAAATGGCAACCCAGGCGGCGGGGGAAATATGAGATGGCCAGTATGATACCGTCAAAGAGGCCGCGACAATCTCTAAAGGCAAAACAACCAGCCACTGCAAGGCATAGTTCCATCCCATAGCGAATCCCCATGCGGGATCTAAAAAACGAGTGGAGAAGGAAGAGAACGAGCCAGCAACGGGAAACAAAACGGCCATTTCGCCTAGAGCGTGGATGGTTGAGTAGACCATGATGCCGACGAGACTGAACGCGATGACGAGAGAGGCAGGCCCACCGATAGCCAGTGACCTCCCAGAACTTACGAAAAGTCCAGTGCCTAAATGCGGGATCCATAACTTAATATTCCGTTTAGGTCCGGAAGCAAGGAACTCCCATCAATCTTTTGTTCACATAGAAAAAAAGTCCATACCTACAGAACCTCCAATAGCAATCATCTGCAAGTGCCGGCCCTTGAGTTTCCTCTTCAGGGGAGACAAAGCTATATTCGCGACAGCCTCTTCGAGGTCGAACAGCTTTCCATTCGTGTCTATCTGCCCAAGCTTGGAAACCTGCGCGTGCGGATTTCGCTTGAAACTGTCCAAGAGCCGTTGCCAGGCATTCTTTTTGGGTGAAACATCGTCATAGTCGAGCGATACCTCTGGAAAAGAAGGGGTTGGATGGACAGTCCGGGGAAAAGACCTCGCTGGTTTTCGAGCATTCCCGGAATGCGATGCGACCATTATCACAGGGATGGCTGTGACATGGGCTCCGATGATTTAATCTGGAGGTGTGAGGGTGACTTTTGTCGGTAGTTGGGCGCTGCTGCACCGTTCATCGCAGGCACATTCGACAAAAGTGTGCGTATTCAACCAAGAGCACGCTGCACAATAATAGAATGGCTGCCCGAGTTCCCAGTAATGAGACCAAGAGGGAACCAAGGTTCCAAAGCGGGGGTAGTGGAGAATGATCCTTGGTCAACTCATCGCTGAGGGTCTAGGATCAAAAAGTTGAAGGTTATGTAGCCCGTGGGCTATTTAATCGAGAAGCCGGGAGATGCTAAGAAATGAAATCTGGGGGTTAAAAAAGAAATCTTTCATATTGCTTGATCCCAAGACACAAACAGCAGGGTTCCGAGCAACGTGAATGCTATGAAGTTACATTCCGGTTGGCCTCCATCCAGTCAAGGTTAAAAAAAAGAGAATCCAGCTGGCAACACCAGGGGTTGCCCATGATCCGAGATGGTCATCCTGTCGGCCCACTATTAACGTATCCCAAACATTGGCAAATCGGCGCTTTCTCCGGTGTCAAATGCGCACAACGTGCTCACGTTGCGTACAAACTCCGCCGCCCCGGCCTCGTGTAGCTCGTGTGTTGCGGACAGACTCGAGAGTACAAGCCAAGCACGTAGGACATCCTTCGGTCCGTCGTTAGCTTTGAGAAGCGCGCTATCAAGCGATAGGATCCTGCCTGGGTCGCCACACTCCTGCAGCACGAGTGTTTCGAGCTCGACTGTTTTTTTGATTGTTTCCAGGTTTGCATAAACCCGCTCCTGGAAAATCATTCAAACCAGATCGTTGGCGGTGAAGGCCACGCGATTAATCATTGCATCATCCGCGCATCCCCGCGTCCTTCTGTGATTCAGCCTCAAACCCCCAATTTCGCTTTAGTGCGGGGATATTACGCCGCGACAATCGAGAGGGTAAAAATTTTCATCTCCTCCAAATTCATTCTTCAGAAACTCAAAACCAGCTTTCTTGTAACCTTGGCTACCAGATGGTGTCGTAGTCGAAATCATTTGATAACATCTAGGGTGAAAATAAATCTGTTCTGCGTACTCCGTCCTCCTTACTTTTGTCGTTTTCTCTTACAACTGTTACTAGTGCTCGATGCTATCTACTATTACTTAAAACAGGAAGATGCTTCGCAGAGATATATATCGTGACGGTACTCTCTACCGGTAAAAGCCTCATTCCACTGTAGTAATAGGTCATAGCCGTGATATTTTGAGAGACAACAAGCAACTTTCCAACGTTAACGCCCAGCGGATCCTTGGACAAAGGGAAAACAGAAAAATTGAACCAAAGGCGGCGGGAGAGAGACCCAGCCTCACCTTTGCGTGCTTGGCGGTCTGTGTTTCCTGTAACGTAGATTGTGCCTACTCCTGGGTGAACCTTTTGAGATATCTGAGATATAGCTTGTAGGTTGATCATTGAATGCCGCTCGATTGGCGTAACCCCGTGGAAAGAGTATGTAATACCCGTTTGTTTTGATTTACTTCGTACGGAAATGATGCTCCATGTAGTATAATGGACTTAAGAATGCTCATATATCTCGTAGAATGATGCAATAATACCCCAAAACTCCAGAGTCTAGACATGAAGGAAAACCGACTCCATCCAAACTGCGCCAGCCCTGGTCTAGCTTGCAGAGCCGACTGGACCCTCACCGCCGGGAATTAACTTGATATCAACACGTCAGCCTCATGTGTGACGAGAAGAGAATGGTTGAGCTAAACGCACCATGCAAACATTATTTCCATTTAGCAAGATCTTAGGAAGCTTAGTTTGAGCTCCTGTATAGTCACTAGGATATTGTCAGCAAGGCGATTTTCTTGCTGCAGCAGGACATGTGAAAATGTGTCCATACAATTCTGTAACGTCCTCCAGAACCATATCTATGAGTAGCTATTAGTCTGCCCATTTCATATCAGAACTTTCAGGAGGATAAAAGGAAATACATACTAACGTAATCATCGAATCCAAGCAAAGTTCCGCTGAACTCTACAGCGTCGAACGCAAGTCAGTAAAAGCATTCCTTCCTGGCACATCCGAGTGAGAGCTTTGTGGAAGAGGCCAAAAATAGACAAACCGCACCTCTATCTCCCTTCATAACAACCCAGATCTTGGATCCAACGCATTTATCAATTAATTCTTATTCATCAGTTCTATGTTAGCGATCACCCAAAAATATTTGGAAAAGTATGGAATTCTAGATTTTACCAAGTGGGAGTAGTTGCGACGCCATGTTGAGAGATGATGTATAATATATTTAATTCAACACGAATGGTAAAGATGATCTCCCCTGCTCATCAAAGGTTTGTGGTTGACTCCAGGCCGCTAAGAATTGTCAGCTCGATTCTCTCTGGAAGGTCGTTCCCAAGCAATTGATATGGCGTGAATGAGAGTCCATTGAATGAGATGGTCACGTGAGATTTATATTTATGACTTCCACGTGACCCTAAGTGTACGCCACTGCTTTATGGAAGTTCATGGACCGTCAGTTTCAATTCTTTTTCAAACTTCATCCAACTGCTCCGTACCATGCCCTGGATGTTGCTTCTCATTCCCGGAGAGCTGGAGGCTTTCAAGTCCTCAGAAATGGTATCCCTGTCAAAGACAATGAAAGGGAAGAAGCCATCTCCGCCACACTTTATCGGGTACACACCCCCTTAGTAGACAGCGGTATTTACTTCTTGAAGAACAGTCGCAGTCTAGACTCTGCATTCAACGACTTTTGATGTGATGTGATAACGACCGGTCTTAGGCTAGCTAATCAAAACAAAAGGCTTCCCAGCAAGTCCATGCTTCCATATATGGGCGTTCATATTCCTGCATTTTCATCTTGATGGATTTTCAGCCTTCCCTCTACTTCTGTTCCGAACAAATATTTGAAAAAGAGCAAACTCCACATAGGAGTTAATGCTGGATGTTAATGAGCTAAACAACAACCTTGATGAGCTCTATCGCAACAGATCATCCTACTGCATGCAAGGCATTCCATCTTTTATGAATCCTCGCTCTCAGACAGTGTGAAAACTAGGCCCAGTCTTCACAGAACACAAAACCTATGGAGATGACAATATCTATAAGACATATGTGACAGACATGTGGTACATGTGTCACAACTCAGCTTGAAGGGCCCAATCCTGGAGCTCAGAGCATTGCAAAGATAAGAATGTAGTATGTGGAGATGGCCGATCCTGGGAACCCTTCATCAACTAAGCCTCAACACAGCTGCTCTCGTGTTGGATTTGGCTTTTATAACCATGACACACTCACCAAACTTTTTTTGCACCTGTACTTGAAAGCTGCTGGACACGAGACATTCCCCATTATTCCACTAGAGGACTGCATTAGATCCCCCGTTCCGGTCCACATTTTAAATATCCAATCCCCCCTGTTCATCCAGTTGCTCTTCTCCCATACGGCTCACGACACACCCAGAGCACAGTTGGAGAGCTACAGGAATATATTACCCTCTCTCTTTGTTTTTTTCCACAGCCCCTTGCTTTTTTCCTTCTAGATTACTTTTATTAGCCTCTACGTTCCTGGTCGAATTGTTTATGACCAGAATGGCGCCCTAAGCCACACATCCGCCAGATACTCTTAACCACCTTGCTTCGCCTAACCACGCCGAGAAACATTCTGGAGGAAACGGAGCTAGCTTGATAGCTGACTAGCTACGGACCACGCCACTCTTCATCGCAGCTCCTCTGTTCTTGAGACTATTGTCCTAGATAACGCCAATGGATCCAAGGAACTTGGCAGCATGGAAGCCCTAGCTCAGGACGGCTTGATGGGGCTCTGCCTTGAGACATATGGAAACTCGCCAGATAGTATTGAAAGACAGAAATCATGGCAAAAAAGGACGATGACGAGCACCAGCATCAAGGTGCGAAGGATTTTCTGGTCTACGCAAATATCAGCGCACCGTGGTCTACCTTTATTCGAGATAGCCAGCATAGAGGGAAGAGTCATAGCTTGTCCTGCACGCTCGAGAATTCGCTCATGGTATTGTCGATTGCAGGCAAGGTTGCCACGCCGCTGGCTGAATTAGTTCTGTGCTGTGACAACTTCATAGGTATCGAAACTGGTCAGCTATGTGAAGCTGTGTACTTTTGTGCTCGTCTGGCGTCACTGTTCACGTGCTGGTTTCACTCAGCAACTTCGCCCGTATGATAAGGTTGTATGGGTACTTGTTTGGACTGCTGGAGGTTGTGAAGCAGCAATAGGACATTCCCATGTTATGGAAAGACACTTCATTATTGGGATGGTGAAATCTTTGATGGCTGTTGGAGAAAGGACAAGCCCCTTTGCACGTGGAGGCTTTCCGTCAACCTTGAAACAATCTTCAGTTCCACGCTATGTCTCACTCTCATATCAACGTCCAGATTGTCACTAAATTCCTCCGCGACATGGCTGAAGATGCAAAGCGTTCGATTTCAAGGAATTCAAATCCCTTTTGGACTCTCAGGGCTAGGTCAAGGGACAGTCTGATCCACTCAAAGTGCGCTTACGCCTACATGAATCGTTGCTCGACGTCGAGAAGGCCGATGCAGCCGGATGTACAGCGCATGGGGTGAAAATGAAGATATGGGCAAAGAACCAAGCCATGGAGGGGAAGATGGCTGAAGCAGGGTGGGAGTTCGAGAAGGGCACCCTGACTATCATCAATCTAAGCAGCCCCTTGTTAATGAGATTGATGCACGAGCATTCTTCAGTATTTGCTTGAGCATTTTCTTGGAGAGTCGTGACAAGGGAGGATGCATTATTGCTCTTGATGAGACATAAAAGTTGAGCATACTGCTTGCCTTGATTCCTAGAGGAGTCTGATAGTCAAGGCTTGGAATTATTCAGCTGCAGCACAGCTGTTCCAGGTAAAACTGAGAATGGGGAATCAAGAAGAGAGAGATGCAGAGATGAGCGAGAGAAAACTGGAAAGAACAAGAAGAAACGTAGGGATGACGAAGGAGAAAGATCAAGTGGTGGAAGAAGAGTGGTTTTATAGTTGTGAAAGTGGCGATACAGTGCTTTACCTGGTTTGGGCGGTGCTAAACCGTGGGATAACCTGGTATACCAACATATGTACTTTGTAACTGATTGACCTTCAAGTCACTTCGGAATTTCATTTACATCTCTGCATTATCTGATATTATATCTCTAAGAGGTATCATACATGTTCAAAATGAATAACCTAATTCCCGACTCTGATACATCGCATGCTCGACGACTCTCAGCCTCTCAAGGGCAGGATTTTAGATCCCAGGGCCTCTTGTCTGCATAATGGACATTCCGGCTTTTCACGCACCCAGTCCCGGATACAGGTCCAGCAGAAGACATGTCCGCAGGTAGATACGCTTGGGTCTTTGAATGGCTCGAGGCATAAAGTGCATTTACGCTGTTGCCCAGCCGGTATCCAGCTCAGAGCTGTGCCCGCATCCGATGAGAGGTCGTATCGGGGTGTGTCCGGCGTTAAAGAAGGTATGGACGGAGGGTTACAGATGCTTTTTAAAGTTGTTCCTGGCTGGCCGTGTGATCCGAAATCGTGCTTGTCCTTCGACTGGGTATCTTCCTGAATAGATTCAACGACCTCTTTCACGTGTACAATTCCCTGTACAACGATCTGCAGGACCATCAATACCCCCAGTACCTCGTATCCGACTCTTTCTTCGCTCTCCTCTATCCGCTTTGAGAACACATATCGTAAGCCCCAAAGTCGCTTGGAAATGTGATAGTATGCACCAGTGAAATAGAACGCCGCGAGATGGATGGCGTAAACGGGCGAAAGCGACGTTAGGGAATCCAAATGCTCAAGGATGTACGTTTGAAATTTAAGGACCAGGTTTTGTCTCTTCTTTTGCTGTTCTTCTTTCGAGAAATATACAGACTTTGCCTGTTTGCGCGCAATACTCCGCTCCAGCTTTGCCCTCAACCGACGTCTGAATGCGGGGAGAATTCGCTGCAGTGTCCACGGCATGAGAATACTGCTGAGAATATAACCAGCCCGTCGAGCCAGCGACGGAAACCGTAGGGAGTCATCCTCCAGCTGTACAACGTCACAGTACTCCTCCCCCAGCGTTCTATTCCCGACGAGGGTAGTGAGGGACAGGTATAAGATGTCTGTTAGGTTTTTGATAGCATCGGTGTGTGCATGGGCAAATCTGGCGCCGCGAAGGGTTCGTACAATCGATTGGACTTGAGTGGATAATGTTCCGGTGATATAGGCATCTTTTTCGTGAGCTCGGATTATATCTGGGGAAGTTGCCCAAGGGAAGAAATGGGAGGTAGGCCAATGCGAAGTGGTAGGTTTGGAGCTAGGAGGCGATGAGGAGGAATGCTGAGAGTCATCGGACGACATTTTGTCCTTTGCTAGCACCTCTCACGGGGTCTCAGTCCTGCGAAGATCAAGCATGCAAGAGGAAGATTGCCATCGCCAGCGAAACTCCAACCTGAAGCCGCCCTTCCCAAAGACAGAAAGATACCTCGGCCGTCGAACATGTCACGTGAGATAACCCATTATAGTAATTAAGGTTTATTGGCCTCTTGGCATTTCGGGTTATGTAATCCAGAGGTCTGCTTGTTCAGCCAAGCGTGATACTGTAGCAAATAACTTTCTTTGGTGCTAGGCGCTCCGTACCTGGTAAATATTCGGGAGAACACATACGAGCTTCAAACCAGGGCAACTTTTGTTTATTGTCTAGCTTTGGCAAGGAGTCGGTTCTCGGGCTTGCGATGGAATATGGACCCTGACCACCATGCGGCCAAGCCAGAAGGGTTCAACCTTGTTCTTCCCCTCCCATACCGCGTTGCGGTGATCTTGGTTGCTGGTAGGAAGCTTCCCCATGCTTTTGACGCCTTGACCGAGAACCTCTATGAAGCTAATGGCTTTAACTCCTCACACAGGTGTCTGGGGATGGGGTTTAAATCTGCATTATTTATCCGCAGTAAAGATTGTACGTGCAATGCATTCCCGATCCCAAAGGTCCTCGCAAGCCGACACCGAAACCACTCCGTCAACAGCTAACAAGCCTAGGACGTACCCGCCTTAATTCGCTATCCCTCACGATCTTCAGCTGGCAGCGTTCCCGTCTACAAGTCGACGTACCATCTCGCTACCCTCCTTTCCATCCCACTCGCTTTTTCCCTTCTTCTTTTCTGGGCCATCACCCACCGTTCCCCCGAGCTGGTTCTCGCCTGGGAAGTCCTCCCGCAGTCCTACCTCTTCATTTTCTCCATCTTACTCTTTCTTCCACTTCATCGCCTCTCGCGTGCCGGACGTCATCGCTTGCTGGTAACCCTGAAACGGGTCGGTTTCGGCGGACTTGCAGAAGCGCAGGATGGAAAATTCGGTGACATAATTTTTGCTGACGTGTTAACGAGTTATGCCAAAGTCCTCGGTGACCTATTTGTCACCCAATGCATGTTCTTTTCCTCAGGGGTATCGAGCACTGGTGTTCCCAATCGTGCGTGTGGTGGGAACTTTGCCATTCCGTTGCTCATCTCGATCCCGAGTATTATCCGTCTGCGACAATGTTTAATTGAATATTCACGCGTGCAGCGGCGTGGGAACAGAAATGTCGATGGTTGGGGAGGCCAACATCTGGCTAACGCGTTGAAGTACTCCACTGCCTTTCCCGTCATTATCTTAACCGCGCTGCAGCAGGGTTATGATCCATCGAGGGTAGGCCTGAGCGAGGCTGGTTTGCATAAACTATGGTATGTTTTTCTGACGTTTAGTCCAATGCCTTTCTTATTGCAATTCCGGCTGATCGTAAAAAATGCGACGAAAATAGGGTCTTATCCGCGCTAATACAATCATCCTTCACATTCTACTGGGACGTGGCTAAGGACTGGGACCTTTGCCTCTTCTCCGACATCACCACCCAATTCCGACACAATCCATACCATCACGTCAGCTCCGCCTCCGCCCTGTCCCAAACCCATGAATTCGAGCCAGGCCTCGATCGCCCCTTTGGGCTCCGCCGTCACCGCTTCTTCCACGCTGATGGAATCTACTATGGAGCTATCGCAATCGATTTTATACTCCGCTTCACATGGATGTCCCGCCTAAGTGTCAGACTGAACTGGATTCACGACTTGGAGAGCGGAGTCTTTGCTCTTATGTTTCTAGAAGTAGCAAGACGGTGGATGTGGATTTTCCTGCGAGTCGAGACAGAGTGGGGTGAGTACCTTTTGCAGGAAGTTTTCTCTCACACTTGCATCATCCTGAATTATCTGTGACAGCCAAACTTTTTTTGCACCATGCATAGTTGCTGACTCACCACGATTCTAGTCCGAAGTACTCGGGGTCCGTCACCGGATGATATTCTCCTGGGAGAATTTACGCCGAAAATAGACGAAGATTAATCCAAATACCGGATTTTCTCTCTCTATACATCATTGAATCATTTCTCTTTACGCGCCCTATTAGGGAATTCCTCCTACGATGGTATATCTTCCACATAATTCTATGTAAACCATCTAGACACCGCCTTCGTTTTTCCCCAAAACATAATATTTTTTTAACACTTGAGTGTACAGAGTATATCTTGTTCACTTTTCAAATAAATATTTTCAGTTCCTCGTGTATGCAGATAGACTTTAATCCGTGCCTATATTCACAGGAGCATAATTTTAGGCTCCGGTCAGACAAACCAGAGTGTGTGGTAGGACAATCCACTATTTAATTTGACATTTCATTTAGATCAAAGTAAGGATCAAACCAAATAAAACAATATCTATGTATGTGCATTCGCAATATATACAAAATCAAAAGAGATAACCTAACTATGGACCGTTTTCAGATTATTAGAAATATCTATGGAGATATCGCCTCCTCCACAGTACAATGGAAAAGAAGCTTGGTGGCAGGGGAATCAAAAGAAAAAAAAAAAAAGGAAAACTGACATTGTACAAGGCTCCTGAAAAGACGAAGGTTCAGGGGTGGATTGCACAAGATGGATTTGGTAGCAAGGAAACCGGCGTTTGAAGAGGAATTATTTTATTCGTTTAAGACCGGTCATTAGGGGCGAGTCTGCAATCAGCCGAGCGCGGCGCTAGAACGTTCTGCGTTACGAAATTGAGAGATTAAACGTCAGGGACAAAAAATAAATGAGTCTCGGGAGACGTATTAACACCCGTAATCTCCACAAAACACGGCTCGTAGAATCGTCGTCCAAGTGCAGGGTTATTGACTCAAAGGACAACAATAATAGGGAAGAAGGTTATGGGGTTGAACCCCCTAGGATTGCAGTTGGGCCCATGGGAATCTCCCTGTCCAGTGTGGATATGTCGAGAGGGACAAAATGAGGAAATGGCACGACAGCAAGTCAATAGGAGCCGAGAAAAGAGACAAAACATCTTTCCGCTGATAAGGATATATAACGCCAAGAACCAGACATGACCGACATCAGAATTATTCCTGCCGCAAAAAAAAAAAAAAAAAAAAAAAAAGGAAAGGAAAGGAACGGTGAGGGCTCGGAAAGGCGGTATGAGAAGTTGGAGGGTTCGATCAAGATCGGAAATGCCGCTGTATCAACGAGGGCTCTCGCGAAGCTTCTTTCTTAGCTTTTCAATTTTCACCGTCCTGGAGGATGGTTCTCGAAAAGATCTTCAAGATAAGCGCTCGGTGCTCTACCTTGCGGCGCAACGGACAGGTTCAGCGAGCTCGTTGATAGGTGGGCCTGATCATGACCACGGCTGCCGGGGGGCAGGCCAGGCGATCCCGGTGGACTGGGCCCTGATCTTGTACGTGAATAGCCTTGAGACTGGGGTCCCAAGGGCGACAGGCCGATGGACGAGCCGCTAAGATGTGCCAAGCCAGAGCCTCCTCCAGGCGCGGCGCCGCTTGCAGCATAGTAACCAGCAGGCAGGTAGCCAGAGCCTCTGTTTCCTGCCGTGTGCATGCTCGCGCCAGCAGTTGGGGAGAAGAAGAGGCTTTGGTTCGTGGTATGGGTGGGGCCGACGCGAGAATGGCGCTCTTTGCTCATCTTCTCCCTTGACGCCGGAGCCCCAGCAGAGCTCTGATATACCGATTTCCTGTTACTGGCGTGTAAAAGGGCGGTTGCGTCGGAATGGTGTGAGTTGTTTGTGGCACGTCGGACGGATCGATTGACGGACCAGGCGACAAGAAGTCGCCATGCAACCACTATCACACCGACAAGTCCGAGAGCCGCGCCAACCGCGATAAAGATCGTGCCTTCAGGCAGGTTGGACTTCTGCAGGTACGGTGCCCCCTCTTTGGGTGGAATTTGCGGGGTTGGTATCGTTGGCCCGCCCGTAAGTGATGGGAGAGTGAAAGCCGGCCCAGATCTCGATCTCGATGATGTGCTGTCCTGCGTGGTTGTAGGGGTGCTAGATTCGGTAGAAAGGCCAGGGAGGTTTCGGGACTCTGTTTCGGTCGGTTGCGGTGTGGGTGTACGAGCGGTCGCGGTCTCCCTGTCAGTAGGTGGCGGGGATGGAGGCGGCGTCTGTGTTCTGTCCGGTCTGGTTGGCGAGTTTGTCTGGGTGACTTCTCTCGTGGGTTGAGGCCTGTCTGTATCCGGTCGGTCGGAAGGGTCGTCCCTCTGTGCGGCGACATGACCAGCCAGTAAACTCGTGAGAAACAAAACCAGAAGAAGACACAATATCGGCCTCGAGGCCAGGCCACCTCGAGGTCCTCTCATGACAAATTCCAGACCACGAAAATACTCGATTGGGAAGACTCTTGTATCGAACAACCCCCCTCCGTGAGATGGATTCAAACTCAAACACACACGTGGAGATCCGAGGTGAACGTGGACGCCTGGTTCAGAAGCAAGCAACCCAAAGGGATTCAGATCAGGACTCGATAAGAATTGTTTTGGGGCGGGGGTCTTCGAGGCGGTAAGCGAGCGAAGAGCGGCAGAGACGGCGAGGAGCGGAATCAGCAACGGGGCTCAATCAAGACACGATGGAATGTAACATTGTCGAACGAGAGTAACAAAGTGAGGGGGAAGAAGGGAAAGTCGAGAGAAAAATTAAGTTGCCACGGAGCCAACAGCAACCAGAGAGGGAGGATGCAGAGCACAGGCGGCAAGATACAAGCAAAAGAATGTAGGACGGACGGGGGTCACTTCTTCAGCAGGAGAGACGGGGTTGAGCGGCAGATGAGGTCTCGCGGGCTGCTTTTCGCCGTTCGCTTTTCTTGGTTGCGTCGTCGTGTCCGAGTGATTAGCTCAGGCCCGGCCCAGAGGGGAATGGTTGCCAAGCACGCCGCTTGTTAAAAGGGGCTGCCAGACGGGCGACAGCTAACGATGAAAAAAGCGACAGGAAAAAAAAGAAAGCGATGTCGAAACAGAGAGAATGTTCCAGCCCTTCGCTACCAGGCCCTACTCCCTTATGTTGCTACTGAACAGCGCTTCTTGCCGACGCCCTCCAATCGATGCTGACCGCCGCAAATACCTCTCAGGGCAGTGTGTACGGAGTAAGGTGGATCGTGAGCTCACGGTCCACCCCCTGCTGGGAGAGAAACATGTTTCTCATCCTATTGGCAAAATTATCATGACCTGTCTCCCTCTGTGGGGTCTTCCAGCCATTGTCTTGACCTTGGACAATACACTTCATCGACGTGATTCTCCATATCCTTTTTTTTTTTTTTTTGAAACCCTGTACGGATGACAGAGTAGATATCCAGATATCATCTCCTCAAGCGGGATTCTCCACAAGGGAGGGGGCGACTTGGCGATGGACCTGAGGAATTTAACTCATCTTTCGGGGACCGTGTACCAATTTTCACTCCTGTCCAGGGGGGGATAGCAACACTCTACTTACAACTACGGAGTAGAGAACAAACAATCCATGTACAACTTTAAGCCTTCCCACGTGTAAATTGTAATCTCCCAACTCAACCCTTTCCTCAAGACGAGCAGCATGGTTCCCACTGCGGCGTGTTACATTTGCTTCTGCAACCATTCCAAGGTGCATTGTATGTATATATATATATATATATGTATATCTGTCACCCAACTCATTTTAGTGGCAGAACGAATTAACTGCAAGACGCAAAAATGAATGCCCTCGAGGCTCGTGGTGCTTCCTGGCCAGTTTGGCTGGATTTGAATGTGCCACCAAGCCCTTTTTCCAGATTTTCATCAAATGCTGGTTCAAGGGGTGCCAGTCTCTCCCGACGAGCTGCTTGTAGAATCCATCCGACAGCGAGACGAGTAGTACCCAAATCTCCGATGTATGCGATAAACTGACTGCTCTGTACTTAGTCTTGCTGGAACAAAAACGAGTGCACTTCTGACATCATGAATATTCTCCACAGCCGTAGAAAGATGACAGGAAAATAAAATGCAGCAATGGCTGTAGAAAGATGACAGGAAGATAAAAGGCCGCAATGGCTGAAGCAACGTTGAATACGGACTACCTCTCGACCTTTTGGAGGCTCAAAACACCACGGAGCGAGCGGTCAAACACGATGCCAGGGCTGCGAGCGAGCGAATTCCCCAAAGCCAATTGCAGGGGTGAGCGCCGGCCACGCCGTCAAGCCAGTCCGCTTCCGGGGCTCGAGAATCGAGTCCAAGAGCCCACGTTCCTACAGGGGTCGGCGAGTCTTGCTGGCTGCGCTCGAGTCAGCTACATAACATGAACCCCGTCCACCTCTTGGGGGCCGTGTGGGTCAGAGCCCAAACCCGAGCGATCGAGCGAGAGGAGTGTTGGCTGCAGTTCTGGACTCACTTTTTTTTCTTTTTCTTTTCCTTTTTTTTTTTTTTAATAAGTTTTTCACCTTCTCCTCATTTCATGACAATAGCACCCATAGTTAATTCCATTTGTCTTGTTTGCTTCATTTGCTGCTTTTACTCTACCTTTTTCTTTTCTAAATTCTTTTTTTTTTTTTTTTGCAAACTGTCTTTTCTCATTAGGCTTTGCCTTCTTGCTTGAAGGTTGCCACATGTTGCAGCGCTGGCGCGGAGTGGCGATAAATGCAGTGTGGTCAACTCCGTCCTTCACCATCTGCCTGTTCAACACTTTGCATCGGTAGCGCGACGATCCTGTCCTGTCTCTCATCAGCCACCTACTCTTCGATCTGATCTGTGCCGGCCCAGCCAGAAAAAGCAACAATCCTGTCAGGTGGAAATCACAGATGCGCATCCAACAGATCGGCGCTACCTGTTCCTTGAAAACTCCATAGCTCGCTGGCTTTAACTTTCCACCCGCACCCCTTCACCAGACTGCCATCATCCTTGTTGGGCTTTTTCACGCTCTCTCTCACAGCTTTTCTGATCTTCTGTTGATCCAGCATATCTCTCTTTCCATTGATCCTTACAGAACATCTTGCAGCTGGAGAATTCAGTTGTTATCATTCTCTCCCGTGGTTGCATTTATCCAGCCTGTTTGCTCTCTGCCACCGCCCCACCACATCTTGGCCCGTCAAACAGACCTCTTCACCACTCAGCTCTGATATGGGATCGTTGCCCATCGGTTGAACCGTGTCACATCCCATCCCATCTCCCCAGTACACAATGTTCAGTGATGGAGTAAACCGGATTCCTGCGACATCCCACCAGTCCTTCACTTCCTCCTCACATGCTGCCCGTCCCAGTCCGCAACCTGATGCCGCCACCTCGAGCTCAGCTGATGCCGGCGCCCGAGCTGCTTCGGCCTCAATAACTTCGTCGAATCCTCCTCGTTCAAATCCTCCTCGGCGTGCTCCTGGTCCCTCGTCAGCCCCAGACGAGCCCCGGTCCTCAATGGCGTCCCGCTCGTCCCTTGCCCCCCCGAGCCTGCCCGACCGCAGGCGCCCTTCTTCCCAACGACACCACTCTTTCCAATCCAGCCATTCCCAACAGGAGAGACATGGAGACCGGCCTGATGCACCAGCCGTAACGTCCCAATCGTCCCCTTCATCTCCCGTGTCCCACCCAGCCAACCGGATGTCCCGATCGCTCGGTGCTTCCGCAGATACCCCTCCTGAGCGCATCAAAGTACGCGACCTCAAACACATCCAACGCTTTGCCAGCGAGGAGATGCTGTCGTCTTCGCGCGAAGGGATGGCAACTCGTCCCTTTCAAAATGCTGGTCGACAGTACGATATTCGATCGATGCCAGTCATTGATGTGATCGAGATGATCGCAGGTCTCCTAAACAAGATCACCGCCACAAACGACCTTCAGCACGAACATATCCACCGTCACATCCCTTCGCCGGAACGTGTTGCTAGCCTCAGTCCGCAGGCCGCAAGCGTACTGGCCTTCCATGGGAAAAACACCCCCAACATAGGGCTCTATGACTATCTCATAAGGATATACCGGTACTGCCCGTCGTCCTATGAGATCTTCCTCTGTCTACTCGTCTATTTTGACCGTATGGCCGAAATCGTCAATAAGGGCCACCTTCAGAACCTTCAACGGCAGCACGATGGCAAAAATAGTCAACGGCCTACCTCTCCAGCTCCCCCGCTCACTATCACTCCTGGTGGGCGCTCCTCTCACCTCATCACGCCCCCTTCCTCCGGTGTCAACGCTCCACTTACCCACAGCGAACCTCCATCTCCAATGATCCAAGATCCACAGCGACCACCGACTTCAAACGCAGATTCCATGCAAGTTGATAACAACAATCCTGATTATACCCATGATCACAACAATGATGACGCCGATGCAGTAGACTTCTCGCATTATTTCGTTGTTGATAGTCTCAATATCCACCGTCTCGTTATAGCGGGTATTACGTGCGCGACCAAATACTTTTCTGATGCGTTTTGGACCAATTCAAGATACTCCAAGGTTAGCCCAGCTTTAACTCTTAGCTATTTAACCCGCGGTTTGTGCATTTGCTGACCCTGGTTATTTTGTAAATAGGTTGGTGGCATACCACTTCGCGAACTCAACCACATTGAGCTCCAGTTTCTCTTGCTCAACGACTTCCGTCTCTCCATCTCCCCTGACGAATTACAAACATACGCGACGATGTTGGTGGAATTTTATATAAGAGAAATTCTCAACCAGCGCAAACGGCTCCAGGAACAGACGCAGGGCCAGATACCTCAGTCACCTCCGGGCACTCCACAAGCAGAGATCAGAGCAGGAGCCTGAACAGGGCATGGTGTATGCATGCTTGCATCCAGCTCTCGCCCGACATCTGAAAGGTTTATGTAAGATGACGACGCATCAAGGCGCATAGACCACCGATTGATATCTCTCTGTATGCCTACTGGATTTATCTCGGTTATCTCTGTGATGAACCAGCTGAGAAGGTCGGGACATTTATTTTCAACAAATCGCATAGCTATTCCTGGAATATCTTCCGCATCATGCCACGAAGATTAATCCTTTGAGCTATGCACATCTGCTTATGAAGCTTTCTACGGTTTTATACCAATTATTCTGGAGTGTTTTTTATTTGTTTCATACTCCCCTTCTACACTACTTCTATTTCTTTTCTTCCTTGAGCAGAGTTGATGTTTTCACGCTTATTCTCCACCTCGCTCCCTAATGATTTTTCAAAGTCTCTGGTTCTTGCGTGTAATTCATTTCTATTGCCTCTCTTGCAGGGAAGTTATGTGTTTATGCTTATTTGACCTTCTAATTTGACCAGGGGTTTTCTTTCCACCTCATTCATTTCTAGCAATACCTTTTATTTTTCTTTTTTGCTCTGTAGCTGTGCGCAATTGTCCAGCTGATACAGAAGTATTATCATCTTTTTAATCAATGGAATTCCTGATTGGCCTGCTGACCCATTGATATTATCATTTCTTTTTAAAAAAAACAAATAAACAAAAGAAAAAAAGCTTATGCAGTGAGTGGGGATGTTATAACCTTCATGAGGGTGTGGGATTCTTGCTCATGTTGCCAACATTACCAAGTAGTCTTTGCTGTTTATGCAGTGTCTCACAGCAGGTCATCTAGTCTAGCTTGTATGTCATCTTTTAGAAGCTATGATCAAGTGCACAATTTTACAATTTTTTTTTTTTCCCTTCTTCCAAGCAGGGAGCGAAGAAATTCGCGGGGGTCAGTTGAGCAGAGAAAAGCTCGTGTCAATGCGGGTAGGTTTCGGGCGTCGTCGAGCTTCCACTTCAACCTTTATGTTCTACCAGGGTTGGAAGCCTGTTTGGGGGAGGTATACGGAGTATATTTATGTATGTATGTATGGACGTGGTTAAGTCACATGCCTACCAATTAACATCAAATCATCTGGCGCATATTTCATCAGAATCTCCTGAGGAAAACCTCCTGCTTTTCAAAAAAAAAAGAGAGAGAGAGAGATACATGTTGATCATGACCTTGTCTAGAAATGTCGAGATAATGCAGCTTGTAGTTTATTTTGGTAGCAGGTGTCACAGTGGAAAACTCATTGGCGCTGTGTGACGATGGGAAAAGACTTTTGAGAGAAGCAAAGCTGCAAAAGCCCCAGGCCTCCTGAGAACTTCCCAAGCAATTTGATGGGAGATTCACCCGAATGACCATGAGGAATTTGGTTTTATTGGAAGAAGCCATGGTCCTTTTTTGATGTAAGGCGTGAGGTAGGGCGTGCTGTTCCTTTAGGGTTTTAAGCACGACACGCCTCACTGAACTTGATGCATGCTGGTTATTTCTTCCCCGCCCTGCAGGTAAGGAATATACAAAGAGCAAGCTGAATACATTGTCCCAATATCACATACATATGAAATGTTTTGTACACATGTAGTGCTAGTGATGCATGTGCGTCTATGTATGTATGTATGTATGTACGGGGGTGTGTGTGTGTGTATGTGTGAGAGTATGTACAGTACATACAAGCTTTACACTGTAAAAAAACAAACCAGAGTCTCAAAGCTGAAGACAGGGGGAAAGAAAAATAATAATTCGTAAAGCGAGTGAGAATTAGGTGCAATACACAAAAAAAGGGGACAGAAAAAAGGAGAGTAATTTTGGCTTGGTGCTCGGTGAGAAGTAGTTGAGTTCATCATGCCCAGATCTAACATCAAAAGAATGCTAAAATAGGAAGAAGAAAAAAAGACAAAAACAGCACGAGTCATTATATTGGTTCTGCTGTAAGAAACAGCATAAAGAACCATGTATATGTGAAAACAAGAATGTTATTATCAGATCAAACGAGGGGGTTGGTTGGATAAAAGCGATATACTTCCCCATGGCGTGTATTGCTCACCTCCCTGCCTCTTTAACAATGTTCATAAACACATCCTCATCTCCCACAACTTCAACGGCCCAATACTGCCCGTTCTGCCCGGTCATGGCCGCCGCCGCCAAGGGCATGGTCGACGATACAGGGGCGGACCTCCTTCGGCCTATGCCCACGCTCTTGGAACCCCATCCCAGAATCGCCGCTGCTGCTGCTTGGCCTTCCTCGCTAGGTGCAAGGCTCATCAGTTGCGCTTCCAGACTGCCCAGCACTGCGACTCCGGCCCTAAACAGGACCCGATCTCCTTCGAATACCCAGCAGTCCCAGACACGGCTGAGCCGTTCCAGATCAAGACCGTTAGTAAAGATTGTCCTGAACATGGGCTCCCAGATCTGATGATCGGTAAGACACAGGTTTTCACATAAGTGGGTTGACAAGCGCGGGAATTTGAGACGAAGTGTCGCAGAGGCAAGTGAATACGCGCGGGCAGTGGCTCCAGGGTCGGCGGTCAAGAAAGCTAGAGGAACAGGGCGATTGAGGGCATTGGCTAGAGTTTGAAAGGCTGCAGCGGGGGTATGAAGCTGTAGCAGAAGTAGAGCGGCGACCGTCTAGAAAAACTTGTTAGAACGAGAAACGTGCTGGCTCTTTTTTTTTTTTTTTTTTTTTTTTTTTTTTTTTTTTTTTGGGGGGGGGGCCCTGGGTTATGCAACATACATGCATGCCATAGAGATACCCGACGTCGCTACGATACATCGAATATGCATCGAGCACTTGAACCAGGCTATCGTACAGAGGCCCCTCTTTCGAAAAGACTCTCAATTCTGGGAACGCCTTGGCCGCGTCGCATCGAATCGCCTGAAACCGACCACGCATGTTGTTGTGGACGCCGGATGTGTCTTCTTCGCACTTCGCCCGAAGCTGGTTTGCCCTTTCAAGTGCTTTTTTGAATGATTCCTCCGACAATGCAAGACCATTACCGATGGCGCGCTGCCAGGCCGCTCCTCGCGATCGTGGTGTGATCCCGCGCCACCAGAGTTCTCGCGTGCGAGGCTCCTTGATAGCCCGATCCCAATTGGGAAACACGTGTTCATCCCAAATGTGCTGCAGCATCTTTCGCGTGTCATCCCTTTTACACTGCGCAGAGGCAGCTTGCGCCGCTTTCCGCTTCTCTATACTATCAAGTTAGAACAAATTTGAGGACTTTAAAAATAAATAAAAATAAAAATAAAAATAAAAAGGGATAGCTATGCATAGCAGGATTTCTCACTTACCCGCTTCACGGGATAAGGCCATCATCTTCTTATATTCTTTCAAATGCCTCCTCTCTTCCTTTTGATCCTTCGGGGGTAGCCAGCTGGGTCTTGTGCGCGACAGCACTTTTTCCTTCTCTTTACTTATCGGAAGCGGGTCGATCATGATGTTCGGCCTCTGGAGCGGTGGCAGTTCGATCATGCCTCCCGATTCACGCTTCGGCTTTTCAAAACTCGATTTGGCCGACTTGCCACCCTGGATGCGTTCCTCGTGTTCGCGAGCCGCTTCATCGGCATGGAATTCAAGAGCCTCCGTCAGGACCTTTGCTTCTTCGGACAGATCTGACAGAACGACGTTCCACGTGTTGGCCCGTGGAAGCCGGCCGCCCTGTCCACGCAAGTGACCCATGGAGCTTGACCTCGGCAGTCTGTGGCGGCCCCTCTGCTGCTGCTGCTGCTGCTGCCTGGGGGGTGGTGACGTAGACGGTGGTAAAGACACGGCCGACGGGCTCGAGACGGTATGTTCCAGCGGAATCGGCCTGGGACCGGGACTCCGGCTGCTGGACCTGCTGTTGCTCTCCTGGGGGCGTTCGTGGGGCGGACGCGGCGATATCGGCACGTTCCACAAGGCCGCATCCTCTGGCAGCTCATCGTCCGAGTCATGATACTCATCCTCCAGCTCCTGGACGCTCTTCCGGGGTTTGGAGGAGGACCGCAGGGATCCGTTCGGGGTCGGAGGGGGTCTGCTGTGCGATCTGACGGGGAGGACGACGCGAGAGGGGCCGACGCTGTTGTTGTTCGGCGAAGGCGAGCGGGTTCTGGGCCTCGACAAGGACGGCGAGCGCGGCTGCAGCGACTGATTCGAGGGACCAGACGCGCCGCCCCTTTTTCCGGTGACGTCGCGGCGGGGCAGGGCCAGCGACTGCATTGCGCTCAGGGCGCCGTTGATCTGGGCCTTGAGCTGCGGATAGTCATTGTTGTTCTTCTTCTTCTCCGGCAGGGTGAGCTCTCGCACGGGAGCCCGGGGGGTGATATTTCGCATCGTCGCATGCCCACCACTGGACACTCTCCGCAGGGAGGGCCGGGCGGCCAGTCTATCCTTACCCAGATGGGTGTGATCTATGCGAGGGACATCGAGATCCTCATCGAGACCAATGTCTTCAAAGTTTGAGATGTCGGAGAGGATGCCATCGGGGATGGATCGGCGCGAGGAGGAGTGGAACGAGGAGGACTTGGAGGATTTGGAGCCGGTGAGATCGGGCGGGGAGTCCGGGGCAACAGAGATCGCGGTCACGACATTATCTATCATCTTGGGCCGAGAGAAAGAAAAAAGAAAAAAAAAAAAAAAAAGGAACAGAGACAGGGAGACAAGGAGATAGGGAGACAAGGAGAAGGGGAACAACGATCCAATCGAAGCGATCGGCCGTTCTGTTTCACAAGGGTACGCTGAAGGGCCGAGCACGGTTAAACCATGTCAGAAACGAGACACAAAAAAAAAGAAAATAAAAAGATTGAAGGGTGTATTAGAATAAGTAATGAAGAAGAAGCGGAAAATTAAATTATACAGGCTCCTGTACTCTGTATTGGGGGTGGAGGGATGTTAGGATGTTAAACGAATGACAGGATCAGGGCATGTGCTGGATTAAGGGGTGCAGTGTGTATATATATTTTTCTTTTTCCTTTTCCCTTTTGGGGGAACGAACGATGGGAGATCTTCCCTCCCCGGACCTTGGGGGAGTTTATTCAAGCGAGCGACATGAGAGGTCAGATGGAGAAAAAACAGCACGGCGATTAGAACATCAGGCAATTTAAGAATTAGGTTCAAGGTTGATTTATTGTTTAAGCTAGATAGTAACTCTGGAGTGGCGACAGAGCACACCGAGCAGGGCACACAGGACAATCAGAAACGAGAGCAGCAGAGACAGGAGAAGTGAAGGCGGAGAGAGAGAGAGAGAGAGAGTGAGAGAGAGGGAGAGAATAGATAGAGATAGAGATAGAGAGAGAGAGAAAGAGAGGAGGAGATCGAGTGAAGGTTGGAATTGAGGTCCGGCCTTCCCAGTCCCAGTCCGAAGTCCCCATTCCAAGTCCCATTCCACGTCCCATTCCAGTCCGTCGTGTCATTTTAGTGTCAATCCAGTCCCGTCTGTCAGCCCCAGTTCGCCGCCCTGGAATTTCTCCCCCCCCCGTATCACACCTGTACCGTAACACGCCGCCGGCTGGCCGGGCTGTTTATTTCCTGCTTTGCTTGTCCTGGCGGCGGGGACTGTGACCTCTGGCACGGGAAGAGGCAGTCTCGCACATGACCAATCACAGCTGCAAATTCTGTGATCCACTTCCCCAACAGGCTTGGTCAGGCCCACATGCTAACCAAGAATGACCTAGTTATTTGTTTACTCATCTTCTAGGTATGAGGTAGATTAAACACTCTCAGTTTTACTCCATACACCATTGTTTCTTATCTGTCATTTTTCATTCGAAAAAACAGAAGCATAAAAATAAAATAAAATAAAAAGAGTCAACCAATAAAAAGCAATGAGCAACATGTGTTCCTGTTGGAGGTTGCAGGGGAGTTATTTTTGAGCATGGAGCTCCCTCTCCCTCTCTGAACTCCCGGGTACACCCCATTCCGTGCCTCTTATTGATGAGTTCCAACTCAAAAAAGAAGAGAAAAGGAAAAAGAACAACCTTTCTTTTTTTTTTTTTTAAACACCCGAAATGACCGCATCGCAACTTTCGCCCTACAGTGGCTCGTGATTCGCGCCAAGACCAACAGCCACAGCAACGTGGCGGGCGCGACTTTTTGCCAGCCCTGCAAATTAACTAAGCAGTTTCACCGGATCCCGCGCTGTTTCATCAGCACAACAGGAAGACAAGAGATGCTTCGTCGCCCCGAGAGAAACACACGCACGAAAAAAAAAAAAAAACCCACACAGAGTTGACATACACACGGAGTACGGAGGACAACATGCAGCTGATTGCGATCGTCATCTTAAGCAGGGCGACGCCCTTTCGAGAAGCGGTGGAGCAAAGGTTGGATATCCGGCATTCCGAGACTGAATCAAAGAAAATAAAATAAAATAAAAAAAGACAACTCTCGTTCAGCACGAAAAAAGTTTCATCTGCGGAGCGTGACGGAGTGATGTACGGAGTACGGAGTAACTAGTTCGTTTATTGTTTTTCTGGCGGTTAAATCCGATAGTTCTGCATAACCCCCCTTGCATCCTTCACCACTCTCCACAGCCGTCCCGCTTCTCTGTGCCCCGTCGGCCTCGACGCCCTCCCTACGCTATCCAGCCACTGTATCGTCCGCCCAGACCGACTCTGCTTCTTCCCCAGCACCTCTCTGAACGCCTGCACCGCCAACCACTGGATCTGCACCCTTGTAATAATAGCATTATTACCTGTGCTGCCACTCCTGCCCTCGCCGTCGTCACCCCCGGAGCTCTTCGTGCAGGAGCGGATCAGGCGCACCGCGTAGTCGATGAGCCCCCCGATGGTGCGGGTGAGCATGTCGTCCATCGAGGACCTCCTCACCTCTCGGCTGTTCCGCTGCCGCCGCGAGAGCGACCGCAGATACGCATACATCCTCATCGCACAGTCGAGGAACGCGTGATATACACCCGCCAGCACCACGCTCGCGGAATTGTGCTTCACGTCGAAGAACATCGCGTGCGCCTGTAGTTTAAACATAGACAGAGATTTGCGGTAGAACCCCTGTCCGGGCGTCTTCCTCAGCTCAAGCGTGAGCGAGTCGCACACGTGGAGATCGTCGTCCTGTCGGCGGGTCCGATCTTTGCTGATCGCCAGCGTCCTGGTATCGATAAGGTTCCCGCAGTATGGAAATTGCTCCTGCGACGATCTGCCCAGCCGCCGGATGTCGTAACCGCCCACCTCAACTTCAAAGTTGACCAACGTCTTGCCGGGAGTCACCGAGATCCCATACTCCTGGCCCCCTTCCAGCATCACCCGTAGAAACCGCGTCGCTGCGTCCTCCTTCGTGGTGATAAGCAGGTAGTCGTCGATCAGACGCAGCAGGAGCGATTCTTCATCGCCGCCCAAGAAGCCAAGCTCCGCTCGTTCGTGCTCGCCGTAGAAGAAATTGCACAGGATGCTTGACACAACCGAGCCCTGCGGGATCCCGTTCTTCTGTCGAAAATACTTCTTCCCGATCTTCACCAGGTTGTTCCGCACGTGCTGCTCCAACAGCGCCAGCAAGTCGTCGGCCTCGTGCCGTTTCTGGTTCCCCGTGTCGACAAACACCGTGTTTCTCTTCGTACTTTGCTTTGCTCGCTCCACGACGAAGTCGTATGCACTCTTAAAGTCCACAGCCGGAGCGGCCCTGGAGACAAACTTTCTCACGGGTTTCGCTGGTCCTCCCTCATCGTTCGCCTGGCCCGGGAGACCCGGCTGGTGTAGAGCCCCAACCTCCGCGTACTTGCTCACGCGGTATTCATTCTCGGAGATCAAGCCGTCAACCAAACGCAGCAGTCGCTTCTGAGGTATGGTATCAAAGCAAGCCTGCACGTCAAGTTTAACAAAATACAGCGGATCCTTCCTGCTGATTCCCCTCTGATCAAGTCTTTCCCGGAACCTCTTCAGTCGAACGTACATGTCCCCCACGGAATCCATCGACGCACCGAGAGACCCCGACTTCGAAGCCTTTTCACAATTAAGCACCTGGAAAACGGGTGCAAGTAGCGTGTTGGCACTGTGCCCCAGCTCTATCCTTCCATTCCACCTGGACTTGACGATGGCGCGCTTTCTCAGGTTAACGATCGGACGAGCTCCGGTGCGCTTGGGGAGCATTCGAAGGGTGCCGTAGCCCAGGGTCCTCCTCGACAGGATCCTGGCCGCCGTTTCTTCCTTCACTTCCTCAAAAACCGTAGATTTGAGCTGCGCGACCGACGGCTCGATGAGGCGCTTCCATACATCGTGGCGGAAGTAAAACAGGCGGTTGCGGTGGACGTTGGATTCGGTGACGTAGAAATTCGAGCGGATCAGGGGAATGAGGAGCGAGTCGAAGATGTAATAGATGAATTCAAGGAAGATTTCAAGCCGCTTCTGCTTGTCTGATAGGCAGAGCTTATCGGCGCTATCGGTCCTCTGTGGTGGCTTGAGCCACTCGACACATGTTATCTATGTTACCAGGTTAGATCCGTTGCATTTTACAAAACCAGAGATAATCTAGAACCATTGCAAGCGAATCGGAGCGCACCTTCAACCCCTGAGCGACGTCATGGAGAGACATGCTCTCAAACCTGCGAAGCTGTATAAAACCATCAACCTGGCGCATGACAATATCCCGATTCAGCGCCCCATCGTCCCCAGTCCCGAATAGGTCGTTGGGGATTAGGTTTTGCAAAGTTGCTCGGCAGAATGCAGAGACAGATGCGATCGGTGTAGCGAAGTCCGTCAATGGTGGCCCAGACCGCTGTACCTCAGTTGGCGGCGACTTCTAAAGGATTCGGTCAGCAACTATAAAGAAAGTAAATAAACAAATAATAATAAAAGCCAAAATAAGATCGGGACGAGGGATAGAGTGTGATCGTACTTCCACAGGGCAGTAATGCCTTAGTAACTCCACGTATGAGCAGCGCTGATGTCTCTTCTGTAACTTCTGTATCAACCCAACCAAGTTGCCCCGCAGCCTCTTTGGCAGCTTATTCAAATTTTCGTTGGAAAATTTGCCGGGGCATGTTTTCTTTTTCATAGCCATTTCCTCTTCGCGCAGCGTGTAGTCTTTGAAAGACTGAGCAGTTTGCTTGGAGTCCACGACTGACGTGAAGACGTTGTGCAATCCAAACTGACGCGGGAATATATATTTCATGATATGTACAGTGTGCTTTAAATCGTTGCAGTCGGGATATCGATTTAAAACGTCTATATTTTCTGCGTCAGCCTAAACAGTTGCAGCTATGTAGCGATTGTAAGAACCGTACGAATATGCTGTAGACCGAGCTTTGCTTCTCCCTTCGCATTTAACGCGGGGCGGGCATAAAAGATCCTGCTCCTAACGAAGACGATACTTCGAGGAGAATGCAATGCATGTCGGACGTGACTTGCAGCGCTCTCATTTCCCCCCTTGTCAGCCGGCTTTTTCTCAGATATCTCCTGACTAAGGAGATTTAGCTCTACCAACTGAACCCCTATTTAAAACGTTTAGCGTCCAAATCTCCGGGAAAAAAAAAAAAAAAACGGGAAGAAATTATTAAAAAAGAGGGTAAATTCGCAGCTTACCACTCAGTTGATAATAAGTGCCTCTATTCGAGTTCAGGGAGACAAATAACCCACAATCCAGCAGCAGATGCAGCATAATCTCTTCGCAACTCTCACCAAGCAGATTGAGAACATCTGTCCATGGAAAGCTCTTCAGCATCGAGACATTCTTGTTCGGATACTGTGGGACGATGCCGGGACCATGTTCGTGATTCGGAGCATAGTGACTTGATGCTCGCTGAAACCCGTGGCATAACAGATGAGTATGCCGGGAGTAAGGTGCTCGTTTTTGCTTGAACAGGGTCAATATGGCAAAGTCGACAATCTGCGAAAAACAGCCCTCTTAGTATGACTGTCGGTTTAGCGAGCGAACTTAGCTTTGGATTGTCAAGGTCGAAAATGCAGAGCCGTTGAAATTGCTTGTAATATAACCACGGTCCCAATATCGACATGTCCAGCTTTTTGCTTCACAATGGTCGATCAATCCAAAAAAAAAAAAAAAAAAAAAAAAGGTAAAAGAGAAAAAGGGAGTTTGAATTGAAAAAGGACCACGCCGGGTAAATCAAGACGAGAACAATACGTAGGAGTATCACTGTGATCGCTCACTAACCTCGCTCTGGGAGCTCGTCGCACAGACTTTCGTACAACGCAGTCGACTCGAGCGGAACTGTGATTGGGTAAAAGCAGCGAAGTCACGCTGTCTGGAATGAGCATCTGCATGATCTCGCTGTTTCAAAACACCGACTAACGTCGTGTCCAGCAGCTCTGCGACCCCTTGGGCGCGGGAGCGATCCGCTTCGTCTCCATTGCGCGCTTGGCTTTGAGACGCAGTAGAACGGCGACTGCCAGCGATGTTGCTGACTCGGCCATTTTGGGAGCCGAGAGACGCGACTTTCCGTCGTCGTGATTTGGAGGTTGGCGGGAGGAGTTCCAAGATGTACGACCGTAGCTTGACGACGCGTGGATAGTACAATGAGAGCACTGGGTGTGTCGTGGATGTAGAAGAGGTTGGCTCGAAGGACGAGGGTTTGCCTGCTGCTTCAGGTCCTGGTGACGTGTTGGGTCGCTTCTGGGGCCTATTGCTCTGGCCGGCGCCGTGCGCTGGCCGTTTTCTCTTCTTCCCCATGGGGCTTTTACCCCGGTCACCTTGCAGGACGTCGGCTGATAGTGTTTATCTGGGCATGAGATGTTGGCAAGAGTTGTGGTGGTGGTGTTGTGGGAGACGCGTCGAAGTTCGCCCGCGACCGAGTAGCACCTGATCATGCCATTTTCACCGCCGTTCCGGCATCATTCCAGAACACCCATCATCATCATGTTTGATAGCCGATGGCTCGGGTTTGAAGATGCAAGGCAGTTTACCGCCCAATGGAGTCTGTCGCACGTGTGATACAGCAGCCCGTATGCACAACGGGGAGTTGAATTGACAATCTACCTACACCGTACTCCCACACAACGCAGCGTTCCAGAAATTTGAGGTTTTGTGCGTCTCTCGGAAAGGCACAGTGCAGCCGGATCAATCATACGGTTGGAATACATTACACATAGGCGATGATTTCGCAGCATTCTGGGGTGGATTAGAACCCGGCTCCTGGGCTGCTCTTCATACATGTAATTCCGGCCTAACCACTCTGACTACGATATATTGACAAAGAAAACAGGTCGAAGGGTTAGTTACGAGGGGCAAAAAAAAGAAAAGAAAAGAAAAGAAAAAGACAAAAAAAAAAAAAAAAAAAAATAACAATGAAAGTGAAAATGTGTGGTTAAGTTCATCTGGATGAACGACAGCCTGTTTCAAGCCCGGAACGCGGCTCGGGAACCAGTTAACTAGCTATGATTATTACTTCCATCGGCCAAGCCGTCATTGTTCTTCTCCAATCTCCCGGGTTCCAGCGGAACAGAGCCAAACGCTCGGGGATGACGATGATCTGGGATGCGGTTCCGCCGCTGGAGCCACGGTTCGCATGCGCGTGTACCTGGCTACCACCCCCGCCCGTACCAAGGTTCGAGAAATTAAAACTGGAGATAGCGGGAGATTGTTTTGGCCTTTTCTACAATTATTCTGTCCTCTGGCAAGGAAAACAATGGAAACAAGGGGGTTTGGGGGGCTACGGGCTATTCTTAGCAAGACTTTGTGTCAAAAGCTCAGGGTGTTTTAAGACGAAACGGCGAGCTTCTTCAAGGCAAGACCATGTGTGCATGGGGGCGAAAATGGCATTGCGACAGAGCACAATCCGTTCGACGAAGAGTTTTCTTTTCTTTTCTCTTTTTTTTTTTTTTTTTTTTTTTTTTTAATCGTTATGGAGAAAAGGCGGTGACGACAGAGATTTTGCGGTGAACAGCACATTCGATCGAACGATGATGCCAACCAACTTACAATGTGGAAACCAATTTAGTCTTTTTGCCTTTGGTTCAAGTTTTTCCTTGGTTTTGTCCTTTTCACTTCTTTTTTTTTTTTCTTCTTTTCGCGCTTTTTGCCCGGGAGCGATGATGGAGCCCACAGTGGGATCGACAGGGCCAGACTCGATGGGCCTTTGGGTGGGAGTCCGCGGAATTGACGTATTGTTGTTTAATTGCCGCAAGTTGGCATCTGGCGGGCGCAGACGTTGATAATTCCATCTTTATCGGCAAAGAGTCCGCTGATCCTGGTGTCATATACTCCGTACTCCCGTACATAAAGAACAGGGCGTGATCCAGGGCAGGAATTATCTCGGAGGCGGCGGGGGAATTTTCTTGCAAAGACGATCAAAAGGAGACAGGGGAACTAGAGAGCAGATCACCCGCTTTGACTTATCTTATCGGGATGTGGTTCGATTGTCCAGGCGACGATCATCTCTGGGGCGTGTCTCGATAGGATGGGGTGGCTTGAAGATCCAGAAAAAAGTACGGAGTAATTGCTTTCTTTCTTTATCTGAAGGGGAGAAGGAGGATGGAGAGTGAGAATGAGGAAGAGGAAGAAGGGGGATATGTATGAAGAACAAGAAGAAGCGGACTGGAGGAAAGCCGGCGCCGTCGGCAAATTGGTTTGGCTTACGAAGTGGAGTGGGAATTTTCTTTGTTGGAGGAAAACGCAGCCTGTCTTGAAGAAAGTAATAAGATCGTTATGGAGTGTGAGTGGCAAAGCTGGTCATAGCCGATATGTACGGAGTAGTCGAGAGTTAGGTAGTTAGCTAGCTAGCTACTCCGCACAGGTATCTATGGGGATGCGGAAGGGTTTGTCGTCGTCGTCGTCGTCGTCGTCTTTCTGATCGGTCAAGTTGATACGTCTCGAATAACCAGCTAGCTGAAGGGGGTTCTCTGGCCTCGTGATAGTCCAACTGAGCATGATATATGCACTTACTGATCAACAGACCCAAAATTTTGTACTCTGGTAGCAGGAAGACAGAGTTGACCTGTGAAAAAGGGCCCCCAGGTGTTTTATAGTAGGCGAGGTTTCTTGGGGGGTTGGGGATTAACAGCGTTACAGGGTCAGACATGCTTGGAGATGCTAATTTTACTCTGCGTGCTTGTCGTGATCCACCCGCCCTGCTCTGTCCTGCCGCCGCCGCTCTTTTAGTCCTTGTCTGACTGTGTGTTCTCCCGGTCTGTCTTCGCTCTCCTCGCTCTCTTGCTCGCCCGCTCGCCCTCTCTGCCCTGCATTTCCATGCATTTCCCTACTCTGTGCTTTTCTTCAGCCATCACCATCGTCCGTCGTCGTGAGGTTAATCCCATCTGGCAGAAATACGAACCGCGAAGTTGCCAGAATGCGCATGCCCATGTATGTATGACCGTCATCCCATCTCCTGTGCCAATCCATTACACAAACATCCAACCAGAGGTGATCGGTACGTCCAATCACCACCAACCATCGTCGAGGTCTTGTTGAGGAGTTCTCTTCCGATCGAATGGTCTCACTCGCCAACTCTCACTCGCTCACTCAAACTCCGTCACCTCACCCGTCTCTCCTCTCCCTCTCCCTCTCCCTCTCCCTCTCCCTGGCCTCCCACTCCACCGCCCTGCAAATCCCTGCCTAACCTTTTGCCCAACGAACGCTTCCTTTCATTCTCGCTGCACTATTAATCTCCGTCCGTTATTGCCTCAAGGATCACCTCCTGGCCCTCTTTCGCCCTGACCATGCCATCACTCGTACTAATTTGATTACTCGCCGTGCTGCAGCCAATAACCCCCTTGTCTTCTGCACCTCCTCTGCTGTGCAAACTGGCGGCGTTACCTTCTCCCAAGAACCCTGGCGCCCGTTAGTCACGATCGCTCTGCTGCTGCGCCCTCTCTCGACAACCTCTTTCAACTCTCGCCCTCCCGCTTTCATCGAAGAGAGAGAGAGAGGTTGAGAAATAAAAGAAAAAGAATAACCTAGACAAGCCAATCCACCCCCGCTCCCCACCCCCGGGCGCTCCTCTCCGAGTCTCTCAGTCCTAAATCTACTCGACTTCCTCGGTCTGCCAGAAGGAAAAATCCTCCCCGCCCACCACCGGTCTCAACCATGGCAGTCTCGCGATGAGCAGGCTAGAAGCTCGACAGCCCTGAAAAGTTGTAACCCTTGTCACCTTTCTGCCACGTCGTGACGCTACCTTCTCCCAGCAAGACCCTCTTTCTATTACCTCACGACCCATACCTGTCGCTGCTCAGGCATCCGTTCTCTCTACCTTTCTTCTCTTACTTACTCTTTTTTCCCTTTTTCTTTTTTTAAACTTCCCCCCCCCCCCCCTTTTCCATTTTGCAGAATTACACTCCGTGCCTGATGTCGGATTAATTTCTTTCTCCTTATCAGGCCATTACCGTCCAGAAGATGCCTGTCCAGGAGGTCGATCACAATTACGATTCACTGAATCACCACCTACATCCTTTTTACCAACCAGACCCGACAACACATCAGTTTGCGTCGCAGAACGGCTTTGACGATGATTCTGACAATGCCGCTTCGCAACAACCCCCGTCCATGTCCTCTCCTCCACTCCCGCTCCTCCCTGCAACCACTTACTCTCCTCCACGTGCTTCCCGCCAGAAACACCTCTCTCTTACCACTAATTTGGTAGATCAGGCACCCAACAATGTCCGAGACGAACTCTCGCCTGATCCTCGGGAATTTTACCTCCAATACCGCGACCCCTTTGGCAGCGATGGAGCGGGTCCCGACGATGTAGACATGAATACGGCCTCATATTCGAGGAGGTCTTCAGCCCGTTCCAACGGTTCATCTAACGCTCAACGCTATAGGTCCTCCTCTCGCGCACATCAATTCCGTTCGAGTCCCGCAAGCCACTCCAAAGACTACTCCCCCCAGAAGCCCCGTCGCGCTCCGGTCTCACCTTCAGCCACCAGGAGCAGGCAGTCGTCCTTGAAGGAATTGGTAGACAGGTTCAATCAGGCTACCGACGAGGTCCTTCCAAGACCTCCCAATCGGCCTTCTTTCACCTCATCGAGAGCAGAGAGCCCTTCGTCGGCCCCAAAAACCTACACCCGTTCAGGCCAATCATCGAGCCACAGGCCTACCACGATCGAATCCCACTCTTCCATCCTGTACAATCAGCCGTCGGCGAATAGCGCAACTTCAACAAAACACAGCGGACACAAGACGCAGACGCCGCAAAATACCGTCCGAAAACCACTTTTCGGGGAGATATTGCCACTAGACACATTTGCCGGACATCAGGAACGAAGACGGGCGTCACATCAAAGACGGGGCTCCGACAGTTGCATGCACTCGCCAGGTCCGATGTTTCTTGACATCCCATTAGAAATTTCTACTGGATGGTCCCCGACTTCTCCAACAGCATGGTACCTGGGCTACAACCCGTCTATCGATAGCGCCAACACTACTAAGCCGCAACTGCTCCATCGAAGGTCTCGAAGTGAGCTGGGGAACTGTTCGCAGCCAATGAGCCCTACTTCTTTCAACCCAAACATGGGTGTCAAATCCCCAATTTCCGCGACGTCTCCCTCGAGTTCTCGCCGGAAATCAGGCTCTCAATCCCGAATACCAGTTGCCACGCGCCGATTAAGCCAGGCTTCCGATTCGGGTAATTCCTCCCCCTCGACGAGGACAAGTTCCGCGATGGATCGGCATCCAGTGAATATCTCGTTACCCCCCAAAGGCATAAGTGCATTACCCAAACCGTCTCCAAAACTTAATCCATCACCCAAATTCCACAGTCCATCCAATTCCCCTGTCTCCCCTCGAATCACTTCGCCGGGAAGACATGCACACAATATCCAACCGCTCAAGAGCCCAACTCTGAAAGCCATAATCACAGCTCCTCCCCCAAAGAAATCTCCTCCGCTGAGGAGCTCCAGACCACGCCAGCCTGTATCAACCGCTACCACAACGGCTTCCCGTGGAAAAGTTGTTGATAGAGTATCAGATTTTCAGAATAATGCCATGTTTTCAAAGTCGCCTCGCACCAGTCGAGCCAGATCACGACGGCTTCCAGAGCTGGGAAATGTGGACTTCGCCGCTAGACGTCAAAGAATCCAGCAGGCGTTCAATAAGTCGATCGAAGAAAGTAATAAGAAAGAGATTGCAAGGAAGGCACAGAGAGCCGCCCGCATTAAGGAGGCTGAAAAAAAGGATGATCAACGAAACAACGAATCACAAGTGACCGAGGAGCTGGTGACAACGATCGCAGAGAAGGCCTCCGTAGAATCGCGAGTTCCGACCGTTGAATCATCAGATATTGGAGAAGAGCATGAGGCGTTTCTCACACCAGATGAGGGTCGTTCGCCCGATTCAACCGACGCAGCAGAGAATGTTGGACCTGCTGGCGACTTAAATGTGGTTTTGACGGAAAAGCAACTCCCGATCACAGATACCCATGATGCTCCCCAACAGCGCCTGACCGATGCGCGCCCTTCATCGGCATGCTCAGATACAGCGCCCCAGTCTGCGGTCACCGCTTTGACGGATACGACGCCCATTGATATGGAACCGCAGACTGAACTCCCTCAACCATTGCAGTCCCATCGGTCTATGCTCAGCCACATTATGCAAATGCGTGAATCGAGCCCCGATATCACCGACTCGAGTGATGATGACGAAGACACCTCGTCTTCTGGACGTGATAAGGAATCGATCCAGATCATGCTTCGACAGACGTACTTTGACCCCATAGACACGAGCAGTGAAACCCAGGAATTCGCCGAAGATCCGGATGGATCCAAGGGTCATGGAGATAGGCAGCGATGGAGCATGAGCTCTTGGAGTTCGTCGATTCAGATCCAAAATAATCAGCTCATTGAGGGGTCGATGTCAGAAGAAGCGAAAGTAGAAACTTTTGCGGACGACGATAGGACGGCACAATCGACATGTGATAGTGATAGGAATGTCACTCCGCAGCCACCGCCCCATGAGCCCGGTCCTGAGGAAGCGGCTGAAACGACGCAGGACACCAAGCCCAAGGAAGCAACTGACGATGGATCAACGCAGCAAACGCGCCCGGGAGAGAGGTTTAGTCTGAATTTGATGCATCGTTATCCAGACCTGGCCAAACAGGCTCGATGGGACACGAAGCGCGCAACTCAGCTCTACCTACAGGAGCTCGCGAAGGCTGGATTTGGCCAGCCACGAATTCCGGAGCCGATTGTAAAAAAAACTGAGACAGAGAAGAAGAGGTTGTCCGGCCATTCCAACGAAGCACCTCAAGAAGACGGTTTAGTCGAGGACGCGGTTATTCTCCCAGAATCAAAGTCAATACCACCCTCTGATTATGTTCAGCACCTTGCTAATCTGAATCAGAGAGATGACTGGGAGCGTGCTTCACCGTCAATTGCAGATTGGATGCACCTAGCAGCTACTGACAAAGATGTAGCCGAAGAGCATCGTGATGTTGATAAGGATCACGCATCCACTGTACTCGGGCGTGATGACGCCAAGACTCCTAAAATATCAACTTCCGGTCCAAATATTTCAGCTCCTGCGGCGGGCGGCAATGGCCTAGGTGTGTCCATCCAGGTTCACTCCCCACAGGATGGCGACTCTCCAACGATTCCCGAACTACCAAATTATCCTCCACCTCCACCTCCACCCGGCTCGCTTTCTCAACAACACAGCACGGAACAATTGCAACAACCGCCACTCGCACAACCGTCACCAAGTGTGTATTCACAACCTTCGCCGCCTCAAACCTTACCTAGCACCACATTTGTGCCAAAAGATTATGAATTAGAGGCCAGGGACAGTAACGACTCCTGGCTCCACCACACCGGAGCCACACCGGAGCCTCAGACCGTTGCCTCGTCGATCACTTCTCAGGACCGCCAGCCCGCACCGCAGGAGAAAGTTGAAGCTCCCTCTCCAAAAGCATCCCCGACACCCGAGCAGCGGCGCCTGAGAAAAAGATTTCTGGTCATCAAGGAGCTTGTCGATACGGAATACACCTTTGGTCAAGATATGACGGTGGTTGTCGACATCTACAAGGGGACATCGAGCTCCTGTGGTCTGACTCCGGAGGACGTGAAGACTTTGTTCGGGAACTCGGAGCAGGTCGTAAAGTTCTCGATAGACTTCCAGGATGCGTTGAAACAAGCTGCGAGGAGTGTATACGTGCTACCAAAGTCACAGCGTTGGCTGAGTAAGCGTGGGAGCAGATATGTTCCGAATACCAACAATCAAGAGAGCCAACCGATATCAGACGACGAGAAAGATCGAAGAACAACCATCGGCCAGGCGTTCATGGAGCTGATCGGTCGAATGGAAAAGGTCTATTCGGAATACCTAAAAAATCACGACGCTGCAAACAAGACTCTCGATTTGCTCCTGAAGAATAAAAATAAACATGTGAGCATTTGGCTAAAAGAATGTCGTGATTGGGCTTCGGATCTTACTACCGCATGGAATCTCGACTCTCTGCTAGTGAAACCGGTGCAGCGAGTGCTGAAGTATCCTTTGCTACTGACGGAGCTGCTTAGCGCAACTCCAGCCGATCATCCTGACCATGCAGCCATCGCCAATGCTCTCCGAGAAACCACCGCGATGTCCGTGCGTATCAACGACATGAAGAAACGAGCGGACGTCGTGGGCCAGGTCGTCAGCAGTCGAAAGCGGAAGGAGTCGGATGTCCGAGCGGGTTTGTCAAAAGCGTTTGGACGGCGCACGGAGAAATTAAAGCAGCATGTTGGTCTCTCGGAGATTTTTACCGACAAGGACTATGACATCCTCGCACAAAAGTTTGGCGAGAACTTCTTCCAACTGCAGCTGATAATGCGCGATGTGGAGCTTTATACAACGGAAATGCAAAATTCCATGAACAAGCTCAACGAGTTCATAATCGCAATAGAGGCATATATGACGGTTGCGCCGTCCAATTACCCGGAGTTAGAGAGCAAGTGGTGTCGGTTTAGGCTCGCGGTCAAGGACATTATGACGGTTGCACTGGTTGACCACGTAAGTTGCTCTCAATATGATTGGAAGATTCAAGAGCTGACGAGCTTCTTCTAGCTTGCTTCTGTTCGAAAGAGCGTTATCAATCCAATGGTGACTCTCCTGAAACTTCACGACGGTCCGCAGAGGGTGATGCAGAAGCGTAACAAGCGATTGCTGGATTACGTCAAGTATAAAGCTGTCAAGGATCGAGGCGATAGACCAGACAAGAAGACCACAGAGCTCGGAGAGCAATTCATCGCACTGAATGTGACTCTGAAGGAAGAGCTTCCTCGACTTCTGTCGTTGACGGGCAAGCTGATGGAGACTTGCTTGAATAACTTCGTTCAAATCCAGACAGTGTGGAACATGATGATGCAAAAGAGACTTGGTTACACCATTGATCGAATGCCGCAGGATGTGGGCCAGATCATCAGTGACTGGTCTGGTGACTTCACATTCAGCGAAGCACAAGTTCTCTCTCTTGGAGTCTGCAATGGAACGGTGCTTGCAGATTCAGCGAACGTCCAAAATTTCAGCACACCATCGACATCGCACGGAGTGGATACGTCGTCGTCCAGACGCCCTTCCAGTACCACAACACGGACATTCTCCGTTGAACACGGGTCATCTCCCAAAGTTTCAGTCGAATTTGGCTCAAACCCACCCGTGAGCTTCATGCAGTCCTCTTCTCACGGAGAAAGCTTAACGCATCATGCCAATGGGTCCCACGCTCATATTGGCGGGCGCTCACGTACGAATTCCAACTTTTCCGGTACTCATGTTCCTTCTATGACTACTGTCGTAAGTCCGCAGACGCGCAACAGTACCACCCCCAGTACGGGCGCCACGAGCAATTCTTCCTATCGAACCTCCGATGCGTCTCCCCTCCTGCCGCAGCTCTCTCTCGATACACCGCGGTTTCCCGAATTCTTCTCTGATCCCACTACTTCGGGCAATAACTCTCAGAGCAATGCGAACAGACCTGGTGCTCCTGATCTCGCGGAACATCCCTCGTCGCCTGATGCCCCCCGGTACTCGGGCTTCTTTTCCTCTGCAATGCCAATGGCGGAACCATCCGTGCCATCAACACCTCCAGATTCCCAGCTTGGACCCAAGGAACCGAAAGTTCTCTTCTTGGCGGCAAGCATGTTTGAATTTAATATTGATCGTGCTCGTCGGGAAGCCGGTTATCCGTATCTGACCTATGTTGCTGGGGAGATATTCGATGTCATCGGCGAAAAGGGTGACCTGTGGCTGGCAAGGAACCAGGATGATCCAACACACCAGGTTGGATGGATCTGGACGAAACACTTTGCTAAGCTAGCGGGATAAAGGAATTGTCAGTCGATCCGGAGAGGAAAGAGACATTTTTTCCAGAAATTTGTATGCGATGCAACTTTCTTCAATCCTTTGTTTTTATCGAGACTTTCGGCAAAGCTGCTTCTTTCTCAAATTAGAGCGCTTCTCCCTTTTTTTCACCCTTTCTTTCTTTCTTTTTCTTTTCCCTTTTTTTTTTCCTGAAAATTTTTGGCATGTCTTTGAATAGTTTTCTATTATTTCTTTTTTCCCCCCCAATTCCCAATGTTCACACGATCATATGTTGTGTCTGTTTCTTCAGCAAAGGCGAATGGCATATATGGGCGCATGCACTATGAATCAGGGTCTATTTTCCGAATATGATGATGATGTCCAAATCTTTGAGCTTTTCTTTTATCAGGAAATTCGCTTCGTCAAGGGTCGACAGGCCCTTGACATTATTTATACCACCTTTTTTTTTTCCCCTCTTCGTTTCCTGTTTTCCTCTGCAGAGCTTTGGCTGCCTTCCCTTTGATATTGAGTGACCATGTCCTTCTGTGTTATTTTATGACGACATATTGTGTGACTTTGCCTATGGATCATGTTCGGGGCCCCAGCGTCAATGCCACTGTTCTGTGTGTGAGTCCTTATCGATTGCTCGGCCTTCATTCGCCTTCTCTTTCATCTTCCTGGCCGGGGCTTGCTTGTTCGAATGATGTCGAGTGGCTCGGCCTTTTTTTTTTTTTTTTTTTGCATGAATTGTTCCTTGGAATGAGATTTCCCGAGGCTAGTTAAAAGGGAGATTGTCCGCTCCAATATTTGATATCTTTCTTCATTCCTTCCTCTTTTTCTTCCCATATTTTGTTTCTTTTTTTCCACATAACATCCCAGAATGTCTACATTTTGATACCCGTTCTCGTCATAAGAGACCCACGATCCAATAAAACCTTAGTCCTGTATTAGACCTAGGAGAATGCTGTATTGAATAATGAAAGTTATGAACCTCCTCCAAGCCGGCTTTCCGTGCAGAATCACCGGTCTCTGGCGTTTTATTGGCGGGGAGCTGTTAAATGAAGTGTAAATCTAGACCGTTGCGCCAAGTGGCACTGCGGGCACACCGGTGATGCGGTTGGACGACGTGCGGGAAATGAGGGCCTCGCCTGAGACGGGGACTCGGCAGCCTGGTTGCTGCCACGCAGAGCGCCCAATAGTGCCGCCAGACAAGCATGTGGCTACCCAGCGCTGTCTTTTTTTTTCATGCATACAGGGTATATTGTACGGAGCATATTGTATTTATATTCGACTTGCGCAGTCTCTACCCTACAGGCGGTTTGCCGAGAGCACGTGAGGCAAGCCGTTTGGTGGTAAGTTTGTATCCTTACATCATCATCATCATCATCGCATCGCCCGATCACCAGCGTCAAAACCACCTCCGCTCTGCTCATTGACGGGAGATTGGCGCATTTTACGGGCTGAACTCTCCATGCGTGTTTGATACCGCCACAAACTGCGGGCTCCTGGGCCGGTATGTTTCGTCCCTAAACCGTCGCCCCGTTCCTCCTTGCCGAGCACGGTTACATCGGAGCTTCCCGGCTTCATGCTAAAACATCCCAACCGGCATTACCCCGGATTTCCCTTCTGCAACATCCATCCCGCACGCTTCTTGGTTGAGCTCTTGAGTACTGACGCTTTTCCATCGAAGCATAAACACATTTCGAGCCGCCGCACCTAAGTCTCTGCTTTATAAGATTCTTATTCGGCTTTGTGCTTTTTGGCGCCAGACTCGTCTCGTGAATATACATACTACCTCGGCCTTTAGTACCTGCAGGTCACGCTACGGTCTCGCCTCCAGTGACGGTTGGGACTGATCGCGCCGAACAGCACCTTTGATATGACTGAAAGCAGCTTCCACCGGTTTCGAGATCGGATGCGTGGGCGGTTGGGCGAGTCGGTAGGTTTGATCTTCGTTCTCTCTCCCCCACGATCGAGTAACTACTCCGTCCCCGTTCTGCACTTTACCCACAACAAAAGGTTTTGACAACACTCCCCTTTGTTCACGGTGTTTCGAATGGTTGCTTTGTACCACTACTCCAGTACCCGACACTTCATATGTCTGGAGAATATCACACCTAGACTGCTCGGGCGCGCAATCGCGTGCTGCCCTATAATAAATTTCGGTCCTTTTAAGCATGGATTCGCTGGATTCGTCCGATTTCCACTCTCGTATGTGCGGGGGTTGGGGTTTGCTTGGTGCAGACGAGATGCTAGACGATACAATCGCGAGTTTCCCATTCAGCGAATATTTACCATGATTCTTGGAAGGTTTTGGATGTGTATTGGGGTAGGCAGCGCGGCTGACTTGATGCAGGCGAGCCCTGACGATACTTATGTGACGTGTATGTGAGCCTCTTTCCAGCTTCTTCATCTGATACTGGATCGGATGGGAATGCATTTGTCCCCGTTTCGACTACATTTAGCACCTTTAGGACCATCCAGCTGACTTTGTATCCTTTTAGATTATGATATCAGCCGTAAGTGGCCGCGTCTTCCAAGACAGATGACACGATGCAATGCTTGGAGATGTTCATGGCTAAAATCCGTTGGTAGTGACGAATGAGGATGTTGATACACTGAAGAATGACTGGCTGACCGACAATGTGAGCTTCCTTGGTCAATCAATTACGTTTTGCACTGACAATTATAACATAATAGGTCATCGCGTTTTGGGAAGAGTATGCCCCCGACTGGTCCTCTCAAATTCACCCTATAGTTGTTTAATATTCGTTAGGTACCTTGAGCGCGAGGTTATCTCCCACTACCAGACCACCCGGATCATCCTTCTCCGGCCGAGCATGTCATATCTTCTTTATCAGACACCTGACCCTCGCTCTTTGAGAGGCGCCCTGCCCGAATTCAGCAGGGCGAGCCACATATTTCTACCCATAAATGACTGCCGTAGCGTTACGGAAGCCGAAGGCGGAACACATTGGTCCTTACTTCTGGTCTCCGTCGTCGACAACGTTGCGTTTCACTACGATTCTCTCCCGCCAGGAAATCGGAATGAAGCCCTCAGAGTTGCACAAAAGATCAGTGTCCTTCTCGATCGCGGATTCCGGTTCGTCCAACTAGACGACTCGCCGGTGCAAGAAAATAGTAGCGATTGTGGCGTTTTTGTCTGCTTGACCATGCGACACCTTTTGATTAACCGACTGTTGAAGGCATGCACAAGCGAAAAAGTCAGCATGAGTCTTAGTGGCAAGAAAGTCAATGCTTCTGCAGGCAGGAGGGAGATGTTGCGGATAATCGACCGCTTCAAGAAAAAGAAGGATCGTAAAAGATCGTACGTACCGACTCTTATTTTCGTCTCTACCCTCCTCGTCGCCATCATTCTTGCTGCCAAGCCCCTCTCAACTTTGTTTCCCAAAATCTTCGACATATATTCTTTTCATGAACACCTCCTTCAATGCTGGCATAAGGCTTTGGACATAGGGAGATATGTTGCTAAGGTTGACGTCCGGCGATTCTGCGACGGGTGGAGATTTTAGGCCTACTCCGAATTCACGCACTAAAGCGTTGGCGAAGCTATCGCTGAGCCCGTCGAGAGCTTAGTAACTAACATGCGATCGCAAGCCGATACGTTTCGGTTCTCCTTTTCGCTTCACCTAGACGGATTTTTCTTTCCCCGTACTGCTTTGCGGCGTAGGCTTGCAAAGTGGATTGTTCGTTCCTTATTTCGTTATGTTTTCCTTATTCATTCATTTCCCCCTTTTATATATATACGAACGATGAGGCCGGCGATATCACTTCTTCACGCATATCTACAGTCGCAAAATCCGTGGAATCGTCGGAGGAATTTAATCATTAGCTGATATGGCGTTTTTTTGTGGCGTATCTTGGGGATGTCGGATCGGTAATGGAGGGATGGGCGCAGTTATAGTTAGCAAGACATGCATGGATATCCATCCGTCGTTGTTTTCTGCTGTTTAAGGGCTAGTGTTGCACTCATGATAACTTTCATAGCTAAGAAGCTTGCGCTAAGTATAAACAAAATCAATTTCACTGCTTCGATTTAGAACTCAACGATATGTGTCACTTTGCGAGCAAGGGTGAGAGACGTGCGTTTTATGCGGGCACCACCACTAACGGGTGTGGGCCGAATAGACACTTGACTCAAGGTTAAGCCTTCCATAAAGCGAACTCTTGGGCTAATTTTGAAGCCCGAGATCAATTCAGTAATTTAAAAGACCTCGTCTCTGCGCGAGAGAAACTCATGGGCTTTCCGCCAAACGCATTTCGTCCCTCCTTTGAAGCAAAAACCCGTGAACTTGCTATATTAAAGACACACCTCCTTGAGTCATGGAATCAAATTATCCTAACGCCTGTCAATCTTAGCATCCTGTGGAGTGTTGAAGTTCAACGGGTACGCAAGTGATAGAGCAGTTGGAATGAGGCGAAAACCTTTTGTGCTGATTCTCAGGATTCGAGATGTCTCCGGGACCGGCCTCCCTCCCGCTATCGGGATGTGTGCGCCGACGTACTTTCCATTATTTTGGAAAGCCGCATTTATTATTTTTCCACCCCTTTCCATCAAAAGAGAAAGAGCAGCTATACTTTTGTTTATAGAGCTCCTTCCCACACCCGCCAATGATGTCACTCTAGAAATATCGAATCACGTGTGAATGCCAAGACATTTGAGTTTCTTCATGAGTTCCGGAAACTTACAGTCCCTGGTAATGCTCGACGAAACGTTCCTGGAATGCTTTTGACCACCGCGGTGCAGGCCACGCATTGCTTCGGAGGCCATGGGGCCACAGGGCGCAGGGTTAAGGAATGTACACGCTTTTAAACCATGTAGAGTAAGCTACTCTAGCCGTATGGGAGTTGAAGCTTCCTTCTGGGATTCCTGGGTTACGGAGCCATATGTAGCGTCCAATTTTTTACTGATATAAGGCCATGTAGCACTCCTGGTTCGGCAGAAGACCCTTTTCTCAATCTTGTTCATTATCTAAAAGTGGACTTAAACTGGGCCGCATCCCCGCCGCTTATTACCGCGGCGGCACGTCTCGCGGCGTGATCTTTCAGACCAAAGACCTTCCCCCATCCCGGGAAGACTGGGCACCCATATTCCTCGGAATAATGGGTTCTCCGGACCCAAATGGGCGCCAGCTCGATGGTCTTGGGGGTGGAATATCGAGTCTATCCAAGATATGCGTCGTCGGCCCACCGACCAGGCCGGGTGTGGACGTGGAGTTCACTTTTGTCCAGGTTGGTGTGAAAAATTCTGACATCGACTATTCGGGGAATTGCGGGAATTTGAGCAGTGCGGTTGGGCCCTTTGCTGTTGACTCGGGGATCTTCAGACCATTGAAGGACAGTGGAAATGTCTCGGTGCGGATATTCAATACCAATACGGGAAAAGTTATCGAGTCTACATTTCCGGTGTGCGATGGCGAGGCGGTCGCACAGGGCGATTTCGCGATTGATGGGGTAGCTGGCACAGCTTCCAAGGTCAAGCTTGATTTTATGAACCCTGGTGGGTCGAAGACGGGTGGGATGCTCCCCACGGGGAATGTGGTGGACTGCATCGATGGCATCCGTGCCACGTGTGTGGATGTAGGGAATCCGTCTGTATTTGTGTCCGCTGAAGAGCTTGGGATTGATGGAACGATTCTTCCGGACGAAACGCAGAATATGCCGGGGCTGTTGGAGAGATTGGAGTCCATTAGGCAAAAGGCCACTATGATGATGGGAATGGCCGATTCCCCCGAGGAGGTACCGGCGTCTATTCCGAAGATATGTTTCGTTTCCCAGCGTAATTCGCATATGCTGCTCTCTGGTGAGAGACTGGAAGCGAATTCTGTTGATGTTGTTGTGCGTGCGATCTCTGTGGGCCAGCCCCATAAGGCGTTGCCAATAACGACAAGTTTGAGTTTGGCGGTCGCTGCGAAGATTCCTGGCTCTATTGTCCATCAGCACGCTCGGTCTGGCGTTGAAAATAAAGAGGAGTTGGTGATTGGGCATCCAAGCGGAAAGCTGGTGGTCGGTGCAAAGCTTGACGATAATGGGGAAGTAGAGAGAGCAACAGTGTATCGAACTGCGAGGAGATTGATGGACGGCATTGCCTACTGGAAATAACATGCTCAAAACATATGTCTTGCCACTCTATTGGTGTGTTTAAGGGCCGGATTCCCACCTTCTCCCATGTCTGATAATAGGCAGTCGTCGTCGTCTGTGTTTGCTCAACGTCCTCCCATGTAGCGAAGGACGTATGCTAATTTTGCAAGTATTAGTCAAGCGGCCAGTACATAGATATTAAATAAATAGCAAGTAAATAGATTTGTACATACATATATTGTTAAATATCGAACATTATAGGGTCTGTAAAAAGAACTAATGGCTTGCTTTCTCTCAAAGGTCTAAGTGACCGACCCAATATTGACATACCCCGCACATTCCATACAATCATATCTGCCTCGAATACGGTCAATATCTTCTAGTAGATGAAGAAGAGCAAGGATGTTGCAGCAAAGAAGCAGAGGAATGGTCAAGTAAACGCCGGGCTGTTTTCCTTGAAATGTCGTTTACATTGTTCTTTTTGCGTCTCAGAGTCTGCCGGTGATATGTGTTGCCTTCCACCTGTGTGCTTTGTGATATATGAACCGGTGGCTTTCCTTCCCCAGCGGTTGGAGAGATGCTGCCCCAGAGGATGGCTTATTTCCCCCCAGGGAGCATTTCTTCACAGTAGTAGGCGCTCTTTCAATGTAGCTAGACACTATAGATAGGCTGTAGCTTGCATCCCAAAGATTTTGAATCCTCATCTGTGGTATCTGCGGTTGGATGGCCGGCCCCTTGAATCCTAGATGTAGTTAATATATTTTGCCTAGTCTCCTCGTTGACCTTGAGCTCGAATCGTATCCCTTCGCACAGCGAACCACATAATGAGGCTCCTATTCCACGTTGCCGCCGTCAATTTTGCCTCGTGGAGCCGACGCGAGACGTCCCCAGAGCGGCTCCTTTCCTGTACCGTCATTCCTGGGCGGATCCTGCATAAACTTGATATCAATCGATTCTTCTCTGCATGCTGATCATTTCTCTACAGTCCTTGAGAAAGAATACACCTGGATTTCATCTAGATACGCAGACACGCAGATTTCCCTGTATCACTCCCCGTGACGCCGTACGTTCCTTTTCTTTCGCCCAAAATCAGCTCAAAAAAAGTGGGAGGCGCCTGCCCTTCCATGCGAAAGAGCATGTAAACAAAGCGTAGTTGGGGAAACCAGGGTGTGGTCCTTCCCGAAGAAGTAGTCGGGGGCAAGTTGTGGAGGAAAGCACGTCGCAGCGCGCCTTCTCCCAGACACGGAGAATTCCCTGTTATGGCAGCCGTCGCTCTGTTTTTGGACCCGTGGGATGTGTTGCTGTGCTTATAAACCCGTCTTCTTCTCTTCTTCTCTTCGTTTTCTCCTTTTTCTTCTCTCTTCTTCTCCTCTCCAACCTTCATGCTTTTACCATACCATCCATATCATGCCATACCACTATCATAATATCCCCTTTTATCAAAGCATAAGGTTATCATGTCTTCTTCATACCACATCCCTGGTATCCCCGTCATCCCGAACGACCGTGCGGCCCGAAGGCGCAACGGACCTCCGTTCAACCCCTTCCCTCACAAGGTGAGCTTCAAGCCCACTGAGGTGAGTCGCTCCTCTCGTTCAGCCGGCCCTGCCTCTCGTTCCACTTCTGGTTCTTCTTCTGTTGCGCACAATGTGTCTTTCTCTTCTGCTGGTTCGTCGTTTGTACGTAATGCCGTTCGTTCCTCTATCCCCAAGTCCACTCGTTCCACCTCTGTTAGTTCTTCTGTTGTGCGCAATGAGTCTTTCTCTTCCGTCGGTTCTTCTGTCCTTCGTTCTGCTGTTCGTCCCTCTGGGATCTCAAACACTCGTTCGGCTTCTGCCACTTCTTCTGTTGTACGTAATCAGTCGTTCTCTGCTGCTGGCTCTTCTGTCGTTCGTTCTGCCCTTCGTCCCTCTAGGACTTTACACTCTCGTTCTTCCTCTACCTCGTCTTCGTCTGGGCGGCTTTCCTCTTCCGTTTCTTCTCGTTCTGATTCTGGGCGTTCTGGGCGTTCTCGTTCTGTTGTTCTTTCTGCTTCTTCTGCTTCTTCGTCTGTTTCTTCTTCTGCTCGGTTTGCTGCTTCCTCACGTTCTTTAGTTCCTCGTGAGCGCACCGCTCTCTCGACTCGTGGCGTTACCACGTCCCTTCGTTCAACCGCCGCCTGCCTCCCTCGTTCGACAGAACCCGCGGCGGCAATAGGTTCTCGTGCCACAGGCACATCCACTCGTTCCGGCCCCTTCGAGTCGACTGGCTATTTCCGCGGCAGCGCCAAAGCTGTCCTCGCTCTTCTCAACGCCAAGTACCCTGGACGATTCGCGGGATCTCGCGGTCCGCCTTCAGCCCCCGTGCTGAAAAGCGCCATGAGAAAGCCCGGAACCAGCAAGTCCGAGAAGCGAGTCCAGTTTTCCGGCGGCCACGTCAAGATAGTCGATCGATGGATCGTTCCCGGTGTCGACACCTACCGAGACCATACCCCAAGCTTGCTTGGCAAACTTGGTGGATGGAAAGTCACTCCTTTACCGGCACCCGATAACGACGGAGAGACCGACAAATATATCGAATACTGGTGTACCTCGCTCACCCAGTTACGCTCTCATTCAGGTCGCCCCTGCGAACGGAGCTGCGCGTACTCCCAACTAGGTCAGGTTCAGCGAGAGCTGAACCGTCGCAACGGTATTACCGACGACGACAACCCTCGAGACATTCCTTCGATGTACGTGTACAGACTCTGGAACCAGCGCCGAGAAAAACTGAGATCGCGTGGAGGCTGGGCTCTCTGAGCCTACGCTGAAGTCGTGATTCTCAGCGAAAACTCCCCCCAAAAAAAAAAAAAAAATTAAAAACAAAAAATCATCCTAGAGAATCTCGGACGAGAAGTCCATTACATTGTTGCACGCTCTTTTGGGTTTGGGTCTGGATTTCTGTGCTTTTTCCCCCCTTCTTTTGCTTTTTGTTTTTTGTTTTTGGTTTGCTTTATATCTTAGGTCGGTTCACGATTTTATGGTCTTGCCACATTGAGTTCGCATTTCAACATTCAATTCCGGTTCAACGATTTTTGCAAAGGTTCCAACAACCTTGCGAGGGCGGTGGGCGATTCCGAACAGCTGTCAGGGTAAGCGACTCATTTCCATTACTTTTATGTAACCCCCCTCTTACCATTACCGAAGCAGATGGCTCCTCATTTTTGCGAGAGCTCGTAAGCTCCGGGTGGGTGGCGGGAATATTTTTCTACTTCGCTGTACTCGGAGGTAAGTAGTCATTTCGATTCCTGTATTCAAAACATTTACTAACCGCACGCTCTCTCCGAACCGCATGCACATTTTCGGATGTGCACGCGGTATCGATATATTGTCGATCGCGATGAATAGGAAAGGCTGGGTAATCGTACGGAAGTCCGGCCTCGGGCCGATTAGGCAAGTCATATTTGCCTTTGGCTTCCTCAAGATGTCACTGCTAATTAACTTCTTAGCGTTATTTCGAAGAGGGAGGGTGGGTGGCATTCCGGTTCTCACAGTCCTTGCTATTTGCGATTAGGTATGCAACCGCCGAATCACGATTTCGGCCGTGGAAACCGATTTAAGTCCGAGTGGAAGAGAAGGGATGCACCCGGGTGGCATGTCGTGACCTTAATGGAATGTTTTCCTAGGTAATCCGAATTCCTTTTCCAATTTTGAAAGCTATTCTAACTATCCTTCATGAAGGTTCGAAGCGCACACTGGTGGTCATCGATGGTTTTAAGTTAAGGCTTCAGTTGTCTATAATCATTTTGATTGCCTGGGTATTATAGTGATTGCAAATTCCCAATAAAAAACCGTTTGGCGGTAGGCGGCAACGCATTGAAGAAAATTGTACCTTCTAGCAAGTATAAATGAACTTAGCATTAGCTCAAGATTCAATGTTTCCATGTTGTGTCAACATCGAAAGAATCCAGGGTTCCTAGCTTGAAGCAAGTATCAATGTTGATTATTGTAAAATGAAATGTCTGCGGATTAGAACCAAACCCAAGTCCACATGAGGCTTTATGAATTTCTTTTCATTTATTCGCCGCAAGAGTTCTAGAGCAGCCTCGTGTATGTGCCCTCAATGCCTCTGTATTCGGCTTCTCCTTTGAGTGGGTGTACGGGACCGCTCGGAAGAACGTATCCCTTTCCAGCTCTATCTATTTCTTCTAACGATGAAGTAGCACTGGGCGGACCACAATGGCTAGTGAAATTTTTCATGAGATTAACGTCACTCTAGGTCAGGGGATATCATGCTCAGAATTGCCGGCACAGTCCATACAAGACGGCCCGATGCAATTTGCGGAGATATGGAAAGACACCATTTTATTTTTGGATGAGTTTTGTGTGATGCTCCCATCAGGTGGTTCCGTGTCTCCAATAGTTATGCCACTGGAACAGTGGAGTAAATCTTGATACTTTTGTCGTCAAAGATTCTGAGTAAAGTATGAAGTTGCCCTTATTTTGACAGTCTTATAGTTGGAGTCGTAGGGGAATAGTGCCCCAAAACTGAAGTAGTACGTAGAGGACCTGAGTACCCATTTGAGGCTCGGTTGGTTCGTCAATTCTGCGGTTGTAAGTGTTAGTAAATTAGTCACTGGGCCTCAAAGCGTGCGTGCATGCTCGCCCTGTTCGACAGCACGGTTTCCAAAGCATGATATCGTTAAGGATCTCTTTTAATCTTGGTGATGGGGAAAGTGAGACTCCACTGAGCTTTTGACTCTGGTTAAATACTCTGTGAGTATGGCCAGTAAGGTGAGATTTGGTATTGAGTGAAAATAGTGAGGTAGAAACTCGGGGTTTGGATTGTCATAAAGAACCTCATAGTCACAAAAACATAGGAACTCCATTTAAGGAGAATCGTTCATACATCTGCTGCAAGATGGTGTAAAGGTAAATAGGCATGGTTGAAACTTGATGAGTAGTGAGAGAAGAGGGAGGAAGTGAGCAGATAGCAGAAAAAGGGGCTCTTTTATGGCGACATAGTTGACTTCAGCCACTAACTAGTTACTGTGGCTGATGAACTGAATTGTTTTGTGAAGTGATGTGTGGCTTCACTTTGTCTTCAACAAGCCACAGCTGGACCAGCTTGTGAAGCCTCAACCGAGAAAACTGTACAGAGACTGTGCCATTCTTAAGGACTCCCTCCCCGGGTCAGGATTAAACTATGCAGATGCACTCTGTATGCATTATGACTCAACAGCAGAGCAGATCCTAGGAGGTGTCAAGGGACAGCACATGTAGTTACATACATACTTGAACCCTGCCAGAGAATTGATGTGCAATCCAGTTGACAAAATATAGCGCCCCGGTTATTTCGACTGGAATGCTATGGAGAATTCAGACATAAAGTATTATCATAAGTTACCGGAAGAATTATTTAACCCTAAATTATTTATTTAGATGGAAAAAAAGGCGGCCCTTGTCTTAGTCAAAACATCTTTTGGCCCCGTATCTATGAAATTTTATCCGCGGATCCAAAGGGACATGTCCTCCATGCACGATAACGTACTTGGAGCTTCACTTCCAATCTCGCAGACCAAAACTCCCTTCGATTCGGCGGGGCCGGGGGGGGGGGGAGGGAAAGAAAAGGGTAAGAATTTGACTCGCTGCGTCATTCATATGGTCCGAGAGTTCGCAATATCCAACACCAATATGTCCGTTGCACCCACTTTGGTCAATTCGTCCATCACGGTAGCCACCAGCTTCTTCTCCACCATAGAATTGACGGCAACCCAACCCTCTTCTTCCAAAGTTGTTACAGTTGGAGCACGCTTTCCTGGGGTGATCTTGGCTGCTTGGGACAAAAGGTTGCGGGGAATATTGTAGTGGCATAGGACGTACTTTTTGGCCGCTAAATAGAAAATTAGAATGAGCGCTTGAGGAGGATGCATAATTAAGAAACATACTGATTACGCCCTGGATCCTGGAGGTGATGAGTTCAACCAGAGGATTGGAAGTCTTGCGGGATTTTACGAGAACGGCGGTGCTGTTAACAACTGTGTCGATGGCTTGAAGGCCAGCCGCCTTCATGGTTTCACCAGACTCTGGAACGTGTATTAGTAAAATACTGGTCTGCAATACTCGTAAGAGAGCAGAATCGCTCACCGACTAAATCGACAATTCCGTCGGCCACACCTAGAGCGCATGCAGCTTCCACACTACCTCCGACGTACTTAATCTTCGTCTTTAAATCCCATCGACCGTTTTGTTTCCTTTGCGCACCTTCCAACCGTGCGAAATAGTCTTCAGTCAAGCCGGTAAAGCTCGTAACCACATTCTTTCCTACTAGCTCACTAGCCGCCTTTATCTCTCCTTTCGCTGGGACCTGGACCTGAAGCTTGCAGCCACCAAAACCAAGGTCGAGAATCTCTCTGACGCCGGATTGTTCGCTTGGTTGGAGGCGGGCGTCATGTTCCCCCACCTGATCCCGACCGGTGATACCTAGGTCGACGCATCCATCTCCAACAAAGGTTGGAATGTCAGCCGCAGGAAGGAAAATCAGAGCGATGTCAAGATTTTTAACCAGAGCAATGTCAAGGCGGGATTCGCGACGGAATTGGATGTCACAGCCCGCTAGGAGGTCCAGGGCGGCTTGTTGGAGACGTCCCTCTGTTAAAACTAGTTAGAAGCCTGGCTAGGGGTAGAAGAGTTGACACAGTTTCAATTGAAAGGCCCAGTACACGCATTCGTCTCCAAGAACCCTCAAGAGCATTACAGGATAGCGATTTGGGGGAAAGGAGACGACTTGCTTTTAGGGATTGCGAATAGTAAGCGCCCTTCGAGACTGTACATAAAAGTCAGTGCTCAGAACAATTGGTCAGACAATGTTTCGCTAACACCAGCGACTCACTGATTAACTAAATCCATGCTCAAATTGGACCTTCTGGGAGAGGTATACAACTCGAAAGCTTTATGTTCGATTGATCTGGGACAGCAATTGCAAAAAGTCTAAGCTCCGTGTCAGTACAGAGAGCTTTCGCTGAAAAAGAATGTCAAGAACAAGTCTGAACTCCAGAGTATCCCCTGATTTAATAATCCAGATAGCTGCCCAGGATAATGGCGGAGCCGTCAGTCATATGCAGTGGATTTGGTTGAAGGAGCTCTGAAGTTGTGACTCCGTTATCAATCTCTGGTTCCCCGCCGTCTTAGTTATCGATCTCCGCCAGCGAAGCAGATGCGGCGAATGGTAGCACGTGGAACCGCCCGACAAACAATTAACAAATAACTTGCTACCGGGAATTATTTACAGTACTCAACTTCACACCGAGAAAGCTCGCGCGGTGTATTTTAGAAAACTTACTGTCTCAGTGTCCGTCGCGACCGCGATTGACTCATCGGCAAGTCGCGTCGGAGCCGGATTTTGTTTTGAGCTGCAACTTTGCGGGTGGCTGGATACCATTCCGAATACGGCCACTTTTTAGGGCTAGGGTAGTGGTACCTGCTTTGGGTTAGGCGCAGTTTTGGAGGCTCGCGTAAACTTCCCATTTATCGAGCGTCTCGACAACTTCCCTCGGCAGAAATTGCTCCCCACAACAAATCTAGGAGCCCTATCCTCAACCACCAAAAAAGCGACGGGTGATCCAAAGACAACCTGTCGTCGACAATTCCCACGCGCCGTTGCCGCTGATTCCGCCATCCCCAACAGCAAGTCTTCATTAGACGAATTACTCAAATCAACGAGACAACATGGATGCCGCCGGCAAGGTTCCTGTCAAGTACGCGAGAGTGACCAGTGTCCTCGGTCGCACTGGTACGTTTTCTACCCTGTTCCCCCTCCTGCGAGGAAAAAGGACCGTTATCGCTTCGAGCACGGCGTCGAAGTCCAGAAAGCTCGGTTTAATTTGCAGAAGCTCGGCTGAAGAAATGCGGTAATTGGGGAAACGAGCGGACGGCTGATATATGATGTTTTAAATAGGCTCCCGCGGAGGTGTCACTCAGGTCCGCGTCGAATTCATGGATGACTCCCACCGAAGCATTATCCGCAACGTCAAGGGCCCAGGTATGATCTAGGACCCTCGCCGTCTGTTAACCTGTTTATCGCGCAACCCGATACATAATGGAAGAAAGATATACCTCGATACTAACTAGCGTTTTTCCAACCAAACAGTCAGAGTCAACGACATCCTTTGCCTGCTCGAATCCGAGAGAGAAGCTCGCAGATTGAGATAAATGCCAAAAAACTTGGGGAGCAGCGGGGTTTTGCGGTGTTGGATTTTCTTTGCTTCGATATGAATACATCTCTGGCTGCCGAGCGGGAATGAGGATATCCACGATCGTCCTGTTTACGCTTTCCATATTTTGATGTCTTGACTTGAATCGCCGACGATCGGGTCTTGAAAATGGAATATTCTGAGTAGGGAGGTTTGTGGATGGAGCAAAGAATCTCGTGTGGAAGAACTAGGCCGAGATACCATGGTGGGAATTATCTAGCCTCGATGGTACTTATTTCATGAGATAATGGTTACGGCTTGAGATATTGTTTTCAGCGTACGATCTACTGTTCTCTGTCCAAAAACAATCGATCGCGGCTCTTCATTCCCTATCGTTTATCGAGCGATTCTTTCTCTCTATGGCCCATTGGGACTCATGATAAACTTGCACCTGGCATCTACTCATCATTTTATTTTTATTCCGGACCCCCATTACATCTGCATAAATCCTCCCAAAAACTAGGCTTCGACCGTTTTCAGGAGCTCAAATTCAAGGGTATCAAATGCTAAAATAACCAGGTCCATATATCCTATATCTGACCGTATTTACGATATAACATCATCGCCGGAATCTCCGTTCATTATCACAGTTGCTCGACCTCACTCAGCAACCTCTCCATCAGTTCGCCTCCATTCTCTCCATTCTCGAGAACTCTGGATAGCCCCTTGGCCATCCCTTCCAAGTTCTTCCGCTTGATCTTCTCTTCAAGCTCTGCAGACTTGGTATACGCCACGTCCAGCACTGACGAGGGAATGTTTGCCAGACGGGCTACATTTAGCCCGTATGAGCGATGTGCCACGCCCTCACCAACTTCATATAGGAATGTAATGTCTTGTCCATCCTTGCCACTTTCGGTAAACTTCATATGCACGTTTCGTAATTCACCGTTGGGAAAAGTACGTGCTAAGTTGCTTAGGTGTTGATAATGTGTGATAAACAATGTGAGGCTCCGAATATCCCGAACCATATAGTCCAGAACCGCTTGCGCGATGGCAACCCCATCGTGAGTAGATGTGCCGCGGCCCAGTTCGTCAAGGATGACCAGCGAGCGGGGAGTAGCTTGTTTCAAAATATCCGACGTCTCTGAAAGCTCGACCATAAATGTAGACTCTCCTGCGAGCATATTATCAAAAGCACCCATGCGAGTATACACCGCATCTAGCATACCAAGGGTCGCTGACTCTGCTGGTACATAGGAACCTATCTGGCCCATTATAGATATCAGAGCTACTTGACGGACGTAGCTGGATTTCCCTCCCATATTAGGCCCCGTGACGAGCAGAGCGCGAGTTCCATCAATGCCCAACTCGGTATCATTCGGGACATAGGTGTCAAGGAGGAGTTGTTCGACCATGGGATGTCTTCCTCCTCGGACGCTAATGCGGGCTTCATCAGCATAAGTAGGTCTAACGTAGCCGGGCTGAGCAGCTACAGCTGCCAGTGACATGAAGCAGTCGAGCGTTGCAAGCGCCTGAATGCAATCCCGAAAGGGTTGATATTTGGTAGAGATATCGGCAAGTAGACCTAAAAAGGCTTTATCACAAGCAGCTGCAAGGGCTTCTTTATGTTGATCTCGCTCCCTCATCAAATTTACTACCTCTGGTGGATGGAAACGTGAGACCTTTTTTGTACCGCTGATCTTTCGCCACGAGGCTGGTATTTTCTTCATTTGAAGCGACGAGTTTTCCACTTCAATAAGATACTCAATGCCCGCGTTTGTGACATAGCACACCTTCTTTTTACACAGAATTTCGGCGGCCGTATTGCGGTATTCTTCGAGGTCGTGCTCCACGCTCCCAATTCCAAGTTTTTGTTCGGTAATCTCATCTGTTTCCTCTGATTCTTGAAAGAAGCTAAATTTGTCATCAGCTTTCGCGGAATGCAAATTAATTTTGTTTAGGTAGGAGACGACATCATCGAGGACAGCAGGCAGTTGAGTGATAGCTTCGTTGATAACGGGCGAATCAAAGCCAGCATCCGCTGGCGACTTCACGTGCGAGAATTCTGTTGCTATCAACTGCAACGTCTGAAGCACCGTGAGAAGCTCTGGGCGTGTACACTAGGATATTGTTAGGGTTCGGCACTCCAATCTATATGGTAGTAAAGCCTACCTTTCCGTAGTATATGCGGAGAAGATTTTTCTCCAGGTCAGTTTTGACCTTGGATAGAAGAGTCTTTAATCGCCCAACCCTAGGGGTTGCGTCTGAATCTTTCAGCTCTGTGACCGCTGCGACCCTATTCTCAAGCTCTTGCTTATCCAATAAAGGTCTCCCTACCCATTTCCGCAACAACCGTTGCCCGAACCTCGTTTTCGTGCGATCGAGAGTCCAAAATAGACTTCCCTTTGAAGTTTGTTCCGTTTGGTTTTGGTATATTTCCAAATTGATCAATGTATTACCATTCAGCAGCATATGTGACCTGGCGGAAAAGGGTTGGAAGTACTTCGTGAGATCAAAAACATTTTCCAGGTTATATTCTTTCAAATGCTTGATCATAGCCGAGAGACAGATGGTAACGTCCTCTGGAAGATTCAAAACTTTGTCTAACAGGTCTCTCGCCCTCTCATCCTGGATCGTACTTGTAGCTTTCATTCTCCCAGCATAGAAACTAGACACATGACTGTGCGACTCAGCAGCGGCTGTCTTCGACTTGGAAACTCGTTCGACCCGGACCTTGTCACCGAAGACGTTCATCTTGCTGCCACTCAAATGCTGCACAAGCTTATCCGTTGCCCTTGACACGTCTCCGATCAAGAGGAACTCGCAAGGGGCAATGTGCAAAAGCCTTGTTTCAATCTCGGTGCGCATGAACCCATCTTCAAAACTGTCATGAATGATATTCCCGGTGGCGGGCTGGACAGCTAAGATACCAACTTGTACCTTCTCATCATTGCCCCAGCCCTTTGCATTGCTCTCTGTCATGCAGAGCAAATAACCGGTAGCAGGAGCGGCGCTGTTGGCACCCACTGCATTTAAGCCTTCAAGCTCCTCCGTGTCATCAATGTACGTTCCCTTGGTGTACAGGTGTGTAAGCTTCCGCTCAAACGGAGCGTTGCGATTATCCCCTGCGGCTTTTAATGCAGCTGTTTCAAGCTGTCTAACGACTCCGACTTTATGACCCGCTCTGACGAGGCGTTTTACATGGACATGTAGTCTGTGAACGGGAATACTGGCGGATGCGAACCGATTTAGATGAGCTTCAGAAGGGTCTTGGATATGGGGGTGTGATTAGCATAGATCTCTTTTCATCGTAGGATTGCTTGTGAAAGCGAACTTACGTTCATCAAATCTCAATTTACCCGGAATGCACACAATACTTAGCTCCTTCGCCGCAATCCTCGCATCCTCGCCAAAAAAGCGGAATTTATAGCCAACTTCCACGACAAGTATAGCATCCTTGTGTTTGTTTTTAATATCAATGACCTGCTTTTCTAGCGGTGTCAATTTCGTGGAAGCTGCTTTTCTCGCCCCTCTAGCTTTTGTAGATGGAGGCGGAGCAACGTCCTCCTCGTCCAAGGCTTCTTCCTCATCCTCTCCTCCTTCAGCCATTGCGGTATTTGCATTCGAATCATGGTCCAATGATGGAAGACAACCAGGTCCACCCAGTCTCCTAACAAATTTCTGATGCAAATTCTCTTTCCTCTTTCGTTCTCTCTCGGTGTCTATTGCTTCCCTCCCTTCTACCTGGCTTCCCTCTGCGTTTAGACTAGACACTGGCGAGCTTTGAAATCGAAACCTTTCAGTTCGCGAGGATGCGGGCACATTTCTATGCGGGCTCTGGGGAACGTCGTCATCATTCCCCTTGGCTGCGGCATTCGCTCCGTCCGTTGAAATCCGGCTACTCTTAACTCTTTTCCGTGATGGTGGCACAATATCCTCATCCTCATCGTCCAGATATTCACCCTTATCTTCAGGGCTCGGGCTCAGGTTGCTCTCCTCCTCTCTGACCCTCTGCTTCGCGCGTCCAAGCCCATTGAGACCGGCCGCCTTGTTCGTACTTTCACCGGAAGATGACGTGGTTTTGCCGAAGAAACTCGAAATAGTAGGCTGCTGTTTCCTCTTCAAGGAGCTAGATTGGCTCATATTTTCGACGGTCCGAAACAATGCACCGATAGAAGATCGATAGCTTGAAGCTCGGAGAACGTGAATAAACGCGTCCGGACACCAATTAAACGCGCAACAGCTGGGAGCTCGCTGGTTGGCTGCTCCGTGCTTGGCGTGTAAACTTCCTATTGCATTAGTTAATTGCCCCAGCCCCTAAATCAAATAACTACAGTAAATCCTTCACTCAACCTTACATCAAACCTACATACCGCTGGGCGGTCCAGTGCCATGAAGGCTGCACTGCAGTGAGAAAGCTTGGAGTGACGAAGGATGCGGGCGAGGTGTACGGAGTATATGTGCGTAACTATCCGGATCACTTAATAAAGACGCCTTTTGCAGCATGGATGATGGTGATTAACCATGATCATACTGAGAATCATCATTCGACCAGGAGCCTTCCTGTTAACAGGCATTGATTCTAATATAACTATCTATCATACAATCTAATCGAATTCTGCTATGGCATTAGCCAGCCAAGGATACTCAATCTTCTCCCTCCCCGCGTCATCACAACGCCCTCCGCTAACGCAACCGAGATGCATCGCTAGTGTCTAAATTTCATATGGAATAGGCCCAGGGAAGTGCAAATAAGAACTGCACCGAAGTACTAAGAAGAGTAAATGCTGCCCATACCATCCATTTCTACTTGTGCTTTCCCCACCCTTGAAACTACCAGGAGATGCCCAGCCTCATGTGTTCAAGTGCACGGGTCCGCTTGATTTTCGTATCACGCGGTAAACTCATTGAAGTACATCTGCCCAAGGTCGTCTTGGTCGATCTCCGACACCGTACCGTCTGGCGAAACCTCACGACCGCTTTTCGGGACGTTATGCACAGGAGATTCGAGTAGACCCGTCATCACAACGCTTGAACTGCGCTTTTGATCTCCATTTTGTTGTATTTGAGCAAGGGAACAGCTGAGCGGATTTGAAGGATAGCCGAAGCTGTCGGTCTCACCGAACGAGGTATAGCTGTGGAGAGCTGTCCCATACAAGTATTGTGAGCCATACCGACTATCAGTTGCGAGATGCATTGGATCCCAATTCGGTTCCATATATTGGCCGTCAAGTCTCTGGGTAAGGTTGGGTTCGATGTTTTCCTTGCCCCTATACTCTGGAATATGGATAGATTTGCCGGAAAAATGCTTAAGGCCATTGAGGTTCCTGGCTTGATGATTCAAGGCGAGAGAGCTGGAACTACCCAGAGGGTTATAGAATGACTTGGGCCCGAGGCTAAAGTCGACACCATTGTTGTGGTCTTTGCCATCTTTAAAAACTTCGAATCCATGGGAGGACTTTTGCTCGAAAGTTTGAAAACTCAGCCTGAAATTTTCATCCTGCATGCCAAAGCCTGCCCCAAAATGCGCGTTCCTGCGGTCATGCTGTGGGCTCTCCATAAATGAAAGGCTTTGTCGCGAATAGCATTCCAATCCCATCGGTCGATCCTGACCGTTGGGTTTTCTTAGTTTTGTGTGGCTTCGCAGAATACGATTGGGGTTGACCTGGGACAACGGCTGTCTTCTGGGCCGAGTCACGCGCTTTTTGGGAATTGGAGTCTCTCCCTTGAGAGGACTACTGTCATCGACCATTCCTGAGATAAGACGCGCCTTTCGTAGCGTGCCTCCCGGGGAGAAGACAAGCTCTGTTGGTTCAACAGTCTCCGAGGTTTTCTCCATCTGTTTTAAGACGCTCCCGTCTTTCTTCTGGTTACGCTTTCGTCTCATTTGCTCCGTTGCCGAGTCAAAAATATCCATACCGGGCCAGAGTATGCCCTTGAGCTTCGAGATCTCTTCCCTTTGTTCGCTCTCATCGTCATCCTCCTCGTAGCTTGCATCGTCGAGGAAAGGATCTGGCGTTACTGGTCGCCGATTTCGATGGCCCGTAGGGCTTTCGGTTTGCATGGACCAACCCAATGGCGCCCTTGCTCGATGTGCTAGCGGGCTCATATCTTCACCTTCGTCAGACTCGGGAAATTCGACCTTCCACGCGATCTGTGCCGAAGCTCGCGTGGGTAGGGATCTGCGTTTTGGGGCCCCGGGCCATAACTGTACACGAGGGTCGGAAGAGTGAGGTTTAGCCATACTGTACGACTGGGATAAGTCAGGGTCCACGTAGCTAGGGATATGACGCTGGTCAGTCCGAGCTGGCCCGTGAGCGGAAGGCGGAATCATCGACGTCGATGCTCTGCGGTTGGGTAGATTGTTGCTGTAGGTGACTGCACTGCGGCCTTTCACTTTCCTAGCCTCCTTTGCCAGCATGCGTTCGGAGAGCAACCCAGCAAGGTTATGGTCACTGTACCACTGGTCGTACTCTGCCAGCAACTCACCGGCTCCTGGCTCCTGATGGCTGCGTACTTGCAATTTGAAGTAATGAGACAAATGCCCCTTCGAACTAACGTGGGTTAACAAATGAGACACATCGCTGAAATTAGGCTTTCTTGGACAGATATTGCATTTGAGAATGGCAGAAGACGGCATGATGCCAGAAACGGGGCCTTCAATGGCCGAATAACAACCAAGACAACAAAATTGAAAAAGGACGCAGGTTGAAACCGAGGGAGAGGCCGCTCTAAGCTAAATAAATGCTTTTGAGAAATAGCACTGAGGGTGGAACGCTCCCTCCTCTAGGCTGTTGGACACGGGAGGAGAGGATTGAAGTTGCAGAGAGAACGAAGGGGAGAGACGAAAGGGCCTGTCGAGGGACGTTGTGCTGTTGTGGCTTTGTCTGATCGAAACTGGCAGGAACCTGAAATAAAGCAGTAATATTTCTCGCGATACAAGCAGGAAAGCTGGACTTAGCGAAGGGCGGAAGGTCCTCCCCGCTGTAACGGCAGGAACGGTGTAAATACCGCCCTACTACCGAAAAGGGAACTGGTTGTTGGCGGGGCATCGCGACGGAAAAGGACATCGGCCACACGCCTATCCAGCGCATACAAAAACACACACACACACACACACACACATATATATATACAGGTGGCGGACCTTCAGCAGCCAAGCTGTTGGGGGAGGAACTTTGACGTTCATATTGAGAATCTCGACAACAGCTTAAAAACGCTAAAACGGGCCTATCCATTGACAATTGATGTCCACTGCGGCTTATTTGTCTCGGAGACTGACACTCTGAGATCCAGAAGCGGATGTAAGGCGCAGTTGATGCTGCTCTCCTCCTGCCTTGTATCCCCCCGTCCATGGTGAAGAGGTCCGATGGGTTATTAGATTGCAGGAGGGAGATAAGAATGCAAAACACATGATTGTCTGGAAAAACGATTGGCAAAGTCTAAGCAACAGAGAAAACCCAAGTTCTACCTGGGAATGTCCTTATTTGTCCCTGTTACCTCTTCAGGGCTCTGGATGTGGCTTCTTTGGGCATACAGCTTGAGGTGCATGTTAGTGAATCCTAGAAAATTCCGCAACCAATGAAGGAGAGAAGAGCAAACACTTACTAGATTGGGTCAACCTCTCTAATGCCGGGGTATTTGAGTAGGCTGAGGCCCGCAATTCCAAAGACAGTGTGAAAAACGTCCACCATGTCCTCCGGTCGATCAGCAATGCCACCAAGTTGAGGATCCTAGCACCCTACTTAGTCAAAAAGAGAGGATTGAGAGGAAAGGAGCTGGATACCTGACAGCTGAGGATGAAGCCGATGAGTTTATCCCGATCAATCCAGTGGAGTTTCCCAAGCATGGCTAAACTGCTCATGACCCACCAACTATAGCAGACATCCTCTTTTTTACCCGGTCGGCCATTCAAACCGCCATTATCTAGCTGTCTTTCACTTAGCCACGCAGCAAGCCGTTCAGTATCTACCAGGTCGAGTTGTCCAGCAATAGCCAGAGCACCCACGCAAACAAATATCTGGCCGGCGTGAGACTCGGCCCCTGGCCGCACACCGTAGCCTCCATCAAAATTTGCGCAGGACTGAACGTAGGAAACAGCTTTGCCCACATCAACCATGGAGAGGAGATCTAGTAGTGACAGTGCATTGAACGCCCCGTAAAGGAACCGTGTGTCAGTTTCCCCCCACTCGTCACCTTTAAATGTGCCAGTCACGGGGTCCTGAAGGTTAGCAATATCTGCAGTTATACATATCAGCATGCCAATTGTAAACATAACCAAGGAAAAGTATGACATACATGATCCGACTTTTTCTTTGCCCCCACGACCTCTTTTATCCAGTTCTCCCACCGCGTCAATTGTTACTAGGACCTGAACTGCACTGACAGTATAAAGCATATGGGGATCATGGCCAGGCGCTGCACCAAAGCCCCCATTTTCATGCTGGCAGGAAAGAACAAAGTCAATGGTGTCATCTCGGGGAAGAGCTTCGGGATGCCCGAGGAGATGAAGAGCGGTGAGCCCCCAGTAAACACCGTTGAGCCGCAAGTGCTCTGTCAGCCAGTATTCATACTCATCCTTCCGCTGATACAGAAAGAATCTGGTCAACATCCATTTCGGGGAGTCTACTCAAGAAAAGAACCACGGGGGCAAGGATCGAAAGGCCGCACACACTTTATCGAGGCTTTTGATGTAATCAACATGCTTTTCCACAAACAATTCTTGACCTTGGCTTCCAGTGCCGCCTCTTCCTGGGCCGGAAACAAGAGACATGATGATCAATAAATGATAATGTAAAAATGGGTCAAAGTTTGCTGAAAAATTGCGAAAAGTGCTAGGCCACAACACCATAGAAGGAACTTTGATGAATAGTTACTATAGGCTATGTCATCCACCTCATGTACTTTGCATCATAGACATGTTACTTCACTCGACAAGCTTGGCCAGTTCAGTTTGGCGGATTGTTAAAGACAGGTGACAGGGAATGGGGTGTGGTGAAGTTGCAGAGAAAAGTCAAAAGGGGCTACTACAGGTTATCACATGGTCTTGGCATTCTTCTGAACCACGACAACAGATATGTAGCGAACAAATGATAGTTGAGCAGGTTCCTTTGTTTCATCCTTGGCCCGTGGAGTTTGCTGGGCCACACAGGCTGCGTCCCATTCCCTCGGACAAGTGTTGGGTTGGGCGCAACTCTATCGCTCATCTACGATCATCGTGCTAAACTTCCGTCCTTTGGCTGATCGTAACCGGCGAGGCCGTGCATGCGGGGCTATCCATGATTCCATGCCTTTCAAAGGAGGCACTTGCGTGGTCAGGATTTAACTACCTTTTTTTTTTAATATATTTTTTTTTCTCCTTCTCCTCCGTAATTGCGGAGTGCTCCGAATCCACGATATTGAAACTGTGAGTGCATTCCGCGCTCTTATTATGCTAGGATATGTATGAAGGTCGCGTTGTCCTTCACCCCTCACGATTGTTTCACCGACGAATCCTGACAGGGCGTTTAGGCCCGTCTTCCTGATTCGACGAATATTCGGAGCGCCAACTTTGTGCTAGGGTATGGGGTATTGATACTACTGTCGACGTGACCCGAGTTCTACGATCCTTGCACGAGGAAAGATACAATCCGGCAGACAGCGGGCTTAAACAATTTCCGGGCGGCGATCGCGCATCTGTTTGTCTACGATCTTCGATAAACAGCTGGCCCTGGATTTCCTGACGTTGCTGGCAATGATGGATTGATCGTTGACAGACCGTTTTCTTCTGCATCATTTGTCTGACGCCGTACGCCGTAGCCCGTCGAGCCAATGAAAATGTGAGCCGGGAGAAGAACGAGGAGTCGCTCAGCTGGAGGACATGCTGTCCACACTCCGGACTCGGCCCAGAGACTCTCGCCAAATTGACTTTTTGCTAGTTTTGGATGCGTGGAACCCCGTAATGTCGTAAGGCTCGTCGTCATCTGCACGAGATTCAGCTTGAATTCGTCGGATCATTGCTTCTCTCTTAATGGAGGGCAAAGGGCCCTTGACGGGCACTGTAAAACAACGACACCACCACCCCCCCGGGAAAAACCCCCCCGGAGCCACGACAGCAGAGTCAGGTGTCTCACAGAAAGTACGATGATGAACTCTTGTCAAGAACAAGAATAGCAATCCTCCGTGCACGCAGCGGTACCCCTGAATGGCTTGCTTGTTTAGGAGGATCTCTGGCGGTACTCTTTAGCTTGGGTGGTGGTCGTTGGTAGCCGCACCTGCATTAGTGAGAGCGCCAAAGACCAAAGCGGACTAGTAAGATTAGAGGCGGTTTTAAGGGACAGGGACCAAGCAAAAATAGGAATCCGACCCAACCAACGTCGACCTGGACAACTCCTCACCATCCCCATCCCTCCGCAGCACATCCATATAATATCACCCGCCGGCATGAGATACCACCTCAACGCACAGTCTTCCCCTACCGTGGTGTTTTATCCCCCATCTCATTAACTATCAAACGTAATCTCAGCTCGACCCTTCTTGACCACGCTTTCTCTCGACCTCTGCTCTCGTCCCTCGATCTTCCTCCTGTCGCGTATGCCAGACGCATATCACTCCCTACACCCTTCCTCCGTGTGCAGACCAGGATCATTCGCTGTCCACCTCCGATTTCCTGATGCAGGCCACACTGTCTGTTAATTCCACCTTGGCCTCCAGAGGACAGTAAATAAACACGGGTTACACTTACCACCAACTGAAATCCGGGCCATATCACCAATATAGAGCAACACATCCTTCGCCCGCTGCAGAAAGGTACGTGCTAGTAACATTCCACCGACTTTGATCCATCCATTGTTTCACATCCTTGCTTGCGGAATCTGGTGCTGAACCCAAGACTGAATCCTGCCTTGGGCGTCACGAGAAAGAAAGAGGGACCAGCCATTATCATTGTCATTATTGAACTTAGAGAACCGTTGTTGCACATGTGTACTTTGTTTTTCTGTTGGTCGTCTTTGCTTGCATCCTCTAACTGCTGCGTCACCTTATCTTGCTTCCCAAGCCATGTCTGTTCCTGCTGCTTGTGCATTCCAACTTACATATAACGTTAGCTTTTTACTATACCTAGCCACAACAGCCAATTCTTGTGCTACTCATACTCTTGCACCTTGGACCACCCCCCCCTTTCAGTGGCTCAGGAACTTTGGGAGATCCTCAATGGGGCGTTGAGACGCTGCAATTAACCCTATCGCCACCCCGCGTAATCCCTTGCTGGGCTCCCTAATAGTTTCCGCCGTGACCCCAACCACTTGAGGTTGACGCTATTACCCCCAACCCAGCCTTTCTTTCGTGTTTGCTTGCTGTGCTTGCACTGTGCGCATTGACCAGCTGTGAGGCCGTTTGCTTCGCGTTGTGGTGCGGCGTGGCTTTCTTGAACGGTGAGGTTCTTGTCTCATGTTTTATATTTCGAAAAGCTCTCCGCCCACGTACTCTGACATACCTCAGCTCATCATTCAGAGCACCTGTAATATCATGAAATGGCACGCATAAATTTTGCTAACTTAATACGACATGGAACAGATCGACCCATCATCATCCCCTCCTCTGACTCCCCTGTTTTACTCCCGCCTCCTGCCCAACCGTTTCACCTTAGAGTTCGAGTCCACACTAGGGGGATCCAAACGTTTCTCGCGCCCAGGTTTCACCTCGCATAAACCAACATTCTCAAAATCATACATCATGACTAAAAAGTCCTCCCGCGCCCCAACGCTGAGTTTGGGACAGTCAAACTTCAGCGATAACTCGAAATCTCCTTTGCCGTTGAACAGTCCTAATCCCACGACTCCCTTGACACCTATATCGCCTCTATCTTCGACCGGATCTACATTCAAAGGTGCCACCATTCGCCCCGTGACGGCACGATCAAACCTGGGGTCGGAAAAATCAGCCTCGGGTGCAAGGTCCCCGGGTACCTCTATCAGCACGGATAATGGCGATATCCCGCAAACTCCGGATATAACTGCAATTCCGCCTTTTCCTTCCTCCCCCAGAGACACCTCAAAACACGGTAGAGATACATCCAAGTCCTTTTTTACGAACTTTAAGGCCTCAAGATCCACCAATAAAGTTCACATTTCTGATACTCCTCTTGGTCGACCGGAGGACAAACCCGTTAGCCGGGGCAGCTCAAAAGATAGGATCGTTCATAAATCAAAGGGTCATAACAATTCGTCATCAAGCCTTGCAAAGGCTTCTACCGGATCTGGAAAAAGCAAAGGTACAAACTATATGACATGTTCCAAATATAGTCACTTGCAGCTAATTGTATTGTTCAGGGGAGGGTTTCGATGACAAATCCCAGTCTAGTCCGCAGAGGATTAATGGGAAAGCGACTGAAGATATTGAAAATATCCATACGCTGACGCCCAAGAAGAGTAAACCCCGATTTGCCAGCCTTCTCACCCGAAGCCGGTCTATTCGTGTTGATGAACCTCTTTCGGCGGGTCGACCAAGTGCTACGAGGCGACCTTCGAACGGATTACTACGACTTGAAGAGATTAGCAGAGAAGAGGCGCAGGCGCCCCTGAAAACAGCTCCTTTGCAGCCCGAACGATCATTTAATGACGCCATGGGCTCCACCGTACGTAATCGTTCTGCGGATCGCCCTCCCGCCGAGGAACGCAGCAATTATTCAAGGAGAGAGCGGGCACATGCTGGTGCAATGATTAGCTCTTCACTTAATCAGGTCACAGGTTCATCATTGTTTAATAATTTAAAACAAACTTCCAGTGGTGCTGCAGACAGACTTGGGAGGGCTGGTAAAGGCTTTTTCGGCAAGATTACGAAGAGTAACAGCATTCATGAGCGAGAGTTGGTTACGGATGATAGTTATGTCTGTTCGGTTATCAATCTTCCACTTGTCGAACAAGCCCGACGGACAAGAATTTCCAAGAGACTGGAGGCTTCGAAAGATAAGACGGAATATTGGATGCCGGCATTGCCTTGGAGGTGTATTGAGTACGTACAGGCACGCCTAATGCAGTGTTATAGATTGTGTACTAACCTTATATCTTAGTTATTTGAACTTTAAGGGCTGTGAGGAAGAAGGCCTTTACCGTGTCCCCGGTAGTGGAAAAGAGATCAAGCACTGGCAGAGACGATTTGACACAGGTATGGCACAAATTCGGATTTACTTGAATGACCTAGCATCTTCAGGGCTAATATCTTTATTAGAACTGGACATCAACCTCTTCGACGAGCCAGATTTGTATGATGTTAACACCATTGGGTCGATGTTCAAGGCATGGCTTCGCGAGTTGCCGGATGAGATATTCCCCAAAGCAACGCAGGCCATGATAGCAGAGAAATGCGCTGGAGCCACCAAAGCGCCGCAACTATTGAAGGACGAGCTCTCGAAGCTGCCACCATTCAACTATTACCTATTGTTCGCTATTACCTGCCACTTGAGCCTTCTTCATTCCTATGTTGACAAAAACAAGATGGACTACCGGAACCTCTGCATCTGCTTCCAGCCCTGTATGAAAATCGACGGCTTTTGCTTCCAGTTTTTGGTCTGTGACTGGAAGAACTGCTGGCAAGGTTGTTGGACCGAGAAGGAATATCTTGCAAAGGAACTCGAGTATGAACGGCAACTAAAAGAGGCTGCTTTGAACAAAACAATCGCACCTCCTGCGCCAGCTACTTCAGAAGCAGTTGAAGAAAGGGCCATATCTTCTTCGGGCAGCAGCCAGCCTATTGACGGAGGTTCTAGCGGCACCGCTACCAAGGCTTCCAGCCGCTCTGGCAGCTTGAAAAAGGGCCGAAAAACACCCCCGAATATTGACAATAATAATTTAAAAGTTGCCTCACAACTTCCGGAACTTGGGCCTCCACTGTCTCCCATTCAGATTTAGGCAGAAAGTGACCTATCTACGTACTGTCGTTAAACGCGGTGTTTCGGATATTTTGATCGAGGACTCGATTACAACTTTTCTCAAATCTAATTCAACCAAACGATTAAGTATAAAATGTCGTCTGGCTTTCTTATCCACTAATTATTCCCTTTCGTCTTCTTTTTTTTTACAGCTCTACTATGACCTTGAATTTTCTTTCGGATGGCAAAAATGATTTTCACTGGCGTTTTTGGGTCCATTCAACAATTGGCGTGTTCGGCTTACTGTTTTCCTTTATCTTCAAGTCATGTTGATCCATACCCCTAGCAGCAACTTTTCGCCTCGTCCGCCGCTATCCTTTCTGTTTTGTTGACATTGACATTGTTGCACAGCACTGCAACTTCGTCAGATGCACTGCAAAGCTTGATGATGCTACGCCTTGTCCTTGCTACAATCATACCGCCTTCCTTTCACATCAGTTCCAGACATTGTGGTTTCCCGCCTCTCTTTCTCTTTGTTACTTAAAGCATATAATGGCGCATGAGCGAGATCCATCTCTTTTCCTCCCCACTTTGTTTGAGAATCGTTTTGTTGGAGTTGCTGGTTCTTCTGGTGGGAGTGTTTCTTATTGCATATGGTTTTCTTGCGTACATAAGAGTGTGTGTTGTATCGTTTGACCACTTGCATTTGGTCTCGACCACATAAACTATTTGGTAATTTCTGCATAATTCAATCATAGCACCTTGTTTGACAAGGCATCCTGTGAAGTCTGACTCGCAACTTGTCTTCTGATCAGCTGCAACTCTTCACATTCAACTTATCCTTTATCTAATAGCAGAAATATAGCCCCATTTTATGATATTTACAATGTTCAATCAGCTTTTCCTGTGCGCTAGGCACAAGTCGTACAAAATAGCTGTTGTGCTTGGGTGATGCGCCGATGATGTTCATTTCTCAGTGTATTGTATTCAATATAACCACACCTTTGTTCATACACCAATCCCATGGTTCCATGGGCCTTCAACGCCTTGCAAAAAGTATTAATTGACCCGTCACAAAAAGAACGCCTGCACGTAAAACCCCCGGGGAATCCAAACCCCTTCAAGCTTTGCTCTTCGCATTCCCGGTCCTCCGCATATTCGCCCTCATTTTCCTCTCATTCCTCCGAATTCTCTCCATCCTTTCTTTTCTTCCTTCATTTCTGATCGATTCTCCCCGAATATTCATATCTTCTTCCTTTTTCCACTTCTTATCATCCACCTCCACCAACCACTGGTCATCTTCAGCCTTGTTCTTGCCCTTGTATCCCCATCTAGGCACCCATTCTCCCTTCTCCTCGTCATACACCAACTTCTTCCGCCGCTCAGCCTCGTTAGCGCCAAGTTTGTTATTGTATTTGCCGATTCCCTTCTTGCGCGCGAAAAGCTCCCATTTTGTAGGCGGCTTGGGCGTGGGGAGTGGTTTGAAGCGCGGGAGCGGGGTTACTGGGGTAGGGAGGGTGAGAAGAACGCCGTCCGTGGCGGAGCTGGTTATGGGGCAGGCGGTTAGGAGCTGGTTGAGGAGGCATTGGGCACCGTCGCGGGCGGTGGATTTGAGTGTTGAGTTGAGGACGGGTGGGTTGGAGAGGGAATTTGAGGGGAGGTTGAGAGGGTTAGGGTCTAGGGCCATGAGGCGGCCAAGATCAAAGGTATATGGTGTGGGTTTCTCGACTGTTATGGGTCTGTGTAGAAAGATGATTTTTTTTAGCAAACAATGTTGATGTTTTTGGCTGTGATGCTTCGGAAGAAGCCTCAGATTAGAGTATTGAGCTTACAGTCTTTCAGGTTTTTGCTTGGTCCTAAAGGTACTGGGAGGTTGTGACATTGCGTCGGTTTGTCCGCTCGACATTTTGACGACCAGCTGGTTTGAATGTCTCCGAAGAATTGGATACAGCCGCCGTCGAGTCTCCGCAGTATCTTCAGAAAAGCAAAATTATTGCGATGAGCTGCGATATAAGGTTTGAGCCGCCGCTTTAGCCAGTCAAGATTGATAAATTATGTAAGAAAGCCACAAGCGGCATCGTAGATTTCCTCTTCAGTGAGCCAAGATACCCTTGAGAGTCTAAATGTTCATCTTCAAATCCTAAAAGATCAGACCCGACCAGACGCAATTTACCCCATTGTGACAGGCAATTGCGCACGTCGGTTCTCACGAAACACAATGGCGTCCTCCTTTTGTTGGGGTTGCCTCTCGAAGCTCCGTCCCTCCCCCAAATCCCTTCTTCCAGTGACCGCGATACCCCGAGCTGCCGCGACAGCACCATTTCATTCCACCGCTTTCACATATGCCCTTCCGCCCAAAAAGTCCCGAAGTCAAGATGCCGGCCCAAAATTCCGTGAAGCGCGTTCTGCCCGAGTGAAAAAGAGGAGTACAGCTATTAAACCAGCGCGAGAATCGCCAGCGGAGCGGAAAGCTCATACCCATCGCCTGGTTCTTAGTAACGCGAATGCGCTCGAAGTTACCGGGCTACAGGACCTCTCGGTGGAGAATATGGTTGATGCAAAATTACAAGGACAGGTTGTGGGCGTTCCCATGTCCTTGATAGATAATCTGAGAGCGTTGCAAGCGTTTAAGACATCGCAAGGATGGGGAATGTTTCGACGGCCTGGCACGTTAATGAGGAGGGAGACGCTGGAGTTGGCGAGCTTGATGGCTGAAATTCGGGAGAAAGAAAAGGGGAAAGCAGCAGCAAAGCTTGTTACCGGTGATAGATTTGCCGGAAAAAGCGTCCATTTGTTGCAGGCAATGACAATGGGGTTGTTGGATAAATGGGTTGTCATGAGCGTGCCTGATGGTAAGATTTAAACCCTTGACTATTTTTGTGGCTATCTGAACAATCTGCTCATTTACAAAACCAGCACGCGACCTTGTCAATGGAACTACGGCGTACGCACCGCTGCCAGGATCAAATCCGACCCAATACGTGCAGAAGAATGCGGCTGCTCAATTGTTGGAGAGAATAGCCCAGGCCAATAAAGATGTGCTCTCGAAGCTTTTTATTTCCCGCCAACATTCGCAGCTAGCATCAGTCTTCCACCCTAACATGTCTCTTCTCGAACTTGCTACCACTGGGTCTCAGCAAGCTGAGCTTGCTTGGCCTGCCTTCCAAGCACTCTGGTCCGAACTCACAGTAACAAAACCGGCCGAGGCTGCCGAAGGCTTCAAACCTTTCGCACTTCGTCCACCAGTCCTGATTACGATAGACGGCATTTCGCACTGGATGCAAGACACGAAATATTTCAACGCGGAATATGAACCCATACATGCTCACGATCTCACCTTTGTCAATCATTTCCTTTCTCTTGCTTCATCCCCTGCCATTTCTATGCCTAACGGCGGTCTTGTTCTCTATGCCACATCTACCTCAAACAACCCCGCCATCCACACCTTCGACCTCGGTATCAAACAACTGTCCGCCCGCTGTTCCGGGGTCAACCCTACGTCTTCCGCCTTCCCCCTCCCTGGACCGTACGAAAAATTGGATGCACGTGTGAGTTCATTCTTTAACGAAGCGAAAGGACTGGGGCTTGTGAACCTAGGTGGACTAAGCAAAGACGAGACGAGGGGTCTGTTGGAGTACTACGCACTTTCTGGCATCATGCGCGAGCGGATCACAGAGAGCTTGGTTGCCGAGAAATGGGGTCTATCCGGGGGTGGAGTGATTGGGGAGCTGGAGAGAATGGGGAAGAGAATGAGGGTTATGCCGGCAGCTTGAATGAATTTATGAGACAGCCCTCGCACTTACGTTGGTATTGTCTGGCAGAAGTGTGACTTTCTGAAGGCTTCACAGCAATAGGGTTAATTGGGTGAAACCTTTCCTTTTGCATTGGGTGTGTATATTTGTGACATGTAACAACACAGCATGTATCTCTAGATTAGAATGTATCATTTTTTGTGTTCTATTTTGGATTTGGAAACAACCCACAAAACCCAAAGCACTTATGATTTAGAATAATATCGCTATCTATATAAACAAGAAAGAATAATACAGCTGAAAAATAAAATAAATAAATAAATATAGATGCTGCGCAGCCAAGTGTAAACAAGGTGCAATGAATAAGGGGTATGCAATAAACAAAGTGCCTCCAAATCTTTAACATGAATGCTGCCATGAATAGACACAGGTATTCAAATTGGAAAGTACAAGACGAGCAAGATGAAAACAGTGAACTGGTTTACATCAAACTTGTTCTTCCCCCGATTTCCCTTGCCCCTTCGCCAGTTGGCATCTCCCCATTGCGTCCCTCAATGAACTCACGATAAATGGCATTTAATCTTTTCCTCTCAACATCACTAATAGAGCACCGTGTAGTCTCCAATGAGCGCTCGATATGCACCCACTCAATATGGATTTCATTGCTGCCATCCTTGTCATTATCCGACACGGGGTCAGCGTCATTAACCGTGTCCTCGGCTGACATATCGGATGAGAGGCCGCGCTCTAATTCCCGCTGTCGTCGTCTAATGTTCTTTAACGCCTCTAATTTTGCCGCGATGACCGCAGGTGGGCTTAGGGAAGGTGCCGTTGCCGAAGCACGGCCCCGTCCGGCTGAGGTGGCGAGAGCGTGCTCATCTGGATCATACAGGAATTGAATAAAAGTTTTGGCTGCCTTTTGGTTGCCGCCGGCTTCATCCACACCGTTCGGCATCGGCGTAGATTTGGACTGCGGTTTGTCTGAGGATCTGTCGCCCAATGCGTCGTGAATGGCTTCCAGGTGTGCATTGTACACAACAGCTTGAAGATCGGCGCCAGAATATCCTTCCGTCCGATCAGCTATGGTGCCAATACGTTCCATAACCTCGTCACTAAGCTTCAATTTCTTCGCCAACGTCGTTATAATATCCACTCTGTCATCGTGATTGGGCATATCGCAGAGAAGTGATTTATCAAGGCGACCAGGACGGAGTAACGCCGGGTCAATTAGATCCGGGCGCGACGTCGCAGCAAGAACATAGACTCCCGATAAGCCTTCTGCACCATCCATCTGAGTAAGAAGCTGGTTGACAACCCGATCGGTTACACCTGTGGAATCGTGGCCACGCTTTGGTGCAATACTGTCGAACTCATCAAAGAAGAGAATACATGGTCGGGCCGCCTCTGCTCTCTCGAATAAATCTCGAACGCTCTTTTCACTTGCGCCAATGTACTTGTTGAGGATTTCAGGGCCTTTCACGCTTATAAAGTTGAGACCACATTCTCCAGCGACGGCACTTGCAAGAAGCGTCTTCCCACACCCGGGAAATCCATACAGCAGGAGGCCAGATCGCAAACGAAGGGGGCACTGAGCAAATATAGGCGCATATTTAGTTGGATATTGGAGTGTCTCGAGAAGAGTCTTCCTAGTGCCATGCAGGCCTCCGATAGCCGCAAAGGTCGTGGAGGAAGAGGTTAGAGTAACATTGCGAAGTGAAGCGGGAGTGAAGCCTTTCAAGGCCTTCTCAAAGTCTTCCGTTCCAAGAGTGATAGCTGAGGAGGAAGATGTAAAATCCTGGACCGTGCGAATTAATGCTTCGTTTCTTGCGCGGGAGACAAGGAGAACAAGATCCCCAGGCATATAACCGTCTGTTTTGCCCGCTAAATCAAGAAAGTCTATATCACGGCTCAAAATAAAACCATCCTCTTTGTCTGCAGAGCCAGGCCTAGTTGCCGGATTAGAAGGATCCAACCAAGAATCCTGGGAGGACGGTTTGCGACTATGAGAATAGCCATTAATTTTGTTGGGAATGGTTCCAGGCGGCTTGTCTTCACTTGTCAACTTCTCCAGAACTCTTCTTCTTCCTTCTTTATCTGGAGCCTTTAGGCTCAAAATTTCTCGAACAACATGACCGCCTATAATGACATTGTTCAATGACTCTTTGGATTGCGCTGTAGCCAAGAGGACAACTGGAGAGTTGGCGGAGCAAAATTCTCGGACAATGGAGCGAAAAATTTCACTGACTTGCCGACTTCGACCGTTCTCTCCCCCGACCTGAAGTTCAGTTTCAACAGGGCAAAGCTTGTCAATATCGTCTAGAATGACAATCGATTGACCACCAAGCCTTGCACACCAAGAAGCAGACAAGAACAACCGGTGCAGGGTATCTTTGATCATCGAAATGCGTGTTTCGTCTGTAACTAGCTTCCGGCAGGGGAAGTAGGAAACGTTAAACAGATAATCCTCCTGTAATTGTCGCCCCAAAACGTAACAGAGCGAGGTCTTCCCAGAACCCAAGCCTCCCGTTACGAGAATTGATGAGGAACGTGTCAGGTTTGACATGCAATTATTAATGATGGAGTCGATGCCGACCATTTCTGGTATCTCTTTCGGCACCCTCTCGTCAACTGGAACTGATACGAGACTAGTCTCCATTGGTTTTCCGATTGCCGGTTGAATTTCAAGAGTGAATCCTGAGTCCGAGCCCAGAACCCACCCAATCGCGGCTTTGCCGTCGGCAGATGTGCTCGGAGGAGGGTCAAAACGAATCATTGCTTCTTCGAAATCGAGAGATCTAGTTTTGTCTTCCAATGTCGGTAGAATCATACCGTCTGTTATCGGCCCTCCTAGGATTCCGACATCTGAACTTGGGTCACCGTATACGGCCTTTACTCGTTCAACCAAAGCTTCTTTATAGGCTGCAGATTCCCCTCCAAATTTAAGGCCTTCTTTCTTCTTTGAAGCGTCAACACTGAAGGGAAATATTTTCACGGATTTAATCGAAGGTCTTTGAGATGGCGCAGCCTCAATTCGAATGACTCCTCCTACCATATCATCTGAACCAAGAGTGGAGCATAGCACAGAAGATAGTGCGGCGTGGTCAAAGTCAGGACTTTCGTCCCAAGGATAAACCCTTGCTACAACCTTTCTTGTAATCTCGCCGGCCTCTGCAGACTCTTGTTCCTTCTGCTGGATTTGTTGCTGAGGGTCAACCGGCGGTAATAAACCGGCAGGACGAACGACTGACACACACACATACGCCGCTCCTCGTAGCTCATATTTTGCAAGAACATCACGATGGATCCATACTTTGAGCCCTTCGTTGCTGCTTTCTCCTACCTCTTCGTTGAACCAATTCGATGCCAACCCTCTATCAACGCCGCGGAGGTACACAGCTCCTCGGGGCGAGGATTCAGAATCTCGACTTTTTGGCCGAACAGTACTACTACTGCTGCGTCCTCCAATACTTTTCCGGCCGGTGCTTGCAACGCTGCGGTTCTCTCCACGAGTGGGTCTTGCAGACTTAGGGCGCACCTTCGGGGCGACGATGACTTCAGCATCAGGCGCTATTTTGGCAAACGGAGAAGAAGAAGGTGCGGCAGGAGTTAGTGATGTAATTATAATGTTTGCCGTTGAGGTTGGGGAGAGGTGTAGGGTGAGAGGATGGGCTTTCTCGGCTTGCCCAGATGGCGCGGTGCTGTAGGAAGGATTTGGAAGAGCGCGGATTTGGGAAAGAAGATTCAGCTCCAGAAAGTTGGCATGAAGCTCAATAACTGTGGAAGTGGTTGTTAGGATCATCTGGCTATGGCAATGCGCTTATGACACTCGACTTACTTTCCCAATCTGTTGGGGTTAACGGTTCGATATTGATTGTATGAGCTACTGGTGGATCAATATGTAAAAGCAGGCCAACCTAAAAAGTCTCCGTCAATACCATACGTATGCGAAATCTACAATAACATACACACCTTTTGACCATCATTCAGCCCTAGCACTCTTCCGAAGATAGAATCGATCTCGACTACGGTAATTTCTTGATCCCTAGACACCCCTCGGGAACTATTCATGCTATTTTTGCCAATGACGGGGGTTAGCTTTCGTTTACTCGGCATTCCTGTCCATCCAGTATATGCATATCTCTGTGACGAAGCGGTCCCAGGCGAACTGGAGCCCGGCGAGGAAGCTCGGTACTGCAATTCAACGATGACATTTTGGGCGGGCTAAGGAGCAACGTTAGCATTCTATGTATGTTCCAAGCTTAAAAATTGCAGCCGCTACTTACTGTATTAGCATTGACCAGAAGAGAGACCAGGGATGGCGGAAGGTTGACGAGACAGTTCTTGAGTGGCACGAGAACTACCTCGGCCGTTGTGGCTGATTTCCGATTGTTCGGGGCCATTCTGAGTGACAGGAAAGTGGGAGGTGCACTTGAAAATGTTTTCAGTGAGTAGCAACGCCTCCCTGAGGATGTGAACAGGATGGAGCAGGCCTTCCTGTCCTTGGAGCAGCTGTCGGGCCTAACTATCCAACCTCTGCCTGTGATCTCGGATATCCGAACTTAAAGTTATTCCGCGGGGATGCTCGTACCGAGGGATGTTCCGTTCCGGAGCCACTAAACCCAATCCGGAAATCGTCAAACGCGCCGCTCGAGACGCGTAAATTACGCGACCAGAAGTGCATTTCTTTTTCTGGCGCCAGTCTCCCGTTCTGGCCCAAGGCTGGATGGCTGCCTCTCACTCCCTCGATGAATTTTTAAAGCTACGTGACCACGACAAACAGAGAGTTATCAATCACCAGCGTTCGTGGCTTGGTATCGCAATTTCCCCTCAATTGGCCTTTATTTTTCTGAGAGCGCCTGTGGTTATAGCGCGATTCTCCGCAGCTACAAAGCAGTCGATCCCGAGCTTGCGGCATGGCGCTCCTCCAATTTAAGGCCCCGGTGAAGTATTCGGAGCAAAAGGAAGTTTTAAAAGACTTCCTCGAACACTTTAAGACGTTGGAGTCTGCGTCTGAATCTGCAGCTACCGAGGCAATTGAAGGTCTGCACATCGATGAAGACGACTTGAGCGATGATGACGAGCTTATGGATGAGATTGACGGCAATGCGCGAACTAGACGAACAGCAGCAAAGCAAAGAAAAGAGCCTAAATTGAAATACATGCAAATCCTGCAAGATGTAGCCGACCGGGTGAAGAGCAACATTGTCATTGAGCTCGATGATTTGGATACGGTATGACAATCCTTCTCAGGGGACGGTTGTGGAGTTTACGACTCACCATTATTGCCAGTTTGTCAAAACACTACCTGATGGAGTTCATTCCGACCTCGTTGAAAGTGTCGAGAACAATGCGAAACGCTATATTGACGTGTTTTCCGATGTCGTTGACGAAGTGATGCCTAAGGAAACGCGAGAAGTGTCGTGAGTATCAACATGTAGTAATACGTACTAGCTGGTTTAACTCGTGAGGTGCAGATTCAAAGATGACGTTCTTGATATCATCATGTCACAGCGTGAAAAACGAAACGAGACGATGTCATTGGCAGCTGAAGCTAACATCGATGTCGGAATGCCCCCATCGATATTTCCGCCCGAACTGACCCGACGGTATACGCTGAATATTAAACCCCGGACACCTTCTGGTTCTAGCAGTGAGCGAAGTTCCAAAGCATTGGCGGTACGAAACGTCAAGGGAGAGCATCTGGGAAAGTTAATCACCGTTCGAGGTATAACGACTCGAGTGTCGGACGTTAAGCCTTCTGTTAAAATCAACGCTTACTCGTGCGATCGTTGCGGATCGGAGGTTTTCCAGCCGGTTACCACAAAACAGTTCATGCCCCTTCAAGAATGTCCTTCCGAGGAATGTACGAAAAACCAGTCAAAAGGTCAATTATTTATGTCCACTCGAGCATCGAAGTTTATTCCGTTTCAAGAGGTCAAAATTCAAGAAATGGCGGACCAAGTTCCTGTTGGACATATTCCTCGGACGCTTACTGTGCATTGCCTAGGAAGCCTGGCCCGGCAATTAAACCCCGGTGACGTGGTAGATATTGCTGGCATCTTCCTTCCGACACCTTACACGGGATTCAGAGCTATCCGTGCTGGCCTCTTAACTGACACATATTTAGAGGCACAGCATATTACGCAACACAAGAAGGCATACGAGAATCTGCAAATGGATCCTCGTACATTGCGCCGGATAGAACAACATATACATTCCGGTAATATGTATGAATATTTGTCACGTTCGATTGCCCCTGAGATTTACGGCCATTTGGACGTGAAGAAGGCATTACTTTTGCTTTTGATTGGAGGCGTTACGAAGGAAATGGGCGACGGCATGCGGATCCGTGGCGATATTAATATCTGTTTGATGGGTGACCCCGGTGTGGCCAAGTCACAATTACTCAAGTATATTGCAAAAGTTGCGCCGCGTGGTGTATACACCACAGGTCGTGGAAGCAGTGGCGTAGGTCTTACTGCGGCAGTCATGCGCGATCCCGTCACGGACGAGATGGTTCTTGAGGGTGGCGCTTTGGTTCTCGCAGACAATGGTATTTGCTGTATCGATGAATTCGATAAAATGGACGACGGCGACAGGACAGCGATCCACGAAGTAATGGAACAACAGACAATATCTATATCCAAGGCAGGAATATCGACAACTCTTAACGCCCGTACATCCATCCTAGCAGCAGCTAACCCGCTATACGGACGCTATAATCCTCGAGTATCGCCAGTAGAAAACATCAATCTTCCAGCCGCCCTTCTATCCCGTTTCGACGTCCTATTCTTAATGCTCGACACACCCTCTCGTGATGCAGATGAAGAGCTCGCTCACCACGTCACATATGTGCACATGCACAACAAACACCCTGAAAATGAGGAGAATGAAGTAATATTTACCCCCAATGAAGTACGACAGTATATCGCCAAAGCTCGAACTTTCCGCCCCACCGTTCCGAAGCAAGTCTCTAACTATATGGTGGGTTCTTATGTCCGTCTCCGACAAGATCAAAAATCAGAGGAAGGGAGTAAAAAGCAATTTTCACACACCACTCCTCGAACGTTGCTTGGTGTTTTGCGCCTTTCTCAGGCTCTGGCTCGTCTACGTTTCAGCAACCAAGTCATTACAGAGGACGTGGACGAGGCTCTCCGCCTAGTTGAAGTTAGCAAATCTAGCCTGTATATGGATAGTCAGGGCGCTGCAGACCAGACCCCGACCAGTAAGATCTACAATTTGATCCGAGGTATGCGGGAGAGCGGTGCGGCTGCTACTGGTGATGGAGGAGATGGAGAGTTGAGCATAAGAAAGATCAGAGAGAGAGTATTGGCAAAGGGATTCACCGAGGACCAGCTGAGTGAGGCCATTGATGAATATGCCGGTCTATATGTAAGTCGCCTGGGAGAGATGGCCTTACGTCTCCAATTACAAGCTCGTTGCGATCTCAACCAGCCGATATTCTCGGATAGACTCGCAATTGCAGATTCCCAGCTGACACGTCATTTTCTAGGTTTGGCAAGTCACCGGAAACGGGTCGAAGCTCGTGTTCATTGAAGGAGCTGAAGACGATGATATGGATATGTAAAGTCAAGATTCTTTTGTCGAAAATGAATTGAGTATAACCCACCTTTTCGCTTGGATGGTCCAAAATTTGGAGTGCTGGAGTCATGTTGCAGGGATTTCATACCATTGCATGGCAGTGTGTGTCTTGACATTATTTTTATTTTCGTTGTTGAAGTTTGAACTCGTCCTCTGGATTTCACCTGAATTCTCCTTCCATATGACGCATAACATGGGCCGTGAGCTGAACGTGGAGCGTTTTGACCCTCGACAAGGGCATCCTGGTAGATTTGAACGACATCATGACCTTCAGGTCGCTTCAGCAAAACCCGCCGAGATCCTTGGACCCACCAAACTCAATCGAAAGCCAAACCCTGCTGGCCACTCACCGGCCAGAGATGGTCAGATTTCCGATGCTGGTTGGCTGAACGACAGGATGCGGAGACTTTTCTAAATTTAGCAGGATTACGGGAGTGGCTGGAGTTAATGCGCTACTCCCATTATAGTTAGCCCAGCTGAGCTTGTTTTGACTTCCCCCCACGCAGCTTCCGCGGCGTTGAGACATTCATCGTATCGTGACTTTTGCCCGCTCGCCTCTCTCTCCCAACAGGAGCCTGAGCACTCCTCCGCTCTGTGCATCGAGTCGGTTGCCAGCCCGGTTTGAATGGCCTCGTGATGAGCCGGGCTGAATTCCGTGGTTCTAGACATGCTCGTTTCCGGGCTAATACACGTGGATGAACTTAACTTTTCGACGGAAGAGGCATCACTGCGGAGGACACTCCCAAGCATTTCTCAAATATGGTGAGAGTCAATGGCTTTTTAGCCTACTAAAAGATACTTTGTGAGGATTTGCCTTAGTTATCTGCCACAACTATCATGCGCTCTTGCTTGAATTAACTTCTCTGGCCCCAGCCGCTCCTTTGTTACTCCTTTTTGACATGACTCCAATCAAACCTCTTGTGGAACAAACATCAACCTTGTTGTTGATGGACCGTTGCCGAGCTTCCGACGTACGGCAGCGGATGTGGCCAACGTCCAGAATTTGCCATAAGCGAGAGTCATGCACGAAGCAATTGGGCGAGAAACCTAGCAAATAACAGCTTCCCCCGGGAAAGTTAGCTCACGCATCAGCAAGGCGACTGCTTGATTGTAGGGGTGGTCAAAGCAGAAGGTTGGCACCCAATCTCCGACACGCAGCTGCAAAGTCAACCTGTAGGTGCCATCGGCAGTGTAACTGGTCGTATTCGGCCACGAGAAACTGTTACTCCGCACGACGTTGCAGACCATGCAAAATGATGTATTTGGCGTTTTTACAACTCCATGTTCTTTTTTGGCGAGAGACCTCTGTTCTGCGGTACCATATTCACCTTCTTCGCTCTTAGTGCGTGCGGTGGCTTTGGATCTGAAATTTTCAACATGCTGGCGGTGGTTTGACACTTGGCTACGGACGAACGGTCAGACCCGAGAAAAATTTACTTTTCAAGTAAGAGGTTCTCTAAGGCTATATCCAGTTCCGAGAGCCACCGGAGGTTGAGTTCATGCTCATTGCTAGCAGATGTCTTCCATCTAAGAATAGCTCCCAGTGAGGAACTTGATTTCTCCTTAGAGGCATTGACATAGCCTCTCTACACCGTATTTTCTCCCTTAGCTGGTTCCCGGATTCCATGCATCGCGCGGGCTTGCCCCTCCTCCTCTAGGATTGGTACCCAGCGCCGAAGCAAGCAGGCCGATATCCATGTCGACTAGCATGGGCAGTTTTTTTCGGCACTGAGAGTCAAATTTTGGATTCTCGCCTATTATACCCCTCAAGAAACGTATATAAGGGCTGAAAGTCCTTCTGATATCCCTCTTTTTCTTTTACTCCCGTGGTCATCGAAACAATCATTCGCTAACCTACCCATTTCTCCCATAAAATACCTGACTATATTGCAAACAAACAAATATTACGATGCATACCTTCAAAGCTATCGGTGCTCTCCTCCTCCTAGCAACCACTTCTCTTGCCCTCTCTCCTCCTGTTTGCCCAACATGCAACCCGATCTCTGGCCAAAATAACTGCCACCCTACTACATCCTGCATTAGCACTGGGAAACATTTCCATTGCGCCTGCCGGGCTGGATACAAAGCCTTCGAGGGCGACGATTCAAGGCAATTCCGCTTGCCATTCAAGAACTACGAGTTTTTGGTTTTCACCCACGAAAATACGGAATGCAACGTGCTTTGCGATGAATACACTCAGCCACCCCCCGCCTTGTGCTCTGAGGTTCCACTTCGCAAGCAGTGCCCCGTGTAAAGCAACAACGAACAGGAAAACGGCAGTGGAAGCGACTCGATGCACGCAGGGGTACTCGAGACGATAGTGGGTCGTTTCTAGAACAGATCGGAACTGCAGAGTTTCGGAAAACGAAAAGCCATTCGAAATTCGGCGGCGCTGATGGTTTCTTGCATATTCGACGACGTTGCGCACGTACACACATACCGGTTTAACTCTCCCACCATGAAGGACACACTGGCGATCATTTCGGCTGTTGTTTGGACTGCTTAACATATTGAAACTGTTTAGTAAACAATAATGACCTTTACCTATTTCCTATGAATGCATATATATATATATGAGCTTCTATATCAGATACCTTTTCTCTCTCCTAGTATGATCGGGGGATTAGGTTCTTGAAAATACTACGTAAGGAGGCCTAAAAGCAAGGCTTGGACTTAGTACTCTGTAGTTAGCATCTAGAAGCCCTTTAATCAAGGAGGTTGCATCTGTTGCCTAAGAACACAAAAGATAAAAAAGTGAGCGGAGAATTTAATGCTGGAAAACAGGGAAAAAGAAAAGATAGAGGCCAGCAGCTGTTCCCTTAATTACTTTCTTTGGGTTTGAGTTCATTTCAGCTCATAAGATTCCTATTATGAAGTTTAAAAACCACCCCTTAGCTATCCTCCTTTCAGTCCCTTTGCCAGCCAACTCCCTTTGCCAGCCAACACAAAAAAGAAAAAAAAAACCAAAGAAACAAGACAGTTTTTCCAGCTTAAAGAGGCTCCTTTTTGATCCCTGCCTTTTTTGCAGCCTTTATTTTCTCAACATGACTCTCATCAACCTTGGCTAAGGGCACGAATTTCGTGCGCATATCATCTCTTGGAATCCTTAGCATTTCAATGGAAGTCTGTTTGCAGTATCCACAGTCACACATCCCGCACATTCTCTGTGGGTTGTTTTCTGGCAGAATATTAAGGCAGTGGCCGCAGCAGTGCAGCTTGATAACCTCTGGGTCAGGTTTTGCGCCTTTCTTTTTCGTAAGGCCGTTAGTATTTGGGTTACCTGCGCTCCCAAAGTATGTCCCATCAGTCCATCGAACGCTTTCGACGTTGGCGAGATAATCGTTCCATGAAGCTATGTAGGTTGAGAAGACAGGGCTGAAGCGACGTACTCGACGGGGTAGTCGGCCGTTTTCGACATCTTTAGCAATGATTTTCTGGTAGGATTCTTGGGTCAAGCCTTTTCTTAATGCAAAAGCCCAGCGGATATGTGAGAGGCACATATAGTGCCACGGCCTTTTGAAACTGAAAAGAGGAGGGGGAGAAGCATATTCAAGAGGTTTGTGAAAAGGACAATGAACCCAAGAGCCGGGAGGCCAGGTGATGCTGCAGAGACCACAATGATCACTCAGTTTTTCTTTTACATCAGAATTATCGAGAAGAGTGCGTCCTTCACGAACATCCGGCATAAGAGAGGTACCGTATAGGCGACGGAAGACTTGGATTAACATGCAACGGCCATCATGCTCGTGCTTAAAATTAAGGGCAGGGAGGCCAAAGTAAAAAGCCCTGCAAGTAAACCGAAGGATTTCACGATCGGCAGGGTCCAAGTAGTCAACAATATCAAATATGATGTCGACAGGCATATTAACGAGGTTGAAATTGCTTTCCGCGGCACCGGATTCGACTGCTCCCTTTTCGGGGGCTTCCGGTCCATTCTCCTTCGGCTGCTGCTTTACCCTCGAAAACCACGAAAAGAAAATTGAGAAGGCAAACCCAGTCTTCTTAAGTTTGCTTTTTTCATAGCCAAAGACGTTCGAAGTTTGTAATCCCTTGTCAGTCTTGGGCTGTTTTTCATTGGACAAATCAACAGAAGTAGCGTCATTGCTTGGGCAGGCCCCCGTTTGAGTTTCATCTCCACATTTTGCCTTGGTATCAGAACCAATATGGGATGGCAGAGGATTCAAATGATCACTAGTATTGACTTTAGGGGGTTTGACATCGCCCTCTTGTGCTATACTACTCATCATCGAAAATGGCAAGAAGGATGAAAGGCGGCCTGGTTCATACTATAATATTAGCATTGAGAGTTCTCAGTTTGTTTTATGTCTCTAATATAGTGTTGCCAGAGATTATGACTCTTCCATCTTCGATCTGATATCCATGCGCATCATGAACAAAGATAGGAATAACGCGTTAAATCATACCTTTTGCCTGAAATAGAAAACTAGTTCAAGAAGCTTTTCGGAACTCACTCCCCCCGGGTTATTGGCTGATAAGGTGTAAAGGAACCTGGATGGTCGCCGCGGCGATTTGGGTTGTTGAAAAGAAAACAAAGTGTTGAGAGTAAGGAGAAGGTGGGAAGAGGGCTTTGGCACGCGAAGATTCTGAATAATCCATATTTAACTAACAACCAAAACAACATTTCACATCAAATGTGTTCCTGCTAGTCGCCTGTCTGCAATTGGCAGTGCATGTGGTACAAGCACGGCATTCTCCGACTGCCTATATCCAGGACTTGGGAAGGGAATTTTCTTTCCTTTTTTTTTTTTTTTTTTTTTTTTTTTTTTTTGGAGGGGGCCGGGGGGGAACTGGCCCAATTTAAGAACCTCATCTTCGTTTACAAAAGCCATGGGTATTTCTTATCAACGAGGGAAAGTATACGAAACCAATGCACTTAGAGTCTATCGTCTGGTCAAGAACCCGTACGAGTAGACAAGTAGCTGGCTAAAGCACGCTTAAAAACGTGTATACCGTTAGGGATATATAATTGATATATCCTGGACAATAGATCATGAGGCACAGCAGGAGCTGGCAGGAGAAACATGAAACTGCCCATGGGGCACTAGAGAGCTCTTGGACACCCAAATACGCAGGGCCTCATGATTCATGATATGCTAGTAAACTGTTCAATGGGGGTTGCGGTTCCAGGTGGTATCCCATCCGTGGACGAAAAAAGAGAACCGGATGAGTTCCCACGACGTACCAAAGCCAGATAGGGCTGGGCAATGGCGAGCCGGAAGCTTTAGGCACCGTTTTTTCAGCGGCTCCTAAGTAGGGTCAAAGCTAGAAATGGCAATCTGTTCAAGGTGGCTGGCAAGCTGCATGTAAAGCTGCCGCACACTGCCTGTGTGTGGTCTCTGGCCGCTGTTTGACGGTTGGGTATGATGTCGTCGTCGAGACCAGTGTTTGCATGGTTTGCATATCCCAATGTTGATTAGTCAGACGTCACCGAGTCGCGTCCCGAAAGATGCAACGCGACGCGAACGACACGGTTCCACTCACACGGAAGCCTCTTGTTTCGCCTGCGGATTGGAGTATTGAGTGACCAACTTACTGCTCCGTATTTTGACGAGAGACTTCGCTGCGTTTTCTACGGTATTTGCCTAGACTCCAATTGAGTAATCTGAAACAATTCTTACAACATCCCTTGTATTTGAAGGTATATCCAGATAATTTTCTAGCTTATACTCCGTAGATATCTACGGCATAAGCTCTGGAGTCGCTTAAGGAGTCCCACGCTTAACGAAACAAATGGGTGTGTAAGAGTACCTGGAGTATAACTGAAATAGAGCACGGAGTATCGTTCGCTCAACTGCAATCCATGAAATTCTATGTCCCTGAAAAGCTCGCATTATAGCCTGCAAGCCCTTTACAACTTTGCCTTGACGATCGCTTCCTCCTTTTTAGCCTCCTCTTTCAACAGCCTTCTCAAGATTTTCCCACTTGCGCTCTTCGGGATTTCGTCAACAAATCGAACTCCACCACGTAGCCGCTTATAAGGAGCAACTCGTGTCTGAAGCCATTGGCTGATCTTCTCTCCTTCCTCCGCGGTGCGTCGTCCAGGCGGAATAACCTTGGGATTCGGCACGATATACGCTCGAGGAACCTCGGTGCCATGCTCTGCACTTTCAACACCGATAACGGCCGCGTCAGACACCGCTTCGTGATCTGTAAGAAGGCCTTCGAGCTCTGCCGGTGCGACCTGGAATCCCTTGTATTTGATCAGTTCCTTCACGCGATCGGTGATGTAGAAGAAGCCTTCTGAGTCCTGGTATCCAACATCTCCAGTACGGAACCAGCCGTCCGGCGAAACACAGGCCGCAGTAGCTGCAGGGTTATCCAGGTACCCCAGGAACACGTTAGGTCCTCGTATGTAGAGCTCGCCGACTTCGCCGACGGGTACCTCCTGGGGTTCGGAGTCATCTTCCGGAGAAGTCATGTATTTGGCTTCCATATTTGGAAGGAGTTTACCGACAGAGCCGGCGCGGCGCCTCCAGTCTGACCATGGCACGGTGTGAGTGGTGGGGCTGGTCTCGCTGAGTCCGTATCCTTGTTTGATACCGCACTTAATGCGAGCATATGTGGATTCGACAAGTTCGCGTGTGAGGGGTGCTGCACCGCTGTTCATCATGCGGAGAGAAGAAAGGTCGTACTTGTCTACAATTGGGTGTTTCGTGAGCAAGAGGACGACGGGAGGAACAATGTAGGAGAAAGTGATCCGGTAGTTTTGGACATGGGAACACCACCGCTCGATGTCGAATTTAGCCATGACAACTAGATGCAGCCCGGAGAAGAGAGCATTGTGGACGAGACAGGTCAAACCTGTAGGGCTGGTGTTAGCGGTGACTCTTCCCTAATGCCTTGGCAAACAATACATACCGTAAATATGGTAGAATGGCAGAAAAGCCAATAATCTATCACCTGATCCATCGGCGCCTCCATTCCACGTTAGATTTCCCTCTTCTCCGGCATTGAGCTGATGAATATTTGTTACAATATTCTTATGCGATAGCATGACGCCCTTGGGCACACCAGTGGTGCCCGAGGAGTAGACCAAGAACGCAAGGTCCTTGGCAGGGTCAACTTTGGTTTTAGCATATCGAATAGACCGGGAGATGTTCTGAATGGTTGTGAAGTGTTTGTATTTCGAAGTTGGGTGTCTCTCGTCGCCAATCAGGATAATTCGATCGTCTGGGATACCCACCCGCTTTGCGGCCTCGATAGCAGTCGACAAGCAGGACATCTGAGTAGCCAACACTCTTGCTTTTGTGCCCTTTAATTGGAAGGCTAGTTCATCTGCGGTATATGCCGGATTGGCGGGAGAAACGACGCCACCAGCCCAGTGGGTGCCCCATGTCAACGGCGGGATATCGATGCTGTTCGGAGAGAACACAGCAAGGACATCGCCCTTCTTCCATTCCCAATTTGCCTTCAGACCAGTGCCAAATTCAAGAGCGGTGGATCGAACTTGCTCGTAGGTATACGATCGGCCGGTTTCGGCATCTTGGTATATTACTGTTCCCCAGGGAAAACAAATATTAGGGATCCAACTCGGAGGCAAGGCAAACGGGGTTTCGAAGGGGAAGAGGACGTACTCTTATTATCTGGAAACTGTCTATCCTTCCGGTTAAAAAGGAGGGTCCAGATGTCGACGTTTGGAATGTCCACGGTGGGATATAAGGACTTGGTCGGCATGGCGATATTGGAGTCGGGGGGAGAGATGCGGGGGAAGATGCAAGGGAGACCCCAGGTATTGAACCTTTACAGCTCGAGGGGGGTGTTAGCTGCAGAACAGGGGAAGCTGGGATGTCAGCAGGAATAAGAATAGCAGTGACAGTGAAGAAGAGAAGTTGGGGAAAAAGTAAGGGACCTGGATTTCTTAAAGCCGGCGACGGGGGTGCGATTTACCGATCGGATCCCCGGATTCATTCGCAGCGCAAGCGACCGCCAGAGAGTCGAGGGAAGAGACCTCGGCATCTTGGCCGCTACCGTTGGTTGGTTTTCGCCGCCTTGGCGCGCTAGCTTCGTGTTCCTGGAGCTTCAACCAAAGAACAGACGGCTCCCAGTTGGGACACCTCCGCATCGGAGGAATCGCCGGCTACCGGTTCCAGACCTAGACTTCTGGACCCAACGAAGGTGATATTGCTTCAACCGCCAGCCGATTATTGTATGTAGGACATACCTGCACTTCCGAAAGCTCATTCTCCTATCTCCTTGGCGATATTAGCACCCGAACCATCTTCAATGATGTCTGCCTCCTTGCACTCCTATGACCTCGAACAACCTCCAGGTGCTGGAACTAGCCAGGTGTATGGTTTCTGAGAAGCCAAACTTAGCATTGCAGATTCTGGATGATTGGGTACCAAGCCATATTCTTCGAATAATTAGAATGTGTGCGATCACCAGGGTGTTGTCCTTCAGGAGAGCATATATGCAGGAACCTTGTGACACAAAACCCAGAGGTATCTGGTGTTCCTGTTCAGCGTCTCAACTTCATCCCTACTTCTATGATGAAAGGAGCTGGGACAGGCAACCCAGGGTGGCATTGTCTCTGGACGCAACCTACCAGAACCGCCAAAGCTGACCCATTGAAGAACACCAGAGAGATAACAAGCATTGAGATTATATACCCATGAAAGCCCATATTAGGATTACTATGAATTCCCTCCATTTTTCAAAACAAAAAGTTAAACCAGAACAGTAGAGTAAAACATCCCGGTGGGCCTTTGCGAATATGACAAAACAAGAAAGATAGCAGGCCAGATTTGAAACCGATGATGCCTTGTCAAAACGTCTTGCCCCCTTCTTTTCTACCATATGTACCGTAATGAATGTTCGCTTTCCTCCCACCGCCATCCTGCATCTTCAATGTCTTTAAAATTAGTTGAAGTCTAAGTTTGAAGTCTAGCTCATCTAACCTGTATTTCCACCAGCGTGACGTTCGCCTAATGTTTCTCGGTAGCAGGAACGTTGGCAGTGAGCAATGTACCCTTTCCAACATTCTCGATGGCCGCAGTACGGGCTCCCGAGAGACCGAACTGGGTTGGAATGCCTTCAACGCGGTGGGTGGAATTGATGTTCTTGACCATGGTAATCTGGTAGCATGTCGCGCTGCCTTGACGCGAAATAATGGTCGAGTAGGCAAGGAAGAATTCCCAAATCTAAAACTGTCAGTTAGCCAAGAATCATAAATGAAGAAGGGCTAAAGGCCGGTTTGGAGCGTACCCTGAACCATTTTTTGCCGTACTTGGCTTCAACCTTTTCCCTGTTTCCGAGCCAGTTGCGGTACCATCTCCAGAGAGTTGCAGAATAGTGAACGCCAACGGTATCGATGCCTTTGATCTCGAAACCGGCTCCCTCGAGCTTATCGACCACGAATCCTAGTGGTGTACTGGCGTCGGCACCTGGGAAGATATACTTGTTCATAAACAAACCCCAAATTAAATCCTCATATTGCCAAGACTTGCGAAGACCTGCGATTTGAAGGAAGAAAACACCATCGTCATCAAGCATGTCGTGGACCTGGGACAAGAATGATCCAAAGTGGCGGACACCAACATGTTCGGCCATTTCGAGACACGTGATTTTCTTGTAACCGCCAGATACGACCGGGGCATCACGATAGTCACAGCAAACAATTCGGCTCTGAGCTTCTTCAATGCCGGCTTTCCGAAGGCCATTGTTTCCCCAAGCGGTCTGGTTGCGCCCAAGAGTGATACCGGTAACATGAGCACCGTAATGAACACTAGCATACTTGGCGAGAGTTCCCCAACCACAGCCAAGGTCGAGCATGGTGTCTCCCGGCTTGAGGCCAATTTTCTCACACACCACAGCCAACTTGTTATCCTGCAACTGTTCCAAGGTCTCTTCTTTGTTGATATCGCTGATGAGACCAGACGTGTAGATCATGCGTGGGCCAAGGAACCAGCCATAGAAGTCATCTCCGCGATCGTAATGTCCACGGACCTGTTCCTCGTCTATAGACGATCCAAAAGACCATCATTAGCTTCATGTCACACACAATCGAATCGACAACATGAACCGTACCTTGGCTGCGAGTGTGCATAATAACCTCAGGCATCATTCCGGTCAAGAAAAATTTGTACAAGCTCAAGGTAAACCTGAACGCTGCCCAATCATGTCTATATTCCAAGGCTTCAAGGCAGTCGCCCTTAAAGTCCACCTTTCCAGCAAAATACATCTCATGGAATGTCTCCATGGGGATTTTGCTCTTGCCATGATATTTTGCCCGGTCATGCTCGCTGTGGAAATGAAGGTAGTGCTCTACGGGTCTACCGGGATACTTGGCCTTTTCGTTCTTGCGTGGTGAAATTGATGAGGCGACGGACCAGAAGACCATGAGAATGGGGATCGAGGTGAAGACAGCGAAGAAGATAGTAGTGTAAAATCCACCGCCAACTTGTCGGGCAAGGTACCACGGAACGAGAACAAGAAGGGAAATTAGGAGGATGTTGGAGAAGCTGTCGCTCCCTGCAGCATCAGCGGGAAGAGGTGCATTTTTAATCGCAGGATACTGTTTAACGAATTCGAGTTAGCGCACCGGAAATGGTTCTTTAAGGCCATTCCAGTGTTTATCTCAGGCCCAGAAAGTCCAATGGGCGGGATATCGTTGCCTGTGCCCCCAACTGAGCTTGGGGGATCAATGGACTGTCCTTGGAGAACTCACCGACGTGGTCCGAACTCCACAATTCTCAGGCGAAGGTGACTGACAGGGGGCAGCAGGGGTCTCGATGAACTCAAAGTCGTCAGAAGACTCAGAATGAGTTCTCGCCATATTGACTTAGCTAGAGGGACTGGCAGAGAAAAGTGAGTCGACGGGGGCGAATTCCCAACAAAGGTCGGTTGTGAGGAGAACGAAAGCAAAAGACAGCTCGGACGAAGCTTGGATCAGCCAACACATGCAAATCCACAAAACTCAATATGTTTGCAGGGAATCAAAACAACAAAACACATGGGGTTGGCGACAACCCCCTTGACATTGAAGAGAGATGGATGTTAAATATGTGTAATTGTTCACTCCGATTCTACTTTACGCATTTCAAGCAAACTATAGAACTCCGAGGAAGTGGATACAAATGCGCAACCGCTCTGAAGACCGTCTCAAGTCCCGCCAGAACACCCTCAGTTGCATCCTGAAACTGAAACCTTCTGAAGCCGATGGAACCCCACCAATTTACCAAAACCCAAACCAACTTAACCCAGATCTAATCTCGACAAGTGCTTCCCAAGCAACGCCCTTCAAGGAATAACTATGATACTCGGTCCCTTGGAGACCTCTACAATGTGAGTTGAAAATTGGCCGTCTCCTCATCCTCCTGGTAAAATGATGGAGGAATTTCGTCGAGAATTGCCTGGTCCACGTCCTCAGTGTCAAAGAGGCCGGCTGTTTTGCATCGCAGCCACATTTCCGTGCCGAAGGGTGGCGGCCCATAGAGTTCCATGTATTTGTCCGGGGAAATAATGCTCTTTGTCGACGATACTTTCTTCACTTCTTCCTTGGATGCTCGACCCCGTAACGCAGAGGATACGCCGCGTCCTTTAGCATAGCCAAGGGTCGTCCTTGAAGTGACGACAGCAGCTGTGTGTCTCATGGAGGAGGGATTCGATGGGACGGTAGATTTTCTCTTGGACGTCAAACCCGTAATCACTCTTGGCCGCGCAGTGGGAGCGGGTCTAGTCTTTGGATGGGCAACTGGTCGAGGCAGCCGCGAGAGCGCCTTGGCCGCGGAACGCGATTGCAGAGTAGAGACATGCCTGTTAATATTGGGTTTATTCGCTTTTTTCTTTTCTAAGCCTTTCAACCTTTTGGCTTCAAGCTCCTCGATGCAAGGTTCATCAGGGAACTCCTTGATATTCAGCGACTCCATCTCTCGCACCTGCTGCAAAATGAGGTCGTCAAATCGTTTATCGAATGCTTCTTGTTCCTCTCGCCACTCCCTCTCCTTCTTGGTAAGACCATCTTCTCCAATATCGTACTCGTCATTATACAGCCTTGTCCACCCTCGAGCAAAATTTCGTCCTTTAAACTGCGGAAAGCTATTATCATAGGGGATATCCTCGGGTGGGTCAGGAAGCGCTACGGAGACCGAGAATGATCAGTAACACACATCCAAATTCAACGACATCGCAGGTGCTTCTACTCACGTTGCGGCGTCGGTGGCATGTACTCAATGTCAGGAATTTCTTCATCCTGCACGTTTCTCGACGTTTTCTGAGTATTCCCTTGTTTCGGTGCAGACTGCTTCAATTTGCGGACGGTCGAGCTTCGTTTACCTGTTCTTGCAGGCTTGTTGGTCCCTAGCTGTGGAGCTGGCGTCTGAAAGGCCTTTGCATTCGTGGTTTTCATTCCCAGGGGAGCGCGGTTGCGAGGACCTGTATAACATTTCGTTCTCAGCCACTGTTGTCAACAAAAAGCGTAAGATACCAGCGCTCAGAGTCTCATACCCATCGGTGTAGCGAAAGCACCCTTCTCCCCTTCCCCATCTTTTCCAGTCCGTCGGATAACATTTTCCTTCTGCGTTTGAAACCGAGGTCCCGCGACCGATTGCTTTCCCAAGCCACCAAATGTCAAGGGATTATTTTCATCGTTGAGTGGGATCCTGAATGGCGTCTTGGGTACTTTATTTCCAGGAGTCTTTGGCGCGAATGATCGGATGTTCTGGTTGAGGGGCTTCGCAGCCGCGGCCGTCTGGTGAGAATGCACCAAATTCTCCTGATCTCGAGCAGCAAGCATGATAACAGCTTAGATCACTCTTCTTATAGCATCCAAAAACCCCTTGTGATGTATGTCATGTCATAATCGATGCTCCAAGGCCGATGGATTGAAACAAGGCATCGAGTCGCGCGCTCCATCCAAGACCTCGCTTTGTTTTGGATGTTCCGTTGCGAGGGGCAACCAGCAACCCGATTCGGTTAGACAACAGCCAAGCCACTAGTGATTTTATATGCCTATCCGCTCCGTCGGCACCTCAGAGAGCGTCCTCCTGACAGCGCAAGATTGGATTTAAGCAAGTGAGAGATAAAAAGGATTATGGAACTTGACTCCTTCGAGAAGGTCTACTACCTGCTGAAAGCCCGGCGGACCAAGCAAGTTCTGCTCGCCGAAAACTTCGCTGCTTGCCCTCTTATTTGCCGGGGTTTTCTTTTTTCCTTTGCAGACTCCGTCTGAATCGTGGTTTAGGACTCGGTTTCCTTGCATTTCCTAATTGCGATTTCGAAATATTTTCGGCTGCTTAATCTGGCGAGCTGGAGCTGGCGTCTCCAGTCAACTTTGACCTCCCTGACGGTTGCTTCTATTCTGGATTCCTCGTCATCCCAATCAATCCTTCAGGTCAGCTGACATTTCGAAAGGCAATCTGTCGTCGGATACTTTCATCATACTTCGAGGACACTACATGGATTAGAAGAGCAAGGTAACGAACGAGAGGAGGCTTTCGATTTGACCTTATACCAAGTCTTCAAACGTTCGAACTCATGGAAAAAATAAGTATTAACGGCACTCATCTTTTAAATCAACCTTGAATTGGCAAGGTTTAGATAGGATTGCGACCTATTCTCGAGTCCTCAGTAAAAGGGATTGGCCTAATGCCCTCTCCACCTCGTGGGAGACATCCAAGCCAAATAAGGTCTACTTACTGGGTGCGTTATCCAACGTCCCATACAGGCCGGGTTGTCCGATCCAGGTGCTGGGGAGAGCGAACCTTGTCACAAAACCCCAGCCGTTCAATTACCTCTAATAAACGGACGGACATATTGCAGGGGGGACTGGAACTCCGCAATCGCTCTTTAATATCTCCGTCTTGCGAAGTGGATATGTGCAAGGGATGTTGATGAATTCTGATCACCAAATTGGATCAAAAATTTGTGCCGGCATGTGGCAAGAAGGAGGGATATCCGATCTTTTAACTTTCAACTCTTAAATTGCTGGGAGGTAATATATGATTATTTCCTTGGCTAAATCCAAACACCGGAGGGCTCACCCACTCCAAGCTGGGTATCCTTTTGCTCTCCATTCCTCAAATGTTTGACCCCCAGCACACGAGGGCATTCGAACCATTAATGGTACCGTGATATCCTCTTTTATGCCCAAATCCTCAGCCCTGTGGACTATAGTTTCCTTGAGCGTTTCAAAACCCATCTTCTCGTACATTTTAACAGTAGATGGGGACGCTTCGAAATACACGGGCAGGCCGGTCTGCTCGCTTAAGTCTATTCCCCATCGTACCAGGGCTGCACCCGCCTTCCGTCCCTGGTGCTTAGGGTCCACGCCAATAACGTGGCAATCTGCCAGACCAATTAGCTGCGGTTCCTCCTTGATGCAAATGTTTACACTCGACTTGTGAATTGAGTGTGGATGCAGGCTTTACACTCACATATATAACGTCGCCCTCCCCATAGCTTTTCCTTCATTTCCCATAGAGGATTAATGATGTTCTCTGCCCTCTCTTTTGCTTCACCTTCCAACCAGCTGATTCCAGGATTTTTGCGTTCCTCTTCGGTCCGCTCTTTGAGATATACATCTGCAAGTCCCATGCCCACAATGTCATCGGTATTCGTGTCGACACACTTCCAAGTGTATTGCGACTGGCTTGTATGCCAAAAGCCTAGCGTACCCTCTGAGTGAGCTTTGCGAAACTCCTCCGTGATCCCGCCAGGGAAGAGGATATCAAGCATTATCTCTCCCATGGGATCTGCTTTGAAGGCGGCGAAGTATACATCGTAAACCTTGGGAATATCCGGGATTAGCGCCGGTAGAACTGCGAAGCCCATGGCTGCGAGGTGGATGCGTCTCGTTTTCACGTTTTTCGAGCTAGCGCGGAAGTGTCGGTGACGGTAGGATGGCAGGAACCTACAAAGGGCTAAATAATGGATCTTTGGAGACTTGTCCTACGAGACATGTGCAGCTCGCTCTCTATATATGTCCCCATATTGCAAGAGATCTCGCTAGTGAAACTCGGATCCGAACTCGCAAGTGAAACTCGGATCCGAACTCGCAAGCGAAACTCGGATCTGAACTCGCAATTGAAACTGGGATCCGAACTCCCAACTTTGGGTCTAAAATCCATACCTCGCGTAACTTCTTGGCTGTTTGATCTTAGATCAAAGATTAGGACACCACTTCCGAGGTGAACCGAGCTATGTTTTTAGTTGAAACTCTCAATTTGATTTAGCAGCGGGTGGCGCCCGATTACCACGCCTAAGCTTCCTACTGGCATTGGGCCTTTTAAGCGCATGCTTCCATCTGTCATAGGGTTAGGAAATGATTCTCGGCGTAGATCTCAAACTCCAATTATCAACAGGCGACATTTCAAGGGAGGGGGGATAAAATAATATGGAGTCTTCACAAGAACAGAATTTTCATGTGTTTGCGGAGCACCGCGGAATTATCACCGTACGGAGTATAGATTATCTGATAATCTAATCTGATACCGGACTAGCCGTGCTTTAGATACCTTGATTTCGGATCTGATAATCTTATCTGATTAGAGTTTTTCCATCGCCAAGGAAGTCAATTTTGCATCCAGGCACGATAATTTGCTGCACGATGGAACAATGGAGACAACTTCTCCATTTCTGCGGCCGAAATATCCCGTGAAATCAGATATCAGGCCAGAATCATGGCATTTCCCTATCAGACCAAGCCCGGCGCCGCGATCGGGTTCCAATTCAGGAATCCCGTATCTCCGCCGTTCCAGGTACTCGGGTTTTTTATCTCCTACTCTCGATACGGAGTTATTTCGTCCTCACAGATAGCCCTAGAAATCAGAATAAATCCCCTCTGACCATCAATCACCGTCGTCGCCCTTCACCATGCTCAAGAAATCACTGGTCTTCATAAAATTATTCGCCTACATCATCCGGCTCTACTGCGACGCAATCCGCCGGACGGGCAAGGTGCGCCGATATGCTCGCTCCCGACAGAAGTCTTCCGCTACCACTGAACCGGAGAAATCTCGCTCCATCGTGATTGTCGGTGCCTCGTTTGCTGGGTATCACGCAGCTCGACTAATCGCAACCTCCCTACCACCTGACAGCCCTTACAAAGTCATCGTCATCGAGCCCAATACCCATTTCCAGTTCACATGGGTACTACCACGATTCTGTGTCGTACCTGGCCACGAACATAAAGCTTTCATCCCGTACGGACCGTATCTTGCCGGTGCACCGGTCGAATGGATTCGAGATCGCGTCCAGACCGTCGAACGGACGTGCGTCAGGCTTCAGAGCGGAGAGACGGTGCCGTATGAGTTTCTAGTAATAGCGACAGGTTCCTCGCAGGGTGGACAGCTGCCTTCGCGGGTGGGCGCAGAGACCAAAGCGGAGGGAATAAAGCGTTTGCAGGAAGTGCAGGAGCGAATTAGGGAATCGAAGCATATCGTCGTCGTCGGAGGCGGGGCTGCAGGTGTAGAGATCGCCGCCGATGCGAAGGAGCAATATCCAGATAAGGGTGTTACTCTAGTACACTCACGAGGCGGCGTCATGAACAGATTTGGCCCGGAATTGCAGGATGCTGCGCGAAAAGCCCTGGAAGGTTTGGGCGTGGAAGTAATCCTCAACGACAAAGTGGCCCACGAGGCTTTGGAAGAGGGTCATGTGGTGTTGAAGTCCGGAAGAACCGTGAAGGCCGACTATGTGGTATGCAGGTTCCCCTCGATTCTAAAGCTGTCAGACCTAACTTACTGAACCTCTGGAATAGGTGAACTGCACTGGTCAAAAGCCGGTATCGGGCTTAATCGCCCACCTGAGCCCGGGAATCATCGAGCAATCGGGACACATCAGAGTTAAACCAACAATGCAGGTATCAGACCAGAACCTGCCTAATATATACGCATGCGGAGACGTCGCTTCGACGCGCGGAGACAAGCCCAATGCCCGTTCTGCAATGCACCAGGCCACTGTCGCGGCCGATAATGTCGTTCTGGCAGCCATTGGCAAACAGCCACGGTGTGAATACAAACCCCATTGGGCAGATGGGGTGATAAAATTAACCCTTGGATTGGTAAGTTTCCAGAATATCAGGAGAGAAGGGCACGAATTTCTCATCGCTGTTGCTTACTGGTACCCGCTTTAGAACAAATCTATCACGCACTTCGAGCAAAGATCGACAGCCGAGTTGTTATTCCACGCGAAGGAAAAGGACATCGCGCTTATGGCTGAAGGGGCGTGGAGGAATATGGGAGCAACCCCATTTGAAGAACCGGATTTAGAGTCGGGGAATGGCAAGTGATCCAGGGGGGTTTCGCACCTCAGTAACGAGCCATACTTCGTTAATTGGGAGCCGATAATCAGCTTCAAACAGCACTTTTACGCCGCTAGGCAAACGTTGTAGCCCCTGAACACTGCTCTCGAGATTCGGGTTTAAATAGACGAAGCCTATATAGTCTTCGAAATTGGACTCAGGAAACCTTGTCAAAGCGACAGTTGCCCGTGTATGATAAGTATATTGACTACACGGACTCTTTCAGAGTCATTGATCGATACTCCCTCCACACCTCAAATCCCGCTTTTTCATAAAAATTGACATGATTCGTCCAATCAACAAATACCTTCTCTAAGCCTCTCCTCTTCATATCCATTGCAGCGCTCACAACCAACGCTAGACCCACACCTTTATTCCTCGCATCGGGATGAATACCCAGACAGCCAATCTGGCCGGTTTTCTGGCCTAGTAACGGCATAAAGGCAAGATCGTTGGTCATACCTAGACCTAGTTCTTGCATCAGAGTCCACCCTATTTGTTTTCCGGAACGATCCATCGCCACCATGACTTGCTCGTGTCGGTTCTGCCGTGCCAGACGCTCATATGCACCAAGCCAGACTTCATCATCACCCCAGAGCTCACGTATGTTAGCCATACATTCAAGATACAGATTTATTCTCCAAGGAGTGAATGTTACGCCTGCCGCGGCGGCACGCTGAAGAACTCCTTCTGGGGGTTGATAGGTCCTTAGGTCCGCCGTGTAGTCTCTCGACGAGGGGCCTCTGGTCGGAACGAAACCACGATGGATAAAAAAATTCTGGGCCTCTTCTGGTATATCTAAGGGGACGCCAAGGAAAAATCGAGGGAAGCTCGAACCTATTGTGACGGAACGAGCCGCTCCACGCAACTGACGCCGAGCATGCTCAACCAAGGCTGTTCCGACCCCGCGCGACCGAAACTTCGGGTGAACAAGGAGAACGGAAATGTATGCCGTGGGTCTATCTTCATTAACATAGGTAGCTATAAAACCTGCAAGTTGGTCTTCCACGTAAATTGTAAAATGTTTCCCGTTTGGGCGATCGAGAAGATGATGCAAACGGTCTGCAGGGACAGCATAGTGGGGGAGTAACATATGCCATAGGTTTATCGCCAGTTTCATGTCACGTTCCGGATCAAAAGAATCTATGGGAAGTGGCGGGCGTTTTGTACAAACAGGAAGCTTTCCTACCCCCTCATTAACCCCGAAGATGACATTGGCCGCCGCTTGGAAGGCCTCAACGGTCGGTTCGTACATGGCAAGACAAGTTTTAATCCCTGAGTTTAGGAAATCATATGGAACACATGTAGCAATGCTGACTAATTTTTTTGAATGATTCACAAGCTGAGTGCCTATCAGTCTTTGGCTTGGATTCAACCTGCAGTTCCGCGAGGCCAAAATCACGGCGTCGGCCTGTGAGATCTTGGATTTTGTGCTTTCATCTAGAGTTGCGTCATCGAAAAAGGGACATTCGATCAGATCCGGGACAAAGAGTTTCAAAATTTGTGAGAATTCCGGTGGTGTGTAAGGAACACAGGTGACCGTTTCGCCGCTTCCAGAAGCACCCACACGGAGAGCTTTCCCACAAGGATAAACGTAGACCAAGGACCCTCCCCTGGACAGAGGGAGCGCTTTCTGGTCATCCCTGATAACAGTGACGCTCCGGGCGTAGATATCGTTTGCCAGTTCCTGGTGCTTCAAGTTTAGTTGGGTAACGGTGTTAACTGAGCGGTGGCGAAAAACTGAGCCCCAATCAAAGAACTTATCTTTCAAGGCGTGAACCCGTGAAACGGACTGGGAGATCTGACGAAGTGGAATAGTGCCAATCTTGCAAGCATTGAATGCCTCTTCAAGTGCTCGAACTTGGACATCATAAGTGTGACATATCATCGGGCAATCGACACCGGCAGCTAAGGCCCGGACGGCCCCCTTTTCGGTCCCGATCTGCACGCGTATAGCATCCATTTCAAGACAGTCAGTGATGATGAGACCTTCATGCTGTAGGTCTCGACGCAGGAAATTTACAACATCTTTGCTGACGGAGGATGGCAATCCAGCGTCATCGAAGGCTGACATAACAACGTGGGAGGTCATTATGGCCTCGATCCCCTCAGCGACTGCTCTGCGAAACGGAAGGAGTTCACACGCTTCAAGATCCTCTTTGGGTTTCCTAACGACAGGAACACCGTAGTGGGAATCAACTTTTGTGCTTCCGTGTCCTGGGAAGTGCTTTGCACAGGGTACGATGTTGTTCTTCCTCAGTCCTTTGGCGATATTGCTCGTGATTCTGCCGACGAAGGTCCCGTCATCGCCCGGAGATCGGACACCGATGACGGGGTTGGCCGGCTCTGAGTTGACGTCGCACAGCGGAGCATAATTCATGTTGATGCCTAGAGCATCCAGTATTTCACCTGTGGCACTGGAGACGCGGACGGCATCGTCTATGTAACCGGTGGCGCCAAGTGCCATAGCACCGGGCAGCTGGGTGGCAATGGGAGGCTTAATCCGGGTGACAAGGCCGTTTTCCTGGTCGACAGCAATGAAAAGTGGGCGGGTGTGGCCAGCATCCCTTGCCGTCTGCTGAAGGTCATTTGTGAGGGCAATCAGTTGTTCCGCACTCTCAATGTTCCGCTGGAAGAGAATGATAGTGCCGCAGTAGTATGGGGCCTGGATGAGCGATTTGACCTCGTCTGTGGCGATCAGCGACCGGAAGCCGACGATGAACAGCTGTAAACAGAAACGGGCGATTAGCTCAGGGTGTTTTGACAGGGGGACGGGTTGGCAGATATTCGCAGCTAACTACGGAGTAGGAGTAGGCAAATACCTGGCCAAGCTGCCTGCGTAACTCGTCATTGTCCATGATGCTCGTGCTTCGGGATGGGGGAGCGGTAGAGTGACCACGACGCCAGAGGAAGGCCCATACGCGAGCAGAGCAAGCTGATGCCCAAGTCGACTCGCTACTCAACTAAGTTACTGACTGGCCAGCTAGCTCGGGGAGTTGCATCCAACACAAGCTTCCAAGCATCGCACGATGGACGGGGGCGTTTGCTTTTCCCCCGCGCGCGATCAGGAGCTGCCGCGGACGCTGCCCCAGCCACGGGACCCACCCGCCCGGGCCCAACTAAGTTAACCAGCCACTAACAAACTCCAGTAGGCCGATCAGCAGCCAATGATGGCGGTGGGACGCGCTCTCGTGAGTGCCTGCAGGGGTGGTACTTTTAAGCGAAAAAAATGCGGGAAAGGCACGAGAAGCGCTGGCAGGGCGCCTGCTCAAAAAGCTTGATTCGTCACTTTCGCATCTTAATCAGCTTATTTAACTTTGTTAACTTAAGTCGTCAACTTAATACCAGGAAATACAGATCAGACCTCAGGTAGGATACAGATCAACTCGCGGTGCCCTGAGTTCATCACACCATGTAAAATTACTGATCACTACTGGTAATATTACATAATTATATTATATGACTGGCTGACGGCCGGTTAGTTAACTTATGTAGGTATAGAGGGGGGTTTATCAGGGAAGGTTGGGGTATTAGGTGGGTAAGAGTACGGAGTAGGAGGTGTTATACATTAGGGATTAGGGGTTAGGGGTTAGAGTTTGGAGGGTTAGGGTAGCTTAGGGAATGTTAGGGAGTATGGAAATGAGTTGTGAGGGATCAGTTAGTGACTGGGAAATAAATTTCAAATGTCGGTTTGTAAGCTTTGGTTTGAATGTTATATTTCATTACAGAGGTACGGAGTACAGGCATCTGTACTCCGTATCATCACACGGATTGAGCTCAGGATACTGTACGCGGTCCATCTTGGCAAAAAAGGCCAGCTGCAATCATCTATCCATTCCTTTTTCGTAGCTACACACAAAGAGATATTAGAATTTGAGATACAAATATTAATGGACATCAACTGCGTCGTTCAGCCAACCAGCCAATTTCAACTTCACTATCCGGCCGAGGTTTGTGGACCCATCCCGTTGCACACCCGTTTCTTCCATATCCCGGAGAATTTTATCAATATATTCACCTGCGCCGGAGAGGTGAAGGATATGAGCAATGGCGTTGTGAATCGCAAGTAGCCGGGGCAAAGGCGGATCTATTGACTGGTCGTCTGCAAGATAGAGTGTACGAGTGACAGGGATTCCTTCTAATGCGAGTGAAGGGAGAAAGCTCTTAATCTGATAAGTATGCTCCTGGTCCGCAACAGGTTCAAAGTAAACATCAAAGTTGCCAAAATGCCGATGAAAGTCGTGGGTCAGGCTTATAGCATTGGATGGTCGGTCAATATTGATGCCGTCAACAAGATGTGAAACATCACAGTCGAACATGTTGAGAATCATAAGCGCTGCTTTCTTGGAATCACTCTATATGTGTTGTTAGCAAGAGAAGGATCTCTATTTGACAAGGTGCTTACCAGTTCAGAATTTGCATCCGCTTGTGTTAGGGAGTGTGGAAGTATATGGGCCACTTCCAAGTAAGCAAACGGGCGTCGAAGCAGTTTCCCTTCGTCGTCTTGAGCATTATCACCATGCAGATTCAGACGATTTACTGCCTCTTGCTTATCAAATGCACGCGATATAACACATCGATGGCGATCGCGGACGAGACAAAGGCCCCGAAGAAAGGATAATCGCTCTAGAGTCCCGGTAAATTCGTGCAGTCTTCCCTGTACTCTCTGGACCACCGATAGGTGGGCTGGGGTGGGTTGTAGAGTGTTCTTGCTAGTAGCTTTCACTATGACAAGATTAACAGACACTTAGAGGGTTGGGGGACAGGGCAACGGACTCGGCAGATAGAAATTGTCTAGGAGGAAATCTGCAAATTCGGCCAGCTTCCTGCCTACCTGAGCCTGATCATCAAAGTCTCTATCCCCTTCGCCAACAAAATCTACCTCCATGAATTCGAAGAAAGCACGTAAAAATGTATCCTTCGATAACTCAGAGCGCGAATACTCATAAGTATAGCGGACCAGCAAAGAGCGCTTGTATCCACTTGTTCTGTTACCATCATCAAAATTGTTGACAATTTTGTAAAACCGGCGCTGAGCATGGTGACGCTGATCCGCAGGTAGGGGCTGGGGATCATGAAAGTTGATTATGCCCTCAAGGGACGACTGATGACGACGCCAAAACGACGAAGATTCCATTTTGTTTTTCTTTCTTTGAATGGCAATAAGACAGCGGGGTCATGAGTTCTGGAGAGCCATCTTATGAAGAGGACAAAGTTCAGGCAACCTTAATAGCGCTGGTCTGTCCGGAGTACTCCGTAGGATCCAGATCAACTCTCAGGTCAGTCCTCAGTGGGAATCACGTCAACTCTCAGCGAGATATACTCCGTACTTCCGTAGATCAACTCAGTAAGATGTATTGCGTAGGTGAGCTCAATATACCACGTGACTAAGCAAAGTTACCTAGTTCTGAGGTCGCAGGATACAGATCAACTCATGGTACACCATGTGTAATCCCTTATCCCTAGTTAGTTAGTTAGTTAACCGGCCGTTAGCCAGTCATATTATAATCATGTAATATTAAACTAACTACTCCGTACGGAGTAGTTAACTAGTTAGTTAACCAACTAGTTACCAGTACAGAGTACGGAGTACTCCGTAGTGATCAGTAATTTACATGGTCTGATGAACTTTGCTTAGTCACATGGTGTGATGAGCTCAGGATAACTACTCCGTACCGTGAGTTGATCTGTATCCTGAAGCTCCGCTAGTCACCTAACGGGCCCCGGCCGGCCAATCAGCCATGATATCCAACGGGAATGCAGGGCTCGCTGCAAATGCAACGCGGCCACGGGGACAGACGCACCGTGGAAATTATACATAGCCTTGTCAGATGAAATGCAATGACAACAAAAGAATACGTCCCCAGGTAAATCGATGCCCGTTGTTCTTCAATGAAGTTTTCTATCCTTGTGTTATTTGTATTCGCCTCGCTAGTCTTTGCGCAGGACGAGTGGGATGACTTTTACAATAACTTCGCCACGGATCTAACCCCTCTGCTGGCTTTATTCGGAGAGCAGGTCACCAAACAGTTCCTGAGCGAGTCAACTTCTCTTCTAGATAACGTTATTTTCGCTGCTGCCCCGCTGGGCATCCTAACGGCTATTGTATCTGTCATCCGGGTCTGCGGAAGCCCATCACTCCGAGCGTTTATAGGACGAGCGCAGGAAGGCCGAGGAATAGCTGAAGTAGAACTTTGCTCCTCCACCAGTAACGACGTATGCGAACTTATGGCACCGCGGTGGCATTGCGCGTGTTTTTGGTAGGCCAAAGATCTTGGAGCTTATTTACGACAAGAACAACGGAGCATTTTACGACTCCAGCGGGTCACCATCAAAAGCTCATCTTTTCCCCTCGAGGGAATATTTTCAACAGAAAAAGCTCGAAGCTGTTGGCGGGCGTGAGGTAGACGATGGGGATACCCAAAATTTCACGGATGAAGATCCGCTTGAAAAAGAAGAAAGTCCTAGTTTTGCGCCCAACCCTAATCTATCGCTCAATATTGGCATCAAGAAACCGCCTGTGGTTTGGCTTCTAGCTGCGGCATTTAGCGGATGCGTGTTGCAGACGGGAGTTTTTGGATTTGCCGTTTGGATCACTTTGCTAAATTTAAAAAAGTTGAGAGACCTATACCATCTTGGGCATTTCCTATAGCATCCGCCGGGACTGTCCTCTTGGTAACGGGTATGTTCCTGTGTGCATGGCTTATTGAGACGACGACCGAGGAGAAGGTTTTCAAAAAGCGAGTGCGAATGTACTGGTTACAGCAAGGTGGTCAAACAATCGGTGACCAAGTTTTCGATGCATTTGCCCATTCAGCAGATTTGGATGAGTATATGACCTCATGGAAACGAGAAGGGCCAATTACTCGAGCCAGGGAGGGGCTTGTGTGGCTCGCCGTTGGAAGCACATCAGTCGGGTTTGTTCTTCAATTTGTCGGCCTGCGAGGTCTCCATTCGTTTGTCGCATTGTTTCAACTCGGAGCAACAGTGATAATGGCCATCGTCCGAGCCGGACTCAGATCCCAGCGCCTAGGAGAGGGAAGGAATGAGCTACGTGATTCCGGAAGCTCTGTCAACGGACACGAATTGGACTGGTTTGCTCACCGCGTTGACCGGGAAAATTGTCCTCAGCGATTCTTGGAAGGCACGTGGGAAGTGTACCCGACAGTCCCCAGGTGTCCGAACGAGGATCCTGGCGAAAACAAGATACAGGTCAGCGGACTATACGGTGATGTCTCGGAGAGCGGATCCGAAACCATGAAATCGGTGATTAAATGGATATCTAGTCTTCAGTCGGATGGTACAGAAGCCAGCGAAAACCCACATATTGCTGCCCGGATTTTATATTACAGAGCTCGACTTTCTCGCTTAACCCAAGAGCAATCCACTTCCCTCCCTGAAGAGTGGCAAATAGATGTTCGGAGACACGCACAGAGTTTAAAGATTGCTCTCGAGGACGTGGCGAGAATCATATTCTCTGGGCGGTTCCAGTTGAAGCAGGGCTGGGAAGATATTTCGGCGATATTTTGGACGGTAGATATTGTCACCGAAAGCCCCGACGAAGGTGTACGACCTATCCATGTCATCATCAAGCGCGTAAATGGTGCTTGGAGAACCGATTTATCCGAGTTGGAAGCCATTCTTGGATTATGGATTTGGTCAATACGGAATGGGTCTAAATACACAATACCAAATCCGGATAAATTCTTCGCTCTCGTGAGGTCGTGGGATGAGGTTGAAAGAGTTAAGTTGGACCTATTAACATGGGTTTCGGGTTCTCTAAAGCGTGATTTTGCCGTATGGGAATGCTACGACCCGGAGTTTGATATAGCTTGCCAGGACTTAGACCACCTCCCAGTGCTCTCAGTACCTCTTTCTATTCAAAAACGGAATTCATTGTACGGATATAGTCAGAGCTTCAATTGCAATGCAAAGGCCTTATATGTCTCAACAAGACATGGGTTGCCATTGATGTGCGCACAGGATATATTTACAATCTTTATCTGCCGGGTGGTGAATGCAATTCAAGACATTTCAGACTTTGAACCTTTCCTTGAGGCTGGTGGCGACACAGTCCGTTCACAGGATGGTAGCTTTCGGCTTGTCAACCGGCACATTGACTCGATTGCTGAGGCGTTTAGAAACGCGGGTCTTGGTTCTAGGGAAGATGCTTTGACGAGTATGATCCCAATCCTACGAGCTCATTCTCTGCTTGTCATACCAGAAAATATCAAAACGTCTGTATTAACATTGGCGGCCGAACGGAGGCGAAAGAATGATTTCGTTAATGCAGAAGATATGCTTCGTTGGATCTATCATAATTTGAATAATGGAACGCCAACAGAACAGAAGGTTCTGACAAGGGAGCTTGGGGAGCTTTATCGCCGCGCACTGCAGGCCGAGGACATCAGAACACGGAGTTTTGGTTATAACGGTATTCTTAATGTATTGGATACCTTTCAGGGTTCTGAAAGGGTGGATGAAATAAAGCAAAATTATATATGGGCTGCGGTTCAATTTGCCTCAATAAACCAGGATCTGACATATAGAGCCGCCCTTAGCAAAGCAATGAAACGCAATCTGGCCGACGGACTAGACAACATGAGCATATCTGCCGCGCTCAAGTGTGAACCTTTTTATCCAGTGTGCTTGATAATCGCAACAAAATGGCGTGCGGAGGTTTGTGACCCAATCCCGCACCTAGATGTGCCTCCTCTGTGCCTTGCCGCACGGAGGGGATGCTGGGAATTGGTAGAAGACTTGCTTAGTCTTTCTTTTGATATCAATGCGCAAGATCAAGAAGGCCGTACAGGAATGTTCTTTGCTGCCGAATGGGGTCACTACGACACGGTGCGTTGTCTTTTGGACTATAATGCTGCGCTGGGCCCTAACAACCTAAACCAATCGCCGCTTTGGATCGCCGCGGCAAACGGACATAACACAGTGGTGGAACTCCTTCTTGAGAATGGCGCAAATCCCGAGCAACAGGACATCGGGGGTTGTTCCCCACTTTGGATTGCGGCGGCTAACCAACATGAGGCTACGGTAAGAATGCTTCTTGGTCGAAACGCAGACGTCAATTCCCGAAATATAGACGGTGATACTCCCTTGATGGCGACAGCGCGGACTAGATCAGAAGCTGTCCTGTCTCTGTTGTTAGATTTCGGCGCCGATATGAACGCTAAGGCTAGGGACGGGTATAATGCATTATCCTATGCTATATCTTCAAAATGCATTGAAAACATATCCCTATTTCTTGACAGGGGCTGCCATTTGGAGGACCGGAACGGTTTAGGCTGGACTGCATTACTCACAGCGGTGGGAAGCTGTGAGCCGAGTGGAGAAATGGTCGCGTTCCTGCTTGACGAAGGGGCTTACGTTGAGGCCAAAGACGAGCGCGGTAGAACACCGTCGCTGGTTGCAGCAGAAATGAACCGTCCACTAGAGGTTATAAGAGCTTTGCTTGCGAGGAAAGCAGCTGTCAATGCCACAGACGCAAAAAATCTAACCCCCTTGGATTTTGCGGTGATCAACAGACGAGCGGACATTACACAATTGTTACTGGAGTTTGGTGCGGACACTGAATGCAAAGGGAACAATTACATGACACCATTGTTCCAAGCCGTGGCCAATGGAGATGCGGCAATTGCGGAATTGCTCCTTGAGCATGGAGCGGATCCGAGTCATCACGCGGCCGGCGTATCGGTCCTCACAAAGTCCATCGATGTAGAGCGGTTCGATATAACGGCAATGTTACTGAAAAAAGGCGCCTTTTTAGGCCACTGGTATGAAGATGTGAATGCCTACTTCTGTCGTGTCATGGAGACCCAGGACGAGGAACTCGTCAGGTTGCTGCTTAAGCACTGTAAGAACCTACAAGCACACTGGCAAATACTTCAGAGGGCAGAGGAGATAGGCAACGAGAGAATTGTTAAAATGTTACTTGATCATGGTGTGAGACCATACCCGAAGTCTCCGGCCCGGGAGGCCGCGAAGACAGGTAAACCGGATTATAAAGCCATATAGCCGCGTGCTCAGGGCCACACAACTTGGACCAAGCTGATGGCATGGCTCCCAGCTACCTTTAACACACAGTCTGAAACTAGCCGGCAAATATGCCCATTTCGCTCGTGTCTAGTCAGAGGATAACTTGGGCTTGCCGACTGGTTGATTCACACACAGAAGATGGGGAGGTAGCAATCTACAAAGCTCAGAAGACAATATTCAAAGTGTCAAGACAAGCACTCGGTGAAGGCGGTGCTGGGGAATTAATCAGCTCTAAATTAACCGATGTTCAGGCCTTATAAAATACACAAAACCCTGCAGCCCAAAGTGCAGTATTCCGTCCCGCAGAAAAGTAGCGAGAAACCAAAACATCAAAAATAAATGACCCAGATTAATTTGCGAGCGGCATGAGTGAGGGAGGTGGCATGGAGAACACAATGGATTCAATGACTCATCACTGCTGCTTCTTTGCCGCAGCAGCAGCGGGACCGTTCGCTTTGTCGAACGCAGCATATGATATCTTCACACTCGTTAAACCAGATATACCAATGTAGAGAATAAAAATAAGCGGAATAGATGCCAAAAGACCCATAAATATGCCTATACAAGGGTATTAGGATAGAGCCTCCTGAACAACAAACCAGGAGCATCGAATTCTAGCTTACCTGGGCTCAGGAACTGATACTTTTCAAACAGTGGTCGGTTATCAGAGGGCTTGTCATTAGGAGATTCGGGTTCCCGCTTTAACCGGAGATGAAGGGGGTCTTGCATCCTCAAAATGTCGGACCCCGCTCCACTAGAAGCTCTTGCTGTGGTTGTGTAGACGACGCTATAGTTAGTCACAGGCAGATGATCAATAATTGTAGCGAGATATAAATCTATCAGAACATTATTAGCATGAACAAAGAAGTATTTCGCCTGGATATACCAACCATAATCAACGAGTGTTTCTGCACGTTTCGAATCTATCGGTAGCTCCGGGAACTCTATTTTAACCATTTGTGGCCGGCCACGATGTGATATCGATGGAAAATAGTTGGCTAATTTTGTGAGCAAAAAAGGTCCCATGCCCTCTTTCAACTGCCCACGAGATCATCTGGCGATCTCCCCGGGGCTTACTTACAGGCTCCGTTCAACACGATGGAATCGGCGCCACATCTCGACTCGAGCTTTGACACCAGATCCCCTATATCGATATCTCCCACAACTTCACTAACTGCAAGGCTGGACTTCACAGCGCTATCCTTTTTTAGGACCTTCTCGCGTAGCCGTGGTGACGATTTCCGTGACGCGTAGTCGAGAAAATGGACGCCAGGTTGGGAAACGATAATATAGTAGTCTGACGGACATGAAAGCAGCTTTCTATGTACATCATCTCGAACGGTATTCGCAGATAAGATCTGTCGAGAGCTTGTTTCAAACCTATTAGGAATGGAGTCTATCAGCGGCGCGGGCTCTTGACGAGCGAGTGAAATAGGCGGCACATACTCCTGTGTTGAGAAAAAGAAAAAAGGGGACGTGTCTCTAAATGCATCAATTCCGGCAGCGAGCCCCAGGGCCAGCAGCCCAAAGACTCTAAACCTCATTTTTGAAGCTGTGAAATGCCACGACCCTTCCTCCAGCAAAATGCCTTGAGCTGTTGCAGTCCTGACCGGCGCTTTAGGTGAGGTCAGAGGCCTTGGCACGAGCTCCATAGTTTTGCTTACGTAACGGATTAACTAGCGCCAGTGAATTTAAGCAACGCATTCTAAAGATACCCTTGAAGAAGCCCCAAATTGCTCACGGGGGTACGCCGTACTCCACCACAGAGCAGAGAACTACTCCGTACTTGATTACGTTATCCAACGAGCGAATTCCCTGGTACTGCTCATCCTTCGGACGCCAATGCGAAAATGCACGGAGTACGGAGTATGCGCGATACAGAATACCTTTGAAGAGAGCAACTGTCGCTAACAATGGCACCTCCTCCTAAACGCCGGAAATTGGCTATCGCCCCTGTCGACGAAATTGTTTTTGATAATGACGCCCGTCATGATTTTCTCACCGGATTCCACAAGAGAAAAGTACAGCGGGCCAAGCACGCGCAAGAGATAGCGGAGAAAAAGGCGAAGGAGGAAAGGAGGGAGCACCGCCGAAAGGTCAGCTGAACAACCCATATTAATTCGGATGCAATATTCTCACCGGTGTTCTTTTCTGCGTTCAGTTGCGGGAAGAGAGGCAGGCGGAGTTCCAAAGAGCACTCGACCAGAATCGTAAACGGATACAGGAGCTTAATGGCCCATCGGAATCCGAAAGCGAGAGCAATCCGGACCAAGACAATGATGCAGAATGGGCAGGATTCCCTGAGCCGGTGGATTACGAGGCGGAATATATCGACGAGAATAAATATACCACTGTAACGGTGGAGGACATGGATCCCTCGAAGGAAGGGATGTACAAAGCAGCAGAGAGTATCGATGGGGTTGATGAGGACGAAGAATCCCCAAAGACAACTGGTGCTGTGACTAAAACACCAGAGAAGCAAACATCAACGGGGAACGATCGCAGTCAGGCAAAGAAGAAGAAAAAGAAAAGGAAGTTTCGATATGAATCTCATGCCGAGAGGAAAATCACGAGAATGAAGGAACGGATGGGCAATCGGAAGCAGGCGAAAGCTAGACGAGCAACATGATATATTCAATTCTATAATTAAATACATATTCTGTGGTCTGGCATCTTGGAAACAGTCAGAACTTCGAATTCTCAAAGTTCAAGTTCCCCTGACCGAATGACGCTGAGATACGAAATAAACGGACGCATTAGAGGAATATGACAACAGAAGGTACGATTGAGAAAGTGTAAAGGATCGGTCGTGAAACCATTTTTGCTTGGCAAACAGCAATCCGAAGGATCAAGACGGAAGAGTTTAGATGCTATTGAGAGTAGTCTCCAAATCCTTCATCTCCTGCTCCAGTGCCTTGTACTTCTGCGATATCTCATCATGCTTTGCTTCCCATTCCTTTGCCTGTGCCTCGGCGGATTTTGCCTGGCGTTCGAAGTGTTCCGCTGTAAGCTCCGCTTCCTGACGACTGTTTGTCAAGTGTCAGCAATCGACGAACGCAACTACCTACAGGATATTCCGTATATGAATGCCAGCAAGGAAGGCCGTACCTCTTGTTTGCCTGTTTTGCAGAGGCAAAGGTCTCATCCAATTCGTTTTGTAGGAGTTCTACGCGGCTTTCAAGGGCCTTCAACTTCGCATTGTCTTGGGCACCAGCATCGAGTGCTTCTTTGGCTTCCCCCAGTTGGCCACGGACTCTCTCTATATCCTTTCCAAGCAGTTCTTTCCCCTGGGAAAGCTCTGTGACCTGCCGCTCCTGTTCTCGGTTCACGTCTTTGAGGCCCTTGATCTCTTCCCGCAACTGTGCGACTTGGTCACGGAGGTTTTCATTCTCCTCTTGAAGAGCTTTGTGTTTCTATGTTTATACATGAGTTAGCTGTGATTGCCCTTGAAAAACGGCATGTTGGTGGTTTGGGTAGCGCCGACATCCTCCCTGTAAATGACCCCGCGACCATCGACTTACCGCTAGGAACTGAGCTCCCATGCCCGACATTTTCAAAAATTTTAGAGGACTGTAGACAACACAATAGAGATAAAGAAGAGGACGATAATGGGGGGGTTATCTAGTACAAAGGTCAAGGTCTTGGGTGTCCGAATCGTTGAAAGGATAACTATGGAGTAGGGAGGAGCTACGAGCAACGGCAGACGCTATTTATGCAGCCGCCTGGGGGGGGAACAACATGAACTCCTGACCAGCAACGTTAATATCACGTGATGTGACCCGCTGCCCGCCATGACAACCTGGTTACCTACACTTTACCAAAAGAGGGTGGTTATGTAAGATGAGGGACTCAGTTGTTCACTTGACACTGATCTCCCTACGCTCACATGACCATACTTTGGCTCTTCTCCTATCATCTTTTATTGTGCAGGACTATCTCGACTTTTTTTCCCTCCTCCAATTCTCCCTGCGACAGTCTCCCGGCTTATACCCTTTTATTCACCGGAGTGCTATCGTGGCTGGGACTGCCGGCGTCGTCCAATTGAGCTCATTTGCTGAAAGCAAGTATTTTTGAAAGAGTAATAAGAATCCTGTGATGCTCTGACAATTCTCAATTTGGATTACAGTTCTTGCATGATTCCTAAATAGGTTGCTGTGAAATTTCAGGAATGTAAGGATTCTTCAGACCAACAAAATCCCCATAAGGCGGGCCGCCTGCCTTGATGTTGTCTGTTGCAGCTGTGAAGAAATATCAGAACCTTTCGGGGTCTAAGGCCTAGATTCCATTGCAAGTAACATGCATTCTGGTGGCATTTACTTAAATTATTTAAAGCAAGCATATAACCATATTGTGGTCTTTTTTCTCCGATAATTGAATCAACCAACTCTCCCAGCAGTCTTGCTTTTCAATCATCCATACATTCCTCTCAAGCCGATATTTCCTCGCCAGCCAGTACTTCTAATCAATAGCAGATTCGTCTATCTTTATTGCATTGGCATGGCGGAGGGCACTTCTTGCTGTATATGCCTGCGCACTCGTGAGCCGCGCACCGAAGCCATTTCCGTCGTGATAGCTGAGTAACTCCAGCCTCAACGTCTACGAAATCGACGTCTAGTTCAGAATGGCTGCCTCTGATTGGATGGGCGACAACAGAGGAAACAATGCACAAAATCGCAGCAGGGAGAATTGATAGTCTCATTTTGCTTCGGTCGTTACGAGTTGGATGGGCGTGAGCCGGGTTTTATTTCGCAAATTCGTGCAAAGCTGATTCTAAGGTGTAGCGGCTAAACGGGGATGGATGTCCTTGGGGACAAAAATGCTCAGCACATGGCTCAACCTGTCATGATTAAGGGGCACTTACAATTTCACTTTTCAGGGCTGCACTCGCGAAGAGGCTGGGAGGATGAACTGGCCGGTAATTGCAAACAGGAGCTTGTAAAGGACTGGATGGGTTTATATAACCGTGTTGCTCGATGCCACTAGGTATGTATGCATCAATATGGATGTACAGCGTGCATTGATACCACAATTGCAAGTGCAGAATTAAAGGATGCTGTTTCATTTTAAAGGTAATAGTCGCCCATGTTCCTCAAGTGGGGAACGTGTTTGTTCAACATAAAGTCCTAGGGTGAGTGGCCAGCAAGCACAGCCAGTTACGGCTGTGGGCTGTTTTGATGGAAGTACCAAGGTGGAAGAAATGCATAGTGCATGCATTGAGCTTGTTAGGAGGTGGCCGAAAGGGAGAAAGAATGGTCAGCCGGTAATCCAGGGAATATGAAAGCGCTAAAAAAAAAAAACAACCTTGACCATATAAAGTGGGTCAGTTTGGTCTGAGCTGCTGGCTGAGGCAATATCAAATGAGATTGTACACGGATTAACAGCAATATATAGCATCCTGTGATGGTTGATCTGATAAATGGAGCAAGAACAATATACATTCCACGCCTAGTTTTTAGCATGTTTTGAAATGTCCATTGCAAGACACCAGGCAATAATAGTTATATCATGGGATTTTAGTAGTGTTTAAACACACGACACGCTGCTCACTTTTCATCCCCCCAAAATCTCTGGGCTCAAAAATTTCTGAAAGAAGTCATAATCCGGGAAGGCAGCACCAGTAGTGATGGACATCTGCGCCAAGACTATGTAGCAAAAGAACTCAGAGAAAGTTCAAAACTCACAGATGTATGTTTAACTATAGCAGTGCCGCAAAAAAACCAGAAACCTCGTCATCAGAGTTGGGGACCAAATGAAGTAGGCATCACAAGGCAGCATACTTGTGAGGTTGCAAAGAAGCTGTCGACTCCACCACAGCAAAATCGCCATTGAAAGCCCAATTGCCTCCCGGCTATTTTGTTGTTTCAAAATAAGTTAAAGCACCTAGCCCCATGAGGGAGTGTCTTTAAAAGGTAGAGAAAATGACACTATAGCTTGTTGCATGAAGCTTTTGGGACACAGGATTTGTTTGTCCTTGGTGGAGCAAGATACATATCACGGCATGCGGCTGCACGCCGAAGCCTCGTTGCAGGCATCGAGTTGGTGAGCTGCATATTATGCACTAGGGATGCTAGTCTAAATAAAGCCTAGCGCATTGCCGCCCCAAACTGCTCTCCAACAGCTGGCCGAAAATCTTTTGGAGCGATGAGAATGTAGCAATTGGGCGCGCTGGTGTCTCTGCTACTTCTGACGATATTTGGAATCTGTTATAAACCCCCTCGACTACGCAGACAATACCCAGACACTAAGGCGGGTTGGCTTGTTAGGACCTCTGCAGCTCCGCAGGTTTCGGCGCGATGGCGCTTCGTTCCCCAGCATTTCGAAACCTCCTCGGCTTTCATACTTCGATATCGCCTGTCAAGCATATTCAAAGACGCTGGGCGCAGGTTCATGATGTCCGATTTGTTGCGACACACCAGCCAAACAATGTGCTGGCGAGATACAAAGATAAGCTCGATCAGAAAGCGAAACAGTGAGTTGCATCGTCACGCATTTTGCCATTCCTTCATTTGCGTTTTGCGCTTAGAAAGCTGACTTGCATTCTTAGGGAAGGCCATTCGTCTATATCTTCCCTAAAGGAAGCTTATCAGGACAAAATTCAAGCCGTGCGCGTAGCTGATGCTCTGCAATCGACACCTCCCCAGCCAAATCCAACGCAACCTGTTTCACCCTCTTCCTCTCCTAGATCCCAGACGACCCAGGCTTCCAGGGTCTCAAGTTCTCGTGGGAAATCCGCCACACCAGGCATTAAACCTCTGTCCGCATACCTCGACATCCAAAAAATTCTCACCCTCCCACAAAAAGAAATAGAAACCCTCTGGCGCCTAAGACACGCCCCGAACCCAAACTCAGTATGCGCGACCATTCCGCTGGAAACGTATCACAGAATCATCAAAACCGCAAAACAGAATCCCCAATTTATCTTACCTTTACCCCGAGAAATCGAAACCCCCGCAGAAGACGCGAATTCTAGCAATGGCTCTTCTACCCAGACCGCCACAGCCGCGGAAATGCACTTCCTCCAATGGGGTTTTCACCCACCCTCGTCGACTCCAACCGCTACACCCACTTCCCCTGATTTCCGAACTGAAAACACCCACACGTCCACCGTAATATTCACCCATTTGGCGTCGTACAAGCTCCACGGAGCTTACTCACAGCCCCACACAATAATAACCCACCATCTAGATTTAGCTGATGAAAAGGGGCTGGTCCTCATGAACGGCACAGTGGTGCCAGATAGAGGCGTAAGCCTAGACGAGGCGAAATTGTTGATTATGTGGCTGCAGCGGTTTTATGACTGGGGTGTTGACGGAAGTCAGGGCGGCAGGAAGGGAGAGATGTTGAGAATGTTCAGTCGAGGAGATGTGGAAGGATTTAAAGTCGAGGACTTGGTCGAAGAGGTCGAAAGAGTTTAGTTAATAGGGAGATGATGTGACTTGGTTGACCTATTGTATATATACGTTTTAGGCTGCATATTGGAGCCAGGAATGAGCTCCTCGGGCTGGATATAAAAGAACAGATCATAAAAGATTAGTCAGGTTCTCACCTACCTGGCGCTTTACCGCTGCTCTTGATATTACAGATCATTTTTGCTCTACTATCCTCATCTCTCCGACCAGTAATATTGGGACTCTTGCCATTACAATTACATATGTTAAGGTACCTATCCTCCAACAAACATGCGGTCTACGCAAAATCAGAATGAGGGTAGAAACATGGAAGTAGCACACATTGCCAAAGGAAGCTTCAACTTGAGAACTGTAACCCAGACATCACAACCCATGGAAATTCCAAGCCCATGCAGAAAGGAAAAACCAACCCAGAAATAGGAAAGCCCCCAGTATCATCCCAAATACATACCGTCATTTGATCGTCTCAGAAGGGGAATATGTATTAAAATATTTATGGTTATGCGCCGGGTTGCGCTCTTCGCTTTTCCATAAATGTAAAAAAGAAAGAATATATGTAGTCTATCACACCCACAAGTTAATTCAAACACAAAGGTTGTATTTGAAGGGGCGTAATTTAATCCAGAACTTCATCAACAACAAAGGAGTAAATATGTTCAAAGTATCCTGGCTCTGCAACAGTATCATTATGCGAGCCATTGGGGAAGGTTCGCCAAATCTTGGTTTTTGTTCTGCAGATTTTGTAAAGTTCCGCCATGTGTGAAGCGCTATAAATGTGATGTTAGATCCGAGATAAAATAAGTTTTAGGAATGGGCTTTGGACATACGGAATAATTTCATCTTTCAGTCCACTCAAAAACAGAATTGGGATGTCCTGAATTTTGGGCAGCATATCCTCACTCGCCCATTGCTGATGACACAGTCGCGTCATATACTTTGCTGCAGGAAACACACTAGGTAAATAGGGTAAGAAACATTTCCATCACATCAGAACATAAGCGAAACATACCTAGGAATCAACCTCCTAATACTTAAAAAGGTATTCTCCAAGATCAATCCCGCAATATCACCCTGATCCTGATTTCTCGCGACAAGATTAATCGACACAGCTCCTCCTAAGCTTTGTCCATAGACTAGGATCTTGGTGTCACGCGTCTCTGGTCGTTGTCTCAGATAGTCCAGGCCGGTCTGTGCGTCAATCTTCAAACCGTTCTCGTCTGGAGTCCCTGTGGACAAGCCATAGCCACGATATTCCAGCATTAGGACGTTGCAATTCAATATTTTCCCAAGAACCTCAGCAATGGGGTTGCGATGTCCGATGTTGCCGGCGTTACCGTGGAAGAGAAGTGCAGTAAGTTTAGGCTTGACATCCTTGATTGGTGGGCGGATGAAAAACGCAGACAGAATTTCGCCGTCGGGAGTGGGGATGCGCAGATTTTCAAAGTCTAGCATGCCGAATTCAGAGGGTTTGGGGACGTCTGTCCGGGAACCGGCGGGGAAATTACGGGGGTAGATGATATCGCTAAGACACGTAGTTCGTCAGGTTCAACGCCACTTTCGATGGAGATAAAAGGGTAGTACTTTTGCTTAAAGTAAAGCATCCCACTTGCAACCACTGCAAGTCCAGAGGAAGCAAGGACCGGCAATCTGAGGAACTGAACGACACTCCCAATCATGGAGCTAAAGTTCCAGGACGAAGGAGGTTGCGGGGGCGGTGTGTCGGCCATGTTCTCATGCACACGCCCGGTAACCTTTCAAACACCAAAACTCCAGTAGAATGCTCAATTGACAGTATCACACATGGAAAAGGGCAGGATTGTCTCCTCTGGTGGAGTTGAGGGCAATAGTGCAATAAGGAGACGAGGAGGTGAATGTTGCCTAACGCGCGACAGTTGAGAATTCAAAGCTGAAGAAATAAGCAAGCACATTAAATATGTGAAGGAAGAAAAGTTCAATGCAGGTCGAAAGAGACACCCCTTAACATTCCAACCCTTGTTTGATAGCCCGAACGGCGGCATTAACCCCATGTTTATGTCGATACGCTATCAGGGGTGGATCTCTTGTATGTCACTTACGCATAAATTACGGGTATTACGTCAGGGACTTATCCTGGCCAATGGGACCTGAGAACTAAGCGCCTGAGCGAAGTATGGCCAATAAAACCCGCCGCAGCGGCTATTTTGGCGGATGGAGGTAGGCTATTCCTGATTGGGCGAGCCACGTCTGATGTGCTGCCTTCCAAAGCTCGCCCGTCGGGAAGCTATCTCGACCTGCTGGAAGGGCGAAGTTCAGACCTCTGAGTCTTGCAGCAACTAAATTCCTTTTCTGTTTCCAAGAGCGGATTTTTGCTAGGCGTATTGGCTCCCGAATAGACGATAGAAGATTTCTGCGATTGAATTCCCGTCAACTTTACGAGACCATGAGACATCACGGTGTTCGCGGCTGCTTAGGAGAAGGTTGGTGACGTCGCGACGACGGATATCGAGGCACACCGCTAACTACATTGCAGATGGAATACATGTGGATATGGAGCACCTTAAGAAGGGAGAAGTGAAGTATGTTTTCCGTTCTGTATCCCTTCTCAATCGGAGTCGGAGCTAACTAGTTCATCGACTTACAGCCTTGGTACTTCGATGTAAGCCACTCCCCCAAACCTCCTCATTCAAGCCCAGGAAACGACCAACAAAGACCGCAAAAATTAGCATGGCAATAAATTTCAAAGATGGCGTCATCCTCGGTGCAGACAGTCGAACGACAACAGGCGCCTACATAGCCAACCGCGTCACCGACAAACTCACCCAAGTGCACGACACGATCTGGTGTTGCCGATCAGGCTCAGCAGCAGACACGCAAGCTGTAGCTGACATCGTACGGTATCATCTGGGCATGTACGGCGTTGTGTATGACCAGCCCCCCACAACTCAAACTGCTGCAGCTCTGTTCCAAGAATTATGCTATGACAACAAAGATATGTTAAGGTAATTGCTACCCCACACCTTATCTCCCTGAATAGCTGTGTGCTTATACTGGGCAGTGCCGGTATAATTATCGCTGGATACGACCACCGCCATGGTGGTCAAGTCTACTCCATTCCGCTCGGCGGCTCCCTCCACAAGCAGGCCTATGCCATTGGTGGATCCGGCTCCACATATATCTACGGCTACTGCGACGCGCACTGGCGAGAAGGTATGACGGAGGAAGAGGGGATCGAGTTCGTGAAGGGAGCATTACATGAAGCTATCAAGTGGGATGGAAGCTCCGGCGGCGTCATCCGACTGGTGGTGTTAACAGCAAAAGGTGCCGTGAGACATTTATACCTTCCTGATAATGGATATAAAGGTCCCGGAGCACAGTAGTACGCTACAGTTGCCGATTTAGTTTGGGAGTTCATGGATCTATCTCTCGCAATTTTCAATTTACTTCATTCAATAATGCCCTTTTGATTCTTAATGCCGTTTGTTGTTTTGAAGTGGTCGGGTTTGGCCTTGATTGGCATCAAGAGGCTTGTGCTCTTTCCCCAGAAATCATTCTAGACTCAACGTTGGTATTTGCTGGAGCCTCAGGCCTGCGAGTCATTGACAGGCGCATCTAACGATTCGACTTCTTTCACGCTCTGCCACGTCCCGAACTTAACAACTTCCACCTCCAACGTTTCCGCGTCTAACAATACCAACTCTCCAGTTTCACGAAACTTAGGGAGAGCCAGAAGTCTCACTTTCGAAGGCTGATCTCCTTCTACATCCATCGACGATGCAGAAACGGACTTCTCGATAACCGTTGTCCTGAATGCTGGCTGATTCCCAGTGAAAAATACGTGTGGGCATGCTTGCAGCACGAATGGATCTTTATCCTGAAAGGGATAGCACCCTATAAACAGAATTGTTAGACGAATATTCCACGTAAATGACAAGTTTTAAACACAGGGGACCTACATATCGTATCCGGAGCGGTTGGGACGGCACATCTCCATCTCAACATGGCCTCCATGAGCCGTAACCGCGTATCCCCCTCTATATCCTGTCCATTTTCAGTTTGATCGTCATCCAGGGACATGTATCTGAGTACATCGTCCACATTTTGTCCGCTACAGCCCCATAATCTCCAGCCTTCAACGTCGCCTTGCCATGGGTTAGTCACCGTATCCAGCCATCCAGGTTCAGACGGTGGTTCATCAATGCCCAAGCGGGGAGCGGAACAGTAGTTTCTTGAGCGAGGGAGCATTGCACGGTGAATTTCTTGTTGAGGAAGAGCGAAATTTGCCGGATCATTTTCACCTGGCATAATGGTAACCGGAATGCTGGGCAAGATCTCGGCTAGAAAATTGTCCAAATGAGTAATCGGTGATGCGTTGTAGGCTGATGCGTCATATCCATATTTCTTTGCTTGACGCCTTTTCTTCACTGCGGCATCTTCGTCCTGTTCTTCAAGACTAGGAGGTACACTGCTGCCGAGAGAATTGCCTGCGATTATAAGGCGGGATATCTGGGCGGACCGTATGGGAGAAGATCCAGTGCCAACATTACCATAGCCTTCACCATAGCCAAGAAGATAATCGGTCAAAAGAGTCAAAGCTACTGTGTCTCCGGAGGTGCCCGTGATTCCCAATCCGCTAAGCAGCGCAATTTTCTTCCTAGGCCCATCAACAGGAGTCTCACTTGGACTTCTTTTTCTCTTTCCAGATGCTGAATCTGCATATTGGCTTTCCCATCGGGCAGGCTGAGGTGCCAGGTCGGGTACCTTCACATCTACAACTTCAAAATCACCATTTGCATTTTCCGTTCCAAGCACGGCGACTACTGCACCAGTAACTAGAAGAGCTGACTGCAGTAAAGTACCGGTCAGCCGCAGCCGCCCAGATCCATCTTCCAGCATAGTCTGAGTACCGCCTTGGTTTGATGGGTCCAAATAGGTCTTCCGGGAAGGAGGAGCCGCCGTCCAGTGCTACACACAGTACGTGAGTATACGTCAAATTCTGGGAACAATGAAAGCCCACCTCTTTAGAGATATCATCTAGAATATTAGGTTTCAGAGGTAGGTCCATGTACACAGTTCCCACAACCCAGCAGAGTTCGCCCTGCCTTACATCTAGTACTCTGTCAACCCTTCGGGCATTTTCACCAGCAATCTATACAACATATCCTTAGCAAAAATTCAAACAAATGACTGCGGTTTGGCGGGCGCGTCCGTCCCAGTTCTCCGACAATAGGCCGACTTGCAGGCCCGTATCGAGGAATGGAATGAATTGAACACAGAAAACACACCGTAAATTCTTCCCATTCAGCAGCCGCAATTTCCGCAACAGCAGGCTTCAGCCTTGCAAGTCGTAAGAAGTATATATCAGCATACTGCTGTTGATAGTGTCTCGTTTTACCGGAGGGGAGGCGGAAGGTATAAAGGGGGTTATATGCGGAGTGCTGCCGGTATACCGGGGGGTATTCTTCTTTGTCCCTAATAATTCATCGCTTGTGTCAGTTTGTACCCTTTGACCGATGTTGACCCTCCTCAAGCAAAATGAATTGGAATTGCAAAGGAAATTCATACTTGGGTGGGCACAGAAACTGGCCCGAAGCGTCCTCCTCTGCCATTTTACACGACAATTTAGGGAAGCAGGTATAGATTAAAGATTCTCGCTTGGTGGCCCTCACAAATCCCAATCGCATAAAACAGTAAGCCAATATATCAGCAGAGCGGTAGCTGTTTTGCCTGCCAAATTTAATGCCGGCATTTGCGAGATATTCTCTTGAACGAGACGCGAACTTCCGGCGCGTTTTAACTAGGCTTGGCGCGACTGGACCTCACCCCAGCAGACAATATCCTCCTACTCTCGTCTCTCTCTCCACTCCAACCACAACATGTCAGCAAGACAGAAGCAATGTCACCTTCTTGGTCCGAGAACTGAGTCCTTTTATTAAGAAATGCAATTACATACTTCCCAGCTCATGATCCGGGAACTAAAAGTGATAAGCGCCGCTCTCCCGATGTCTCATGTCTTCTAGACTCTCAAGGTGGAGATTGGAGCGATATATTCTCTAACCACTTCTTTGATTAACTACAAATCAGATGCCGCAGACTTTCAAATGCAGCAGTTGATTTGATAAAGCGCTTTTGAAAGGACAAGAAGTCTTTCTGGCATCGGCCACTCCCAAATTTGCCTGGAAATATTGAACGACACCATGTCGACCAGTTTAGTGCGGCAGCACAGAAAGAAACCTGGGACAGGGCCGTCTCTCAGAAATGAGAAGCTCGACTCGTTGCTCATGATTATCTTTAAAAAGGTCTGATATTAGGTAATACTGACTATCTCAGGTTGTAATATCCTCCAGGCAAAACTCTTTATGCAAATGGTATATCTAGCATAAACCCATGGCTAAAGAAGGTATCTGAAAGTGCGCTCCATTTCCCAGTCCGTCTTATCCTCTAGGCTGAGCAAAAGCTCATCCTCGCTGTTGGGATTATTCTCTTGCTGGTCCACTTTTCCATATTTTCTGTCTCGACGCATGTTCTCCCATTTCATATAAATTCCCAACAGGAGCAAAAAGAAAGCACCCAACGCAAATCCAGAAAGACTAGCTTTCAAACCACGGCTGTAGCGCGGTGCCTCGTCGACGCTGAAAAATTGGGGGCCAACCACATTGCCAACACAGTACATGACGAAGACGCAAGCGTTGACCACAGCCTTCTTTGTGAATCCGCCAACGTTGCTGGCCACCAAAGAGAGGCCTAATGGCATGTTGGCAGAAAACGCGAGCGACAAGCAAAACCCTGCCAATCGTCCAGAGCGGTTTGCGGGATCGAGAGCGTACATCAGTACCATTCCAACTAAACTAATCAAACACAGCACCAGCATGACAACAGTCCTTATGCCTTTCCAATACGTGCACGCTAGAGAGGATGCAATAACGAACCCAATCTGTGCAGCACCAGTAGGCATCTGGATCAGGAGAGCAGAAAGACCTTCGTATCCGAAACCTTGGATGACCAGGGATCCGAACGCTGTCAAGCCCCCATTTGCAATGTTCACGCAAAAGCAGTAGAGGAAAAGACACCAGTTGATTGGATCTTTGAAGGCTTCGACCACTTGATAGATCTGGTATTTTCCTTGCTTGATACCCTGTTTATTCTCCATGACTCGTCGAACGGCGACTTTCCTCTCGCGGGCATTCAGCCAGATGGCGTTCGACTGTCTATCCGGAAGGAAGACAAGCAGTACAACTCCCCAAAGGGCGGTGACAGCCCCGAAGATGATGAATAAGTAGCGCCATGGTGACAGGGCTCCAGTAATATGTCCGATAGCATATGCAAGAACACCACCGAACAAGCTGGCGCAACACGAGCCGGTGAACCAGATACCGTGGCGGAGGGGCTGTTCTCTGCGAGTGTACCACATGCCGGTAATTAAAGAGAAGCCAGGGGCGACTGCCGATTCAGTGACGCCCAACATGAACCGGACAACCATTAAACCCGCAAAGTTCTTACAGGCTGCATGGCATATGACAACCACGGCCCACAGCAAGCTGGAGTATGACTGTCAGCACACTGGTGCAAGAATACATTACTCGGAGATTATTTCACATACACTGTGATGGAGAGGTATTTCCCAATGGGAGTTCTCACGGCAAAGTACGTGGTGGGATACGACCATAACAAGTATCCAAAGTAGAAAATGGCGGCTGTCCATGAATATTCTGATCCTTGAAGCTTCGTGTCTTCGAGGATCCCGAGCAGAGTAGAGAAATTGAGCGTCTGCTTATCCAAGAACTGCAACATGTAGCAAAACGACAACAAGGGCATGAGAATCAAGTCGACTTTCCATCGCACGCGGCGCAATTCTTCTTCACTGGCGTCAATGAGGAGAACATCTTGAGCATCCGCCTCCTTGGACGGGTCGACTCTGCTTGCCGAATCCGTCTCTTCCACCACGGACGTCTGAAATTCCTTTTCCGCCGACATCGCAGGAAATGATTGAAAAGAACGAGAGAACGTGGAGGTCGAAGGAATTTTACGAAGGACAATTCAGCAAGCGGGGAACCTGGGCTTGCATTTAACTAGTTGAGGAACCAGACGAGGATCAAACACACAGGCAAAGAGATGTGGGCGGTTAATCACGCTTTTATATCAAGGATCCTGTGGCGTTTAGTTGCAGTGGTACGATTGCACTCCTTCCTTGCTCGCGCTTTGGACGGGTGCAGAAGAGCTACCTGGCTGCAGAACTAACCCTGCGTGGGATGGACAAAGGTGTGCTATTGCGCTTATCCATCTACCATCTGGAGAGCAATCGCGAAACAGGCTCCAAGAGACTGGAAACGCAATGGGCGCGAGTGCGTGGCGGGAGAAACGAGATCTGGGGTAAGCGAGGGTAAGATCGGGTGGGAGCTTAACATGCATTTTGCTCGGGGGCCACAGTGCGGGGAGACAGGCGGAGAAGCGCGCAAATGCTGCTGAGTGGTGCGGCATGCGGAAGCTTATCACAGATTAGCTTTAAACTTCCAGGCCCAAGCAACTCGCTGGGAGATGAAGAGCCAGTGAAGCTAGCATGGAATTGAACTAACCCGCGCAGCTGCCGCGTATCGATGCCGAAGAGGCGAAAGGAAGGGCGAGGCCATCAAAGGTCGTGGATCGCTTAGGCCCTCGAAAGGCCACTATAGTTAACTACTTACACGCCGAGGGCTTCCCAAGAAAGTTGCTTTTGTAACTGACGACTCCCGTACTCTGTACGCCATCGAGAAAGAGTTTGTGCTATTTAATATCCCACGGTTGAAATCGAGAGACTTGGGAGCTGAACCGAGTTGCTTCATCTCTCTAGAAATGTCCACGAGGGTTGTTCCACAACAGTAGAGCAGCCCATCCTCCTACAAGCGATCATTGCCGTTCGCCCCATCTGGGCTAACACTACTGTGCTGGAAAATGAAACTCTTTAATTTTCTGTAGTTACACCGTAGACCCCGTTGGTCTCCCCTCCAGGGCCTGGGTTATCCTTGTCCACCGAGCCTTGCGTATATCCACCTCCGAAATAAACAACCCATAAAAGTCATCTGTGAAATCGACCGGCACATTCACCACATTGCTCCATATAAACCTCAGCCTTTCATAAGAGGCCCAGCGTGGCTGTCAATATTGATTTATCCAGTTCTGCTGTAGATTGATAAGTGTGCCAGGGCGTAGGACACGTTTTAATGTCTTGTATTGACAGTCGTCCCCGAATTGGCAGCATCCCTAGAAGCCCGGGAGGTCGTTGCAAACCGCACCATACAGACAGGGCACTTACAGCTTCACGTTTGATCGCATTTCTCCAATGCGCTTGTAGGCTTCGAGCTCACGAATCGCGCATTCTCCTCTCACTCGCATCCATGGGTTTGAAGAAGCACATTGGTTGGAAGCGAGTACAAATAGTTATTCGGCGAAGGCTTTTCACACCTGCCAATAGGTCTGAAGGATTAAGTTATTATATTATAGTTAGCATTTGCTTCTCTGAAGTTTGCGAGAAGGTAACGATGACCAGATGTTGTTTCGTGCTTTCGGCATTCGGGTGAAGCATGTGAAGCATCCCAACCCCAAGCGAAAGGTGGACAAAATGAGTTTCCTGCCCGCGCCGATGCTGGTGTGCAGTGTAAAGACCGATCTGCACGGGCACCGCAGGACACTATCTAGCTTCCGGTCATCTACGCTTCTTATCTTTCTCAAAGTCCTCGATCACCCGAGCATAAAAGTCATCATTCGTCAAAATATCCAATCCCGTCATGGCCATCGCCTTGCCGCCCTTCAAAGTCCTTTCATGTGCAACCTCTGTCCCCGCTGCAGCAGCGAATCCATGAGTGTGGTTATTCGCGTCGTCTGTGACTGGTATTCCGATGAGGGCATGCAGGCCTGGAATAGCATAGGTAACGTTGCCTTGGTCCGTGGAGCCGCTCAGACCATCGCTCTCCCCGGAGAAGATCTTCTCTCCCTGGTCTCCCATGTGCGCCTGAAACGCGTCGCAGAGAGGCTGGTTGAGTCGAAGGTCAGCGTAAATTGGACTCTCTTCGATCTTGAGCTTGCACCCCGTGGCGAGAGCACCGGCTTCCATGCACTTGCATACTCGCTTTCCAAGTTCTTGCACGCCCTTGATTGTGGGACTCCGAACTGAATATTTTGTGGCCGTGTGTTCTGGGATGGCATTCGTGATCTTAGGTGCTTGCAATATGGTCCCGTGTATCCGCTCGTCCGGTCTTATCTGTTGGCGGAGCATGGAAATGTTGTTATATGCCGACACCACGGCGTCTAGGGCGTTGATACCCTCATGTGGATTGGCGGCAGAGTGGGCGCTAACCCCTTCATAAGTGCAGACAATATCATAGCAGGCGATAGAACTTGACCCAGAAGATCCTATGACGCCGTGTTCGCGGAAGCGGGCGTCTGACATAGGATGGCTGATTGTTGCTCTGATTAGTGTGGCTCCTGTGCCGATACAGAAGCGGAAGAGGCAGCGTTACTCACAGCATCAAGGAAACGTCAGCCTGCTTGTACGCTCCAGCGTTAAGCAGGTCGATCTTCCCGCCTCCATCCTCTTCAGCAGGGGTCCCGAGCAGCTGCGCTTTTCCCCTAATTCCAAATTTGCTGATCGCATGTGCAAGGGCGATAAATCCGGTCACACTCGCAGTCGCAATTAGATTATGCCCACAAGCATGCCCGATTCCCGGGAGTGCATCATATTCAGCATTGAAATTGACACATCTTCCCTCGTCCGAACCGCTTATGACTTCAAAGGCGGTTTCTAACCCGTATGCGTGACGTGTAGGCTTGAACCCCAGCTCTTCCAGAAAGCTGCATATGGCGTCGTGCGCATGGTATTCCTTGTATGCAAGTTCTGGGTTTTCATGGATCTTAATCCCTCGTCAGAACCCATGAAAAAAAAAAAAAGGACGGTGCGATTGAGCGGGAACGTAACTCACGCTCTTGTTCAACTGATATAAACGGCCTTTGAGACTATCTATGTATTCATCCACGGACTTCTGAATCTCGTGGCGCGAATGCGGGCCTTCAATGCTGACAGTCATTCTGATGCAATCCAGGAGGAGAAATCTATTGCTAGCAATCAAGTGGTAGTCTGGGGTATGAGCATTCGAGAGAATAAAAGTTTAAAGAATAAGGGGATAAGAATTTATAGGCCCCGAATCCCTCACAACACAGCTCCGCTTGGGGGTTGATCTGGAGATCTTCTTCGCCCTGACTGTTGCTAGAAAATGGGCGCCACTCGGACACGGTTGCGACGGCATCCGGACAAAATCCTCCCACGGCGCCGATGAATACGCGGAGTAAATTGAGAAGAATTCTGAAGTCGAATTCATTCCGAAAGCAAAGAAAGCGTACTCAGCATTTGTTCGACCGGAATTCTTCCACATCCGTAACCGTCATCATGAAGGCGAGAGAGTCGGTACGAGGCTCTGGCTTCCTCCTTGCACCTCCAACCCAGTTTCCTCTCCCCCGTACTCCGTAGTTTACTCCGTAGGCTGGGCTTTAAATTTTAAGTTGATCGATTGGCGCAAATGGACGCCATTGGTGGCCAGCTAATGCTACCGCCGAGAAGCCCATCCGTGGAGCCCAGTGGAGCAGGACTGGCCACGAGGGAGGCGAAGCGGAATGACTGCACATTTGCCAACGCCAATCCGCAGGAGAGTGAATAGGATTCACCCCGCATCGAGGACAAGCTGTGCACTCGACGGAGTAAACCAGATGGGGGGTTGTCGTGTTTTAGGCCGAAGAGGATGGTTAGAGCGGCAATGCCTATGTGCCAGGGTTGCTGCAACCCAGCTTCGTTTCTGATATAATATGCACCTATATCTCTTTCCACTGGGACGTGAAATTTGAAGAAAACCGGCACTCTACATATTAACAATTCCCCTCACAATCCAGTCTACAGCAGCTATCTATCCATTTCCCCTCCCCCTCCAATTCCACGATGACGATCGCCGACTGGCAACTAAAGGTCCAGGCCAAGCAGGTCGAAGTGGCCGCTAAGATCCCTAAGGAATGGCGACTGCCCAGCGAGATCACCGAAAACATCTCGCAGGACTCCAAGAAGAGTGTCATAGACGTCCCCAGAACCTGCGGCCTCCTCACACCCAGAGAGCTTGAAATCACCGAAAACTACGATGCCACTGATCTCCTCCAGAAGCTCGCCTCTCGCGAATTCTCTTCGGTCGAAGTCACAACCGCATTCGCCAAGCGTGCGGCCATCGCCCAGCAGGTGACTTTTTGCCTGACCGAGACCTTCTTCGACATGGCGCTGGCCCGCGCAAAGGAGCTCGATGACCATCTAGCCAAGACGGGGAAGACCGTTGGTCCCTTCCACGGCCTCCCAATCAGTCTTAAGGAGACCTTCAACATCACCGGCGTCCCAACCACCCTCGGATTTGTCTCTTTCCTCGATCGACCCGCAGCAACTCACGACTCGGCCTTGGTGCAAATTCTACTGGGGGCTGGTGCGGTTCTGTACTGCAAGACCAATGTTCCCCAGACCATGATGACTGGAGATTCGCACAACAACGTCTTTGGCCGCTGTCTAAATCCCTACAGCTTGAATCTTAGCGCTGGCGGCAGCAGCGGCGGTGAAGGTGCACTTGTTGCTATGCGAGGCTCTCCCCTGGGTGTTGGAACCGATATCGCGGGTTCTATTCGAATTCCAGCCCTGGCCAATGGTACATATGGATTCAAGCCATCGATTATGAGAATTCCGTACGCCGGGCAAGGTTCCGCCAGTCGGCCAGGCCTGACTGGCGTCGCCCCTTGCGCAGGTCCACTGACCAATTCCGCCAGGGATCTCGAACTCTTGCTCAAGGTTGTATTCAACTCGAACGCAGCGGATCTGGACGACATGGCTCTTGGAACCCCATGGCTCGAGCCGACCCCTAAAACAACCCTCACAATCGGTGTTATTCCTGAAGACCCGGAGTGCCCAATTCACCCCCCCATGCAGCGTACTTTGAAGAACGCTATCCAGAAACTTGAAGCCGCAGGCCACAAGATCGTCGACCTGACTGGTAAATTCCCATCCATCGCCGACATGAAGACCGTCACGATGCGATACTTCAACATGGATCCGGACAAGACCGTCTTCAAGGCGATCACCAGCAGCGGCGAGCCGTTCATCCCATCGCTCAAATGCACATTCGACTTCAGCGGAACCAGCCCTGAACCAACCCTTCGTGAGCTCTATGACCTAAACGCTGCGAAGATGAAGTACACTGCGCAAATGCGCGCCGTCTACCTGGACAACAAGTTGGACGTTCTCCTCGGCCCAGCCTTCCAAAGCTGTGCGCTGCCGCACGATGCTCTGGAGAAGCCGTTCTATACCATATTCGCCAACCTTGTGAATGTAAACGATCCATCCCCAAACGCTTTTGATATCTAGCACGCACTAATAGGAGTTTAGTATCCGGCCTCCGTCATCCCCTTTGGTCGCGCCGAAAAGGCCGCTGACGCGGCGTTCGTGCGACAAGTCCAATACGATCCTCCATGTAAGTCTTTTTTTTTTTAAGCCTGTTCGGAAGGAAGATTAGGCCAAGAAGCTAACAAACGCTTTAGACCTCCCTGACGAAAGCGAGGGCGCTCCATGCCACGTTCAGCTCGTCACAAGGACCATGCAGGACGAAATTCTTCTCCGATATACTCTGATTGTGGATAAAGCCCTAAAAGCCTAGAAAGAGACCTAGGGTAACTTTTTAGGGTTTGCTAATCATATATGATCTCATAATATAGAAGCTCATTCAACTGTGTCCTATTTCCGTGCGCTGAGAGTAATAGTGGCGGCCAGGAAAGTGTGGAAAAACCGGCCATCAATCATTTTCAAGTAGTCTCTTGAGCCCTCGTAGCATCGGATGGCTAGGGCCCCAGTATGCATATTCGTATTCCGTGGTCCAGACCGTCTCTAGGCGCTTTAAAGCCCAGCACGCAATTCCTTCTCGGCCCTTGATGATCAAGAGAGATATGATCTCGCGGAATGGATTTCTATCCCAGGGGTTGACGGCGATGGAACCTAGAACAATCAAGGGCCACAGGTAGTAATAAACAAAATTGGGATCAATATTGAGGAACGGTATTATCTCCAGGCTTTCATGTAGGAGGGACTCAAAGCCGCCCGAAATCTCATGCAGGTGAGGGTCCATTTTCAAGAGAAGAGCTCTAATAGCCAAGGTATACAAGAGTCCGGTCCGATCCTTATCTTGATCGTTGGCGGTTTTGCGTATCGTTTGCTCCCATCGATGGAAATCCGATTGTAAACGATAGTAGAGGGATAATTCGACTTCATCCAACGGCCTATTGTGCCGTGAAAGCCGGGTAATATTTGCAGTCAGCAGGAAGAATTTATACGAGGCATCGAGTATGGGCTGCGTGTTGGTCCATCCCGGGCCTGCATCATCTGGGTGGTCAGGGTCGACGAAGTATCGTTGGATATTTTCAAGGACCTGCGGGTCAGCAAGCGGATCCAAACTTCGGTCGAAGAGCATTAAAAGGCTGCTATGGTAGATAAAGGACTCGACGCAGGTGCGTTCGAATACCAACGCAGATTGGGAGGAGCTTCTGGGTTTCGGGCATCGAAGTCTCAGCAGGTTGCCTGCAGCAACAACATGGTGGCTAGTGTTGGGAATCCCATCGGGTTGGCAATTCTATATTGGGGAAATTTTTTTTTTCTATGTCAGCGCCGAATCGAGATACGTCCCGGTCTCCGTTCTCACCTCCCAAATGCATAACAAAATAGTAGTAGCAAGAAGGTAATCCTCGTTGCCTTTGTATTTGTCAGAGGCAAGGCCTTCCCGGAGGTTCTGGATCGAAAAATGATAGCACTTCAGGCCAAGATGCAGGTAGGATTCATCGTGTCGAGGGAGTCGAACTGCTGCAACGGCGATCATAGCACCCATCAAAGGGGGAAACTGGACGGCTAGGTTCAAGATGTATGTCTGGTCTGAATATTTAGGCAGGGAGCATTGTCGTACGAGGGTCGGGAGGAGGGAGTTTGCAAAGTAGCAGTAGAGATTGAAGTGCTCCTCGAGGCGGAAAGGCGGCGGCATGGCAGAGAAGGGAGGCAAGGAAGCGGAGACGTCCGGCGTTCTCGACTGAGTCGACGTGCCATTGCAGCTCGGGGAGGGCGATGTTGTGCTGGGACTCGCGGGCCACGGACAGCGTCTTCGTCGGTCAATTGGCTGATACTCCGAGGGCCATGTGCAGCGAAGGCCGTTGCGGGAGCAGCCGGCACACAGAGGCCTCTTTTCGTCGCATTTCTTGCGGCGTCGACGACCTACAGGGACAATAAGCAAAAAAAAAAAGAAAAGAAAAGAAAAGAAATACAGTGGGGAGCTGTGTGTCATGCTCACACTCCAAGCAGCCTGTTCTTGTTCGAAGCCTTGCCACGGAACCCATCATTCAATCACTGTTGCAGGGATGACAGAACCCAGTTTCCACATCTCACGACCAACCCTGCCCTTCTCAAGCCATAATATGTACGGAGTACATCCATAAATGGAGGTGAATCTCGGAAGCGAACCCGAGAGCTCGAGCACTTGAAGGCCGGTTGGTCCACTTCGGCTGTGGAGATGAAAATGTGATGCCGAAATCTGTCCTGGTCGCCAGAACGTGGTTGGCTCTGGTCGCCACACGGGCACCCCAGACGCCCGGAAACACCCCCCAAAGGTTGGGGCTGGCACCCCCTAGTGGGCTTGGCATAGACCCCCCCAGCGTCGCCCAAGGCAAGCCCCGGAGCTCTGGCCAGGACTGGGCGGCTCGGCGCCTGTTAAGGCCCTAAAGCACCCCCCCAACCAACCAACCAACCAACTTTCACCCACGCTCGCTCGTGCCGCGAGGCGAGGCCGTCGTAAATCATGGCTATTCTGCCTCACCTCTCATCTTCAGTCAGTGAGCACGGGAGTTGGCCTCCTTTTTTTTTTTTTTTTTTGGTCTTTTGGTTCATCCTCTTCAGACCCAGGCCCCCCCAGCCCTACTAACATGCGGTCTTATGCTCCATCTTTCATCGTCTTGTCCCGCTGCTTCGTGCTGTTCTAGCATAGAGGGATTTCAACCCCCATACTTTTTTGGGCCGTTGGCACCGAATTATATTGATATTGATGCAAGGGAGATACGTACGACACACAGATAGTCCTGGGTCAACAAGAGCCTTTTACATGACTGGGTCGTTCCAAATCGACGATCATCACACAGAGAGAGAGAGAGATTCGAGCATCAACTCACGCCCAGTTCAAAAACAAGAAAACGCGAACTCTCTCCTCCGTAACTACAGAGCGAAAAAAATATCAAAGATGCTATGATTGTGCTTCATGGTAAGACCATCAAATTAAGGGAAATCATGCAAGTGCTTGTACATCTAGAATAATAATAATATCAATGCATGAAAAACGAGATCCCATTATAATCGCTGGTAGGGTCTGCTTCGCTTCCGATACGGTTCCAACTTGCAACAGGCAGTGCTTTGTTGCTTGTTTAAAGGTTGTCAAAAAGCTGCAGGATTTTCCCCCTTTATTGCAAGAGTCAGTATGTCTCTCGAATATTACAAGAGTCTAAGTTTAGTATATCTCTCGAATTTTGCCGGAGACAGGAATGCATGATCCGTCTTCACTGATTGAACCTCGCCTCGGTGCGCTCTGGTCCAGCGGCGGCCAACGACGGAGTTTATCGACTAACTAGTTAGCGAGCAGCTGGGCCGCGGTTGACGGCCGTTGTTTGTGGAGATCGCCACGGACTCCACGCCCAGAATTCGCTGCAAAGAACAACGGCGGTAGTGAGGGGAAAAGGCATCCGTGTCCACAATCGCATCTGAAGAGCTTCGGCCCTAGGTAAATAGAAGCTACTAGGTTATGGCTGGGATGCGATGCTTTTGTCGGAAATTTTATATATATTGTTTTGCGTCAAGTTCCTTCTGAATCGACAGTCTCCTTGACAGTAACGCTAACTTCTTCACCAGCTCATGCAGACCGGCGCTCAGCATTATTTTCTCAGCAGGCTTCGAGGGCATTATAAGTGCTTGACTTGACGCCGCTGCCAAATACCCCAATCTCCAACCCTCCTTTTTTTAATTTTTCTTGTCTTTTTTTCTTTCAGCGTCGTTACCACAATCTTCCACAATGGCCCAACAAGTCAAAACTCCCCTCTGCGACCTCCTGGGCATCCGGCATCCTGTCCTCCTCGCGGGCATGGCGCGCACTTCGGGAGGCCCTCTCGCCGCCGCAGTCTCCAATGCCGGAGGTCTCGGCACCGTCGGCGGACTCGGCTACACCCCCTCCCAGCTTGACGAGATGCTCACAGAGCTCAAGTCTTACCTGGACAGCCCCAATCTCCCGTTCGGCGTCGACCTCGCCCTTCCACAGGTCGGCAACGGCGCGCGCGCGACAAACCACGACTACACACATGGCAAGCTCGACGAGCTCATCGAGGTCACCATCAAGCACGGCGCCAAACTCTTCGTCTCCGCCGTCGGCGTGCCGCCCGCCCGCACCATCAAGAGACTCCACGAAGCGGGCATCCTGGTCATGAACATGGTCGGCGCGCCCCGCCACGCCGAGAAGGCCATGCAGGCCGGTGTCGACATCATCTGTGCACAGGGCGGTGAGGGAGGTGGCCACACCGGCGACATCCCTTTCTCCGTTCTCATCCCCGCCGTGGTGGATGCGACGCGCAAGTATCGCTCTCCCCTGACCGGTCAGCCCCCTCTCGTCGTTGCTGCGGGAGGCGTCAACGACGGCAGGAGTCTCGCCAGTGCGCTCATGCTGGGTGCCTCTGGCGTGTGGGTGGGCACGCGCTTCGTCGCCTCTGTAGAGAGTGGTGCCAGCCGCATGCACAAGGAAGCCGTCGTGAATGCTGGATTCAACGAGACTATCCGCAGCCTGGTCGTTTCCGGGCGGCCACTCCGGCTCCTGCCAAATGACTATATTAAAGAGTGGGAGAGTAAGCCCGAGGAGATCAAGCGGTTGACGGAGAGCGGGGTGGTGCCCTTCGTGAAAGACATGCAGGACGGCAAGGATGTGGATCTACCTTTCTTGATGGGCCATGTTTCCGCTCTGGTGAAGGAGATTAAGCCTGCCAGGGAGATCGTGGAAAGTATGGTCGCGGAGGCAGCACAGATGTTAAGGTTGGGCAATACGTATCTGGTTTCAGGGAGCAAGCTGTGAAGTAGTATTTTTCTTTTAGCGATGTGCCATGACTTCTACGTATGTATTTGCGTATTGTTCCTTTGTCTTTTTCTTCTTCTTTTTTCTTTTTTACAGAATATATCCATTGAGAGGTTGGTCTACAGCCCGGGCATATGCTACTTTGTTTGCTTGCACATTAGGAATGCAACCGTCTCTGAGCCGCCGACCAATCCAGCGCAGAGGCGCGATTAAGAGGCTTCATAGACCTCAGTGATAATGCAATGCTTCCACTGAATTCTCTGGAACAGAAAGCAATCAGGGAGCTGATTTGTTTGTCAAATAGCTGCGCTGGCCCTACCTACAGTTACATACATTATACATGAATACCATACAAGTGTAGCGGCGTGGGTGGCTCAAATCACCCAACGACCCGGCCAGTAACTGCATGTCGAATTCATTTCTGATCAGCAGTTTCACCAGAGTCAGGTACGGTTAGGCCCAAAAGGCGGATCAAAGGGGAGAATCGACGGTGGGTAGTAGCACACAAACCAGACAATGAGCAAAAAAAAAAAAAAAAAAAAAAAAAAAAAAAAAGAGTCCCACAATGGAAGTTTGTGGCTCTAGAAAGAAATCTCACAGTAGTAGAGAGGCGTGATATCAAGACGCCAGAAAGCGGTCGAACACCCCCGAGAGAAATATGCCAGAATCGTATGGGAAAGATGTCGTAGTCATTTAATCATACGCGTCTATGAGAACTTACCCGCGATGGGACGCAAGTCAACTGCCCCATTCGGTACCCATTCACGGTCGACTCAATGCTTGTACCCATTGACAATGCCACGATTGCCATTAGATCTCGCTTCAGCCAACGTTGGTGGTGGCGGCGGGCCAAAGACTGGCTTCTCTGTCGTTTTGGGTCCAGCCATATGTTGATGATCGTCGCCGTCGACATAGTCTCCATCCTCGCTCAGGTCCTCTTCATCTTCGTCTTCGTATTCATCATCGTACTCGCTTTCCGTCCCTTCGTCGTCTACATCCAGCTCCCCTGCTAGTGCTTGACCTCGACCTTGTTGTTGCATTCGCCGACAAAGTGCCTCCAAGTTATTGCTCTTCTTGCGCCACTTTTCTAGTTCCTCATTATTCCGGGTACGTTCTTCGGCCATCTCAAGGATATTCCGATTCGTCTGGTCGTGCTTGCGGGTGAGAGTGAGGTTCTCCTTTTCAAGCCGTTTTGTTTTCTTGGACATTTCCTCCATTTCCTTTCGGAAAGTCATAAAGAGTTCGTTGCTGTTGTTGAGCGTGTCTTCGACCTACGAGCTTTGTCATTAACCATCGATATGATAATCGCAACGGCTGACAACAGTAGGAAATGGATGAGGGGCACCAGAAACACACTTGTTTAAACTTTTCAACATAAATGTTAAGCTGGCTCCGTAGTTCGGCCTCGGTATGCGAAAATGTCGACACCTGTGAACTTAGAGCACGGCATCGCGCGGCTTCGGTTTCAGTTCCTCGACGTTGCTCTTCATATTTTGCGGTCAAACTTTGGATCTCGGCATCTTTACTTCGAAGGAGCGCTTTGTAATGTTGCTCGCGGAGTTCGAATTTTTCGCCGATTGTCTTGATCTTTGCACGAAGTCTAAAGGCATGGTCAGAACACCGACATGGTCTCCCTTGCAGCTTGGAAGCACACAACTTACGCCTCGTCCAGGTCGATATCCATCTTTTCCACCCTGGGGTTGCCCTTTTGTGCCATGACATCTTGGATATCGAACAGTAGGGAGTCAAGTCGTTCGTTCACGATCCCGCGAGCTCTTCGTTCCGTGTCCTCGAGTCTCTTATTTTCATCCTGTAGCCATTCGTTCACCGATCAGACATGCTCTTTTGCTGGAAAAATTCATCGCAATAAGGTCCGTAGATGATAAACCCACTTTTACTTTTTTGTTTTCTTTTGTCAGTTCTCGACAGAGTTTCTCCAACTTGTCCTTCATGGTCGCCGTCTTGTTCAGCTCCGACTTGCCCTTGTCCTGATCCTTCTGCAGCTGGTCGGCCCGCTTCTTGCTCTTGGCGTAGTCCCGGTCCAGTTTCTTCATGTCGGCCAAAAGTTCGGTATACTTCTTGTGTACCGTCTCGAGGCGCGTCATCGGGGATTCGATAGTATTCAAAAGCTGGTTGAGGTCTCGGGTGGCCTTCTTGACCTCACGTTCTGCGTTCCCAAAAAAAAGAAAGAAAGAAAGAAAAGTCAGTATTCACCGACAGCTTTACTCTTACCCGGGCGAGTCGACGAGGGGGAGCCTCTTTCTTAAACCCGTATAGTATTTTACACGACAGGCAGAAGTCACGTACCGATCTCGGCCTCTTGGTCCTTTTCTCCAGCGGCATCTTGCTCGAGCTGTGAGATTTTGGCAGCCAACAACTTTGACGTCTCGGTAGGATCGGCCGGTTTCTTTCCCTTGGCCTTTTTGCTCATGCCGCTTGGAGCCATTGCTGACGGTTTTGCGGACACGGGGCGTGTGTCTGGGAAAGCTGCGCTGGCAGGAATCGGAGGAGACGACGTGTTGGAGTGGCTGATGGTCGGATGGGTGTGCGTAGAAACTGCTGCCATTACTCGGCCGCAAGCGACCCAGATCACCCAGTCGTGGCTGAGAGCGACGTCGATAAAATAGATGTTAACGCTTCCTCGAAGCCAATTCCAAAACGCTCTGCGATAGTTTTAAAGAGCCCTTAATTCGTTTAGCCAAGTCGGCCGTCATACAGAGTTTTCCCGGTACCAAGAAGATGTAAAGGTTGACAAATAGGACCACGACGTCGGAAAAACAGCTGCGGTGGAAGTTGGGATGGAAGAGAAGACAGTCCGACAGGTCTGAAAACCCCTTTGTGTTGGAGTGTGAAGGGCGGCAGTAGCACCAGGAGAACCAGGGGGGCGGCGGGCAAGGTGTGTGCCCTCTTGAAGCAAAAGCTGGGAGCAGAGTTAGTGAGAAAGAGAAGAGAGAAGAGAGAAGAGAGAGACACACACACAAGAGAGTTCGGCGAAGAGAAAGCAAGAGGGGAGCCTGCGCTTATTGGCTGGGGCACGCCCAACTAGCGCCGTTTCTCACCAACAGATTGCTTGGCCTCACTTTTCTCACATCAAAAAACCAGCATTTCAACACACAGCTTCAGGGAAGAAAAACTGGTCTTTAAATATCTCAAAGCCTGCCCACAGCTCTCTGCCGTCCAGCCAGCGAGATTGGACTGGAGCTGCATCAGGGGGTTTTTTCTGCCTGGCCGCGTGGTGGCCAGGATATCGCTGCAGGCATCAAGTCGTTCGAGAGACACAGCAACTCCACAAGGTTTGGTGGCCATGCTTCGATCCTCGAGTCGGGCACTGAGGCATGGGACCTCGACGTCCTTCAGCCTGGGTTTTCGAAACGCGACCAATCTCCGGCGATTTCCTGCTCTCCAGGGCCTCAGAGCAGCGTCTACGGTGACCGATCTGAATGCTTACCCTTCTATAGGAGAGAAGCTCCATGGATTCACCGTCCAGGAGAAGAAGCATGTCCCAGAGCTCCATCTAACTGCAGTTCGACTAAAGCATGACAATACCGATGCTGATTACCTGCATGTCGCAAGAGAGGACAAGAATAACGTATTCGGCGTCGGGTTCAAGACGAATCCGCCAGATGCAACCGGTGTGCCTCATATACTCGAGCACACCACCCTCTGCGGGAGTGAAAAGTCAGTTTTCTGCATTCGTGATCCCTACTCTGGGCCACCATCCCCCGGCGCGGATATAACTTACAATTCTGAGCAGATATCCCGTCCGCGACCCCTTTTTCAAAATGCTCCCTCGCTCTCTTTCCAATTTCATGAACGCGTTCACGTCCTCCGACCATACCACTTATCCTTTTGCCACCACCAACAAGAAAGACTTTCAAAATCTCCTTTCGGTGTACCTCGATGCTACCCTCCATCCGCTCCTCAAGGAAGAAGACTTCAGGCAGGAAGGGTGGCGATTGGGCCCCGAGAACCCCAGAGCTGCAGAACAGTCTGGAAAGAGCCCAGACGAGGCTGCTCCCGGTGACGATATAGTCTTCAAAGGTGTGGTCTACAATGAAATGAAGGGACAGATCACGGACGCAAACTATCTCTATTATATCAAGTTCAAGGAGCATATCTTCCCGGCTATAAACAACTCTGGTGGCGATCCAGAATACATCACTGACCTGACTCACAAGCAACTCGTCAGCTTCTCCAAACAGAATTACCATCCCAGTAATGCGAAAGTATTCACTTATGGAGATATGCCTCTTGCCGACCATTTAAAACAGATAGGAGCCGTCTTGGATGGCTTCCAGAAGAAGTCTTCGAAACTAGACGTCAAGCTTCCAAGGGATTTAAGTGCCGGACCTCTGAACTTCACTGTCGAGGGACCCATGGATCCGTTTACAAGCGAAGACAAGCAATGCAAATCTTCAGTCTCCTGGCGTGCAGGCGATTCCACAGACGAAGTCGAAGTCTTCTCCCTCGGGATTCTTTCCTCCTTGCTCCTGGATGGATATGGCTCCCCGATGTACAAGGCATTGATTGAAAGCGGGCTTGGCTCATCCTTCACGCCCAATACCGGTCTTGACACTTCCGGCAGGATACCCATCTTTTCTGTTGGGCTTAATGGGGTGTCGGAAAGCGATGTCCCGGCCGTCAAACAGCGGGTTGAACAGGTATTCAAAGAATGCATGGAAACCGGCTTCAACAGGGAGAAAGTCTCGGGCTATCTACATCAGTTGGAGCTTGCGTTGAGACATAAAACCGCCAACTTTGGGCTGGGAGTTATGGAGAAGACCCTTTCCGCGTGGTTCAACGGATTCAATCCCACCAGAGAGCTCGCGTGGAACGACATCATCAGTGAGTTTGAAAAACGCTGGGGTAAGACGGGATACTTGGAAAACTTGATGAAAAAGTACTTCATGAACGATGAATGCTTGACGTTTACAATGAACGGTTCTCCAACGTACAACCAGGCATTAGCCGAGAAGGAGATGGCTCGCAAAGAAGCAAAGATGGCCGAGTTAGCCGCTAAATTCGGTTCGGCGGACGCGGCCATCGAGCAACTCAAGAAGGAGGAGCTTGAGTTACTGAAGGTTCAGGAATCAGCTCAAAATGCCGACGTCAGCTGTTTGCCAACTCTTCATACCAAAGACATTCCAAGGGAGATGGAGCGGAAACCGGTGAGAGAATCGAAGATTGATGATGTTGAGGTGGTTTGGCGAGAAGCACCTACCAATGGTCTCTCTTATATCCAAGCGTTGAACGTATATTCTGATATTCCGGACGAATTGAGATTGTTGTTACCGCTATTCAACGAGGCAGTAATGCGCCTTGGGACTGCTCAAAGGACTATGGAGCAATGGGAAGACTTAATCAAGCTTAAGACTGGCGGTGTTTCCTCTTCGACCTTCTCTGTCTCATCGCCGTTGGTCCTAGGCAATTTTACAGAAGGCCTACAATTCACAGGCTATGCCATGGATAAAAACGTGCCTGACATGCTTGAAATCATCACAACACTTGTCACTGAGGCCGATTTCTCGAGTGAAGCTGCACCAAAGATGGTTCAGGAGCTGCTTCGCTCCAATACCAACGGCGCCCTAGATGCAGTTGCAGGTTCAGGTCACCGCTTTGCAGTCAATGCCGCAGCAGCAGGTCTATCCAAAAATTTCTGGGTGCAGGAGCAGAAAGCTGGACTGCCTCAGATCCAAGCTGTCGCCGACCTCCTCCGCGACGCCGAAAATTCCCCGGAGAAACTTCGGCAACTCATCGAGAAGCTACGTTTAATTCAATCTTTCGCCATTTCCAAATCTCCTAAACTCCGTATCCGCGTTGTTTGCGAGTCAGGTAGTTCGGGCGAGAACGAAGCTATTCTGCAACGCTGGCTAAGTCGACTCCCCAAGGCCATTGCTCCACCCACCACCAGCGGTGCAACTAGCTTCAGTCCTTCGTCAAGCAAGATCCTTTACGATCTTCCATTCCAGGTATCGTACTCTGGCCTTGCACTCCGGACCACCCCGTTTACTGGCCCTGATAGCGCTCCGTTGAGCGTTCTATCGCAGCTCTTAACGCACAAATATCTTCACCCTGAAATTCGAGAAAAGGGCGGCGCTTACGGTGCCGGAGCTTCTAATGGCCCCATCCAAGGTCTTTTCAGCTTCTCCAGCTATCGGGATCCGAACCCGATGAACACTTTCAAGGTTTTCAACAACAGTGGTGTTTTTGCACGTGATCGCACCTGGATACAAAGAGAATTAGACGAGGCCAAGCTTGGGATCTTCCAATCTCTGGATGCTCCTATGAGCGTTGATGAGGAAGGACAGCGCTATTTCCTGACGGGAGTTACTCAGGACATGGACCAGCGCTGGCGAGAGCAGGTCTTGGATGTCACTGCTCAAGATGTGAACAGAGTTGCTCAGAAGTACCTCGTCGAAGGGACTGAGCGTGTATTCTGCTTACTTGGAAATAAGGAAAATGCATCCAACCTCGATGGGTGGGACGTGAGAAATATGTCCATGGGCAACGACGCGGAATCAGCCGCGCTGGCCCAAGATGCTGCTTCAGTGGATGCATAAAGAACCCCCCCGACCGCTGTAATTGTGATTTTCCCCACATGCGTTCCACTGTGCGATCTTACACTGTTATTACTGCACTTGCTAACTGTGTACTATTACCCCTGCATTGTTTCGGCGCTATTTAAGATTTCTTTTCTTGTCTTTTTTCCTTTTTTCCTTTTTTTTTTTTTTTTTTTTTGGGGTGTATTGTCTCTTTTGAATATAGAAATGTATTTATACACAGTATCCCATCTCAGCATGTTCCGCCTTTCCTTTTCGCCACTTTTCTGAGTATTTCATTCGGTTTCAAAGCTTTGCTGTACCCGTCCCCGCTGGATCTAACTTTGCTAGGTTTCGATCATGTAAGACATCCCGCGCGCTGCTCAAGAACAGAATTGAATACGTCTTCCAGTCTCGCATCCCATGGTTGGAAGATCACAAGTCCCTTTGGGTTCAATCCCCAAGGAAAGCGCAAAATTGATAAAACAGCAGGGCTAAACGAGGCCTTGTCCGCGTAGCAATCCATATTCCCTTTCCGCGGGAACGCCTTTAATCCCCGTCCTTCCAATACGGCGCGTGCGTAATAGTACGTGCACTGTGCTGGCTGGACGAAAGTCAAGGTTTTGCCAACGGGAGCTGGGGATACGGCTTTCTGTGTGGATGGGGGTTCCTCTCACCTGGGCTGTTTTGTCTCCATTGTCAGACCTGCCCCAAGTCCTAGGAGCCTACGGAGGGCGGACTAAGAATGAGAGAACATTCAAGTTGCCCAAATCCGACTTGGGCGAAATAGATATTCACTAAATATGATTGAACCCGCGGTCTATTGTCCTTATAGTAGTACTGCTGGCATTACTGTTCGCTTTTTACTGCCACTCCTCTTAACCTTACATACCCGAGCCATTTACTCCCATCTTCCCTCGTAATCACCGATTCCAAAGTCTCACATACCTCCTTAACTACCCTTTCCCTCTTCTCTTCATCTAGCATTTCTAAGGCTGAAGCACCCATTAGTCTTAACCAGCCCTGCATGCCGCCCTTCTCATCCGTCGTTAATTTCGTGGGTCGATACTCAACCTCCAACTTGTCTACTCTGAAACCAATCTCTTCCAGTGTCTCTCTCATCCATGGCTCCGATGCGAAGAACCACGGAATCCCCTCGCGAGCTGCACTGAAGGACACGCCATGGTGGACAAGAGCGGCTATCAGAGCACTATGGACTTCAGGGACGTTTCCGTGGCCGCCCATTTCAAAAACGAACAAGCCGCCTGGCTTGAGGCACGTGTATATTGCTCTCAGCACTGAAACACGGGTGGTTGGGTCTTTTAGGATCCAGTGCAGGGCGGCGTTGGATACCCTGCCTACAGTGTCAAAACTCCTCGCCGCACGTACAAACTATACTCATGTAGTTTCACACAACGGGATAATGATGATTGACACTCACACCTTGTCCCACTGGGCCACTCCAACCCTTCCTTCCTGCAACTCTTTATCCAAATATCTACAGTCAACCACCCTGAATTCGGCATTAGCCTGCCCAAAATCGCTCTTCGCTGCTTCGATCATCCCCTTTGAAGCGTCTAAGCCCAACACATGGCTCACTCGGTCCATATATTTCGCCGTGAATTTGCCATCGCCACAGCCAATATCCAGAACCTGATCCGTTGAATGGGGATCAATGTAAGCCAAGACCTTCTGGGTCAAAAGGGGGACGAAAGACGCGGAGGTATGGTAAGCCTAGATTTTGAAGCCATTTTACAATCAGCGTGTGATTTTTTTTCCCTTGTTCTTTTCTTTTTTTTTTTTTTTTCTGAACGATGGAGCCCGGCGGAAGGAAAGGTGTTACCTCGGCGGACCAGTGATCAGTTTCCGCTCCGCTCGGTTGTGTGAGAGCTGCCATTCTGGTGTACTTTCGTACGGGGTCTGCGGTTTCCGCCGGGTGGGGCCTTGCTTGGCGTCCGCTCCGCTCGGGATCGTGCTTCTAGAAAGCTCTGAAAGCAAAGGGCGATAGAAAAGTGCGAACATTGATGACAGGAACTCTATGCCCTTTTAATGATCTTTTTCCATTTTGCTCTTGATTAGCGAAGACAGTGAGGAGGGCTTAACTCGTGATATTCCCTGATGCGAGGCGGGGAAGTAAGCCGATATCGGACCACTTGAACCGCTGAGAGCGTGGCTGACGCTTATACACGGTCACTCGAGGGATTGGATGCAGAGGTCGATCTCTATCAAAAAAGAAATGTGGAAACCATTTAGTAAAAAGCGAAAGGTGAACAGCCGCGTGGAGAAGCACGAATTGCTCATATACAGATCTCTATCTTGCCATAAACAGTCACTTTGCAAGTCCCACCCCTGAGCCCATCATGAAATGAAAAGAGAAATCCCAAGCGTAGCAACGTTACCAGAGAAAGAACATAAAATATTGTACAAATCCCATGACGCCAAACAAAGTCTCGCTCAGGGGTTTACAAGACTAATAATAGCATCCAAATGAAAATGGAATAGTTCAGCACATGGCCACAGTTTGTGGCATGGTCATGTCGTAAGCTGCCACATCAGTAGGCCATGCTTTGTCAATCCAGAAGTATCGGATAAAGATATCGATGAGTGCAGCAAGTAATTGTTGTCCCGTGAAGTCACCATTAGCTACCAGAGGTACTTTATATTTCGGACCCATTTCCCTTAAGCCGCTCAGGTCCGGTAAGGTCAAAACTCCATCCTCACACTCCACCTTGGCATCCAAGAATGCTTGTAGATTCATCTCCGTGAGTGATTCTCTTATGTTGGAAGAAAGCTCTGGGCAGACAAGCATGGCCCATATGAGATCTTCGGGTTTGGCCGTTGTGGGGTCTTTCCCGTGCCCGGCTTTGTCTGGGGAAATAAACGGAGCAATATTGTTCGACGCCTTTGCCAGTAGTCGCATATCTTCAACGGAGTACGTTGCTCTAGCCATTTTGCGGGTTTGTTGCAGATCGTTGCAAAGTTTCATGGCGTGGTAAAGATAATCTCGGCCCGATGTTGGGGTAGTGCTCGTGATAGGGAAGATTCGTTTCAACTTATTCGACTGCTCCTCAATGTGTCGATATACTTCCCGCACATCGCTGCAAAGAAGATATGAGGGAGCAAAGTAGAACCCATCAGGTCCAAGGTAAAGAAAAGCGCTTTTCATCAGCATCAGCGTATCCCTATCCATCTGCAATTTCCCAAGACTGTACGGGAATCGAGCACGATCCACATCCTCAGTGCTGGCGAACTTGCGGTCGAATTCGTGACAATCTCTGATGTCGAGGCCACGACTGTAGGCAATTTCCCCCTGTACACAAACAGATAACAAACCGGGACAAGGGCGTAACACCTGTTGTTTGCCTTCAAATGAGCGTTCTCCACTTTCAAAAGCCTCAGTGCGCGAGTCGGGAATTGGTTCGTCCCTGACTCGCTGAGCTGACGGCGCTTTTGAACGTGCGATCTCGCGACGGAGCTCCCTGCCGCGATTTTCTTGCTTGCCTAGAAGGACTCGCCTTAGTTCATCCGGGGAGAGATCTGCGGAGGTCAGGTATTGATGGAGCTCGGCAGGACTGAATTCATGGTCGTCATCAATATCTACGGGTCGTTTGTGGAAATCTGCGCCTCCAAGGTAGAGAGCTTTACCGTCTGGTAGGAGAAGCCCCCCGATTGAAGCCCAAAGTCGAGCTTGGAGTAAAAACGGTGAACTGGGCAAGCTGAAAGTTTCCTTTCGCCAGTAGCGATGAAGGTCGTCCGAGATTTGTTCAAATAGTGTTGCTCTGCTTCTAAATTGAGCGATGCAACCCTGGGGACTGGGCTGGAGTTGCATCCAGCCCAGTGGTCCATGCCAAAGCATCGGGAGAGGCATAGGTGAGCTGAAGCTTGGGTGGTTCTCGTAAGATTGGAAGCCTAGCATGGAGCAAACCGCGACAAAGTCCTTTCCTTTCCAGTGCATAGCAACGATTCCATTCACCAACTCCGATGCATCCTGCATTTCAAGGAAATCATCATCAGGGCGCAGACCGAGTGCTTCCATTAACCCTACCCAACTCGCACCGGCCGGAACCAGCCCGCTGGCGCTCTCGATATCGGGATCGGGCTCCTTGGGGATCCCTCTGGGAAACGTGAAGCATGGCACGACGCGATTCTGAACAAGTGAGGGCACGGAGACGCTGGGTGTATAGACTCTCCTCTGTAGCCCGAGAAAGGACGACTGGGCAACTTTATTCTGCCATCGGCCCAGAGAGCGCCAGGACAAGCCTAGCCGATACCTTCGGTTCTGGGACGCGAGCTGCACCGCGGCGATGTAGACGGTAAAAAGGGTCGCGACTGCAATCGCGGTTGCCGTCAAAGAGGACACAGCTGACAGCCAATCGGCAGTATCGCTCATTGTGAAAGTTGAAATAGGTAGCTGGTGGGCAGGTTTGGTTGGACTATAAGGGTTGCGCGGAGAATTCTCCGCTTTATATAACTACTCCATACTCCATCCCGTTCGATCGCGACCAACGGTACGGTATCGGAGGCTGAGAAAGTATGGATCTATGTGCCCGAAGTCATGCAGGGCCTGTTGGGTTGCGAACCCAAATTGTCCAGTCATACTCGCGGACGCTGTTTCTCGCTGCGCTTCTGTTTAGTTATACCAGCAGGGATCGTGGACGAATCGGCTTGGACAGCGACTTCAAGGCGAGCCACTCTCGTTCGCCTTGCGAAAATGAGCAATATACCCCTGGTCGCTATTGGGCCTCTTTCTCTCCCAAATTTTCGGCCATTCCGTGCCAAACGGCTTGTTGACGAGATTGGCCATCTCTAACAAGGTGTCGCACGGTCCATACTCGGGGCGAAGCAGACAGCCAACGCACGAAATGGCTATGTTTCGTTGCTATCCGTTGCCAGAGCTGCACATTCGTTCGACGAGATCCACAGGAATGGCCATGAAGGAGATAGGCAGTCTATCGAAGGTGAAACGAATAAACCCTTAAGAGCCTTTCCGCGTACACTGATATGGCTAAAGGGCAGCCCTCATCTGTATGAGTTTTTAACTCCGCCGTACCAGGCTTCGACAAATCACCTCCCACGATACTGCCCCATTTTGCCCTGTTCCACCCGCATCGACTTGTAAGCACAGTTGCTGGCTGTACCTAATTCCCAGCTGGCAGTGGAAACGCTGCTCCACGCTGGAGACCCTCACCGCTTTGCTGCAAACTCAGGGGGCTTGGGCGGTGATCTTCATCGCCCAAGCAAAGCAATGCTAAAAGAGGCCAATTTGGCGAAGTGGCAAATTCATAGCCTGTCCAGACCAGCCTCAAGGCGAGAAATTGCTGAAAACGATGAAGAGCACTGCCCGAGAGAAAGTAGGATAAAGTGAAAAGGGGAACAAAAAAGAAAAAAAAGAAAAAAAAAGTTAGAAAAGGAGCTCAGAGCTATATTAACTCCCTACCGAATCCATACTACTCACAAGAAATTTCGCTCGCGACCAGATCTCATCGCTCAGTCATGCCTCACATATCAGATCGAGAATACTCTCCAGGCTTTCTAGTGCCACCCGACCCTGCTTTCACATCCCCTTCCAGCTCTCGACCGAGCACTTCTGCTAGCTCCGTTTCCACAGCCCCTTCCAGTCTCTCCGATGATGCATGCAGAGACGATATAGAAGACACATCGAAGCCAGTCGAGACACCGCGATTGGACATCGAATCCATCCAAAGACCTAATGAAAATTCGATCAACATTACCTTCTCGCTCTCCAAGGCCACCTCGTCTTCTCCTTTTGCTCTAGGGGTGAACGCTCATACAGGCCCAGACGAGTCACCCCCAGAAATCTCACACAGCGGGCATTCAGATGAAGGGGACACCGACTCTGAGGTGTCCGAGCCTGAAGAACCAGTCCCGCCGCGGCCTTATTGCAAGAATCCTTTCCAATTCTGCCCTTCACCAGCCGCTGAAGAATGGGAGAAAAGGAAAGCAGCCCGAGGTGAAGTAAACGACGTGATAGATAGGCTGATGCGCTACCAGGGGTTGGAGGAGGTCAAGCAGCAATTTTTGGACATCAAGTCCAAGGTCGACATTTGTGAGAGCCAAGGACGTAGCTTGAATAGGGAGCGTTTCAATGTCGTTTTCCAAGGAAATCCGGGAACTGGTATAGATCCCCCCTACCTTGTTTCGGTGAAGCGCATCACTGACACGATGCTAGGCAAAACAACCTTCGCACGACTGTATGCCGAGTTCTTGCACTCCGTTGGGGTGATAAATTCAAGTTATTTCAAAGAGACAGCTGGCATTGCTCTCGCTGTAAAAGGGGCAGAGGGAGCCCAGGACGAAGTTGAAGACATACTCAATCACAACGGGGGGGTCTTGTTCATAGACGAGGCATACCAGCTCACTGCAGCGTACATTGAAGCTCTTGGAAAACAAGCACTGGACTTTCTCCTAAAAGCTATGGAAGACAACATTGGCAAACTGGTGGTGGTATTTGTAGGTTACAAAGAGGAGATGGAGTCATTCTTTGAGCACAACCCAGGCCTTACCAGCCGAATCCCATGGACTATGCACTTTGCCGATTTCACCGATGCCGAGCTCTGGGAGATTCTCTACGACAACATCCACGTCGGATACCGAGGAAATATGAGAGTCGACGGCGGGATGGATGGGAAACCTATGCGTATCGCCGTCCGCCGTCTCGCCCAGTCTCGGGGCAACAGAGGATTCGGAAACGCGAGAGCAGTGGAGAATCTCATCAGTCAGATATCGTCTCGACAGGCTAGGCGGCTTCAAAAGCTGAGAGTTCAGGGGCAGGAGCCTGATTGCAACTTTTTCACGCAGGAAGACGTGATTGGGCCTGACCCTTCCGATGTCCTCCAGAGCAGCCACGCATGGAACGAACTCCAAAAGCTTATCGGCTTAGACACCGTCAAGAAGAATGTGCGAACAATGATTGGAATGATCCAGAAGAATTACCGCAGAGAATTGAAAGAGATCAAGCCGTTCCAGCTTCCTTTGAATCAGCTCTTCGTGGGAGCTCCTGGAACAGGCAAAACTACCGTTGCAAAACTCTATGGGCAAATCCTGAACGACCTGGGCCTTCTCACCCGAGGCGATTGTAAGTCTCCATAACAGTCCTCTAACAGTCAACCGTTATCAGTCTAACCCTGCTGCCTCAGTGATCGTGAAGAACCCAGCCGATTTTATCGGAGAATGCTTGGGAAAGTCAGAAGCCAAAACGAGAAAGATTCTCGAGGCCACCGTAGGGAGGGTGTTAGTTATCGACGAGGCGTACATGTTGGACCCTGGTGATCCCAACAAGGAGCAAGACAAGTTCAAGACTGGTGTCCTCGACACTTTAGTCTCCATCATCCAGGGGGTTCCAGGTGAAGATCGCTGTATCATCTTCGTAGGATACGAGGATCGCATCCGCAATATGTTCCACAACGCAAATCCAGGCCTCTCTCGACGCTTTCGTGTTGATCGTCCATTTCGATTCCAAAACTTCACGATCAACCAGCTGCTGCAAGTTATGCAGCTAAAAATGGAGCAGAAGGATCTGTCCTGTACACCGGAAGCGTGGGAAGTCGCTCGAGACGTGTTAGAGCGGGCTCTTATGCGTCCAAACTTTGGCAACGCCGGAGATGTCGACAACTGTCTGGCTGCTGCTCAGATGAATTTCGAGCAGAGGCAGTCGGCCAAGCCGCTTCATGAACAGGCCTGCGATGAGGATCTGCAGCCTCAAGATTTCGACCCAGATTGGGATCGAATTTCGAGGGGAGCAACAGATTGTCAGCGTTTGCTGTCGGGAAAAGTGCACCAGAACATAATTGACAAGTTTGTGAATTATCAAAAGCGATGCCTTGGTGCGCGAAAATACGGCTTTAGGCCTCGCGACCTAGTGCCTACGAACTTCGTCTTCGCAGGGCCCGCGGGTATGTATACCGATATCCAACCGCGATGGAATTTGAGAACGCTGTGGCTGACTCAATATTGTAATAGGAACCGGTAAATCGACCGCAGCTTGTCAAATGGGCCGTATCTTTTACAACATGGGGCTCCTCTCCGCCCCTGAAGTTGTCGAGCACTCGGCGAGCGACCTGATCGGCCAGTACGTTGGACAAACCTCCCCTAAGACCCGCAAACTGCTCGAGTTGGCCAGCGGCAAAGTCCTCTTCATCGACGAAGTTCATCGCCTGGCTTCGGGCCAGTTCGCAGCGGAAGCGGTTGATGAGCTGGTTGGGTTTCTCACTCAGCAGGAGAATGCGGGAAAGATGGTGGTCATCCTCGCTGGGTACCAGTCTGACATACGCAATCTGATGTCCAATCGTCCTGACCTCTCTGGCCTATTTAAAGAGGAGATCGCGTTCGACGAGCTGTCGCCTGAAGACTGCGTTGCTATTCTTCTCCGAGAGCTGGACGCCAATCGGATCACTACTGAATCGGACTTCCTACGAGTTCGTGAAAGTAGAGGCCATTCCAATGTGCGAAAACTGTTCAAAGCTTTGATAGCGTTGCCCGGCTGGAGCAACGCGCGTGACGTGAAATATTTGGCGACACAAATATTGGGCAATTTCCTGGAATCCGCCGCTGATAACACAACGTCCGACCGGACTCTTTCAGCTGATCATGTCGAGGCCTGCATCATGGATATGATCACCCTGAGCACAAACCGATGTAAGAAGCTTGGAGACGATGGGAATACCGCCCTCCCGATTTCACCTCCCCACGCGAACCACGACCCGGAGCCAGCAACACTCGAAGAGACTCAGGCTTCCCCGCCGCCACCGAGGATCGATCCTGCGATCTGCACTCCAGGAGGAGATACAGCCTGTGATGTCGACGTCAACGTCAACACGCAACACAAGCCGGACCGCGAACACCAGCCAGGCCCATCCAAATCGAAGCAGCGAGAGCGCGACGACGAACCAGTCCCGAACCAGCGCCGAAGCCAACACACAAACGATACTGACGCCCAATCCAGTGATGAGACCCATGTGTCAATCCCCCGGGCTCTCCAGCGCCAACAATCCCCAAAAGTGGAGCAACACGAGAAACAGGAGCCCTCTTCCAGGCCGCAGTCCCTTCACAACAGTGAGGAATTGGAACATCAGGCGAGCCTCTCTGAGCACCAGGTCCCCGTGGAAGCGACATGGAAGCAAAGAAAAAGACGGGCTACCCAGGCTCAATTACAGACTGGTGTGACCAAAATCAACACGAAGACAAATTCAGGTACCCGCACCCTGATTCGTAGAGCACGCCGCTGGTTATCTAAGCTTTTGAAGAGAGGCAGGAAGCGTGAAAAGCAGGAAACGAGGGTCTCCTCTCACCCTGGTCGATGTGAAGCAGGATATGCCTGGAATGCGGTTCCTGGAGGCTACCAGTGTGAAGGCGGACACCACTTTATGCCAGCATCATAGCATGAATTTTGTTTGGCCCCTTTGTTCACTCACACTTACTCTCTCCATTTTCCCCATTTTGACGTATGTTTTTATTTTACCTTACTTTTCTTCTCCTTCTTTGTCCCCCTTTTTATGCTGTACTGTATTAAGATACCTCAACTTGTATTTCCGCAATTGTGCACATATTCAGAATGACTTTCCTGAAATTGGCTTTTCTTGTTCTCGAGATTTCTTTCTCTTTCTTTTCTTCTTCTTGTTTGTGTACGGAGTAATGATTAAAATGCAATATCATGTTTTCCCTTAGAGGAAGTAAGACTCGGTGTGGATGTGGCTCGTATGTAAAGTGGAGGACCTGTTTCATCCCTTGCAGCGATGAGATCCGCCAGAGATCCAGTACCGACGGAGGATTCAGACCTCCTTTCCTGGCATGGTTTGCAGGCTGGCAGATGAGCAGTCTTCCAGAATCTGGAAAACGCAACTTCCTCCAGTCAGCCAGCCGCCAATGACGAAGGATATGCTGGTAAAGAGGCGAGCATAAGGTGCCACTATGTATAGCAGCAGTGACGAGTAAGCTCGATTGGCTCTGCACAGACCGAAAACAATTTGTCAAAATATTTCATCGGAAGTGTCAGGCTGCATGCGTAGCAGACGTGAGGAAAAATCAGGTGGGCTAGAGCAACATCTTCAGGTCTATGGACCGTGGCTCGATCTTTTCAGAGTTCACGAGGAGGCGAAAATAGAACAAATGAAAAATCAAATGAAAAATCAAAGGAAAAGAAAAGAAAAGAAAAGAAAAAGGATAATGGCTGCAAGCGCATCGATCGAAGGTCCAGATCAGCCTCGTTTCTCGGCGAGAAGCCAATTGGGTTCCCCCAAGATCGGTGGGCTGATACAGAGTACGAGGTCCAGTCTCTCGATACCTACCATCTCACCCTTCGTCCGGAATCATATGCCGATTAAAGGATGCCCTGTTGAGGCAAAAGAAGAAAAGAGAATCTTCCGGGACGGTGGGAGTGAAGATATTAGCATGCACTCTGAGACTATTATCGGAAAGGAAGAGACAGTCCCGTTTTCTTGCATGCATGTACTCCGTAATTTTTTTTAATAAAAAAGAAAGGGGAAAAAAAAAAAAAGGAAAAATATTTCCCCAAGGAACAGAATGAATGAAGTGGCACAGAGCCCCCCGAGGCGATGAGAACAGAAAAGGTATCCCCTACTGTGAGACTTCTCCTGTGAGGAGGAGTGGAACAAAGCACCATATACGCAGCCGTCAGAAGAGGGATCTCCTGTTGCACACAGGTGAGCTCCGCGCATCAGCGGATCTCCCCGTCGCGGGCCCCCCTATGCGACAAAGTCCCCCAAGCAGGGCAGGTTGTCGGAGAACTGCGACATCCGATGGGACGGTTGAAACGGTGGGGCGTGTCCCGGCAAGAGGGACCCGAAAGATGGCGATCGTCGTCGTTGGCGATTGGGCTGGTGACACCGAGAACGAACCCCCCTGGAGGCCGGGCAGCGAACACGATGGACGCAGTTCTCTTTCGCGTGCGGAGAAAAAGAGGAAAACCCTGATGGTGGATGGAGGAGGAGGAGTGCATATTTCCAAGTTTTGGCCCTCTTTGTGTGGAGAATCCTCCTCCTTGACGGATTCCTTGCTGGTATTGTGAAAGCAGGGATGTGCAGCTATTATTACTCCATCCTGTAGTAGGCGAGAGGGAGAAAAAAAGAATATTCCCCGAAAAGGATCCCCGTCGATGATCCCCGTCAGGCCAAGCTTCTTGCCAAGGCCAATCTAAACTTCCGAAGATTCTTTTTTCCTGGCAGAAAAAAAAAAAAAAAAAAAGAACAGTTGTGTCTTTGGGACACCAGAGACTGACAGCACGGGAAGGAGAGCAATTCGCCGGAAGAGAGAGAGAGCAGAAACTGCGTCTTCTCTTTGGCTTGATCGTGTTTCTCCGGAGCAGCCGTCGCAATGATGTGGTTTCGCCCAATTGCCCGTCGAAACGCTGCTTTTTTTGCCTTTGCGCCGGCTGAACGGTCTAGATCCATGGTTCACCCAGAAAGTATGGGGACTAACGAACGAAACCTCCAGAAACTGGATAAAGGTGGGAAAAAAATAGTTTGCTAGAGCGGCACGATGGAGAACGGGGAAGCTCGCGCCAAAAAGTTTGCTACCAAATTATCTCCTGGATCAATAAAAAAGCAGTCACCGTCCGACTCACCGTCGTCACCGTCCTTCGCGCAGCGTGGAACACATGTACGTAACTCGTCGTCGATCGCGAGACGCCCAGGCGGGTTTCATGGGAGCTATCAACATAAATCATGCATCAGCATGTTATATTTTTATAAGCTGAAATAATAATAACTTCCTCCTGGCCTCGCCACTCCTGCTTTACCCACGCTTTCTTCTGAAAAGAAAGAATAGAAGCAAGCTCCTTTTTTTTCCCCCCCTGCCGCTGCTGGTCACCAGCATGAGATGAGCTGGACACACGCCCATGGAAGAACCTGCTGCCAGCCATGCTGCAAAGGATCTGCGGCATCCGGAGCCTGCCGTCGTCGCGTCTTCATCGCTGAGAGCGAGATCTCGTGTCTCTAGCCCTGAACGACCCTCGACGACGGCCACCACCACCACCACGGGGACTCTGACACCGGACTTGCAGGATGCGCACGAGCTGGCGGAACTGCATGAGATCCCAACGCACACCAGAAGAGACTCGTCGCCGTCCACCATCTCTTCGGGCTCGATCAGGGTTGTAACGCGCCGCTCGACGCGGAGTAGCCAACTGACCAGGAGCAGCCGTGAGCCCACCGGCAGGTTTAAGCATATCATAAAGTTCTGGAGACGCAATGTCGTCCTGTCCGTTTCTCAAAACCAGAATCGGGATCATTACGGTGAGTTTCTGCCCTCTTCATTCTTTTTCCTTTTTTTTCTTTTTTTTTTTTTTTTTAGGTTCCCCATTTCCCCATCCTCATTTTATGGGAGTCTCTGGTTTTGAACTTGTTGGGATGGCGTCACAATACTTTCTTCAACCCGCACACCAAATTTTCTAATTGGTACTACTCTGCAATGCTTTCTCTACCTGGATTGTCGCTATGTACATATATATACACATCCTTGCGAGCAGCACAACCTGTCATGATGTGTCCCCCCACCGCCTATTTTCCCCAATGGACGACCCAAATTGTAAAACACTCTGAACGACGCTAATCCATCTATCAACAGCGCTTGAACGGACCTACCTGGCGCATATGAGAACATCGGTCGCCTTCTCTCTCCTTGGCGTCCTGATAGCTCAACTCTTCCGTCTACAGCACTCGCATATCCACCATCCCACGTTCGGGTTCTACACAGTTGGCGTACCTCTGGCCTGCACCTGCCAGGGGTTCGCGATTCTCATGGCGCTGTTCGGCGCACATCGCTTTCTACGACAGCAGAATGCGCTGTCACGGGGGAAGATACATGCCGGTGGGTGGGAGGTGATGATGGCAGCCATCTTTGCGGCAGCGGTATGTTTCCCCGCAACACCCCATACCGGAGTACATACTTATTACCGATGGCGCTGACGGTCCGCACGTAGATTATCATCACACTGCTAATTCTTGTCGTCGTGATCAGCGTTAAAAGGGATAGTGTTTAAGGCGATCAGCAATCGGGGTCCGGAGCATTTTTGAGCTTCTCTTCTCTTTTTTTTCGGCATTTAGCAGGTCATGCGGTCATAGATATCCCCTCATGTTTGGGCGTCTGGTTAAGGAAATGAGTGGTATTTATGTACTCTATTTTTTCTTTTTTTTCCTTTTTTTCGTGGGGGCTGGCATAGGGGCGTATTAGTTTGACACAAAATGCAAGGGGTTTTACTACCTTGCTCTTGGGAAACTAAAGATTTATTCCTGTTTAAAACTCAACCTTCAGTGTCAAGGTGGAAAATGGGGAAAAAGAAGAAGAGAAAAAGTTTGTATCTTTTCCCCCCCCCATTCCATCAAGACGTGTCTGCTCAAAGCCCCCGCCCACGGGAACAGCTCCGTTTGCGTCAGTTTTGCCGGGATACCAATAGAAGCACCGAGACCACCGGATAGCCATCCGGCAAACAGCGCGACGTCCAATCAACTGGTTGAGGGGGCGTCGGAGAGGCGCAGGGTGCCCATGCAGCTGCTGGGGGGCTGCATTGGCCGAAGTGTCTAACAAACCCAATTCCAAGTTGCATCCAGAGTACTCTCCGTAGTTGTCAAAGGACGGAAAACAAAAATGAAGAAAAAAGGAAAAAAAGGAAAATGAAAAAGACAACAAACAAAATACACGGCTCGCCCCGGATCTATCATACTATGGGAGGACTCTGGAAGAACTCTTTTTTTTTTCTGCTGGTGATCGTGGAACAACTGAGACAGCGCTGCCGATCGGATATTTTCCAGGCGCTGGGCTGACTAACAAGCAACTGTCGGATCCAGGCTTTTTCTTCTCTTTTTTCGCCACGCAAAACCCCGCTGACGCGCGCTGAGAAGGATTGAGCTGCGCTGTGTCCGGGGGCTGAGGGAGGGCACGATGAGTCTGTCATCACGTACAAAGCGGTACGATATTACACCCCGGCTTCTGTTGCGTGCACGTATGAATGGCGTGTGAATCACCTCCAACGGCCTAAAGAAGGGAGAGGAAAAATAAAAAATAAAGATTTCAATAGCCAGACCGCGAGGGATTTCTTGATCGCCCATTCACACGGCCTTCCGCGTCGATGCAGAAAGCCGTCAAACAGATGAGCCGGCCTCCCACGTACAAACACTGACGCTTCCGCCCTGCCTATCTCGCTCTGCTTCTCCTGCGCTCTTATTTCTCCATCGCGCCACTTTGCTCGATTTCCGTTGCTCGCGTTCCACACCACCATCACGCAGCCATGGGGTTGACGAAATCTCAACGGATCGTTCTTCTGCTGACGATTGACACCGTGTTCTTCTTGATCGAACTCACCGTGGGTACGCAGTCTACAGATTCCCCCTCCCAGTTTGAGCCGCAATTTCGCGCTGACAGTCGTGGTGTAGGTTATGCGGTGCACTCGCTGGCGTTAGTGGCAGACGCGTTCCACATGGTATGCAGACTAGCTCCTCCGGTCTTATTGGGGGGGAAAGAAACTTGCAGATTCTGACCGCTACCTTTTAATAGTTGAACGACGTCCTGTCGCTCTGTGTTGGCTTATGGGCTGTAAAGGTCGCCAACGAGAAGACAACCTCGAAATCATACACCTACGGAGTAGGTTCCTGGGCAGTCCCACAATACTCATGCGGTGGTAGATACTAATTCGCCATAGTGGCAACGCGCTGAGACCCTCGGAGCCTTAGTTAACGGGGTGTTCCTCGTTGCACTATGCTTGTCCATTTTCCTCGAAGCCATACAGCGTCTTGTCGAACCGCAGGAGGTCAAAAACCCGAAACTTGTCCTGATCGTCGGTAGCTGGGGACTCTTTTCCAATATAGTTGGGTTGCTATTGTTCCACGACCATTCTCATGGCCATACGCACGCTGAAGAAGCGATCCACTCTGCCGAGCAAGGGTATCTCACTCAGCGGGATGCAGACACAGCTGTGGTGGCGGACTCAAGGGGCAGCATCGCAAGAGCCATGCCGGAGAATGCCCTTGATGCATGCACAACCGATGGATCAGCTAGCACTATCAGACCGCTCGGTGGTCGGGATACGTCAAGCAGTCCGGTCACCGTGAGAAGGGCCCGGACTCCGGATGGCCGTGCGCGTCGGCGCAGCGTTCATCGGTTGAGTGTTTCCGGGCTCAGCGCGCGAGATGCGGACAGCATATTCATCCATCCTGCAAGCTTGCGTCAGGACATCATCGAAGCAGGCCGCTTGGATGATTTTGAAACCTCCGAATCGGATGCCGATCTGGAGGATTCGCCTCGCGAAGGCAACGTTTCAGAACGCTCCAGGCTATTGCCGCAAAGCAACGGCACGACGACTCCCTACGACAGTTCGTCAGGGGTTCGCGGCCAGAATCTAAAAGATGACCTGCATGTCAAGCACAACCATGCCCTGCCGAAATCCACGGACAAGAAGCGTGGCCCCGGGCACTCACACGATCTGAACATGCGCGGTGTCTTTCTGCACGTGGTGGGCGATGCGCTCGGCAACATCGGGGTTATCGCCTCGGCGTTGGTTATCTGGCTCACCGACTACTCCTGGAGGTTCTATGTCGATCCTGGAATCTCCCTTTTCATCACCATGATCATCTTGTGGTCCGCTATCCCACTATGTAAAGCCGCTTCGCGGATCCTACTTCAAGCCGTCCCCGCCGACTTGAGCATCGATCACATCATCGAGGATATTGAGTCGCTACCTGGCGTTCTCAGCTGCCACCATCTACACGTTTGGCAGCTTAGTGATACCAAATTGGTCTCATCCCTGCATATCCAAGTCAGCCACGATATCAAAGGCGAAGGCTCGGACCGCTACATGGCTCTAGCAAGGGACGTGCGCAGATGTCTCCACGCATACGGTATCCACTCGTCCACCATCCAACCCGAATTCTACCCAGGGAGCGATGATGAAGGTGGAATGGGATCATCATCCTCCCCTGCCAGCGGTCGAAACTCGCCCCCAGGGACAGGGACGAACACCGGTGGTGCGCCCTGCCTCCTTGAATGTGGGAACGAATGCGCCGCTGGCCGTCAGTGTTGTCCTTAATCTAAAGCGGTAAAAACAAGACAAAAAAAAAAAAAAAAAAGAACACCACAAGAGAAAAGAGAAAAGCGAAAAAAGAGAAAAGAAAAGAAGAGAAAAGAGACCATCTGTTATTACCTAAAGTTTTAAGTTTTTGGTCAAATTTCTCTGCTGCTTTTATTCTCGCATGTAATTGTAATAATAAAAGGAAAAAAAAGGGGTGGGGGTGAACTGGGAGCGGGTGCGTTATTACGGAGTCCTTGTTTTGCTGCCGTTGCTGGTGCTGTAGTTATTTGGGCGTCCATGACTATCTTGGGTGTTTTGTGTGGAGTACTGTAACTAGCTAATCGATCAACTAGTTGATGGTTGGTTTTGTCCTTCCATCGAATGCAAAGTACATACTGAGTACCTCCTAACACTCTTCATGCTACAGTATTACAATGCTTCCTAGCATGCAGGGCGATCGACGCAATCCACGTTTTTGATGTCGTCCAACGAGGTCCAGAAACGGGCTGAAAGAGAGAGCGCCACGTGACCCCATGCCCGCCCCGGCAACGTCTCAGCAGCAACAGCAGCACGCAGCAGCAGCACGCAGCGAGAAGCGAACCGAGTTCAGGTGCTTTTGTTTGGATTCAGACTTACGACAGGCCACGGCGATAGCGTCCAAGGTATCTACAATTTTGTGTAGATTATTCCATTTTTGCTCGCGATGGGCCAATAGTCTACTATACCAGGGAGACCACCGCATCCCATCGTTCAGACGAATGAGTCCCGGCATCGTCAGCTCCCCCCGCCACCCGCTTCTTCCTCCTCACTTCTCCTGCTTGCCGTCACAAATGTGAGCTTTAGGAGGTAGACCTACGTTAGCAAAACGAAAGATACTGGTTACTACTTTGTCTTATCCATCGGAGAAGCCGCTGGCCCCCCCCGCCCATGGCTTCAGCGCTCGGTGCCTCCCGATCTCATCGGGATCACTTCGTCGAACCCCCCGGCATCATAGAGCGGATATGCACTTCCCTACCACCGATTGCCCGGCCGGTCCTTGCAACGCTTCGTGCTAAGGGCGAGTCGGTCGCTGCAGCGTACACGAGAGAGCAGAGGAGAATGAGATACCGACGCAGTGGAGGGATCCAGGCGATCCTGCGACCGTTGTTTTCGGTGCGGAATGCCTTGATCGCATTGTGGATTTTAACGCTGTGGTGGGGAGAGAGGAAGGTATTCAGAGATGCCGTGGGGAAGTGTGAGTGGACAAACTGGGAGAAGTGGGTAAGCAAGCGTTCCTCTTCTGTCCTTTTCTTTTCTTTTCTTTTCTTTTTTTTTTTTTTTGAAGTTGAGTGTGTGTGGCCGTGTGGAAGATAGGTGAGCTCTATTGAATACGATCGCTTACATTCTCCGTCTCTCTATTTCAGCCCGAGGATGCCGTTCCACATCACACTGCACTTATTGCAGATCCTCAACTCGTCGACCCCCATACATATCCCGGCCGTCCGTGGCCGCTGTCTTCATTGACTACATACCTATCCGATCTCTACCTGTACAGAACACATTCCCTGCTTCAGGAGAAGCTCCGACCGGATACTACATTCTTTCTTGGAGATCTATTTGACGGTGGAAGGGAATGGGGCACCGCTAGCAGCTCGAGCCCCGATGATAGATATAAAAAATACGGGAACGATGTGTGGATGAAAGAGTATGCGCGATTTTCACGGATATTCTTTGACACGTTTAGGTTGGGCGGCGTCGATTCCGCAGCAAGCCCGAGAGGAAGAAAGATAATCGCTAGCCTGCCTGGGAACCATGATCTGGGCTTTGGGAACGGAATTCAACTGCCTGTACTCGAACGCTTTCGTGCATACTTTGGCGAAGGGAACAGGGTTGATATCCTTGGAAATCATACTTTTGCTTCCGTGGATTCCGTCTCGCTAAGCGCGATGGACCAAGTCGATCCTGCGACTGGAGGCTCGAGCACGAGTAGTCCGCATTCCGAGCAGATTTGGAAACCGACGGAGGTGTTCTTAAACGAATTCCAGACGTTGAAGTCTCGAGCAATCAAGGAGGAGCTACTCTTCCTGAACGGAGAGACGGAGGGATATATATCCCCGCATACCGTTGTCGATGCTACCGTACCTACGAAGCCTACGATATCTCCCGCTGCATCTGATGCAGACTTTCCTACCATCGTTCTCACCCACGTTCCTATGTACCGTAAGGCTGGCACACCGTGTGGTCCACTTCGCGAATATTGGCCTCCTTCATCGACCGATCCGCTCCCGGAAAGCGACGAGAGAAACGCCATCAGAATCGGTTGGGGATACCAGTATCAAAACGTACTTACCCCCACAATTTCCGAGGATATCATAAAGAAGACTGGACCCGTCGTTCAGATATATTCGGGCGACGACCACGATTATTGCGAGATCACGCACCGAGAGTTCAGCGGCGCACCAAAGGAGATTACGGTCAAGAGTGCGTCCTTTGCGATGGGCGTCAGACAACCCGGCGTTCAGCTGGCGAGTCTGTGGAACCCAATTGACCCCAAGTCGGGCAAGTCGTTGCATCCGACGGGCTCTCAAACCATCGAGAACCACCTTTGCCTCTTTCCCGATCAATTGGCGGTGTTCATCCAATATGCCTATGTCTTTGTCTTTTCTATGCTCATCCTTTTGCTCCACGCTATATCTGTTACCTTGCGGGCTGACCATATCCCTGACGCGTCTGACCCGATCCTCCCCCTCACACGCCGCTTCCTTGAGGACATCCCTTCCTCCTCGACATCGAGTACATCTACATCTACGTCGTCGCTCTCGGCTGGCGAGAACAGATTTAGCAATCGCTGTGGAAACGGCATCGTCCCGCGCACAGCCTCCAGCTCCCCGTCAAACGATGGAACAAGACCAGTGAAATATCTACAATTTGGCGGGAGTACGGGAGTCAGCGAGAAACTTGAACGCTCTTCTCGGGACGAGTGGGACTTTTCCGACAAAGTCAAAGAGAGGTCGTGGACGGGTTTTAGGACCACGGTCGGAAAAGATATGGGGTCCCGTGGCGGTCGCCGGTCGTTTTTCGTGTTTCGCAGGCATTTTGTTTCATCACTCAAATGGGTTGCTGGCGTTTCTTTTGCATGGTACTTTTGGTTACTTTGGACATGGTAATTGGGCGTGGGAGGGGTTGTAAAACTTGGGTGGTCTGGATTTTGATGTGCTTATCACTTTAATTATATATATATATATACCACTACTCCGTACTCCATACTCCAACGAGATTAATGGCATGATATCCTCCCGCGTCTCCGCATCCGTTCCTTGGAATTTTTCGTTTCTTTCGTCTCGCTGGTAAGACGGTGGAGGACGGGGGGGTTGAGAGCTAAGACCGAAATGATTCGGATTCCTGAATCAACCGCGATCGAGCCCGACGCCAGCCTAGACTTGTTGTAACCTACGGTTTCTCCTACAGAGTTTTATGGCGTTTATTCGCATATCACACCGTTAACAGGGAGGGGTGCCCGGTTATAAAGAGCGCCAGGCTCGGGAATCATCTTGATAAGACACCCGCTGTCGGTTCATTCGTTGTCGGAAAAAAACTGGGAAATTTTATCGAAGCCGTCAACCCACTTTTCTCCCCTTATCCTTTTCCTTTCTGGCCCATCCCCAAAAATTCCGCGGGATGGTTTGTCGCCCCGAGAAATTTTTTTGATAGTTCCGGCTTATGCAGTTTGGGTTTCCGGACAAGGGGGTCTCATCGTCAGCTCACTGACTAGTAGTGACGATCTTAAATGGCAGCAAGGGGGAGATGCGTTGGTGTGAATGGTGACTGTTTGTTTCGAGCAACCAAGTAACAGGCGGGAAAAATCATGACCGGTTTGCAGAAAAATCCTATCCATCATGTCTTACTCTGTGCATCCTGGTTGAACAGCGGGTAGGCTACAGAGGCGACGGGGATCGTGCGTGAACCATGGTGCAAGCTGGTTTCTGCAGCTCAAGATTCCTTCTGCTTCCCGGCCATTCGTCTTGTTTATTATTTACTCCGTACGTGAATAAGATTTAGAGTGAGTTGATCTGCGAGCCATGGAACGGGCAAAGGCGATGTCTTGCCTTGTTGTCCAGCCAGAGTTACCAAGTCATGATCCTTGGCTGGACGCCAGGGCTGCGGGCAACGCACAAAGTTCAACATCTGATGTCGGAACACATTGGCGGTGACCCTTTCAAAGGGCAGCGGAGGCGACAATTAAACGGAGAAGTCAGCAAGGACAGCGTGGCTGTGGAGATCAGGGCGGGGGGAATCGTGATACGGGCGCGCTTTGACTTTGTTGATACATAGTCATCGTCGTCGTCAATAGAAGGGAAAAACGAAGAGGGTGAAAAAAAAAAAAAAAAAAAAAAAAAGCAAAAAGGGAAAAGAAAAACACCGCAAGAGTACGGAGTACTCCGTCAGAGGCTTCAAATCCAAGCTTCGCGCTATCAGGACCCAGACCAACAACCCCTTGCAGTCCAGGGGAGTTCAGCACAAGCTCCGACCCTCGTATGGAACCTCGCCGCCCTTGCAGGGATGTTTGCCGCCAAACCACAACGCGGTCCTTGACGCTGACCCAGGTTCGTGCCGTCAGAATCGCCGTGGTCTTTGAGATCAGCCCGGGTTGTTTCTCTTCACCCCACGTTAGGCCCTTTTTTTTTTTTTTTTTTTTTTTTTTTTCTCCTCTCCTCTCCACAAGTAAACATCGAGAATGTGCACCGTTGAACCGCAAATCAGCTCAGTGGGTGCCCAGCTGCAGCTATTCGCGGTACGACGACGAGGTCGAATAGTTCCAAGACATAAGAGGGCGTTAGGGCCATAGCTTAGGTGAGCTTCTTCTGTGGGAACGCTGTTTGGATCAATCAGTCACACTGGGCTTTTTCTCCACCCGGGCCCGTCACCGTCCAAGTTAGGCTGTCCAGTCTCGATGACGGCTCCAGGTGACAGGGGAGCTACATAAGCATCAACAAATTCAGGGGAAAATACGGGGTCAGACGGGACATCAAACATGGGTGATTTTAGTCGAGCCCAGTCGTCCCCGGGCTACTTCTTCACAGACTCCAACGGCATGCCAAAGACCTCCTCGAAGTCGTGTGCTGTAAACTTATCGTACGATTGTTCCTGGGCTCTTGCGCAGAGACCGCCACCGTGGAGGTCTGGTCTTCTCCTGATGCATGCCTATCCGGTCACCAAAACGTTGAGACTCTCTCACACGGTGAAAAGCATTGTTAGAGGATATTTGAGCACACGACTAACTATTTACCCGAAGCCGCACATCCAGGGAGCTACATGCTCCGTACGGGCAATAAACTTGAGAGCATTGCACTTGGACAGCCACGCCTGCAAGCTTGAGTTTTTGAATTATCTCTGATTGGGCCATGGGCCCAAATGGTCCACGAAATGCTTTTTTTTCTGTGCTCCAATTGAACCTTGGAGCCCAAGCCGCTATTCTTGACTTTTCGGATTTCGGTCCAGCAGCGCGCTCAGGGGGTCAAGGGCAGTCCGGCGGCCATTGATCTGCTCACAACTCAATGACGTGGGAGGCCGGTCCATGGCCCAATAAGGTACCCGCATAGCCCTACCATCAAGCGTGTTTCTTGTTTAGGATTTATTTATTTAAATCCTATGGACGGCCGTCCCTGACTGGCAGACACCCACCGCTCCTATCGCACTTCTTTTCGTTCTCTATACGTCTGCTCCTGCAGGCTGTCTTGTTCTATTTTCAGTCGCTCGCTCCGGCATCGATTTGACGCCTCCGTTTTGTTTTTGTTTTTCTTTTCTTTTCTTTTCTTTTCTTTTATTTTTTTGTGGTAATGTCTTCTGTCACTCATTATCATACTATATAGCCCACTGAAGCTCCTAATAATATAGCCTTTCTTGTTTTTTGGGCTTCTGTTGCTACATGGTTTTTGACTGGAATCTGAGCATCTAAAACGTCCTATCCTCCCGCAGCTCTTCCAAGCCATTGGTGCGGGCGAGTGCTGGGTTGATTATCATGGCGGCCAAAGGAGCGTGGGTTTGGGCCGTATTGCAGGTCATAGCCTGCATCGCGTTCCAAGCCCATGCCTACGATATTCGAGGCGTTAGGGGAGGCGTCCAAGCATCCGGGGAAAGGCCTGCGCGCCAGAACCTGGAAACATTCCAGGAGTCTGGGCCAGCATTCGATCTATACATACTGGCCCTTCTAAAGTTCCAGGATGAGGATCAGAACAGGATGTTGAGTTATTATGATGTCTCATGTGTGTGACGTTTCCTCCCGGTTATCTGCCGTGCGAAACTTCTAGCTAATATTCATGTTCAGCTATTCACGGATACCCGTTTGAAGCGTGGGATGGCGTGGAAGGTATTGGCGGAGGGGGCTACTGTGCACATGCTTCAACAATATTTCCTACATGGCACCGCCCATACCTTGCTCTTTTCGAGGTTAATCTCTTCCGCTTTCCCTAACAACAAGCCTCGACGGGCGAATGCTGACATCGGCTCCAGGAGATGATCTGGAACCACGCCCAGGTAATTGCGCGAGGATATCGGGACTCCCTCCGCAGCACATATGTTGAAGCGGCCAGGACCTTGCGAATTCCTTACTGGGACTGGGCCAGTAATCCGGAGCTTCCACGATGTGTAGTCACCCCTCAGATCCGGATCACCACACCCAACGGAGAAGCCACCATCAAAAACCCGCTGTATTCCTATACTATCAATCCCACCGCTGGAAAAGGATTCCCTCCGCGAGATCCAGTGAGTTCAAGCAGAAATAAACATGCCAAACTCTTGGGGTCTTAACTAACAACTATTCAGCTGTCCCAGTATCCAGATACCGTCCGGGCGCCAGACGACGAAGGTCAAAGTCAAATGGAAGAGGTTCAGCGAAGACTGAGAGCGAACGGTGCATAGTAAGCGCTAATTGTCATGCAGTACTTGTTTCACTTTGCTAATTTCCTGTTGTAGCTTCCGCCAGGCCACATATTCTCTGCTTAGTAGCGAACCTAACTACACTATTTTTTCGACCAGCGCCGTTCGAGATCGTGGGAACAACTATAATAACTTAGAAACCATCCACGGCCAAGTCCATGTTGCTGTCGGTGGTCCCGGGGGGCATATGACATACGTCCCTTGGTCCTCGTTCGATCCCGTTTTTTGGCTGCATCACGCGTTCGTCTACCCCATGTCTAATCGGTTCTATGCAGTCTGATACTAATGTAGTATCTAGTAACGTGGATCGCCTCCTTGCTATGTGGCAAGCGATCTACCCTGAGTCCTGGGTGCAACCATTGGCTTCCATGAGTCGGACCTATGTCTCGAGTGCAGGAACTGTTGAAGATGGTAATACCCGTAAGTGCCTCTTATCATCTCAAGGATTCGACCGAGTGTCTGCTAAGTGGTTAAATGAACAGCTCTCGCTCCATTCCACTCGAGGGGCAGCGCGTTCTGGACCTCTGATTCGGCTCGGTCGACAAAGGCGTTCGGCTACACTTATCCTGAGATTCAAGACTGGGGTGTCAGCGCAGCGCAACTCCAGAGCAGCGTTCGCCAACATGCCAACAGGCTATACAACAGGAGAAGGCGAAGAAGATCGGAACACGGCCTCAAGCTGCCAGGCTTTGGAAAGGGCAAATTGTTCGACTTTGCTAGCGTCTTGGAGAAGGCATTCAAGTTCACGGAGGTCTTGACGGATCTTGCCGAAATGAGTCTTGCTGACTTTGACAAGCTCGGCATCAATAACTTGCACAAGCAATGGGTTGCGAATATCAAAGTGGACATGTAAGTAGCTCATTAGCCCTTGTCGGTGATCCTCCAGCTCATCAGATACCTTCCCAGGAACGCTATCTCGAACCCATTCCGCATCCACTTCTTCCTTGGAGAGCCACCAAGTGACCCCAATACCTGGGATCACGCAGCCAACCTTGTCGGCACCTACTCGCTCTTCTCCAACTCCATGCCCAACCCTACCGACACAGCTCACTATGTCTACGGCCAAATGCCACTAAGCCACGCGATCGCTGAAGCCCATTCCCACTCCCTCATCAAAGACATCGGCGCGGCAGGCGTCGTTCCTCTCCTCAAGACTCACCTTCAATGGCGGGTCCAGGAGCTTTCCGGCAGAGTCATCGATGTATCTAAATTTTCTGATTCGTCTGTCGGCGGCGAGCCCGGTTTGGAAGTATACATCGTCGAGAGAGACGTTGACCCCATTAGAGAGACCACCGAGTTTCCCAGGTTTAGCGACTGGAAGATTTACAAGGAGGTCACCGAGGGCAAGCCTGGTGGTGTTAAGAGCGGTGGCAGAAGTCGCGGTGGCAGCGGTCACGGAATCCGTAAGCACTTCGCTGGTGGACATGGACGACATGGCGGCCAGAAACATGCATCATGCAAGGCCGGAAATAAGAATAGCCACTCGTATTAGGTATGCTTCTGAGCACTCGAAACATGGTGCAGTTTCAATCATAATTCCTGTTCATCTGTTTGCGTCTCTTTTCGTGGTATGTACGTTTTCTTTTCCTCAACCGAAGATTTGGGTTCTTGTTGATACGACAGCCAATCTAAAGCACATAAAGTTATATATTTGTTACCGTGACTATGTATTCCCTTTCCGCTGTGCTCAGACGCGCGTCTAATATCGCATTGTAGTAAAAAAGGGTTGTGTGCGTTGATCTGCAAGGCACACGACGGAGTGGTCACGGCAGAAATACATCCTTAAGATGTTTGTGATATGGGCCCTGGGTGAGTTACACATGGGGACAAGACAAACAAGATCCGCCGTGCCATCATTGCGGTTACACCGCCGCTGCAGTAAATAACTGGATCGACGCATCTGACCAATCCTCCATTGTCCGTAAGTTAGGTTCCGGTCCTTCAGTGTCAATAGTAGCTGCTGGAGTGTGTATAGCGAGCATTCAGGGGGGGGCAACAGACACCAATCTCCTCACATCACTCGAGATGAACAGGGGGGACTGAAAGATTCAAATTATCACCATCATTAACGTAGTGCTTCATCTATTCATTACATGCATATGATATAGTTAAGTAGTATGGGTAATCACGCTAAATCCACCACATTCATCACGCTACTCCTCTCTTGCCCCTGGCCTAAACCACTCCTGCTCCCGCGTCGGCTTCCTCCAGACACCGACGTCGACGGAGACGCCAGCCCGGAGACCACTGTCGACGAGGACAGCAAAGACTGATCGTACCCCCTCCTGGTCGTAAAACTATTCCCACTCACGGAACCCTTATCATCCTCAGCAGTATGGGGCTCTCTCAGATTCGCCCAACGGCCGCCCTGCACCGCCGGCGTGATCGATCTCGCCATATACTCTTCCAGCTTCGGCTTTCTCAACCCCACGCCTCTAATCACACTGCTCATGACATCCAAACACTCCACCACCCATCCTAAAAACGCCGCGTGTCGCCTGCTCACTTCCAGCGTCCACCGGTACTCTCCCAACCGGCATCTGTAAAACTCCTCTTCCTCTCTCGTCTGCGCCGTGATACGCAATAACATTCCAAATGCCACGATGAGTGCGAAATTCGTACGGGCAGCCGCCGGCCAGAAAGCGCGCAGATTGTTCGGACGCAGCCGATTGACAAAGTCCATGGCGGATATGAGGCGGGTTTTGGCGGCTGAGCGACAGATGTGGATGAGGTAGTCGTCGGTGTGGTTTGGGTTGATGGAGCGGATTATGCAGCGGTGGAGGGTGATCTCGGTGGCGAAATAGGCAAGGTGAAGCCCGCCGTTGGCCGCCGTGCTGGTGCTGGTGGTGGGGGCGGTGTCGATGGGGTTGAGAGAGGAGTCCATTTTGAGCTCGGGAGGTAGATTGGCGAACCAGTTCTTCAGGCGGAGCTGGATGGGTTTTGCACGCTCGAGGATGATGCGCGTGGATTGGTCGCCGGCGTGGGAGAAATCCTGGGTGGCGCGGAGCGTGTAGAATGTGTCGAGGATGTCGGAGAGGATGGTGGTGAGAGTGATGAGGCAAGAAAAGAGAAGAGGCCCGGCGTGCGTCGGCGGATCGTTTGAATTGGGTCCCTTTGAATAGCAATTTTCAAAGTCATCAAGGGACAGCTCTTGCACGGTCCAGTTCTGGGTGAATATATGTGAGGGCTGTCCATGGGTCAGGGCACACCACTTATCCTGCACGTATAACGCCCAAGCCAGTCTTTTTCGAAGGCCTTTCTCCCAGCTCTCTATTCTCCATGTAGAGCAGTCCTGGTGCAGCCCAATATCAAATGCTGCTGTCACCAACTGAGATATCAGCCTCGGTGAAAAGAGCGCCGACTTTTGAGATAGAAGCAATCCAGCTTGGATGGCAGCCAAGTGTGGTCGCACAAACGAGTCATTTAGAAGCTTGAGAGCTGTAGATTCCAGACGAGCAGCGTCTGGCTTCCGTAATGTCTGTATCCCAGGACCCGGGTCTAGCCATTTCAGGGAAACGAGGTATATTGAGGCGAGAAGCACGGGTGGTACGCTCCTCGACTGATACAGAGAGCGAAAGCGATCCTCCATCAGCACCGGGAAGGTTGGATGGATGTTCTGAAAGAATTTTTCAATTAACGAGGGACCAAAGGGTGTAACCAGATTCTCGATCGCCTCGACGGAGATCGACGGCAGTTCAGGACCAGCGTGAGGCACATCGACCATTCGCATATACGTGCCATCGTCCGAGAACTTGCGGATCCGCGATGCTGCCAATTGGCCCTCGCAGTTCTGGTCCAGTGGAAGGTAGTCCAGGAGCAACGGCTCCAGCTCGGTCGTCATGCCGATATAGTGAGTTGTCAGGGATGGGCTCCCTTGGCACTCCGTTTGGGTAAAATTGTGCGATTGTGCCTCCAATCTGCCTCCCAGAGCGGACACAGATTCGTCTGCTGCATGTCTAATTGGTGTCAGAGGCCTCTCTCGGCTGAAAACCCATAACTAGCCTGGTGGTAACCGTACCTCTTTATAGATTCATTTTCCAAGGTGGTCGTCGTTTCTTCGAGCTTCCTTTTCCCCAGTTGACTGCTTAAGGTAAAAGTACACTCTTGTCTGTGAAAATTGCAGGAATAGCATTTGTTTACTAATTCATTCATAGCGCAGCGGCTCTTCCTCTTATAGCATGCGTCGCAGGTGGCGGAACTCCCAGCACCATGCGGCTCAGTTACCAGACCGGGATTGTTCGCCAGCGAAGCAGAAGAAGACACGGACGCATTGGAGCTAGAGTTTCGGCGATTTATAGCCGGGCTCTCGAGCGCCTGGTGTTGTTCAGCAGGTCGATCGGCAGGAAGACTGGGCTTGGATTGCTGCTGGGGTTGGGAGGCCGCTGATCGAGGACGCAGCACCGGAGAGGCTTGTTGCTGGTTGATAGTGGCCGCAGCCGCCATGGCCGATGCCTGCTGATGCTTTGGTTCAGCTTGTTCTTTTTCTGGGCGATATGCACGACAAATTTCTCCGAAGATGATATCGAGGACGTCAAGAGGTCGCTTGATAGGAGCTTGCCGAGATTGCGACTGATAAGAAGTACGGTTCAAAAGCACGGGTGGATGGGACACAGCCTTCGTTCTCAGGCTATCTTTCAAAGCTATGACTGCAAAAGGGGCGGAGAAAGTTCCCCCCCGGGCTGCAGTTCGCAGATAAGGCGCGCGCCCAGGGACGGTTCACCCCCGATTATCACCGCGACCACAACAAGCGGGATTCAATTGACTATTAGCTCTTCTGAGGACGAAATAGTCAGCTAACTACTGGCTAAGGGAGGCGCGGCTTGGAGGATCCGGTTGGAGGCCCCTGATAAAGGGAACAAGGCAGGTTTATGCACGATGCGAGGCCTGGACGAGAAGACTAATAGCAACTCATAGTCAGGTTACCTTTTTTTCCTTTTTGATAAGAAGATCAGCCAGCTTGGCTTGCCACTTGATAGTGTTCACAGGGAGCTCCGCTTTTTCGAGGTCATCCACATCCACATGTTTGCCGGCTGAGAACGGAGCGGCGAGAAGAAGATAATGAAGCAACAAAGAAATGGGGAACAAGAAGTAGAGGCGGGAAATATGCGCAACTAAAAATGTCAATAATAATAATTAATTAATAAAAAAAAAAAAAAAAAGAAAAGAAAAAGGGCTCGTGAAGCTTGCTATTTTTTTTTTTTCCTTTTCTTCTGGAACAGATTAATAACAGATAGCTACCACAGGTCCCTCCCCCCCTCCCCCAATCCGCCCGTTCGTGAATCGGCTTGGGTTATTATGCACACACCCGCCCATCTCACTCGGGCCATTTTAATTAGATTAGATATATTACGCAGGAAGAGGCTTGGACGTACGGAGTACCTAGGACATAATACTCCGTACAGACAATTCGGCTGCGACGACGCCACCCGGAGAACCAATCCTCGTCCCTTTTTCCTTTTCTTATTTCATTTTGATATTTTATTATATATTTTTTTTTTTTTCCTTTCCACTATAACCCCCCCCCCCTGTCGCCCATCCGTGGCCCGGGGAGCGAATTGGAAACTAAAGACACTGGGGAATGTTCCGTAAGGCTGCTTTCCCTTTGTTGATTCCATATTCCCACACGTAAGAGCAACATCGGACGGGTCGATATCGCGGGCAGCCGCCCGCTCGGCTCGTCTAACCTGGCCTGGCGCATTCTCCGAGGGCCGGGTCCGGGCCAGACTACATACTTCGCTCGCCGGCCGCTCGGCCCCTGCTTGAGGCTCTCCGAGGCGGGCGCCGACGCGTCGTCGTTCGTCCTTTCCCGCGTGCTGGTTGTGCCTGCCGTCTCTTTGCACGTCTTCTTTCTTCGTTTCCTTTTTTGGGTTGGGAAAGAACGAAAAATAAAAAAGGGTGGGGGGAAGGTTTGCGCTTTCCACTTCCACACACACACGTACACACATATAGACACACACACACACAACACGCGACGTCCAACCGCAACTCACCTCTTTCGTCCCATCCTGCAGCGCTGCATTACGTCACTGCCCCCACCGCCAAGCCTTTCCGATAAGCAACCTCGCGTTGATTCGCTGCGGCCCGCTGCTGCCCTTGCTCCCGATCGCCAACCCCGAAATGTCCCGATACATCTTATGTAATGCCAAGGCCCACGCATCAGCGATTCTGCCGGCCCTCGCCGCCCGTCACATGTTTCCAAATGCGAGACAAGGTTGACCCGCGACCCTGGTCAAGTTCAAGCGTTGCGTTCACCCGGCAAAGAAGAAGCTCCGCCGGGGAATAAGGAGCTTGATCGCTGGGACCAATCAGCACCGGGATCCATTACATAAGGTTGCAGCTGTGCCGCGTGAGATCCAGGCTTGGCATTATGTAACCGGGCCCTTAGGTAATCGGAGCCTGAGCATGACTAATCGCGCCCGCGACCAGCCCAGACAGCATGAGCTGACCACCGGCGACAGGGAGCTGGATGACAAAAAGCCAGATCGATCTACATGCCGGCTTGCATATGTAGTAATCTACTGTACATACATACATACATACATAACATCCATACATGCTGACATGTGAGGTTCTCTCTCTGGCGCTGCTGCTCTCTGCCCCTCCACGGGGGCGTCGCGCTTGTTCTGCTGAGTCATGCATCGCTCGGTGTTCCGTTCAAAACGTCTGCGCGGCGGTTGATACTCCGTACTCCGTCCCTAGACACGGAATTCGACGTAAACATGAAGCCCGTCGCATTGAAAATCTTTTGCTGGCGCACCGTCGGGCCAAGCCGTTTCAAACAGATATGCCATTACCTGATCGTGCCATCCTGCTCATAAACGAGGTTTGGAATCCTATCCCTCCTTTAATCTATTCCCCCTGGGCATCTTGCACCCCGGACTAGCCCTGTACTGCTGCCCGAGACCATCTGCCTCCATCACACCACAATAACAGGGTGGTGGCCTCATCTCATCGGATGATTCATCATTTGATTTCGATGCCAAATCAAAGGCATCCCTGTCTCGCTTCTAAAAACAGTAGATGAAGAGCACAAAACGGATCCACCGCATATGCAGAGGGGGACCTGACAAGCAGGGGTATAGTGGCCTCGTCAGACCACCCCGGACAAAAGGGCAATGCAAGCATACATGTGAGGCAAGAAAAGGAAAAGAAAGGAAAACAAAACATGTTAAAGCCGTGTTTTACCATCCAAACGCCAGTTGATCTGTCATACGATATATCTTCTTTCCTTTTTCTTTTTTCCTTTCTTCTCGCGAAAAACACAAAAACACAGGGAGACCATGCCGCCTGAAAACAAACATCGACGGGATATAATGGTGGTGATATAGAACATATGCGCCCGAGACACAACTCGCCCCCCTCCCCCCCCCTTCTCTCCCGAAGCTAGACAAGAAGGACACTATGCAAAACCGTAGTCAGAAAACGAATTCACCTTGGAGCTAAATCCTGAAAAAGAAAAGAGAGTGGGTAGATGATACTCACGCATTGACACATCCGTCGTTCTCACAATTATTTGTAATCTGAGCCCACTTGCCCCAGACCACCTTACCGCCGGCGGTCACTAATCCCAACTCCGACACATTGACTTCGATGATCGTCCCTTTCGTCAGCACCCCCAGCTGTGTATACATCGGGCTCTGCGGGTTTTTCTTCACGCTGATAATCGGCAGTTGCACGGTGACTCCCAACTCCGGATGCGTCACATTCGCCTTCTTGTACCTCAACCCCATCGGCCTGATAAACCGCTCGTACTTGACCGGTCTTCGGGTAAAGTCATTACCCACAAAAGTGGGCTTCGTAATCATCCTCTTCCAGCTCTTCTTCGACGTCTTCTTCCCCGTCTTGACAACCTTGAACATCTCCTCCTCACTGATGCCCTTCACCTTAGGCAGTGGAACCGAGAACTTGGCCGCCTTTTCCGCTCGCTTCTCTTTAATCGCGCTCGAAAGGGCCTTGGCATTGGTGGCCTGGGAGCGGTCGAGGAGATATTGTGGCAGAGGGGTCGTAGAGGGCTCGTTGGGCGCGGCGGACTTGACATCTCTTTCTTCTTGCGCCTTGATGCGTTTGCGCATCTGGATCTTTTCGGCATGGCGCTTCTTGTGGTAGAGTTTGGCCCGCAGGCCGCGGAGGGTTTGTGCATCTTGGGATTGTTTGTGCGATTCACGGGCTATCCGCTTCCGGGTACGCTCCTCGTGGTCGAGGCTGGACGTATACTATGTTAGCTGCAAGGTGCTCAAAAGGTAAGGGAGAAGAGACCGTGAAAGGATCCCCATCCCAGTGCCCAGACAGCGGGAGTAGTCTTTCAGAGAGTGTGTAGACGTACCGCTTCCCGTGCTGCTTCTGCCATCTCTCGATATACCTATGTTTTGTATTAGCATCTTACTCAAACTCGGACTCGGATGCTTGACTGACTCGTTCTGAGGCTGGATTTTAAGGAGGATGTTAGCAATGTATTCACCCACACAGCTCATCCATGGACCCAGTCCTCCCTGCGAAAAAGGGAATCACTCACCATGATGAACGGTATACCAATGGCTGCTGCGTCCTGGCTTCTCACAATTTTCTTATCGCGGCTATCAAAAATCGCCCGTTTTCGCTGTGGTAAGATCACGTGAGCTGACAAAGACGATCTACGGCGGCCGCAGCGGCCACGAAACGAAAAACGAATCTCGAACGTCGAAAATCTGCAGATGTACGGATTTTCAGCACCCGACGGGCAGACAGGACCTCCCCACGACGCTCGCGGACCGGATGGTGACGGTTTAACGGTTTAAGACGACTTCCTATACCCATTTCACATAGACAGCTACCTATTCGGTCAACAATGCTGTCCAGACTACCCGTCCGAGCCGCGCTCGACCTGCGAGCCCGATCCACAGCTCTCCCCAGTTCAACCTTCGCAGCAAGAAGAGTATACCTCCACCAGGTTTCCCCAATAACCCAGTTCCGTGAGACGCACCCCGAGATCCCTCCGCAATCGGCACCAGCAGAACAGCCCGTCCGCCAATCCAAGTCTCAAACCCTCACGACAGCATCACAGACACCCCCTTCGCCCACGACTCCCGATCTCCCATCCGTTATCGAAACCACTATTCCAGCCCCCAAGCCCGCCGTCCCACCAACCTTCACCGAGCCCGTCACACTCACCGAATCCATCATCTCCCTCCTCCCACGCCTCACCACCCAATCTCCACACTACATAACCGCCCACATCCACGCCCGGCCCTACATCCTCACTGCAGGTGACACCCTCCGCCTCCCTTTCCTCATGCCAGACGTTCACTCCGGCGACATCATCCGCCTCAACCGCGCTTCGACGCTGGGATCCCGCGACTTCACTCTAAAAGGTGCTCCGTACATCGACGAGCGGCTGTTCGAGTGCCGACTGCGGGTGATGGGTGTGGAATCGGAGCCATTGCGCGTCAAGGAGAAGACAAAGAGACGACAGAGGCATATTCGGCGGGTTAAGAGCAAGCACAAGTATACGATTCTGAGGGTGATGGATGTGAAGGTGAAAACTCTAGAGGAGCTGATCGCCGAGGGGGCGCAGGTTGAGAAATGATCGGGGTGTGAGTGTAGGGCTTTTTGTTCTTTTTCAAGGTTCGAAAGCTTCAATCTGCCTTACCCATATGTGCATGAGAGAGACGGAATGATGCGTATCAGCGGCTTGGGTATGAACTTTTGTTTTCAATAATGTATAAATAGAATTGTACTCGCTACAGAGTAGCTGGCGTCATAATCAAAAGGTTGGAAATTCATTACTTCTTGTACAAATTAGAAAGATAAGAGAGGGACTCGAAAGAGGAGTGTTGAAAGAGGAAAGTAAGGAAAAGATTGGTGCTGTCGAAGCTGGATGCGCGCATCATAAGTGTGGATGTGCTGTCAAAACCGGAATTTTGTTTAGTCCAAACATGTCAAAAGGAAAAGATAACCGTCGCTCAAAAAAAATATATGTTTCCGTCCGCGCAGTGAGCAAAGCCAAGCTGTAGAAAAATAAAAATTCTCAAATCAACACCTCAAAAAGATGGAATTCTAATCACCATCACGCCGAACAAGCGCCAATGATACAGGATCAAAATAGGTATCTTTCGCACAACACCCAGAAGCTAATGACGGGATAAAAATGTCCAAACTCCAAGAGGTAGTAACCCAAAACAAACGCCAAAATTTTGAAGGGCACAATTTTTGTCATCTATCCTCTTCCATGGCAGCTTTAATCTTTGCAAAGAACCCAGCCGGCCACCCCGCCAATTCTTGGGCTGTGGGAGGTCCTCGAGCACGGCAATGATTGACAACGTTAGTCAATATCCTGCCCAGCGTCTCCTCGGTTATAGGAACCGTACCCTCCATGTGTGTCTCCGGATACAAGAACGGATCGTTAGGGCTGAGTAATTGCTTTATCGTTGGCCTAAGTGCCTGATCGCGTTGCAGACACCCCTTCAATGTTCGCAGAACGTTTGATTGCACGGATACGTTACCCACGCCGACTGGAGGATAATTGATCGGTACTCTAGGATTGGGAATAGCCATGATCCGTTCAAGGGGCTTGGCGATATGGGCAAAAGGCGCTTTGCCGTAGACCATCTGATAGAGTATGCACCCCAAGCTCCACACGTCACTCGGTTTGCCCAATTTCATCATCTTTCCAGCGGTGGCAGGAAGACCAAGGGCAGCGTTGCAATCGATAAGAGCTTCAGGAGCCATGTAGTTCGGAGTTCCTATTTGCTGTTCACGGTGCACATTGACTGTGTGGTCTTGGATAGTGTTTGCAATCCCAAAATCGATAAGCTTGAGCCTGCCATGAACCAGGAGGAAATTCGCAGGTTTGAGATCGGAATGGACAATGTCAAAGTCATGTACAGCTTGCACGCATTCCAGCATCTCTTTCCAGTAGAATCGAGCAAAGACCGGATCGAAAACAGCATCCTCGGTGTTCAATTTGTGCGTAAGGATCCGATGGAGATCCGATTCTCCCATCTCCATAAGAACGCTTAGTGCATGTTTCTCCTCGTTGATCTCCCAATCGAACAGTTGAACGACGCGCCCGACATTCCGCAGCTTCTTCAAAAGATCGATTTCTCCTTTGTAGCCAGCCAATGCATGGGGATCGACATCCTCTAGGTGCACCCGCTTAAGCGCAAATATCTTACAGTTTTCAGCCATCACGCGGTAGACTCGTGAACTACCACCACGGCCTATGCAGTCTAGTCGTGTATAGACCTTTCGGTTGATAGATACTTGCGCTCGCTTTCTCTTAGATTGCGAGGAGCTGGCGGCCCCGGCAACGGCGGTAGCGGTTTCCAGCACACTCATTTTAGGTGGAGGAGGCGGAGCAGGTCGGCGAGGGGTATTGTTGCTGACTTTCCCTAGTGGCTTCCGTGGGGATACTGTCTCTGGCGCGGCCTTGATGGCGCCTTTGTCCTCTTCATGTAGAACAGAGAACTTCTCGATTTTGTTTAGCAGTCCAAACCCTTCAGGTTTAGTCCTCTTAAATGTAGGCGGTGGACCATTCTCCTGATCATGTTTTGCCGGTAGCTCCGGCGGCGAAGGCACACGATATACTGGATTCATATCGACGTTTGGTGACCGACGCTGCCGGGATCCAGACGAGGAATTGAGATGATGGGAAAGAGGGGAGCCACTTTCCAGCGCGCTCACACTCCCACTCCCACTGTTTCGGAGCGATCGTTGCCGGATTGGTATGGATTGAGGAGTTCGAGATAATGACGCGCCAACATTGTTGTCTGAAAATCGTGGAGATTCGCGCCGGCTCTCAAAGGACCGCTTATTCCGTAGCATAGAATCTTCCAACGGCGACGGTTCCTGAGATTCTTCATATCTGTTGCGTGATCCAGAATCAAGGAATGATTCTTCCTGATGCTCGGCGCGCGGCTCTTCCTCACTCTGGCGCCGGAGGACGCCTCTCCTTGCAGGACCATTAAGAAAGGAACCTGACAATTTGCCCACACGCTTCACTCGTAGAGAACCCTGAACTCCAGTCTCGACTTCCGCCCTTGTTCGGGGTACCGTTCCCATCCCAGCTCGAGCATAACTACGGTCGTCTTGGCCGCTCTTCATGCCATCGTCCAAAAAGGACCGCTCCTCAACCCTACTAGCATCGCTAGATGAGCCTCCATTGGCTGACGGTAGTGATGCTGACGGAGAGCGAGTCGTGCTCCTCGAACCTGTCGCAATCCTAACACTTCTTGTCCGCGGTGCCGGGGTGATAAAATCATCGCGATTCCCCTCGTGGACATTATACTCCCTCTCTCCTCTTCCTGACAAAATCGAGGCTTCTCCCCCAAGCGAACTTGGTGAGCGGCGCGACTCCAATCCAAGACGAACAATCCTCAGCGGGGGACTCGCACTGGCACGCTGATCTGGCGACGCAATTCTGACCTGCTTCACATGCTGTCTTCGACCGTCCTCCCTCTGATAAGGTTGATTTTCCGATCCGTCTCTGGTACCTCTTCTCGGCGACGTGTCCAATCCCGACGCATCCTCCCCTAGCAACGCCTTCACCGACGCGCTGAACTTGATGGGCTCTGGAAAATCATCATCGTCTGAGCTATCTCCCGCCGAAATCGCCCTCGATCGCGCTAAATCTTCAGCCATGTTCCCAATCTCCACCGAAATTCCATGTGGCGATCCGTTGCTGCCGATATGTCTTGATACCGTTCTGCGGTGGAGATCATGTAGTGATGCTGGCCGCTGGCGATTACTCGCACTCCTCTGGCCCGAAGGCAATGGCGTAGGGGAGGCAGTAAGGGTCATATTAGTCGGTCCTAAGGTGTATTATAATGCATGAAGCCCGGAGTACCGGTTGTCGACATCTGTAGCTGCGTCCAATTCGAGCGCTTCGCGGGTCTCAATCTCGCGGTGAGGACGCTTTGAAAGGGGCGGCGGACGCTACCAAGACCACCACGTGACCGTATCAACAAGCTGTTTCTACGGCAACACGACCATGGACGGCGACGGTGAGGTCAAACTCGGGCTGCTTCGATGGATCTTGCTGGGTGCGAGAGAGGCGAACTGATGTCTCCGTGCGGGGAGTCCTCAGTTGGAAGGCTATTTCACCATTGAAGAGCACTACAATATACGCCACAGAGTGCCCCCCAGAATATCTTCGTTGAGCACTGAGATTTGCTGTTTCTGCGGACGTGAGAAGTACAGCCGCTACTCCGTTGTTCCTATGCTTTTACGGGATTGAATATGCTTCAGGGGAATGGGATTATCGCCACTCTCACATCAGATTGGTGTTCGATAGTAGCAGGTTTAACCGAATAGAACGTCAAAGTGAAAATCGTAAGAAAAGAACGAAGGAATAGCACTCTCATAATGGCCTGTTCCTTCGAGAATATTGACCTTCCAGCCGTTTACCACAAACAACCCCGTAGCTGCATCAGCCCTTATTCGGGCGATGTTTGGTTAATATGATGGCAATGATTATATTGACCCACCTCATCATCAACTGACTGATTCGTTCTCGACCCCTTGTTCAGTGAATCCACGCCAAAGCGCGGAATTACGAGTGTTGCCCTCATTTCTCTACGTCCGAACCAGCTTTCTCTTCCCGGCGTCTTGCAGGTGATGAGACTGGCGAGCTCTTGCGCCGCCGTCTCGCAGCAGGAGCATATCTTTCAATAGATTGATGCCTCTTTCGTTTAGTTCGGTCGCGACTGCGGCTCCGACTGGACAAGGGGGTTCGAGTGTGGGATCTGGTCCGGCTACGAGCGCGCCGTGGACTGCGATCCCGACGGTCTCTGCTTCGACTAAGAGAGCGATGGTCACGAGAATTAAGGTCCTTGGTAACATCAGCTCGTGTTTCTCTTCTATCATGCTTTGAAACGGTAGATGATGATCTTCGTAACCGACCTCCACCACCTCGACGTCCAGGACTGCCTGAGCGGGACGGCGACCGCGATAACGAGCGTCGTGGTGGCGATCGTGATCGGGAAGCGGAACGAGATACGGAGCGAGAACGATATCTCTGCGACCGTTGGTTTCGGCGACGGCGTGGAGACGGTGAACGCGAAACGTTTCGTGAAGAAGAACTCAGGGATCTTCTCCGATATCTTCTAGGAGAACGTGAGCGAGATGATTCAGAACGAGTGCGAGATCTTGATCGGTGGTCACTATAAACGGGGCTTTCCCTCCTTCTACGCTTGGCGTCCCGCCGGTCGTAGGAGAGAGATCTGCTTATCGAACGTTGCCAACGTCTACCGCGATCTCTTCTGGCCCGATATCCGCGGCGTGGCGGTGAAATCGAACGGGATGGGGAGCGTGCGACGGAGCGAGATGGTGAGCGTGAAAGCGATGGAGAACGCGACATCGATCTTGACGGACGGCGTCCTCGCCCATCCGCCCACCGTGAGCCCCTTCCTCCCGACGGCGCATAAGTATCTCCTCTCGGGCGACGTCTATCGCGGTACCTATCTGGGCTTCGTCGTCTGGGAGGCGGCGAACGTGAATCTCGGAAATTTCGACGACCGTAGTCTCTTCGGTTCCTCCCGCCGCCGGCGCGCTCCTCTCTCTCGCGTCGCCTGATCGCCTCCATTTCCCGCTCACGAGCTAACTCTTCTTCTTTCCGTTGACGGGCTTCCTCGGCTGCCTTCTCAGCATCAAGCTATCCGAAGTCAGTATATAGCCAGGGGAATACATCGACAGACAAATGTGGCAACCTTTTCCTGTATAAGCTCCAGCTTCTTCGCTTCAAGCAGCTCCTTCGGCACACCCTGCGGGTTGCTTTGCGCGCTCAAGCACAGGTTCCATAGGTCCTTGCAGAATTTGGGCGTATCCTTGTCCAAGAATCCGGTAAGCTGGATCTGTAAGTGCTTGATATTTGGCTGCAAAAAATGCGTCAGTACACGCCGCGTTCCTTCTGATGTAAGGCACGAAATGGTAGGTTTGGGTGGGGGGAGGAAACGTACGAATCGCGAACCCTCGATCAGATTGAAGCACAGTTCAATGACGACATCATCTTCATTGCCCAGGATATCCGAGATCTTGCCTGCAATCCATCTGTCTCCGAGGTCAGTCTCCAAGCAGTGGCGAGCAAGCTCGGGAGCTGGGGCAGTGGCAGGGGGAATACGCCTCACTTTTTCATCACTTCGATGTTGACTTTGTTCATGTCGACCTTTGTATTGAACTCGGGAGGGAATTTCGTCTGCTTCAGCAACTTCGCATCCACGTTAGCCGCCATGGCGGGCAACAAGCAGCGGCTGCCTTGACAACGCGGCGTTCCCTGCGCACGGCAAAACCTGGCCAGGTTGGAGGACGCAGCTCAACGGGAGGTCAAGAAGAAAGATTAGTTAGCCGCTGACAAAGCATCCGAAGCCAATCACCGAGCTCGCCAGTTGTTAGTTCCGCTGTCACATAGCGGGGCTTTAGTTGGCCAAATCCCGACTGACTCAGCAGGACTTCCGTTTAGCTAATAGTATCAACATGAGAACAGTGTCTTTTCGGGTTGATATTGGACTTCATAACCAGCTGCAAGAAAAGAGGAGAATATCAAACATTGTGATCTTTCAGGTAGCTCAATTTTATGGTGGTAAAACTTACTATCAATGTTAGGGTACAAAAAGAGATATATAGAATGATTACGCAAGGTCACGCTGGGTGGACTTAACCTGACCGTCTTCTTCGGCGAGTGAAAGAACAAAACAGAGCCAAAGGTGAATGATCACTCAAGTTCTTAAATCTATTCTGGGATTGTCTGTCGTAGAGTATATCTCTACCCACAGCTTTTTATGGCTTCTCCCTCCTTGCTGCTCGCAGGTTCGAATCTCAAGTATGTCATAAAAATGGCTTGTCGGTCTCTATGAGCCTCATTAAAACAATCAATACCATTCAACCTCGTTGAGTGTCTCGCGCGTAAATGGTGTACCTATCCTCCGCATAGAGTACGTGCCCTGCGTACATTTGATAAGAAGGGAAAATTGGCTCAATCGGGGTTTGGGCCCGCTTGATGACGATTGCAAATCGTAGATATTGCTAGAGGGCAGTTGGAAGTGATTGCATCGAAGATCCAGCAACAGCTGAACATTTTCAGCTACCAGCAATACATTTGAAAACTGAAAACGAATAAGCCTGTTTAGCATCACACACGAACACTTTGCAAAAACACCACCAACGCCGTGCCCGAATGGTTCCCAGATTCCCAATCAAGGGTTAATACATAGAGCCGCTAATACAGCGCGGATTCGCATCGCCCTTTATCTCCTATACCTCCTCCAGCTCCCACAATACCCGGCTAACATCATCCCTCGCTTGTCGCAGGTCCTTGTCCACCAATCCCCCGTTCTGGTACCGTTGATGTCTCAGCTTCACCTCTTTATGCAAATCAATCAGGTCCTTTGCGCGCTGAAGGTCTGGATTCATGGACTGGGAGCTGGCGACGGCAGAGCTAGCATCCTGGGGATTAGCTGAACCTGGCGCTGTTTTGCCCACGTTCAGGAGAGCGGCGGCATCTGCGTGTTCCTGGAAAACTGGTCAGTCGGACCATAGGGAGTCTAATTGCGAAGTCAATCGGTGAACATACACAGGCCCGAAGGGAGGTGAGGTCGGAGAGTATCTCAGCGACCTTCATTCTTCTCGCGTTGCTGCTGGACCATCGATCGAATTGCCTGCTGGTCGGGTTCGGGAGAGGTGGAGATGATCCCGGCCGGGAAAATCTTCGGCAGCGAGCTTAAAAGTAGCCAAAACTCAACCCCCACGGAGGTCTCCGCCGGGAGAAAATGAATGGTGTCGAGGAACACCTCCGCTGTTGCAACACCGATATTAATAATTGAGATCCATTGCGCGTGTCTATTATTTCTACAAGGGATCAATAATTCAGGACAATACTCTCCTCTTTAAGACACCCAAGCTCTGACTTGCAATTCGCAATGGCGTCGATCAGGGAAAACTGCCGAAAAATCATTTGCATCGGCCGGAACTATGCGTGCGTCCCGATGGCCTCCTATCCACGCAACTCCCCGAGCCAGCAAAGTTGCCTACGAGACCAAGCCGCTGACACTTTCTCCAATGCAGAGACCACATCGCTGAACTCAACAATACCCGCCCCAAGAAACCATTTTTCTTCCTGAAGCCCACAACTTCGCTTGTAACGCCCGGCTACCCGCACGTCTTCAGACCAAAGGGCGTAAACCTCCACTATGAAGTCGAGCTCGGCCTTATCATGGGCCGCCGCCTGAAAGACTCAGATCCAGCTGACGAAAAGGGAGCTTTGGATGCCATCTCCGGTATGCGATTGAACATATATCACTTCAAAAGAGAGACACACAGCCCCTTAAAAAAAAGGAAAAAAGGAAAAAAGGAAAAAAGAAAAAAACCATTGAGAAAGCTTCTCCAAGACCAACCCGCTCATAACTTCTGCTCCAGGTTACGTCGTCGCCATTGACATGACCGCCCGTAACGTCCAAGAGTCCGCCAAACGCGCCGGCCTCCCCTGGTCCATCGCCAAGGGCTTCGACACCTTCTGTCCCATCAGCAACTTCATCCCCAAACAAGCCATTCCAGACCCCCATAACGCCAATCTACATCTTTCCGTGAACAACGAGATCCGCCAGAATGACAACACCGGCTTGATGCTGTATCGCATTCCTCAGATTCTAGCAGAGATATCTATGGTCATGACGCTCGAGCCTGGTGATCTTGTCCTGACGGGTACACCGAAGGGAGTGGGCGAAGTGAAGCATGGAGATGTCATGAGGGCAGGAATCAGTGTAGATGGGAAGCGATTGCCGGAAGGGAATATCGAAGTTACAGTGAAGGATTCCGAGGGGAGGTTTACCTTTGGGGAGTTTTAGACGGCAAGGAAAGGTGAGATGAATGTACAGGACAATATTTGAGTATATATACACTACATACACCCCATCTCGAACAAAAATATGGATGATATTACTTTAAGATGAAAGGTTGAGACTTAAGGGAGGAGTCACCTCCTAACTATATCCCATATATCCCGAAACATCTACCACCCCTTGGTCCCTATTCGAACGAACAATTGCTTATGGCTTTAGCCCCCCATCCGCCCATCTGAGCTAACCACTCATTTTCTTCCTCTTTTGTTGACCATACAATAGGGATAACCCTCTTCCTCTGTTTAGTGGTGTTCCTCCTGCGGTTTGCAGCATTCTGCTGCGCCCGCGACCGCTGCTTCTTCTTTTGCTCTATCAAATCCCTCACCGCACCCTGAAGTGCATTCCAACTCCACCCATCCCTCTCCAGTCCCAGTTCCACGATGCTCTGATCATTCGGATCGTTAAATCCATCCCAGAACGCCTGCACGACTTTACTTTCGTCACGTCGCCTAGGAAATTTTGCCAGCACGGACCGTCCTAGCTCAAGATAGTTGGATAAAGAGAGCGCGTTTTGCTTTAGGGACCGGATGGGGTCCTCAGGCTTCGTCCCGCGGCTTGGTTGCTTTTGTTGTCCCATTAGAAAATCCTCAGACGGCGGGGCTGATATTGGTGAAATTTGGGTAAAATCAAAGTCAACCATGGGCGCTGGTGATTCTGCAGGAGGCAATGGTAAGGATTCCCGTATCAGTTCCACGGATGGAGGGCGCTCTATGCGACGGAAACGGAAACTAGATGGTGTTTCCGATATCCTCGACAGAGCACGGGTGGGCTTTCGGGCGCGCTTCGGCGCCTTTGGGGATGGTTGAGCGGCAGGCGGTTCTGATAATGTTGAGTATCGCTGTGATGGCAAGCTTCCCGGTGTCCGCTTCGACTTCACTATTGTGCCTATACATTAGCCATATACATATCTCCTCTGCGTCTGAAGCCATGAGAGTGAGAGGGAAATGTAGCGAAATAATGAGCCAGCTCAACCCTACTCACCACACTCTTTTCTCAACTCATCCACTTCCTCCTTTAAACCCCTGACCTCTTCCATTAGCCTGTCCATCAAGCTCCTATTCTCTCGTGTCATGCCCCTCTCCCTCTCCGCCTCTTCTTCCAATCGCTTCCTCTCCTCCCAATCCAATATCCGCTGTTCAACCAACCGCTCCACAGCAGCTTTCACTCCGCTGACATCGTCCCTCAATACATCCATTCCATCTCTCATCTCGCCAGCAGCCTTCTCCAAGCTAACAATTGTTTTATCCACCACGCCGGCCTTTCCATTCAGCCCACATACTTCCTTCTTCGTTTTATCCACGCTCGACTCGAGCGCCGTGATCTGCCCCACGAGAGCCTTGTGCTCGCGGCGAAGTTGATGAGCCCAGAGGAGCGAGGCTGGCAATATACCTGAGCTATCAAGCGTAGGAAGAGACATCTTGAGTGACAGCCGTGCCTGAGGTTACTCTGCAAACGGTGGAAAAGGAGATGGTATAAAAGCAACGGAAAGGTGAGGTAGATGAGAAGAGTCACAGGCGGAGCCATTACCTTTTTGGGAGGATCCTGCTGATGAGGCTCTGTCCGCCCTTTCCGGGAGGAAGACAAGACACGGCCCGTGAGTTTGAGAATGTATCAAGAATAAGTTATATGTGAAAGAAAAACCAGCGTCGCATTTTTAACTCTTATCTATCAAAAACTCGGAAAATCGCAAGCGCACAGGGTTAAAAAAAACAAGACCTCGCCGCCACCCATAAGAAGAACCAGGGCACACTCATCATTTGTGTATGCAAGTGGGTTGGAGGACCTCGTCTCATTTCCCGTGCCGTCATCATTCATGACCAGAACAAAACAGTGAGACAACATGGGAACTGGGCAAATGAAAAGATGAAAAAGGAAAAGAAAAAAAATATATCAGGCAATTTTGGCATGTGCCTATGATCCTTTATTTTTTTTCCCACCCTGATCACGTATGCTGTGTGCATGCTTAACCAAGTGAAGAAATAAGAAAGAACCCAAGGCAACGATGAAGACTTACGAAGTCAAGAGATAAAAGTGGAAGATGCAGATTTGAGACACTGGAATGTAGGGAATAAATTGGACAATGACGCCCCTCTGAAAGTGCATACAAATATGAGAGAAACCTGAGAATATTTGGCATCGAAGCGACAGAGATGTACAGGATATATCTCATAAGCTTCCATGCCATTGCACCCAGAAAGAAATACATGCCATAAACAAACCCGCGGTACAACTTTTTAAAGAAACAAGCACTGCCAATATCATCCATTATTAAACCCTAAGTCGTAAACGGGTCTCGTGTCGTGAGCTTGAACAAAGTCTTTCCAACTCCACAGCCTTGGTATACCGATGACACGACAGAGAGTGAAGTTAATCAAATTAAATGAGATCTGCAGACAATTTAGTAAGCATATGTTTCAGAGGTGAGACTGAGAACGGATGTACATACCGGCAACGTTCATGGGCATTTCTTCGATTTGAGTGCTGTAGAACTGCTCGATTTCTCTCATCATACGGACATCATCAGCGGTGACGAAGTTGATAGCGACACCCTTACGACCGAAACGACCACCACGACCAATACGATGGATGTAGTTCTCGCGGTTAGCGGGGAGATCATAGTTGATAACCAAGGAGACTTGCTGAACGTCGATACCACGGGCAAGCAAGTCAGTGGCGATCAAAACACGGGAGGAACCAGAGCGGAACTCCTTCATAATGACGTCACGCTGGTTTTGCTCCATCTCACCGTGCATGGCAGAAACGGTGAAGTCACGAGCAATGAGCTTGTCGGTCAACCAGTCGACCTTTCTCCTGGTGTTGCAGAAGATGACAGCTTGAGTGATGGTGACGGTCTCATAGAGATCGGAAAGAGTGTCGAGTTTCCATTCCTCCTTCTCGACGGCAATGTAGAACTGCTTGATACCTTCGAGGGTAAGTTCGGCCTTCTTGACCAAGATGCGGACTGGGTCACGCATGAATTTGGTGGTTACATCCAACACATCCTGTGGCATAGTGGCAGAGAGCAGGACGACTTGGGTGGACTGAGGCAAAAATTGGAAAATGTCGTAGATTTGCTCAGTGAATCCACGCTGGAGATCCAAGTTAGTCAACCCATCTAGTGGCTGCCGGGAGCAGGGGACATACAGAAAGCATTTCATCAGCCTCGTCGAGGACGAACATCTTCATCTGATCGGTCTTGAGGACACGACGCTGGATCATGTCGTGAACACGGCCGGGGGTGCCGACGACAACTTGGGGGCCGTCATTGAGGGCCTTTATATCTTCGCGGACATTGGTACCACCAATGCAGGCGTGGCACTCAACACTCATGAAATCGCCGATGGCAACGACGACCTTCTGGATTTGCTGAGCAAGCTCACGGGTAGGAGCAAGAATGAGAGCCTGGCAGGCCTTGAGGTTTGTGTCGACCTTCTGGAGAGCAGAGATCGAGAAGGTGGCAGTCTTTCCGGTTCCGGATTGAGCCTGGGCAATGACATCGGAACCTGTAACATGGATAAGCTTTCACGAAGAACTATGAGGGCAGGTAAAGCGCGACGTACCCTTGATAACTGGCATGATAGCGCGCTGCTGGATAGCAGACGGGCGCTCGAAACCATAAGCGTAGACACCTGGATAAAAGAGTTAGCAGCGGTGATAGCCGGCCCCCCAACGTGGGGCTCGCTCTGAGGAACTAGCACACCTCGTAGCAATTCGGCACGAAGGTTCATAGCATCGAAAGAATCGGTGATCTCATCGTAGTTGGATTCGATCTGGTCTAGATAGTTTCAACCAGCAGTGTTAGCCATACTCAGCCCGCGTCGTGGATGCAGTGCGATGCTGGTGAGAGGGAGGGAGGTTGCCACAAGACAACCACAACTGTTCTAAAGCAGTTCAACCAGCAGGTGAAAAATCAGCAGCACTTACTATCTGGGATCTCCTCGAGACCCTTGTCATTAGAAGCCATGATTGCGGTTTAGAATAGAAACGACCACAAGCTCTGTGCTGTGGTCCGATGTGAATGAGGGGTTGTCTTGTTCAAGTAGTGAGGAAGAGCCACCAAGCGATCCTTGTAAGGAACTTCTCGTGGCAGATGAAAAGCGTCCAAGTGGTTAAATACCTGTGCTCTCTGGAAACAGGAGCACTGTACAACTCTAGGTGGTAGACGTGTTGTTCTTGGAAGGGAGAGTTGATGACTAGATGTCAGTTGTTGTGGGAAAGATTTGAAAATCTTGGAGAGCGAGAAATTCTTTTTTTTTACCTCTTGGGCAGCAGAGGAACGGCACCAGCCGTGAAATTTTTAATCCTTAGCGTCATTCTGATGTTTCGCGTGTGGATGGTGCCGGCATGCTATAACTTAGCATCATCCTTATGTAACCATGGGGTGGGCATCCAACCACTTTGAAGTTTGTCCGCCCTGCTGAAAGACAAAAACTGCGAAATTTTTTAATTTTTTTCTTACCAGGATGCCGGGTCTTTTCTGCAAGTTAGAGTGCCAGCGATGGCTATTCTGTCTCTATATGATATATCTCACCTTCGTTGCTGTCTGGTCTGTTACACCCAGAGGGAGTTGCCATAGATCTTGCAAAAAAATCCCCCTTATCCCACTCTTTTCCCTTTCCATATCATTTCATGTGAAATCAATATCCTAAAAAATGTCATGTATTCTTGACAAAACCAATATCTACACTTCCTAGACCAAAGAATTGCATTATGATAACAGGTTGCCCCAAACTCCTCAGGCCAGAGGTGGAACGTGCCATGGCGTCGATGTCTTGTGAACTGGCTGGCAGAGACACAGTGTTTACAGCTGGATGCAACCTTGCACTGCCCAAATTCATACAGCCTTTACCAGGAATGCACGATGGCTTTATGCTTTTACATCTTCTCTCTCCGTAAAAGATCACTAATAATTTTACAGCCACCTGCCATGATGCAGCAACACATTTCCTGACTGAAACAATGGCTCATCAAAATATGTCTTTTGACCGTCCTGTTGCGTAGTCGCAAGCATGGCTGGCCTCGCTGTGAGTGACTTAGACTATCAGTATTCAAGACAAGCAAATTTTCGCTGCGTACTAGCCCACATTGCCATGAGTGTGCGCGCTTCAATGGTGCCAAAGGATGGGAGAGCAATTCCTGTATACTAGTCTCATGGCGACCTGTTCGAGAGATAGGTAGTGGAGTAGGTTGGCTGGTTGATTGGATTTCCTAAACTGCACCATTAATGTTCATTTGGTTGATATTACAGGACATATTTATTGCCCCGTATACTCTGTACATGAGGCCTAAATACAATCATATTTTAATCTGTCCATATAGGTTTTCTATGTAATATTTACTGTGCGCGGCACTAACGTCAAGTCGTGATGCTTCAGAACCAAACCAAAGAAAATTTTGTCCAAACTTTATCGCCAAATTCACGGCCAAACGCAACCAGCATTCTATCACCGAGATGCACCCATTGAGTTCTTCAGGCATATAAACAATGAATGGCGGCGACCCCTCAATATCACAGGCCAACGAGGCCTTTGATAACCCTGAAACAATCCCCTCCCACCCCCTCGGCGTCAAGCCGTCTGGGAACGGACTCACCGCCTCCTATAACCTCCGCTCCTCAATTGGGTATTTCGGCATCCTACCGGATGAACTGATTTCACTTCTGCTTGAATCCTTGGACGTGAAGGCGCTGAGAAGCTTAGGAGCAACGTGTAAGGCTCTGCACGCTTTTACTAGGAGCGAAGAGCTGTGGAAGGCAATTTTTATAGAGTACGTTCAATATTTAAGATATCGCTAGAACTGGCCCTGTGTGTTGTGTGTTTTGATTGAAAAGCGTTTTTCCGTTATCATGGTATACATACATATCTGGCAATTCTCTTGGGCATGGCACACGTTCCTTTTCAACAAGGGATATTCTCTTCAATTGGGATCGCCACGCAGCTCCGTTTGAACATTGCCTCTCCCCACCCATGTCGGTAGCATGCGATGATATCCGTACTAATAAAGTCCAGGACACCACCTCAAAACTTCACCTGGCGAGGTACATGGCATTCCACATATCTAAACTTGCCAGAATCGGAAGTGGCTTCGCCCGACTGCTCGTATCTCTTTTCAGATGTTCTCCACCGGCCATTCTACTGCGCCCATGTCTCCCTATCGACCTACACTGAGAATATTCCCTCCAGAAACCAGATTTCCCGGCTCAAGGACCTCTCGCCGGCTGAGTTTGAAGAGTCATGGACAGATCGTCCATTCATCCTGACAGAGCCCGTCAAGAGCTGGCCAGCATATAAGAACTGGTCCATCGAGACGCTCCTTAAGCAATATGGTGATGTGCTTTTCCGTGCGGAGGCTGTGGATTGGCCGCTAAGAACATACGTGGACTACATGAACAACAACTCCGATGAAAGCCCGCTGTACCTCTTCGATCGCAGCTTTGTGCAAAAGATGGGCCTTCCTACGCATGGCGAAAGTGCAGCATTCCAACCCCCTGCTTGCTTTGGTGAAGACCTATTCGCGGTCCTGGGTGCTCAACGCCCTGACAAGGAGTGGCTGATCGTCGGCCCTGAAAGAAGCGGGAGTACCTTCCACAAGGACCCCAACGCGACAAGTGCGTGGAACGCGGTGCTCAGCGGGTCGAAATACTGGATCATGTTTCCCAGCTCATCTTCTCTACCGCCCCCGCCAGGTGTGTATGTCTCCGCCGACCAGAGCGAAGTCACCTCGCCGCTCAGCATCGCGGAATGGTTGCTGAACTTCCATGCCGCTGCGCGCAACGTGCACGGATGTGTAGAGGGAATCTGCGGTGAAGGGGAGGTCCTCCATGTGCCTTCTGGATGGTGGCATTTGGTGGTTAATCTAAACCCATGCATCGCCATCACGCAGAATTTCGTTCCGCGGAAGCATCTCGGCGCGGCCCTTGAGTTCTTGAAGTACAAGGCTGACCAGGTGTCTGGGTTCAGAAAGGACGTGCTAGATCCGTATGGAATGTTTGTCGAGAAGATGCGGGAAACACATCCCGATTTACTAGAGAAAGCGATGAAGGAAATGGAGGGCAAAAAGAAGAGAAAATGGGACGAGATCGTCCATGGAAATGGGGATGATGCGACAGAAGCGTCAGCTGGAGCTTTCAGTTTTGGTTTTGGCGACGAGGGAAGTGATGTTGAAGTTCCATGATAGTGAAAAGCCCTCAAATTTTGAGGATTCAAAAAGTATTATAGATACAGCTTCCGTCAGATACTCGATCTCATCCAGCGAGAACATGCACACTCAATACACCCACAGCTTTATGTTTACATTGCCAGCATGTCAAACGAACGTCATTTCTCCTTTGTCAACATCTAGAAAAGCCAGTAAGCGTAGATCAGTGACACGACGCGGACTTTGCTGCCGAGGACGAGCCAAAGGTTAGATAACCCAAAAAAGCGCCGATTCCAACGGAGATCATGACCCAGCCATTATATGTCATAAAAAGGAGCCTATATACGCATTAGCATCTCCCATTCTCAAGCGAAATGGGGCCGGGATAGCAATATACATGATGAAGAAGCTGTAAAAGACCTGCACGCCATAGAGCGAGGCAATGACAATTTTCCTCCTCCGCCCGACGGGTTCACTGGTGTTAACATTCCTTGCTGGAAAAAGGAGTGAGCTTGATTCATCATCGCGATGATGATTTTCTGTCGGGCCATATGCTTCTTCTTAATTCAATTAAGAGTGAATGAGAAGACTTGTCCAAGATATACCATACGCAGGCATACAGCGAACATCGACCAAGAAAATGACATATATGTTGAATATAAAACAAAAATTCGAAGTCAAGTGAACATACCGGACCCCGGGGCCGGAATAGCCCCTTTAACGCCTCTCCCGCATGCACCCTCGTATCTTCTTGTCAACTCCCTGACGGCTTCATATCCCGCAGTCAGGAGGATGACACCGACAAGAGAAAAGAGCAATGAGACGGGACCAGTAACGCGCCACTGGCGGAAGACCAGGCACAGGTTCTTCGTTGACCATGTAAATAGCATCTGTTGTGCAGATGTCAGTCGAATGGCCTCACCGCTGGTCGGGAATGATCGGCTATATCGGCGACAAGGGGGAGTACTCACGTTCATGCTGCACTGGTCGTGACCCATGTCCATATCGCCATGGCCGCTGTGATCCATGGTGATCGATTACTCGGAGACAACTGCTTGTAGTTCTTCTATAGAATGCATGGGCTTTCTGTACCCTCTTCGATAGCCCGTGGTTCCTCCTGACGCTGACGGTTCAAGGCTTCATATGACCTTTAATGTTATGACTTTTCAGGCCTGTTACACCTGTGCACGTGACCATGCAGCTGGTTTCGCGTCGGGTTTCTGCGAATCTAGTTACGTTTATGACTGTGAGGTAGGTAAAGGGAAATTCATCGGAAAGGCAATTGACAATGCCTTCTCTGTATATAAATCGTAGGGAAAAGTGGCGAACAACACGCTGTCGTATCGACCGCTCAACTTGATATGTACACCTCCCGAATAGTAAATTACCATTCTGATTGTAGAATGGAATAAAGTAGTCCCGAAAGGGCGTTTGGTTTAGTGGTATAACATATCTTTCGCATAGATAGGGTCGCCGGTTCGATTCCGGCAACGTCCATTTTTTTTTTTTTAACCGCTTGGCAGGTTCGAGGCGCCTCCTGTTCTCCCCAAAGAGATAAACACTATTAATTCCGTACTCATTACCGCGTATTGAACTCTTGAGTGACAAAGGGGTGTGACTGGCGTAAGTACCTGGGCAAAAGGCGACCAACAAAGGAACCCTCTACCGCCGTCGGTGAATTGGCGACAATGCAAACAAAGCAAACAGCATGATATCGGACTCCCGCGAAAGCTCCCAACGGCTTGCCGGACGACCACTCAATCCCGATCGAAAACAACGGCTGAGTTTCCTTTTCACCTTTGAAAGTCAGCACTATCTCCCACATCCCGCAAGGTAGCGACAGGCCAATGACAGAGAACGTCCCTCCGTCCACCGCGCCCTCCGCGCCTGGCACAACCGCCGCGACTGGGCCAGGTGCAGCAGGCCAAGCTCCTCCGACGCGCGGAGTACCATATTACGAGAAACTACGCAAAGAATTACGTGACACGCTCCAGAAGAAGAGGTTACTTGACAGAAATCTCGTACGTCTGCCTTCTCTCCACTTTCAACCGGCAGTTTTGGCCATCTATCACAACCTAGCCCATCCCGTCTCCTTTACCCCGACATTATGAAATATAACCTCAAGCTAACCTATACCCAAATTCAATGCAATAGGCAACCCTAGAAGAATCAATCTACCGCTTCGAGCAATCCTACCTCGAAGAAACCGGCGCCGGAAATATAATCAAGGGTTTTGACAACTACATCAAAGGCTCCGCAGGGGCGTCCTCACTCGGCGCTGCAGGTGGACTTGGCTCCTCCTTCGCGGGTGGCACCTCTGGAGCGGGCAGCGGAGGGCCCACAACGAGAAGGAAAGCACAAGTGTCAGATCTAGACAGGGTGTTCTCCCGGAGTTCAGCGAGTTTCATGAGGGTGAGCTATCTTCCCCCCAAACCGCTACACAACATGCAACCGTGGAGATTAAAAAAAAAAAAATCTCGTGCTAACTCTTGGATAATCGCAGGACTCTCCCGCTCCTTCAAGCGCACACACCACGCCTTCCCATGCCCCTACACCAACCTACTCCGGCTCCAGCGGCAAAGCCGACAGAGACGCCAAAGATTCATCTGCGCCAAACAGCGTGAAGGGCGCGGCGAGCAAAAACAAAAAGAAATCTGCCGGAGCCGCTCGCGAGAGAGAAGATGACGATGATGGTGGGGAGACGAAACCACCCGTGAAACGGCTGAAAATTACATATGGCAGGGGAGACTGAAAGGGAGAATGGCACGGGGCGGTTTTATGGTCGTTTCTCAGCTTTGCGACAATGACCCTGAGCAATAGACTCGCTGATTCTGTCTGTGGAATCTATCCTAGAGGATCTGGATTGAGCTTTTATGTCGTACTTGTTTAAAGGTTGCATAAGCGATGGTTGGTCTCGGGGAGTTCTATCGGTTGGTAGTTGCGGCGCAACAGTGTTGTTATTATATATGTGGTGAGGTGAGCGTTTTCTTTTTTCTTTTTTCTTTTGTCTTTCAAACATGATCGGTCGAGTAAAGCCCTATATTGGATTCCGACATTATAAAGTATAGATACCTATTATGAGCTGTATGTACTATACATACATACATACGTCCTATATGTCATGACATTAAATAGTCCCGGGTTTGGTAGCGAAACGTCTCTAGAACGGTTCCATTTCAAAGACCACCAAGACCCCCAAGCAGGAAAAAGAACAGAGCAGCCATTAAATATACAACAATATGAATAAACGCGAAAATTAACCTACCTTATATGACCCGAACAGCCTTCGGCCATGCTGATCAAAGCTGTAATCGATACGTAGCAACCTCGAACGGCCTCAACTCGATATCAATCTTCAACCCATCTTGAGCTTTGTCGATATGCAAAGTTTCTAGGTCATCCTCTAGAACATTGCATTTGTACGCTTTTCGGATGGGTAATTTCACCCCAAGAGTGCCGCGACTCTTGCCTCCCATCGAATCATAGATTCGGAGAATAATGCTCTTGCCTGGCCGTTGCTCAAGCTCGCCCCGAGACACGTCTTGATCGTCTTCGCCACGCTTGACCGTATCCAGTATCAGATTAGGCGAGCCGGTAAGCTGGATGGCCTTGAAAAGATCGTCGGCTTCTTTTCCCGAGAATGCTTGCACAATCAAGGGGTTGTTGAAGTTGTAGCCAGCCCTGACAGTGCGATAATCAAGAGAGCCAGAATGAGGCATAATTGCATAGCGAATATGGTGGCGGCCGATATCCGCGTTGGCGTCGGGAGCCTTGGGAGCACGAAGGAGGGACAGGCGCATCAGGTTTCCGGCCGTGGCAAAACCGTACTTGGAGTCGTTCAATATAGAGACTCCGTAGTCGCTCTCAGACAAATCTGCCCATTTATGGCAGCAAACTTCGAATTTCGCCATGTCCCAGCTAAAAAAAAAAAAAAAAAAAAAGAAAAGATGGCAATAAGAGTCTGAACCACACGCTAAAAGGGGGGGCACATCTTACCTTGTATTATAATGTGTTGGTCGCTTGGTGACCGCGAACTGCGTTTCATACGACGCTTCTGTATTCACAATGTCCACGGGAAATTCGACTTTGAGGAATTTCATGCTTTCATGCCACTCAACCTCGCAATCCATTTCAACATACGCGGGGAGATCTCCAACTGCCTCCTTTAGACTGATCGTGGTTTTAATCCAGCTTTCATTGCTGATCTTTGTTTCCGTGACCACGCTCACTCTATGGGGTCCAGTTTCTCCAATGCTGGTGGTCTCTGACTGCAGCTCCTTGCGGGATTCAATATGGTATACCTCGACGTCCCATGCTTGCCAGTAGAGCGGCTTGTCGTCAAAGATGACATACTGATTCGCTTTTCCACCCTTGGAAACGACCTCCCTATTGGCCTTGCGATCGAACAGCGACGTAATAACTCCGTTAGTCACCCGCAAAGTAAGTGCATCGTTCTGGAGTTGGAACACGCCTGGTTCGACCTCTTTCACACTAAGGGATGTACTCTGGGAAGAGCTCAGCGGCTCTGCAGATACCACACCGGTACTTCCTCTAACCAGGGCATATTGCGGCGTGGCAGCAGCGGATTTCGGCTGGTCGATTGGCACAATTTCGGATCTATCCCAGGGTAAGGTGTTGATCGCTATCAGCTTCTGATTTGTGCTCTGCTCCGGAACAAAGCCGAGAACCCGCATCGCTTCCTCCTTCAGCCTACGGGCGGTTGCGAATACTTCTGCGTAGATCTTGTCCGAATCATCATAGCACATCTCGATCGAACTTCCCGGGAGACAATCGTGGAACTGGCATAGCAACACTGACTCCCACATATCATCCACTTCTTTCTTCGGGTACTTGTAGTTGGAACTTTTAAGAGTAGCAAGAGTTGCCAGAAGTTCGAGATCACGGAGGACAAATTCTGATTTGCGATTATTGCGCTTATTGTTCGCTTGGGTGGTGTATGTACCGCGGTGCAGCTCGAAATACAATTCACCGTACCAGGTAACGAAATCGGTTCCCTTGGCCGCTTTCTGTTCGAGCTGGGCGAAAAAGTCATCGACTGAACTGCCCATGGTAACTCGTGGAAGCAGGCCGACCTTGTCGCTGAGACCACGAAGACGTCGAAGCTTCTCGATGTGCTCAGGGGTAGGGCCACCGCCGCCGTCTCCCTTTCCAAACACTAGAAGGGAGGTATTATCCTGGTCCATTGATTTATGCTGTGTGACGCTGCGTTTGACGTCTCCAAAGTGAGCATCGGAGGTGTATGTCTCTGCGGGCGTCATGTGGCAAAGAACCTGGGTGCCATCGGGGGAAACCCAGTTGAATGTCGTGTGCGGGAAGTTATTGATGTTATTCCAGCTCAGCTTCTGCGTGAAGAAACGGCTCATTCCCGCCAACCGACACAATTGAGGGAGCTGTGAAGAGTAGCCGAATGTATCGGGAAGCCAGAAGGTCGAGCATCGTTCGCCGAAACGGCTTTCGAAATACCGCTGCCCGTACAAGAATTGGCGGACCAGAGACTCGCCGCTAGGGAGGTTGGTATCGTGCTCTACCCAGCTGCCCCCGATCGGCTGGAAGTGGCCCTTCTTGACCCAGCTTTTAACCCTGTCGAAGGCATACGGGTAGTCTTCTTCCAGCCACTTGAACTGCTGTGCTTGGGAGCAGCAAAAGCGAAATTCAGGGTATCGTTCCATCAGGTCACACTGGGTGGACCAGGACCTGGCTACTTTCCGCTTTGTCTCGGCGAACGGCCAGAGCCAACAAGAATCGATATGGCAGTGTCCAATACCGAAGACAATGGGCTTTCCCTCGGTCTTGTAAACGTCCGGAGAGTTGACGAGGGTGCCTATATACTGTTCGGCAATTTTGCGAGCGGCCTTGATGGACTCCTGACTCCCATTTCCGGCAATGAATGCATCCATCATGGCATTTCCGATGCGCAGCGCTTCATGAGACTGCCACGAGTCACCTGGAAACTCTCTTGCAGCATCTACATGCCCAACTCCCCTTTAGTGGAAAAAGGCCCCATTTGAATACACAAAGTGAATGTAGCTCACCTCCGATCATCCAGAAATCATAATATAATGCGCGAGCTTCGAGATTGACAGCAGTAATTCTTGCGGTGTTAAGACGGTAGTACCTGTTTGGGTTTGGCGGCTGGATGATATCCCCGTCAGCATTTCCAAACAAGCCATTGCACGCCATCTCAATGTAAAACGTGTGCTGTTTCCCGTCTCTGAAGCTGTCTGGTAAGATCCATTCAATTCTGTCACCACCGGTCAGGCCCTGGAGGGGATGACCGTCTTCGGACCAGACCATGCCCTCGTTACCGGCGTCCCAATGAAACTCCAGACGTTCCTTTGCGGTCAGGCTGGGGGGCACTGTCAGCTGGATCTTAAACCAATGAGTCGACCAGCTCGGACCGAAGACTTCGCCTCCCTTCGTGGGTTTGAACTGCTTGGAAACGACATCCTTGAAGGGCGGCCTCTGCAAGTCTGGAACGGAGTAGACGGAGAGCTTGACATGTTGCTCATCATCGACAATAGCCTCGTGATACTTGCTAAAGGCCGGAGAAGGCACAAGCAATTGCGAGGGCCTTGGTTAGCTGTGTGATTCTTTCTTTCTTACTCTCTCTCTCACACACACACACACACACACACGCACACTCTCTTCGCTCTCGCTCCAGCTGATCAGAGTGGCAGACTGGATGATGGAAGAGGACAAGAACAAAATGAGATGAAGAATTCTAGATGACGTACGCGACCAGATTGTGCCCCTGGTACTGCCCCGTTGCTGTGAACTGGCGGAGGCGGTCCTTGTAGATGCTGGTGATCTTCTGGCCGACGGGCTTCTCCGCGAAGGTTGGGTAGTTGCTCGGAGCTCCTCTCGGGGCTTCCCCACCCATAGTTGCGGCAGTACGGAGTGAAGAGGGGCTTCTTTTCTCGGTGGTGATCTCAACAATGTTATAGAAGCAACGGGGGCTGTTTCCTCCAATTGACCGAGTGAGTGTCTGTCAGGCTGCCAGAGCGTAAGAAGAAGGGGAGGGGGAAGCGGCAAGTTTTATATAGTTTTTATGCGTTCTGGAAAAAAAAAAAATGCTGGACGGTCGAAAAGCGGGGTCAGGTTTGCTCGCGTTGCGGATTCTCTAACGTCAAAAGACTCTCCGCCGTCCAGCCATCCCGGCACGGACAGGGGCAGAAATGGGTGTCTCGAGACTGGCAGCCAGACGCATCAGCTGCAGCAATCAGCAGAGGCTGTCCAGCCCGTCCCTTGCATGCCATCCATTCCGGTCCGGTCCAGGCGTGAGAGTCAATTAAATGGGGATGGATGCCCAAAAACGGGGGGTTCCTCCTACGTCCACCACTGCTCTTCCCCCCCGTCTGCTATTTTTTGAGAGCCGGTTAGCTGCTCCGTAACCCTACAGGCCGTTGTGAGGCTGATCTACGTGACGTGCCTGGGGTCGTGGTGGGGATTCCAAAACCCCCGGACACTTCATCATCTGGACCCATCGCGGTTGAAGCCAGAGCCACTTTTAGTCTTTTCTGGTGCTAGAGTGGTTGGAGCTCCAAATCCCTCCTCCCACACCCCCGTCCAGACCCTCAGTGCAGGATTTATCCCTGGGCGCTTTCGCGTGTGGCTCTACGTATGATCAGGCACACGAGACAGAAAAATTTCTCCCACGGTCACTCGGCACTTCATGGATAACGGCATCTCGAGTTCGCATGAAGATGATTTAACTTGCTTAACCATGTCGGTCGTGACTTACGATCGGCTCTTGGAACCGTCGGATGGCAAGACCCGGGACAGTTTCAACTGATCACCGGAACAGAAGAGTTACGACTCGTTAAAATTGATCAAAGCAGGGGAAAAGGGGGGTCTTTGGTGCCATCTACTCTGTACTCTGTATAGTTCGGTAGGTTTCCAACCGACCAACCGGCGGAGACAAGACACCTTGCGAACAGGAAGATCCCCTTGTATGGACAACCAACCTTGTCGTGCAGTTTCCAGGCATGTTCCACCTGGTACTGCCCAGGACAGTGACCTCAACGTGACTTGTTTGCCATCGAGTATGTCTTGTGCAACAGGGAAAAAACGAGCACATGAATCATAAATTCCTGAGGCTGGTCGAGATCCCCTCTTTGGTTTTTTTTCTTTTTTTCTTTTTTTTTCTTTTTTTTTTTTTTTTTTCTTTTTTAAAAGGTAACAAACAAGCGCTGGGGGACTCTGATGCAGCTGGTAAGGCCTGGGCGCAAGATTCCGCAGCTTGAAATCTGGGTCTGATGAGGCAAACCGACATCCTTTGCATGGAGAGTGTGAGATTGGCAGTGGTTTAACTAGCGGGACAAACCAGACAAGAAGAGCCTTTGAGCACAGTGCGTAAAAACGTTGGTAACTCGCTCCAGGATAATGGTGCTCGAGACGTGCGAGCCTTTGCCAGTTTCGCGTACGCTGCCCGGTACCTTGGATAGCTCTTCGTACCGGGATGCACTCGGTTCTCCGCCTGTGCAAATCAGAGAAGACTTTTAAGAGTCTATTTATTGTGGAACCCACCGCCCCAAATCGTGCCCGGTTTCTGCTGGATGAACTTGTCACGATCCCTGGACGGCGTCGTGCCCTTCGACTAGAGTGGCTAACCAACTAGTTAACTATTTAGTTTACTCCATGCCCAACTATGAATCTATGATAGCCTTTTCTGTTTGGCACGCAACAGGCAAACTCCCTGGTTGCAGCACTCGCTGGCAATTCCTCCTGAATTAATCTCCGTCCCTGGAAAAAGTTTCACGCCGGAAAGTGTAAAATTCCACCCAGGCAAAAAAAAAAAAAAAAATAAAGGAAGAAAAAGATCAAAATCAAAAAATTATTTCCTCACAAAGTGGCGATGGAGAAACGTTGATCCGCCGCGAAACTCAAACTCGCTGGCTTTCGAGTCGCTCGTCTTTCGCAACTCGAACTTTTTGCTGCTGCTGCTGGCCGTCAGTTGCATCGCTGATATCCTATATTCCCCGGCTTGTGCTGCTGCTCTTTTCTATCTCCCTCCAGATCTTGGCTACTATTTAAGCTTATCTTCTTTGTGGCAGTTCTTGCGGTCGTTCTCTTCTCGGCAGCCAAAATCTGTCAGCCCACACCAAACCCTGCCCAGGCAACTCTTCGCCCTTAGCTCATTTTCAAGTATGAGTCTGACCGCCGTTGCCCGCAATGCGGTGCCAACGCAAAGAGCCACCCTGCATCGTATGGCACTCTTTCCTGCGACTGTTTGCAGAAATCGCCAGCTGACCTGTCCTTTTTTTTTTTCTTTTTTTAGCCCTTCCCCGACTTGCCGCCAACCGTCTAGGCCACTCCGCCCTGAACGCCAGACTAACCGGCGGACGTCTGCCCTCCCGCCTCCCCGCGCTGGCGATCTTGATCCCACAGCAGCGATGGTATGCCACAGAGCAATCTACGACCCACGGTCCGGGAGTTCCTCCCAACTTCCCGCCTCCGGGTTTCAACGCCGAACAGGCTAAGCGTCCTCTCCCGAAAGAAGAAGCCTCCCCAAAACCTGCTTCGAGCACGAAAGCACCGGATGCCGAGGCCTCACAAGCTGCAACACACACCAAAAAGGCCAATCCCTCCGACACCTCCAAAGTGATCTCTAAGCCCAAGGAGACGAACCTTGACGCGGAGGCGGCCGCGAAACATGCCGTTGAAGAGTCAAAGGAGACCAAGAAGCTTACGCTCGGCCAGAAGATCAAGAAGGAGATCCAGCATTATTGGGATGGCACCAAGTTGCTGGCCACCGAAGTCAAGATCAGTACCAGATTAGCTGTCAAGATGGCTGCGGGGTATGAGCTCACCCGCAGAGAAAATAGGCAGGTTCGTTTTGCCAAAATTCCCCCACAAAAAAGTAAACATTTTCTTTTTTTTTAATTTATTTATTTTACTTTCTTTTTGAATCGGTCTTTAGTTTAAATGATCGTCTGCTTATTCCATTACATAGCTCCAACGTACGGTCAAGGACCTGGGCCGTCTTGTGCCGTTCTCGGTGTTCGTGATCATCCCATTCGCGGAGCTGCTCATCCCCGTCGTCATTAAATTTTTCCCGAACTTTCTCCCAAGCACGTACGAAGGCCAGAAATCCAAAGATGCAAAGGCGGCAAGCCTGAGAGACACCCGAAAAGAGGTATCTTCGTTCCTTCGCGACACCTTGAAAGAGACTGGTCTTCCTGTCAGCCCAACAAATGCAAAGAAAGAGGAATTTGCGGAGTTCTTCAGAAAGGTGCGAGCCACCGGTGAGGATCCAAGCGCAGAGGATGTCATCAAAGTATGCAAAATCTTCAAAGACGATGTCACCCTCGACAACCTTTCGCGACCGCAGCTCGTTGGAATGTGCAAATACATGAACCTAAACACATTCGGCACCGATGCAATGTTGAGATACAATATTCGCCACCGGATGAGGCAAATCAAACGTGATGACAAGGCCATATCCTTCGAAGGCGTTGACTCCCTCTTGGTGCCTGAACTCCAGACCGCCTGTGCATCCCGTGGTTTGAGAACTCACGGCGTTTCTCCCGCTCGCCTGAGGGAGGATCTCGGAATGTGGTTGGATCTTCGTCTTAAGCAGGGCGTTCCGTCAACGCTGCTCGTCTTGAGCAACGCCTACATGTACACCCAACAGTCCCAGGACTACGAAATTTCGTCACAGATCGATGCTCTCAAGGCAGTGTTGTCGAGTATCCCCGAAGAACTGTTCCACGAGATCGAACTCGAGGTTCACAATGCCGAGGGAGCAGCCACAAACAAGCAGCGTCTCGAGGTCATCAAGGAACAGGAAGAGTTGATCGAGGAGGAGAATGAGCAGAATACCGAAATCGAAGAGCAGGGAATGCCCGCCCCCAACGATAACCAAGATATCGACGAGAAAGAGGATAGAGTTGCCGCCAGTAGTGACTCTGCCGATGGTGCCAGCCAGCAACCCCAGGCATCAGAAGCCTCTGAAGCGGAGGCGGACCTGTCCAAGCAACAAAAGGAGCGCAAGGCGGAATAAGCCCTTTGACATTCCGAGCCTGGCAGACGAGGTTTGAAATGACCTCTCTCTCTCTCGCTCTCCTTTTTTTTTTCTTTTTCTGGTTTTTTTTTTTTTTTTTTTTTTTTTTTTTTTTTTTTTAAATTTGTTTTTAATGATTTATTTACCCTTGCTACTTGCATACGGTTTGTATTAGTTATTTTTATATGGCGACCATCGTCTCGCGATTGACCTCGGTTTTACTCCGACTGTACACTCATACGCCACTGCTGGTTTTCCTCTCTCCATCCCTCTCTTTTTGCCGGGAAAGGGGTTCGCGTTTCTCGTCTATTTCGCCTCTTCTTCTTTTGTCTCCTTCTGGCTCCTTGGGGCGGGTACTGGGTATCGAAGGCATTGCGTTTTTTGATCTGGTCGTGGCTGGCTCATAGACGGCGGTGTGGAAGTTGGACTATGCATTGGGTTTATTTGCCTTTTAGACGCTGGGCCTTTCCGCCCTGTAGATACCTCTCTAGATAGGCGTGATACCTCATCACAACATGAATGAATTTATACAGTTAAAATTGATTTTCCATTTTTAGATATTGTCTGCCCTTTTCAGCTGGGATATTTGCCCGGTCGGAACCTTGCGTCCAGGGCGTGAATTTGCTGGCCAGTCTCACCTGGATGTGAACAGGCGAAGCGACGACAGCTGGAGAGACAGTGGACATGAAAACCTAATGGATACCATCATCATCACCATCATCATCATCATCATCATCATCCTCATCCCTGCTCGCCCCCAGCAGCAGCAGCGGCGGCTGCGGCGGCGGCTTAACCTCGGTAAGAATCCGCCCCAGAATCCGCCATCCTGACGGGTTTGACCAGGCCAGAAACACCAAAAAGCTTCCCCCCCAATCGATCGACCGTCGGGCTTTGTTTTAAGAATGGGCCTGCGCGCCAGTTAAGTCAGGCATGCATCGACAGCTGTTCGGATGCATCCCTGTCTCCTACGGCTGCGCGAGAGCAAATAATAAAATTATTCCGTCCTTGGTTTGCCCAGACTTCCTCCTGGCAACGAACACGCAGCGATCTGTAAGGTTGCTGAGAACCATGGCGCCTCTGTCGTCTGCGTCGCAGGTTAGTTATGAAACTCTCACCCTGCGCATGGAGATTTGGCAGCGGTTGGGGGGGGGGGGGTGAAACCAATCTTTGACCGAGCATTGCTGACGCCCCCCTGTGCGGGAGCGAATTTTAACAGAAAGCGATTGAGCGTCTACGAGAATATGTCCCGCCGCCGACGAACTACTACTCCGTTCCACTGACGAGACAGGCGTCGGTGCTGCTTCTGTTGTTCGCAGACAAGCGAGGAGATCTCCGGGTGATCCTGACCATCCGAGCCAACACCCTCAAGTCGTGTATGTTTTTTTTTTATTTTTTTATTATTTTTATTTTTATTTTTATTTTTTTTTTTTCTTTCTTGGTTTGCGAGCGTCAACAAAGACAGGAGAGCTGGGGAGATAAAAAGATGCTAACGTCCCTGCAACAACCAGATCCCGGCCAGGCCGCACTCCCGGGCGGCAAAGCCGATTCTACCTCGGAAACGCCCTTCGAAACCGCAAGACGAGAAGCCCATGAAGAGATTGGCCTGCCGAACATCGACCAGAGCTTCCCACCTCCCTTCCACGTCGAGCATCTCTGCGAGCTACCCGCAAACCTCGCCAGAACAGAGCTCGTCGTCCGACCATGTGTCGCGCTGCTACACTCCTACGACGAAGTTACGGGTGAAGATGCAGATCCTGAAGAGGCGTTCATGCCCCAGCTAGACGCGAAAGAAGTGGCGGCGGTATTCACGGCGCCGTTCCATAACTTTTTAAAGATGCACGACGAGCCGCGGGGAGAGGAGGGTGAGCAGCTGCCCGGTTCTCCAGAAGACTGGTACGAAGGGAGCTGGACGAATTGGAATACCACATGGTGGAGGAGTATGTCCTGGCCCCTTGGCCCTCGATCCTCTTGCTGAAGCGTATTTTGCGGTGGCTAACTCGCAGTCTTTCCTCCTCTTCTTTTTTGGCCTCTGCAGTGCACCATTTCTTCGTCCCAATAACAAATCAGACCGTCACGAAGCCCCGACGGAAGAGTCAAGAGCAAGATGCCGCCATTGCCCAACTAGAAGAAGACGAGATCTCCATGGGTCTTGAGAGATACCGAGTCTTTGGCATGACGGCCCGGATCCTGGTCGACGCAGCCAGGGTGGCCTACGGCGAAGATCCCGAATTCGAGCATAACAGCCATTTCGGTGACGAAGACATGATCGGACGACTGAAACGCCTTGGTAGATTCAGCAGCGTTAAAAACCCCGATGACCCCCTAACGCAAGAGGTCTTCGAAAAGGCTTCTAAGCTCTCCTAACCTGGTTGTCCACTCTTTCTTCCCTTCCCTTCCCCTTCCCCCCTTTTTCCACCCGCGTTTTCTCCTCTTCGACCCTACATTCCCATCCCGACTGCAGATATTAGAATTATGATCTACTCCGTACTCCGTACATTACGTGTAGAAGATGTTGGCTAATGATGACTTCTCTGGTGTTTATTGGCTGTTTAGCTCGGCATTTGAGTGTTTTCATTCAGCCATCTTGGGGCCGGTGGCTGTTTTTTTTTTCCTTTTTTTTTTCTTTGTCCCACGCGACTCGGATGTTGATGGCGACGATGCGCTCGAGCTAACTTCTAATTATTGTTGCATACAGAGTACTCCGTACATAGAAGTCTTTTATAGTGCTTCCCATTGTTATATATTTATATATCCTTGGAATGCTCTTTTTGATATTTCTGATATCCTTTTTTTTTGTCCCTCAAGGCCGTTTCAGCTCCATGAAACTGTCCACCTGCGGATGTATCGCATTCTGCGTCCGGCGATTTTACCCCGTTCCTCCTAACGTGCGTCTCATGCTTCGGAGGTGAGCCAAAAGCAAAAATAAAAATGCCGCTGATTCTTTGTTACCGAAAACGCCATACGGAGCAAAACCTTCATCTAGAGCTCTCGATCGTCCCAGCCGGACTGATGTAAAGGAGTGTGTGTGCCTGGTACTAACCTTCTAGTTAAAGAACGATAAACAACTTTTTCACCCTGTCCCAGCAGCCGGGCTGCTTGATCGGCCATAAAGTTATGATTGTTTAGTTCCTTGAGCGCCACCCATTTGCAGGATAGGGGACTATATAGCAGGGAAGTGGACTCTCTTCTGCCATGCATCCAGCTTTCGGGAACGGGCGCAAACAACGACCGCATCTACTCCCTTCTGCATCGCTCGAGGGCCTGGAGAAATTTGTGCATCCGTCGCAGCCGTGGCCGGTGGACCAGAGTGACTCCTGGAAATATAAGCCTTTGCCCGAGCTGCCACGCCGGTCGTCAAGCGAATACAGCCGATCCGAAAAAAATCTTGAACACACTCCAAACACCTATCTCCGGAACGCACCCTCGTCGCGGAGTCGTGATGCGTCCAGGCGATACTATCGAGGTCTGTATCATCAAGAAAGCCGTGCGCGTCACCGCACACCTGAATCAAATCGCAGAGAGCAATCCCAACAAGCATCGATCGGCCACCGGGGACGGTGGATAATTCGTCAAAGTTCGTCTCCAGTGCTCTCCCATGAACCTCTATGGGCGGACCCGAACTCCTACGCGGCGACAGAATGGTTCTGGATGCCCGAAGTCCCCGAGCACGGAGAGGGGGTAATTTTCCAGCACGCGAATGTCAGTGTCCCTGAAGTCCCGACAATCGTCCCTCCGCCGTCGCCAAAAACGATCGATTCAATCGACCCTTCGCTTATTCCCCGGCCTCTCGGGGTCGAAACAGCCCTGGAGGAGACTGGGACAAAGCTCAAGGAGCAGTCATCCGTCGTGACAATCGCCAATCCTGATCATGACATTTGTCTTTGCCATTCGCCTCACCCGCGACACAATAGAGTGGTGTCGATATCTCGCGTTGCGAAAGTCAGGTTGGCAGAGGAGAAGCTGTCGGAATCTGAAGAATCAGTGGACATTGTCTTCCCACCCGAAGATGAAGATGTGCAAGACGCAACGGCCCCTACAAGCCCTGAAGACGAAAAGGAAGAAGGGGTCAAGCGAGACAAGGCTGAAGACGAAGATAGGAGGTCAGTTCGATCTGCGAGCCAAACCCTCACTAGACTTTACTCCTTCTCCTCCAGCACCAGTTGCGGACCCGTCGTTGAGAGGGAAGAAGCAGGGAGTTCTGGTACATCGGATATGGAGCGTAGTAGAGGGCCGTTCCAGTCCTCGCACCTCTCCCGGTCTTCCTCACTTCCGTCACCATCTTTGCACCCCCGGCACCCGGCTCGAAAAAAGCAACCTGCCATCCCACCAACCGACTATCAAAAATTCGGGCCGGAAGCCTGGTTGAGAGACAAATCCAAATCCAAGGCTACGGCTAGGCCCAAACCTAAGCTTAGAGACAATGACAATCATAAAAATAAGGATAGGGATGAAGACAAAAACCAAGATAGAGTCGGCCAAAGGCGACGTATCAGTAATCTACCACGTTTTATCCGAAGATTCCTCCCCAAGGCGTTCTCTTCTGAGCCTTTCGCCGATCCTCCATCACAGGCGCAACGGAGACAGCCGCTAAGACAGCCACAACAACAAAGACAACAACAACAACCGCCACGTCCTCCTCCACCGCCTCTTCCGCCATCTATAGCACGACCACAGGTACGCCCCCAGTCTCCCGCCAGTTACAACCCATTCACGACACCCTGGACTCCGCCGTCCACGCGCCCTTATATATCCCAATATCGCCCACGAAGCCATAGGTCCCGCTCGATCCGGAGCTCCAAACCTACACCGGAAGAATGGGGTCCGCTCAAGGCTCCTATCAGCGGAAGCAGCTGGCGAACAAGCTTCAACAATACATCGCAAGAGAAGTTAGGATCTGCAGGGCCTGAACGGGCTAAAAGAAAATCCAAGGTAAAAGAGAAAGACCCGCTATTTGCGCCAGACCAGGTCCAAGAGAGGATCGTCATGATGCGACCGGGGCCGGTGCAGATTCGAGATGAGAATGGGGTGTATTGGTTGTGATGATGGGTGTTTTTTTTTTCTCCCTGACTTCGCGGATTTGAGTGTATGGTTTTATATCCGGTGTCATTCGCCCTTTCGGTGAAACTTTTTTTCTTTTTCTCTTCTTTTCTCTTTTCTCTTTTCTCTTTTCTCCCCTTTTTTTTTTTTTTTTTTTTTGAAGTATAGTATACTCCGTAGTATAGTACATTTACACATGGTTAATAAAGCACAAGGCTGTAAGTGCTGGCGGGAGCAACACTCGCTCCGTGGACGGCTTGATAGTGGTCATGGTTTCGTATCTTTGGGGGGATTACAGGCTCCCGCTGCGCGAGAGATGGGGATTAGTTGACAACGACGTGGGAATTATATACAATCTGGTCGTGTCCTGAATATTGAAGGCGTCTAGTTGTGGAACTCATTGCATGGAATTAATCCCCACGATCTTTTTCTCGGTTAGCCATGGCATCATTACGAGAATCCTCTAACCGCTTTGTCGCGAAAGGTTGAGGGAGAAGCTCAACGGTAAGAAATCATTGATAATACTGGAAACACGACGAATAAATTCATATCCATGGTCGACGTCATCTCGATCCCCTAAAGTACACGTAGAGGCACAGAGCAGGTATATATTAAATCAAAGCATAACAGGGTAAAACATGAAACAAACATAGAGTCAATTCACATTCAGCGATATTTTCGAAGCTACAAGGGCAGACCACACGTTAGCACCAATCGCTCTATAAGACATAAAAGCAAAACCTGATTGGCCACTTACGTCTAAAGTCAGCGTCTTACTACTATTCGCACCCTGATCCCTGTAAATGCCCACCAATGCCTCGCTATTCTGGAACAAACCCGTCTTCAAACTGATAACGATAAACTGCATGCCCGGAGCTGCATGGTCGCGAATATAATTCGCGATGCGGGCCACGTTGGTATTGTCTAGAGCAGCATCGACTTCGTCAAGAACGAAAAAGGGCGAGGGCTGGTAAGAATGGATGGCAAATAAAAGGGCGAGCGCCGCCATAGTTTTCTCTCCGCCGGAAAGATGCTCCATATCTCGAAAGCGCTTGAGCGGGGGCATAGCATGGTATTTGATGCCATCGAGGTAGGGCTCCTCGGAGTCTTCGATGTCAAGGTATCTGAGTGCGAAGGTCAGAATAGCGGACAATGGATCCAGAGGGGGAAGAATGAATGAACAGTGGAATCGATGGATGGGTTCCTTACGCTTTACCTCCCATGGGATAACTTTCAGTCTTGGTTAGGTCGCGGTAAATAGGCTCGATCTGTTCAGAGATGTGCGAAAACGCCTTATTGAAAAGCTCTGAACGCTTCTGCATTACGTCTTCAAAGTCATCTCTGGCTCGACGAGCTCGTTTACGGGCCTCGTCAAAGTCTTTCTCAATGCTGCGAAGTTTGTTTTCTGTGCCTTCGAGGCGCTCCATGGCACGCATGTTTGGCGCCATTTTGTCTAGTTCGCTATTGAGGGTCCGAACTCGGTCTTGCAGTTCGTCTTCGAGTTTATCATCAGATTGCTATTTGAGTTAGACAATGTTGCAACCACAACAAAGCAGACGCTACTTACTTCCTTTAATGTATCTCCAAGGCTGCTAAAATCTACCTCTATACCGTAGTCCTGCACAGCTGGAGGTCTCGTAGTGCCTGTTGTAATATCTTCGTCAACCTCCATTGCATCGCGGTCCGTCTGAACAAGATCATCGATAGGAAGCTGGTCCAACTTGGCGGAATCCTTTTCCAAGGGAATGTCAATATCCTCCAATTTGCATCGTCGAAGTAGTGCGTATCTATCCGATGAGTGTCGCTGCATATCGCTCTCCAAAGCGCTGATGGCCTTAAGAGTACCTTCGACGTTCTTGCTTCTCTTTGTAGCTTCACGTCTCTGCTCATTCAGGTGCTCCGCTGATTGGGCAAAGAGAGCTTTCTGCTCTTCATATTTTTCTTTGAGAAGATCTAATTCTGCCTCTAGCTCATCACGACGATTTTGAATTGTTTCTCTCTCGCCCTGAAGCTCTTCGATCATATCCTGATCACGGCTTTCTTGCGATTGAAGGCCCTTTATCCGGTCTTCAGTTGCCTGAAGTCGCTGCTTTTCAAAGCTCAGCTGGTTCTCAATCTTGCTCCGTTGAGTTGCGAATTCGAGCTTCTTTTGCGCGGCTTCTTGTTGAAGAGCGCCTTGCTGCAGCTCGTATTCACGGATATTTTTATATCTCAAACGGCTACAGAACTTCCGATAAATCTCATCTTCGACAGCACTAACAGACTCTTGAAGTTCCTCGATAGATCTGTCGAGCTCCTCGAGCGAATTCAATTTCTCCCGATATCTAGGCTGGACGCTCTTTACTTGACGTTTGGCGTGGTCCAGCTCGCTTGACTTGCTTTGTAAATTCCTCTCAAGGGCTTGTAGTTCATCACGCGCGTACGCAAGGCGTTGCTCTAAGCCGGCAAGCTGGCCTTGGAGAGTCTCTTCCTCGGCTCCTTTGCGGTGTGATTTTGGAAGATTGCTCAGGTCGCTCATGAGTTTGTCCTTTAGCTTGTGCAGGTTTGAAACTTCAGTATCTTCCCAGCGCTTAGAATGCTTCTGCGATGGACCGCGACCACCTGTCATGAGACCACCCTTGTGAATCACTGTACCATCTAGCGTCACGGCTTTTGCCTCTATACCCCGTTCATAGCACAGATACTTTGCAGTGTCCAAATCATCACATACAATAGCATTTCCGCAGGCGTAGATTATTGCTCTAGACACAGAGTTGTCGTAATCAACGGTCTCAATCGCGGGGCGCATTCCCCGATGTAGCCCTTTAAGGTTTGAATTAAGCGCCTTGACCTGGATGGTCTCCAGTGGAATGAAAGTTGCCTGCCCAGCCCTCTGGTCACGAAGGTGCTGAATACATTCTTTTGCAGTCTTCTCATTGTCGACAACAATAGCATCAAAATGGCGGCCCAACACGGTGCTCACTGCCTCCGCATACTTCTTCTGCTTGGGCTGACATAGCTCGCTGATGCGGCCTTTGACGCCAGGAAAGATACGTTTCAAAGTTGAGATCATTTCCTTGGTACGTAATTCCTTTTCACTTTGTTGACGGCCATTGTCGGCTTCCAATAACTTCTTGAGAGCAACTTGAAGCTTTTCTTCGAGTTCTGTTCGCATCTGTGCCGCTCTCAGACGCTCTGAGGTGAGGTTGTTCAGCTCCTTCTTTTTCTGATCGATATCCTTGCTGGTAAGCTCGATGGTCTCAAGTATGCTACTTTTACGCTCCAGAATATTGTTTATATCGGATTGAAGGTTCTTGGCTTGCCACTCAGAACTCTCAAAGTTGCTTTTTAAGCTGTTAACAGTCTCGGAATCGGTCTTTTTCTGGCGTTTCATGTTGTCGAGCTTGATCTGTGTCGCAGATGAGCGTTTGCTAACTTCTTCCTTGAGCTTATTGTACTCCTGAAGGTCAGCATCACTCAATTTCACTCCCTTGATGCTTGCAGCCTGCTGTAACTCTCTCTCACACTGAGACTGAGCCTTTTCTACAATCTTGAGGTCCTTTTCAAGCTGCTTCACGGTTGCCGACTGAGATTCGGATTCTTTGGCGATTTCCGCAATCCTAGAGGTGTATCTCGCAATTTTTTTCGTGGTAATCTCGATCTTTTCGTCGACAGGGACCAGGGAGTTCGCGGTATCCTCAATTTCTCTCTCTTTCAGTTTGATAGACTTCTCGACTTTGGATACGTCTCTCCCAACTTGAGCATGGTTCTTTTTGGCGTCTTCCAATTTCCGCTCGTACTTTTCCACGCCGCGTCTGAATTCCTTCAATTCATCTTGATGCTTTTGTATTTCGACGCTTGACTCCTGGATTAGACGCTGGAAATGAAAAAGTTTCCACAAGATGTGCGTTACAATAGCCTCATCGCGCTCTTCGGCTTTTCTGGCATAATTATCGGCTTCTCTCTTCTGTTCCTGGTACTGCTTAATTTCAGAGTTAATCCCTCTACGTCGGTTCAACTGGTAATTCAGGTTTTCCGAAGCTTCCTCCTGTTCTTGTTTCAACCTCTCATATTCGGCTTTGTATTCAAGACTGCCTGAGATCTGCTCTATTAATCGAGTCAAGTCCCTTGGAGACTGGGACGCGATGGATTCAACGTCACCCTGAAAGACGAGGAAGTTGCGGGCTCTGATAAGGATGTTTTCGGCTTCCAGGGCTTCATTGTATTGCTGTGCTGTCACAACACGGCTGTTGATACGATATTCGCTCACGCCTTGGCTCGTGATGGAGCGTTTCCAGTGTTGTTCTTCGCCGGCGTCATCTTCGTAGACAGCCATGACCCAGGCGGTCTTGGGATCGCTCCTTTCGGCCGGTTCGTCGGCCACACCGTCATGTTGCGTCCCGTCTACTTCGGGTTCTTCCGCGTCCTTTGTTGCCGAGCCATCGTCGTTTATTTTCGAGTGGCGCAAAACGCGGCCCCGGTAAACGAGGTCACGAAGGTGCGTCGAACGGAGATGCGACGATTTGATTCCCAGGACAAAGGAGATAGCATCCATTCTGTTTTAAAATATCAGCAACATATCGACGATCGGGCAGGTAGCGCAACCAACGAATTTGATTTTCCGGAGCCATTCGGCCCAATGATGGAAGTAAAATAGGCATCGCCGAAAAGAAGGGTATGGTGGCCCTTGTAGGACTTGAAATCTGTATCGAGATCGGATCAGTGTCTGCATCTTTCACGAGGTGGAGGCAAGCTTACTGAAAAGCTCTAGGCGAATTAACTTCCCCATCCTGCTAATGCCGCTTATGCGGGGAGAAATATCGAGATGGCTAGACTAGGGAAAGCACTGGCGCATTGAAGGATGAAGGCAGCCCCCAGATCGATGTTGATTCCGGCGCAGCAGCAACGTGCGACGTGCGGATCTCGAGGCCGTCACTTCAACTGCGAACCTCTTCACCCCCGAAAGCGCGTCTTCCGGGAAAAGCGACGCGGTAGCGGACGATCACGTGGCAGAATTGCTTATATAATACCTTCTATCACATGAGACTATATCACGTGTGGATTTAGTGTCTTGGCATTTACTGAGCTCGAGTTCTGGGCTAGGCCTAAGACGGACTAGTGCTTTATCCTAGACGGGAAAAGCCAACCACGAGCTCGCACCTGTGCACGTCCCTCCCAGAAATTTATGCGTCTCACATGGAACACCGTAATATTTGACTATAAATTCGCAGCTCGCCGACACCTTGTCCGCTATACTTTCGGGTGAATATGACTGTCTTATCTACTGAGATGCTGTGTTTCCTAATTCAACCCGAGACCACCCTATCTATGTAGGCCGGTCAAGCTCCTCTTCCCCTTGTGGTAGCTGTCCTTAAGCTTCGTGAGTGATGTCACCGTCCACTGACCAAACTTCAGAGAGGCTGACCTATCTGGTTTCGAAAGATGTCAACACGCTGCATCCAGCCTTGAAAAAGCAAACGGCTAGCTGCATATTACTTAACATTGAAATCCTATGGAAGAAACAACCTCCAACATGTCGGAGCCAGCTTCCGTTCCTAGAGGCAAACCCGACCCCGACGTTGGTGACGAGCATGCGGTGGTGGAGTCGGCAGATACTGTCCAGGCAATGTTGAAACGCCGTGCTGACGTGCGCAAGTCGTCCAATTCAAATGAGCTTACGCGAACTTCGTCGTCTTCGTCGGGGAGCAGCAATTCTTATCAAGAGGATTGGGAGCCGTTTCCTCCTCTGGACAAGCTTACGGTGCTCGACCTCCTCAGTAATCTGGCTCTTCCTCAGAAGCTCGAGAAATGGCAGAATACCCTGACGGCACAGAAGGAAAAGGTGAAGAGACAGCAAGAGAAGTTCAAATCTACGAGCCTGCAGGCGAAGGAGAGGGTGGTTGGCGAATGGCGGAAGAGAGTCCCGAATTCAGACGAGCAGCTGGAGAAATATCGAAGACGAATGAAGGACTCCGTTGAACGACTCGGCGCCCGATGGAATGACACCGCAACGGTGACCGCTCGCGAGAAACTCTCGTTCATCGCCGGTGTCCTCAACATCTTTATCAGCGGATACCTCATCGGAGCGTATCCAACCTATTTCCATTACTGGTTCACTCTCCAAATCCTTTATTTCATGCCGATCCGCTTCTATACCTACCACAAGAAGGGATATCATTATTTCTTGGCCGATCTCTGCTACTTTGTCAATCTTTTGACGGTCCTGAGTGTGTGGGTGTTTCCACGATCCAAGCGGCTATTCCTGAGCACGTACTGTCTGGCCTATGGTAACAACGCAGTCGCAATCGCGATGTGGAGGAACTCTATGGTATTTCATAGCCTGGACAAAGTCACAAGGTATTTTGCCTGCCCTCCATCTTCTCTGAGCCGGGCTAATTACCAGCTAGTCTGTTTATCCACATCATGCCTCCCGTGACCCTCCACTGTATAGTTCACCTGACACCACCTGGCACGCTGCTGAAACGGTTTCCCGCCGCGTATAATATCAAATTCAGCGCACCGGGCTCGCCAGAACACTACTCTCTTGGGGCCATGATGCTCTGGGCTTCCATTCCCTACGCAGTGTGGCAGCTGTCGTACCATTTTCTCATTACAGTGCGACGGCGAGAGAAGATTGCCGCCGGCCGGCCAACTAGCTTTACATGGTTACGCAAATCATACGCCAAAACATGGATCGGGAAGTTTGTTCTCAGCTTACCTGAAGCCCTACAAGAGCCAGCATTCATGCTGATTCAATATACTTATGCTCTTCTAACTTTGACCCCTTGTCCGCTGTGGTTTTGGTATCGCTGGGCTAGTGGGACGTTCCTGTTCGTCGTGTTTTCGTGGAGTATCTACAACGGAGCGACATATTATATTGATGTTTTCGGTAAGCGATTCCAGAATGAACTGGAGCAGCTCAAGAAAGATGTCAGCAAATGGCAACCATCCAGCGACGGGACAATCACTCCTGATGGGAATGGTAGCATGCCTAAGAGTCTCGATGATTTAGTTGTGGGGATGCCGGATAATGCAGGTAAATCGGCTTCCGATGTATCGTCTAGGCTGGAAGGGCAGCTGGCTGCTACCCAAGAGGACGCAAGTGCGTTGACGACGGTGGATGCAAAGTCATGATTCTTGAAGCGTTCGATCGATTCAGTCTGAGATACCCCCCCATAATGCCTGTTTCTTTTCTGTCTTTTCATTTCTTATTTTTATTTTTATGTTTGTTTTTATTTTTTTTTTTTTTTTGCCCTTATATATTGGAACTGCAGATCCCTTTCGAAATTGTAAGGTTTCATATGTTCGGAGGAACACAGGACTCCAATAAGTGTCCCGGCTGCCCCTAGACAAAGGGATTACTGATATACTAGTTCCTAATCCGCCCGTTTCTCGGGCATTATATACCTAATGAAGTCTCTTTTCTATAGTGTTGGCTGACTCTTCCTCTCCGATCTCCAATATCGACCTGGTCATGTCCTATCAGCGAAGGTCAAATCACCTGAGAATACGAACACTTAACTCTACGTCCTGATAAAGGAGAAGGAAGGAGCGTACATTTCCCGGTCAAGAGAGAGTAGATTAATGGGAGGAATCACCAACATTTGAGCGTACAGGAGGAGGGATCTAATTGGATGCTTGAGCAATGGAGGAACAGTGGAACGAACGTTGGAACCTTGCGTTAGTTCTTGTTGTTAAATCAAGTACATCCTGGTCGATCAGTAATTGAGTTGATGGAACCATCTATCTTCCAGGAGCTGGCCGGCAGTTGGTCGGTCTCTGGGATCGAGCTTCATGATCTTCAGCACAAACTCTCTGTCTTCCTGATGAATTTCTTGCGTTGTGGTAAGACAGAAAGGTCTTAATTTCTCTGCGGGGCTGTTTGGCATGATCCATGCAAGCACTGCCAGTCTTTGTCGGTCCGCAATCTCTTCGTGAACAAAGTGAAGGCGGCAGCACAGGCCGTACCGATGCAGCGATGCCAGCGCTGGACCGTAGCGGTCCTGGAAAAACTCGAAGGAAAAAGCCTTGTACCACCGGGAACAAAGGCCCACTACGAGAGTCAAGTCGAGCCCTCGCGGGAGGAGCTGGCGGCAATGTCCAGCGCTTCTGCACTACCCTCGGGGGGTAGTGCCAGCGTTGGGAGCTGTGGAACCTGTGGTTCTAGGCCTACAAGTCAGGGGGAAAGCGCCTGAAGCCGAATAATGTTTTCGTCTAACTGATAGTCAAGAAGACGATAATGCGTGTGGAATCGAGGCCGGTCGGTGGTGAGGTTAAGGTTGTCAGAGATATGGTGAGGGGCGCGGTACATTGCGTGTCGGGTGATAATGGGGGTAAAGCGAAGGCAATGGAATTTGTGACGTGACGAGGCAGGAGACATTGCGCGGTGGACTGTTTTCGGTGCTTCTCTGTCTGTTTTCCTTTTGTTTTTGTTTTTGTCTTTTTTGTATTGCGTTATATTTGATATCTTTCAAATGAAATTGATCTTCAGTCCGTTGAATAGGCAATAATAACGGTATTTCCGGTCAGAAGACGATTTCCTGCATGTGTAGCAGAACCGCATGCTCAAGGTGGTAAGGTCGTAGTTCTTCTCGACTGCGCCGTCTTTGATCCATCCGCTTTGCCAGTCAGGATGGTACATTGCTTTGATATATTCCCAATACGCAGGATAAAAGCCCGCCATTTCCCAATCCAAGATGGCAACGACCTTGTCGCCGCGAATGAGTATGTTTCGGGGAGAAAAATCGGCGTGGGTGAGCACGATCTCATGCTTGGGTAACGCCCTGACGAGCCTGGTCACATGGTCGACCCTGGTGTTTTGTTGTGAAAGGTTCATCGCTCTGATGAGGCCTTCGTTGAATTCCGCTTCAGTTTTATAAGGACTAAACCCGCCAAGCTCAGCGCAGAAGACCGGGTCTTCGCAATACGTGCCGTCAACAGAATCGATGAAGGTGCCCTTGATCGAGCGTAGCTCTACTATATAAGACTTCAATTGTAGTATGATTTTCTGTCGTTGGCCCTGACTTAAGTCATCCCAGACGTCTCGGAGGTCCTGGCCTTTGGGATTTGGATTCATTTTGAGGGAGTTCCCTCCAAAATTCTGTGGTGTTGTACCGCTTTGTCGGGTCCTACGAGACATTCCCTTTCCTTACAATGACAAAGGTCTTATTGTTGGCACTCCCCAAGACCCAAACCGCTTATATGATCCAATTATCAAGGCATATGATGACACAATCACCCAGTTTGGACTCGGAAACCTCACCCACAATAAATCTATTTAGTGTGCTCTCAGAGTTAAAGTAAGGTCCTGCCAATTTGTTGCTGCATTCACACTGGCTATTTTGGGCAGAGGGATTTTGCCTTATTCATAATATTGTGTTCTGTAACAGGCTAGGAAACCTTTCGTTGCTTGGTAAAGACTTTCGACGGCTCAATCATGTAGATTTCATCCTTCATAATTGTCAAACGTTGAAGATCCGCCCGTACAGTTTCTCCAACCAGCGTTCTAATCACCGTCCATACCGGAAAAATGAGATTTTCGGGCAACTGTTGGAAAATGTTTATCTGACACAACCTGTTGAACCACAGATTGCAAGCTTGAAACTGTAGATCAACTACAGATTTACAATGCATATATAAAGGGTCCAAAATATATAGAATTTGGAATGTATGAAGCACTAATTGAGGATTTTGAATCTGATTTAAAAGTTTTGATCACGTGCCGCGCCCGGAGGGTCATAGTTGACTTCCGCCAGGACCGCATCAATAGCACTCCGACTGTCAAGTCAATATGGCTAATCTGTTTGTCCGCAACAGAGGACGGTAGTACTTCTGCTGTACTGCGCGAGAGCAGGGTTTCCAACTTGTCTCAACTGGGCCGGATGGAAGTTTGCACACTTCTTGGGAGGAAGGCTTGAAGGTTTGATATTCAATGACTCTGCTTGTTGGGTTGTTTTCCTTTTTGCCAGGCCCATTCCTCCATCATAGCTTCCGGAGTCTTCCCATGGGCCCTTTGCGCGATTTCATACCCTGCCAATCGAAATTCACTACACGATTCTTGGTTTCCTCGACGTTCATGATATATTGCGCTTCGGTCTTACTTGTCGACACTTCTGGGGCATCTCCAAATCGATAATTACGAAATATTTTGCTAAACTATTAGGCGTTTGGGCGGGGGCTTCGGTTACCTGTGTGGGTGGGGACGATCGATTACTCCTGGATGACTCTGAACATAACAAGCTGAGGATATTCGATGAAGAATGGGACGAGACAATTCTCATTAAGCGATCAAATCCAATGAACTCGCGTACACCTGAGTGGAATTTCAGTTTCCCGGATGTCTTGTCGAGGCATGTTTTTGGCTTGAAGTGTCGTTTCCCACAGGATCCACCCGAGGTAATAAATCCCAGACCTGCATCATTTTATCCGACCGATAAGCCGTGGGTTCTGCGGAATTTAACCACTCGCGAGTTTGTTTCTGCGCAAGCCATTGCACTGAAGCCGGAATACGTTCGAGGCCCGTTCATTGACATATTGGGATTTGGCAGTGTAATCATTGCTCGGACTTTCCGTACAACTCATTATACCTTACCTACAGTATGCGATGACCTTGAGAGGGGCACTCGCTGTCGAGGTGCTTGGGTAGGACACAGGTTGGAGATCGTGCCTTTAGATTCCACCCACATGGACGGCTCCTGGAAGGACGTAAGCAATGAGGTAGCGAAGGAGATTGCAGAGATATGCGAGGCTACGTTTGGAGAAGAGTGGCGCAATAAGCTGATCTCGCACAAATTCTAAGGAGTTTGGCTTGTCAGTCGGTTGTTTTGTTTGAATGTCCCCGGGTTGGGAGGTCTAATCATCAGTTCTGTAAGTAGCAGCCCATCGTGAATGCTTCCGCTCAATTCTAAAGAAATGGTACATTGACAACTATGAGGAAATTGCAACTTATAAACAAGGCAACATGGAAGCTGGCGGCCTTAAGTGTATCTTCTAATGTTCCTCAGGAGGTCAAGAATAAGTGTGAATAATTGAAAAGATTTTGTTTGTTGTAGTTAAATTACAATGAATTCGAGATAATATGCAGCAACGTCTAAAAATGCATAGAACGACACCACAGCCAACAATGATGTTTCCAGCGCTCTGACTAAAAAAAAGGGAGAAAAAGGTTTCTACCTCATCCTAATAGCTCTTGAGGATACCAGTGATAACCTGACGACACTTTGCACAGTGATCGCCAATGAGGGGACGAAGGCATTGAGTGATTTTATACGGAGTAGAGAGTCTTTTTAAACCCCCCATATAACCAATAGTTATCAAGGGGTTTAACTCAAAAAGAATGCAGTAGGATACATTATGCAAAATAATTACATTTTTTGCTGATAGAACCTGTCTTTGACCTATAGTTAGCTACTAAAGCTGATTAATTGTTGTTGAATTTCTTGATTAAACTTCCAAAAACAAATTCATTCAAAAAATCATTTCTGAACATCAGATATGCTCAGCATGTATGAACATTTTTAACTTTCACTACCAACTACACTAAGAATTAAGATTATCCACCAGATTATACTGAATTAGGCAAGTAGTGGAACGTTGAATGTTAGTCAATGTTGCTAAATACATCGAGTAGATTTCTTCGTCACAGACCGAACAGCAGAACGCAGAAGCCCAAGGGAGATGGAGGTGAGATAGCGACCAATTGGCCTTCTTTCTGACTACTAGTTGAGATGCAATACCCTTTTGACTGTGTGATTGACCTGTGCTGTCTGTAGCTGCTGTCTCAAAATGCTTCCCCGGACTCTCTCGCTGCGTGCTAGCCTTCACCCTTTCGCTCGCCTATTACGGAGGGACCCTTCCTCTAGCTGCAGGGTATTCCAAAGGCATTCATCGGGTAAACGGGATGTCCTTGCGTCTGCGAAGCCTGTCCCAACCTCTAAAGGGTCCGCCGCACTCCGATTGAAACCCGCATCCCCACCCTCGACACGATCCGATGAGCGATTCCGCAAGTTCAACTTCCAAATATCCCAGGCCTCCGGCCCTGTAGAGATTTTCAAAGCTCCTTCCCACCGCAGCTACATACTCGGAGCAGTGTCTGTCGCAACGTTTTGCTATTTGTATGCCGGTTACAACTTTTACACAACCTCCATCGATCCCCTTATGCAGGTTGCCAAATGGCAGGAATATACATTTGCTGGCATATGCGTAGTCATGGCGGCTATGGGCACCGTCTTCTTGCGGCGGGGAGGTAACCTTATTGCTTCAATCACGGCGTCACGACCACAGGGACAGCAGACCCAGCTCTCGATAAAAGTGCGCAGGATGGTTCCGTTTCTCAGGCAGCGAGAAATCATTGCGACGCCGGACCAGATTTCCTTCTCACGTCAGCTGGTCGTGCCTCATTCCCAAATGAGTGAAGAGGGCCGTGCTGCAGCTCAGAAGCGGTGGGAGTCCGAGCGCGCAGTTTCGCAGATGGCCTTTTTCAAGGATCCGCTAAAGAAGACGAGCCAAGCTTTTTGGAAGTTCTTCGTGAATTCGAGGAGGTTGTTTACTCAAGAACATTTTGCATACGTAAAGATTAAAGGACAAACGGCGGATTTTAGACTGGACATATTGGGGACCTTCTCCTCAGAATTGCTTCTTTTGCAAAAAGTTGCGCTACAAAGTGCTTTATAAGGAGGTGACAAGTTGGCCTCTTCTGTTTAGCAGTCCCACAAGACGCGTCACTACTAAATTTTCTCTCTTGTATCTCTCCTACTCTTCTCTTGTTGTATTATAAAAGAAAGAAAAGAACGATCAGTTTTTAATAACAGGCTATGCCCCCCGGGATTCGTTGGTTTTCGCGTTGTTTAAATATCCTAGAGCTTTGTACTTTTGACTTTGACCTTTCCTTTCGAACTGTTGGGAAGTTGGGCCGGTGATGGCGTTTCAATTTGTTGCTGCGAGTACTCCGTACACCAATTTTCCCTCCGCCGCTACTCTTCAACAGACGATATGGTGAGCCGAACCGGAGATTTCGCCCTTTGGTGGACAGTCCACCTGTTGGAAGTCAGCCATATTCAGAACAAAGGTTTGAGGAATGGCTGCTGGAGCAGAGATTACTCAGGTACGGAGTGTTCTGATGTATAAAAATACTTTCTCTGATTCCACTATTTTTTTATTGAATACTTTTCAAATTGATCAATGTTTATAAGTAAAGAACCCTTTCCTACAAGGAAATCAGAGATCCATGATGTTGGTATGTTGCTAATTTAGATACAGTTGCTGAATAGTATCAATCGCGCTCATCCCTTCGAGCGCTGCCCAAGTGTGCCGGTTCTTACATTGGCAGAGTGATGTGCTGCCTAACCCCCGAATTATTCATGATATCTCCCTTGATTTCAAAAAATAGCCTTTGAAACCTGCCCCTTTCTCTTCAGACACCATTTTGCGGTATCTCCTACGTTGTTATGGTCTACTGTTTGGAGCTATATTTTGAGTGTCGTTAGCAGTACCAGTTCATTCCAATCCCAGCTAACAAGTTCAGACCGCAGAATAATAGCGAGTCCAAAAGGCGCCCTTCTGAACGCCACTATGATGGTTCCTTCGACAGGGAAGCAATATACGAGTATTTCGGTAACCGCGTTATGAAGGGCCACAACACCCTAGATGGACACCCTGTCGCCATTAAATTCAAAACCGTGGGGCTTTTTCTGGCAGTCAGAGGCGGACATGATCGCCTATGTGCATTCTCAGAACCTCTTGGCTCCTACTGTCTGGGAATGCCACCAAGTCGACCGCCATTGGATCACAATGCTTGCTGACTTTGTGCCAGGCGATCCACTGGACAGGGCCTGGCCGACATTGAACAACCAACAACACACATCAATCAGGGAACAGCTTGTAGACCATTTAAAGCTTTTCAGCTCATGCACTCAGCACATATATTGGATGTGTCAATCACCACTACCCGCAACCCATACAAAGGTATCAAGACAAAGTTCAATGGACCATTCAATTTCAGAGGCCAAGTTCAATGAATGGTATCTTTCCTGTGTAAAGAACGCGTCCGAAAAATGTAACTGGAGAAGGACACTCACAGAATTATGAAGGAATAGTCAGTTGAAGTTTGTGCCCACACACAGAGACCTCTTTCCATGGAATATCCTCATTAAAGATGGGAAGATAACAGGCATTGTGGACTGGGAGCATAGTGGGTTTTATCCTGACTATGTTGAGTACAGACTTGCCACATGTTTGTATGACTATGGAGGAGAGAAGTGGTGGAAACCCTTACTGATGGAAGTCTTGACTCCTTGTATCCAGAGCGACTAGCATTCCAGAGTTTGATATACAAGCGGGGGTATTGAAAGCCATGCGAATTATGTTAAGCTTCTCGCTCCGGGCTGCGATGGATTATTGTCTAATTGGATACTTAGATACCCCCTATTCCCAACTCCGCATTCCTGGCCTGGAACGTCGAGAATCGTTTCTTGAAGTTCCAAGAAGCCCAGAAGACGAAATTATGCCTGTCAGAGGAAGAAAACTGTGTTTCCCGGTGGATCTCTCGCTTTTGTCTGCTCGTACGCGCCTATCTTCCGGGCGACTGTTTGCAAACAGCCAGCTTCAACAGGCTGGCGTTGTTCAAGATCTTCCAGACTGCCAAATGCAAGATTTTTACCACAGCGCAGGCTTCGTACATCGTCCCAAAGTACAACTAAGGCCAGCGCCCTGAGGAAACTAGTTGTTGATATCGTCGTATATGCGATTCATTCTGGCATCCATTATCCTCCCTAGAAGCTGGAGAATCGTAGAGGAACTTCACGATGAACTCTTCCAGCTTCCAGGTCATTCACAGAGAATTTTTAATCCAAAGCCTCTCAACATGAGTCTGGATTAGGGACCATGCTACATAGCTGATAATGCAAATACTCTCTACTGTTTCCTTTGTTGATGTTTTCCTTTTTATTATGTCCGACATGAGATATTTGCGCATCCTATCCCCACCTTCTCCCTTACTTACTGGCAGAAAGCTTGTTTTCACTTAAGCTTTTTGCTTGATCGAACGGGAACTTTGTATATTTGGGCAGTCGATGCCTGGACCAAAGTTCGAAAATTTCTTTCAGGGTATCCACGACAGAGGTACGACATGATCTTCGCAGCAGCCAGCGTGTCTACTCGATGTTTTTCCGTCGCATCCAACGAAAGCCGGTGCGTGCGCCACGGACACCTTTCCAACGAAGGAAACGTCACTTTGACCTCATGCTTTGGTACCAAGTACACCAAACCTATTTTCGGACTTGCTCATATTCTGGTGTACATATTTTGTTGAACAATCGTTGACACACTGTCATGCGATGACTCCCTTTGTAAATCCGTAACTACGGATGACAGATGAGTCTCTGGGCTGATTCGCTATCGGGATACTGACGTTCATAAACAGCATCAAGGCGATTCTTTGGACCCCTCTGCCACCACCTATTCATTCCTTTGATATATTTGAGTTATAATGTCGTCAAAATGACAGCAGCAGGAGAGAGTCATTATTTCTCTCCTGATATAAATCACACCTGCTCCTTGCTCCGTCTTCTTTTTCCCTTTCTTCTCCAACCGTATCCATTCTCATCTCGCTTCCCGCTCCCTTGATCTCACCTCATTCACCCGCCTACCGCAGCGCTTAAGTCACATCCTCATCAATCCGCCTGCACTACTCGTTCATTCTCTCACAGATAAGCACCCACCCTCCCCTCCCTTACGGATCCTAGCTTATGAGCTTGCATAGTCCATCATGCAGCTCAACAGATATCAGAGAACGAGGGAGCTGCTTTTGGAGCAAAACGTAGAACAAACCTCATGGCCGCGACCGATCATAACGCCGCCTGGTGTCCGACCAGGGGCACTATCTGTGCAGGGCATTAGGGGTGCAAACCGAAGTGTAGAAACGCCCCTCATAATATTAGAATATTATGATTTAGAAGCCCCCCCGGTAAGCGAAGAGCTAAAATAATGTTGAAATCCGTTGCCATTAACTAATTTTATGCATAGGAATTACTACTTCACTTAGTTCCCCCTGGAATTGAATTTCCCGCCTGGCTCAACCTGCCACCATTTCCAAATGGTGGCGCTGGGCCTCTGATGCCTTTCGAAGATGCTTTTAGGGAGCCTTCTCAAGGCTCCTCATACCACACACCAGAGCCAAGTTCGGCATCGGAGACTGACGGTACCGACTCAGACCAGGCGTCCGAGGTCGATACCAAGGAGCCTGGAGAAAACTCCGGAGACGGACTCTCAGAGACCAGTGATGGAGCCGATAACGAGTTCGACGTTGATGCATTCATCACTCTCAATGAAGAGCAGTCGTCGGCGGAGGGTGTCGCCCCAATAACATGGCGTCCCGCTAACCCATTACCCGACTTCAATCAGCTATGGGTTAGTGACATCGAACGCATGCGCAGTCAGCTTAGGATCTTCCCTGACGGAAGAATGATGCTGAACTTTGCGACGGGCAGCCCGCTCTGGGGCTTCCGACTGGAGTTGGCGCAGTTCATTCGGAACAGGTCGATCAATGAGAATGAACTTGGTGAGTCGGGGCGGGGGTCATGATTAAAAGTCTTTCTTTTCCCGTCCTTAAGTCTGAACGACTGTCATCGAGGGTGCCGACCAACTGCCTGTCCAAGGCCTTAGTGGGGGCCTATCTCATCAGCTAAGTACCCGGGGAAGTCGAGAACACTTCTAAAACGGGCAAATCCCACGACATTAGGGGAGGAATTACGATTACCAACTATAAGCTTCCTCCGACTTTCTCCTCAAACAGCTCCTATCCCCCACCGGGGTTGAAGAAGTTAATTCCACCCTTTACTTGATTGTCTTCAAGGAGAGTATAGCTCTACCCTACCCTCTAAAATTACGAACCTCACGGAATAACTTGACTGTAAGCTTTGTACATCAATGGAGAAATTAGTGACGTGCGTCACGGAGGTCTTTTCCCGAGCGAAGGACCTGACAAGCTGCCCGGAGAGGATAACCGATTGAAGGGCGGTCTTTTTGATATGCATAATAAAGCGCTTGATGACGCGAGAGCTGCAATCACTACGTTGCTCCGAGTCGAGATACGCACTTTGGCTTTTCTAATGGCTTTCTTGCGTTCCCCAACGACATTTCCTGAATACGTACAGACATAGTGTGCCTAAGTGCACGGCTGCCACTGAGTCGAAGAAAATCACTTGGTGGTATAAACCAAATACATATTAATGCATACTGGTTTGAAAAAAGGAACTGTGGATGCTAAAGAAAACTAACGAAAAAAAGATAACTTCCTCACCTTTTGGCCCCCTAACGACCTCCACCATCCAACTCTGGGGCGTCCAAATGTCAATTTTGCAGCTAGTGCCCCGAGGATTCAACCAGGGTTCTAAAAAAATCCAATGCCTCCCCCTTTATCCTTCATACAGAGCCAAATGACAATTCAAAAAAGGAGGGCAAGGTAGCTGCCGTGGTTGTTCTTGAGTAAAGGGGAAAAAAAGGGGGGAAGCTCATTCCATGTGTTCTAGATCACGACATAGTCATATGCTAGGCTTTAAGTTAGCCAGTAGAGAGGCACAGGGTTAAAAGCTTTCCGTAAATCTTTTTCCTTGCCATTCTAGTTTTGGTCGATAGAATACAGGTAGACGATACTCGCACAGTTTTTTTCTTTTTTTGTTGTTCTTCTTCCTCTCCAAAAGGCTAACAGCGGCAATTTGAGGAAAGTTCATACACCTAGTCTAGAAGAAAAAAAATAATACTTAAGGGATAATACATGGAAAAGCTGGCAGGGTCATGTAAAAAATGAAACCCAAAGGTCAACGGCCGGGGAGAAGCAAGATGTTTTTATCAAAAGAAGGGTAAAGTCGTAGGAAATTTTCTTTTAGAGGACAACCAGCTTCTCCGGCTCATCCTCCAGAACAGCCTGCATCCGCTCCAAGAAAGCTTGGCCCCTGAGCCTCTCGGATGCAGGGACAGTAAGGCTGAACACGCTTGACTTATAGTCGCTCTCGGTCACTGGTCTCTCTGCTGCTGTCCGCGAGCGACGAGCGCCATTAGAAGCGGGTGCTTTTCCGGAGAGAATGTCGATTATATCCGCTGCGGGGGTGGTGGGTTCTTCGGCCGCAGAGTCAAGCTCTGCCGCCGAGATGATATCCGGGAAATAGTCTCCTCTCGATGTTGCAGGGAGATCGTCAGCCGCGGAGCTCCGGATGCCGATTACCTCGGCGAAGAGCTGGTCGGCGATCTCCTGACGGGCGCGGGTGCGCGTGGAGGGCAGCTCATCATTCGCGATGTCCGTTGCGCGGGCGATGAATGTCGAAAGAGGGATGGTCACTCCGATGGCGGAGCGGACTCTTTTTTGGACGCGGAGGACGCGGGACAGGGAGATCGGGAGGGCGAGGTTGGTTTCGAAGGGCTCTGCGGGGATTGGTTCCGGCGAGACGGCCGCTGGGGCTTCTGATGGCCTGCGCTGGTCCGCTTGGGGTGCTGTTGGGGGTTGTTGCTGTTGTGGTGGTGGTGGTGGTGGTGGCGGCGACGATGCTGCGGGCCGGATGTTGCTCAGGTCAAGCTGGGCGCGTTCGAAGAGTTGGGAAGAGAGGCTTGATGGGTAGTCGGATGGGATGGCGCCGATGTAGGAGAGCACATCGCCTTTGAGGAGCCGCCCCTTGGGTCCAGTTGCGGGAATTTTGGATATGTCGGATTCCGGGATGTTGTTCTCACGGATGAGCTGGGCGACAGATGGATAGAGCGGCTGGGACTGCTCAGCGCATGCAGGGACACTGCTCTGGAAGTCTGATAAGAAAATCAAGTTAGCTGGGATGTCCTGACACAGTGCGATCTCCAGCGTCCGGGCAGATGATACGTACGGCGGACGGAGCTACGAGCTCCTGGCAGGTATCGCGAGGAAATGCATCGTGACAGTCGTGCGGCCGAGTGACGCCCAGCCATTGCACCTAGCCGAGCCGTTTCACGGGCCAGTTGCGCGCACACCCGGTTGTCTGCTGTCTGCTGTCTGCTGTCGAAAGGGAGAGGGAGAGGGAGACGTAGAGAGAGCGCAGCTTGTCCTCCTGTCCATCTGTCTGGCTGTCTGTCTGGCCGTTTCGTTCCCAAGGCTTGGCGTTGTTGAGCGCGCTTTCGCCGGATCGGGCCTAGCGCCGTTGGACGCTCTCGCAGCCGCAAATCCCATCATGGCTCTGTTTTTTCTTTTTTTTTCTTTTTCCTTTTTTTTTTTTTTTTTTTTTTTTTCTGTTTTGTCGATGGATGGATGCGAGGAAATACTGAAATAATAATGTTTACGGGAGCACTCTCCTTGGACGGCAAGCTAGAGTGTAGAGAAAAGGCAGAATTGGTGTTTTATGTCGTGGTGGATTTCAAACAGTGTCATTTGCATGCTGAACTTCCGAGCAGCAAGCTGGCACAGATCTATTATCTTTTGCCGTAGAAGTCTAGCAGCGAAACTATTACTCCAATTTCCCATGCCACCAGCCTGCTTCAATTGTTTGGGGGGGGGGGGGGGGGGTGGGGGGGAAAAGACGAAAAAAGCGAAAAAAAGAAAAAGAAAAAGAGAAAAAGGAGATAAACAACAGGCAAAATCGAGGAAAGATATGCATTGACGGGTTAGAAAAGCGAATACGCCCAGATCTCCGCCAACCGAGCCAGACGACACCATTATGCCTCAACCTCCAAGCCACTGAGTTCATAGATACACGGGCTAAACTCCAGTAACGCCAGGTTCTCCCTCCCACCGACCATCGCCAATGCTCAACACATGACGGGATTTTGCATGCCTTGCTAGATTTATAAAAAAAAAAGAAAAGAAAAAAAAAGAAAAAAAAAGAAAAAAAAAAAGAGAAGAAAAGATGTCCAGTAAACACCGGCCCCGCAAAGAAGAAAGATTAATGAATAGATCGTCACAAAATATTTATAGGAAACTCGTTAGACTTTGTTTGTTTCGCCATCCTTTTGTTGCTCCCAGGTGGGTTGCTCGAACGAAGGCATGCCAATCCCTAGGGGACGGCGGGCGCAGGACAGTTTTCGATAGGAGCGACCGGAAGAATCCACCTATCGAATCGTAGTCAACCCGGCCAGCTTGCTCTCGCGGCCGTGATCCTTTATCCCTTTCTTGTTGAATATCTTCCAGAACCGTAGAGTTTCATCTCCCGCCCCCGTTACCACAGTCTGCCCGTCTGGACTCATTGCCAGATATAGCACACGGAACGTGTGGCCCGTCAACGATGCAATTTGTTCCATGCGAGGGTATTTCCACACTACAATCTGGTTCTGGCTGTAGCCGTGCGTGCTGACGATCTCGTCGGAATTTTTAGACCAAGCCAGATTGCAAACCTGGCTGCCCGTGTCCACTTCTTTGATGAGACTCCCGGTGGCGGTGTTCCAGAACTTGATGGTTCGGTCCGCAGTGCCTCCACCTGAGGCGAGCAAGGAATGTTGATGGGGCGACCAAGCGATAGCTTTGACGGCCGCCGTATGGTCGGAAAAGCGGTACAGCGGAGTTTCACTCAGCTTATCCCAGACTAGCAACTTGTTGTCGTTGCCACCCGATGCAAGTTGGCCGTCCTCCGTGTTCCATTTGAGGCCACAAATCTCCTGCTTATGGCCCGTCAATCGACGGAGATACTGGTCGGGAGAACGAACATCACGATGATAGATTATTCGGTCGCGAGAGCCAGAAGTAAGAATGTGATCGTTCCAGGCAAGGGCCCCTACCCGAAGGGTATGTCCAGTCATGGTCCGCAAGCGCCGGCAATTTTCCGCGTCCCAGATTTGAACAAAGCCTCTACCTGTTCCAATAGCGAGATGGGTTCCCTTACGTAAAGTTAGTGACCGGCAACGGCAGATCGTTACGGGATGCAAAGGGACGATCTTACTCTTTGGATCCAGCTAACGCTGGTAACGGTATCTTCGTTAAGTTGGCATAGTTTTGTAACATTGCCATTGACGGAGTCCCACATATAGACAGCAGACCCCAATCCCACTCCGAGAATGTTCGTACTTCCCCAGTCTACGAGATTGAGATAGAAGTCATCTGCCAAATCGGGAGCATCCAGGACTTTGAATGGCACCTTATTCACATATCTTGGCTGCTTCCGCAGACTTTGCAGTATTCGCTGGCTATCAAACCGTATTGGGGACAGGCTGTAGATATCGGAATGAGCGTTGAAATTGGAGCCGCTGTGGGGAGTTCGAGACGGTGTCGGGTTTCCAGACACCTTTCTCGGTGAAGAGTAGGAGAAGAGGTTTTTGCTCGGAGTCGAAGGCGTGATGCTTGCTGGAGGTAAGGATGAGGCAGCCTTATGTGATGGAGGGGTGTGCGAACGGGTAGGATCAAGGGAGTTGCTGGCTCGCTCGGGTGAGAGCGTGTGCAGGTCTGACTGTGGAACGGTGTCGCCGAAGAATTCATTGCGAAGGACTCGAGAATATGTTCGGTTTGCTTCCTCCGCTACAACAGGCTTGTCAGACAGAATACCTTCGTTCAAATTGCAGACAGCACCCTTACTCTTTTGGAAATGAATTTCCCCGTGTGGAGGTCTTCTCTTCCCCTTGGACGGAGTAGAAGGACAGCCATCTTCATGCAACAGGCTGTAGCTTGCTTGTAGGTCTTGTCCTTCACGGTTGGGAATAAACCTGGACAGGGAAAGGGTTAGTTTTGCCAACGAACAGAGGTACCTGAGGAGCCGCAAAAACATGGCGAGGATATTGTCCGACACATGGCCGCAATCATGCAAACCAATGTTCTTCACGGAGACATGTTCTAGAATGAATCCTACCACCCCCCCCCCCACCCCCCCCAAAAAAAAAAAGAAAAAAAAAAAAAAAAAGAGGCCCACCAGCAAGAACATACCTGTCGCCGTATACCCTCTGTCGCTTCCGACACGGACTACTACCAGGGGTTCTTTCCCTTTGACGGCCAACATTTTCAAAGTCCTGAAGCGCCTTTGCAAGAGCGCCTGCATTTATTGGCTCTGAGCCATGGCGAGAGCGGAATCTAACGGGTTCGGAGGCGGAATGTAAAGCGTTTGACTTTGTACGGCCTGTTGGAGGAGTGTTTGAACCAGGCGGGGAGACGAGGTTTCCTGGCATGGTAGAGCGGTCGGATTTAGCTCTCGAGTGCGCAGATCTTATGCGATCACGGTCTCCTCGCCTTTCCGCCATGATATTCTTCTCCCTGGTCGCAGAAAACTCTTTCTGTTTCTCTTGTCTCTTTCTTTTCTTTTTTTCCCCCGAAACAACAAAGTCGTTGGTTGGAGGGAACGTGGTGTGAAGCTTGCTATAAATCGCGAAGGGGGGTAGAATGACGAATGCGAGCTTAGGCGCAGCGAGATACCGAAAGAGATGTCCAAGCGCAAAGATGGGATCTAGAGCGACAAGGAAGATGGGTGTTCGCGGGAAACAACGATATCGTCGTCGAGGTGCTGTCGCGCCCCCAGCAACGAAGAAAGACAGGGGTGTCTCAGAGAGGAAGTGATTCTGGGTTGCGTGGAATGAAGTGATAAAAGCATTGGCGTTGGAAGAGTCGCAAGGTCCATGAAGAGGGAATGAAGACGGGTCGTACCGGGACAATCACCGCGAGCGACCGGCCGTGCTGTCGTCTGGCTGTCGTCTGGCCGTCGCCGTCGACCTGCTGAGTTGCTCGTCCGCTTTCTGCTTGCTTGCTGGAAATTCAAACAACCGCCAAGCCTGCACGCTAGACCTGGTTGGGACAGGCGTGGCGGCGATACTTTCTTCCGCGCGCTCCGTTCGTGTCCGCGCTAAACCGCTTTGGGCCGGTCTGTCAACAAAGCGTTTCTTGGCGTTTTCTGCAGGGTTGTAGATTCGCGTGGCCGCCGATGAGCTGCTGCGGATCGCCTGACCCGGTGAGAGGGGAGCTGAGTCAGTCTGCTGTCCAAGATTCCATAGTTATCTATATCTAGGCGGTGGGCTGACAGGCCCCTCTCACCAATACTAAGCAGAAGCTGTGTCCTTTGCTAGTTAGTTAGTTATAAAAGCCGGGGATGATGACATAATATCACGTGTTGAGATGTAACCTCTGAATCGAATGCGGAGAAACCAGGAGGCGGATCGGCCACCGGCGACGAGGGGTCTGCTTGAGATTTATAAAAAGAGATCTGCCCGCTGGCAATCCTCTCGGATGAGACTAAACATCCTAGAATCATCGGTACTGTTCAATTGCCGCACGCTGCGGTTTTCGTGCCTCTTCACACACTCCCAATCCTCTCATTCTAACATCTCTCAGCTTGCAAGGACAAGCCAACTCTCCCAGACCGCAATCCGGACAGCAACCAATCAACCCTACAGGGCCCATTCGACGATGACTGACTTCAAGGAGAAGGCACTGGACTTTTGCTCCTTTGTCAATGCATCCCCCACACGTAATTACCCGCCGAAATAGACCCGACTAGACTCATCATGTCGATCGTCATGATCATGGACTCACTTGGATTATTCTAGCTTTCCACGCCGTTGCCTCTGCCCGCACGCGCCTCGTCGATGCTGGCTTCAAAGAGATCAAGGTAGGCACTGGTGTCTACTCCTCTGCTCGTGCTTGAGGTATGCTGACTTTCTGGGTGTAGGAAAAGGACGCTTGGTCGTCCATCTGCAAGCCGGGCGGGAAATATTACCTGACTCGAAATGGCTCAACCATCATCGCCTTCGCCGTTGGCCGCAAATGGAAGGTTTGTGCCGGCTGAATTTCCTATATTTCTCTTAACCAAAGTCATGAAAGAGACAGCATTATTGATTGAAGCTCACTATTTGAAAACAGCCCGGCAATTCCATCGCCATGCTCGGTGCCCACACCGACTCTCCATGCTTACGAGTCAAGCCTGTTTCTAAGAAACGTGCCGAAGGATTCATTCAAATTGGTGTCGAGACCTATGGAGGCGGTCTTTGGCATACATGTCCGCAAACCCTTCTCCAGAATTTTGGAAACGTAGAGAACTGAACCTAACTGAATTCTGGCTGTAGGGTTTGATCGCGACCTAGGAATTGCTGGCCGTGTAATGGCCAGGAACAATGATGGCTCTATCTCTGCCAGACTTCTCCGCATTGATCGTCCAAGTAGGCCTCTTTGCCATAGGCGCCCATTGCTCTCTTCTGTTGGTAACAAGTTATAGTTCTCCGAATACCTACTCTCGCGATTCACTTTGAACGCCAGGAGACATTCTCTTTCAATAAAGAGACTCAGCTCTTCCCGATTGCCGGCTTGGTGGAGGCTGAGCTGTCCAGAGTTGGCGGCGACCACGCCTCAACGGAGCCGTCTAAGAGTGAAGACAAGACAGATGACGCCCCCACTGCACCTCTAAAAGTCATAACCGAACGTCACCACCCATACCTTATTGAGCTCATGGCATCTGAACTTGCACTCAAACCTGACGATATCGTTGACTTTGAGATCCTCCTCTACGACACCCAAAAGGCCTGTCTCGGTGGCCTCCTTGACGAGTTTATCTTCTCGGCGAGACTTGACAACCTCAATATGTCCTACTGTGCTACCATGGGCTTTATCGAATCTCTGTCCAAATCTTCGGCTCTCGACAATGAGACCTCGATCCGCCTGGTCGCTCTGTTTGACCACGAGGAAATCGGCAGCAAAACCGCCCAAGGTGCAGATTCGAACGCCCTGCCAGCGATCCTGCGCCGTCTTGCCGTCCTGCCCTCTTCGGGAAAGGAAGACACGTCTACCGCCTACGAGCAATCTCTATCGACTTCTTTCCTTCTTTCCGCCGACATGTCCCATTCCGTGAACCCCAACTACGCATTCAAATACGAACCGGATCACAAGCCCGAGATGAACAAGGGACCCGTGATCAAAATCAACGCGAACGCTCGCTACGCTACGAACTCTCCAGGAATCGTTCTCGTGCAAGAAGCCGCCCGCCTAGCCAAGAGCGGTAGCGACACCGCCAATACCGTCGGCGTGCCACTCCAACTCTTTGTTGTGCGCAACGACTCGTTGTGCGGAAGTACCATTGGCCCAATGCTGTCGGCCGCATTGGGAACTCGGACCGTGGACTTGGGTAATGCACAGCTGAGCATGCATAGTATTCGAGAGACTGGGGGAACAAAGGATGTGGGCTATGCCGTGCGTTTGTTCAAGAGCTTTTTTGAGAATTTCTCGCAGTTATCGCAGAGAATCTTCGTCGATTGAGATCCAGGCCCATATATGAGGCCTCTCTACTCCGTACATGGAGGTATGAGCAGTTCCGGGTCTGATGTACTCCGTACTCTGTACGACATAGATATATAGTTTTGATAATACCAAGCCGGAAAAGCGAATACCTTGAATCGCTTCACCCTGTGAAAAAGAGTATATAGGCACGAGATAGCAGTACATGTGCGGCCCATTTGGGCTGCTTTAAGATAGTATCTGGAGAAGTGCCTTGATCGTAACTGATCCCCAATAACTGCCTTATTCTGCGGAATTTGGTCTGTGATAGCCCTGGTTAAGTGTTTCTTGGCACAGGACAAGCTTCAGGGGCTAAACTCTAATTCCAACATCGTCAAGTTGTTTGGAAACCCTTCCGTGCGCCCCTTTTCGCAGACACTAGCGATGTTCTGGCCTAATATCCTCGTACAACTATGCGTGAGTTAGCAAGGACCCGCAAAGACCACGTAGGGAGTACCCCGTAGCCACGCATGAAATGTCCCCCATCCTTGGGACGAGTTCCCTTGAGAGTGCTCAATGAGCATCTTTCACTCGAATGTCACAACTTAGAAGTCGAAAGCAGTTCGCCAAAGGTTGAGTATGCTTGAGGATACCTAGAGTTATCATTCCTATATGTCTCACTGACGTCCAGCTGATCTACTGCATCATCAACATATGTATGTAGTCGAAGCCAAGCTTTCCGAGCACCTTTTAGCATATAGTAACTACTACGTGCTCCAACATTGACGATGAAAGATAACAACAAGAGTCATGGCGAATTCGATTACGCCTTTTCATCAATATGCTGCACTTCTGTCTTCTCTCCCGCCTCTTCCATCTCACCACGCATAAGCTTATGCTCCAATCTAGCCCTCTCCTCTCCAATCTCCGCAAACGTCTTCCCTTCCATCTTCATCCTCTCAAGCTGCCGCGCCGCCTCTGCTTCCTCGTCTCTCTCTTCCTGTGACATCTCCGGCCCCAAAATTATAAACACAAAAATGAACACGAACACCGCGCCCATGAAGATTCCAATCACTTTCCCGTAATCAAACCGCTTCTTCCCACCTGGCCCGTCTTCAAGTGGGAATCGCTCGCCGATAATAGCCTGGATCGTAGCTGATGCGGAAGAACCAAGATTACCAAGCTGATAGGTTAGACCGACGAGAAGGCCACGGAGAGCCGGGGGTGAAAGCTCAGACAGATATATGGGAATAGGTCCCCAAACACCTCCGACAAAGAATTGTTGGAAGAAGCTGGCGGCCATCAAAGAACTGGGTTCCCGAGGGAAAATATATGCTGGAATAATCGCGCCGCCGAAGACGCAGCAGATCAACATGGTGAGGCGGCGGCCGAGCACCGTGCTTACGTACCCGATAACCGGGCCGGAGAGGAGAGCTGCGATCGGGCCGAGACATGCGATTACAGTGACAGGCGTTGGGCCGAGCCCGACTTGCTCCTTGAGGAAGGTAGGGTAGAAGTCTTGGCTGCCGTGCGAGCAGGAGTTGAAACCGACCATGATCACAACGAGGTAGATGAGGAGAACCCAGTTCTCCTTGATGCCCTTGCCGGCGTCTTGAAGGAAGGCACGTAAGCCGGAGGCTTTCGCCGATGTCCTTCCCTCCTCGGCTTGGATCTTCAGACGAGCTTCACGCTCCGCCTTCATGGCCTCAAAATGATGGGTCTCGGGAAGATAGTAGCGGAAAATCATAATAGGAATGGGGGGAACAGATCCGAACCAGAATAGACTTCGCCATGAGTGTGAAGTGGTGGGAACTAGGGCCCGGTAGAATATCGCTGCGAGGAGATAGCCGAGGGCATAGCCTTCTTCAAACAATCCCGAGAGGATACCACGCGCGTCGTAAGGTAGATCTTCCATTGCCGTAGCAGCCGCAGGACCAAACAACCCTAAGCGAAATAGATTAGGGACACTCCATAATCAAACAAACGAGTAAAGGCTCACAAGGATTACTTACCACCCATGGCTATTCCATAAAGCGAACGGACAGCCAAGAATTGGGTCAAGTTTGTAGTAAAGGCTGATCCTAGTTCGAGGACCACAAACAATCCCAGGTTTATGATCATGGGCCACTTTCTTCCGTACCGATCTGAGAATATTCCAAAGATGAGAGCGCCGACCGACCGAAGCATGAGAGTAACAGTCACCCCCTGGTAAACCCGTAGGTGTGAGTATTCCACACGTAAAATGAATATGGCACAATGTCGAAAACTCACCCATGAGACGTCCGCGTTAGACACACCGAAATCAGTAGCGATCTCAGTATGACACATTGTAACTGTGAAAAAGTCGAATGCGTCCCAGGTCCACCCCAAAAAGCCCACGGTGAACATGAGCCATTGATGTCTGTTCACTTCGCGCATAATATGCCATGGATTGGTCAATTTCGTCTTGCATGACAGTTAGCAAAGGACCGAGGGACTGCCAGGCTTTCAAAGCCTCTGCACATAGGAAAGAGCATCTACCCTAGGTGGCTTGAGACTCGAGATTCGAGTCGCAAAGTAGCGCTTTATCTGGCTGGGGGAGTAGAACCACCCCGCTGCCATATGATTTCTCATGTTCGCGGCGAGATTAAAACTGATCCAACTAACACAAAAGGCAACCAAACATTGAGGGTCAAGCAGACCTGGGATTCTGTAGACAGTATGGATCAGGAAACAACTGACAGGGTCCGATCAAGTGCGGCGACACTTATAAATAATAGATTTCCGGGTGAGGTAGAGTTCGGCTGCAGCGAGGCGGGATATGTCCCCTCCATTTCCACGTTTCTGGTACTAGAGGTAGCAGTATACTCCAGCGTGAACCACGAAAATGGGGGTTGGGTACCGCGAAGCACAAAGCGCAGCAATCAGGGTTTGGAGTTCGCTATCTCTGGGGGATGGCCATCTCAGCGGGGTTGAAAGCAGAGCTGGAAGCTTCGATAGCCAATAGCTAGCAAATACCAGATAATCTCGGTAATTGCTGATGATCACAGCATTACTCTCGCCATCGGCGAAGGCGATGGCAGCCAGTCATGTTCAAGCATTAGCACCGGCCGTTGACCACGAGTTGACCAGGAATCTTCCCGCCAGTAACGCTCTAACGAAGTGAACCATGACCCTGGATCTGCGCGATGAGAAAACGTGCTCATTACTCGGACAAGACGGTATCTCAATGGACGGACTTTAGCCTCCGACGTCGCAGTTCATTTTGCGGAGGTATCTTAGCATGGGGTAAAGCTAGTTCTCGAAGGTTGATCAATCCGGGGGTTTCAATTCCAAGTCCGGCCCAAATAGCGGGATGTGGGACGGAGAGCGTCGCCATAGCACACCAGGTTTTGTGGGATCAGCGTGCTTTTCACGAGGGGACGCCGCAAGCAGGTTTGCGGAGATGTGGAGTCAACTAGCGATATGGACTCAAGCTTCGAGCGGACCCATAAGCGGAATTTGATGCGCTGTGGCTGGAAGCTTGGTCCAGCTCCAACATCTGCGAGCCAGGACAATTGTGCAAGAGTCCTTTGCAACAATCCTCCAGAGGATGTTGAAAGCAGCCATATCTCAAAAATAGAAACGACGTCGAAGCCAAGGTGAAAATAACGGGCCCGTCAAGTAGGGCAAATGATTACCCTGCGAAGGAAATACGATCAGACCCAAAGCCAAAGCCATACCCATTTAATATCAAGGTCGAGTACTCCGTAGATGCTTTGGCATGATCTGCATTGTCGAGACCGGCCATCAGTGAACTCTCCGCTGCCAAGGTTCGGAGTTGAGACATTATAACCATCCCGTATCTGGATCGCGTTTTGGAAGGATGCCCAACCATCCATGCGACCACCAACTAGCGGACCAAACTGGGTACGTGGTTAGAGAGGGTCATGATACCCAACCCGATAGGTGGTTGATGCTCTGCTGTTGTCTGTGCGATCGGAATCACGTACGAGCAGCGGAAACCACGGCGGACCTCGGCAAAACCCTCTACCTGTAACAATGTTTGATAGCCCGTCAAATATTACAAACAGCGCAAACAGGCTTCTTGGCTCGTCGGGCCGGAAAATAGAATGTTCCAGGCCGACCCCACGCTGAGGCTGAGGCGGGGAGTTTGCGTTCAGCTGGCAGATGGTGACGGTGACAGCGACGTTGTTGGTGATGGCAGCCGCCATGTTCTGCTGATGTTGAATTTTGCCATCTTGTACAGTTTAGCTCGAGCTTGTTTGACAGAGTCGTAGAAAGAAATTCTTTATTGCGCTTGGATTCGCAACCAACATGGCGCCGAAATACCTCACCGGCGACAGCCAGGCGATCAAGGACTTTATCGACAAGTTTGATGTGAGTTTCTTGTCTTAACCTCATTGCAGCCTGTACATCCTCTCGCGGTTTATGCGCACTTGCTAACTGGCCGGTTTAGGTCTTTCTTTTTGACTGCGATGGTCGGTAATCCTCTGCGTAACGCGGCTTAGACAAAGACAAGTCACCTACTTCTTGTCGGTGTAAGCGCAATGCTGACATTATCAGGGCCATATATACAGGAGTATTATGGTCTGGTGATATTGTCTTCAAGGGAACCGTCGAGACCCTAGAAATGTTGAGGAGCAAAGGTACGGCTTGTACGATGTACATATGCGCTAATCGCCCACGGTCGACGGTAGGACATTGCTAATCAAAATCTTCATAGGAAAGCAGGTTGTTTTTGTTACCAACAATAGTACCAAATCGCGACTTGATTACAAGAAGAAACTAGACAAATTGGGCGTTCCTGCTTCTCATGTATGAATGCGAAAACCCCGTCCATCCATATACAAACGTCAGCTCATCCATAACTACAGGAAGAGGTCTTTTCTTCGTCCTACAGCGCCGCTGTTTATATTTCTCGAATCCTGAACCTACCCCCCAACAAACGGAAAGTCTTCGCCATTGGGGAAACCGGTATCGAACAGGAACTCCAGGCGGAAAACATTCCGTACATCGGCGCCACAGATCCCACTTACCGCCGTGACATCACTCCTGAAGACTACAGCAAAATCACCGCTGGCGACTCTTCCCTTCTGGACCCAGAGGTCGGCGTTGTCCTCGTCGGGCTAGACTTTCATATCAATTACCTCAAAATCTCCCTGGCATATCACTACATCCGGCGCGGCGCGATTTTCCTAGCCACCAACATCGACAGCACGCTTCCAAATGCGGGAAGCCTGTTCCCTGGTGCAGGCACAATTAGCGCTCCCCTGATCCGCATGCTGGGTGGCATCGAGCCGACATCTCTGGGTAAGCCGAGTCCCGAGATGATGATGGCGGTTGAGGGGAAGTTTAAATTCGATCGACGTCGAGCATGCATGGTGGGTGATCGGTTGGACACCGATATCAGATTTGGAATCGAGGGGGGACTAGGTGGAACTCTGGGGGTTTTGACTGGTGTTTGTTCCAAGGCCGACTTTGAAACTGCGACTCTGCCGCCAATGGCGTATGTGGATACGCTAGGAGATTTGCTTAACGGAACAGCATAGGCGGTCTCTGCTATGCAATTCTGGGGTTTATTCCTACCTGTTCATTACATCCATGCATATGTTTTGGATGAGACCATATCCTACTCGATTAATTCTATGGATAAATATGTACATATGGTGTGAGACCTGATGTTTCATGGTTCCCCATTCATTATAGAGCTTTGCTATATACAGAAATGATTTTTACGGCAATAAAAGATAAATATAGATTCCGTCATCCGTCCGAAATACGAGAAGATGTCAAAAGCCGGAAGAGCATTGTGGGAATGCCCTTCGGAAGGGAGATTATATCTAGGCACCGGCGTATCCAGAGGATACGGGGGTTTGGTCCTCTCAAGCATATTTGCTTTCAATTATTTTGGCTATCAAGAAATACCGCTCATAATGTACACGTGGGAACCTGTCTCTAACTAGTTCCAATAGTCACATACGAATGTAGTCTCCAGAGACCCTGCATCGTATAAATAGTTTTATCACCCGAAGGCCTAAACAGCACAGCGTTTTTTGTGAAGAATTCATGGTGATCTCGAAGCTCCTGCAAATTCTCTTCCGAGAGGAGCCTTGGAAGATAGAAGATAGGGATCTGGGTCCCCTGAAGCGGGAGCTTTACAAGCTCTGGTATAGATGGGCTACCATCGAGCGGGCTGCCTTCTGGCTGAGGTTTGAGCAGCAGGACGGCACCGCATTTTATATTCTTCAAGTTCCCCAGTGATTTCAGTCCATTTTCCAGGTTGTCTATCAGCGTGGATTTGGGATCAATCTCCAGCACACTCCACCGGTGGTCTTTTCCAACGATGCAGCTGACTTTAAGCCCCCTAACAACATTTTTTCTCATATGGGTCAGCACAAATTCTGGTAGATCTTCCCGCCAAATGATGCTATCATTCTCTTTCTTAGTGAGGAACCCATTGGGATATTTCCATCTATATGGTAGCAGAGAGCGAGTGGCATGTGTATTTGCCCCTTTCGCTATTCGAGAGAGCAGTGCGGGATTATTCGCTATACGAATCACCGGGAGGCGCTGAGGTCTGCTTTTCCGTCGTGGAGGCTCAGCTGTGACTTGTAGCTCTTCCGACGGCCCGGCTTCCTCTTGCTCCTGGCTTTTCTCTCCCTCCTCACTTTCATGCGCTTTCCGTTCAGGGCCTAATGCCATGCTCCGAATTTCATCCCCCAATAGCCGCACCGGCATCATCCACGGTGATCCGGACTGTGGATGTTCTACGAGCCCATAATCGCCAAGGAAGTCTTTGGGAACCCGCGCTTGTGTCGCGGCGCACATGCGCAACGGGCTTGCCAGTGCCCGGGCCCATGGGTTGCGTTTCAAGACATCAAAGTCTGTTTTGCGGGGGATTTTCTCGTGGAGCTTTGTGCGGGCAGCTTTACGGAGGAGGACGGGGGATTGGACAACTGTTGTCTGGCGCGAGGGCGGACGTTCAAAGTTTTCGGGAGAGACGGTGTTTGGTGAGCTGTTGCAACTAAGGGAAGCGGACTTATTCGTAACGTCATTTTTTATTTCGTCAGATTCGCGGTCTGCAGGGAGATCTGGGTTCTCGCACGTGTTTGCTTGGGCTGCTGTGGATTGGAATCTCCGGCGACGGGGTTGGAATGGGTCAACTGAGCACGCGGAAAGCCTGTAAAGTAAGGCGCGTAGAGGAGACGGGCCGGACAAATTGAATGCCACAGGGCATCTTGTCGTCATTGCTCTTCAGAGGACTATTGTTCCTCATCGGAATGGAAATCGCGGGTTGAATGGCAATTGAGCGGCGCTAATTTTGGCGCTTCATCATATCGCAGTTAGTTACAAGTGGACCGCTACTCCGTAAAGCTTCTTCGACATTCATCCGCTATCAACACAAACCACCGCGTCTCATTCAGCACTGAACCGGTGTTAATTGCACAATTGATCTGACTGCCTTGCACGGAACAAGCATAGCGGGTTCTGCAGAACCCAATACACGCCCATCCATGAACTCCTCCCGGCTTTTCTCGCTGGCGGCTCGCCATGTCTTCCGCTCCCCGGTCCGCAGGTATTCCAGCGCGTCCAACTTTATTCCCCCGCGCGGATGGACGCCAACACCGTTTGTAACTGAGACACTGGTAGGCTTTGACGCGCCTCGATTATGTACTTTTGGGCGGGCATGATATTAAGCTAATTGATCAGGGAGGTGCCTGGCACACATGTACGCGTTCCGTCCATTCAAAACAGCATTGATCGATTGAGCGTGCGGCTGGGCTGACGTTTAGGTATTGAGAAGACGATATATTCTCCAGATTATTAAAGGCAAGAGATGTACTCTTTTTCTAGACAGCTGAACCATTGCTCATGTGTGATTACTATAGGAGCGCATAGTATGCCTCAATGGCGAAGTCGACGAGACAGTTTCGGCCTCCATAGTAGCCCAACTTCTCTTTCTCGAAGCAGATAATCCAGAAAAGCAAATCAGTCTCTACATAAACTCCCCTGGAGGCTCAGTCACAGCCGGTACGCTCTTCATCACGAATGTCTAGCCGCTTGTTGGCGCACCGCTAATCTCCATCTCAATCTTCCTATAGGACTCGCCATCTACGACACGATGACCTACATCCAGTCTCCCGTGAGCACAATCTGCGTCGGTCAAGCGGCCTCGATGGGTTCTCTCCTCCTCTGTGGCGGCGAGCCGGGAAAGCGCTTCTGTCTCCCGCACTCCTCGGTCATGGTCCACCAGCCGTCGGGAGGCTACTTTGGACAAGCGACAGATATTGCGATCCACGCCAAGGAAATCTTGCGAGTCCGTAAACAATTGAATGAGATCTATAGGAGACATCTGACCAAGGACATGTCCCTTGAGGAGATCGAGAAGTTGATGGAGAGAGATTACTTTATGGGCGCAAAGGAGGCGTTGGATATGGGAATTGTAGATGGGATTATGGATCGCAGAATGAAACCGAAGGAAGAAGGTCCGAGCTGATTTGGTGAATATCTGCGATAAGGCTTTGAAGGTGTTTATTATGGGCGTTTGATGGTTATGACGACTAAGGCTCTCCCCTATACCTCTGGAATCTATTATCTGTACTCTTATGAAATAGAATGGATAAATGCATTAAAATGGCGAAAAGGTGCCTAGCAACCGTCTCCAGTGATATTTATACATCATGGCGTTAGCTACTCCGTATTCTATTACATGGAACCCGGTAACGCTCAGCCTCATGGTACCTCGGGGGTGGATATATGCAACCCGTTTAAATATCATACGTCGTTAAAAAGGGGTATGTTTCAAGAATTATCGTACAGAAAAAGAAAAGAAAAAGCCTCCTTAAAAGCCTGCACCAAAATGAGCCCCGAACCGTCGTCGAAAATAAACGCGGGGGGAAATGCTTGTCGACGAGCCGGAGGATTCAGCGGGTGTACTAGTCCTTGTATTGCGCCGCCATTGATCGCGAAAGGTTTTGTAGATGTTCAATTCCATAATCACCGAATCCCCCGTAAGGAATTCATCGCGAGGATGCATGGAGTTATCGAAGTGATCCGCTGCGCCGGGAGTGGCATCAGATAACAGACGGTGCCGCTCGTGATCCCTTTCTTCATTTCTTTCATCGTGAATATTATTTTGCGCATCTGAGGGTTGCAAGTTTTGCAGCTCAATGCCATCAGCGCCGGGTGGCTCAGTCTCCCTAGAACGACGTACACCACGCTCTTCCGAATCGATATCCTGGGAGACACGCGAGTCGGACGTAGGCGAGTGACTCCCCGACGCAGAATTAGATGATTCACGGGGCGAGGTGGCCTTGACTTTTTCCTTTTCCAATATGACCCCCATCATAATAATTTGCAGGATCATAACTAGGATGTCCATGACGATCAGGCGAACTTTTGAAATCGGGCCTTTCTGTCCGATAAAATCAATGAAGAGTCCTCCGTGGAGGTAGCCCCGTGAGACTTCGCCGGCAATAGGCGCGGCGGATATGCAATGAAGGAACATGCAGAGCAGATTGCTGGTGAGAATAGCTCCGATGTAGGGCTGATTTTCAGGAGGCTCGAAGGTAGGTTTGGGAGTGAGATAACCGAATTGGATGACTGCCCGGATGGCGAAGTGGAAGATAGAGCAGCTGAATGTTCGCACGAAAGACAATTTCATCAGCAAAAATGCATAAAGAGCATGGCATGCTTCAATGTGCGCTTGATATGTGGCTTACTCCATGTAATACAGCGAAGAGAGCTGGCAGTATATCAGGAGATCGAAGTCATGCAGGAGGCGATTGAGGAGAACGGTTTTCGCCTTTGACCGGATATCCTTTCTGGCGTCCAGCAGCTGCGACGACATCTGGCGTTCGTCATCATTGTCGTGCGAAAAATTGGAGATGTCAGCGATGTGTTCCGCATCTCGGAGTGCATCTGGGGTTGTCATAGAGCAGACATTGGGCCTTCGCGGAGATAGGATAGGCGGGAGGCAGCAACCGGCTGGTCAAGCAGCCAGTTATTTAGCGTGGTGGATGCAGATGGAGGATGAAGAGACCGCTGCTTTTCAGTCACAGGTGATGCCCAATTTTGAATTTAGTTAACTATGCCAGTAGCTATCATCCGCTGCTCAATGCCAGTCTACCTCTTTTTCTCTCCAGCTTGCTTGCCTCCGCAGCGATGACCAGCCAAGTTGCCCGGCTGCTGAGTCATCCCGCAGCCCCCTCCGGCCTCACCATCCAAGCAGCTCATCCCCCATCAACTTCAGCTTTTTCGAGTCCTTCGAGTTCTTCCTCGGCTTCCTCTTCACGCCCTTCATCATCCTCATCATCATCACCTACTTCTTCTTCTTCTTCAAGTTCCAAGTCTCCTGCGTCATATGCCCCTTCATGACCTTCTGTTGTCAACTCTAGCTCATCGTCTACGTCTTCATACGTAAACTTCGCACAAGCGAATGGTTTACCTTCCTTGCCAATCCGCGCAACGAACTCGACTTCGCCGCTCTCCGCTTTTACCTTGTGTCCAATTTGAACCTGCAACACCTTATTCTTCTGCCTGCCGCTTCTTTTGATATACTTCGAAAAGTCCAATTGGATCGTACCGAGAATCCGGACCCCCGAAATCAAAGTAAGCTTGCGATCTCAATACCCTACACTGGTGACAGCGTACCCTCAGTGACAGTCCCCTGGTGGATCTTCCTCTTTGCACTGATAAAGCTTGAGCTGGCCGCTTAAAATAGCTTTATTGCTCAGCGGGATATACCCCTCCAGCCATTTAAACTTCTTCGGTACTATCTGGCCCTGTTGAGTCCTGTCAGCTAGCCCACCCCAGGCTCTGCTCAATCGTCTTTAATAAAGTGTTCACAATACCCATTTGATGTGCCATGCCAAATTGCCTCTGGTTCTCTTTCCGTAGATCGGACGCTCGAACGTCTCGAGTCCATCGTCCTCTCCGGGCACAAACTTCCTGTGCTGGGAGATACCATAACTCCGGCGACATACGTGGTTTGTTATCATTGCCTTACGCTTCATTCTAGACAAAGCCGCACCCCTTGCTATTGCCGACCAGGACTGAGACGGTACTATTACGACTGCCTCGTCTCCAAGCTCCGATTTGCAGAATTTGCTAGATCCTCTTGAAAACATGTACGTTTCCACCAAGGCCACCACAAAGCACTACGGCCTGTTTGTCTCGCGCAAACTTGTCACTGAAATGATTCTTCCCAAAATGAGCGGAACGATCGCTTACCTGGACTGGATTCTGGTTTTGCTTTTTCAACTGCGAAATTTGTTGTGATATCTTGTCAATCGAGGGTTTGATTACTTGATCAAACATCGCTATAATCTCCTCTCGTTTATAAATCTATGTTAGTCACTTCACTTATTATACGTGCTGCGGGATACAAAATCCCATAACTCGTCAGTGTTATGGTTCCCGTCTCGGCGTCATACCCACTCCCGCTCTCTCTATTCATCCAAAGAAGAAGTCGGTAGTGGAAGCCTGGTTCACGCTTGAACCTGCATTTTATGTCCTCGAATTCTTTCATGAAATCACTTCCTTGACTGATACTTTTCGCTGATTTTCCGAGAAAATCATTTCCGTACTTTTCCCGCATGAGCTTGTGGAGCTCGCGATCGATTGTGCTTCCACCACACATTGCGCCTACTCCAGCCATTAGTTCGCGATGGAGAATATTCATGTTTAACCTTACTGGTACCAGCACAGGCTTCAGTCACTCTAAATGGACTCCTGGATTTGATTTCATAAGTGATGAGGTCCTGGCCCCCTATTATTTTGTGTTCCCAATATCCCGGTGTAAGAGATATCTTTACCACAGTTCCCCCGCCCATATCAACAACCATTACATTTTTCTTGCTCTAGGCGACACGTTTGTTAGCATGCCCCATTTATAAAATTTACTATTCAAATTAGACTGTTATCGCACCTAGAACAGTGGCCTGACATGCTTCTTATCCAGGTAACATTCGAATGCTAACAGGGCTGCAGCCTCTGGCTCGTCAATAAACGAGATTTTGTCCTTAAGCCGGGACCTAAAACCGGCGCTTTCAGCTGCCTTTTTCAAATTTCCCGTATATTCTTTCCCCCATTCGGCCGGGGCCGAAAACACAAAGTCGATGGGGGTGGTTTCGATTACGCCTGAATATTCCTTGTTGACAGCATTCATGATGTGGGCGTGTAGATATTTGAGGAATTCCTTACACAGGGACTGGGGCGTGTGTCCATCCGGGATGCGCATCAAACCCTTGCCGACCGCTTGTTGCAATAATGGATCATCTTCAGGGGTCGCACATAGCTTTGGCGCCATGCCAATTTTAAACCACGCTGAGGAGGAAATTCCAGTCTTTACTTTTGCGCCCCACAGTGTTTCTCGGTTGCCATTATCACGCGCAACGGCAATGATAGTAGGGACCTTCTCTCGGTAGTCCCATGTTCCTGGCGAATTCATAAGCTGGGCCACCGTACTTGGTGACTTTGCGGAGAATACATGGCTCACTCCTTGTCTTCTGTCAGTGAACATTTTCTAATATCAAAATGATGGTTAGCGTTACTAGTGCATGTCGTGCCGAAATCGATAGTAACAATTAATTGACCTTTTGAGACGGTCTTGACTCGTCTACTTTTAATACTAGGAGGATTTTCCTCTATTGTTCACATTAGCCTACCCTTTTTCCAGTTTACCTTTACGCATACTTTGCCTTTTGCGACTTTCTGCTTTTTCGCTCCTTTCTTTGGTGTTGACGTTGGCTTGCGCCGCTTTGTGCCAGTGACAAGATATCAACTGCAGAACGCACCAATCATGTTCCTTTGGATTGGACAAACCCTCAGTCTGCTCCACGGAGATGAAGCGGATAGTCTTCATTGCAACCAGCAGGTGACTGCTCGCAGAAGCAGTGCTATCTGGACATAGCTTCCCTTTTTTTAGACAGCCCAGCGAAGCTCTTTTTAAGGGATACTGAATGTTCAGAGCAGCAAAACATTCGAAAGGCGGAGCTTGATCGAATTTTTTGGACGGCAGGGTGTATTACTTCGATGCTTTGGAAGCAACAGGTTTACTTCACATGTCTTTCTGGGGGGTCATATGAGCTTGTTAAAAATGGGTTCCAGAACGGATCAGCTCTGATGAAACCAGAGCATGCCATGAAAATTTATCCAGCAAATGCCTCATGGAATGGAAATGCGATTTCTTGTGTTATTACTCCAGCCATCGTCGCATATCATGATGTTAACAGACCAAACGAAGGGTACAGTGTGTGGTGTGGTGTCAAGCGGTGGTATGGGTTCAGGGATCAGAGCATATCCAAAATAATTCTAACGGTAATTTCTCTACAAAGGTAAGATTGTCCTCTAAAGTCCACAGTTTGAATAGAGACATTGCTTTCTAATGGACTATACAGGGAATGACCAGTTCTTTGAAGACTCAACCCGCAGATACTCCCCAGGCCCTAGCTGAAGCTACATCAGGAGGCTCCCCGAGTGATAAGGTTGCGGAGAGTTCTGTTGACGACGAGGCCATCAAGTCTGAACAAGCCCAGACTCTGCAGAAGCATGCGTTGAAAGACACACCAAACGGTATACAGAAGGTTACCATTGCAGTACCGGAGATTCAAGCCCCCAGTGCCTCGCAAAACCAGTTGAAGGTACATCCTTCGACACCCGATTCAGGCCCCCACCAAAGCGAATGCAAAAAACTGATCGATGATCCCTCAGACTCAACGACCGAGACGCAGTAAGTCAAGGAAAGTGCCTAGAGTCGAAGTGGATATCTAACCTGAGCGGCCTTTTTGGGTTCCGGCTATCTGAATCGGAGGTAGCAGTAAGCGTTCTCAAAGCTAAGTAAATCCCAATCGACTGGGAGGAGGATATAACATATTTGGCGTTTCCGATACATGGGCAGACTGCATGCTATCATTTATCCCAAGGTAAAGATAGTTTATGCGCTGAAGTCAAGCGACTTGCGCGTTCCATATGGACTTCTATTTATCAACTTGGTGACATTTATTTTACATTGGGCAGATGGAATGACGATACTGTTACATTTAGATATTGGGACTGATAGCTAGCTACTTTCCTCCTCTTCTTTTCTTTTTTTTTTTTTTTTTTTTTTTCCCTTTATGTCATCGTCAGGCTGTCTATTGAGTCATATTAGTCTTCGAGAGTGCAGATAACACGGGAATGCTGCTGGATTCGGACGATATGGATGGACGAACATTTACCATTATTCTTCCTTCATTTCACTCCGATTTATGCATTCTATGGCTGTTGTAGAAGTGTATTTACCTTCTTTTTCACCCGGAGATCCTTACCACACGACCATGGAGTGCCATAATCACGGTAGCTATGCAATCGAGAGAAACTCTCCATACATAGTATCACTCATTTTCAATCTAACGAAAACAAAGGACAAGAAAACTCGAATGGAAAGCCGTATTGGATCATTTATGAGTAGCTACCTAGCACCTGGGTATCTGATAGTAACCATAAGCCTAGGGCTGCGTAAGCTACCTTATCGCTTGCTTCAGGTACTCACTATACCCACCAGAGTCCCAGGACCACCTGCTAACAAAAGATCTTAGTCGAACCATCTCATACATCTAGTCAGTCATACTGTAAGGCGACTCTTCCGTGCCACGGCGCCTTGCTTCTGATGAAAACGCAGTAGTCCTTTCAAATGTTCCCTCGATATCGAATGCTGACTACCTGTAGCAGCAAGATACAAGCTGCAGCAATGATAAAGGGTTGCTGGATGGTATGTACTCCCCTGGCAAGCTGCACATTGAGCTTACGAATAGCATTTTTCACGGATACAAACGACACCCTCTCCACCCAGGAGTTGATAGCATTGGGATTCAAAAGTGAGCCGTACCATGGCGGAATCCAGCGAGTTAGTGCCGTGGAGGGGATTTCATAACGGGTATTTTCATCCCTTAACCGAATTCGAACTTCATGATCGGCCTAATATCGCAGAGATCCTCAAAGCCAAGTCAAGTATGGATAGTTGTTCATCTGCACCATCGATAAGACGCTTATCGTACTCGGAGAACACCAGAACAATATCGTTCTTCTGAATGTCAGGTATTGACTCGTTGAAAACAATTGCTTGGTACATCTTTGCAAAGTGAGTTAGTTGATATTTAGGATTGGTCCAAGGGGGAAATTAGGGAGTTTTACCTGTGAGAGCATCTGACCGGCACTCCAGCCATCAGCCACAATATCAGTAACGACTCTTGCAACTCCTTCGTACACCGAGCCGCCTTTCTTTGGCTGCATGGCGTCTATTAACCGATTCACTACCTTGTCCGGGACAACACCCGCGATCTCTTCAACCGTTTGCACTGTAATGACGCCTGATTGATCGGCATCAGTCATGACTTCATCGCCACTTTCATCTTTCCCGCTCTTCCCCGATAACCCAGATCCAACTAGCCTTGCCGCACTCTGCATATATGTAATCGCTCTTCTCAAATCTCCTTCACTACACCGAATCAGTGCATCAACCACGCCATTGTCGAGCCTTAATTTTTCCGTCTTGGCAATCTCTTCCAATCGAGTTCCTGCTGCGGAACCATCTAACGACTTAAACCGAAATTTACTACATCGACTCGCCAGAGGGTCAATTATCCTTGTGACATAATTGCACACGAGACAAAAACGCGTGATCCTCGAAAATCTCTCCATTGTGCGTCGCAGTGCAGACTGCGCATCTTGCGTCATACTATCCGCTTCGTCCAAGATGATAATCTTAAATGGCGGACATGGATATTGTTTTCTATACTCCGAATCGTGCGCAGGGGGATGTGAGAGTTGAATACGGGCGAAATCCTTGATTTTCTCGCGGACAATATTGATACCTCGCTCATCGGAGGCGTTTAGTTCGAGGATGCGTGAGCGGTAGAGTTTGGGGCCGAAAAGGGATTTGGCGAGGGCGAGAATGGTAGAAGTTTTTCCCGTACCGGGAGGGCCGTAGAAGAGCATATGTGGGAGCTATACTCGCATGAATATATCAGCATATACTGCTCAAACCAAGCGCTGAAGAAACCCTACGTTTGAAGCCTGGAGCGTCCGCTGTAGGACTGTGACGGTATGATCTTGAGCAGCTACATCATCAAGCGTCTTCGGCCGACTAGGAAGCAAGTCAGATTCTCGGTCTCAGTTCTCAGCAGTGAGGTTGGAACGTACTACTTCTCCACCCAAGGCTGAAGTTTTGACTTGTCTGCTTCGTCCGCGGTGGATTTTGATTTGGAGGCGGTAGCATTGGCAGCAGCAGCAGCGCGGGCTTTGTTGCTAAAGAAATTGGCCGCCATGATTATGGGAATTCTTGAGGTTGGAGCAACTCTGGTTGGAATGAAAAGCACAGCCAGCGAGATCCGTTGTCTTCTCAGCTCGATAGAGTCGCGAAACGAAGGTCGACGCGTCCGTCACGTGTTGTTATCGCGAACTCAATTAACCCTGACATGCCACCCGTCTGGGTATTTCAGTGAATCAGGACCCAGGGGTCGACACAAAGAATGGCACCTCAGGACGGAATATTCTTAGCGGGATAGTCAGGGCATGGGGGAACGTATTCTCCATACTTTGTACTCCGTATACTTCAAATGTATGGAAGACCCACGCGTAGATTCATGCCATTACATTGCGTATTTCGTTACTTTAATATGATAGTCTATAGCTCATCTTTCTTTGATGCTTTGTCAATATTCTCTTCCCACATCCTTTTCTTCGGATTTCGTGGCATTTCCTCCTGACGTTTCCTCTCTTCCGGGGAGATGTCATCAACATTTGTGCCGCCGCTCTGTCGGCGTTGATCTTCTTCCTTTTCTCTTTCGCTCACCATTTTCACTATTTCCTCTGATATACTTTCGGACTCCGTTGCCGGTATCGCCGGTGCAGTTTGGCTGCTCTCCGAAGACCCAGCTTCAGCAGGCGTCCTCGCAGAAGGAATAACCGTTGCCATTGATGTGGCCGATAATCCAGGAGTTACTGAATGTTGTACACTAGTGACACTCTTCTGCGCCCCTCCAGATAAGCCCACCAAACCAAAGATCGCGAACATTGACCTGTAAATCATTTTCAGGGGTAACCACAACAACCACCAAAGTGGACCATAAAATATTCGTCGAAACAAAAGCCATATTATAGTTCCGAGCAGTATATAGAATGCAGTTTCTAGGTACCAGGTATCCGATTTTTGCGAACGGAGAAGAGAGCTCACCAGCGAGCGCGACGAAGCGAGGAGGGTATCAAGGTTACTATATGATTCCGACAGGGAGTTCAAAGCTGCTGTCGATTGCTCTAGTTCAAATTCACGTCAGCTAAATATTCTTCACCGCAAGCCTTGACCTGAGTACGATTACCTAATGTCTGCTGTGCAAACTGGCTTCTCGATAGCTCTGACTGCATGAGCTGATGTGTACGCCTTAACGCAGCAGTGACATCATTCGAAGCGTCGACCACCAAATCGTCATGTGTGAGTTTTGGAGAAGCCTTTCTTTGCGGCATGCCGTCCTCGCCGATGCCGGAGAATAACAATTGTCGTTCCTTCTGCTTAGCTATATCTGCATTGCGTTTGGCGTGTATTTGCGCTTTTCGAAATTGTGTTCGAACACTATGTAGGCAGTTGAACGTCAGCAAATAATCGGAACAGATGCACCCTGTGCTTCGCGCAATCGTAAATCATTTGGAATAAAAGACGAATCCGGATCTCCGCACCTTTTAATATTAACTTCTAACTTTCTCGCCATGGTCACTATTCTTTCTCTCTCCGCTTCTTTATCTTCGTTGTCCCGCCTCCTGCCACTGCCCGCTTCTAGCTGATCAATCTCAACTCTCAGTAGCTCCATTTCATCTTCCATCTCCTTGAGTCGGAGATGGATCTCTGTACCGAGCTCAACGCGCGCTTCATCGCCTTGTCCTGGAGTAGCGGACCAGTTCTGTAATCGTTGGATCAAAGGGGTGGTTTGCTTATTCGTGACCGAGAGAGCTGTGAGACGTTGCTGGAGACCGGAAGCCATGATGCAGATTTAGGACGGGGTGTTTGAGCTGTCCAGCGTTTATATTTTCGGGAGAGAAATCAAGAACACCATATTTAGAGGATTCCAAAGTAAATTTTGATGCCTGATAACACTGTGTCCACTGGACGCTGTCCAAGGAGCGTCCTCGTCGTCGATGTTGCCAGTTGACAAGCTGGCTGCACGCATGTTTGACAGAGTTGCAAACACCGGCACGCCGAACTGCTCTCTGATGTCAATTTTATTCACACTTGCCTAGACAATTGAGCTTCGCAACAACCGACTTCTCTCACGCTCTTTTCGATCGCAGCTTAACGAGTGCGTTGCGCTTCGTTTCGACTGTGCCATTTACCTCCGCAATAACCACGGCTTTCTCTCCAGCCCGCTCCGTAGCGAACTATTTTTATCACCGGAGACCAGACTCGAAATCAGCGGGCTTCCGAGGTCCTTCAATTGCCAGCGACTTACACCCTAAAGCTCCCGCACTAGGTATAAAAATCAGTCTCAATCATTCTACTCTCAAACAAGCCCGCTAACCGCTATCCCTTTAGCTTCGCTCTCCTCCACGCGCCGTCCCACGCTCCGTTCCAAGTCACAATGTCTCTCCCTCTCTCCACCATCTCCTCCTTCCGCACCTCCTTCTCTCCCTTCTCCCCACTCTCCAAACCGTGCCGACTCGTTCTCTCCCTTCTCCAGACACCCACAACTACCCCAGCCTCCAGCGCCTCACACATCAAGATCTCCGTCACAAGACTACCCCGAAACAGCCCGCAGCTCCCAGAGATGACCATCGGATTCCGTAACGGAAAGGAGCTGAAGTTCGAGGTGGGCAAAAATAAAATGGCGATCGGCGATATATTGGAAGAGTTAGGACGTGTGGGCAGAGTGATTGAGAGAGAGGAGAGTTTGAAAGGCTGATCAACTTGCTCCTTTTTTCCTTTTTTTTGGCTCTAGCAGATTTGCTGAGAAGAGTGTACCTATTGCAATATTGAGGATATACGAGTAATCTGTACAATATGGAAATATAGAGAGGTATTTTTAAAAGAGAGATGAATCATGACCCAATTGGAATTCCTTCTGGTGGTAGTAAAATTAGTCCGCTCGTAAAACCGAACTCTAGCCCGGTAAAACTCTTTGTCCAATTGGTTCTCCTTTTCTTTTTGCGGTAGTCATCTTCACCGAAAAGAGCCGTAAAACACTTTCCATGAGTATGCCGGATATCTATATGACTTCGGGTCTGCGATGGATGAGGCATGCAGTATTGCTAGGATGGATTCAAGCACCAGATCTACTGCCAAAAATATGTCGACAATGCCCCACCAATAAGTGCGCATCTCAGTTGATACGACAAAGTCTCCTAATCATAGCCTACACAAACCGTTTACATCATGCCTTACCTTTAGAGATGACGAAAAAGCGTTGCCTTCATTACACATGAAAAGGAATCCCATGTGGAGGTTGCGGGCATTGTAGAACAGTGTAGGTATGCTTGCTATTCCAATACCTGTTTGTCACAGCCACATGCCTAATATCTAGGTATAAACATGACCGAAATCAAAAAGATCAATTGCCGGACATGCCACCGTTCAAGAAAGAAAATATCCTTGTTGTTCTTTGTTTTTTTTTTTTTTTTTTTGCAAATTTCCTTATTGTGAGAAACTGCTGCAGTTCTCTACATAACCCCTTCTAATGCACTAGACAGTCTCATGTACCTTTGTCGGCCATTGAGAGTGGGGATGGGAGGATCTTTTAGATCAGAATGTCTGTCTGACCGAAAGACGCGAATATGTTGACTGCGTACTGATTACACCGCAGCACCAGAGATGAAGAACCACTTGTCAACACTGCCTTCAATGGGGGCAGGGGCAAGGTCTTGACCAGCTGGGATAGACTCAATCTTGCTGGCATCAACACGGTCAGGAGAGCCCTCAATGGTGGTGTTAGCACTGAAATTTAACATGTTAGCGACTAGCAATAGTACAAAAGTAGCAGGGGCTGTGGAGGACGCACATAGACATGCCACCTCGCTGGGACTTGCCGGTCATGAGTCTGTCCCAGGCGTCGGCGCATTCATGAACGATTTCCATCGCGTATCTACCGTCGAGGTCAGTATATGTTTTGAGCGACGTGATAAAATATGTCCGAGGATTTTAACTCACTTCTTGTTCTTGCATTCACCAGAAAAAGCAAACTGGTTCTCAGGCTTGCCATCTGGAATCTTGTAAATGCGGAACCATTCGTTGGTGGCTCTCATAAGGCCTGGGAGATGGCGCTCGACATCCTCAATGTCGTGCAGCTTGTTGGCAAGGGGATCGTTCACGTCGATGACGATGACCTTCCAGTCTGTCTCCTCCTCGTCGAGAAGGGCCATCACGCCGAGAACCTTGACCTGCTTGACCTGGCCAGTATAGCCGACCAGCTCTCCAACCTCGCAGACATCGAGCGGATCGTTGTCACCCTTGGCCTTTGTCTCAGGGTGCACGACATTGGGGTCTTCCCAGGTCTGTTGACCAAAAAAATCTGATCAGCACGTGATGGCATTGACAAATATTGCCCAAACTGGGTAAACCGGCGTGTTGGAAGACACAGGCCAAAGGGGGGAACAGAATTTAAATAAATAACACAACTTACACGTGGGAATGCGCCATAGTTCCACAGATAACCCTTGTGTGGGAAGCAGTTGCGCACATATCGCAACTTGCCCTTCTTGACATCCTGCTTGATGGGGTTGAGGAATTCCTCCTTGCAGATCTATAGAAACAAAAAAGGGACACATCAGTGAGTTTTTCTCGTCGAGATGAGGGGCAATGTGTGTGCGGAAGACAAACATACCTCCAGCTTCGCATTGGTCCAGCGCGGAATCTCAACAACCATGTTCAAGATTGTCTTCTGCTCGTTGGCATAGAGAGGGATGTCATGGAATGGAGAGACCGGGACGCCATCCTTCTCGATATAGGCGCGGTAGTCCAAAGTGTTTGGCTGGCCGACCTTGCGGACGGTGTACTCAGAGGGTTTTCCGGCAGACATGGTGAGGTCGCTTTGCGGTGAGGGGCAGTGAATTGAAGAGGAGAAGTGGCGGGTGAGAAGAGCAGCACGGTTCACAGTTGAAGCTGCTGGCCGGGGATGGTGGGCAGATAAAGAGACGGAATGATGAGAGGGAGAGGAAGTGAAACGGAGAGTGTGAGAAGGCAGAGCAGCGGAAGAGAAGGAGGAGGAGGGGCACGGAGGGCGAATTGCGTGAGAGTTGGTGGGGGGAGCCAGCTTAGTCGTCGTTGTCCCAAGAAGTGGCTTCCCGTGCAGCGATGCACCATGAACAGGGGCAGAGGAGGGCGCCAGGGCTGCAGGGTGACAGGCAGTGCTCAGTCTAGCAGTGAAACAGGGAATTGCTTGACAAAGACGTGAACTGCGCAGGACGGCCTGGTTCCCGGTGCGGGATCGGGCCAGAGCTGAGGGTGGCAGTGATGGAACCTTGGTCAGCGAGCACTCTAGAAGATTCACTGCCCGGGAAAATAGCGACATTGGTCTATCTTGGCCACTTGTTCGCAGCTTCGCAGTGAGAAATTGGAGGTGAGAAAGAAGGTTTCAATTAAGTAGCCAGGTGGCTGTTATTACTCTGCGTCGAGCTAGCTCTGATGATTGATTTTTAACCGTCGGCCCACGCTTCTTTTCCGAGACTCTCCCTTAAGCCCGCTGCTGATGCCGTCTGGTTCTGCTTCAAAAATAATGTTTTCGTTGGTGATGGCTAAAATTCAGACTGCCCAGGCTTGATTGGCCCACGCTTAAACCGAGGTTCCTTCAACCAAGAATCATATTGAGAACATTTCACTTTCACAAAGAGGGTTGCGTCCCCGTGGTCTCGGAGAGACACCCGTGGCTGTCGAAATCGGTTAACTGGTTCACTATAACTACCTCCGCCGGCGGTGTTTTCAAGACTACCTACTGTGTATACGCATTTGGAGATCGACCTGAGCAATTGAAGTCTCTGACTACGTCCAAACCGGGAATGCCGTTGCCGAACGGCCAAGGAATCGTCACAGCGGGCGTTCTCAATCGGCATTGTTTCAGTTCGACTTCCACTCCCGGCCGGCTTTGAATAATTATCAGAAGGAGTACTCATAATACGTTGCGCTAGGGGGAAGAGGAGCCCCTGTTAATGTCAAGGATTTCCGTTGTCGATCTTCTAGGTTTATACGATTCCAAAATTGATGTCGCATCGTGAGATGGGCCTTCAATTGGGAGCGTCAGGGTCAGTGAGCATATATCATTTCATTCAGCGCCCTCTTATGCACCTGAAGAGGTCAAGATAAAGGCACTTCACCACCTTTGCGGGCCGAAGATGCGATGCGAAGATCGTCCTTCCACCCGCCAGCATCATGCGCCAAGTCTTGGCGAAACGTGTTTGCAACTTCATGCAGATTTCAGGCATCGGGTTTCAAGCGCTGTAACCGATATCAACGTACTGGAACAGGCCCTGATTCTAGTCCTAGTGCGTGGAAGAGATGAAGTGGCCATCGCCGACACAGCTGATTGATGTTATTCTTATGTTCATCTGAATATGAATGCGACATATGCTGCCTGATCTCTCTCTTTTTTTCAACTGAGCACCCTTCTAGGTGTCAGGATACCATGGCTTTGAAAAGCAAACCCAAACCCTCCTTCTGATCTTTGGCAGTTCCAGCAGAAGTATCCTGACAAATGACACTTTGGGCTCCTTGGGCTCTCATCTTCCTTCAATTGCGCCAACCATAAGTGCCATATGCATTATTCACTTGTATGGCCCTTGGAGGTTGCTGGATTCCCTTGTTTGTGGTTACACTGCTTGCCATCACTTTTGAATTGTTTCCAGAAGCCCTAGAGCGTCATTATTGCTTTCACCATGCATCTAATGCTAACGTAACGTGAGATTGACAGTGTTTAATGATAATACCTACTCCATTAAACGTAAATTCGTTTCTCAAGTCCTTAGTCCCTGCCAATAAATAAACGTCGTAATTGCTCTCCTCCTCGACTCCGGACTCGTCTTCCAAATGCAACGTGTCTACAAGGATCCCTTCCAAGTCAACATGATCACTGCTGACATTCTGTTTCTCTCTCCATTCGACTAGATCACCCTAATCTAATCTGATGGGATCATCTTAGTCAGCAAAAAATTTATCAGCAGTTTATCGCGCTGTGATCCCAACTTTCCCGATCGGGCGATGCGAACCCCCTCAGCGCATCTTCGCCGGCTCCGCCATCTCGTCTGCTGTCCTTCGAACTCCTCCTCTCTCTCCGCGTCTTCCTCGCCGTGTTTCCCTCGTCCTCCCTCTCTCCCGAGTTCTGGTGTCTGTCGACAATGACATGTTTCGTTTTCTCCGAGCAGTCATGACGTCTTTCACAGAGGCAGCACCCCACGTTCCCATCCCCAAGAACGGGGTGGACTATCGAGGCAAGATCGTGCTTGCACCGATGGTCCGCTCCGGAGAGACTCCATCACGTATCGTTTCCCTCAAGTATGGCGCAGACCTGGTATGGGGTCCGGAGACCGTCGATCGCGCTATCATCGGCGCAAAACGTCGCATTAACCCCCGCAACTCGATGATCGAATATACCCGTATCCCGTCGAACGGCGGCCAGCCGAACAAACCAGCTCAGGAGTCGGTACTGTATAGGATTGATCCTGTACGAGAAAGGGGCAAATTGATTTTCCAACTGGGCACCGCAAATCCGTCGTTAGCAGTGGAAGCCGCAAAAGTCGTTGCGGCGGACGTCTCGGGCATCGACGTAAACTCCGGCTGTCCAAAACCCTTCAGCACGAGCGGTGGGATGGGCGCCGCACTCCTGCAAACTCCGGACCGCCTCGTTTCGATTCTTGAAGCGTTAGTCGAGGAGATAGGGAAGCCCTATGAAATCGGAATTTCCGTAAAGATCCGCCTCCTCGCGGAGCCCGAGCGGACCGAAGCTCTCGTTACTCGACTTTGTAGAACTGGAATTACTGGTCTTACTGTGCACTGCCGGACGACGCCCATGCGTCCTCGCGAGGCCGCCATCCGTGAACAGTTGCCAATGATTGCCTCCATTTGCCGAAAAGCAGGCGTGGCATGCCTGATGAACGGAGATGTGAGATCCCGAGACGAGGCAATGAAGCTTATCCGCGAATACGGTGTCGACGGCGCCATGATTGCCACCTCTGCAGAGTCCAACTTTTCATGTTTTCGCTCACAGGCCGACGGTGGCCTGGAGCACTGGCGAGATCTCGTCCGATCCTACATGGAGGCTGCGCTCCAATGTGAAAATAGATGGGGAAACACCAAGTATCTGCTTAATCAGCTCGTTCCCGGTAAAGACAAAGCCTTTGCGGAGTCGAAAAGATCCAAAACGTACGAAGATTGTGTAACGGTGCTAGGATTTGAAGATCTAATCCCCATGGCGAAACATGTTGACGAGATAATCGGAACCGCCAAACGTGCAGCCGAAAGAGCCGAGTCGAACAAAAGCCTAGCCGTCCTGAAAGCTATCGAGGGAAATACCGCAAAGGCCGCCGGCGGCGGAGGAATTGGGAAGGGCAACAGTCCAAAGCTGTCCACTCAGGTTAACGTAGCCGGTGGAACCGGCCCTATTCGGACAGGCTCATCTGTCTCTAAACCCACCTCTTCCGCTTCGGTGTCCGCGGAATCGGCGGTTGCGGAAGTTGGGGCCAAAGTGGCAGATGGCACGCATGTTCCCCCCAGCCCGCTGACCTTATAACATCCTCCTTACATTGGCCCATCTATTCTCCCGCTACCCCTATGGTGATTCGTCTACTCAGCATATCATAAGCGTTGGTTGATGGTCTTAAAAATTTCTTAATTGTTCAATATTCCATGGTTGTTTCAAGGCGCAGTGGAACGCATATACTTTGGGATATACTCATTCTAGATTCGTGTTTATTGCATTTTCGAGGGAATATTTATTGTTCGGATTGAAGCTGGTTGGCTACATAACTACATATCTACCGGTGCTGAGTCACTTTATGAAAAGAAGGTAGCATCTAAGCATGATCCTCGAAACTATCCTGGAAAAGGAGATAGAGGATAAAAGGAATGTTTCTTTTGAAATAATATCTCTGTTATTTCTTGTATTCATTGTATTGGAATTATATACAGCGCTGGATAAGGGGGGCGGAAGTGGGCCTGTCTAAACAAAAAGACGGCGACCCAACCCAACTACAAAAGTTCCAGCTGTTGAAATCTCAATCAAGGACAATTCTTATATATCCGGATCCCAACATGGAGAGGTGGAGATTGAAACCAGCTCCAATTAAAAGATTTGTGACTTTGCGGAGGGCGCGTTAAAATAAAGAAAAGGAAAGGAAACAAAGAAGTTGTTTAGTAGTTGCAAGCCTTGTGCTCGCACATGCCGAGAAGGTCACCACCGTATCCCTTGAGCTTAGTCTCAGCCCGCTTGGCGTTGGGGATGGCCTCCTTTGGTGGGAGGGCCTTGGTGCTTCGGGCATACTCAGCAGCAGCGTAAGCAGCGCCACGGGTGTTCAACAAGAAGGCACCCTTGTGGATGTTGTCGACGGTGTCGCCAGCGGCGTGGTAGTTGGGGTCGAAGGACTTGCCGGCCTCACCGCCAAAGAGTTTAGCCTGCTCCTCAGTCTTGACGACTTCGGCACCGGTGAAGAGACCGCCAGCTGGGATCTTCTTCTGAATGAAAGCATCGTAGTCGGAGCGGCCGGTGAAGGCGGTGGGGATATGAGGCCAGCCGAGGTCGTCGAAGTACTTCTCGAAGAGATGCTCGATCTCGGCGGAGCCAGCGGGACCGGTGAGGTTGTGGGCGTTGCCGTCGCCGTCGTAGATACCGTTAACGTAGTTGGGCGAGCCGACCATGTCAAAGTTCATGTAGAGGCGGATCTTCTCGAGTTCGGAGTTGCTGAGGTGAGAGACGTAGTATTCGGAGCCGAGGAGGCCGAATTCTTCGGCGGTCCACCAGCCGAAGCGGACGGCGTTGTGGACGCGGAAGTTGGTGAGGGCCTTGGCGATGGTGAGGAGGGCAATGGAGCCAGAGCCATTGTCGTTGATACCTGGACCAGCATCAACGGAGTCGGAGTGGGCGCCGAGCATGATGACGTTCTTTGCGTTGCCACGCTTGGTCTGGGCGAGGACGTTCCAGCTAAACACATGCGAGTTAGATATGCACTTCGCAGAGGCCTGGGGGATTGTGACTTGACTTACGTTGTCCGGTTCTCTCTGCGGGATTCAACGAACAAATCAGCACTGACAGTTCCTGCCTTCAACTTGTCGACGAGCTCGAGACCATCCTCTCTAGAGATGCCAACGACCGGGACAGTGTTGTCATAAACACCGCCGAGGGTGCCACGGAGTTCACCGGGGACACTGTTGTAAATGATTGCGGCAGAAGCGCCGGCTGCGTGCGCCATCATGTTCTTATCGGCGAAGGAGCAATCACCACGTTCAGCGACGACGATTTTGCCCTTCGTCCCTTCTGGATAATCCTCCTGCATAAAAGATTAGCAAAAACTGTCCAGCTGGGTCAATCATGCTGGAGAAACTTACAGCTGCGCAGCCAAGGTTGTTAGCCAAGACGAGCTCTCCCTCAACCTTGCCAGAAGGGCTGTAGGTCATGGCAGCGGAGTTGATCTCAGCACCATCGATGGTGAGGGACTGGTCGGAGCGAGTCCACAAGTGCTGTTGCTCCTGCTTGGTCACATCGTAGTAACCAGTCTTCTTGAGCTCGTTGTAGATGTAATCAACGGTGGCCTTGTGGCCCGGCTCGCCGAATACACGAGTCTTGCCGTTGGCATCAGCAAAGCTCTGCAACTTTCCGATGCCGTCTTCCAGGTCCTTTAGCTTGATTTTAGCCAACAAGGCATCCTATGCAAAGCAAATGTTAGTACAATTAACACTCCTGGCCCCGCTAGCCCGTTCTGCGCATCAATTGGCAACGTACGTGAGTGACAAGGTCCTTGAAGATATATGGCACTCTCTTTCCCAATTCTGGTTTCTCGAGTCCGGCCGCAGAGGCGGAGGAGACGAGGGCAGCGCCCAAAGCGAGGTAACCGGTGGTCTTCATTGTGATCTGTTGTGGCTTCGACCCAAACACAGTCCTGGAGCAGAGAGGAAAGGGAAGCGAAAGGGGAGAATTGACAGCCCAGGCTTTACTCTGATCACACAGAAGTAAGGGGAAAGGATCGACCAACAGAAAAATTCCGGTGGGAACAGCTCCCCTTTAAGTTCTTCCTTGAGGAGCTCGCTGACAGCGCTGGCCGCGTTTGTTCATAGACCGGAGTAGGAATTTTGGAATAACCGGCCGCCGAATATGGCCGCGACCTACCGCCTGGGGCCCATATCAGATCCCAACCTGCCAACGAGCAAAGCCTCTATTTTGACGATGCTACCCCGGATCTCCGCAAAAGTTCTGGGTCCCTGAGAGAAGGAAGGACCCCGTTTACCGTTTGATCCTGATAATAATATGGACAAGCCCTAGTTAGCTTGGATCATGGGGTTAAGGGTTCCCTGGCGCCCACAGATACGAGCCAACATTGCCGGCACATCAGTCGAATAGGCGTCTTGGCGGTTGGAATGATACCTCGAAAGGTAAAAAGTATCTGAGAATAATGGCGGCACTGAGAGGGACAAAATCCTACCCTGCTCCTCTTCGAAGCTTCTTGGCAGGTCCGGTCATTAACCGGAAAATAAAAAGCGGAATTTGGTCTGCCAGCGGGCTGAACTTGATAGGCAGATTCAGGATAAAATTAATTAGACTCCCGTATTCCGGTCCCCGTCGCCTGAAAGGAAGGCGAGAGAACAGCGAGAGAAGAAGTGGGACTGTGCTTCCAGAATCCTTCATGCATTGGTTAGTTAGTCTGGAAGAAATGCACGAAAAAAACCACAGTTGGTCTTGTGGCCAAATACAAGTGGTTGGAGGAAAATGTTTCCGAAGGCTGAATGTCGGTCTGTCCCAGAGATCAGGCGGCCCGCGAGAGGGGATCTTCCCCCAGGTCTCCATGTCGATCAAGAAAAAAAAAAGGAGGCAAAAACGGGGAAATAAAAGAAAAGAAAAGAAAAAGCAAGGAGAGACAGCAAGCAAATTGAACGGGCAGACAAACGCAGCAATACGAGAACAGGCATAAATATCGTCACTGACGATTGCAATCCTAACCAACTCAAACCAGCACACAGGCGAGGTTGGAAGCAGACGAGAGACACAGCTCGGAGTCCATGATCCCTCGACGAGAACGTTAGCATGGATGCCCTTTGAAAGAGCACTCCCCCGGACCCATCGTCTTGGAAAATGCAAACGAGAGGTTGGACGGGACGGCACACCAGGACTGGACGGCTCGACAATTTCCCCAAATGCCAAGGCGCAACGTTTCATCGCCGTCCAGCAGCTCGAGAGACGCGGGCTCGAGGAAGAGCCAGTCAGCCAGCCTATCATCGGTGGCGGATCGGCGCCATAATGCACGTTATTGATCTAGCCCGGCGCCAGCGACGCGCTCAGCGGCTTCTTAAAAGGCTGGAGGATCAACGCTGTGGATCACGATCACGCCCAGAGCGCATCGTGGAGTCCCCGCGAAATGAAAAATGGTTCAGGGATTCATATCATTAACTCATTAACAGAACGAGCTGTCATCTCAGTCGCCACTGGTGCTGTGGAGCGGACAAGGCCGAGGTATCATCGCGGACATGTGTTGCCTGCCCTCGCGAGCTAAGGCTCCGCAGAAACTAATAACAAAGTGAAAGTAATCATAATAATTCACTCAGTCAGCAAGCGAGCATGATACGGGTGTCTGCTGGCTGCGTGTCGGATGGATGCGCCGGCTGATTGGGCAGCGTTGTTCTGTTTGTCGTCGAACTCGGATAGTTAAAAAGCTCAACAGGCGAAAACGGGCGACCGAACGTGGGAAATTAAAATTCCCCGCCGCCAACCACCCAGATGGCAATGCTTGTCGCTTGTTTGCTTGCAAGTGAGGCCATCCCCATGCAAGAAACTCCACGGGCGATCCCTGGACAGAGACCAGGCGGGCTTCCTGGTCCGGCCGAGTGGTGAATCCAGCCTGCAATCCCGGTCTGCGTCTCTCTCTTTTCCTCTCTCCGTCACGGTGATCTCCCGCTGAGAAGGCGATGGCTCTCTCCACCCCAGCTGAACGGACGCTCTCGACTGCTGCTCCACCGGCTGGCTATTAATAAAATCCATTGATATACATGGCATCATGCTGTGATAGCCTCTGGATCCGTGGATCGCTGCCCATCGGGTCGTCCGATCCTTTCGTGGTCACGGTCAGCGCTCCCCGGATGAATGCTTCCAGGCGAACACAATCAGCTTGTTCTACACTATCTCCAAAGACACAAAGCCAGAACGGACCAGGAAGCTTCAGAAAAAGGCAACTTGTTCGAAACTGCCTTAAGCTCTCTTACGGTATACTCAGTACAGTGGAAACTCTCAAGGCTTACCAGCGGCACAGACATCGACTCTTCCAACCCATTCTACGCCATCGTCACGGCAAACGCACCCAGATAGATACTCATGCGCGACTGGTGCCAGAACATCGCATAGGCAGACATTGCTTCTATCGTTTGTTCGCCGACCGGGAGAAAGGGGAATAAGAAAACAAAAATTATTGCTCGATCGTGATTCCCGGCGCAGCACGGCAGCAAACGGAAGGCATTGAGAACCATCTCAAAATGGCCACACGCATCTAAGGATCGTGACCGACTGGGGCGAGAAACGCCGCGAGCCCAATTGGAGCCCAACGGAGAGAGACCTAGAGAATATGGATGCTGTACGACGTGAATGTGCGCGCTATCACATGTCCAGCCCACTTTCCAGTGGCCTGAGAGGCTGGCAAGCTGATAGCGTAAGTAGCACAATGTGTGGGAAAAGCAAAATAGGGGGCATAACGCCAAACCAGATGTGCTCTTATCATCCGGCCGGATTTATGGACGCCCGTTGGAGAGGAAGCAGCAAAGTGATCCTTCCCCGGGTGAGAACACGTATTGAGCTCGAATCTACGAGAAACACTATCAAACGCCTTGGGCATGCTGTTTAATTTTGCGTGAGCCATCGAAGAATGCGGCTCATATTCACCGCATACACATGTGCGTAGATATCTGGTTGGTATCGACTCTATAGCATGTACATACAAGCTTAGCTATGGATGGTAGATCTATCACCCAGACTACGCAAAAACCCGCAGAAAGAGCACCCACAGTAAGCCAGAATACATAGAGAGTACATTATGATGTATGCACACACTTCGTACCTACCCACCACCCGCAAGCTTCGGAATAAGATCCAAGTATCCGCCTGCAATAGCACCAGAGAGGGGTACAGACTGAACTGTCAACCTACCCCGGAAGAACGAGGGGCGTCCATACCCCCGTCGCCATTGCCATGAGAGCTCCACAAGACTGGGGGCGCTGAGTGGATGGGTGGGCAATGCGTGCAGCTGGCCATCTAGCCGAAAAGGACAAAAAAAATAAGGGACCAGGAGCAGACGACGGAGACGGGGTTCGGATGGCGCCTTAGCGAGAGGGGGTTCCTGAGGAAGAAATCCTCGTGCAGCTAGGTAGGCAGGCATTGTGATGGCATACCATGATGCAGCACTCGCTAGACGTCTTTGCCGGAATACCTGCAAGATCCTCCAAAATCCCCCATTCGCATTCGCCCTGGACTAACAGCCCTGTGAGAGTAGGATGTCTACTCTTCACCTTTAGGCTTCGTAGCCTTACAAGGAAAAATAAAAGGTCAGAGTCACTGCTACGCGTGCTTGACGATAGACCCATTGTACCTACAGGGCCGAAGGCCCGGTGTCTGGGTCGAGAGCTTTCGTTGTTCATTCCCAGCACCCAAACCGACAAGGCCGGATGCAGGCTCTTACACTCAGTCCACAAAGGCCATCGCACAGGCTAGTTCAAGGAAACATGGGCAAGGGTACAAGAAAAGACCCTCAGGGGTACGAAATGCTTTCGGCCTGTTTGCATGGTAAACGAGAACGAGGCCTTAAGAGTCCGGAAAAGCGTGGACAGAACACGAGGTATCTCAAGGGGTAAAGCACTTATGCCATGCAACGTAAATCGCAGATTTGTCTAAGATCTATGTGAGCAAGCGAGTCTAGCATGATGTGAAAGTTAAAAAAAAAGTGTCTTGTTGGAACCAGAACCTCCAGCATGGGTCTAACAGCGCACAATGGGTAGTCATCCGAAGCCCTTAGTCTTTAGCAACTGCAGGGAAAACATTTTGAAAAGATAGAACTCGGAAACCAAAGGAAGCAAGAAAAAGGAAATCAGAAACGAGAAACAGGACCTAACACTTGAAGGGAACACTCCCAAAATAAGACGAACAATGCTAGGCCCAAATCCACACCCGAACACCGAGCCGATTTAAGACACCGAGACATTAGGCCGCTTCCGCCGCATGGATCTTTTCGGCTTCATCGGCATTGAGCTCACCCTTCCCTTCGCCATCCCTGTTCTCCTTCTTCTCACCCTCCAGCTTCGCAATCACCATCTCTTCCACGACCTTCATCCCCGCCTCTTCACCCTTCTTGCCTCCTTCCTCCTCACCGGCAACACGTTGATCAAGCACCAGCTTCGTCTGACCTAGAGCATAAATTTGTTCCTCGATTGTACCTTTCGTGACGAGTCTCACGACCTCAACCTCTCTCGTCTGGCCCACACGGTGGGCCCGATTCTCCGCTTGGATATCATCCTGCGGATTGAAGCTCGAGTCAAAGATAATAACCTTATTAGCGCAAGCTAGGTTGATTCCGGCACCGCCTGCCTTTGTCGAGAGCATGAATACGGGGACATCAACTTGTTCGTAGAACGCATCGAGGATTGACTGCCGGTCTTCGACAGAGGTGGTGCCGTCCAGGCGGAAAAATCGGATCTCCAAAGTCTCTAGAACTTGCTCCAGGATGTCCATGACCATCGTGAACTGCGAGAATATCAAAATTCGGTCTCCATTCTCCGTATATTGCTTGAGCAGTTCGCACAGCTTCTCAACTTTACCAGAGTTCATCCACTCGTCGTTCTTCAGAGCGAATTTACCCAAAGAATCGGAGTTGTTTGCGCACAAAGTATGACACTCGAAATCGTTATATGGTATTAACTCTTCATAGATCGCATCCGGATCCGACATCGCCCACTTTGGATTCTTTAAGCAAGCCTTTGAGATCCGACTTAGTGTCTTGTCATCGTAGTGACGACGATAAAACAACGGGTGAATCGCAGCCTGTCGCAATTTCATAAGAATATTTGTTGATTTGTTTCCAACCTTCTTGCCAGCTGCACGTTCAGCAATGATACGACGAACTGTTTCCGTCTCGTTTTGGTAAATCTCTTGCTGCGCATCATTCATTGTGCAATATTCAACCCGAGTAATTTTAGGCGGCAAATCAATCACTTGATGTTTCTTGCGGCGAAGGACAAAAGGAGTAAGCATGGACTTTGCTCTTGCGATTCGCTGTGCTGATAGTAGAGCGGAATGGGTGTCAATCGTTTTGGCTTTTGCGCTGAAAATATATTCAAGATCATCTTTCCGTTCCTTGAACACATGAGGTAGAATGAATCCCAATAGGGAAGCCAGCTCCTGGAGATTGTTTTGCAGTGGAGTTCCTGTGAGAAGGAGGCGAAACTGCGCAGGAATGCGAATAAGTTTGTTGTAAAGCTGGGATTTGCTGCTCTTCAGCATATGTCCTTCATCGTACACACAAGCGCAGAAATCCATTGAAGCGAGAAACCCTGCGTCAACCTTGGCTTTGGCAATGGTGTATGTAGTGATGACAACATTGATATTATCACGGTTTGTTTCGATTTCATCGCGGATAAATGCTCGTTCCTTTAGACCGGCGTAGTATGGCATGACATTCAGCTTTGGACAAAAGACTGAAAATTCGCGAAGCCAATTCTCCAGAGTAGATGATGGGACAACAACAAGATGAGGACCGTTGACACCCTTTTCGAAAAGATGAGCGAGGAAAGCGATGACCTGACAAGTTTTCCCCAAGCCCATGTCATCAGCAAGAATGCAGCTTAGTTTCTGTTCGAAAAGCAGGCTTAGCCAATTGATCCCCACGATCTGATAATCCTTCATTTTAATGTTCTCGCTCATGATGGAAGGCTGTCCAATGAACTTCTTCCCGCCTGATTCACTGCTTTGACTGGAAGGAGTGCCAACGCCGGAATCGTGAGAAGAACGCGGTTTGTCCAAGGAAACCAACTCCAACTCTCCCGCTGTCTTAGCACCGAAGATATCGACGCCCCATTTTTTCATCTCATCAGCAATGGGTTTGCCCAAAGCTTCGCATTGCTTGACAAGTGCATCAACGGCTTCATAGCCAGTCCACATGTCGATACACTTGTCAACGACTTTGTCGCCCAGCGGCTTCTTCGGCTTCCGACTTTTCGTTACTTTGGGCTGAGCTTCTTCAACGGAAATTTTGCGCACTTGATCCAGAGAGGTGAACGGACGTTTGGACATAAAATGGGTAGTAAGATCAGGAGTAAGTTCGGCAATATCGGCAAGGTCATCTGCAGAGCAGGTGTTGAAGAATTTTAAGACCTTGTCTTGAAGCGAGCCGTCGTCCTCCGATTCCTCGGGAGCGGAATCTGATGAATCGGACTCCACAAGAGATAACGCAGAAGACTCTGATTGAGAGGGAGAACGGTTCCTTCTACCTCTAATGAGCCGCCCGGGTTTCTTAGTAACCCCAGCATTAGTCGGTCGAATAGGAGAAGAAATAGGAGAAATTTGACGAGACCTAGTTCCTCTAATCAATCGACGGCGTGACTGGGCAGGTTCAGCATTGTTTGGCTTTTGACCCATTCGCTGACCAGCCGCCCACTTATCTTGGATACGAGTTCTTGCTTTGATCTGCTGTTTGGCGGGGACAGCTGCTGGGGCACGTTTGTGGTCGAGACTAAGCTCATCTTCAGAGGTAATAATGTTAGGAGCAGAATCTTCCAATTTCCCCATATAATCCACTGCGTCTTCATAATTTCCTTTTTTCTCAAGCAACGCATCTAAGCATGTTTGGATGGACTTGTTTGGAAAAACGTTGCGAATCCGTTCGACCTTGATTCGAATATTGAAATCTTCTATGTCCGCAAGCTTGAGGGCGTTAGGAACAGGCGATCCGGGGTGGCTTCGCGGTCGTTTCGCTGAAGGACCTTGAGGGGCACTGGTATCTGCCTGTCGCTTGACGGGGGGTGTGTTCGTGGCGCTTGGGTTGTAGAATGCCGCAGCGGTGATCTCTTTGAACTTTGCCGAGCTGCTTGCAGCCACGGGTGATTCAGCCACACGTGCTTTCTCAAGGGTTTTAGAGGCTTTAATGAAAGTAGAGGGCTTGATATCAGTCGCTCCGAGGTGTTCGTCATCATCTGAGGAGCCACCGCGGTAGGTAGGTCCATCGTCCTCCAAATCAATCACGGGTGTTCTTTTCACCGGGGCCGCCATGGCTGGAGGGCGAAAACGAGTACCACTGGGTGCGATGGAGGTAGATAGTGTTCCGGGTTTAGGGTAGCGAGTAGAGGTAGACGGAGCCAGGGGGGAAGAGGTAGCAACTTGGACGACGGGAGGATTGCGAAGAGGAGAACTTTGTGGAGAGGTTGCACGGTCGATTAATTGTGTGGGTTGAGTCATTCTTTGAGTGTACAATGGGGCTTGTGTGGGTATTGTGGACGATTGTGTTGCTGGCGCTTGGAGGTGTGGATAGAGCGGGACGGTCGCAATAGTTTCATCTTCGGAACAATCCGATTCTGGAGGTATTGACTCGCCAGCAAGGGCGCCCTTGCGAATGGGAGTATCAAGAATGCGGTCTACCATGGTGAATAGAGTTCCGCTTTGGGCAGTAGATTCAGCAGTTAGGGAGATGGGAGGACACAATCATCCGCAGAACATTTGGGTATCAAATACTCTGTACATAATATGGAATAAAAAAAAGACCATTGAAAAGTGTGAATGGAAGCAGATCTGACAAAGCTCAGGTCTGCACTGCCTGAGGGTCACTGGACAGTGCACCTGTCCTTGCTGAGCAGGGATGAGGTGAGGTTGAAGTCAGACTGACTGCAGCGGAAAAGATACGGCTGGTGCTGCTCTCCACAATTTTCACGTTCTGCACGGCCGCCGCTTCTGCCGCTGCTCTGCGGTGAGTGGCGCGTGGAAATGGAGCCGCAGACGCGCCGCCACCAAAACACGCGGTCACGTGGTATTAAAGTGGTCTCTTTTTTTTTTTTTTCATTCAAAAGGCATTGATTGGGCTTGACGCAGAGGAAGAGTCCCAGTCACCACTGGTAACAGTAGTATTGGGATGAAAGATGATATCCAGAGTATTGATTCACACTTTGTTGTTACTGATGGCTGCACAATGTCAATTGAAAAAAAAAAAAATAAAAAAAGAAAAAAAAAAAAAAAAGAAAAAAGAAAAAGGAAAAAAGAGGTAGCTAGGCTAGCTATGGAGTCACTACGTCTGCATTCACGTGCTACATATCCATTCTCAGCTGAACATACTCTGTAGATAGTACTGTATGTATTGTAGCGGCAGTAGGCAGTGGACTCCGCAAAGTCTTCTAGGATCTAACATTCATTCATACGGAGTTGTGGGCTTCTAAATATCTATGTGCTTGTAATCCTGGCTCTCTAGTGATGGCGATCTGCCCCGATTCCTTGTAGCTGTGCTGACAGCAGCCTTGAGATGTCAGGCACCTATAATTTCAATGCAGCTATAAGAAGACGAGCTACATGTAACTGCTACATATCGTCAATTGGATCTGAGCGCGGGCTGTCCGCCGGGATAATGACCACGATGGTGATACCCCTGTTCGTGATGCCATTCGATGGGTGATGTTTCTGGATCTAGCGCCGAGAGCTGGGGCCCAAGCAGCGCCTAGACCCAATGAAGCTAGCGACACCCGCGGCGCCCAGGCCCGCCCGGATGGAGCTTCCAAGATCCCCCAACTTCTAGGCTCCACCAGCACCAACAGTTAGTTCCAACGCCAGCAACTCGTTGCGACGGTAAACGAAAATACCACCTTGTTGAGAAAAAAAATTCCCCGAACACCTTTCCACCCTCCCTTCTCTCCAAGTTAACAACCAGATCTTTAGAATAACAAACCTGCCAAATCACCCCGATCCCATCCAAGCCGCCCAGCAATCCAAAGCAATCGCATAGCAAAAGAAACAACAGCGAAAAATGGCAACCCGCCGCAACCCCACCAAAGAATCCATCACCACCTCTCCTCCTCCCGACCAGCAACCGCGACAGCCTGGCGAACTAGAGCACCGCGAGGCGATCCAACTCCGCGACCTCCCCGGCTACCCTCAGTAACGTTCTCCTCTTCCCTTTCAAGACAAAGGTTCCCACGCTTCCCTCTAACTGACCCGCCCCTTCAGACAAGTCCTCTGGAAACTCATTATCTATTCCGTCGCCGTCCTTGTCCTCCCTCTCTCCGCCTATTTCTACAGCGTCAATTATGTCTTTGATGGGAACACAACTTACGCCGGTGCCACGGCCGCGATCACGGCCAATCTCATCTTGTTCTCGTATATCGTTGTCGCGATGAGGGAGGATAAGGGGGATCAAGAGCAACTGCGGGAGCAGCAACAATTACGGGGAAACAAGGAAGAGACGAAGAAGATGAAGTGAACCGAAGATACGAGATGCCATTTTTTATATCTCTGTCTTTCCTCTTTTTTTTTTTTTTTTTTTTTTTTTTTGCTGTGTAATATTGCAGGTATGTACTTGATCATGGGAATGGATGGAATGGGCGCGTATATTTTTTTGGAATAATTGACGGTCTGTTGCATTCTTGGTGTCTCTTTGATAACTTTCGAGTATAACTTGAACGTGAGCTCTTGATAGCTAAGGAATTGAGATATTTGAATCGCAAGGGAAAATTGACAAACCCCATGCATGTCCAATGTTTGTTAGTCTCATAGTACAATCTTCATTAGCAAATAGGTACATTCTCATGCGTCAAAAGCCGTATAACCATCTCCCTCGCAAACGATCCCAGATAGCTCAAGTCTCAAATGCCGCCGATGCACCAATGTGTTTTGAAACGAGTAACTTTTTAAAAGATACCCTTGGAAAGCAAATTCAACGAATTCATACCCCCCCCCCCCAAATTGTCGTTTCCCCCGAAAAGCAAAACAACGCAGAAGAAAAAAAAAAAAAATGTACATAGTCATCGTGACATCCAGCTCTCCAAACCCCAAACCCAGGCCATTCCGGACGCAAAATGAAAGGCATCAACATAGATATGTAAAAGGAATTGAGTGGCAATTATCCCATATTCTCAAGAAGGCATAAACATCAGGAAAGAGAACACAAAAAAAAACAAAGACACAAAGAAAGGCAAAAAAGGATCACATCGGAGAATAACAGAAAAATTCGAATACCCATTCTTTCGCTATTTCCCCGAATCCACCCACCCGAGCAATAGCATTTGATCAGATTCATCACGCATCAAGTAGGAAAAGAAAAGAAATCGTATCTCGTGAGATTAAAAAAGCAGTTGATAATCTTCAGCCCAAAGTTAAGATGGCAACAACCTCTGTCAAGATCTTGGTTACCTCACATTTAGCCCTTGCTAAGTCGTTTGAACCAGCTCTTCCGCTTCTCGGTCGATATCTTTGCTTTCTGCATGAAAGAGTCTTTGCGAGCAGGTTCGACGGTGACTTGGGTTGTCTGCTTTGGCGGAGGTGCAGGGGCGAGTGCTTCGCTGGCATAACCATCTCTCTGCGTAACCCCATTCGTGTGGTTTGCACTAGATGATCCGTTGCTCAAAGATTGGAAAGGTGGCTGCGAGTTATTCAACTGGGGATCAGTGCCGAATCCTGTAAATCCGTAAGCTTCTCCAATTTGTGCCTCGATTTTCTTCTGTTGCTGCTGCTGTTGTAACTGCTGTTGGAGGTGCTGTAGCTGCGGTGGTTGCGATGGCTGCTGTTGATATGGTTGCTGCTGCAGGCCGTCTCTAGAGCTACTCAGGGAACTCGGGTCGGTAGACTGAGCTAAATGGTCCATGGAATGGTTTCCGGAGCCGGAGGCAGATCCACTATCGTACGACTGATATTGACCTTGCTGCTGTACGTAACCGTTTTGTGGGGGTCCCCATTGGTCGTTGTGCGGGCGTCCCGCGTGACGTGGGCGGCGAGGCTGGGCGTCATGGTAGCTATTGTACTGGTTATGGCCAGAGTCACCGTATGCATCGACATAACTATCCCGTCTTGACTGAAAACCGCGAGTGTTATAGTGATTGTTTTGGTCGCTGTAGCCGCGTGTTGGGAGTGTAAGATTGCCGCGAGGATCTGTGACGGCATTCAAGTTAATTTAGGACACACAGGCGATGTCGAAACCGCCTCCAGCAGCAGCAAACATACCTCCGAAATAGCTAGTTGGGCGACTCTGACCATTCACACTGTCATCTGTAGGGACGTTAGTACCCTGTATTCTTCCCCAATTCATCGTCATATTACCTCTGGCGTAAGAGAGTCTACGGCTGTTGTAAGTTCCATCGATTGCCGCCTCAAAGGCCCGGATGGTATCAAGAGGACGCTCGAAGCGATGGCGCGTAGGATTCGAAAGGTCAGGATCCGCTAGAATCACAAAGAAAAAGAAGTCTCACGTCAGCAGCCCTATCTCGGCAGAAACCCATATCTCTCGCCATACACGCGTAGAGCACACTCACTGATGACGTTGCCAAATCGATCTTTATGCTGGATACCACGCAGAGACTCCAAGTTCGACTTCTCCAATGCAATCGCCGCTGGCCGCGCGTTAGCATCATATACCAATGAGATACGGAAAGAAAAAAAGATAAAAAATAAAAAATAATAAAAAAGAAGAAGGCAAGAAGAAGAAAAGTGCTTCTCGACATACATGGCTGAGCTTCACTGATTGCGCGAGTGGGATCGGCATGAGTATGGATTCTATTTGCTTCTTTCTCCCTGTGACTCTCGATCAGGGTAACTTTAGGCTTAGAGTCACGGCTCTTATGCGTCTTGGAGCTCTTTTCCGATTTGTTGCTGGTAAAGCTCATCATACGATTATGCCTGGTAGCTCGGTCCGGGGGTGCAGCCATGGTTGATGGGCGCAAGGGCGAAAGATGGGAATGAAGATGATGAGTTTACAAAGTTGATATGGCCAACAACAAAAAGAATGTTTGTGGATGGAACCAAGAGGAAGAAACCGAATGAATGATGAAACAAGTGAAAATGTTATCCTTGGTGAAAGCTGTGAAAAAGAGTTCACAACTCCAGCAACGAGCGAGCGTGCGGCAAAGAATGATGCGAAGACAAGCCGCAGGCAGGATCAAGCCGCAAGTGACCACAACCGGGGGAAATCAGCCCAATGTGTGGTTATCTGGATGTGATAGGATGAGCGGTAGCGCCGGCATGGTACTGTGTGGCATCTGTCTCAGATATCGGATGGAGAGGGAGGGGGCTCCAAACTTGGCCGATACTAGGAACCAGTCGGGGAAGAACCAGACGTCAAAAAAGTCAGATAACTAGCTAAGAGGCCCAGGGGCAAACAGAGAGGTTGCTGTTGGTCAGCAATTCTGGAAACATCAAAGTGAACCAGAATTGGGTCAATTGCATGGTTATGTGCGACATTTTATATTATTTCTTGTTGACCAGCACACATGGCTGGGTGTATGCGTGTATGTGTGGAGGTTGGCGATGAAAGAGACGATCCCCAGCCCACGGATAAGCACAATCAGCGACCAAAAAATCAGGCCAGCATCCCTGGAACACGTAAGCGGCGGACTTGACAGCTTCGACACAGGTTGCGAGCGCCCGCCAAAAATTGGCAGCGCTGCCAGGTCCAGGGCGTCGTCCGCTGTGGTTGGCCGCTACACACACACAAACCAGCCAAACATGCCAGCCCGGAACCTGCCAAGGCCGAGGGTTGCCTCGCTGGGAGTCTGGAGCGTTACAGGCGCCGTACGGGTAGAAGACACCCCGACGCCCCTCCCCATAGGTGCTGTTCTAAAGGCATCCCCAGCGCCTATAAGGCCCCGACGCCCCCTCCCCCCCCCGCTGTCGGGGACCGCATCGACGTCACGTCCTCAGATTCCAGCCAAGCTTACGAGTGCTAGCGTGCAGGAACGTCGATCGGTCGCCAAGTGAAGTTTCCGAGCGCATCCTGACCTCGACGAATGGTTCGAGCACATCAACCAGATCGTCTGCAGGCCGTTAATTGTGAGATCGCCGACGCATCCGCCGACTTTCACCGTGAGTACCTAACCTTCTCACTTAGCCACGTGTTTGGATGAGCGCGTACGGAACGGCAGATCTTGAGGTCTCGCGCATGCCCCAGTACGGAACCTACGGAGTACCTTCACAAAGTTGCGCAGCTTCTCCGCCGTGCACGTTCGCATTTCCCCTCTTTTAACTCTTATTTTTGATGATATTAGTGCTCTCGGTGGGGTGAGCAGGGCCCAGACTATCTCCAGGCGTGCAGAAGTGAAAATAAAACAGTGGGCTGGGAACCCAGGGTTCACCATCGAGCAATACCCGACTGACGAGTCGTCCCCCACCGTCCCGACGCCAAATGTTTGCAGCACACCTATCCGACCAGGACAGCGGGGGGAAAGATCGGCGATCGAACATATGGGTGTCCGAGTCCTGAAAAATCTCCGAAGCATGAAGTCCATAGCTACTCCGTACATTTTGTGTATACTCCGTACGCGCGTTACGGTGCCTGGCACATTACGTACAGCACCTGTGGATCTTGTCTACACCTGTTATCTATATTAATTCGCGCGTCCACTGCTATTGATTCAAATTGAGAGCGAAAATTTGCTTGTCAACGAGACTTATATCACGCGTAAAGTAGACGCACAGGACTTAGGTTTTTCAAAAGAGTGACATGTCAAATAGTGAAGGACGAAGGCACCTCACGCATCAACCTGACTCCGACAGCTTGTGTGACAGGTAGAGTTGGATATAGACCACAACATCGAAAGCAAATCAAATACTTTGATGTCCCTGCAAAACCGCAGGATACTCATTTACCAGCCGTGAAAGTCCCGGATGAAGGCCTCCGGAAGGGTAGAAAATTGCATTAGCTGGAGTGGCTTCTTTGATTTCTTCAAATGTATTCGGTTTGTCCTTTTCTTTATTGACACGTGGATCTCGTCAAATTAAAAAAAAAGAAATGGAGTCTGGGTAAAGACCAGACCCGAAGGGGAAAGAGATAATAAAGCGGAGAAAGAGAGGAACAACAATCATAGCCAGAGGAAAATGCAATCACATCGGGCATTATGGTCCCGTTTGATTTCATTAAAACATCAACAAATAGACGGCGCCACCCATTTCCATCTAGGGGACTGACTCCTCGTCGATGCTTCTTAGCCCGGAGGAAGAGGGACAAGATAGAGACAAAACTGATACCCATATAAACCGGAAAAATTGCGAGCGTGGAAAAAAAATAAATCCCTATTTGGTCCTGACTTCAGACGGGTTGTGTCTCCTGATGCCGTTCTTTTTTGCGCTTTTTCTCAAACTATGTAGTCTGGTCCCTTTTTCGCCCCGCAGGTCTGTCTGCTCCACCCTAATCGGGACTGTGTCGATTCACCAAACAAACCCCTTTTCAACCACCCACACCTCCGCCCGGCAGCCGATCGATTTAGATGGAAGAAGGGTAGAGCATGACTCTGACGGAAGCACCGAAGGTCTTGGGGGGGAGATTGTGTCTGAACTGAGCACGGACAACGCCGGAGTTTCCTGGACATGGCTCTTAGTACCGAGGATGGAATATTGGATCAATCACGAATTAGTGGGCAGTGACGTACCGTGTGGCCGGGTGACCTTGCCCCAGATGACTCTGATCTTGGATCCCTGCACCTCACGCTTTGCCCGGTAGACGAATGCGACCTTCTTGCCCGCATAGAAGCTAACAAACGAAACAAATCTGTTTAGCAACCCAATCTTTCTTTCTTTAATCTGTTACAAAATGCCTGTGGATGTATTTACCTGGCAGCCTTGGAGTCATCAACACCCTCAAGCTTGATAAGGCTGGTGTTGGGGTTGGTGTTGCGCTTGCCGCGCTGGTAGCTCAGGTGCCGGCCCCTATTCAACGTCACCACCCGTCAGCACATGCTCTTCACATATATCCTCGCAATCCACATATCATTCGTGTCGTCTTCATTTCCTACACCCTAGCCGATCAACCCTTGAAAAAGGGAGCACGAAGGGTCGCTTACTTCACATATACTAGACACGCAGAAACAGAATATGTTAGCGCACAGATATCCAATTGAAAAAGAGGAAAGACTCCTCCGGAATGTATCTTTCCCAGTTCCAATCTCATCGCACACGATCCATCGGCGATATTCAATTGTATCCGCAAACCCCCATCACCACCAAAACACCCCAGCACGATCAAACAAGCGGGGAAAAGAAAATGTATCCAAAAGGGGCGCACTCACATCTGTGTCCGTGAGCGGAAGGCATCTTGACTGTCTTGTTTCCTCTGGCGCGCAAGGAACGAAACAACTGGCAGATCCGGGGAGGAGTGTATCCAGCAAGAGGCAAGTCTTTCTCACGCCTGCTGAATATTAATCCGTTCGAGGAGAACCGCGGGGAGGCGTGGTCGTTGGGTGAGAAGCAAAGGTCGTCGCTGCGTCGTTGAACGTCCAACACACAGTTCGGCGAAGGTCGAAATGCAGTTGTGGTGCTTTCGGTGCGGCACGCCTAAACCCAATTAGGAGATTAGCGAAGCCCTAATTATGTAATCAGAGCGTTGCCCACGGGACCCGCTGTATGATTGGCTGGACTTTGGGGTAACCGTTGTTTGCTCTGTTTGCATGCTACACTCGTTCGCTTCTATTTAAAGCTGCCCAAAACGTTACTTGTCCTGGTGTGTTTAAAACAGTGCTGGTGATGGAATACATTTGGCAGTCAATTGAGGCGCTGGTGGTCCTTTGCTTTACTGAACTTTGCTTTCTTTTTGATTTAGCAGACGCGGTCCTTGGCCATTTTCTGCTAATTTACTGAAGCAAAACGCAGTGGAGGTCTCATCTCCTCGTTCCGTTGCCTACCACTGAAGCAGCTGGCAGAGGCTTCAAGAGTAGAGAGGGTTTCATTTCGTCTTTAGGAACAATTTTTCTCTCATTCTCCTAGGCATGTCCAACTTAGCAGGCTGATACCTTGTCTCTATGTTACTCTCCCGGATCGCAAATTCTTTTGGGATGCGATGCTTTGTCCCTAGCAAACTTAGCCCCGTTTTGAAGGCCTTTGCCATTGTCGTCTGAGGCTGCACTTCTTGCTCACTCTCAAGCTTGGATATCACTCTGCTGCAGACCACCAGAGCAGCTCAGGGTTTATGAAAAAAACCCTTCCCATTTAACTCATCTTTTCTTTAGATATCTGGCGCATGATTCTCCTTCATTCCAGGCTCCTTTTCAGATAACGTCATCGCTAGCCCCCTCCCAACAAAAAGCCCAGATTTCCCACATTCCAGGTTGCTGCCTGTTGTCATTACAAGGGCACCAGCTGAGCTTCAAGGAAAACCTCGCTGCGGAGGCCTACTACTACTACTACCACCACCACCACAGTTTGTTCCCTTTGCTAGAAGCCGCCGCTAGTAGTATTCTTCCTCGTCGTGACTCTGTACCATCCGGCCTCGACGAGCAGATATAACACCGGCGGACGCGGCTTCATACACACATCACAGAACACACAACCCCCCCTCTCTCGCTCAATCACGGCAGCTGGACCTGAATCAAACCACCGATCATCAACGGTCTACTGAACTATGTGTCGTGTCGCCTGGAACTCACGTCAGTCCTGAGATGCCACACACCGCTCCTCCTCGAGCAAAATTGGCCCATGAGTTAACTGCTTTGATAGTTCCATCGCTGCGGGTTGGAAATTGCGCGTCTTGGTACAAGTTCGGGGGGGTGCAAGTGTTGTCTTCGGGACTTCTGACGTGTGGCCTTGAATAGAGAGGGTTGCCAATATGTCGGCGGAAGCTTCGACATCCCGCACTCCGGATGGGGGTTTTAATTATTTGGGAATATGTATATATACATGTATATATATATCCCAAGAAGTTGATCAGGCATTAGATTTTAAAACAATTTTTATTTTAATCTCGATCCAAGAGATGGTTTAGTTACATGCGTGCCAAAATGTCTCGTGTGCAGGCCTCCCTTTCCACCAGACGCACGTAACAAAGCCGATAGTTAAAACAAAAAAAGAGAAAACGACATCGCACGTAAGTCGAAGATGGAAAATGATTCAGAACGCCGAAGGAAAATGGTATCCACAGAAGGAGGAAAAAGGAAAGAAAGAAAAGCAAAAAAAAAAAAAAAAGGTAAAATAACCCAAGCCAAATGACGAATTTTAGATCGTACAGTTTCACACGAACAACGTTGAAAAAACATGGGGCGAGCAGATATGAGAGCAGAGAGAGATATTCCAGTGCCAAGTAACCCCGAAGAGTGCCTAATTACTCTGTACCGCGGGCGGGGAGTTACCCATCCAGAGAGGAATGCACCCTTAGCTCCTTGCCGAATAAACAAAACCAGAACGAGGGACATTACCACGCCGATACCCGTAGAATAACAATTCCGAAAACGCCAGTGAAACATAAGGCCCAATGTGACCCAATTCAAAGTGCGAAATGCAGTTGGAAAACAGAAAAAAAAAAAAAAAAAAAGGTACAACAGAACGTTGTAAATATGTATATAAAGAATTAAAAATGTTCTTTCAGATCATTGACATTACTCAACTCTGAGTCTCTTTCCCGCGCCAACGGGTTCTGCTATGGCAGATCCGTTGTCGGGACTTTTCCGTTTCCGGTCCTGCTCTTCCCCTTCCTTGACCAGTCCCGGGCCAGACTGCATCACGGGTGTCGGGAACGTAAGCGGACTGGGTAACATATTACTATCTGGACCCGTTCGTCCAAAGCCCCATTCGGGATAGAAACTCGACGGCGACGGTAGCAGAGCGTCGGAAACGAAGCGGCTTGGTAGGGCAGATACGGGAGTTTCGATGTTATTAGTGTTGCCATTATATGCGGCACCGCCTTGCGGGACAGCGCCTGGGGGTGGTGGTCTCGCGAACGGGTTTGGCGGGCCATGTGCACCAGCGCTCAATAAAGCGCTGGCGGACGGCGACGGTGGAGGAAGCACGACCGATGGGTGTCCTGTATCAGAGCCACCTTTCGCTGGAGTAGTTCCGTTAGCACCAGACTCACGGGCGGATTCCTCTGTGCCTTCCCCTGTGTCGGAATGTTCGCTGGGAATCTGGACCGTCAACCGTGGTCGTTCTTTGACACTGGTTATGCTGTCATTTCTGGTCATCGGGGGAACATCTGGGATTGAAGATAACGAGTGTGTTCTCTGCGGGTTGGGAAGCGATCTCGGGGGAATCGGGGCTGTAGGCACCCTCGGTGGTGGAGCAGACGACTTTCCAAGTTTCTCGGAGTCATGCTTGATGGCTTGTGTTTCGCTCTTTGGTGATTCGACGGGTGGCGCAAATCCGAATTGCTGAGCTAAGATAGACCCTCGATCATCAATTGGGGTGAATATGCTTCTGGACTTGGTTGGCTGCGGTCTTGGGGGCGGAGACGACCCACGCTCGACCTTCGTTTCAGGATGATGCTGAGGTAATTGCTGGTCAGCGTGAGACGGGCCATGCCGTTCTTGTTGCGGGAAAGCGGGGGGCATCGATTGTCTCCGTTGCTGCTCTTGCAGGTACGTATGATGAGGTAATGGGGGGGGCTGCGCGGGTGGATGTGGATGGTGTTGAGCATGAGGATGAGGATGGGAATGCTGAGGATGCTGAGGATGCTGAGGATGCTGGGGATGTTGAGGATGTTGTGGGTGCTGTGGGTGCTGCGGATGCTGGTGGTGTTGTTGCGGTATTTGGGGCGGCACGTGTTGGTGTGGCGGGTGATGAGGTGCCGCTGGCGGAGGGTGTCCTTGGTGTTGTGTCACAGATGATGGTGGTGGTGGCGGCGGGGGGAGTGGTCTTGCATATTGGTACTGTCCTGGTCTAGGTGGGTGTTGCGGCATATTGGAGTTTGCTTGTGGGTTATAAACGGGTCCATTCGGCATATATGCATAGCCGTTTTGGGATTGGGGAGGAGGAGGAGGTGGTGGTGTTGCATGGTGATGTTGTGGAGGAACCAAACTGGAAGTGACTGCAGGAACAGTATTCCGAGACGAAGGCCTCGAGCCGACACTGGCGGGCTGAGGGGTCGCGTTCCGTGCATGATATTGGACGCCGTTCGGTATGGGAGGAGACACGGACGGAGTGTGATTTACATGTTGAAAAGCTGGCTGATGCGGTTGGGGAGGAATTCCATTGTTGTGGGGTTGTTGAGGCTGGGACTCATCCGGTGGTGGCGAAACATCCTCTTCATCGTCATCGTCAACGTTCTGCTTACCTGCAAAGTCGGCAGGCCCCTTGTGTTCATGTGCCTGGCCATACTGCAAGAAATATTTTAAAGGGTCAGCGCGAACTCCCGCAGGGAACGCAGTCGAGAAGGAAAAGCAAAGCAGCTCACGTATTGGTATCGTCCTAAGGTCTCTTGGATATCTCCGGACGAAAACTCGTAGAGCTTCTTATTATGACCGAAGATGATGACGGTGACGTCGACGGAGCAGAGAACGGAGAGCTCGTGGGCTTTCTTGAACAGACCGCCCTTGCGCTTGAGGAATGTTCTGAGAGCAGGAACCCGAGAGTCAGCAACCCGTATGAAGCACAAGGCCCTTTTTTTTTTTTAATTTTGTTTAGTTTTTTGGATGGCACATACACAGATCGATTGCGGTCATCCTTGATAGCTTTGATTTCAATCTTTCTTCGGCCCATTTTCTTGCTTCTTCTTCTTTGGCGTGCCTCGAGACCTCAACAGGCCTTTGAGCTCTGTAGCTAGTCCCCTATGCACTAGAGCTTGGAAGAGGGACACCCGAGGGTTTATGTGGCGAGCAAGAGGAAGTGGCGAGGAATTAAGGGAGTCAAGCAGCTGTAAAAGTTGACGGAGAGAGCCAGACAGGGTTACAATGATTAGGGAATACTGGAGGTGGAGAGGGGTTTGAGTGAATCTCCAGAGAGGGTTTGGGGAGCACGATGCTGCGTTGTGAGAAAGGAGGTGGGGGGGAGAGGGAGATAAGATGATAGGACGAGATGATTAAAAGACACAAAAAAAAAAAAAAAAACAAAAAAAAAAAAAAAGGAAAAAGGAAAAATAGAAGCAAAGGCCTAAGCAACCGAACGACGGAGATGATCGCGTGGAGAGAGAGAGAGAGAGAGAGAAAGAGAGAGAGAGAAGAAAGCCAGTAATAGCAGCAGGAGCTTGGATTCGGCGGGGAGGGACGTGCCGTGGTGTTGGCGTTGGTAAACAGCGGTGGTCGCAGCGGTGGTGGTTGTGGTGGTGGGCGATGGAGATGGAATGGGGGGTTTCGAAAAAAGGTAGACGCGGGACGTTCTAAAGATAGATATAAGTAGTAGCCCAGCAGTCAGAGGGACAAGAAAGAAATCCAGAACGGTGGGAGATTGCAACTCGACACTCAAAATTAAAAGCGAAAATTCATCAGCAGCGCCGGATGTTGGAGCAACCCGTTGGCTGAGGTAAGCTGGCCGCTGCCCAATCACGAATTTCCGCGTTTTCGATTGGCTGACTCTCGGCGCCGAGTCAAATACGACGGATCTCCGCGCAGCCACCCTCTGATTGGCCAATTTATATCATCCCCCCCCCCGGGCCCCGACCGCCAATTGGACCATCGTGCGCTGGGCCCCGTTACGGTCTAGCGACGTTTCATGGGCCTGCAAATTGCCGTGCAAGATCGCATTCCGCGCCCTTCATTGGCCGGCCCTCGTGCGCCAAGCCTTTATCGGGTGGACGCTAATGCCGGCACTAAGCGACGCCGCGCACGCTGACTGGCTGCTATTTATATCGCGTGATTTCCCGCCCTTTTCTGCAATCTGCCAGCTGGCCGTCCGCGTTTAAACCCAGGATTGCACAGAGATAGAGAGAGAGTACGGAGTATGTGTGTGTATGTGTGTTGGGAGAGCTTGTTCTCTTTCGCCCCCAGCTCCCTGCTCACTGCCCGGACTCCAGACTCCAAACTTCCAACCCTGCCCAGGGAATGATTCTGTAACCAACCCGCATATTCCAGTAGGATGTGAAGAAGCTGTACGGAGTGCGGACGGAATATACGGGAGGAGTACTCCGTACGGAGCACAAGGTACAGGTACGGACAGCGAGAGCAAGAGTGCGTGCGTGCGTTTGTGTGGTTCATCCGCCAGACCTCCGGGGGCGCATGTGGAGTTTCTCCAAGGTGATCACCCGGATACGAGCCCCATTCTTTTCCAGAAAAAGAGGCAAACAAACCAGAATCACTTGAGAGCGTTTGTCCCTTTTGGTGGTTTTGCTTTTCTCTTTCTTGCCTGCTTCCCTGCATGCATGCTGCCACCAGCCCCAAACACGCATATCCTGAAACATGCGCATGAGCCGACGAAGATTGGAGGGCTCGAGCCGGCGGTACAGCCCGTATCGACTTTCCCCAGCAAATACATGGTCAAAACCGTAAATTTGCCTCCTGCGCCAAAATCACATTGCTCAGTCAGCAGCTCCCGGCCTCGGATCAACATTTGGCCGCTTCTCACGTCGTCATCATGTTCCTAGGCCTTCTTCTTTCAGGGTTTCGTGGTATTTTTCCTTTTTCTTTATTGCTATTGCTATTGAGAAGACATCCAAATGACATCCGCATTCTCAAGCAAAGTTGCACAGTGCTCAGCGGTGACCCCCTACTTGCTCCGTTCTTTGAATCGATCAAACTCCAGCCAAAAGCATCTTTCTCGCCTTTGATCTTATCTCTTCTTCTTCCTTCTCCGAGTCATTTAGTCTCGACCCCCGTCTTGTGGTCACACAAGCACCCTTTGTTGCCTTTATACACTTGACACTACATGGATATGCAGATATCGTCCACCGTCAGCCCTAAAGGAGGCCGGATGCGTAGCGAGCAATTGAAGACGAATGGCCTGCATTTCCTTTCAAAGGCTTTCCCCATGACTAGGCAGTGTTAGCTTGAGTTTGTAAGTTCAGCGGTTATCAGCTAATTCATCTACGGAAGACTTTTCCATTCGAATTCTCCCGTCGAGGTCATCAAAGATTAGAATAGCTACCATAGCTTGATCGGCACCTTCAATCACACGAGCAGCCGACATTCATTGCGACTAAACGATTAGAAATGTGCCTTCCGCCTGTACTTCGTGCATGAATGGATGCTTGGAGATGTACTTCTTGGCTCTGACTCGGAACAGTGTGTTCAAAGATCTGATGCCTAAACCCCGTACTCAGTAGGCTGTGGTTCTGTCGAGCTTGACCGGGGGGTGTCCTCGCACTGCTGAGATGCAGGGTGTAATTCGTAATGTGCTCCGGAAACATTCCATGTATGTATGTTCAGTACACAACATAGTAGCGCGTGAGACTTGAGCGTGTAGGGCCTGCAGTCCTCCCCTGCCTGCGAATGGGACACTTTGCATATTCACAACACGCCCACATATATCTATGTATGTATTCACGTACATAATGGACGCAAGGGCAGGCCACATGTACCCGTCCACGGACCTGGAAAACCTTCTTGCTCTCTCACATTCTGCGAACCGTAGACAAGAAACTCCACAACCATCCATGTTCCCTGTCCCATGTCAAAACCAGTGTTGTTGCTGCTGCTGCTGCTGCCACCAGCCCCGAAAAATACCCCGGTCGCCGGGCAATGTATGGCTCCATACGTTCCTGCTTGCTTCCATGTGCCTTTCGAGAGGCTTCGTCTCCTTGACCCTCGGCAAAAGAGCCCCAAGGAAGGACGGGAAGGGGAGCTCACCCTGGCCGACCGACAAAAGGGGTTCGCAACAATCCCCGACAAAAGCACGCCCTCCCTTGTCCAGCCTAAACCCCCCTTTGGCAAACCTGTGTCACTCCCATACATGCGCTAAATATCGATCGTCTTTGAGAAGTTCGGCCTTTTTTTTTTTTTTTTCTTTTTTCTTTTTTTCCAAAAAATGAAAGAAAAAAAGAGATTAAAATTCAAGAACAAACATGGGATAGTTAAATATAGTAGCAAAAACATCCTACGCGACGGGAGCCGCCAAAGCTAAGCAAACCACATTGGAACCATCTCCCAAGGACCATGAACGGCTGCATCATTGTTCAAGCTCTTCCACCAGGCGCCATTGATTTCCTGTCGATTCTGCTCTTTGCTTTGGACTTCCTACTTAATGCCATAGACTAGCTTATTTGAATAAGACTAGTACAGAGGACCTGCTATGCAAACTCTGCGAAAACTGCAAGTTTCCAATATCCGGCCATCTCGTCTCTTCCTGCAGTCTTATCAGAGCCCTCCAATGGGGTCCAGGCTTCTGAGCTTTTTGGAAAAGTTTCGTCCCAACGTATCTCCAAGAGAAAACGAGAACGAGGAGTTTTTCCGGTATACGACCGGACGATGGCTCTGGCAAGAGAAGGAGCAAATGCTTCAGCGATATCGAAAGTTCGATGTCAACGAACTGAAAGTTCTCGCAGCACGGACACTGGGCTTAACTAATAAATGCATTAAAATGTCCAAAATCGGGGAAGGGAACTACAATAAGGTTTTTCGTCTCCAGATGGAAGATGGGACGACGGTAATCGCCAGAATACCTCACCCGAACGCTGGCCCAGCAACATACACTACGGCATCCGAGGTGGCAACTATGGAGTTTGTATGACCTCCAAATGACTCGACTGCCGAGAAAACAGGGTTTCTCACATTCGCTCCTAGGCACGATCTGTCCTAGGGATTCCCGTACCCAAGGTCTTGACCTGGTGCGCGACATCTGAAAACCCTGTGGGCTCCGAATATATTCTTATGGAGGAGGCAAAAGGCAGACAGCTTACCGAGGTTTGGGGTGATATGGAATTGGAGGACAAGAAAATCATCATAGAAGATATCGTGGCCCTGGAGCAAAAACTGCTTTCGGTTTCGTTCAGTTTGTGAGGCACGGCGAGAGCCCTTAGATTGGAATATGTTTGACCTGGAGGATTCGACTGACATCCTAGTGTAGGCTTGGTTCGCTCTATTTTGCAGAAGACTCCTTCCCCGGATGCGAAGCTGCGGAGGTGTCGAGTGACGTCCCGACCGACCTTAAAGACGACGTGAGGCGAAGATTTGTGATTGGACCTACTGCATTGAGAGAATTCTGGGAGAATGAGAGATCGCAACTGTCGACAGACCGTGGCCCTTGTAAGTTGGACGAGACTGTCCTGTGGATGTCTTTTTTCTATGACACTAAGCTCATTTATCTTTTGATTAGGGAAGTCCGCAAGGGACTATGTGGAAGCTATTGCCCACCGAGATATAGCGTATATCAGCCAATATTCATCCTCCGCCGCAACCTCAGTACCTGGCTATTTGAAACAATCAAAAGCTCAACTATCGCCTGAAGAGCATATCAAACTGCTCAATAGGTATCTCGCTGCAATCTCCTATCTCATCCCAAGCGATCCAGACCTAGTCCGTCCGGTGCTCTGGCATCCCGATATTCACGATGGCAATATTTTTGTCCATCAAGGCAAAATATCCAGTGTGATCGACTGGCAATCTATCTGGGCAGGGCCTTTAATCTTGCAAGCCCGTACCCCCCGACTAATTGATTACCACGGGGAAATAAAGTTAAAGCTTCCGGAAAATTTCAAGGAGCTAGACAAAGATGAGAGATCGCGGGTGAGAGACCAAGTCTCTAGGTCTATCCAAGTGTATCTTTATGAACAGAAGACGGCCAAATACAACCCACTGCTCAATAGAGCAATCAGACAACCATTTGGAAAGTCATTGGGCCAACTTGTCGATTTTGCTGCTAACTCTTGGGACGACGATATCCTTCGCATTCGTGAATGTCTCATAAAACTCGAAAAGTAATGTTCACCACCTTCATTGCAGCGCACACGACTGCTATATTTCCGTTACCTTGTTCCACTTACTAATAATTTCTCACAGGGACTGGCCAATACTTGGTTCGGAACACCCATGCCCATATCACTTTTCACCGGAAGAGCTTCACCAACATTGGGTGGATGGAGAAGGGTTCAACGAGACACAAGATTTCTGGGATCAGGTTGAGGGACTAGTGAATAGTAGCGGTTGGACTACGAACGAAGATTTTGAGGAAGCAGTGGACTATTTCTGGAATTTACGGCAAATTGGTTTGGAGAACCTGGCTGGAGATGAACGAAAAGAGTTTGAGCAGCAGACTCGTTGGGTTCTCGATCATCGTGCCGATTCCTGAGGGCCTCTGGCGAGGCGATGTGATGAAGCTGGTCATTTCCGCCGTGTCGACGTAGGCCTGTCGATCGATGTAGGCCTACGGACTAGGTCCATAGTATAGTGCGCGGGCGAATGGGGGCAATTGGGAACATGAACAGCGATTGGTATTTTTGAATATCACAAGCACGAACACCAAGTCTTCAGGAATGCAAGATCTGACCCAAACCCCCGGAATCTCGCACCGTAGTCCCGAGTCAGTGTCCCGAGATCGTGGGGGGACTCTCCGATTGGACAATTGTTCGGTTTTGACGAGCAAGTATCGTGCGCAAAAGGCCCAAAGGAGAGAGGAGAGAGTGCAGAGTGGAGAGGGGAGAGTGGAGAGCGTATTTCGTATTTCGTATGGAAGTCCAGAGAGAAATAGTGGGCGCTACCAGATGAGTTGGTCTGGCCATTCTGGACGATAGTGGACATACATATTCAGGACGCAGGCCCATCGTCCCCGCAAAACAATATGCCTCTAGCCCCCATTCCAGCAGCTGCCAATATCTCAGGAGGCCACTACTTGCCTGTTATCCAACATGCTTGTCGAAAACCCCCAGCAAACGGTGAGCTTGCAAGTTGAAGTGCTGCTCTACCCTCCTGAGTACAGCAGATACTAACTGCCTTATAGACTAACGAGGCTGAAAGCCAGTCAATGGCAAGCAGCAGCCCCGAGGATGCCTTCGTCAGGGCTTTAGGAAAGGAGCCTCCAAAAGCCTTTACCAAAATAGGGTCCAAGCTCTACGCTGCCTCCCTTATCGGGTGCTTCTGTGCCACAATGGACGGGTACAATGGCTCTTTGATCAACAATCTGCTAGCGAACAAAAATTTCCTGGATTGCTATGGTGGTTCGAATTCCGGGCTTTGGTCTGGCCTTGTTACGGCCATGTACCAGATCGGGGCCGTTGCTGCTTTCCCCTTCGTCGGGCCAGCTGTTGATACTTGGGGCCGCAGAGCTGGAATGGTAATCGCTTCCATATTGACCGCGGGGACCAATATTCAGTCCTTCATGGGCGGATCGTTTTTGCTGGGGTTTGGGATATCAATTGCGGTTACTGCCGGGCCAACGTATGTGGTGGAAATCTCTCATCCGCCATATCGGGGAGTGGTAACTGCAATTTACCACACTTTTTGGTAGGAGCCCGTTCCCTTCACTCCGAGTCTTGCTGTTTTTGGTTTCATTGTATGCTAATATCAGGCCGTGATGGAGGTTCACTGGTTCGATTATCGCGGCCGGTGCGCCGAGAGGTGCACTTGATATTGGCGGTAACGGATCTTGGAGGATCATAATTTGGCTGCAAGTACTCCTTGCAGGCATCATCGTCGTCGTTGCACTGTTTCTACCAGAATCACCTCGTTGGCTCTATGTCAATGGCAAACAAACCGCAGCCACCGAGATGTTGATCAAGTTCCACGGGGATGGAAATCCAGACTCAGAGTGGGTTAAACTGCAGCTTAACGAGTACGAAGAGTACCTCGAGTTAGATGGAGCGGATAAGAGATGGTGGGATTACCGTGCTTTGTTCCGTAACAAGGCATCGATATATCGTCTGTATTGCAACGTCTGCATTTCTATTTTTGCTCAGTGAATGGGGAACGGTACGTACAACCAGAGTCTCTCCCAGGGCCTTTATGCTGAACATAACTGATCGAGTCTAGCCGTCATCACCTACTTCATGTCTGCTGTCCTTGATACAGCAGGATACAAAGGCACTGTTGCACAGCACAATCTCATCCTCATTAACAACTGTCAGGGATTCTCGCCTGGTCGATTCTTGGTGCGAGCCTGGTCGACAAATTTGGACGCCGCCCCTTGCTTCTCTTCTCCAATATAGGATGCAGCCTCGCTTGGGTTGGCATGACAGTTGCAACATCTAAATTCGCTAACGAGCAGAACCAAGCTGCTGGACAAGCTGCGCTCGGAATGCTCTTCATTTTCAACGCCGTTTACGCTGCGGGATTCACACCACTGCAAGCGTTAGTACCCCGTTGAGGTACTAAGCTTCGAGATGAGAGCCAAGGGAATGGCATTCAGTAGTCTTGCAACAGGCGCAGCTGGGCTACTGAACAAGTTTGCTTGGCCAGTGAGTATCGAAAGAATCGCCTGGAGGACCTACATCATTTTTGCGGTCTGGCACGCAATACAAGCCATTGTGATTTACTTCACAATAGTCGAAACGAAGAATAGGACCGTAAGTACTAGGGCCTCTGGAATGTCTGTTTGCTATTCGCTACTGGCTGACGTTCGATAGCTTGAGGAACTGGATGAGATCTTCAAGGCTCCTAATCCAGTCATGGCCTCAATAAAAAGGAAGAGTGTCGCTGGAGTGTTCCCTAATTCCCTCGAAGCGCTCATCCCCTGAGCCAGTACAGAGATGCACATGGAATTTGTATTCGATGTGCAAAAATTCATCCCTTGAAATAAGAGACGTTCTAGGCGAGATTGCACTGGTGCTCAGGGGGGTTGAATCGCCTCCGTAGCTATTTTCCGCTTTTCGTAACAAAGCTTCAAGTTGAGGGCTTTGCAACGCAAATTAGACAATGTATAAGGTAGTTCACCACTAAGCAAGCCACACCACTAAATGAGCCAAATCTTCCACCACCAAAATTCCTCCAATATTCAACATTCAATATGTGACAACATGGTCAACAATGCCTCAATTAGACTTGCAATTGAAGATCTTGAATCACAAGAGATTCCAAATTACACTGTAATCACAAGAAAGTACTCAGTTAATCAAGAGACCCTGCACCAACAGTATAAAGACTTGCAACTTGCTCAGGATAAAGCAGTCTCTTAATATAAGAAAAAGCTCTCTGATATACAGGAGGCAGAGCTTCTGAATTATATAAATAAGCTCTCTAGCCATAGTCTTGCCATTACATCTCAGATTCTACAAAATATTGTACAAGAGATAACAGAAGAGAATGTTGGGATTAACTAAGTTAATTAATTTTATAAGTGGCATAATAATAAGATTAAATGTATTTATCTTAAAGCAATTAATCAAAATAGACAGATAGCAGATAACTATTAGTGCTTTAAGCACTTCTATATGCTTGTAATTTAATAATTTATTTGATTACTTGTAATTGCAGTTGTTAATGCTGACTAACTATTTAACTATTACTTATGAAATAGTTGGAGCAGAAAATTAATTAATATAATCTTGAGCTCTCAAACATCTATAACTTTAATGAAAAAGAATTTCTTCTAGACTTCTGCTATGTCTTAAAGTGATTAGTCTTTATTGAAGCTCTATAAGCTAGAAAGAATGCTATTATTCAGAATAATAGTTAGAAATTTTTCTTATTGCTCTGCTTAGTCTCTGCTGAAGAAATTGCACTATCTTCAGCTCTTATTTATCAGAATAAATTGTGAGATCTCCAGAATATATGACTAGATAATTATAATAGAAGTGAATGAGCCTACTTTGCAGCTTTAACAAATGGTTGAAGCAATGATAAATATAAACTGAAGTGATTGAAATAAGTTTTTAATCAGTATACTAAGAAACAAGCTAGTTAAGAAAGATATCTGCTTTTACTAGATAATCATTTCTCTCATATAAATATGAAATTTATTAAATATACTGACTGTAAAAAGATTCTTCTTATGATTCTTCTGTTATATTCAATCTACTGTTTATAATCTCTTAATATTGGAATCTTTGGACTGCTGGGCAAGGCATATTTCAATAAGCTGGAAGCACTACTATATCAAGAAATAAGCTATATTTAAATGACAAAAAGAGATTTCTGGAGACTATTCAATATGACTTGAAAGAAGGCTTTGACAGTTGAAAATATACTTGCTGGCTTTGCAAAGACTGGAATTAATTCTCTGAATTCTTAATATTAACTACACTGATTTGAAACTGCTTAAGTCTCTATACTGCCAGTTAAATCTTTTATTTCTAGTAATATGCACCAGCTTCAACAAGAGATCAAGAATATATATCTCTGGCACAGCCTAAATTTGCAGAGTATTGAACAGATTATTTAAGTCAGTAAGCAGTTTGCTTTTTGTAATAAACTGCTGGAACATGAGAATTAGTAGCTAAGATTAATTCTAGTGATGGAGAAGCAATGCCACAAGCAAGACAAGTTTCTAGATCTACTTAATAAAGATAATTCTAGTCAAGTACAGTTCTGATCTCTAACAAAAGTTCTTAAGACATGTGAGCATCTGGATAAAATAAAGACTGAAAAAGCTGATAAAATTACTTAAATATAAGAGACAAAACTTTAATAAGAGCTTCAAAAGAAGCAGACTGCTAGAGATGTTGAAAAAAGACAGATTGAATGAAAGAATGTCTGTAAAAAGATCTGAAAGTAATAAGAGACTAAAAAAATCAAATATACTAGATAAAGAGAGACATAATATGTTGCTTGTGAGAAGAAGAAGACTTTACAACTAGCAGAGAAGAAAAAACAGACAGTTAAACATACTAATAAATATCAGTAGTCAGAGCTTCAAGCACCAGCTTTAAAATATTATTAAAAGAACTTCTCTACTAAAGAGTCTTATTGCAGAGAGTCTATACAATCTTTCAAAAGAGAAAGTAAGAGCTCTATAAGCATCTCTAGCAAGGCATTAGACTCTCTAGCCAAGAAATCTACTGTTGATGTTCCTTTGAATTCTTTCCTATCTACCCTCTGAATCTCTTGCTCTGGCTGTAATATTAGGCTGTCCACCTGTTTATTTTCCTAACTATACTAATTTCTATACTTTAAAGAATACATTTATTTAATATTTAATAGCTATTTAATAATAAAGATCTGGTTGTTGAGATATTTAATAAATTTGTTGCGTGGAGCATTTGGCGAAATTTGGCTTGTTTAGTGGTGTGGCTTGTTTAGTGGTGAACTACCTTAATAATTTTGTCTAGATTAAAGAACCCGAGGTACTGCAGCATCCTAGAAAAAAGTTTGAAACTTCGAACACTTTAAGCATCACTAACGAAGCCATGACGGAGTCACTTTCTCACTGGGCACTGTTGAAAAAGCTAGATGTAAATGCATTGGAATTGAATTAGCCCGTCATCTAGAAGCGATCCGCGTGTGCATCGACCAGAAGTTTCAACTTCAGCATTATTCCAATTCCAACTCCGCAAGACAAGAGGTCCACTAGTGATTATTCCTCTCCATCAGGGTGTGTTAGACCCGAATCCTCGTGAAGGGGGAGAGAATAATTAAGCTCTGTGGCTCGGCCTGGTCTCCCAACACCAACCCAGTCAGGTGCTACCTGTGCTTGCAAGAGGTGGCGTAAAGTAGTTGCCCGAGATACTTGTGCAACTATAACAAAGAAATACAGAATCCGCAAAGAGTTGTTTCATCGATGGAATCCTGAGATTGGAAAGGACTGCAAGTCTTTATGGAAAGGTCATTATGTCTGTGTTAAGGCTTGAGACGTGTACTCATTCATGAACCTAGAAGGGTGTTTGAGTATGTTAGGAGAGTACTTAGTGCTGGTAGTACAGAGCGCCTGATGTCAAACCTGACGTGGTCTGTCCTAAAATTCAAGGAGACTCTTGTTTTGCAACCCTTGCACCTGAAGCTGAACCATATCTTGAAACCCTTCTCGACTCGCTCGGCGGATTCAAGATGCTTCTCGATACGCCCAGCACTGACATATGCTTCGATAAAGTCCGCAATCAGTTCAGGCAAGGTGGCCAGGGAAAACTCGATCGACCCGAAAACGGACATCGTGGTAAAGGCAACCTTCTAACATACAGAGTATACATATGTATGTATATATGTACATAGCTATTTGCAAACCTCACCACCAACAAAAAGGCCTCCGTCAACATATTCCCTCTATCCTCTGTAGTTGGAGCATCGCTGAACATGTCCCCCCCCAAGTGATACACATACATACCCATCTTTCTCTCTCTCTCACACTCCCTGTGTCGCCCAAAATGGGAATAACAACAATTGGGGTTCTTGTATCCTCAAAACAAATTTCAAACAAGGGTAACCCATAAACCGCTGTAAATCTGTAGGCGAGATGTTTGATGCTCAAATAGCCTCTCTTACGTTTCTTTTTTTTCATGGATCCTGAAACGCGCATCGAAATATTTTCTCTCTCTCCGCCTTTGCATTACAACCCCTTGCATATGTAGTTAACTAGGTGGGATGCAAAACACAACACTTCAGTCTATATTTACGATGCATAGATATGGATTCATGTCATAATTCTATCTTTTCTTTTTTCCTTTTTTTTTTTTTTTTTTTTTTTTTTTTTTTTGAGATGTGCGAGGAAACCTCATATCTTGTAGTAGGAGGTGTGTAAATGAGTTTTGAGAAAAATAAAAAAAGAGAATCCAGATCCGCAGAGGATCAATATCTGGAGGAGGAGCGCGATTGGGAACAGTCTGGATGAAGCCGCGGCATCTTTCACTTCTTGACACGCAACTTTGTAATCTTCATCCCGCCGGATCAGTATGCTCCCCTGCAGAGAAAGTTCACACCTTGGCAATGCATTCTGTAGTTACTTTACGAGCACTCTGCAACCCCTACCGGCCCTATCATGAGAGGCGCGTGGAAAGGGTTAGCATTAACGTTTCTGATCGTTGTCTTCACTTTGCCATTGGATCCTATTATGGGATGATAGGAATCTATCAAGGTCCTGTTTGTTGGGCCATGTGCTTAGGGGCTTGACTGTATCCCTGACAGAAGGTTCAAACCCCTGTGGGCCTTAACCTGGAAAGTTTACACGGAAGTTTGCTCTTCAACACCCAAATCCGGGTCTAGTATGGAAAGGGCATTTTCATTGAATCAATATCTTCCTCTGACTTATGCATGCATGTGTCGAAACCGTTCGGTCTCCGGCTTTCTCTCTCATCCCTGATACCCCAATGCCCCACCCGACGACCCCCCTGGAGCGGGAGGCGGAGGCGGCGGCGGCACGCTACCCCCATTCCTATCGGGCGTCCAGACGTCTTCCGCCGTAACACCGCCCGCCGTTGTGTAATCGCGTGGAAACTGAGGATCCCAAAATGCACCCTAAATCGTATCGAAAAAGAGACACGGACAAGGAAGGTAAGAAAAAGAGAATAGACCCAATATATGACTAGGAGGAGAAACAGAAGGGGGAGTTTTACTTACCCAGCCAAATTGCACCGGCGCATCGATCATCGTCTCCATCACTTTGTACGCCGGGTTGGACGACATCCCCGCCGCCGCCGCAGCAGCTGCCATCGCCTCCATCGATCCTCTGCTGGTCTCCTGCGCCATCATGGCGTCCGGCTGCTGATACATCATCGCATCGGGTCTATACTGGAGCTGCTCTGCTTGCTGTTGTTGCTGCGCCTGGTTTTCCGGTATTTCACCGATCACGCCATATTGATGATGGCTCCCCTCGCCACCGCCATGGGGCATACCAATCATGTACTGTGCTGCCGCTGCCTCTGCTGCCGCCGCTGCCGCCGCCGCCGTCGTAGTTACTGAATAGTCCATGGCGCTGCCAGCAAACTGTTCGCCCTGCAGACTCTGTACTGGGCTGGTAGAGTTTGATGTTCCAGATCCGAAACTACCTTCAGAAACATCGCGCGAGGCGCACACGGCCTTTG